GACGAATTACTAAGTAGGTCTTGAAGGCTAAAAGAGCTATAGAAATGGCTCCTTTCTTCCTATATATATATATGTTCACAAGAACTATTGGCCTACCCTGCGTACACCAAATTTCTAAATTATAGTCAATTAGGGAGTAATCAAGTTATCCCCTTAATAAATATCCACTCTTCTTCGCGAAATTTTTATTCGAAGTGCTGTTCTCTATGTATTGCCCTTTATTGATATACATAGATGTAGCAAAGAGTACGCTTTATATTGATTTATTGAAGTAGAACCTATAGCCTAATTAAAAGATTTCTGTAATAAGCGATGAAGGGTAGCAATCCTTACCATGACCCTAATAGTTAATAGATGAATATAAAGTAAAGCTTTATTCTCCCTTGGATGCTACATTTCTTATAGTATCGTAATAATAGTCAAGATATAGGCTTAGTTCCAATACATCATTTAAATTAGTAAATATTCAAAATTTAAAATAGATTCTATTTTTGGTAAAAACTTTGAAATACTACTAGCGATTCCTAGGCGGCAGGTAGATAAAATAGTCCTAAAACGTAATTATTGACGAGAGCGTAGGACCTCTAGGTAGGTATCCATATTAATAGCTATACAACCCTGGACAAAAGTTTGAGTAGTCATAGGTATAGTTATTATAGCTACCTAAGACTCAAAAACTTTTTAACGTAATCGGCAAGCGGGCCAATCACCCCAAAACACAATAATAAATACGATATTTTATAGCTCGACATTTCAATAACTACAAATTAATTCTATTCGATTATTAGTACGATAAAATTTGGTAGGGAGACCAAATAGTATAGACTGACTTGAATCTGACCGGCCTGAACTTCGCCTGACGCGACCACGTGATATGAATTGTGTAGATAGACTGTTTCCTCTTTCTTTCCCCTTTTCTTCTTCCAACTTGGAAGTCCGGTCGACTATAATAGTATATCAATCTAACTACATCCTCGTTTCTTCCTAATGTGACTACCTGGTTACATTGAATTGATATCAATTATTAACTAAGTAGCACTAAGTTATAATTAAATCCTAAGTTAAATCTATTGTTGTTAACACACCATATAAAATACCGCATTTACTATAGCATTTAGGGGTAATGATCAGCTCGTTTACAGATTACGCTACACGTTAGCGTATCTTATCAATATTAGTTAACTAGTAAGGTAGTTAGCTTATTCAAGATATAACGCGTCATTGAACGAAACCGTATCTTTACTATAATTAGTATATAGAAGCGAATCATAATCCCTACTATAGAGTATTAAGCTGAAGCTATGAAAGGCTTACTCTAACTTGAGTTAAATTTGCCTATTATTTCTTTATAATTATAGTCTTACCCTATAATAAAGTTATTTAGGGAATAGTATCACGCATATTCATATATTTAATTACGTATATTTCCTCGCTATTTATTTGAAAGCTCAAATACCCATAGTCATCTTTTATCTCTGTCATCTCTTATACTTTCCGAATAAGTAGTATTAGTGCCGGTTTAGACTCCTATTCTCTACCTACTCAACAGGTATCAGAGTAGGAGTTATGTATATATGTGTAATAGCCCATTGGGTTAAACTAATAGACCAGCGGGAGACACAGGGGAATTCGCCGGGCGATAGTAAGATCTATTAAAGAAGACACTGAGAGGAGTTAAGGTAAAGATAGTCTAATTTATGCTACTACTGGTAAGTATGTCGCCTATATGTACTAGGTTATATTATTATAGAGGGCACTAGCCTTGCCATAGTATCTGCCCTAAAAGTAGCTCTCTCATATTCTAATAGTTCCTTTAGTTAACTAAAGAATAATAGCTCCCTTAGCTTACTACCATCTATACCTCAGAGAATAAGAAATTAGCCTCTAATTAACCTATATTAATTAATCTAGGATATAATTTAAAAGTTGTTAATTAGAATCAAATTAGATAATTATAGAGGATATTCTATTACCTTAACCATAATGGTTTCTAAATACTTTTATATAATATGAGACAAACTATCATATTATCTTATTAAAAGATACTCTGGGATTATAGTACTTACGGCAGCTCTCTTTAGGCGTATTGGGGTACAAATTAGTTATATATATATATTTATTATGAGCTACGTTTCCATAATAATTAGCTTGGTCTAGCTACTAATCCAAGTATAGCCTAAACTATTTATAGAATAACTTTAATTCTATTACAATGTAAATTAACGTGATATAGATATCTTATAAGCCTCATATTAAAGGACTATCTATCCTCAGAATTATATTAGGTGGATTTTAGGCCGACTGATGTAAGGGCGAATTAGACGTCTACGTGCTCTTAATCGATTGTGCGTACTGTATATAGTCATATGGGAAACGCCTGAATGAGCAACGGTTTTGGTAGAATTGGGTAGATTATAGAGTGAGTTAGACTACAGAGTTTGGTATTTAGCGTTGGAGTTGGACTTATTTTGGTTCTAAACTAAAGTATAGTTATTTTCAAGAAAAACCCTATTGAAATTAGAAGAACCTAGGCTAATTCAGATCCTACCTAAATAGTACTAATGGTGAGGGGAATCGCCTCTAATACTTCAAGTAATAGAGGCAGTATTGTTTTGTAGATTGTATTCTAACTACCGCGCTCTACAAGTAACGTAATCGGGAAGCGAGTAGGCTTATACAAACGAGTAGCCTATCTTCGAACACTAGTAATTGCGGTATTTTATGGCTTGATATCTTAACAACGATAGCTTAATATATGTTTTAACTAGGTCCTGTTACTATTTATGATGTATATAGCATAGCATATTATAGAATTTTAAGAAGTTTTGAGATCTAATAGTTAAAATACATATATCTAATACATGATCGTAGTACATTTTCGACGTAGTTGAACGGTTATTTAATCTCAATTTAAGTTAGTTCATACTATTTGCTGCACCTAGCTAGCCACGTTAAAAGTATTTTAGTTAGCTAATAGTATAATATCTATAAATAGGCCTATAAGAGAATATAGTAACGAAATTAAGCTTAACGTAGTTAACTTCTACGAGGGATTTGGCCTTAATTACCCCCCCCTATAGACGCGCATTGGGGGATAAAATGGCTTATGTCTATAGGACATAATAGATCCGACGAATATCTCTAAAAGGTATATTAATTACAGTAATATCGTCTTTATAGTATATTTAAGCAAAATTAGACATTAAATAAATTCCTACACTATAGTTATATAATATATAGTGTATTAGAAATCTACTACTTTAACTGTTAGTTTTAGGGATAAATTACTTTTCTAACTATCGAAGCCTAGTTTTGTCTACAGTCTAGCTATTAGGACTCATTTAATCTACTAGTCCTTATGTAGGTTATCAAACTGAAGATAATTAATAGTTGGGGGGTATAGATCATATCATACCTATATATATACTTGATCGATATGACTTCTTTGTGATTCCTTTAGAAATTATGATGATGAAAATAGCGCGCTTCGAGCTCTAGATAGCGGCTAGTATAGTTGTAGAGACATATTTAGTACTAACTACTAACTACTACGCGCCTATAAAAGAATTTTAGCTACATCCCTAACTATTAATAGCTGTGACAGGATGTCAGATCAAGAAAGAAAATCAATAAAGAATTCAATTTGAGTACGGTAGTCGACGGGAGATCCAAGTTGAGAAAGGGAAGAAGAGACAGAGGAAGAGTCTCTATTTATCTACAACAGTCCATGCCCTTTCTCAACTGTCAAACGCAATCCTCAAACGTAGCCCTCAAACGCAGTCCTCAACCTTGCATCGTGTCGGAGTTACCAGGGTCATGGAAGTCTGCGTTGTGGATGCCAGCATGACGGGTTCCCGAGACAGCGGTCCCGTCATACGCAGTTCCGTATGCGTAGTTCCGTTATGACTGGTCACAATAGCCTAGGGGTAGATTCGAGTGTATCTATAGATAGAATCTATTATAAGAAAGAGCATTGCTATTCCCTAGAAGTCAATTTATAACCATTCACGCGCGTGTCTTGACGAAATTATTAGCTATTGTATCGACGTGAGTTGCGTAGGGTACTAAAAATAGGCGTATAGCGTCGCGAATTGACGGAAATTCCTTACAAAGTTGGTGGTATCTAAATAGATTAGCCATTAACTGGTCGTCATAAACAAAATGCCACATATGAAGGTAATACTACATGTAGCAACCAAGACCAAAGATAAAACATTAATATAACAACTTCTACATAGAGTCTGTATTTAATCTATTAGCGTCCTAGTGGGCTAGCATGGTCGAAAAGTAAGTCTAAAGAATCTGTAGTTTCCCGTGCGTCAGTCCGTGGTATTGGGCTCAGTGTTATACATGACGCTACACATATCAGCTAAATGACAGTCGACGTACTGTAGGGTATATATTTTAGTGGGGACAACTGCAGTGCAAGCACATGATTTGTGTATATATCTCTTATCCACGCCCCGAAAATTTGCCATATTTGCAATCAAGTAAATCATTTCAAACCTTAATATTGAAGTTTGAGTTGATATACAACCTTCATAACACCTATCTTATCTTTATAGATCTTGAATGAGGCGATGATCTGTATCTTAAGGTAACTCATGGCATCCCTGCGTGCCCAATTAGATACCTAAAACCAAAGTCCTTTCGACACGCAACGGAGAGCCATCCAATGGGCATAGTGGGGTTGATCGAGGGGCCCGGTGCCTCACTGGGGCTCAAAGATACCCACCGGGTGGCATTATAGTGAGTGTATCAAAACTTAAGCTTGCGGAGTTCCAATGCTGGTCTTTGCTTGCGTGCGTGATTACTGATTGGATTATCCGCAAACAGATGTACGAGACAAGAAAAATCGGTTCGCTTATTTTCTTTGAGATTTTGGATAGTCATGTGAATATATCAAGGTTCTGACACAGTCGCCTATCTATGTACATACAAGAGGTAAAATAACCTCGGGAACTAAACCTCCGTTCCCCTAATAGTATCGTGGCAGAGACTCAAAGCCAGTCCGGTCGTCTGCAAACATCTTTACCACATCTTTGGATGATCACACACCGGGAGCCACCATGAGCATGGAAGCCATTTTCTTCCAGGTCCGGTTGACCAATCGGCCACACCTCCACAGAGAAGTTTTCCGAGTCCTCTGCAGTCACCGAATCATAGATCGCAGCCACTCGACGCGCTTGCATCAGATCACCACACTCGAGGACCGTGATTCGGGCTCGGAGCTTTCGGGATAGGGTGATGATTCGACCATAGAAGATGTCCTCTAATTGACCCGAATCAGAGACCTGACCACGACGGGCGGGCGGTACTAATGCCAGTTTGGGCTCAAAGTGCCGAACGCTGCGCGCCGTTGTGCCATCCCAAAAATCAGACGGGGAGATATAGGGTGGATTTGAGATGAGTAGGTCGCATGCAGGCAGGCCTTGGTCGAGTAACACGGCCTCGACCGTCGGGATGCCATGCCCACCATCCCCGAGCACATCCGCGAGACGGAACCGCACGTCTGCAGATGCACGGTCCGTCAAGAAGCCGCGTTCAAGATTATGGGTCAGGTTCGTGCGTGCGAGCTGCAACGCCGTGGGACTGATGTCGATGCCTATAACCCGTAACTGTTCGATATGCGGTGCCAGAAGCGCATGCAGCAGCAGGGCGATGCAGCCCGTTCCGGTACAGAGATCGAGAACGCTCAGAGACTTGGTCATCGAGGCCTCTGTAGCCCGGCGGATCAACTTAGCCGCCTGGAAGGTATATGCCTCAGTTTCGGGCCTACGAACAGTTAGACAGGTGACACTGCGGGTGAGGGGTAGGCAGACCTAGGGATCAACACGCCCCGTTTGCACAAGATTTCCAAGTCGCCGAAGGGCTGGTCGCCGAGAATATACTGCAGGGGGAATCCTCTCGATCGCGCCCGACACATGGACCTCAGCCGCGTGGCCCATCCGGGAGCCGGGCCATCGCGGAGGGCGCGCTCCCGTAACCAGCGCAGCTCATTGCGGGCGGATTCGAGGGTGCGGCACTCCTTGAGTAGCATCGACAGCAAGGGACTTTCCCGAGCCACCGTGGTGAGCAAAGAGGGCGGCAGGCGCGGCATTATTGGCGCGCTCGCCTGCGTGGTGGAGGAGCAGCGGGAGGTGGATTTACGGGAAATCGGGTTTACAAAATAATCAGAAATAATTCAATCAGATGGAAGAAAACCCGATCACGCCTGTATACACATCACGACATCAAAGAATATACCAAAAAGAAAAACAAGGAAAGAAAAAATCTACAATGCTAATAGATAGCCTGCGCCTATGAGCCCTAGCGCCAAAGGGTTCGGCATACCGGTTGGCACGGTCGCCGCGTTGCTCGTCAGCGAACCGAGGCTGCCCGATCCCTGCGGCTGCCCCAGACGAGCTCCGGAACCTTCGACCGACACGGTGGTCACCGGGTGTGCCACCGCGGTCGCGCTGGGAACCGCGTCGTCGCCGGTGCCAATCTCCAGGACGTTCCCACCGGTGGTGTTGAAGCGGGTATTGGCCAACGAGATCTCATTGTTGGCAAGGTCATAGACCACGTACGCGCTCCGCAGAAACGTGTCCCCCAGGACACACGTGCTGTCGCCCGCGGGGACGATGCCGAACATGCATGCGCTCTTCCCATTCGAGAAGTGCAGGTCCTCCCCGGTATCTATGACCAACTCCTGGATACCGACATTGATTGTCGGGGACGAGAAAGTGTAGGTAAAGGTGATGTCGTCCTCGGCCATGCTGCACGGAACATATCCCACGCCATCGGAGGGCTCATACAGCACGTCCAATTGTTCATAGATATCCCGGACGATCGCCGTGGGGAGGTAGGTGAGTGAGCTTCCCGAGTCCAGCAAGACGGCCGCGGGCAATGCGTTGGACGAGTAGCTGTGGTGGCCCGAGGAATTTTTCACCCCGACCCCCGTGAGCGCAATGACGAACTCGGCGTAGATCCCGCCGACCTTTTGGATCGGGAGGGTCTCGAGTGTGCCCTGGAACTTCTCGGTGTTGACGCCGCCGAACAGGATGGAGCCAGTGTTGGCGTCCAGGTCGTTCAGCCACAGACTGTAGGCACTCGACTTAATCAAACCCTTCTGGACCATTGCCATGGGCAGATTGGCGTAGGCCGATTGGCCATTGCGGCCGACCTGGACCTCGTTGGCGGGATAACCGATGCCTAGGACGCCCTCTGTTCCACCGATATCAGCTGCGCGCGCACGTCAGAGGGGCGTGGAACAATTACGTACCTGCTGATCCGGACTTGAGGCCCACACCAAACTGGAAGTCCTTGAGCGTAGCACCCCCAATGTGCAGGGTATCGGTGACATAATCGCCGACGGCGCCCGAGCCGTCGGCATAGCTGATGTTAAAATCATCGGAGACGAGCGCGTAGGATGAGGACGAGCTGGGATTGTAGGTGCCGGACCCGGTGGCCTTGCAAGGGTCACCCTGAGACTTGCAGAGGGCGGAGGAGGGTGTATTGCACCACAGATCGCTGCTGCCGGTATCGATCACCAGGCGCAGGTCCTGTTGGGGAGTGCCCAGCGAGACATTGCAGTAGTAGAGCGTGCCCTCGTTGAGCAAGGTCTCGCTGACGGTCAGATCGCGCTTGCGACGGGCTCTGTCTCTGGCGACGGGGTCTGCGACGTGCTTGCGTTGAATATCGAGCGAGACGACTGCGGGTGAATCTCGTTGTACGAGGTGCAGACCGCCTAGGGCGGGCAGCGCAAGGGACAGCAGCAGTACATTCCTCATGGCGATCATTCCGATGAGTGAGGAGGAGCCATGAAGGATCAGGAACACTATTAGAAGAATTATTAAGTACAGTGGATTGGATGAACGAGTGATTGGCGTCACCACTGTGGGCCGCGAAGGAGCTGACGCGGAAGTTCGCCGCCGTCTTTGGTTTAGGCTGCGACTTTACTATTAATACTACGTACGTCAGTCACAATCCCACGGCCGCGCGGACGCTTCGCATCGTCTCCTCCGTGTGGTCCTGGGCCGCCTGCGCCCCCATCTGTGCGATCGTGTCCACCGACGCTGGGTTTGCCACGAGAGCCGCGTAGCCTTCCCGGATGTGGCGCAGATGATGCGTAATCTGCCCTGCCACTTGTTCCTTCAGCGCCCGCAGGCTGGCACTTTTGTATTCCCGCACAATCGTCTCACACGGTCGCTCCTCGAAGTGGCTGAGAATCTCGATCAAGTTGGACACCCCCGGGCGCTGCACCGGGTCGTACGTGATGGTCGCCTCCGAATCCGTGAGCGCGACCTTGACCTTCTTGTGGATTGTGGCCGGGTCATCCGTGAGAAGGATGCGCGATCGCTCGTCCGCATGCGACTTGGACATCTTAACCGTTGGTTCCTTGAGCGACATAACCCGTTTCGCCGGAGCTGGCTGGGTTAGTAGTGGACTTGGTTCGGTCGCAGCGAGGCGGACTCACAGATGACGGCCTCGGGGATCGGGAAGATCGGCCCATATAGGTGATTAAAACTGTTTGCCGTGTATCGGGAGAACTCCAGGTGCTGCTTCTGGTCCTCGCCAACCGGAACATGTGTAGCCCTAGGTCTGTCAGCCAGGGACGTAAGTCATCAAAAGCTCGCGGGCACGGTACCTGTGGACGAGGATGTCGGCGGCTTGGAGGACAGGGTAGGAGAAGAGACCGAGACGTAGCTGTTGCCGTGCGGCAGAATGGTCGAGCGTTGTATCTTCAGGCAGCTGGAGCTTGCTCTGGACCGGGGTCAATTCAACTCATGCCCATCGCTCTGTGATGGCTCACCTTCCACTGGGTCATGCGCGACAGGTAGCCCATCGACGCGACGGTGCTCAGAATCCACATCAGCTCGGTATGCGCCGGGACCTATAGGGGGAAGCCGTCAGTCAAAGAGCAATTGCTGCCGGGAATCCATGACCAACCGCAGACTGGTAGAAAATGGTAGAGCGCTTGGGGTCTAAGCCGACGGCCAGCAGGGTTGCAAATGCCTCGGTCCTCCATCGCCGCAGCTGGTCCGGGTTTTGCGGGACAGTCAAGGCGTGGAGGTCGACAATGGAGAAAAACAGCTTGGTCTGCGGATCTGCATCTTGCTGAAGCTTCACCCATTGCCGGAGGGCGCCTAGGTAGTTGCCAAGGTGTGGCACCCCCGTGGGTTGAATGCCGGAGAAGATGATCGGTTCGCGGTTGGCGCTGGAGCTGCTCGATCGGTGGCCGGTCCGGGGCGCAATAGAGAGCCCAGAGCGCGTAGTCACGAGCAGGGGCCTAGTCGGGATGATGCCATGGCGACAGATGGTGGTCCGCATCTCGGTCGGACCATTGAAGGAACGCGACGCGGGAAACAAAATCTCGAGCCCGAGACACTGGGTCACGTGCCGCATACACAGGATGTACAGTTTCATACGGTTTGATTCTGTTGTCAAATGCTCTCGTTCGGAGTCTGGGGGTGAGGGTGATAGCATGCTAAAATACAGGAAGCCGGGAAGGCTTTAGAGGATGGAGGGGAAAGGCACAAGGCCACTATAGACACGGGGGCTAAAGAAGCATCCATCTAGATGTCTCGGCGCTCCTTGAATCGATTATCCAAGTTGTCGAATATGGTGTTGACACGGTCTGCAGAGCTGCCTTTGCGCATGCCAAACTGCGCAAGGTCCGCTCCGAGGGACTTTTCAATCTCAGCCACCGATGCATCCATCGCTTTGCCAACTTCTATTCCATAATTAGTGCATGCGCAACCACGGGACCAGATAGGACCCAAAAAGAAAACAACATACCAAGGCTCTCGTTTTCCCAAACATTTGCCTTCATGCCCACCCCGTAAAACGCGTGTTTTCGGAGAAAGGCGAGCCACGCTTCGACGGCTTGCAGATCGCCATCTTTGATTTGAATTAGCCGGCGAAGGGTAATCCGTTCAAAGTTCTCCTGGCTCTTCTTGTGAACAAAGTTGCTCCGCGGCACGGTCCAGCGCTCGACGATGCGCGGTAGGGGGATGGGACCGGAGACCGGCAAGTTGAGGTAGTAGGCGGCGCGAATTGCAAAATCCGCATAAAACTCGAGATTCCGGACGCTATATGATCGCAATTGAAGGTCACAGACCGGAAGACCGTGTTCCGGCCGCCTCCGTAGCGGCCGCAGATAGATCGCCTGTACACTTCGCGGCAATCGTGTATTCTCACCAAGCGCCCCTAATCGGTCCGCCCTAGGATGTAGCGGTCAGCAATTGCCGTCTAGCTGATTGGCAACAAAGGACTCACCATTCTTTCACGGGTTGTTCAACGGGCTGCTCTGTTTCCGCCGACCTGGATGAATTTTGATCAGTGACCCATCTCATCACACGGGATGCAATTGGATCATCATACTGAATAGCGGAGCTTGGTGGTACTTCCACTGGAGGGATTGTCTGCTGTTGTGATTGAGATGGGCTGGGATGGGTTGGGGATGATAGCGGACGCAAGGAGCCAGGCACCTAGGCAGATGTCAGCACGGAGGACTTTCCATCATGGTGTGAAAAAAAAAACCACTACCTTGAGGCTCCTGGCAGTCCGGGCCACGGAGCGGACTGGAAGGGCGAACATAGTTGGCGATGAGCAGGGAAAGAAGGCAAGTCGGCCAGTTTTCGGTGGGTTTTCTGCCGGGTCGTTCACCGCCTGACCGTCCAGGGTTTTTAGGCTGCGCAACCAGGGTTGTTGGGGATTTGTATAGATCGGGTGTATACCTAGTAGGTAGTTAGGTGGATACCAGGTAGATATATATTATATCGTGAAAGAGTAATAAACTAATGCGGCATTGATTTGTCCGCAGCGGTGGTTAGATAACCCTAAACTAAACTATATAATGTCCCCGATCACTTCCCGGCGGGGCACAAGTCTCTTCCTCCACCCATTCATCACCCGCAGCGATGTCTATTTTTGAGCGAGCGACGGAAGCCGTGTCTTTTCTGACACAAAAATTGCCGCACGACTTCCCGCGTCCTCGGGTGGCCATCGTCTGCGGATCAGGCCTCGGCGGTCTCGCCGATACCATTCAGGACGAGCCGCGGGCCGAATTCGACTATGCCACCATCCCTCATTTCTCGCAGTCGACGGTGGCAGGGCATGCTGGCAAGCTGGTATTCGGGCTGCTAGGTCCAATTCCCGCCGTGTTGATGCTGGGCCGCCTACAGTAAGCCCGGTGCAGAGAATTCGGGTTGTCGAGGGCTAACCAGCGCAGTTACTACGAGGGCCATGCCATCGACCAAGTGACATTCCCCGTCCGAGTGTTCAAATTGCTCGGCGTGGACACAATCGTGTGTGAGTTTCCGTTCCAACCTAGAAAGGGCTTACATCTAACCTGGGACAGTGACCAATGCCGCGGGGGGCCTCAACCCCGACTACGCCGTGGGAGATATTGTACTGCTCAACGATGTAGGATTGATTGTCTACACTGTAACAGATACTTGCTAACGATTCAACACAGCATCTATTTATGGCGGGACTGGCAGGCGCCCACCCATTAAGAGGGCCCAACGCAGCTGAATTTGGGGTTCGCTTCCCACCACTATCCGATGCCTACGACCTGGAACTTCGTCGCCACGCGCACCAGGCCTGGAAAACCGTCATGGCCTTGGGGGCCACCCGTAAACTGCACGAAGGCGTCTATGCGTTCGTCGCGGGTCCCAGGTGGGAAGCACCGACATGATTCATGTGCCCCAAACTGACATCCCCGCAGTTACGAGACCCGAGCAGAAAGCCGTATGCTTCGCATGCTGGGGGCTGATGTGGTGGGAATGTCGACGGTGCCAGAGCTCGTCGTTGCTCGGCATTGCGGTATCCGAGTGCTTGCCCTCAGTCTGGTGACCAACAACGTTGTGTTGACACCCGTCCCCCAGGGGGACGAGGAGCGGCTTCAAGGCAAAGCGGCTGGAGAACTGAGCGCCATTCTGGAAGAAGGCAAGGCAGGCCATGAGGAGGTTCTTGAGGCTGGTCGTGCCGCCGCAGTCGACATGCAGGTAAAACACCACTCCTGTTTTTTGAATGTTGTAGATACCAGGGCTGACCTTCTGTGGTAGAAATTGGTGGTGCAAGCCCTCTTGAATGTCTTTGGCCACGCTTGAAGAAGCAGAGAACTTTGAGTAGCAAGGCTCACGCCACGTCGGACGCCGTCCATTAACAGAACAGACATCTGCCATGGAAGATAATCAGGCACGATCGACACCCGAGGCATTGCCCGATATGCGAGAAGACTGTTGGAAAGCCTCTGGATCGCATGCCGCAACTGCCACAGCTGGCCGTGGAGGATTGGCCGTCATCCCTGGTTTGGTTTGCAATTCCACAATGATAGATACCTTGTCCTCACTTGTTCTTTCGGCTCCTCTTTGCCTGTAGGTTCTTGTAGAAAGACTTCTTTCCACTCTGTTTCGTGTGCTGGATGTCCTGATACTTGGATGCAAAGCGCCTGTTCTGCCGCTCCAGCGCCATGGTCTCCTCGACAAAAGTCTTCTTTCGGTCCTTCTTTGCAATGCGGCCACTGAAGAACTCCGTTGGGCCCTCAATGATGGTCCCCACCTGAGAAAACTCGGGTGGCTTGGCCTTGCCATTTTCCTTCTTGTAATGCCGTTTGGGGTCCAACACGGAACGCATGCGAAGGAGCTGAAGATCCCTCCTGAGTTCGGCAGTCAACTCCGTCTTGGGCAGATTGAACCAACTGGGCCCAGCTGTAGGTTTGTCCTTTTTAAGCAACGGCTGTCAGCAGAGGATCGAAGGTATTTCACAACACAGACCAATGGCAGAAAGCAAGGATTAAATGCTCAGAGTAACTATGAAATGATAAAGCTCTCACTGGTGCAGCACAGCCCAAAACGGACTGGTTACGCCGCATCAAGCGCTAACGCGTGGGAATAAAATTTCCTCATAGCAATGGGGGGAAGGGGGAGGAGGAACAAGGGAAGATGTGCACTCACTTTGCTGGGCTGCTTCGTCGCTACCGAGCGCAAGGAGACCGACAGGGCTTTTTGTTTGGGATCGACGAGATGGGCCGGATGAATTGTGACGATCTCGTCATCCTCGCGGACATACGGTTCGAGAGAAGGTCCCGATGAGAGCTTGGGTAACCTAGTAGGCCGTTAGACTTGAGCTCTGGTGTGCATTGGCTCGGTCAAACATACCGTTGAGGGGTAGACGTCTGCACGGGGCCTCGCAGACGGGTCTCTGCCTCAAGGAGCAGCTGTTGAATCTGATCGTCGGTCAAATCGACCTCGGAATCCGCCATGTTGTGGGTTGACAAAAGAGAAAGAAGAAAATCATCCACTCGATGTTTTTTTCAGCTTCGGATCGGACCAACCTTTGCGCCGGGACTAATACACGTGACCGAAAACACGTGACCCAGTTCGTTGGCAGTGGGGGGTAGCTACAAGAGTAGAATAATAATGTACGGCTACGTAGTTACCTACTTGACTAGGACAAAGGTACCTACATGGAATAATATACTCGACGATATTCTGATTCATTACGATTGATCTCCCTGGTCACCCTCCATCGTGAGTTGTGCCGCAAACGTCAGAACGGCTGACTCGGCCTTGGCGCGAACGCGACATCCCAGCCTCTTCTCTCTCTCTCCTCTCCCGCTCTCCTTTCCATCGGCATCAGCCCCATTCTTCACCCTCTTTGTATTATGGATCAAGCTCCCCCGGGCGCACCGCAGCAGCAGGGCAGACAGCCCCAGCCCCAGCAGCCCTACAACATCGAGCCCGGTGGTCATTATGGTACGTTCTCCGCGCCGGGACCCAAACTACGCGCGCACGGTTTATCTCGAGCTCGTAACTGACCGTATCTGCAGGTGCCTGTGCCCAGGTACGATTTAACTGACCCTTGAATCTGTCGGTCTCTTGCTCGAAATGTAGCTAACGCGGCTCCATTCACTCTAGCTTGCCAGTACAGGATACGCGCCGCTCGCCGAACTGTATACCGGCACCTGGGCTAACGTAGGTTTCCCATCCCCCAATTCCAAGCGACTAGTTCATAATCTAACAATACTAGGTGAATCAAGGTCTCACAGGGCAGGCCCGTGATATCTTGACGACGTATTGGCAACATGTCATCAGCCACTTGGAAAACGAGAACCACGACTACAAGATCCACCAGCTGCCGCTGGCGCGTATAAAGAAAGTGATGAAGGCGGATCCAGACGTGAAAATGATCTCTGCTGAGGCGCCCATTCTCTTCGCCAAAGGCTGCGATATCTTCATCACCGAGCTGGCGATGCGCGCGTGGATCCACGCAGAGGACAATAAGCGGCGCACCCTGCAGCGGTCCGACATTGCGGCGGCTCTCTCCAAGTCCGATATGTTCGATTTCTTGATCGACATCGTCCCACGCGAGGAGGCGACCTCCCATGCCAAGCGCTCGAGCCAGGCTGCGGGTCCATCGGCGGGTGCAGCCGGCCAAATGCCGCCGCAGCATGGTGTGCAGCCACACCAGCACATGGGCCCCGCGGATTACGGCTCTCTCGGTCAACACGCCCTCGCTCAGGACCAAGAATACCGTCCGCAGCAAGCAATGTACGGTGGAGCCGATCCTACGGCAGCGTATGGACAGCCGCAGCAACAAATGTTTGAGGGGATGTATGCCTATCCGCATATGCCTCCGCAGCAGGTACGTGAACCTAGAAGCCCTCACACGCCAGGCAGTTTCCTCCTCTCAATGGAGGGGCTAACGTGATTCAGTGAGTGCTTCATGCCGTGCATGTTTCGACACTCACCTTAGTTTACGAATGGAGGTGCTTGAAAGGCGAATGTTTTTGTGTTTCTTTTTCTTTTGGAATTTTGCGAGGCAAGGGCAACCGGATACCAATGATTGTTGGATAGGGGATTCTGCTACATTTCTTTCACGGACTTCGCCGAGGGTTCATTTTGATTACTGAAGATGACCGCAAATCATATGCCATGTGTATTCAAAGGCTACATAATCTACCACACTATGGCTTACAATAGCTTGTAAATTCATCACGTCTTCTTTCCGAACCGGGACGATATGGTGGCAAACTTATCCGCCTTGGATGGGGCTTGGACTGTCCGGGTAAGCCTAACGAAGTAGAGTTAGTAGATTGAACCCGAGAGACAATGAGGATTTTGCAGGCCGTACTTTTCCAACAAAAGAGGCCCTTGCATGGCATCGACTCGTCCGTATTTCTTGTTTCGCGTCGAGATATCGTAAAACTCGTCAGTATTCTCCGCTTGCATCAGTTGCACCGTCTGCTGCAACTCGTCAAGGTTTTCGCGAAGGATAGGCACCCCAAGGCTGTCCACGAATTGAGCAAGATGCTCAAAATCCTTGGCTAACGCGGCAACGCCGTTGGGGTTGATCTTCTTCACATCTGGGGAAAGTGGTTGCACCTGAAGAGCCCATCAGCATTGTTTGTTGTGCGGACATCATATAGCCACTCACCAGAATCATATTTGCCGCATGGCTGAGCGCATCAAAATAGATGAGCTCTTTGATCTCTGTAGGCAGACCAAGCAATGTGGAGTTCATGATATTAGACAGGAACCGAGTCAAGGTTTGCATGTAATTGCTAGGTTCTGTTGGAGGCGTGGGAGACATCCATTCATATTCTGCGGTCTCAATGAGGTCGTCAATTTTGGAGTTGACTACCTCAAAAATACGCTTCTCGGCCGTTTTCTTGTTATTCCGGAATTTCTCTGTTGCTCGCAGAGATATTGAAGAGCCGGTTGAATTCTGTGAACGCGCTGCCGCCAGCAGCAGCTCAAGTTCACGACAAGCCAGCTCAAAATGCTCCAGATTGATGAGGATCTGAACGATCTGACCTAGATACTGCGAGGAAAGTCGGTCCACTAGGGTATCACAGACCTTCCGCGAAAGGAGATCGTCCAAGGCCTGCTCGGTTAGCGATGCTCGTTCACGCGGGTCCACTGCTCGATTAACTCACCTCCTTCAAGGTCTCATCGATGACATTCGGATGCGAAAACTCGTCATTGGCGAAAAAATAGAACTGGTTCAGGAAATTTCGGATGTCGATGCAGCACAGGGGGTACATCTGCGAGAATGGTAAAACACATGGGAACCTATAGACTCTATCAGTCGCAGTCGAGGACCACCCAAAAGGTTTCTGGGACGTACTGATGCTCGTCGCGTGGCTTTTCAGGGCTGTACCAGCTCACATTGAGCACCTTGTCAAATTCCTCCGGGGTCTGTATCGGCATGGGCATATAGTCGTCGGTCGATACGATCTAGTAGGACATGTGAGCAAATGAAACAGGCAATTGACCGAAGCAGCCGTACCTCCTGGAAGTCATCGCTAAACCGCTTCTTCAGCAGCTCCGAGTACTTCTCAAAGAGAGTGAGTAGGAATTCATCAAAAGCCCTCACAGGGTAATTCCATGTCTGCTCGCTTTGTCAGTGATCCAGTCATAAGTCGATTAGGGAGACAGAGGCACAGAGGCACCGACATCCATCGTTTGCATGAATAATGCAATCAAGTTTTTGATCTTCAAAATGTTTTCTGCATTGTCGACCTCATGGAGCGCCTTGGAAATCAGAGCGATGGCGTTTTGGCACATCGAATCCCAGAGTTCTTCAATCTAATCAATCGGTCGAATACTCGGTTAGAAAATTCCTCCACGCGCGTTGGAAACTGGGTAATAGGGAACCCTACGTCGACGGACGATCTCAGGTCCGGCACTCTTTTCATTGTCGCCCGCTCTACAATGGCAAACCCCGCCATTTCTTCGAGGAGATTGTGTAGACCAGCGCCGTCTTCGTCGATCAGGGTGATCGTGGAAGGAACTAGTAGATCTTTTTGGCGCCGCCGAGTATTAGCGTACTCGATGCGAAATTTGTCCATCTGTCCTAGGGACTGGTGGATATGCAAGCATTCAAATAGCGGGTTAAAGGGAACCTGCAGCACATCATTGTGCAATAGGTCGTATTCCTCGTCTTCATCCGACACGAGCTCGATGGGAGAATTCAGCTTGAAGTGCTCCAAGTATGGCATTTTCTCCGCTCGTTGTTTGTGCCTTGTTTTCCGCTGGTTGGTGTGATAAAGTGCAATCTCTCCCAGATACTGGGACATTTCCCGAATCCTGTAGAGCCAGGTATTCAAATCCGACATGACCGCTTCCGCAATGGCTCGTTGCATGGCCGGTACCGAACGCTGAATCATGACCGCGATCTTATACTGCGTCACCCCTTTCAGGTGCACGTTCTGCAGCTCCTCCAGTGCACGAAGGGCGGCATAGTGATTCTTCCTCGCGAGCAGATCATGGACTTGATTGGCAAGGCGCAGCACTTCCAGACAATCTTGGATGGCACGGGATGTCTCGTCAATGTTCTGGCGATGACCGCGCGACTCCACGAGAGCCTTCTTCTGTTCGGCGAGTCGCTCAGTGCTCGTCTGGATGGACTGATTGAGGTCCAGGATCTCCGCTGTCAGGCTGACGGTGCCTTCGCGAATCCGAAGGAGGGAGTTGACCGACGAGACGAACTCCTGATGGTTGGTGTTGCAGATGCTCTCGATCTCGGCCTCCTTGTCACTTGCGAAGCGCGATAGTGTCTGTAGCAGTTGTGGTGTACGGTTTCCAATACTGTACTCTCGGATGGACGGAATTAGCTGGTCTAGATAGTCTGTATCGGACGGCGAGATGATAATCTGTCGCGGAAGCCCGGGTCAGCACTGTTCTAGGGAAACCTTCAGCAGATTCTCGAGCCCACCTGGTTCAAGACATGAGGCTCATTGCGAGCAGGAGCCACAGAAGGCATGATTATGCAGCAGCTTCATCCGCAGGTCGAGTCCTCCCACTAGATGAGTGGCGTGTTGTCCTGCAGCTCGTGCCCTCGAGCTGGCATGTTGACGCGGAAGAAAGATGATCCGAGGCCATGGAGATAATCACGTGGACAACCTTGACCTAACGTCAGGCCTTGGGAGGTAGATCAGAAAGCATTTCCCTCTAGCACACTCACAACTGCTTCATTCGAGATGGCAAAACTCTGCTGTACTATGAAATGAGAAGATGTAGCCTCCACAGTTGTTGGTAGTAGGTATTTGTCTCACCTGGGGAGACAATGAAGCAACCTTGATTCCTTGCCATTCCTTGCCGGCAAACTTGCACCAACCTCTCTGTCTTTGTGATCAACGCTCCACCGGCCTGACCCAATTTGTTTTTAATGCACTCCATGTCCTCTATAGGCTACCAGAATTCTAAAGTTTGAACAGAATGGCACTTTTCATGCACTATCTCAGCTGGTTTATCCACAGCATCTCAATAAAAGATATTCTGGGATATTCTGGGAGACAGTGCCTTGGCTCAAGCATCTCTATATTTCCTTTCCTACTGACCAACGAGCTGATTTTGGATGCCATAATTACTTGAAAATTCAGTGAATCTATTTTACTCTACTGGCTCTCTACCATCATGTATTCTCCTGGCCTTTCTACTCCTCTGGGACCCTCTGCCTATTCTGCGCATGCTTTTCGAGCGTGCCAGGAGGGAAGTTCTCCCCAGGCAGAAGAAATTCTGCTAGACGGCTGATTTCGTTCTGATTTCGCTGGGATCGTCGGGACTTTCATTCACCGTCGCCCGGATTACACCAGTCACACGCTCAGCATCTTGGTGGCAGCGCGGATCACACGGCCAAATCGAGCTACACCATTTGCCGACGACTCTCAACGCCGAGGGCGCCGAGAGAATCCAGCGTAACATTGTGCGAAACAGTGAATGAAGATGAGGCCCAGCATAAATTCAGCGCCTCTCTCATTCATTCATTGTTCATCCTTCTGCACACCTTTCATCTCTTCCCACAATCTTGAGCCTCGTCATTCCCTTGTGCGGTACCATTTTCACACCCTCATCCTCTTTCTGTTTCTTGTCCGTTGCCATGGACAGCTCTATGAAGAGCCCAGCGCCTGGGTTGCCTCAGCTGACACAGGCAACTCCAGCTATGCAGCTGGCAGCTTTTACCCCGGCTACTTTCCGCCAGGGGATGGTGGAGCTCCAGCCTGGAACCGGATTCCCAAACTTGTAAGGCGACCCCACCTCACCTTTGTGACTTGGGTACATGGATTGATTTGTGCCTAGAACTAATCGGGACCCATTCATGGGCAAGGTCGCGGCCTCCTGTGGACAGGGCCGAGCTTCGCGCTTCAAGTTCGGGGTGCGGGCTGGGGAGGCCTTGGTTTCTCCGATCCAATACGGCGAAATCGAGTCTGGTGTTCTGCGGGCGGCGAACCCCGTGCATGAGCTTCTTGGGATTCGAGAGGGTGCCAAATCCTTCGAGGACAAGAAGAATCTGACCTTCGAACGCCGCCACCGCGCTTTTTGTGTAGAGAACATCCTCAACTTGGCAACCTTGGAGCTGGCAACCTTTTTCCAGGTAAGGGATCCGAGAACGACGTGCATGCGAGACATGACCCGCCTAACTTCAGCAGAATGACGAGTTTCCTTCTGTGGTCGGACCAGACCTCGCGGATCTTCCGGAATATCAGAGGATCTACATTGCCTTCAAGGACTGCCGTGATGCGAAGAGCGCCATGGACAAGATTGGTCGCCAGCAGCCGGAGTGGCGTGTGACCCCTCTGACCGCGAAGGAGTACGCAAAAGCTGTTTATGGACACTCCCACGTTGGTTCCGTGTCTGACTTTGATGGCCAAATCAACGCCATCATCTATCATGATCCAGCGCACACTGGCCTGGATGCTGATGGTGTTTCTAAAACTCTCCGATTTATCCTTGGACATGCTGGTGATATCCACACACTTCGACCTCAGGAGGTTCGGCACTCGCACATTCATGAGTTCTTGGTGGAGTTTTCAAGCTCTCAGGCGGCAGAGAACGCAATTCGGGCGTTCGATTGTTTCATGTACCAGGTACGTTGTTTGGCCTTGCGCTGAGTTAAATTCAGTCTGATGCCATTCAGGGATGTGTTCTTGAACTGAATCCTCACAAACCGGACCTTGATCGCCCTCGCCCTCGCTCTGGGGCAAACTCATTCTCGCGCGCTGACGTTCCGTATCGCCGCGGCGGTCGCGCTCGCAATGTGATTACTCCAACTGGCCACACCCCATACACGCCTGCAGCGTTCGAGGATGACAACTTCGGAAAATCTCCATCGCACCGACACGGCAAGCACCAGGCTCAGATCGTCAATATTGAGAACATCCGCCTTGGAATTGACACCAGAACTACTGTAAGTAATTATTTCGACCCGATTCAATGATTGTTCTGAGATGTCGACTTCTCCAGGTGATGCTCCGGAATATCCCTAACAGGATGACCCAGGTATGACTGATATCATGATTGAGAAACTTGAAGGAGCACTTATCGTCAATTTGAAGGCAATTCTGAAGCGTATTCTGGACCAGACTTCCTTCGGGAAGTTCGATTTCATGTACCTGCGCATGGGTAAGTGTCTGTCCACGATTCTTGAGCCTCGACAGAATGCTGACTTTGTGATATAGATTTCAGCAATGGCTGCAAGTAAGATATCGCTCACTTAGCGGCTGATACGCTGGATTAACTGTGTTTCTTTAGCGTTGGCTATGCATTTGTCAATTTCCCAGATGTAACAACCCCGCTCTTCTCTTCTTTCAATAATTCAAGCTGACGATGTATAGCCCATGGACATCGTGGAGGTGCGTTCTCTGAACCCATATTGATCTCACAGGTGCCCGTCATGGATCTCGCAGATTGTACTGACTTTCTTTCTAGTTTCTGGAAGCCCGGGCTGGCCGACAGTGGTATGTGGGCCATTTTTATCTCGCAAAATGACTGGGCTGACATGGGATGCTACAGGGACCTCTATTCCAGCGACAAGATCGCTGAAATCAGCTACGCAAGTGAGTTGTCTCTTTTGTATGGACTGCAATGCTTTGCTGACAGTGATAACAGCTTTCCAAGGCAAGGGGGAGCTGGTGAACAAGTTCCGCAACAGCTCGGTCATGCTGGTCGAGTCTGCTTATCGTCCGAAGGTGGATTCAGGTCGTTTTCGTCCCAAGTGGTGCCGGTGCTGATGCTATCTAGATCTTTGCTATTGGAACGGGGCCCCAGGCGGGCAACGAGGTTGAATTCCCTCGCCCGAACGATCCGGTTAAGCTTCGACGTAGCATCGCCAATTCAAACAATAACGGTATGAATTTACACCCTTTTCTCCTGGGGCTAATGAGAAGCTGCTGATTGATTGTATCACAGGCCTGTACGGCCCTCGCCCCTCGTCCCGTCGCTCAGCTGAAACTGGCGGCCACCGCGATGGCATGATCACTCCATCAAAGCGAGTCGACTTTGAACACCGCGTTGGCTCTAATCGCTCCGGACATGGAGGAACTTGGGATATGCCCTTGGGCCGTCGCGGACATAGTTCCTGATTGGTGACTGAGGATTGTTCGGAGAACCACTCACTCACCAGCTTTTCTGGTTAGGTGGATTGCTCATGATTTGATGAATGATCTGGTTTGATGATTTTCTGGTGGTGATCTGGCGTCTGATATCTTCCTTTTTTTTATCCTTTTTCTGTTTCGCCCGGCTGTACTTGGTGTCTGGGGATGATCTGGCTGGCTGACGACCGTCTGACCCTCTTTTGGGAACGGATGGATGATGGCAGGCCAGATGGGGCCCTTTGACTGCCGATATTTTCTCTTTTTCGCTCTTTTGCTTCAATGCTGCTTTGCTGTTCTGTTTTTATTTTCTCTCTCCTTGTAGTCGTACTTGAGTAGTTGGATGGTTGAAGTGGATGACAAAAAGATCGATCCACCGCCCAACTACTCCAATCTCCAAACTCCGAATTCTTCCTTCCCCGCGACAGGATCGGTGGCTTGCCTCGACTGTGATACGTAACTGTTTTCGCATCCCCATCATGGACGCCACGGAGATCCGCGCGGTGAATTCGATGCTGCATTTGGTTTTTCATCGCAATAAGAACCAGCATCAACGCGCCAAGTGGTGGAAGTGGTTGTCGGTTTTAAAGCGCACCACCTTGGATCTGGCCCAATCGCTCGATGGAGCACGTCTCAACGCAGTCGAATCTCACCGCCAGCATCTGGCTACGCATTTGATTCCGAGATGCTATCTGTATGTTGATCAGGCGCCAGACGCCCGCCTCCAGCGAGGCTCCAAAAGCATGCTGACTCCATTCCTAGCGCTTTTTCCACTGTCGTGGCCGACAATCAATTCTCTGCGCTCGGTATTGTGCTCATGGCTACTCTAGCGCGCCTTGTAAAGGCGGCGGGGATCAATTTGGGACGGCCTACAGCGACCCGGATGAAGAAAAACCTCCAAAAATCGACCTCTATTACACCTGTGGAGGACTTGGGTGAGCGGATTCGCCGTGGGGGTGACAACCAGGGACAAGCTAAGGGTCGCGCGCCCTGTGATTCCAAAATTGACGGGCAAGGGGATTCGGCTGAGTCTACCGATGGTCCTACCAGAAAGACGAAGACCAAAACCAAAACTAAGAAACGGAAGAACGCCATCGATGACTTGTTCAGTAGTCTATTATAAGTTCTACCAACCTGTCCTAACTCCAAGGGGAAAGCGGCGGTTATCTATCAGAGATCCTGCGGCCCAAGGCAATTATTTGGATCGCAGATGAGCGAGCCCTATTCCCCCCACTAAATTGATCGCAATATGGTTGAGCGTGGCCCAGGCCATGGTATATAGGAATTTGGGGGAAAACACGGTCCAGATGAAGAGATGGGTTCGCAGGGCGGTACAGGCGGCCATGACAGAGATCACCGACATGGCAACTTGGAAGGTCAGCAGCGCGGCGTGATCTTGCTGCGCAACCGGCGCTTCGTCCGGACGAAGAAGATGGCTAGCGGACACCCACCAGATTGGGCCAGCCCAATTGCCAGTGAACGTCAGGACCCCAACGAGCAGTACGCTGTAGCTGCCGATGCCGTTATATGCATTCGAAAGATCGACGGAAGAGATGGCATTTGAGCCGCCGAACGCAAAGAAGGTCATGTACTGCGCAATCAGGGTCGTGATGGTCACTTCCAGCTCAGTCAGGCTGAAGGAAGAGAGAAAAACGACTTGGATACGGAAGACGAGAAACACGGGAATATTGGTGGCTCGGGATTGAGTCATCAGGAGCAGCGAGAGAGCCTCGTGGAGGAGCTTGTTTGGAGCTCGTGCATCTGCTGTTCGATCTCGGCTGAGAAGTGCCGGCAGGACCAAGCATGCTAGCCCAAAGAATACGAGTCGGGCGTGCAACACCAGTGACAAGCCGGTTGGATATGCCGCCACAACACGGGAGAGGAACGAACCCTCTAGCAGCTCGGGTGAGTCCGATGCGACAAAGTTTAGCTTGAAACCAAAGGCCAGGATTATCAATACTATTGCGCCAAGCCGGGCCAGAATGGAGCGCGGCACACGCCACAGGAGATGGATCCCCGAATCGGCATACGTGAAAATCACCAAGCTCCACAAAACATTGGGATGCTGCGGGAGGAAGGTTCGAGCGATGTCTGGCTCGGCAGCGAATTTTTGTCCAGTCTGATTCCACCGTCTCAGAAACCGTTGGCAAAGAAGAAGCCCCGGTCCAGCACACTGGGCCATCCAGGGTGACCATTGCCGGCACGATTTGGGCCGGATGTGTAAATAGAAAATCCATCCGGAACATATCCAGTACCAGAATTGCTGTTCCTCCTCCACATAACTGCTGGCAAACATCATTAGTCCGTAGCCCACGATAAGAAACACCAAAAAAACCCCAGAATGCTTTGAGCGCGCACACGCGACATAAGTGGCCGGAAGAACCAGCAGCGCTGCGACCGCCACGGTCAAGAGGCCGAGAGAGAGCCGAGAGACGTCATAATTGCTGGCTGTGCTGCTCATTACCTCCTGGGCAATCTTTAAGAACTGCATCAAAGCCGATTCGGTCACTGTATGCGAGTCACTGGTGTCCGTGTTCCTCTGTAGCAGCTGCTGGGCTCGAGACCAAGCGCATTGCGCGCCTGCAATGCCCGAATCAGCCCCAGAGGAACAGCTAAATGCGGCATCTTTGGCATCAAACGCGTAGCCGGGAAAGGTGGCCTTCACTGTGTTCAATAGTTGATTCGCGTTTCGAGACAGGACCTCAAGCTTTTGGGACCCTGTTACCAAGTCAATCTGGGCTGTCTCCGGTTGGGCTCGATGAATACATACCGTGATCCCACATGTCAAGAAACTCCGGAATGAACACCCCTAGGTTATTCAAGGGGATCGGAAGCCCAAGAAGCCCTGCAAGAGTCGGGGTGATATCCGCTTGCTCGACCGTCCGGTAGTACTGTAGATCAGCGAATGCCTCCACGGGGCTCTCAGCATGGGACCCCAGGGCCTCGAGCTTGGGCGAGATGAACAGCAATGCCGGTGATGTTTCGCCTGCCGATGATCCGCCATGGTTTCCAGCGTCGTTCATTCCGTGGTCGCCGCACAGGACGAACAACGTGGACTGAAGGTGCGGTTTCTGCTGCATTGAGTCATAGATCTCGGCCACAATGGCGTCCATCTCGTGCTGTTTCCCGAGCATAAAGGGACTAGAACTAGGTCAGGAAACCGGGAAATTTGGGTTGAATGAGGGCCTACCTTCGAGGCCCTGACTTGTGCCCGATATGATCCAGGCCCAAATAATGCATGATCAAGGCGGACCAGTCACTCTCTGCCAGTTCGCGGGGAACATGACGGGTGACATTATGGTCTACCTCGGTGAAATCCTGCAAGACTCAGCATGGATATGGTGGCATTAGCTAATGTTTAACTGACCGACACGAAGAAACTGGTTGTCCCATCGGCACGGTCAAACATGCCTGGAAAGAGCTTCAGCCAGGTATCATCTCCGTACATGACCAGACGGTCCCCCCTCGCCTTCAACTGGGCCAGCCAGGTATCTTGGTAGGCGAGGGTCGACGAGGTATCCGACTCGGCGATGTTGAGAATGACGTCGAGGAACGAGGGCACAGAGCCGGTGGTCATGGCCTTTAGGCGGGGCATGGTGACTGTCGGCGAACTGGCATGAGCTGTGAATGGCAGCGCCGCGCCAGATCGGATCAGGCTGTGGGATGTCCGATTAATTCATCTGCCAGCTCTCCTTGAGGGGGATCGAAGGGAGCTGCCCACCTCTGCGTAAACAAGAACCCGGAGCCATTGGCGTAGACAAAGTCACTGTCCGTCAGAATTAGCTCCGAGCTCTGCCTGATATTCATCCACGATACCTCCGCAATGCATCCACCACCATGAAAATGACCTTGTCAAATGGCGCTGCGGGAGGCGCATCGTCTTCCCACTTGGCTAGACCGGGCAATAGTGGCTTATAGGGGAAGAAGCCAGATGAGAAGGCGAGTAGGCCCAGAGGCACCAGGAGATTAGCGACCAGAGTGGCCCAGCGGCTAGGAAAGACCGCCATTGCTGTTGGTCGAGTCTCGGGAGGAGGAACAACAAACGTTGAGGAGATAGATACATGCGCCACACCGCCTTCACGATCTACAAGAACCGTATACTACAGTACAGTGGAAAAGAATAATAATCATAGGCAGGTATTTGTAGCAGGACATAAGTAAAAAAGAATCCGAACGCCGGGTGCTGTTTTGATGGGATGGAAAGATCACTTCTTCGAGCCCTTCTTGGACGAGTATTTCTGAAACACTATCGACGGTCGGGCGCGCCGGTTGCGCTTCTGCACACGTCCGGACTTGGACTTGCTCTTGGTATCCTTGGACGTTGTGTCAATGTCCATCTCTGCGGTTTATTGTTAGCCATTGGCAGGCCCCGGAGGGGGAGGTCATCCCACCTTCGTCATTCTGCGAGTCCTTGGTGGTGGCAGCCGCATCCTGATCTTCTTCTGTGGTGAGAACAGATATTAGTGCATAGTCCATGAGCATCGAAGCAGTGAACGAACCGTCTGTCTTCTCTCGTTCTGGCCGGGGCTGCGCGGCAATCTCTTGGAGTTTGGCCGACAGCCTCTCCGTCCGGGCGTCGACGACAGGACCAAAGACCTTTTTGCGCAGGGCCGCCTTGTTGCGCTTGGAGACGCTGGCTCGGACACTCTTTGCCATGATAGATATGTTGTGGGTTGGGTGGTTGTCTGTCAAGGAAAAGAAAGTCCATCCATCTTTTTTTTTCTCTCGATAGCGCCTTATGTCATCCACCCAAATCCATCCTCTTATCAATTGTTGCTGGCCGCGACGCTCTTTTCCTTCCCCCGACTCTCTCTCCCTCGTTCCCTGTGATGCCTTCGGGCTGCACTTTTTGTGGTCTGCCTGCCCTGGGTTCTTGACATTCCGACCATCACCATGGCCTCCTCCAGCCTGGCGCCGGAGATCTCCAGTCTCGTTCCTCTGATCAAGACGCTGACCAACCAGCATCTCAGAGACTTGTGCCGGAGTGAGGGCCTAGCAGTGTCGGGGGTGAAGGCTACATTACAGCTGCGTCTCATTGACTGTTTGTCCAACCCCCCCTTGACCCCATCCCCCGACTACGGATCCTAACAGCCCGCACACCCTAGTTCTCGAACGGTGCTACAATGAAGACGGTTTCTCGGTCCGTCTCGATGCCTTGCGAAGACGCATTCACACTATCGTCAGGCCCTCTGCAAGCTACTACCAGTACCACCCTCCCCCAACACCTCAACCGACGTCGGCGCAGTCCCAAATGAGCATTCCCATGCAACCCCAGCCCTACAACCCGGGTCGCTTGCTCTTCAAGGAAAGCCCCTTCTACACAATCCTAGAACCACTCACACAGGTGGTAGAATGCAAAATTCGCGAACAGACGCGGGACAGCGCCGAGCTCAAAGTGACCCTGTCTCAAGGCACCGCGTCCAGGCTGCAGATGGATCCCAATCTTCGGGTCATGGTGTTCTGTGCGGCGGACTCAGGCCTCAAAACGTACACCAAGTCCGAAATTGCATTCCCGCATCAGGTTGAGCTCAAAGCAAACCTCGATGAAGTCAAAGCCAACCTCCGGGGGCTGAAGAACAAGCCCGGGACCACTCAGCCAGCTGATGTCACCAATTACATTCGCAAGAAGCCTGCTTACCCGAATAACATCGTTATGACTTATGCGTTGACACAAAAGGTAGGCAAGAGAGGGATTCATGGTCGCGTACACGGTAGCTAATCAATGGTTTCGCAGAAATTTTTCGTTCTCGCAAATTTGGTAAAACAACATCCCGTTGAAGACCTAGTGGCCCAATTGAAGTCACGGAAGATCATCTCAAAGGAACAGGTCATTCGTGAAAGTAAGTACTGTCCGTCTCCTGTGAGATTGAATGGGATTCTCAACAAGAATTCAGTGAAAAACCGCGCCGAGGACGCTGATATTGTCACAACATCAACCGTCATGTCCCTGAAATGCCCACTGTCGACTCTTCGAATTCAAGTCCCCTGCCGTTCCGTTGTTTGCACACATAATCAATGCTTCGATGCAACATCGTTTCTGGAACTACAGAAACAGGCACCGACCTGGACCTGCCCAGTCTGTTCCAAGTCAACCAGTTTTGAGTCTTTACAGATGGATCAGTGGGTCTGATCCCAAACTCCTTTGAAGCACTGAACTAACTTCTGTAGGTACGTGGATGACATTCTGCGATCGACCTCGACAGATACGGAACAAGTGGTCGTAGAGCCAGACGGCGTTTGGTCTGCTCCTGACGACACCGGCCCGATCCAGCTAGGCGACGGAACTTTGGCATCCGATGACGACGACCTCATTGAGGTCACCGAACCGGGCATACCTGTGAAAAAGGAGCCTTCGATGGGGCCCAACATCTCGCTGGAGTGGACTCCCGCCCAGTCGCGCGAGGCATCGACTCCGTCCTCCGCCGCACGCATGTCCATGTCGAATAAGAAACGTCCCGCGGCGGCGGTCATTGACCTCACGGGTAGTGACGACGATGATGAGTCTCCTGTACCACCACCTAAGCGAACCATGATGAATGTCCCGGTTCGAGCTTTGCCCCAGCCGTCTCTGCCGCTCCCGACGAGCAGTCCGCTGAATGGAAGGCCTTATCCACCAACGTATCCACCGTCGGTTTGATCTGTTTACTTCTTACTTATTTCCCTAGATGATGCATATTTACACGGTGTTTGGGAGTGAGCGGATATCTTCTATTCATTAGGTCGCTGGGCTCCTCATTATTCTCGGCGCAGGTAGCTTGCAGTCTTAATGGCCATGAAATGATTCATTTAACTTAGCCAAATTAAAACGATATCCTATGTAGTAGACCAAAGCGTTCCGTTATACCTATCATTGTAGTTGTAACTAGTCGTTGTAACTGTACCCGCCACTAACTAGTGGCTGACGGACTGACTGTTTCTCCCCAGACACTCTCACCACTCACTGCTTCCCTCGCCCAACACTATCCACACAACACCAACACAACAACAACAATCACAACCCCTTCCTCTATCCCTCCTCCTAATAACTCCACCCGCTCACGCATAACATGTCCCTCGACTCCGCATCACCGCTAGTCTCTGACCCGCAAGCCCGCGTCTTGAGCTCATCGTGCTTCGACTTCCTGCTCATCGAGCTGGTGCCGATGGCCGAGCGTATAGCCAAGAAGCTCGTGGCCGAAGAAAAAGATGCGGATGATGAAGAGGTTCGCGAAACGACCTTCTTCCGCCTGGAATCATTAGGCTATCGCGTTGGACAGGGTCTGGCGGAAAGGTGAGCCCGACATCCCCCGTCCCCTGGATGCCCCCAAAGAGACGTGAATCGCACATCCTTTCATCATCCTATATCGCAAGCCATCCCTAACAGTAGCGCTCGCGCAGGTTTTCCCGGGACCGTCCCCGCTTCACCGATAATTTGGATGTCATCAAGTTCCTCTGCAAGGACCTCTGGACAGTCTTGTTCCGAAAACAAGTGGACAATTTGAAAACAAACCATCGGGTACGAATGATCAGAGTGGGTGCGTGTTCTGCAGATGGCTGCTAATATGCAATGCGCGGAATAGGGGGTTTACGTCCTGACGGACAGCGCGTTTCGACCGTTCGCTCGCATGAGCATGGCAGTGCGAGGCGATGCGATTTCCATGGCGCAAGCGGTAAGACACCTACGCCAGAGAATCCAAAGACCGAGGCTTACGGATGAGATCTAGTACTTGTGGTTTCCCTGTGGGATTATCCGAGGCGCGCTGGCCAATTTAGGCATCAACACCACCGTGCAGGCGGAGACATCAGACCTGCCAGGCGCGACGTTTCAGATCAAAACCGTCCAGTCCCGACCATGATCGCTGGACTGCGGACCATACTCGGGCGGGCCCGGGCGCATTGGCCATACTCTTCCTAGTACACGCCTCTCGTCGAGAAGAGGTATCTACAGCCGCAGGAAGCGGAGAGAGGCTCTCTACACAGGCCCGGATTATGCCAACGACCAAAAACCGATTGGCCAGAGATCAGTAAGGAAATCTGAATTTCTGCGCTGTATGCATACTATCCGGCCACTGTCTCCCCTAGGCGGAACATCACCAGTCACTGTCATTTTTCCGTTCGTCGTTCATAATCTCATGGTCTTCACACTTAAAGCCTATCTTTCCGGGATAACCATGATTAGCGAGGCTCTGCCAGGGGGCCCGTCCAGCGAATCAAAGGTTATGTCGACACACAGGAAGGAGCCCAGCTTTGGATAACGGGGGGAAAGCGTTTACTTTGGTGGGGGGTTCTTGATGAACTCGATGCCTTTCTCAATGTTGCCCTTCAGGCCCTTGATGCACGCATCCAGGAGTGTCTTCTCCTTGTCGGTCACACCGTCCAGGATGTTGATGGCCTTCTCGGCGCCGTTGGGCTGTCGGTCATGTCAGTTAGCCGTCTTCCAAATATAAGGTCCAATAAAGAAACATACGCCCAGTTCCACGGGGGTAGAGAAGAACTCCACACCGGTCGCCTTGGCGATCTCGTCGCCACCGGCCACGCCGGGCAGGTAGACGAAAGTCGGTTCGACGATACCCTTCTCGCCCCGGGTGGCCTTGATCACGGCCTCGGCGAAGCTGTTTGAGATGGTCAGTGGCTGGTGACAGCCGCGAGGAGATCAAGAAACAAACCGGAAACCAGCCAGGGCCATGGAGAGGGTAGCGGAGCCGGCGCCATCCTTAGCCTTGACAACCTCATCACCACCGAACTGGACACCTGCAAGCGGTCAGTCACTGGAACGATTTGAAATCTTGATCGGTACATACGGTTGACCAGAGCATCGTAACGGTCAGCAGGGATCTGGAAAGCGGGGGAGACTTTGCTGAACAGCGGGACAATCGTCTCGCCGGAGTGGCCGCCGATGACCGGCACGGTGGCCTTGGAGGGGTCCTTCTGGCCAGAGAACTCTTGGGTGAAGGTCTCGGCACGGACGACGTCCAGGGTGGTCACACCGAACAAGCGCTTGGGGTCGAAGACCCCAGCGGCCTTGAGCACCTCGGCGGCAATGGGGACGGTGGAGTTAACCGGGTTGGAAATGACCAGGGTGAAGGCCTTGGGGCAGAACTCGGCGATACCCGTGACCAGGTCGCGGACAATGGAGGCGTTGACCTTGAACAGGTCATCACGGGTCATACCGGGCTTGCCTGCACGTAACAACATGTGTGGTTAGCCGAGAGGGGCGGGCACAGAGGGGCGGGCACAGAGGGGCGGCATGACACCGGGCGCGGGGCAAATTGGGCGAGACTGACGAGGAATGCCGGCCGGGATGACAACGACATCAGCCCCGGTCAGGGCGTGCTTCAGACCATCATCCTTGGGCAGGTAGCCAGTGATTTTCTGTGTTTTTGGTGAGCGCCGATTCCCGGTGAAGCGTGGGGGGTAGGACGTACGGCCACGGAGGAGATGTGGGAGAGATCGGCGGCGACACCGGGGGTGTTGACCACATCGTACAGAGCGAGCTCATCGATGAGCGGGCACGTCTTCAGCAGCAGCGAGAGAGGCTGTGGAAGCTTATGTTAGTGGATGAGTTGTGAGGCAGTTTGAGGGGGGGTGCTTACCTGGCCAATGCCACCCGAGGCACCAAGAACGACTGTCAACACAGAGGGTCAGCGGTCAATTGACATTATCAAAAATAGAAAAGCAGGGTGACGTACCAGCCTTGACCATTTTGAATGATTAAGATAGAAGAAAGAGAGGGAGAGTGAGAGTGGATGAAAGAGTTGTTGTTGGGAAAGAGGGGATTATGAGTGATCGAGGGGCAGTACTAGGTCACCTGGTGTCCCCCGGATTCTTCTCGTGCTACTGTTGATTCCGTCGGGAAAAGGCGGAGTGCGTCCACATCATGGGTCGGTACATGTGCTCCTATGTATCAACTACTGCTGTCGGCTTTTGTCTACGGTGGATCATGGCTCTTGTGCGCCCCTCCGGGCATAGGCTTGCATTTTTGTTTTGGTGTATAGTGAGGTAGAACCCCCCACCTCCCGGAAGCAGCATCGCTAGAACTACAGCGGACAACTTTGCGCCCTGGTCCCAACGTGTTGTGCATTTTCACATGAGCCCAATCACGTCCCTCGCTCGTCCACTCGTCAACAACACATTTACTCCTTGTTCTCCGCCGCGGCCCGGGCCTTGGCACCACGGACCTTAGGCGCGGGAGTATCCTTCTTGGGCTTCTGCGAGCGACGGACGGCGCTCACACGGGCAACGGCCTCCTCGCGGAGGTCAGCACGGTAGCCGTTCTTAGCGGTCTTGCTGGCAACACCCTTGTAGATCCTGCGGACGGAGAAAAGCCGGGTCAGTATGGGTCTTTAGACAGATCCTTTTCGTGGGCAACGTACTTGCGGGTGGAGGTGTTAGGACCGTAGGTCACGGAGACCTCGTTCTTGCCGGGCTGCTGGGGGTTGCCGGGCTTCTTGGAGATGACGGTGACACCACCGTTCTCAGCGGGCTGGACACCGAGGGCCTGGGGGGTTGCACGTTAGGACTCGAACACGAAAGCGCGCAGATCGTAGAGCTAACGGCTCAAAGAGAGAAATACCTTGTTGTTAGTGTAGCCAGCATACTAGATAACACGGAAGTCAGCCATCAGCTCATTGCATGCCCTAAGGTTCCACCGGATATCTGCTGCATACCTTGAACGAGTGCTTGTTCAGCAGGTTGAGGGGGTCGCGCGAGAGCTGCGAACCACCGCAGGTGTTGCGCCGAACCAGATAAGCATTCTGGTTGCCTGGATGCGAAAAAAAGCGTTAACCAGGTTTGAGTTCCAGATCAACGTCCTTTCCAAAATCGCCCACGGATAAAATTGGCAGAGACGGGGGAAAACATACGGGTGACCTGCCAGATCAGGTCGTTGGAGACGTTTGCTCTTTCGGTGGCCATGATTGTGTAGTTGAGGAGTATGATCGAGGGATTGAATCGAGTCGTTCTTGTAGCAAAGATGGACTTGAATTGTGTTCTCGCTAAGCAGGCTCAATCGGGAATAGCGGTTTCTGCCTCAGGTGTTATTCATGCCTGTCGCCCAAGGTGTCCAAAGCAGGTGACTGGGGCCGCGCAATGCGACGCTGACGCTCCGTCTTGTCTTGTCTTTCATCCATGCCTGCCGGAATCGGGAGAGGCAGCTTGCTTCCTGCCCTGACTTATAACTCTAGTGTATCTCTCCTTCGTCAAAGAATGATCCCGTCGCAATAACCCTCCTCTCGTTCGTTCAACCAAATTCCTTCCCTTCCGTCCCTGGCTATCCGAGCCCTCCGTCCATCACCATGTCCTACCATATCTTCTTCTTCCTTCTCTTTTCCGTCATTATCTGTGGCACAGGTCAGTTGAGCCTTGGACCCTCTAAGAGTTTTGCTAATGCACATCTAGCCCTCTATGTTACTCGAGCACGATGGGTCCCTCTGCTGCCTGTTCCCGACTACATCTATCACCGCCTTCCCTCGAGCTTCACGGCAGATCTGGAAGCCGGCCTGAGCTCCTCGCAGTTTGATATTGGCGCCAACGTGACCGGTGGGGACTCACGAGCGGGCTTGGATGCGCGAGGAAAGCGTGAAGTCCAGAGGATCATGAAGAATCGCAAGGTCGACTTTGATGAAGCCCGCCGCATCTATACCGAGCAGCGCTTTGCAAAGAACAATATCGGACCTGATGGCCGGCCCCGGGACCCGAAGTTTGTGTCTTTCTCGTGATTGCTTTATTTTTCTATCCACTCATTCAGCGATTTCTCTTATTGTCTAGCTCTAGAAGCCTGTTCCATTTTTATTCTTCTTGCGTCATACAAAGCTATGGGCTTCTGTCTTTTCCCTTTTCAGCTTTGCATATCCGTCTACAACACGATTCCCTCTGGCATTTGTCTCATCCCATCTTTCTTTCATAGGAATTGGAATTAATTTGTCACCGAGCTTCGATTGTGGTATCGACGGCCAGTGTCAGAAAAAAAGTACGGCTGGTCGTGTATGTAGAACCAGCGCAGGAAATTTCTAGTAATACAGGACCACAGGCTGCCAGCAGTCATCCGGCCTGCCCTTGGACACCTCTGACTCTCTCCTACTTTGCTCCCAAGCCATAAGAATAATGCGGCCCAAACGGTGAAACGCGACTCCAACCCTTGAATCGTCAAATCGTATCAGAGAATCATGTCCCTCGGCACGAGGGTTTATTTTGCCACGATTACCGTCCCCGTCCATATCCCGGTTGCTGAAACCCGGGAGGCAATGCGGGAGGAGCACCGGGGGCACCAACAGGGGGGCCGAAGCCGGGAGGAGGCGCAAACCCAGGAGGCGGGGCCTGCGGTGGGAAAGGTGCTTGTTGCCCAGCACTGTTGTTAAATCCTTGCGGAACAAAGGTCTGCGGGCCACCATAGCCAGCCTGCGATGGCGGAGGCCGGGCTGGAAGACCCGGAGGCGGAGTGGCCAGTGATGGGCCCGGTGGAGGTGCAGGGCGATTGGACTGGGGAGGCGGGACGTTCTGATAGCCCGCGCCGGGAGGCATTCCTCTGCCCATGCTGAGATCAGATGTTTGGGGTGGCCCAGAACCGAGTGGGTGGGCGCTGTCTCCGTTCGCCATCATCGGTGCCGGAGGAGCCCCGAACTGGGGCGGCGGCACCTGCTGAGTGGGAGGGCGGACATTATGTTTGCGAGCCTGCGTCGCCAGCATGCGCTCGGCCTCATCACCGTGCCTCTCGCCCTTGCCATCCTTCTTGTATGCGTATTGAACCGAGCACTGCTTGTTCATCAGGTACTGGCCATTCATATTGGCAATGGCCATGTCGGAGGATTCGAAGTCGGCGAAGGATACAAAACCATAGCCCTTGGACAGGCTGTTGTCGTCGCGCGCAATCTTAGGGGGATTGAGCAGATTGCCAAAGCGGCTGAAGGTGTCATAAAGCACCTGCTCCGAGACCATGGGGTCGAGGTTGCCCACGAAGAGCTCTGCGCCAATCTCCACGGACTTCTGCTTGTCGGCCGAGGCCTTGTTCACACGGATGGGTTTGCCGTAGAGCCGGATGCCGTTCATGATGCGCGAGGCGTACTCAGCATCCTCCTCGCTGATGAATTCCACGAAGCCATAGCCTTGGTGTAACTGTGTGACGCGATCTTTGGGCAGATGGACGTTAACGATGCGCCCGGCCTGTAGCATCAGCTCCCATACCAGGCTGTCTGATACCCGCTCGTCGAGGTTTCCTATGTACACCGTGGCCTCCTTGTCTTGCTCCCTGTGGTCCGGTCAGCTTGTAGTCCCAGTAAGCTAGCTGCAGAGGAAAGGGCATACCAATGCCTTGCGCCCGACATGGCGCCGAGTCAATGATGGAAAAAACCGATCCAGAGGAGAGGGCACCGTAGAGAAGGAAATAAGAATGTGCGATGCGGCAAGCCGGGGTGGTGGTTGGGCCTTAGTGGTAGCTAACTAGTTTAAGTCGTGGTGACTGACTGAGCAGAGACTCAGGTTTTCCGCAAAACTTTTGGACTGACCGCCATCGTCCGTCCTGCAACTTCCAACTTCGCCCGACTAGTTCATTAACTACTTAACATCCCTCCCACACACCCTCGCTCTACCAGCCCCCCTTTTCTATCTCACCGCAAATATGGTCCAGTTCTCTGAGGAAACCAAGGTTGGCCGCCCTCTTCAACTCCCCAAGGTTCGACCTGACTAGCACGGCTTACACTCTTTCCTTCTTCTAGGAGCGCGTCTCCAAGATCATCGATGTCTCCCGGGTCGCCATTCACTAGTGAGCCTCGCACACCAACTTTCCAATCTGAAGCGGCCTCTTAACTGACGGGTCGTGACTTGACAGCGGTTACTTGCCTCTGATCGTCTATCTGGGTATGGACAGGGAGAAATTGCTACATCGGGGCCTCTTGCTGACGGACGACAACAGGTTACACGTACAGCGAGCCCAAGCCATCTCTGTTCAAGTATGATCGGTCCTTCCTAGATCCAGCGCGGTTACTGACCCGGTGCTCAGGTTGTTCTCGCCCCTCGCCTAAATCTTCATACCGAAAGGACAGCCAGGTCGATGAGTTGAGGATCCAGGACCTCGAGTCACCATCGGCAATGTTGGCTGCTTCATCTTGTGTATTTTTATTTGTCTTCAGAAACTGTTATAGATCTATGAACTTTCCTTCCCATGTGTCGGACTGACACTACCTTTCCAACCTGCGCGCAACCACCACCGGGAAGTCAAGACCAGTAGATCGAATGTCCAGTAGACAATCAACTGTAGCTATGTCTTGTAATTTAAGATCAATGGCAGTCAGCCGCATGGCATCCTTTCGTGTCTGGTCCTTCGTCGCATCCGATCTTCTCCGCCAACCGCCGACCGCATTTCCACCTCTTTCACTTTTCTTCCTTCCACACCTCTCCCCCCACTCTCTTCCCAGTCCCCGACCAACAGAGCAGTTCATGCCTAGCCAGGATGGCCTGTCGCCATCCTTTGTGGAGACCGTAGCGGGGTTCACGGCGGGAATCGTCTCGACTCTCTGCTTGCATCCGCTCGACCTGCTCAAGACCAGACTCCAGGGTAAGTGACCTCGCATCCTCCTGTCTCAGCACTGGACCTGACACCTTCGCCACTCAAATATAGTCGATCGCACAACCTCCTCCTCTCGGCTCGGCAGCTCGTTTCGTATCATTCGCGAGATCTCCCGCCATGAGGGTGGTCTCACTGCGTTCTATCGCGGCCTAGCCCCGAACATCATTGGCAACTCCACGAGTTGGGGCCTGTACTTCCTGTGTTACAGCAGCTTGAAAGACGCACTTCGAACCTGTCGTGGCCAGAGAGAACAGACGCTGACATCGTCTGACTATTTTCTTGCATCGGGAACTGCAGGTATGTATGGCTCCCGCGATCTGACACCAACCAGCTAACGAATGACCCGTGCAACACAGGCGTCTTCACTGCGGTCCTCACAAACCCCATATGGGTGATCAAGACCCGCATGCTATCGACTGGCTCACAGGTGCCCGGTGCCTATTCCTCATTCTCGTCGGGAGCCAAGCAAATCTATCAGACGGAGGGTGTGTCGGGTTTCTACCGGGGTCTTCTACCAGCTCTCTTCGGTGTCAGCCATGGTGCTCTCCAGTTCATGGCATACGAGCAACTCAAGGTCCATCGGGCTGGGTTAGCGGACCCTCATAGCCCCGTGAAAGACGGCAAGACTGGCCCAGCCCGGGAACTGGGGAATGTCGATTTCTTCGTCATTTCCAGTTTGTCCAAGGTGTTTGCCGGCTGTGTGACATACCCGTACCAGGTCATACGGTCGCGGTTACAGACCTATGATGCCCACCTGATTTACCGGGGCGCGATCGATGCCATCGCGCAGATCTGGGCCCGGGAAGGTATCGCGGGTTTCTACAAGGGTCTTGGTCCCAACCTAGTCCGGGTGTTGCCCAGCACATGGGTTACGTTCTTGGTGTACGAGAACACCAAGGTCTACTTGCCCCGGCTCGTGGCGAAAGTCTAGCGCGTACCCCTCTGAACCCTTTCCCGAGAATCAATGTCGCATTCCATTATCCGTTACAATCTTGGCGCAGGGCTCACGCCAGCTAGAATACAGTAATCTTACCCTCATCGACTCATACAACTTGGATACTTTCCGCCACATTGGCCGACAGACACAGACCCCATGGAAATCTTTCATGCACCTGGTCGATCCATAAAGTAGGGCGTAGCATCATCACCATCGCTACTAGACCCCGCGGTGTACATGGACAACTGGTCCTCGTAACTGCCTCGGCGGCTCTTGGCACCCTCGTCCGACTCGAGGGACGACATTCGATCCCTCGATTCGGAAGACTGGTTGGATCTCTTGGTGGTCGAGATCCTTCGGTCCTTGCCCCGACCCTTGATGCCCTTGTTGCTGTTCTTGTACAGCCTGTTGAAATATTCCCACATCTTTTGCTCTTCAGGGCTCGTAGGTCCGCTGTCTCCCATTTGGGAGAATCGCATGGTCCAATTTCGGAGGGTGGTAGCATGGAATTTGTTTTGATGGGACTAGAAACAAAATCGAAAGACAGAGTCAGCAACCACCCTCGCCCGGTCTTTCAGAAGAAACTGACCTTCAGGTTGCCTAGTTGAGTGAATTGCTTGCCGCAGTCATCCAAGACGCAGGTGAACGGTTTGGCGTGCTCGTGAGTCACCTTGTGGGCTCGGACATTGCCTCGTTGGGCAAATCTCTTGTGACAGATTTCACAGAAGTAGGGTTTCTCGCCCGTATGCCGCCGTTGATGCGTCTACAATGGCGGTACATGTCAGCCTTGCTTCTCCCCAATCCCCGAACGAGGCTCACCTTGAGGTTGCCGAGTTGCGAGAAGCGCTGCCCGCACGAGGGCTCCTTGCAGATCTGTCCCTCTGTCAGTCCGCCGATCCACGTTGTGCTCTCCAGAAAACTCACAAATGGCTTGTCGCCTGTGTGAGCCCGCGTGTGGATCTCCAGATGAGTCTTCTGCGCAAAACTCTTCCCGCAGTTGGGGAGAGTGCAGGTATACTTGCGCTTCTTGCTTCCTGACCCTTCATAAGGCAAATAGCGTGGTGGTACCGTGGAGGGCACTGGATACACGGCCGCATATCCCTGCATGACCGGTGGGGGCAGGTTCTGAAGAGAAGGAAGCGATTGTTGTGACGGTGCTGGTGGCCCTTGGCACTGGATGGTCTTCATCAGGATGTCAATCCCGGTCGAGAACCCGGATTGGGAGGCAGGCCGTCCATCTTCATGTGCTGCTGCCCCTTCAGCAGATGTATCTTTGCCATGGGGGCCAGGGCTGGACAGACCGGGGGCCTGTGGTCCAGGGAGGGACTCCGTGCTGGTCTTCGCGACGTGGTTGATGGCATTCTTTGCCGGCCGAATCTCTGGCAGAGATGGCAACGCCTGCGACTCCGATGACAGACGCAACGGCTGGGGGATTATCGGCTGCTGCCCCGGGACGAAAAACGTGTGGTACGGGTCAGAATGCTGATGATGGCCGAGGGAATGGCTGAAGCTGTAGGCGGCATGGCTCGGCGCCTGGTATGGCAACGAGTAGGGCGCCGTAGTCTGGTGCGAATAGAAGGGGAAGCTGTGGCCCATTGTCGAGTCCATGGGACGCCGGTGGGCAAAGGCGCCCACGACATGGCCCGGAAACTCGAAAGACACGGGCTCGGAGGGCTCCATCGTCTTGACAAGAACAGCCCTGCGGAACTCTCCACTGGCTGAGACACACCTGGCACCACGCTCACGCCTCGTCGTGCACGCAGTACCAATGGATACCCGATGGGGTGGGTGGACTTTTTTCTCCTGTACGGCGTTGCTCTTGATGTCTTCGGGATTGGGATTCTGGCTGGTGTGAAGAATCACTTGCTTTTCCGGGTTTAACAGGAGGAAGAAGCAAGAATATAGAAGAAATAGACAACCTGGCCGGCCGGAGCACAATCGGTCCACCTCGAGGTCTCCGAACCGGAGGGATCTATATAAATATACGATGACGGGACCACAATCCACCAAAAAGAAAAACCAAACAGGAGTATGCAGGCAAGAACAAATATGAGGCGCCAAAGAAGGATGATTGACGGCTAATGGTGATCATCCGCAGTGCATCTTGAATTCGAGATATATGATTATTTGCTTCAGTGCCAGATGCCGTGGAAGCAGCGGGGCCAGCAGGGATGCAGCCTTTTTGGCGCAGCTGAGTCGAAGCAGAAAAAAGGAAAAAGAAAGCACGCCTGCGTCCCCTGGCCGAGGCGATTCGAGGCCTGGGGGAGGGGGGTGGGTTGGTGAATAATCGGGCGCCTGGCCGGGACCCCAGAGCCATCACAGTGGATCAGGGATCATGGGAGTGACGAGCTCCACCACAGGATTTCCCACGAACTGGGGTTCCTCCCAAGACTAGGGAACATACAGATCGCCCGCAGCCGTCTCAGATCGTGGCTGGCTGCCCCGTGGAGCAGCGAGACCGACTCATCGCGAGATCTTGGTCCTGTGCAACATTTCTCCGTTGCACGAGAGGCGTGCAATCGTGTTCTGCTGCCAGGGAAACTATTCCTGTTCGGTTTCGAGAAGGGGGGCGAGCGCAGTTGTACCAAACAATAATAAATCCTGACAGCCGCGACTGGCGACAGCTGAACCCGCTCTGATGTTTCAGTGCCAGCCCTAAGCCAGAAATGTAGTAGTTAGTCGGTCTGCCTCAGCACGCAACACAAGAATAATAATACATATTTACCATCACAGGAGACTGATCCTGCCGGACTGACATCTGTCATGCCCGACCACAAACCCCCAAAAAAGTAAAAGCAGACGGGCCGGGCCTTTGGGCTTCTGTGATCAGTCCAGTCCAGTCCAGTCCAGGGGCCATGATTGCCAAGTGGACCGAGTGGAGGGATCGACCTGCAGGCGATCTATCCATTCAATAATTAATTCGTTAGCCGCTGTACTCGCCCTAGTGAAGTAAGTAAGCCCTAATTCATCAGGGGTCAATCAATCTACGGGGGGAGAGCGGGAAAGGCTAGGTATGGACATCAATCAACATTGGTCAAGGTCAAAGAACAACAACAGCAGCAGTAGAACAAATTTGAAACCCCAAGCCAAACCAAAACCGGCTGCGACACACGAAAAACAGAAAAGAAACACACACATGCGCCGAGGCATCCCAGTATCAACCCGTTTACCGTCCAGTGTACGAAGAATATCTGGTGGAGAATCATGTCAGCCACTGCGTCAGGAATGTGGTCGATGGCAACAGAGGAAACAAAAGGGAAACTTACCTCCAGATCCGGGCGCGCATGTCGCCACTGCCAGTTGCGAACAGGTTGTTCGTGGGGCTGGGCGCAACCGAAATAACTGTCAAGATTAGCACCATTTCGGGTCGGGGTGGCTGCGGAAGACTCACCGGAGTTCTTGTGGCCCTGCAGCATCATCTGGGCGTTCCCGGTCATCGGATCCCAGAACTGGACCCCCCGGTCCTTTGAGCCACTCATGACCCACTGGCCGTCCGGCGTCAGACACACACTGAGCACAAAGTCCTATTCGGTATCGTCAGCGCGAGTAGAGAAATAAAGAGGGAGCAGGCAGGAAAGGAAACAAACCTTGTGGCCCTCGAAGGTCCGCAAACACTTGCCGCCCTTGGAGCCGCCGTGATGGACGTTGCGCGGGACATTGAGCTCCCAGAGCTTGATTGTCTTGTCCAGACTGCCACTGACCAGGTCGCGGCCATTGGGGGCGAACGCGACCGAGTACACGCTGTCCTTGTGGCCATCCGGGTTCTCCAGACGCTCCACCAAGTAGCCAGTCGTGGTGTCCCACACGCGCACGCTCTTGTCCAACGAACCGGCCGCCACGTAGTGACCGTCGGGAGACATCGCCACCGTGGTGACGCCATCCTCAATGCTAAGGGTGTAGACGAGCTTGCCGTCGAGAATGTCCCACAGGCGCACCGTCTTGTCCCCACTACCAGAGGCGATGTAGCGGCCGTTGCCGGCGAAGTCAAGGGAGTAGATATCTTGCTCGTGGCCAGTGAAGATGTGCTTGATGGTGCGCGCAGCGATATCCCAAACCTAGATTTGTAGACGTCATTAGCAATCTGTATACAACTTGGTTTCTTGCCTCGAGGGTGCCTTACCCGGATCTGCTTGTCCTCGGCGCCGGTCGCGAGGTACTTCCCGTCCGGACTGAAGCACACACTGCGAATGTAAAGGTCGCCATCCTTGTCGACGTTCTCATCCTGGAGCGTGGCCACATTCTGGCCAGTGCTCACGTCGAAGATCTGCGCCGAGCGATTGCAGCCCGTCGCCAGATACTTGCCATCGCGACTGAAGCGAACGCAGCACACGACACTGTCGTGGACCAGGTGATGCACCAATTCCACATCGAGCACGCGCGGCACTTCGGGGTTGAACACGGCAAACCAATCGGCACCCTCACGCTTCTGAGTCGGGGGCAAATCATCGAGGTTCCAGTTCGCCAGCATGTTACCGGGCCGCTCGCGCACTAGAGATTGGCCTGGAGGCGTCGGGCGGGCAATCTGCGGCGAGGCACGGGGGTCGGGATAAGCGAGTTGGTGCGTCTGCTGGGGGGTTGCCGGTCCCGGGGGTGCGCGACCGCGACCCTTACCCGGGCCGGGAGATGCAGTGGGCGGGGGCGGAGGTCCATAGCCTACAGAAAGTTCACACACATGTTAGCAACTCGAAGATGATCCCAAAAACACCACAACATACCATTCACAGCAGGGCCAGGTTGATATCCCCCAAAAGAGCTCTGCGAATGCTGCGGCGCACCGGGCTGGGCAGCTGGAGCAGGCTGTTGAAGGGTATGCTGGGGAGGCCGCTGCTGATCCTGGGAATTGGGAGGGGCAAGACCGGGACCACTACCTCCTTGGTTGGCCATGATGCCACCAAACAAGTTGCTGGGACCATGGCCCAGAGCAGGCGGGGGAGCCTGAGCAGGACCCGTGTGCTGCGCGGAAGCGCCCATGTGCGAAGGGATGGGTTGGACACCGCGCGACTCGAGTTCATGTCGCAACAGTCGGATTTCGCTCTCGTAGCTAGTGGCAGGAGGGTGACCCGTTAGTGATGAAAATAGGGAAGGAAAAGGGACCCTCACTCCTGTTTCATCTTGATCTGCGCCTGCTCCAACTGGTAGACCTTCTGACGGATCATCTCCATTTCCTGGAGCTGTCCAGTCACTGCGTGATCTGTCAGTTAGATAAACAATTCAGCGAAGGTCGTGACCCGTGAGCAGTAGCCATCAACAGATAGACTGGTGCTCGATTTCAAAATGGTATGGAAGTTCCACAAAGCGACTGCGCAAGGTGGAAGAGAGCGGGTATGAATGAAAGAAGGATACTCACACTGATGCTCAAACTCACCAGTGTTCCGGGACTGGCTCTCAAACTCCTGGCGCAGTTGGTCCAGCAACTCCGTCAGGCGGGAGTTGGGGGCGGGCACCATCCCGCGATGAGTGTTGTACATGGTGCAATGGAGGGGCGATGGTCGCCTGTTAGTAGAGAAGGGAGTGAAAGGACGATCTGAAGTGTAGTCGAGATCAGCGACGGCTCACCACCGACGTGGGTCGCGAAGAAAAGGGCTGAGGGACAAAGGAGGAAGACCCGCGATCACTCAGACGCCAATGTTGCCTGATGGATTGCACCATGCAACTAGCGACAGCGACAATAGGAAGAGATGGAGCGCGATGGGAGAGGATGGAGATGTGGATGGGTGGGTGGGAGGGAAGAGGAGGGGGGAAGAGGCTGGAAGTGACAGTGCCAAAGTAGTCTGGGAAGTTTGGATCGTTGGGGGCAGAATTGGCGGCTGAGTTGGCGCGACTAGCGAGCCTAGGCGAGCCGGCGCATGGGGGGGGATCCTTAACTTACCGAACCAGAGTGGACACTGATAAAGGGGGGGCGAAGTGACGAGCCGGGGAGCGAGATGGGGGCCTGTATCACCGTTTGCAGCGGAGACTAGAGACCCCAATGGATAAAGGCAGAGGAGTGTGTGGAGAGAGAGAGAAGAAGAGAAAGCAAGGATGGGAGGATCTGGTCGTATACGGTATGTAGTAGTTAGAAGAGAGAGAGAAAAAGAGCAGAGAAATTCGATCAGCGTCTGGTATTACGTATCCGGCGGCTGAAGGATACCCGGTCGGTACTTGTGGCTGCACGCAGAATGGGCGGGCAGGAAGGTACCACGCAAGTCTCGAACCATCATTCATTAACTCTTGCCGGCCCATACCGTGCGGACAGACCAGCCACAATTGGTGCCTGGGGAAGGAGGCATTCAGGCAACAAGGCAGCACAGGCAAATTCAAAAACGTCGAAACCAACAAACAGAGATGGGGATAGGCCATTACTACTGCATCGTCCATTTATGCTCCATAATCAGAATCTATTATTATTCCACCCCTGGCCAGACTTCATTCCGGAGGATCCATCGGATAGCCCATGGCTGCTTACCTCATCCCCCCGGCATGGCTCGTTCCGCGCTGGTGTGACCGCGGGAACAATTTATTATTCGCCGCCTGTCTCCTTTCTTCTCCCTCCCACCTACAATTTCTTCTTCCACCCTCCCCCCGTCCAGCCAACATGGATATTGTCCTTGAACTCTGGGACACCTTCATTGGTGATCGTCTCTATTCAACTCTGGTGCCGACCTCGCTCTCCTCGTCCATCTCGCTTCCTGCTTTTGCCAATGCCGCCAACAGCTCGCTCGCCCTGTTTGGCGCCTCCGAGCCCTTTGTCTATGAGCCGGCCACACAACTCCTCCACCTCGAGCCGTCGAAATATGCCTATCTCAGCGCATGGCCGCGGAATAATGCCTACCGCCAGTTCACCAGTTTCTTTCTAATCACCTGGTATGTAGTGGCGCGCATCTCTTCAACTGTTTTGTGTCTTGGGTACTGACCGGTTTGTAACACTAGGATATTCGGGTTGGTGGTATACTTCGTGGTTGCGACGCTCTCGTACCTCTTCGTGTGGGACAAGGAGACTCCCAAGCACCCCAAGTTCCTCAGGAACCAGATTTCCATGGAGATCAAGCAGGCCATGTCGGCCATGCCGCCGATGGCGCTGCTGACCGCGCCCTTCTTTCTCTTGGAAGTCCGCGGGTACGCCAAGCTCTATGACACCGTCGCAGACGAGCCGTTCCCCTTCTACAGCATCCTGCAATTTCCATTCTTCATCTGCTTCACCGATTTCTTCATCTACTGGATCCACCGGGGTCTGCACCACCCACGCGTCTACAAGACCCTGCACAAGCCTCACCACAAGTGGATCATGCCCAGCCCATTTGCGTCTCATGCCTTCCACCCCTTGGACGGTTGGTCCCAGAGCATCCCCTACCACGTGTTCCCGTTTCTCTTCCCGCTGCAGAAGCTGGCCTACGTCTTCCTGTTCGCCTTTATCAATCTTTGGACCGTCTTCATTCATGACGGGGAGTATGTGTCCAACAGCCCGGTTGTGAACGGCGCCGCCTGCCACACGATGCATCACTTGTACTTCAACTACAACTATGGCCAATTCACCACGCTCTGGGATCGCATGGGTGGCAGCTACCGCAAGCCCAATGAAGAGCTCTTCCGACGCGAGACCAAGATGGGCCAGCAGGAATGGCAACGGCAGGCCAAGGAGATGGAAACCATCCTCAAGGACGTGGAGGGCGATGATGACCGCAGTTACATGACTTCGGCCGAGGCGAAGAAAAAGCTGTGATGTCCTCTAGCTCTTGGGGAAGAACGTTCACGATACACTCATTCGCCTTTCCTGGACAGGGTGTATGTACACCCGGAGTGAGTGCTTTATGAGTTTTATGTTGCCACTCCCTTGTCTTCCCTTTTTTTTTGGCCTCCCTGGCCCCGGACATTTCGTCCCGATTCGAGTACATTAATTCGCCCTGTGCACATATTATATTGTAATATTCCCCCAAAAATGACACTGAGCACGATGTGGCCCGCCGGCGGTCTACCTGTCTTTGTACATAACGTTGGTGTTGGACCAGAATGAAGTGGAATTGATCTACATCTATTCGTGTACTGACCCGCAATCTCCCTGGCCGCGAGCTTTTCACAGCTTCTCATCGGTCTTCCGGCCCTGTTGCGGCAGAAACCAGTCCATGTACTTGCGCCGTATCCCAGGTGTGACGCCGGTGACTGGATGTGCCGGTTCTTTGCCTCCCTGGAGGAACTGTGCTACTGCGTCCTTTGCATGCCCTTCGGCGTCGTACCCATAGACGTCCAGCACCGAGTGGGGATCTCCATAGAGGTTACTGCTGCGTACGAAGTATTTTCCTTCTATTTCCGGCTCCATCGCCTTATCGCGCGCCTCTTGCAGCGGTCCGTCTGGCAACATCCAGATAGCTCCATTGAGGAAAGACAGCTGCTGTTTGGCATATGCTTTGGGCATGCGCTCCGTTTCATAGATGTGGATGGCCTCGCGCAGGCTGAGCTTTCCCTGAACTACTCCCTCGACGCACTTGGCCAAGAACGCCCCGTCCTCCATCGAGGTGGCTGCTCCCTGCGCCATATGGTTGACCATGGAATGTGCCGCGTCGCCCATCAGCACCACGTTCTTCTGGGGCGAGGACCACGAGTCCAACGGCCCGGTGACCATCAACGGCCAGCGTCCCTAATCCAGCTCCATCAGCGAGTGCTCCATTCTGAAAGAAGGGCGCTTACCGTCTCGGGGATCATATCGACGATACGCTTGATTCGCGGATCATAATCCGCATACGCTGCTCGCATTTCCTCAAGGGGCACATCTAGTTGTGTCGTGCGCAATTTCTCAGGGCGATGATGAGAAAGCACCAGGTTGAACCCGTTGCCCGCAGAGATCGGATAGGTGATGATATATGAGTTTTCTGCCATCCAGACCTCCATGGTCAGCTTCTGGATGAGCTCGCTGGCAACGGGATCCTGGCGAATGCGCTCATATGGGACCACTGCGCGGTAGGCACAGTTGGTCGTTGGTGGCTCTGGGCTCACATTGGGGAAGAGAACTTTGCGCACGATGCTGTTGATGCCGTCGGCGCCGATACAGAGGTCGACCGTGTACTTGGTGCCCTGGTGCGTCGTTACCACCACTTGATTCGCTTGATGGTCAATCTGCTCGACGCGCGAGTTGATTTGAATAACAGCACCCAGCTGCTGGGCCACCTTCGCCAGGCCCTCATGGAGATGTGCACGATGGACCAGCCACCACGGTCGTCCCAAGTCCCTCTCCACCGCGGAGATCTTGGTGTATCCGACAGGGGTACCGTTTTTGCGTCGCATGTTCAGCTCCTCGAATTGCACGAGGTTCTCCCCGATCACCTTGTCGACACCCCATCGTTGCAGCAGCACCGAGGCATTGGGTGTCATCTGGATCCCGGCGCCAATCTAGGTATCGGAGTCAGCAAACAGTGTATTTCGAAGGGCAGGCCATACATGCCTCGCCTAGTTCTTCGGCTGCCTCCAATACCGTTACGTCGGCCCCGGCGCGACGCATGGCAATGGCCGCTGCCAGGCCCCCAATACCAGCACCCACGATACAAACATGCACTCGGCGGGAAGACTATAAACCAATGGTCAGTACCGGCATGCGCTCGGCCGGTGGTACTTACCATGACTCGTCAGTCCAACTCGATCGTATTATTTTGCAGACGACAAGTGTGCATGGCAGGTTGTTTATAGAATTGCCACACGTACTCATGTCTTGTGTTCGAGGGGATTATCGGGGACTTCGGGAACTGCCACACCACTCTGACCGGGGAAATCGGGCCACAGGGGAATGAATTGTGGGGAGGAAAAAGCTTAACCACACCACTCTGGGGTTGACAAAGTATGGATCTGGGACTTGAAGAGGATGATCGTTACTACGGGGAGTGGGGTGTCTTCTTCTCTGTGGATTTACGCGAATGGCTTGCTCTGGGGTCGAGAAACCAAGTAAACACGAGTCTACAGATGCCATTGCAAATATGTACAGTAGTGCAATAGGACTTGGGGGGGCATGGATCGTAAGACGAACCCTAATTGACTACCCCATCTCCCTCCGCCTTCCATGATATTGCTGTCCGATCCAATTGCGCTCCTGAATCGATTAGAATAGCACCCTGCAAGCAATCTCCACCGCCTGACGGCAGGCTCGCTTGTCTCATAGGGCGCCCGAAGGACTAGCGGGGGAATCGACGATCTCCACAAAATCGAAAGCCCAAACCTCCGACTTCCCCGGGTCTGCGCAGCTCCTGTATCTCCCCGTCACCCTGTTCGCCATGACTGGGTCTTCTGAACCACCGCAAAAGCGCCGGCGCTCACCGTTAGCCTGTAATTCGTGCCGCCATCGGAAATCTCGAGTGCGTATCCTCGAATCCCGGCAGGAGACAGGGCTCGGGCTGACCGCGTGCAGTGTAACGGAGGCCGCCCCTGTGCCCAGTGCAAGGAGCTGGGCTGCGAGTGCAAATATCAAGATGTGGGAGTCTCGTCTAATCTGACTGTTGAGAAAAGGTATCTCTCTCCTGTCCCATGTATCTGGATCCGGTGTCGGTGATTCTTATTCGGGGCTATAGCTACTTTGCTCGCTTGGAGAATCGCCTTCAGGAAATCGAATCCTCTATTCGAAGGCTGGAGAAGAACCAAACCTCTGGCAATCAAAATGGATCGGAAATCCCCACCGAATCGGTGCGGTCCGGAACCATCACTCTTGATCAGGATATAGAGCCGCCTGCGGTCAAGCCTAATTTTCCTTCCAACCCCCAAGATCGAACCGAGTTTGGTGAGGTCGACATGTCGGAGAACGCTATTGATGGAATGGGTGCTATGAACTTCACTGACGAGGAGGATTGCGGGTTCTTTGGTATCTCTCGTTAAGCAGATATGCAAAGTCACCGCCACTGACTGGTTATTCCTAGGCCCATCGTCAAACATTGCCTTCATGCGTCATATCTCTCGTGCTATTGCCCGAGTCAATGTACACAGCTCACATGTGTTGTCCAAATCGCCCCTCATTCAGACCGGGGGAGGAATGCTCAACATCTCATGGTCTCGGCCCGACAACGACGGCAAAGGTCAAATGCAGACGCCGAAGAACGAAGTCAACATTTTTGCGTTGCCATCAGAGGAGCGCACGTGGAGCTTAATCCAAAAGTATTTCGAGAAGACGGGCCAGCTACTCCCGTTCATTCACGAAGCGTCGTTTTGCGAGACCTACTTCCAGATGAGACAGGATAATTTCAAGAGAGTCCGCCGGACATGGCTGGGCCTTCTAAATATTGTCCTGGCGATCGCAACGAGTCTTTACACTGAGGGGGATATGCCCACCGAAAAACGTATCCAGGAATCTGACATTTATTTCCAAAGAGCCAACGGTCTATGTGACCGCGACTCTAAACGGAATGCAAGTCTGGAGATGGGTAAGAAACGTTCAAGACTGCATACCGCGCAGCTGACTCGGTTCTAGTTCAATATCTGTTGATCCTCGGGCAATATCTTCAAGGAACTCAGAAGTCAGTCCAGGCATGGACAACTCATGGACTTGCTATCTCGGCTGCTTTTCAGCTTGGTCTACACTCCCCAGAAGCCAACCGGCGCTTCTCGCCGCTGGAAAGTGAAATCCGCAAGCGGACTTGGTATGGGTGTATTCTTCTGGACAGGTGAGAAGTTCAATGCTCACTAGCCGACCACCTTCTAACTCTCCTAGAACCCTGAGCATGACGTTTGGCCGGCCTTGCACGATCCCCGAGACCTATGTGAAGCTTGATATGCCTTTGAAAGACATGCAGGTGCTCAGCCCTACCCTCAAGTCCGACTCGTACCAGCAGCTTGATGGCTGGTTCTTTACGGCAGCGATGTGAGCCACAAAGATCCGCTCATACTCACTCCCCTGAGAGGCTGACTCAACCATAGTAAGCTATATGTAGTCATGTTCAACGTCCTCGACACATGTTACTGCCAAAACCTCGGATTCGAGCATCCCCTCACGACGGCAGATGCCATACCCCAGATCCTAGAAGGCGAGAGGCAGCTAGAAGAATGGCGATTCCAAACCGTGCCTGCCCTCGGCATTCGAGTATGGCACCAACCCATTTTAGCGGATGACCTAGCACAGATGGATCTAGAGTCGACCATCCGACATCGATTCGGCATCGTGCTTTCAGTGCGCTACCATAACCTGCGCATTCTCCTATACCGCAAGTTCCTAGAGGGGCTCCTAGACGCGTACAGCGTAAACGAGCCTCTTGCTCCAGAGAATAAGCTCGTTCAGCAGATGAGTCTTACTGGCGTGCAGAACTGTATTGAATCCGCGACGTCCATCATCCAAACCGTACATACAATCACGACGTCGAAAGGCTGGCGCCGTGGACTCCTCGGTGCTTGGAACTTTTCTCTCTACTACAGTAGGAAATTATAACAGACTTAATCCAAGGGCTTACTGACCAAGGCTTAGCGTTCAACGCCGGTCTTACCATCTTCGGTGCCCTGCTCGTCTCATCTAAGGAGAGCCGTCATGATCCCTCGCAGTGGTGTGCGGTCGAGCAGTCTCGCCCGTATCTCGACATGGCTGCGGAAGCGCTCCGGCGTTTGGACTCGGGGAATCGAGTCATCGAGCGCTGTGTTGAGTATCTGGCCCAACTATCAATGATCCTCAACGCCACTAGTAAGTGTCTCTCCCAGAATACAAAAATCTGGCTCTTTCTTCCTGTTCTATCTATTAATATCTTCAGATGGCACTGGTACCGGCGCTGGGACAGGCATCAGCGAGTCTAGCATTCACAACACTGGCGTGCCGCCGCAGGCGCCAATGTATGCCCCGGATCTGGTCTTGCAGCAGCATGGCACAGGGCACCAGCCCACGATGTGGTCGAACAATATGGATTTGGGTGAGTTTATGATGGATAATGATTTGGATTTTTTGGGCCGGTTGTTTAATTTCAATCAGGAGGGAGCGGGAATATGAGATGGGGTTGTTTTGTTTTGGTTTGGTGTGCTAGTGGGGAATATATATCTCAGGTTCCTGTAGGGAGACCCAAGGTACTCTTAGTCTACTGCATATATTGTGTAATTTGCAATTAGGTTGCCAGTTTCAGTGAGATTTTTTTTGTCTCAAGTACGTTGTTTTCTTGCCCGACGCGCATATATTCGGGACCTACATAGTATACAAGGCCGAGGGTTAGGATCAAAAGCAAACAAAAGTCTACCCCCTCTCCATCCACAACATGAATTCTTTGAAATGACAAGATACAGAAGCCAAGAAGGGGGTGATTCAACGGTAAAACGAAGCAGACGATTGGTCACATCTCCCGCCTGCGAAACAAGACTTAAGCATCAGCAACGTCGAGATCGCCATCGGCACCTGCATCAGCCGGGGCATCCGGCATGTCAGACTCCGCAGAAGGCGGGGCGACAGTACCAACGGGGGTAGCGTTAGCCAGGGCATCGGTAATGAACGAATCCTCGACAGCAGCTTTGCGGCGGAAGACACGGAGCCAGCGGCGGCCCCATTGGCGAATTATGGCGTCCTCAGGCAGATCGCCGCTGCCGTCGCCGCGCTCCATTTGCTTGTCGTTACTGCCGGCCGCAACAGAGACAATGGAGTCCTCAATGAATTTGAAGAGAGCCTGCATGTCGGAACGCTCGCGGGAGAGGGTCTCATCCAGAACACTGAGCTGGGGCTCGTACAGGTTAGGCTGGGTGCGAGCAGCTACAATCTGGCGCATGCGATTGGTGACCTTTCCGACAGTGGCGGTAATTATTTCAAAGACGTGGGTCTTTGCGAGGATAGTGCCGGCTTCCATGGACTCCGAGAGAGCCCATTCCAAGACAGAAAGAGGGCTGAGGATGGTGTAGTTGAGCAACTTGTCGATGATATTGATGGCAATGCCAGGCTGGTCTGTCCAGTACTCCATGACAGAGGCAATGATCTGGCAGCGTGCACGCGGCGACTCCTGGCCGATGGCTAAGAGGCGTTCCTTGTTTCGTTCAATGCACGACAGGACGTGCGACAGCGACTTGGATCCGACGAAGCAGATCGATGTCACCAAAGCATCTGTTGAAGGAACTTTGGGGTCTTCCACCCCCAAATCCTTGGCCTGCTCTTCGATGGATGCAATGACAGGCTGGATTTCCTCATCACTGGCTTTCTTGCGGATGAGCTGCATGATATCTTGCCCCTCCTTCGAATAGGGCGTCACTGCCATTCAAGTTAGCAGTCGTCAACCATTTTAGTAAGAACCTTGTTACTTACTCTCAGCCAGATACTTGAATTCAGGAGTATCTTTCTCCTTGCCCTCTGAAATCAAGGGCTGATACGCCTCCGGCAGAGTACCCTTGATTCGTTGCGCGAAGCTAAGACGAATTTCTTTGTCCAGAGCACCGTGGATAAAAGCCATCTTCGGGTGAATAATTGGCAGATCAAGATCGTCGACCCTGTGAGAAAAAGTCAGTGCCTCGCAATTTTTTTTTTAAAACAAAAACCACAAAAATTACTTACCACTCGCTCCATTTCCACGTGAAGCCGAAGTTGCTGAGATGATGGGCGAACCAATCCAAGAAACGATAGGTGAGGTCCAAGTCCATCGTCTCCACGTTGTTATACAGAAATCGGATTGCACGACCCAAGCTGGGCGCAATTGCCGCCGGAGCAATTTTGCAGCATTCGGTGAGCAAGGAGTGATAGTAGACGAGCTTGTGCTCCGGAGTAGGCAGCTGGAACAATTGAGAGAAGACTGCATCCACAGCCACGTCCTCGGGTTTCCATGCCCGGTCTTCCGGCGCCAGTTCACGCATCCGATCGAAAGGCGTCGCACGCTTCACAAAGATATGGGGCGGAAAGTAGCAATCCACATCGATAAGGAACTTAGCCGTAGCAACCCGATTGAAGTTGAGCAGATTGATGGTATCGACCAGCGCATCTCTCAAGAGTGACGAAGCGATGTCCGAGGAAGAAGGGACAGTATCCACATCTTGGTCCGCGTAGACGGAGAGATAGACCTCCGGGAAAAGGGTCCGTGTGCCGTTCTTCACCGGGTTAGGAATCGTAATCTGGGGGAAGGCAATCTTTGACACTTTCTCAAGCAGCCTGGGTTCACCAGTCTCATCATCACGCAGATGCCTCCAGGGCCGGGGAAGACAGGTGAGCTCCCAATCCCGACTGGCCTCACCTTGAAGCTGAGTCTGGAGCAAACTGATGACACTTTGACCAGCGGCTGGCTTGTCCTCATCCGGGCTGAAGGTATTCACTAGGTCCACGAGGGGGTGAGGAGTGGAAGCAATGATATCCGTCTTCTCCAGAAGCGCAGAAGCCTGGGAGTCAAAGCCCGTAGCGGGAGACAACATCACAAAAGGGATCGTGAAGAGGATGACCTTCACAAGCTCCAACCCAAGAAGCTGTATCCGTTTGAGTCAGATTGTTGCAAGCAGCTAAACATAAGACAGAGACACTTACATCTTCCGAAGACGCCGTCTGGAGATCCACCGCACGAGAGAACAGCTCCTCTAGCAGCGGGAAGATACCCTCTCCTTCAAACGCAGGCTGCAAGACACCCAGGAAACGAAGGAGAAGCTTGACCTCACGCCACGCTCCTAAACCAACGTACTTCTGCAGGACATCACCAGCCTTGTTGATCACCTCCGTTCCAAGCTCAGGTTTCAGGTCATGTGCACACAAGACCGTCGTGGCGACGAAAGGAATCTTCATCGGTTGCTCAAGGACACTGTCACAATGTCAGTAGATTTCCAACCCAGACATTTCAAAGCAGGACATACAGGTCAATGGAGATGTTGATGAAGGTTTCGCGCAGCTCCTCGTCGTCATAGTTGTCCGCCACCGTCTTCGCGATCCCCTGTACATCGTCCTCCACTCGTCGCGCAGCCTAAACGCAAGATCCAATGTCAGTAGTTGAAAGATAAAAAACATCAAAGCAACATTGCGCGCGGACAGAAAAGTGATCATACCGATTCAGCAAGGGTGAGTAGCTGTCGCCGGACCTGAACCACGAGCGGCTCCTCATATCTGCGTCGCTGAGGACGGTGATCGTCGTCATCGTCATCTGTCGAGCAGTTGAATTGTCAGCACAGGACGCATTCTCCATCCAGGTCGCGCAATTCCCTCCGACGTCAGCCCAACACGCACCTCTGTAGCGCCTTTTGCGGCCACCACCTCTTGGGCGGTCATAGGGTCGACGGTCGTAGTCAGCCATTGTGTGGGACAAATTGAAGGGAGATCCAGATGTTCCCAAGGCAGAGTGTCCCACGCGGAGGAAGCAGTCAGGAATGCGAAAGACAAGCCTGGGAGCTTCGGGGTTTGGGAAACTCAATGGGCGCTCGGAGGCTGGGTTTTTCCGGTCCGACCAGTTGCACACCATGTACTGCATTACCGATAACTACACTACTGGGAATGAGAGCGAACTGAGAGAACCGTCTGCTTGCGATGGAACAAGGACACATAGCTCATCGGGAATCGACCAGAGTGGTCCTGGCCGCCGTGAAAGGGCGCTGGACAAATGATATCGGGGAAATAAGATAAGGGAAAAAAAAAGGAACAAAAAAAAGATAGCAAGGACGCGAATCAAAAGGGAAGAACAAACGGGATTTCTAGCGCTGCAAGTTGAGGGAATTCAACACCTATACTCCACGGGCCAGGCGCCGCCGTGCAATCCGTGTATCCCAAAAGAGATCCTCAAGATCTCTGATGCAGTCGGTGATGAAGACCATCCTTGCCGCACCCAGGTTTCTTTCCCCATGACTGAGAGAGATGAAGCTATGCAGTCTTGCAATCCCCCGCAGACAGACTCGCACAGATAAGGGTATCACTTTTTCCTCCCAAAGAGCTGTCTCGGACACCTCCAGAACTCCAGGCCATGACCTCCCACCATTGCGTGAAATTCGTCATAAACCTTGCAATGAAAGGCTGAAAGGTTTCACTCGCTTCGCTCATACTCCGCCTCCTTCCGTGTCAACTCCTCCCCATGCTGCTGGATCAGGGTATGAAAGTTCAGCAAAATTCGTGTTTCACCGACCCAGAGCAGTCGGTCCCCTGTCACATCAGACAGAAAATCAACAGATAGACATTTCACTCGGGGTACGCATGTCAACTTCAATCGAGGCGTGCCATCATCTCCTCCTTTGTCAGAGGCTTGAAGTTGTCGATATCGAGCCCTTGGGCCTCGAGAGCCGGCCGTACGTGAGCGGGAACCAGTTGGTGGTTCAGCGAGGGCGCGATCGACAGTTCTGCAATAGCAGTGTTAGCAGATATGCAAATACCAAGGAAAAGAGAATGGAGTGGCGTACCATGTCGCGAGAAATCGAAGAGAGTGGGCATCTCCTTGGGTGGGTTGTTGTGGTGACGTGAATCCGGTAGCCGAGTGCTGGGGTCCCGAAGCTCATCGAAGAAGGGGTGGCACATGGCTTCAATGGCCGATAGGCGTTGCGTGGGCGTATATTCCAGGAGGGCGGAGATGAGATCGATGGCCTCTGGGGGGGCCTTGCGGAACACCTTGTTGAAGGGATGCGGCTTGATCTGCGGGAACTTGTGCTCCATGTAGTTGGGGTTCATGGTCCGGATTTGCTCGCGCGTCGGGGTTCCGAGAACCTTGATGATTTCCACCAGCTGGTCAATGCCCGATTCACCAGGGAAGAGGGGTTGTCCGAGCATCAGCTCGGCCATCACACAACCGGTCGACCAGACATCTAGTAATTGGTTAGCATGCGACCGACTCAAAAGGCAGACTGTCGTACCGATCTTGGTTGTGTAGTTGGTCGCACCAAAGATCAACTCGGGCGCGCGGTAGTAGCGGGAACAGATGTAGGAGACGTTGGGCTCATTTTCGATCAGGATCTTGGCAGACCCGAAGTCGCAGAGTTTCAGGACACCCGTGTTGGGGTCCAGGAGCAGATTCTGCGGCTTGATGTCCCGATGGCATATCCCTTGCGAGTGAATGTACGCCAGCGACCGGAACAACTGGTAGATGTACAGCTTGACCTCCAGCATCGGCATTGTTGTCTTGAGCTTGTTGAAGTACCGCGATGCGCGATACACCGTTTCCGGGACGTACTCCAGGACGAGGTTCAGGTACACTTCATCTTTCTGTGAGGGGGTTGTCAGTCAGTTCAGAAGGGGCCTGGTCAGGCGGCGGGGATCATACCCTGTCACCGTTGGAGTAGTAAAAGGCCTTGAGCTCGACGATGTTGGGGTGGCGCACGATCCGCATAATCTGTAGCTCACGATTCTATCACGGCGAGTCAGTGACAACCCCGGCTGAGTCCGTGCGTGTGTCGGATGCCTACCTTGAACCGCTTATCCTGCAGGACCCGTTTGATGGCTGCGTCCTCCCCGCTGGGGGACATCTTCGTTTGGAACACCACTCCAAACGAACCATTGCCCACAATCTTGCATTGTGTGTACGAGATTTCCTTGGACTCCCCCGTCAGTCCATCTTGGACTTTCTCACGGATGACCTCTGTGCGACAGGGAAGCATGTTAGTGAGGGTCCACAGGCGAAGGGAATCAATTGGATTGTGATCTTACCACCCATGCGCAAACTCGGAAACAACCCAGGCCGACTCTGTGACATCACGGAGGTTGGTCGAGATGACGGCAAGGCGGCGAGGGAGGGAGGGGGGCAGTATCGAGAGGATAAGTACTATCGGGAAGAAGGAGGACTACACTTCAAGAGTGGATGGCGGCAAAGGAAAAGGAAAGACGTTGGGGCGTCCGTTTTGGGCAGAGTGACGGTGGAGTAGCAGATAGAGCAGAGAAGTGGAGGGGGGAAGAGTGGGAGGTGTGGAAGGAGGGGGGGGGGGTGTTAAGGTCGGGTCAGGAAGGGTAAGGGAAGGAAAATAACACCAGTAGGTGCAAGTGCCAAGAAGGGTTAGAGGGAAACCGGGTGGAAGACAGAGGAGACAGAGAGAGAGAGAGAGGGAGGGAGGGAAAAGAAAGGGACGAAGTGGGAAGGGAAAGAGAGAGAGAGAGGAAGAGGGAGGCAGGAAACAGACGGGGCAAAATCACGAGGTTCGGCCAATGAGTGCCAGTTAAGTGGGTTTGGCGTGGGTATTTTGGGGCAGGCCAGCGGGGGGTGGGTTAATGAGGATCAGGTCACTCACGACTCACTCTCCTGTAGGGACAAAACCCAAATCCCAAACGAATAGAAGAACGCGACCGAGGGGAATTGTGCTAGTAAATGATCGCTGAGGGAGTATAGGCCCGAGTGGACCTCGAGTGTACCGTACCGTATCACCGGTGCCTTTGCGATGATATCATCGGCGGTAATTAATACACGAGTTACTGAACTGACTGCATTCCAGCGCGCACTGCACGGCGCTGCAGCTGCCGTTGACCGCTGGACTCAACAGTTCTGGTACTGACTGGCCACTCCTACACGGCTCCCTCGACGACCTCCGATTCCCATACTAACTGTCACGCCCGAGAATAACATCATACGGTCCGCTGTCTGGTGACCCGCGTGATTTTCACAGGAACACTCGCCATTGGCTCCTGTCGGTCGGTCACCTGGTGTGTCACGAGACAGACAGCACCTGACTCGTTGGTGGCAAAGCCACTTCCGGAGGAGCTTGGACCACTATGTTCCTGATTCTGTCCTGCGATGTATGGATTGGGGATGCACCTGGCTCGAATCGTCCACCGTTGAGTAATTATTCTCGGGTTGCTCGGCCCACGGCTGCTCCACGCTGGACTCCGACGTCCTGGACTCGGGGTTTCTCATGCTGCTGTGAACTATACTTGATACGAATCCCTTTTGACCACGACTAACTAATTGCGACCACCACCCCCCCAGGGCTGGGGGTGGTGGTCGTGGTGTTGCCTGCTTGTCTTGGCAGCTCCCAGCCTCAGCCGATCGCTGTCAGTGTCCCGACTCGCCCTGATTGGAGCAGCCCTGGCCCCGCGAAGGATACGGTTCCCAGGGTCAGCGTGATTTCAAGGGCAAGAATCGACGGCCCTTTCCGTCGTGCACATGGCCCACGCCATCTTCTTCACCGGACATCGGGTGTGACATCCGCCCGGGCATGTCATTGCAGGTCCCGGATGCTACTACCGCGTGTAGATAACCCAAAGGATTGACTATTCACGGCATTGTATGTAATCAGAATCCCTCTTGCCAGACCTGGGCATGTCCTTTTAAGCTCGAGCCCTGTTTCATTCAGGATTATTTCTCCCGCACGGCCCAATTGTCCAATTGGATGGGATCTACCTCGTTCGCGACGATCCAAATCTAGGCGCGACGGATCTGCCTCGGGGCATGTCGAAGGAATTCCAGCCGCGCGGGATGATTTGCCTGTAGCTCATGATACGTGATGGCGGCCGAAAAATCCTTTACGATCCTTTCTTTTGTCCCTTGCTTGGGACCGATGTATGGCGCGGGATCTCACCGTTCTCGAAAAAAAGAAAGATTGTCCGAAACAAGGGCCGTGTTCCGTGAATCCCTCGGGGCATCGGATTTGCCAGGAAAGAATAATGTGGGCACCCCAATAAATACATCCGACGAGAATAATAATAATTAACTAGTTAATCACTCGTCTTGGAGTAGTAATCACTAAGCCAGATTATTCGAGGTGGGAGCTCGGACCCCTTTCTCAAGCAGCCAGTCCCGAGGTCAGCAATCAAAAAACCCGGGATCTAATTTTTTTCGCTCGTTTCATGGGCCCCGGAAATAGAGAGTTAATCACGGGGACAGAGGAAGCGAGTCGGCAATGATGTCAGGGTGGATGCCACCACATACTACATAATCCGCCGATTATCTCACGATCCAGGACCTGGGTCAGTAGTTTTTGCCGACAGACTTTGACCATTGATTAAGTGGGGAGGGGGGTGAACGGTTTGCCCCAGCGCTGGGATGTGCATAACTCAGGTGCCGGAAGTGGATGGAGCTGGGACTTTTGGTGGGCCTCGCATTGGTTGCTGCGAATGGGCCAAGCGGATCCGCTCTGACTGGACTACCCCGATCACCGCTTTGATAATACGACGGGCATTATTATCCGGCGGTACATCAGGTGACTGACTGGACGCCCAGTTCTTGAGGCATGCATGGCATAACTAGTGATACTCATGGTTCAAACCTGTTTTACATTGACCCGTCTATAATGTGACAACAAACCATACCCAGCACTCTCCATAGTCCCCATCCATGCATCTCATCTCATCCCTCACAATCCCACGGCAGAAACACGAAATGGGTAACAAGAAGACACCGGACCAAAAGATGGGGGGAACAAAAGACAAACGTAGATTCTATACAGGACAAAAAGGTGTGAATCTCCATGGCGCCAAACAGTTGCCGCCTGGAACCGGGTTTCCGAGCGGGATATACCGAGGGAAGAGAGACATCGGACAGCGAAGAGAACTACTAAAACAGGGGAAGTGAAGAGGTGATTAGGATCGGGAGAGTGATGGGAGGAAAGAGAACAGCTCGGTCCGGAACCGGAATGGCTTAGAACGGCGGCGGCTGGATGTTAGCAGCATCGGCCTTCTCCTGTTGCTCCATCAACTCCTCGCCAGCGATCTCGAGCGAGACCGCGAGGCCGACCTTGGCGGTTTGCTAAGAAAAATCATCAGTGTCTGCTTCAAGTTCATGGAAACAATGTGCTTACCTTGGCCTGGTCAATCTCACCAGCAAAGGTAAGAGAGATGGGCATGGCGATCCGCTTCTCCAGGAGACAGCTAACCTTGCCGGCACTATCGACCTGAGCGCGGAATGAGGAGGCCCGGAAGTCATACTTGGCACCAATGGCGGTGGTCCCGTCACGGCTGGGACCGCCCATCATGAGGGCAGCCGCATTGGGAGCGAACTGGAGGTTCATATCGACACCAGCCTCGACCCGCTCAGAGAGCTTGCGCCAGTACGTGGCGGCGAAGGTGCCCTGGGCCTGCAGTTGGGCGGTAGCAATCCAATCCTCACCCTTGTACTTGCCGCAGTAGGAAAGAGCAGTCTCTGGACGAGCGTTGAGACCCTGGCGCTGCCAGATTGCCTCGAAACCAAGAGCCAGGCTGGGGGTGACGGACTGCAGGTAGCTGCCCACGAAGATGCCGGTCAGACCACCTTCCAGGAAGGACGGGTTGAATGCCTTGAGAGATGCGGAGAAATCGGAACCGGTATAGTCGTTGTCAATCTGGAGCAGGCCTTGAGCGCCACCCTGCATGATCTGAGCGTTGGTCTTGGTGACCAACGACTGGTTCCAGCGCCAGTTGTAGACCGCAGCGAGAGAGCCGTCACTGCCGAAGTTGCCTTGCATGAAAACCTATTGCAGCAATATCCAGTTAGACCAGAAAATTCAATCAAATGAGAGAGTAAGATGGTTTACCTTGGGGCTGCCGTACATGGCGGAGAAAGCGTACGGTGGCAGATTTCCCGACGAGCCCATGGAGAAGGCGTGCGAGACGCGGAACAGGGGAGACATGCCGAACACCTTGGTCAGATCTGCTCGGAGACCCGAGAACATGAAGTTGGACAGCATGACCTCCTTCTGGACCTCCCGCGCGATGTTGTCCACGGTTCCGGGATTGGGCAGGTTGAGCAGCGCCCTTCGCTCGGCGAACGAGGTGTATGCATCCTTGATGGCCGCGGCGGCGGGGTTGTCGGTGACAAAGGAGAGAGATGATAGATCGGCCATTTTGATCGGAGGTGCTGATCGTCAATAATTGCTTGTTGTGTCGTCACGCGATGCCGGGGCACAGAGTCTGTCGAGACCTGCGGAGGAGAAGGGCTGCCAAAAAAAAAAGAGAAAAAGACAAGATTTGAGACCAGCCCGGACAGAGAGAGGAGCCTGGGACGAACGAACGTCTCAGATGAGCGGTAGAGATGTTGCGGAAAGAAGTATTCTGGGGGTAGGACACTTCAGGAGGGAACAAGGACTGTCGAGAAAAATCCCCGTCACCTGTTGTTTGGCGTCTTTGGCCGCTGCCGTCCGCCGGGTTTAGGTAAGCCAGCCGGGCGATCACGGGGCGACAGAGACGAATGAGCTGGAAGTAGATACACTAACGTCAACGCCTGCGCCCAGAAAGATTTTTTTTTTCTGGAGAGCCTGTTCATCCTGGCATCTATCACCTTGGGGATTCCACCTGTGCAGACAAAAGCCGAAGTCGGGCGGCGTAGTCCACCTCATACCGCCCCAACGCTCGTGCCTTGCTCTGCTTGCGACACCGAAACATCTCCCCGTCTGGATATCTGCCTCTTTGGCTGTGTTTTTTCTAACCATCTGAGCCGCTTTGCAGTCGTCACTGCGATCACTTGGTATTGCTAGCGATCCCTTCTTTTCCACACTTGGTGGGATCTACATCCAAGCATGGATACTCTTCTGTAAGTTGCTTCCTTCTCCCCCCAATGGACACGATATTCCGTTGCGTGCCACCCCCCCATGTGGTACAGAAAGACTAGACTATAACCTACCGATGGTCGACGTTACCCACTGGCAGACTATTTTCTTGGGAGATGCCAGTTGCTATTGCTATTCATGTGCCTTCGAGCTGACGTCAGGTAGCACGGCCGAGATTGTGGCCAACTCTCCTCAATTTCGGCGCAAGTCCTCCACCTTTGTCGATGCAATCCATGACTTGCCGGAGAAGGCCGAACTGGCACCAGCCCAGCTGTACAGCACAGAATCCGGCCGACTCTTCCATTCCGGACGCATTGTGATCATCACTGTCGGTTTGCCCGCGCGCGGGAAAACGTACGTCCATTCCCGCAACTATGAACATCGTCCAAGACGACTGATCCAGGACATTTTCGATAGACATATTTCCGTAGCTCTAGCCCGGTACCTTCGATGGTAAGTATATTGTGATTAATTATATTGCGGTCAGTGTGGCAGACACTATACTAACGGCCACGCTAGGCTTGGGGTCAAAACCAGAATCTTCCACCTGGGTGACTACCGTCGTGCCACAATCCCCTTTGGCGAGGATATGCCTGATGACTACTTTTTCGTCAACGGTAAGTGCTGCTTTGGTCCCTGCGGCTGGGTCATGGGATGGGTTACTGAGGCGGTTGCTAACAATATGCAGCGACTGCATCATCCGTTCTTCTGCGCCAGAAGATTGTGAGAAAATGTCGAGAAGACATCTATCACTTTTTGAATAATGAAAAGGGGCAAATTGCCATTTATGATGCCGTGAATCCGTTGGCCTCCGGGCGGCGCTCACTAGCGAAGGAATTTGCAAAGCATGACATCGAGGTAGACAGAAGCATTTACCTTTGTCTGCCTTTGTCTGGAACTAAACTGACACTTCATGGCAGACATTATTCATCGAGTCTTGGTGCGACGATGAACGCATTATCGAGGAAAACGTTCGCAGGGTGAAGATATCTTCTCCTGACGTGGGTACCGGCCTCAATATTGCTGAGAGCACGAACTGACTGTTTTAGTATGTTGGATGGAACTCTGAGGATGCTATCAAGCACTATCTGGCACGCATCTCCTCTCGAATCCCCCAGTTTCAGACCATGGAAGAAAAGGATTTGAATTACATCAAGGTATGCAAACCTAGTTGATTCTATCGATTGGCATACTCATTCGGCATAGATGATGAACGCAGGCGAGCGATTGATCGTGAACAACTGCAGCTTTGGGTATTTGTCCAACCGCATCGTGTTCTATCTTTTGAACCTCCACATCAAGTCACGACGGACTTACTTTGCGCGGGTAGGTGATTTTCCATGCATGGCTGGACACTTAAACTGACCTACATCCAGGCTGGTGTGTCAGTAGAGGCAGACTCTTATAAGGCAGATGTTTCTTTGTCCGAACAGGGAGAAGACTACGCCAAGAAAATGACCGAATGCCTACTCGCTCACAGAGAATTGGAGAAGCAGGCACTGCTCGATCGAGGCGAACCAGAGCCTGAGTTGAGACCATTGAAGGTCTGGACATCTACAAGACGCAGAACGGTCGAGACAGCACAGTACCTCTATGAGAATGGCTACAAAGTCCAGCAAAGGTCTCAGATGAGTCAACTAAAACCGGGAGTCTGCGAGAAAATGTCCGAGAAGCGGATCCGACAGGAATACCCGGATGAGGTTGCCAAACATGAACTGGACCCTTACCACCACCGGTATCCTCGTGCAGAAGTACGTAATTCTTAACCCATATATACTTTGTGCGATGTCTGACCGTCAATGTGTGCTAGTCATATCATGATCTCGCCGTTCGTCTGGAGCCCATCATCCTGGAGCTGGAGAGGGAGCAGAATGACTTACTTATCATTGCACACGAAAGCGTACTGAGAGTTTTGTACGGCTACTTGATGGCCTGCAACGCGGCAGACATTCCATTCTTAGAATTCCCCCGGGACGAGATCATTGAGGTAAATCGCATTTGAAAGTATGGTGAAGTCGTGGCTAACTCTGAGTTCCAGATCATTCCGGAAAGCTATCAGAACGAGGCGCAGAGGATCCACATTCCCGATCTGCCTGAAAGTATAGTGCCAGACTCCCCCGAGGACTTGAAGATTCCGGTACCCCCAAGCGGAATGATATCGCCTATTCAAGGACTGGGCAGCCCGCCGTCCGGCCTTGCAACTCCGGCGAGTGGACTCCGAACCCCCAGTGGACTTCGCACACCTCGTGAGCTCACACAGCAGCACGTCGAAGATGTCGTCTAGGTGGCTGTCTCCTAAGTTGTGTTGTGTCTAGTATCCCCGTCGCTTCGTTTCTTTTTCATCATATCATGTCCATGCCAGTATAATAATTTAGCCTCCATGTAGTGTCGAGACAAAAACAATATTATCTCCTTGCTGCAGCTCATACTTCTCCTCGCCTTCCAATTCCCAATCGGCGTCGTTGATAAGCACCAGAATGCCCGGCCGACTGTAGACGAAATTAGCTCTTTGAGTTATCCATGGATTCCCAATCCACATACACATTGTCCTCCATGATAAACATCTCTTTCCGCTGATCTTGCATGACATTATCGACCAAGTAACGAAGCAGATAGGCGATGTTTGGCCGGGTGCCGTCGTCTAAGCTAGCTGGTAGGGTGACGTTGTGCTTGCGCTCGTTGGAGAAAAGGAGCTCCAGTCCGCCACTGTACGTGAGTTAGAAAGTGTCTCTCATGAATCCACGGGGGGTTAGCCATACGTAAACTCAACGGCAATGGAGATACCCCCGTCTCCTGGTGCAGATTGAGCCATGGCGTAGAATAACTGGGATTATGTGCAGAGTTGAAGGAAAGTCGAGGGAAGACGAGGAGGGACTGGCGGGACAGCGAATTCTTATCGATAAGCCAGTTCTTTCATCCGCAAAAAAAGCGTCGGCTCTGTCTCTCTCCACAGCCCATTGCAACAACACAAACAAAATCCTGGCGGATCCGGGCCTGCGCAAGCCGTCATGGCATCTGTTGCGACCGAATACATCAGCGTTGGTGGCAATCGCCACCCTGCCGCCGCCGATTGGGATGTTGAGTCGGGTGTGCTCGCCTTCGGTGCCGACAACAACGTTGCTTTGTGGAACCCTCTAGTAAGTACACGGCGAGCTCATCATCGCCTGGGGATGCAGGTTCAGGGGCTGACATGTATTATTTTAGGAGCCTTCCCAGCGCGGGGTCTATTCCCTGCTTGTCGGTCATACCGACAAGGTCAGCGTGGTTAGATTTTACACATGCCCCTCCTCGGGCGCCAAACTTCTTCTAACCGGCTCTGTCGACCATACAATCCGGATATGGCGGTTGGACGGCCCCGGATCGCACAACTACATCTATGCACATACCCTCAGTGGACACACGGGATCCGTGAATGCGATTGGGGTGGCCGACGGTACGGACGTGATCGCGTCTGGAGCGGCCGATGGGACTGTTCGGCTCTGGCGAGTTAATGCGCAGGGAGAGGTAAATGGGGATCTGCTCGATACGATTATGATGAAGCCTCGGTTCTTCCCTCTGTCTCTCTCGCTGCGCGTACTCGAAAAGGACCAGGGCCGGCCCTTGGTTTTGGCAGTTGCGGGCACCACGACCACAGTGCAGATTTATGTTGCGGAATCATCTGTTGAAACACCCAGTTTCCAGCGGCGCGCTGTGCTTGCAGGTCACGAGGGCTGGATTAGATCTTTGTCGTTTACACGCGACTCGGGAAGCACTACCGGGGATCTCTTGCTCGCCTCTGCCAGCCAGGACAAGTATATCCGGCTTTGGCGCTTGCAACGGGGTGAAGCGTCTTTCTCTTCTATCATTGATGAAGCCGACCCTTTGCTAGGCGGCATGGAGCCCACCCTCTCCAACAAGGCTCATGAGTTTGAAGCTGCTGGGTCGAAATACTCTATCACATTCGAGGCTCTTCTTTTCGGGAACGAGGACTGGATTTACACAACTGCCTGGAACCCCGATCCAACGCGGTCACAGCTTCTTTCGGCTTCCGCTGATAACACCATAACCATCTGGGAACAGGATTCGGTTTCGGGTGTTTGGATGTCTCTTGAGAGAATGGGCGAGATCAGTGTGCAAAAGGGGTCAACTACGGCCACTGGTAGTGCTGGTGGATTCTGGATTGGGCTCTGGTCTCCGGATGGCAAGGAGGTAGTGAGTCTTGGCCGAACAGGAAGCTGGAGAGCCTGGAGATATGATGCCGATGCAGACATCTGGGTGCAGAAGTTTGGCATTTCAGGCCATATACGTTCAGCCAACGGTGTTCAATGGGAGCCTACCGGTGGCTATCTTCTGTCAACCAGTGCGGACCAAACCACTCGTCTCCATGCGCAATGGATTCGTGAGAACCAGTCGTCGTGGCATGAGTTCTCTCGCCCGCAGATTCATGGGTACGATCTGAACTGCGTCGACACGTTAGGGCCTGCACAATTTGTTTCGGGCGCCGACGAAAAACTGCTTCGCGTGTTCAACGAGCCGAAACAGATTGCTCAATTGCTCGAGACCCTCACCGGATTCCGGCAATCCATTGAAGCTGACATGCCGGACACAGCCGAGATTCCGGTCTTGGGTCTCTCCAACAAGGCTCTTGGAGACGAGGCTCCAGTCCAAGAAGAGGAAACTGGTGACCAAGCAACTAAAACGGCCCCGTCCACAGCACCATTGATCATGGACTACCCTCCACTGGAAGATCAATTGGCTCGGTACACATTGTGGCCAGAACACGAGAAGCTTTATGGCCACGGCTATGAAATTTCCGCGGTGGCTGTCAGTCATGACCGAACTCTTATTGCTACCGCTTGCAAGGCGAGCTCAGTCGACCACGCCGTGATTCGTCTGTACGATACGTCGGACTGGCACGAGATCAAACCTTCACTGGCTGCTCACGCATTGACTATTACGGACCTCGCATTCTCCCGGGATGACCGCTACCTTCTCAGTGTTGGGCGAGATCGACAGTGGGCTGTATTCCAACGGAGTGAACAGGAACCGAACACTTTCACTGTCTGCACTTCGAACCCGAAAGGTCACTCTCGAATGATCCTGGGAGCAGCCTGGGCACCGTATGCGAAGACTCCGGTCTTCGCTACTGCTGGGCGAGACAAATCAGTCAAGATCTGGGAGAGAACCGATGATACGTTCAGTTGCAAGTCGACTGTGGCTGTGACGTCCGCAGTCAGTGCAATTTCTTTCTTGCCCGTTATCTACAAGGACACATTCGTGTTCGCAGTGGGCGAAGATAATGGAACGATATCCATCCACTGCGTTGCGAGCGACAGTCTGGAATGTCGACACATCGTAACTGTTGCTCAGAATCTATCGCCTTCGAAGACAATCACCTCATTATCATGGCGGCCAGTGCCTGTGGAGGGAGTTGACGGTAGGAGTACGTTTGAGCTTGCAGTGGCAAGTGAAGATACCTCTGCCAGGATATATAGTATCTCGAACATGTTGTCATGAGATATCGATATATACAAAAACGAATGATGATGGTTGAAAAGGCAAACCAACTCCTGCAAATGTTGAATCGACCCACCCGAGAGGTCTAGATGCCCATCCCTGACCATAAAACAGAACCCGCCATATGCCATGTGGTTGAACCCAGTAATTGTTGAAACGGCATAACGTGTTAAAGACTCCTCGCTCAGCAAACAAAAGACAAAAAGAAAATGATACTTTCTCTTAATCGTGCTTCTCTAAGCCGTAACCACCAACCCCCTCGAGGGATTGATAGGTCTTTGCCTCATTACCGCGGCCATTCCGGGGTCCTCTCGTTTGGAGATCCTCCTTGAGCCACTTGAGTACCAGCTCACCCAGCCGGCTGTTCTCTGATGTCCACTGCGGCACCTGATCATGGAACTGCTCCACGGGACCACACGCCTTAACCTTACCCAGGTGCATGTGCACTAGATGCGTAGGCCATTGGGCGAGATTGTCCAGGATATGCGTAGCATAAACAATAGTACAAGGACGAGACGCGGTCTCGCGCTTCAAAAAAGGCGAGGAAGTTGCTTCGAGACAGCAAGTCTAGGTCGACGGTGATCTCGTCAAGAAGGAGAACCCGCCAGGGCCGCAGCAATCCCATTGCCAGCTGGACACGGCGCCGTTCGCCGTCGGAGACGGCATGCATGCGCCAGCGGAGGTCAATGTCGAGGATTTCGACCAGTTCATCCCGTCGCTCCGGGTAGGCGTTGCCACCGACCGATGCTAGAAGCGTCGGCACGTCAATGTCCGTGCGGACGATACTGTTGAGCACCCACTCCACACCCAGGTAGGTGACGCCCTCAAGACCGTGCGTGAAGGGGTCGTTACCGCCCACGGAGACTGTGTTGGAGGGCGCGAGACGCTTTCCCGACACCAGGCGGAGGAGCGTGGTCTTGCCAGCGCCATTTGCTGTGCGAATAGGTTAGCTCTTTGCCAATGTTATCGAACGATGTGGCGATTACCGCCAATGAGCAAAGTCCGGCTCCCAGCGGGCAGATCCAGAGTTACGTTTTCCAGACCATCCGAGCCATCCTGGAATTTGTAGGAGAGGTCTTTGACCTCAATTGAGGGTTTGTTCTCGGTTTCGGCCATTGTTGAGGGTGGATGAAGGAAAGTGAGTCAGAGAAAAGGGACGGGGAGGCAGATGAGATAAAGCCGATAGGGAGCTGCGATAACCGATAATAACCAACCCTCGTTTTCTCTCTTTTCTTCCCCTTCGCTACACAGGGACAAGATGCGCAAGTCATCCCTATGCTCTCGGCCCTGCGATTATTTACCAGACAGCGCGCAATGGATCCGCTCATAGCTGTGGTCGGGGCAACGGGCACGGGCAAGTCCAAGGTAAAACGGGACCATTTTTTCCCACATAACCAAGCGATTGATTCCTGACGGATACAGGCAGCTCGCCGTGGACTTGGCCTCTCGATTCAACGGTGAAATCATCAATGGAGACGCGATGCAGATGTACCGCGGCTTGCCCATCATCACCAACCAGATCCCTACCGAGGAGCGAAATGGCATTCCACACCACCTGATTAGCTGTGTCGACCTGGATACCGAGGCGTGGCGGATTGGGACATTCAAAAAGGAGGCACTCCGATTAATTCAGGACATTCGTTTGCGCGGCAAACTTCCCATCCTCGTCGGCGGCACCCACTATTATACTCAGGCGGTGTTGTTCAAGGAGCAGCTGGTGGACAGGGAGAAGACGGAGGAAGGAGAAGAAGAGGAAGAGAAAGCAGAGGAGCCATCAACTACAGACCTGTCATCCACTTCCGCAAAATGGCCCATCCTCGACGCGTCCCCGGAAATTCAACTACAGAAACTCCGGGAGGTCGATCCTGTCATGGCTGGGCGATGGCATCCGAAGGATACGCGCAAGATCCGGCGGTCATTGGAGATTTATTTTCAGACGGGACGACCGGCTTCTGAGATTTATGCGGAGCAGAAACTCATGAAGAAGCAAGCAGTCATGAAAGATGAAGGACTATTACGGTTCGAGAACACTCTCATTTTCTGGGTTCATGCGGAGAAGGAAGTCCTCAATGCGCGCCTGGATGCGCGCGTCGATGATATGGTCAAGCAGGGCTTGATGTCCGAGGCCCAAAAAATGTCTGATTATCTCCAGGATAAAGAATCACAAGGCATCACGATCGACCAGACACGGGGAGTCTGGGTATCGATCGGATTTAAGGAACTGGCACCTTACTTCGCGGCTCTCCGCCAACCAGATGCAAGCGAAAAGGACCTGGAACACACAAAACAGTCCTGTATCGAATTCATCCGAATTGCCACTCGCCAGTACGGTGTATCACAAATCAAATGGATCCGAAACAAGCTCTGGCGCGCGCTCTCTGAAGCCGGCGTGATGCATCGTCTCTACATTCTGGATAGCAGCGATGTCAGCGAGTGGGAGAAATGCGTTGCCCAACCATCGGAGAACATTGTCCAATCAATGCTCGACAACCAGCCTACCCCGGATCCCAAATCACTGTCAGAGCTAGCGAGCACTGTGCTCGGAGCTAGGGAGGAACAGATGCGAGCAAAAGATACTGATGAACCTATAAAGTGCTTCACCTGTGATGTGTGTCGCAAGACTATGACTGGAGAAGAGCAGTGGCAGATTCACTTGCGCGGTCATGGACATAAGAGGGCTCTTAAGGCTGCGGCAAAAAGAGCTGAACGGGATGCGTATTTGCGGCGACGCGAAGAAGAGGAGCAGGCCCAAAGTGGGGATCCTGATGTAAAAGAAAATGTTCATTGAATATGATATTCCCCTTCCAGGACATCTCTACTGTCTGATAAGGCTGTTCCATAATTCCACAAGAATAGAACCCTTCCGCTAGATTGACAGAGAGGAGCGTATATCTACATGTAGATAGACAAATGGGAAATCAGATATTATGGCTGTCAAGTCATGAGTGCAAATCAAATGACAAGCGAAAGAAACACAGGAAAAGGAAAGAGTGATACACTGACAAGAAGAAGTCCAGCAAGAGATAGGGACAGAGATTGAAATAGAACTCAGATCAACAGACATAAAAGGAAGTAGATGCCCGAGATTTCCAGAATGTCCATAAGACAAGTGGAGTGAGTCAATTCCAACCAGCCTCACCCCAGGTCCGGGATCTATAGATTTCCTGCGCCCGGACAAAATCATGTCGACTATTCTTAGGGTGATTGATCACTCCTTGTATGTTCTTGTTGTGATCAGTGATCGTGCGGGTAAATTCAGGCGAGACAATGGCCATTGTTCTGGGGTCTCTAGCCGTGCCCCTGGTGTTCTGTGTTTGGTATGGGTATTGCATGGTGGGAAACTCGACATATCTTCCATATGGTAGAATTCCTTCTCTGTTTTGGAAGTGTTTCGGTCGCCTGTTATTCCTGCTGGCCCAGGTCCGGCCGGTTATATCAGCACCAGGCTGGTGAAGAAGGCGTTCAACACTGGGTCGCGTGCGAATGTGATGGGGACCCTGTACAGAGCCCGCTTGGAAAGTACCTTTGCCCGGCCGAGCGACATTATAGCCCTGAATATGTATGAGTATTTGAGTTATATCTTTATAGAATCGATACTGACCATCACTGTTCGTGGATCCATGGGTCGTGCGACTGAAGCTGGCTCTGTCTGTGTCCGATCTGTGGTTGGCCACTGCGCATTGACTTGCTTGAAACGTGGGTCGTTAATAACATTATATGATGCTGCTTGACGAGGGTGGCTCGGCCGTGGGGGTTCTGGCTCGCGATGCCGATGAGAAAAGGAAAAGAATCCCATAATGATGAACCCGGAGATTTTGTAAATCAAGCAGACAATAAAAATGGATATAGACGATACAATAGCCAACTTTTATAGCCTTTTTCTACTTTACATACTAAAAACAGCTGTTATGGTGGGCGAACCCAGAATAAACATGGAAATTAAGATGCGGAATAACCGCGCAGTTTCCATTGAGAATTGGCTACTCCTATCCTATTATCTCGAGGATTGCCATGGTATCTTGAAACAAAGGCGACCGGGCTCTGTTTCAAATATTAGACGCTTGACGATAGCGGTTAATGACTGCATATTGTAGGTCCCATAACCAAAAACTAGGGGTGAATATCGCCGATCTTGTGTGGGTTGCCGCCGCCATGACTGGGCCGGCGCTTAAACTAATGATAGTCGATTGATTCGATCTTATTTTATCGTTGCTCTCCGCCCTCCGCAACCTTGAACCTCCAACTTTCTTAACCCTGACCTCGATACCTTCCACTTCCTAGATTCATCATGTCCGCCCTCAAACTCAAACTCGAGCCCGATGCTTTTGGAAGGCCTACCGATCAGCCTAGTGAAACCAAAGAGGCTGGCTTCGTACAAACCTACAACGTTTTCCAAATCTTCAACGAGTACCTCCAACCGGACACAAAAACATCTCATGATTCAGCAGTTAAGTCACTCCTCGCTCTTGTACCCAAAGTCGACAACGAGCAAGAGGTTATCACGATCATCAACGTCGTTCTGGAACTTGCAGAGCAGATACCATATTATCATCCATCACATATCAAGCTGGCTCGCATTATGGAGCAGTTTACTAGCCACACTAGGTTCACCTGGATGCTACCTGACGATGTCTGTTTTCAACTACTTCTGGGTTCTTTAACGAAGCTGACAGGGCAATCACAGGAGTTTACAATCGTCGAGTATTACATATTGGAAGTTGGGGACTTTTACAATCTTGGTTTGTCGATTCATAACCATTTCAATAAGACGAACGTATCTGAACAGCCAGTAAACAGGTCCATCCGAAGAAGATCCTCAAACCTGGCCGAACTTCAATGCCTTCCTTGCTCATGCACAATCAAGACGTGTTGGGGCCAACGAGCCATATTATGCCGATGAGACTTTGCGTAGCACATTTGAAAGAGGCTGTGATACCGTGAATTTCAAGGGCATCTCCACATTCGAGGGTGAGCGAGATCAGCAGATCATTGCTGCAGCCCAGTACATTCTCTGGGATGGACAAAACCTGTTCAAGCGGTGTCTCTGCCCGGACCTCGCAGAAATGGGAGACCGCCGGATAAGGGACTCAGGAGGCAGTCGGTTGGTGTTTGGATTGGGAAGGTGGCGGGGGTGGAAGAACGGATTCAAGAAGAACGCAGAGGAAGAAAACGGGATGGGCGAAGAATGTCGGAAGGTGTGTGCAAAGACAGCGGCTCTGATGGAGACAATTGAGGCGAGCATGAGGTTTTAGTTTATTTCTGTTGTTATATCATTTGGATCTTGAGGGATAGTTTAATAACAATGAGAAGAGATCAAAGTGGGAGTCCTTTTGAGGAAATTCGAGCGTTATTATCAGCCACAATGCAGAGGATATTGTTAGGTTGAAAAGTGCAATATAAGAACGAAGTAAGACCGAAGGCACTAGGTGGATAAGGCATCGACACATGAGGATACAGTGCATGCCCTGATTAGGCAACTGTCTCACAGTATACCCGAGGGGAAGAAACGAAAGATGGACTCTGCCGAGATGGACGAGATGCCCGACCAAGCCACCATGATGAACTTTGCTCTGCCGAAGGTCAATCACCAAGGCGTGCGCCCCCACGACGACGACATCGACATGTGGTACTCGTCATTCACCAATGATTCGTGTGCCTGGGACGACTTGGCTGTGGCGGAGACGCAGAAATTAGGGCTCTTCGGATTCGCGAGGCCGTCGACTGAGACTGTCGCCGATTGGGACGGCGCCTGCTCCTGCGTCGGGAGCGTGACTTGTGCACTCAGAAACGGAACTCTGTTCGGAGCTCTGTTTGGGAGGGCGATGATGAAGATCTGCACAAGAAGATTCGGGGAATGATCAGATCGACTAGGCTCGTTGCTTTTGTGGTTCTCCTTGCGGTGGATTATGATGCCATGTTCTGGCGCGTGGTTGTTACATCCTCATGAGACTGAGGGAAGAGAATGAAGGGAATGAGATCAAATTTCACAATCATTGCCAGTATTATTAGCCCAAGGACGTATTGTACGAGGTAATTTAGCCATCATTAATCTCTAATACTCTGGAATCATAAACCACCCAGTAAACAGGACCGCTATGGAGAGGTCTTAAACTTGACGTCCAGTTGGACCCCATCACAACCATCGGGAAGACCACCGCCAACACTCTTATCGACATAGTGAAGACCCGGAAGACTGCCAATGCTCCGATCCTCGCAGACTTAAATTACCCAGTTAGTACCTCCCTCATAGTTATACAAAATAAACACCCAGACATACCTAGCCATCCACCGAACTCATTGTTCGTTGTAGTCAGAGCACTCCCATTGGCCAACCCAAACCCGGAGCTCCCAGACGATTGCGCCACGCTCACCACAACACTACCACTGGCATTGCTCCCCGAGACCAAGGCCAAGTTCCAAGGAGCCTCATCCTGGGCCTCAAAGCGCACAGTATCGTTATCCAGATAAAAAGTACCCGCGTTTGCTGGATCCCGAAAAACGGCGTTGCTGTTCAACGGACCGCTCGACTGCGTGGACAGGTAGAGGCCGTTGTGACTGTCGTTCGAGGCCGTAACCAGATTGAAGAGCATCTGGTCCGGAACCGCGGTGACGGTTGTGACGAGGAGGGCAAAGCTGGGGAGAAGCTTCATTGTAGAGGAAGGAGAAGAGAGTTGGACAAAAATTCCAGGACTAGGGGAATGGCGGTTGTATTCCAAATGCCAGTGGGTTAAAGAGTGACGCCGTCGATTGAACAGCTGGCCAGGCAGACCATGGAAACACTCGCAGCTTACCGATATAGATGTTGATCTAGATCCACCGTAGTTGATTGGCTCCGGCTAACGAGTGGAGGCTAGCTCGACAGCCGTCGACAGCCATCGACAGCCATTTGCGATTCTTCCTTCTCGTTCCCCAAAGTACCGCTGGAGAGTTGCATTCTAGACCGTTAAGATGACCAACGAGCCTCTCTGGAAGAGAATTATTGCCCAAAAACGCCGGATCAGAAACCAGTTGCTCGCGCCGTACCTGGTGGACGATGTGGATAGCCGATTGCCCCGCGCTGACCGGGTGGACGAGCGAAGTCGGCTCGACCAGGAACCGAAAATCCAGACAATCACGGACATCGACAACATTGCAGTGCTGCTGGACCGCCTGAGAAAGAGTGAATTCACGGCCGAGGCAGTCGCCCAGGCCTATATCAAGCGGTAGGGAACTGTGTTACCCAATCATTAAACAAGACTGACAATGTGTACAGCGCAGTGGTGGTTCATCAACTCGTGAGTACTTGAATACTGAAATATTTAAGCCAGCTAACGTATAATATCAGACCAATTGCCTCACGGAAGTGATGTTTGAAGACGCACTAGAACAAGCTAGACAACTCGACGCAGAATTCCAAGCAACCGGCAAGCTGAAAGGTCCTCTGCATGGAATACCCGTCACGGTTAAAGACCAGTTCAACGTGAAAGGCGTGGACACGACGCTCGGATATGTCGGCAGATCATTTGATCCTGCGAATGAAGATGCCGTCCTCGTTCAACTGCTCAAAAATATGGGCGCTGTCATCATAGCCAAGTCGAACCTGCCGCAGAGTATCATGGTGCGTGGGGAACCCCAACCAAAGGATACTAGCACTGACTCATATGCAGTGGGCTGAAACAGAGAATCCTCTCTGGGGCCTTACGACGAATCCCCGGAATCCGGAATTCACACCTGGCGGCTCGACCGGCGGCGAGAGCGCATTGCTCGCGTTGCATGGCTCACTGGTTGGCTTCGGTACTGATATTGGAGGAAGTACTCGCATCCCACAAGCTACGGTTGGATTATACGGCTTCAAGCCGAGTGTGAGTCTCATTGTTAAATCACAAAATGCACATCCTGACGAAGCCCACAGAGTGGCAGACTCCCCCTATTACGGAGTACCCGTGTCGACTGAAGGCCAGGAACACGTTCCATCCTCCGTTGGATCACAGGCCCGAGACCTCTCGTCTATCTGCTACATCAGCCGTCTGCTAGCAGATGCCCGGCCCTGGGACCTGGATCCGCGATGTGTGCCATTGCCATGGAACGAACATGAATTCCGGGAGATACAATCACGGCCACTAGTCATCGGGCTCATCCTCGATGACGGCGTTGTCAGAGTCCATCCCCCCATAGCGAGGGCACTGGACGAACTATCCACGGCACTGAGGAACTACGGCTTTGAACTCGTGACATGGGATACATCAGACCACCACGAATACATTGAGCTGATGGATTTGTATTATACCGTGGACGGGGCCGAGGATATCCGGCACGATATTAGCCAGGCATCCGAGCCCATGATCCCTCACGTCCAGCAACTGGTGAATCGCGGCAAGGCCGTTTCGGTGTGGGAGTATTGGCAGTTGAACAAGCGCAAGGTCAAGTTGCAGAAGCAATACCTTGATAAATGGAACAGCGTCCGGTCTCCCTCGGGCCAGAAAGTTGATGTCCTTCTCAGTCCGGCTTTGCCGCACACGAGTGTTCCGCATCGCAAGATTCGGTGGGTGGGATATACCAAGATTTGGAATCTGCTGGATTACTCTGCTATCACGTTCCCCGTGGATTTTGTGAGAGCTGAGCAGGACTGCCTGCCTTCCGACTCCGTGCCTTATAAACCAAGGAACGCACTGGATGAGTGGAATTGGGGTCTTTATGATGTAGAGCAGGTGGATGGGTATCCCGTGAATTTGCAGGTTATCGGCAAGAAGCTCGAGGAGGAGAAGGTGCTGGGGGCTACTACTATCATTGAAAAGATCTGGAAGGACCATGTTGCGAAGAGCGGTAGATAGCTTTTGATATTGTTAAGACGTAACTTCATTCACATACACCAATGAACGCCAGGGGAATACATATGCAACGAGAATAGCAATAAATCAAGCCTTCGGAGGTTCAAAGAGCTCGGGCTTCATGTTGATCTTGCAGAGTTTGGCTACACAGCCGCTCAGCTGGAGCAGCGACTGCACACCATCTAGGATGCGCATGTGGGTGAAGCCAATCTCGCGGATGAACTCTAGCTTGGAGTGCTCTGAGAGGGTGGGAATGGTCTTGGTGACGCGGAACATGGTGCTAATGATGTCGTGGGAGGAATACCCCAGGTTCCTGTGAAGGTGTCAAAAAATATCCACAAACAGCGGAGAGATGCGCGTCCACTTACCACAGCTCATTCAATGTCTCCAGCGCCACATCGACTTTGCCCTCCCAGCAGGCCTTGAGCATAGCCTGCACCTTGACCGGGTGCGGGCTGTCGACCACGCGAAACACATTGTCTCCACTGACGAACCCAAAGCCAGACCAGGTACTCTGCAGGTTATTGATGGCCTGGCGCATATCACCCTCCGCGCTGAAGACCAGGGCCGCAATTCCGTCCTCAGAGTGCTCGATCTTCTCCGCTTCGCAGATTTGCATGAGACGCTTGACGACTTGTGCGTCCGTCAGTCGCGCATACCGGAGGATAGCACAGCGCGACTGAATAGGCTCGATGATCTTGTTGGACTGGTTGCAGGCAAAAGCGAATCGGGTAGTCGACGAGTAGATTTCCATTGTACGGCGCAGAGCCTGCTGCGCACCGGGCGTCATACTTTACGATCCATTATTAGCGAACATGAGATCAGATCTTGCTGAACGACCCTTACCTATCAGCCTCATCCAGGATGACCACCTTATGCTTCCCCGGCGGAAGCGTCACTTTCTTCTGTGCGAAGCCCTTGATCCGATTGCGGACCACATCAATACCTCTCTCGTCACTGGCATTCAACTCCAGAACTGCCTCCTTGTACGCATCGCCTAGCAATTGTCTCGCCAGACACAGGACCGAGGTGGTCTTTCCAATACCAGGCATGCCGGAGATAATAACGTGCGGCATATTGCCATCTTTGGCGATGATTTTGAGGCGCTCGACGGTCTCGGTGTTGCCAACAATGTCGTCGAGGAAGATAGGACGGTACTTTTCCACCCTGTGGAGGAAGTTAGAACTGGCCAACCCCCAAAAAGAGACGAGAATACTGACCAGGGGAGTTCGTAGTCTGGCGGAGCTCCTGCTGTTGAAGCCTTGACGCCATTGCGGGCGGCACTGGATGAGGACTCAGCTTGCACCATGGTTGTTTGTGGGAGGGCAAGACGATCAAGTGGAACGCGAAAGGAAAGAACAGGAAACGCGTCGTCGATAAGCCGCTTATCACCCAACTTCCACGCTACACCTACACACCGTCACCTCCTGTTATTCCTATTCTTAACTCCCTTTCCACACTCTTTACTCCTGACTTAGCGATGGCACCCTCCTCTGTTCGCCGCAACATCTTCCAACACAACCTCAGCCGCCGTCCAGCCTCTGCTGGTCCACCCAATGGCGCACTGACCGCGGCCAGCACCAGCAGCGGTCTCGCAAACCGCCCCTCGCACCGACTCAAGCCCACGACGTCGGACTCGGGGTCCTCGACGCGCAGTGTGAAGAGCACCGAAAACAAGGAGATTGTGGTCCGCGACAAGAACGGTGGCTACAAGCTTGATACCCCCGCGTTGCCGCAGCCGTTGGTTGGGGAGGATGGCGAGGAACTGGGGGACCTGGACGCCGATGGAGATGGAGCAGCGGGGTTTGATTCGTCAGAGCTGTCCGGAAGAGACAAAGAGAGTGTGTTTCTTTCTGGTGTTTTGTTCGGGAGAGACATTCGACTAATACAGACAAGAGTTCGAGGCCGCGCTGGTGGAAATGATGATTCGCCATCGCAATAGACAGTCTAGCGATGAACCGGACGGTGAGTAATACGCCCCTTGGTTGATTGGAATGGATGGGTTTCTAACTGAGTTGGAACCAGAGATTTTGAATATTGTCCATCACAGCCTGCGCAAGAAAGTGGCGTCCATCGACGAGGACAATTGGATGTTCGAGCCCGAAAATGACGTCCGTCTATGATATTGTCTCTTGCATGGATTTCATTTCATTACAACTATGGACGGGAATCGGTGCATTTCGCTAATCAAGCTCCATGTTGGACGGCGGAGCCTCGACCTTCTTCGCTGGGCTCCGGGCCTGCGGCGCCCTTCGCCCGCCGGCGTTGTCCTGGCCACCACCGAAGAACATGTTGCCCATCATATCCAATAGCGGGTTACCCTGTCTGGGGATCTTGATGGCAAAGTACTGCTCGCCCATCTGTGCCAGGGCATCATCCCAGATCCCAATCTCCCGAATCTGCGCAGCATAGTGCGCGGTGAGCTGCCGGAACAGATCCCCGCTGCCGCGTTGAATGGCCAACAGCAACAGGGCGATGAAGTTCAGCAACGGAAGCGCGGGGTATACACGAATGTCAGAGCTGGCGCTACTGACTTCTTGCACACCCAACGAGGGATTCGAGGTGGATAGCCGCGAGGTGAAGATGAGGAGCGCCTTGTTCGCGCTGCGGAGGTTGCCGGTCAGGAGGTAGGGGAATACGGCGCGCGAGGCATAGAGAGCTGCCGTATGCGGGTCGTCGCTGGTGTACCACTCGTATTCGAGTTTCGCCAGGGTTTCTGCGGACTCCGACGTTCCTAGAATCAGGTGTTTCTCTGCGTCGTATGGGTCGTTATCTGGGCCCGCCATGTCAGCAATGCCATCAGGATCAGACACCAGGACAAACCCACCTTCGGCGTAGACAGAGCCAGCGGCGTGATGCAAGTCCGGATCTCCTCGCTCCAAGGGACCAAACTTCCCGCTCCATCCAATGATTTCCTGTATATACCGTTTCCGCGTAGGCTCCTCGGAGGGGAATTCTCGTAGCAGTTCGATGAGACGCTCTAGATCGCATACATAGTTAGCACACCATGAAATGAGCGTGGCGGCATATGATAGACTCACTCTTTCGAGCCCGGGTTTGCGCATCGTCCGCCGCACTGGAGATCTCCCACTCTGCCTTGTTGTACACCTCCAGGACCAGCATAATCGCCAGGTCTCCACCACTGGCCGAGGCGCCCTGTTGGGCACCGGCCCTCAGCAGCTCCGTCGCACCGCCAGCCAGGAGATCTGCCGCTGCATCGTAGTTAGCGGCCTTGATGTACCGAGCCGCAATGACGCGCAGCTGTTGGTGGGCTTCGTAGTAGGCACCGGAGGCGATTCTAACAGAAGGGCGGTCAGTCAAGATGCAGATCAAGAGATGCAGTATATATATAGACATACTTTTCTCGCTGGCGAGCGATTGTCTTGTCGATGCGGGAGGTCATGTTGGTTGGGGTGGTGGTGAAAACAGGAAGAAGGAGAGTTAAGTTCTGCCACTTTTGGTGGGGACGAACTTGCCTCTTGCACTACTTTGGAGACTACCCAACCATTGTTCCAGATACTTAGATGTACCATTTTCGACCATGCCGACATGAGATAAATATCTCTTCGTCAGCATGAACCGGGCGACTTTTGACATCCAGCCCCTGCACCGCTTCGGCGGTTCCAATACGACCATCCGACGACCCAAAGTAAGAACCATTCGCTCACTCCCTTGGGCTTGTCAGGAGATCCGAGTAACATATTCGAACAGGAAATCGCCTGCTTTTCGTATGATGATCAGCGCCGCTTTTCGCTGGGAGATGCATCCCTGTCTTACTACTATCCACCGCGTCTGCCGGCGGATCTGAATGTTGGCTTTGACACCTTCCAGAAGCTCAACGATGTCGCGGATGAGCATCTGGACGCGCTGTTGGATACGATCATTGCCTATGAGAAAGAGACCAAGAAGAAATGCGAAACCGATATCGTGACTTGGCGAGGGATGATGACCAAAGTGAGTGTATCCAGACCAACAAGGAGCGATCAAATGTTGATCGGAATTTGCAGATTCTGGCTGCTCCATATGATATGATGAATGGGTATGTAGAGTCTAGTTCCGAGACTTTGCGAGACTGATGATTTCCCTCAGCTTTGAAATGAATGCGACATGCTTCCAGGTAGGGCAACCCGGGCTGCCATTGAAGTCCCTTGACTAACTTTCCCACAGGGCACCATGTGCGTATCAATTCATCATTGAAGATAGCATGGCTTGTTGACACATCCCAGATTTATTGAAGAAAACAACGCCTACAAAAACCAACAGAAGGAAATCCAGCGCAATCAACGGATGCCGCCAGGGATGGCGTCCCAGGAACTGATGATGTACTGGGGTATGCTATTATTTTTCTTCCAGAGTGGCTATGACTGACTCGCGCAGGCTACAAATTCGAAGCAATATCTGTGCTTCGACAACCGTGGGATCCGTCCTCCCGCGAGGAGATTGAAGGGCGCGAGGAAGCAGTCGTCAACAACAGCGCGCAGTATTGTTCTGTGGCCCGCACCGGAATGGGTAACGTGCGCATGATTCTCGGCGGGGAGGTGGATGCTGGTACGTTTTCGAGGTCTTCATATATTGGGTGCATCTAACCAGAGCAGTATGGGATTGCAAACCGGATCGAAAAGAAGATCCCGTCCACTGGGTTGAGCTCAAGACGTCCGCAGAGATCCGAAATGACCGCGACATGGTCAAGTATGAGCGCAAACTACTCAAATTCTGGGCGCAATCGTTTCTCCTAGGGGTGCCCAAGATCATCGTAGGGTTCCGCGACCAAAATGGGATTGTCCGCAGCCTGGAGGAGCTCGAGACGGCGAGTATTCCCGGCAAAGTGAAAAAGGTGGGCAGAGGGACCTGGGATGGGAATATTTGTATCAACTTTGCGGCGGCATTCCTTGAATGTCAGTATTGATCTGTATTTTTTGGGTCTAATCGAACTAACTTCGATCCAGGGCTCAAACAGACCATCCAGGAGGATGGGTCATGGAGAATCCGCAAGCAAGAGAAGTCGCCGGTGATTGAAGTGTTCAAGTTGGAGGAGCAGGGCCATGGAGGGATTCTGTCCCCGGCGTTTACCAGCTGGCGATCCGCAAGTACTATGTAATAATTCTTCATCTCGTTCATCGGTCGTAGTTGGGCGGGGCTCTTAACGTGGGTCGAGCTCCATGAATCATCAATCCCAAACTCCACCTCTTTCACTTCACCCCGGCATGGATTCCAGCTCCAGTACGGGTTCGCCTGGCACGGCCCCGGGGGCGATCCGGTCGCGTAAAACGACCAGTATCGCCAAGCGCGCATGCGATCAGTGCAAGTTCCGCAAGATCAAGGTAAATCCCTCCGGCCCCCTTTGTCGGCGCATCGGAGGCTGAATTCCCGACCAATTAGTGTAGCTTGTCGCAGCCCTGCAAGGCCTGCGAGACCATGGGCTTTGAATGTACCTTTTTCCAGCCCCAGAAGAAGCGCGGTCCAACTGGACAGTAAGTGCGAAAAATGCCGGAACAAGTATGCGGCTCACGGTTCTCCAGTCGCGTGTCGCAAATTCGCCAGCAGCAAACCCTGGGGAGTAGTCCTCAAGAATCCCTCAAGGATGCCTTTCAGTACCAGGCATCGCCGTCGATCGACCAGGCACAGCCGGCGCCCATGTCGGGTGCATCTTGGACGCCACCGCCTGGTGGAGTGTCCATGTCCATATCTGGATCAGGCGGGATGCCGCCCGCAGCAGCTCCAACCTCTGTCGCAGGGCCCTGGACGGCCGAAACGACGCCCTTAGATTCTCACAGCAGTAGTGCAATGGGCTGGAAGGAGCCCACCGATGTGGAGTACTGGCTGCCAGATAACCTGGATGCCGAAGTGCCCATATTCGGGTTCCAGGGAAGCAATATTTACCTCAAACCATCTCTTCCTTCCATCGTGCAGCCCGTGTCCGATGCATCTACCATAGGCATGACTCCGCAGGATCCTCAAAGCATGCCCTTTTCCCCGACTGTGGGCTCTCTGACATCAGACAGCCAAGAGCCAGATACATGGCCGTCTTCAATCATCGAAGCCAACATGATCCCATGGATTGATGTCTACTTCGACCGACTGCACCCGACCCTGCCGGTACTAAGCCGGTCTTCGCTTTTCACACGGATGCTGTCGCAAGAGCATCGGAAGAACCCCCAGTTTGGAGCAATGCTTTTGTCTCTCTGCGCTTTCTCTCTAACTCAACCAATCGAAATTAATGAACGACCCACGACTTCATCCCGCGCTTCTCAGGCACGATCTATGATGGACGCAGCCACGAAAATGCGGAGCTGCTCCGATTTCGGGGAACATCCCACGATCGAAGCGGTCTTGACGAGTTTCTTTCTTTTTGGTTGTCTCTTTGGCAGTAATCAACATAATGCGGCGTGGCTGCGACTCCGAGAAGCCCTGGATCTTGCGGCTACGATGGGGCTGAATGATCCAGATTCATATCGCGAGCTCTCCGGAGAAGAAAAGGGTCAGCGCTTACGGACATATCTTGTGCTATCGATCACAGAAAGGTGGGGTACAGCCCTGCCCACTTTATGAAGTACTGGCTAACATGCTATTGTAGAGCATACGCTCTTCAACGGCGACATCCCATCACATTTTGGGGAAAGCCCGGATTCAGCATGCGCTCAGTACACGACTTCATCCACGATGCCACGAACAGCCTGGTCTCTGGAATCATTGTGCACAACGAAAAAGACGCCGAGGGAATGATGGGTCTGGCACGATTGATGGAATTATTCGACGCCATCGACGAAGATGTCATCGACTGCTGGAACCGACGATGCGATATCAACAACGGCTTTTGCCACAAGCTCACCGCGGCCAAGGCACTGTCGATCCATCAGAATCTCGACCGTATTAATCAGGGTGAACGGTATAAAGGATATGACTGGTTTGAGCGAGCCAAGGCCGGCCGTAGCTCGGAGACGAATCACGCTTTCATGGCCATGGGCCTGCGCGAAACACAAGCAGCGGATGTTTTTATCACGCAAAAATGGCTTCAGAACCGGGTTTGGCTGCTGTGCTCGACTCATGGTCTTTTGGGTGGTCATTCCGAGCGGCCTGAGTTGAGTTTTCATTATCCAGTCTCCGTTGCAGAGTCGACTCTCCAGCTTTGCGTGTCGTTACGACTTGGTTCGATGGAGGCCCACGGGATTGGATTGGTATGTTCTCATATGGCCACTATGTTTCGAGGGAGTGAACTGACATACATCCTAGGCGGAGAAATTGTTCGATATTGCCACTGGTGCAATTGATGTCTTTTGCAACATGAACACGGCTTCCGGAATGGCGTCGATATCCAACGCCACAACGCTACAGGGTCTTACAGAGGACTTTCTGCTGCTATTGACAACTTTTCGTGGAGGAAGCCATCCATATCTGGAGAAATTTAAAGCTCGCCTGCGGTCATTACGAATTCTGGGAGACAAGATCCTAGATTGGGCCCAGCAATGAAATCTTTTTACGTATAATAAATAATGTGTCTCCATGGGCACTTTTAATGTATCGAGCTGTTGTATATACGAAATCACAAACCACCTGCACTGCTGCAATGACAGGGATTTATGTACAGGGGAGAGAGTCTAGAATTTCTCTGACTCGTCCGAAATAGCCTCTCCAGTCCTCGCCTCCACCGATGTCTTATAGTTCCGCCATTTCCACATGGGTATCTTCGCAGCGTACATCTCATCAATCTCGGCAAAAGTCCGGCCGCGAGTTTCAGGCATGAAGAAAAATACAAAGACAATAATAGCAGCCATGCAGCCCGCAAAGACAAGATAAGTCTTTGCACCGAGGTTCGCCGCGTCGGCGGAGGTGAGCTGCGGAACCGCGAGTGTGGTGATCACGGCAGTAGTCTGCGCACAGGCGATGGTATAGGACATGGTATGGTGGCGGAGCTTTGGGGTGGCCATCTCCGAGGGCATCAGATTGGATAGGGAGAAGAAAGACGAGGCCCAGAAGAAATTGAAGATGAATGACAACGCGGCGATGCCCAAGGTGGAGTGCGGGTCGTTTGTGTTAAAGGCGAGACCACCCGCCAATGCATCGATGACGAACAAAACACTCATTCCAGCGAAGGCCGTCGGTCTGCGGCCGGCGCGGTCGATCACGAATGGCGCGGCGATGGTGCCAGCCAGAGTACAGCAGGATGCAATGATAGTCAGCGAAAAAGCATCACCAATTCCCAACTCCGTGAGGAAGACGGTCGTGTAGGTAGTTGAGAGGATGATGCCGGAGATCTGATTCAGAGAATAAAACGAGCCCGCCGTGAGGGTCCTTTTGAGATGTTCTCTGCGGAAGATGTGCCAGAACTTGACGTCGGTCTGCAGCTCGCGTTCGCTCTCTTCGCACAGCGCGATGAGACGTATCTCGGCTTCGACCTGGCCGTCGCTGAACCCGCGTAGTCGGCGGAGATTGTGTCGTGCGCGCTTCATGTTCCCCTTTGACATGAGCCATTGCGGACTCTCGGGGAGAGGAATGGTGAGTACGAAGAGGATGACGGGGATGACGCATTGGATGGCAAGTGGAATCTGGTAGGAAAGGTGGTTATCGAGCTTCTCGGTGCCGAAGACGATTACCGTTCCCACAACCCCGGCGGTTAAGTTGAGAATATTGATTGAGCTGACGCTGCGGCCTCGCACAGAAGCGGGCACGACCTGTTATTTTGAGTTAGAAATGACGGCATATGTTTTGAGAACGAGTGCAGGCATGCCTCTGACAGATACAAGGGCGCCGTAGCATTTGCAATTCCCATGGCCAACCCGCTAATCGAGCGTCCTCCTACAAAGGCGCCTAGATTAGGGGCAAGGACTTGGAGCAAGGCACCGCCCACGGAGATGATGTAGGCAGCGACCAATGGCCATTTCCGGCCAAAGTGAAAGTTCAACGGCGAAGCGACCACGGCGCCGATGATGGAGCCGACCAGAGGCACAGAGAATATCAGGTTCTGATTGCGCGCTGTGAGCACATACTTCCCGGTGGCTGGATTGAGACCTTGGAACTTGGCGACCTAAGTATAGACAGTCAGTACTTGCGTTGAAGAAGAGACGGTAATATGCTCACAAAGGGCGTCAACGCCGCAACGGGCGAGATCAACTTATCATCATATCCGAACAGGAACGACGCTGCCCCAAAGACAGCGCATGCAAAGACCAAGAGCGCGTTAATCGCGCCGCCTTGCGATCTCAGCGGTTCTGATGAAGAAGAAAGGCCAAGGTGCTGGATCTCGAGGTCCTGTTTCTCGCGAGACATGATTGACCAAAGCGAACGCGCAAAGCCTGAACGCCCCCAGCGGCCACTGGCATGGGGGTTGTTCATGGTTTATATGGCGAGGACATCGAGTCGAGGAGATCTGATCGCATGTCGTGAAGTTTGATTCCCCAGATCCGCTCATCCCCGGGTTTATTATTAATGGAGTTTCTCCGAACCCCAGGCGTCATCGACTCAGCGGTCGATGATCTGTACGGTTACCAGAGTCTGCAAAGCTGCGGTGCATATCTCCACGTTTCAAAAATCGCCGTTGATCCTGTCGCTGCCGGGGGTTTCGCCGACGATCCTCCGTGCATGCCGACGGCGCCTCCGACCAAGTTCCGGTGAGACGACGTCGAAGTGATATCCCCTGTTTTCAAACAAGAATGGGATCACCGCAGTTCGGCGTTGCGAGATTAGTTTCGCCGAGGAATCTGCATGCCAGCAGAGCCATGTGAGAGCAGATAGATGTTCTCAATGTTGCCATCCAGCTCTTAATTTGTTTTGCTGAGAACACATGCCAAGCCTAAAATGTCTGTTCTCACAAGCGCACCGGATCGAGACCTACATGTCCTTGAAGAGAAGCAGTCGCATTCTACGAGCAAGCCACACGAGGCCCATACAGAAACAACTTCTCGACGCCGGCCCTCGTTCCACTTAACCGCGCCCCATGGATGGCTTAATGATCCTTGTGGCCTTGGATACGATCCTGCAACGGGAGTATATCATCTCTCCTTCCAATGGAATCCATACGGCAACGACTGGGGCAACATGTCCTGGGGCCATGCTACCTCTTCGGACCTTGTTTTGTGGAAGATATTGCCGCACCCGATCCTGACGCCCTCTGCTGAATATGACCATTGTGGCGTCTTCACGGGATGTCTACGAGCAACTGATATCTACGGTCAGCCGGGGGCTCTCACAATGGTTTACACCTCTGTGGGGCATCTCCCCATCCATTATACATTACCGTACGTCCCTGGTTGCGAGTCTCTCAGTTTAGCAGTCTCGCATGATAATGGGAAGACGTGGCTGCGTCAGGATTGTAATCCTATCTTGAAAGGTCCGCCTGAAAATATTCAAGTGACGGGGTGGAGGGATCCTTGTCTTACGGCTTGGAGTGGAAGCCAACAGCAGCAGAGCGATTCACCAAGTCTCTACGGATTTATCTCTGGTGGGATTAGCGGAAAGACTCCCACTATCTTCGTCTACGCCGTCCAGCCCACAGACCTGCGTAAATGGAAATACCTCGGTCCTTTGATTGACGTCGGATTGAATTTCAGTCCATCACGTTGGTCGGGCGATTTCGGCGTGAATTGGGAGGTTGGCAACCTCATGACCCTGGCAGATAGTGCCGGCACGTCTCGAGATTTTGTCATCATGGGAACTGAAGGATGTCTATCTTCCAGTCTTCACAATGATCCCAATTCAGCTTGGTACCGGCGTGTTGCGCGCGCGCAACTTTGGATGTCCGTCAAACCCAAAGAATGCGGCAACATCACCGATGATACATTGACAACATATGCGTTTTCTGGAATCTTCGATCACGGCTGCTACTACGCCGCGAATTCTTTTTGGGATGCTCAGACTTCGCAGCAGATTGTGTTTGGATGGATTACGGAGGAAGATCTTCCTGATACCCTCCGCCATCGGCAAGGATGGAGCGGCCTGATTACACTTCCCCGGGTGGTCGAGTTGAGGACGATACGTCATGTTATTAAAGCGCGCAGCTCTAAGCTGGACTCCATCACCTCGGTTGAAGCAGTGCCTAGTTCGTCCAGGTCTGACACAGTCATAATTCGTACTCTCGGAATACGTCCTGACCCACGACTGAGGCGCCTTCGAGAGGATGCACGGAAGAGCCAATTGAGAGGCATATCCTTGCCTGTTCCCAGCGACGGTATTTCTACCAATATGCCGTTGACAACATCTCGATGGGAACTAGACGCCGAATTCTCTGTTAATCAAACGTGTGGGCGTGTTGGCATCGAGATTGCGCATAGCCCCGGTAAGATCTTCGCCCAGTCGTGTTTTTTTTTGCGTTATTGACACACCATCTGCCACTCAGACTTCAAGCACTGCACCACACTCTCTTGGAATCCTCAGGATGAAACATTCACAATCCACCGTCCCCAGCCTACTAGCGACAATATCAACCAGGGATTCGAGTCCGCACCACACACGCTTTTTACCTACTTTAACGAACAGGGAGAGGAGGAAGAAGAGTCTTTGCGTGTACATGCCTTCTTCGACATGAGCGTGTTGGAGGTCTTCATCAATAGTCGGACAGCCATCTCAACTCGGATCTATCATCCAGCGGACCGGTGTTTCGGGCTCCGATTCTTTGCGAACTCGATACATGATGACCGGCAACCCGCAGCGGTTCTTGTTCGTGGTGAGTCGTGGGACGGGCTTGGTGTATAATCCATACAAAAGCATAGAGAGGCTTTCACAGAGATGCAAAGTAGTTAAGATTGCATGGCATCCGCACGGGGATGAATGCAAGAAGAATGATATATTAAAACAGAGCTCGAGAAAGGACCTAAATAAGCAAGATGCACCCGTCTTGAGTCAAGTCACCATCATCACATCGTACACCGTTCACAGGCTCCATTGCATGATCGCAAAACAGAAATAAAAACAAAGCCAGATCAGTTTCTGCTTCTTGCCGTAGTACACCCGGGTTATATGCATGGGTATCAATTCATAAGGATCAAAAACGATCAAAGCATGAAGGAAAAGGAAGGAAGAGATGCTACATAGAGCGCCATTTCAGAACCTCCAACTTGGAAGCGCATCCTTGCCGTCTCGTTGATAGATGCGCCAGAAGTATACCGGGATACCGGTGATAATAAAGACGACCACGATGAGGGCCTGCAATGGCTCGGCGATGACGGCGCGACTCAAGAGAAACAAACTGACGCAGCAGAAGATGATCGGGGTGGAGATCCACGTGCGATATGGGCGTTCCAGGTAGGGTTCACGGATGCGTAGGACAATCAAGCCCAGCACGGTCAGGAAATAGAAGGTGTAGCCTGCCACACCATAGAATGTTACCAATGTCTTAAATTCGCCCATGACGACATAGATGGTTGTCAAGGCTGCATTGAAGGCCATGGCGTTGATTGGGGTGAATCCAAGACGGGACTCGTCCCCAAACAGTTTCGAGATGGACTTGCGAGCCCAGGAGCGCCGCTGGAGTCGGCCACCGCCTGGGGGACCTGAGGAGGGAGTCTCGTTACGCAGACCGAGGCGCCCGAATAGTGACGGTAGGTAGCCTTCTTTACCGGCTGCGTAGACCAGTCGGCCGCTGGTGAAGGTGGTCGCGTTTAGGGAGCCGAAACAACTGCCTGACACAACCAGTGCGAGAATGAGGGCGCCAACGCGACCGAATACTTTCCCACCGAACTGGACGGCAACAGTGTTGCTGGTCTGAAGAGTATCGTGATCCAGGACCAGAAAGTACGCGACATTGGCGAGCAGATAGCAGATGATGACCAGCGGCATTGCCGTGTGGATCACTCGCGGCAGGTCGCGCTTTGCGTTTTTGAACTCACCCGTCACGTAATTCGTCTGGTCATCCTGTCAGTGCCGACCATAACCGAAATTTGTTCAACTCACATTATCCCAGCCGTCGAATGCCCAGAGTCCTGCGTACAGGGCCACTGCAAAATCGGAGATTTCTGTGCTTGTTCCTTCAAACCAGCCGCTCGTCTTCCAGTCCTTACTTGCGCTGCCTTGAGAAGAGAGCCCCGTCACAGCCACCACAATGCCCGTCACAGTGACACCAATCAGGGCAACAAATTTGAAGAACATGAGCAGGTCTCCCAGGCGAGTTGCAGCCTTGGTAGAAATGCAGTTGAATAAAGTCACCGCAAGGAGGCCGCCAAATGCGACGCCCTTGTTGATCCACGGGCTGACATTTTCCACGTCGGCACCGATAAACGCACGCACGACGTACTCGCCGAAAATAATGGAGATGATTGCGGCAGACCCAGGCTTCAGGACCAACACCGCGCACCATGTGAAGAGGAAGCCCATCAATTCTCCAAAGATCTTAGACAAGTAAATCTGCGCGCCGCCGTTGAGCGGGATCGCACCTCCCAGTTCTGCGTAGCTGGCCGCGCCCGTCCAGGCCAAAACCCCGGCCACTGTCCAAACAATGAGCGATGCGCCCGGTGATCCAGCGTGCGCATTCACTGCACTTGGAGACGAGAAGATCCCCGATCCAATAATGAGCCCCACGATCAGCGACAGACCATTCAGGTATGTCAAGGTCTTATTTCTCTCCAACGAGCCATCCACCTGCTGATCCAGCGCCGTCGGCGACCCCAGAGGAGCATATCCAGCCTGTGTTTGCGAGAGTGGGAAGAGATTTCGTCCAAAATCAAAGGCTGAAGAGACCGAATAAGATCGCATGGGCCGCTGACGGCCCGAATCTAGCCCGGCATCGAGGTGAGATTCGGCGAGCGGGTCTTCGTCTTCGAGCGAGAGCTTGCGCGAGGACGAGATGCCATCTGGTGACGAGGAGCGCGAGGTCCCGTCTACTGAGGCGGGCGAGGAAGAGGCGAGCGAGGCGAGTTCGAGGGAGTCTCTCGGGGCGGCGAGATTGCCATTCTGAGTGGTTTGTGAGAATGCGATATGCGACATTCTCTCTCTGTCTCTCTCTCTGGATTGGAATTTATAAATCGAGTCAGGAGAGACAGGCAGGAGACTCCATTGCCGGGAGTGTGTATCTGTTAACGCAGTAGAAGAGGAAAAAGAAGAACAAGGGGGTTGATTGTCGATCCCCCGTGACGTGACTAAGTCAGTCGGGTCTCGATCTCTTTCTTCCTTTCTTTGTCTCGGTCTGACCACGACGACTCGGACATGAACCTCCTGGCGCCATGCCGTAGCTGCAGGCATGGTTTATTCACCCGGCCACAAAGAGCAATCTCGACTTCTGCGCCTTCACAGCAATCCCCCCCGAAACGTCGCCGCTGGCTAGGCGTTCTTGCTGTCGGGACCGCAGCAGCCGGCGCAGGCGCCTATTACCGCTCGGAAAGTTCGAATTCTTCAGCGACCTTGAACCCAGATACATTCACCAAGTACTGTCTCGTATCGCGCGAACCGGTCTCCGCGACCAGCAGCATATTCACGCTCCGCCCTCGGACACCCAGCGTCGCCAACTATGATATCTACGAGAAAGCATGGCGCGCCGGGATCTGGAGCGTGATGTTCAAGCAGCCGCAGCTGCAAATTGGGCGAGATTACACTCCTCTACCGACGACTGCAGCAACAACGCTAAGTGTGGATGAGGAGAACGAGGGCTATCTGCAGTTCTTCATCCGGAAAGATCCGTTTGGCGAGGTTTCGAGGTACCTGCATAACCTCAATATCGGGGCCGAAGTTGAGATTCGAGGACCGCAGATAGAGTGTGCTATTCCGGAGGATACAAGGGATATATTATTTATTGCCGGCGGGACGGGCATTGCACCCGCTTTGCAGGCGGGTCATTCGTTGCTCAACCGGCGCGGCGAGGCCCGGCCTAGGATTCATATTCTGTGGGCGAATCGCCGAAGCGAGGATTGTCTTGGTGGGCAAAGCGATACCTTGAAGAAGCCCTCAGCATCTCGGTCCTGGTTTAGTGGATGGTTTGGAGCATCTGAGAGCAGCAGCAGTGGCACCACTCCCCCAGCCATTCCCGAGCAAGAGAAACCGACTTCACAGATTGTGCGCGAGTTGGAAGCCCTGAAATCTCAATATCCGGGCCAAGTGACCGTGGACTACTATTTAGACGAGCAAAACACATTCATTGGGACCAAGGATATCCTAAGCTTCACCGAATCCACCCGCCCGACAGACAGCTCTCGCCGGAGCAAACTGATCTTGGTCTCGGGTCCCGACGGCTTCATCAGCTATATGGCCGGCCCCAAGCTTTGGGCCCAGGGCAAGGAGCTCCAGGGACCTCTCCAGGGGATCATCAAAGAGCTCGATCTGAAGGAATGGGCCGTGTGGAAGCTTTAATGTCATTATGTTGTATCACCACCAGATGCCTGTAGCATATTTGCATATACTGGGGGAGTTATGTTGAATAAAACAGTAGCCACTGTTCTGTCTCGTGTCATCACATCACCTTTTCTCTCCAATGAACCGGGTTGAAGGTCACATCCATCCCACAGCCTCATCTACTGGCCCGTCGCAAAGTCCTCGAGGTACTTGACCAGCTTCTGCGCGTTCTCCAGTGGCACAGCGTTGTAGTTGCTAGCGCGCATACCACCAACACTGCGGTGACCCTTGAGACCCTGGAGCAATCGCTTCTCCGCGCCCGCGAGGAACTCCTTCTCCTTGACCTCGTCACCGCCGTGGACCCGGAAGCAAACGTTCATGCGGCTGCGAACGCTCTTGTCTGGCACCACTTGGTACACCTGCGGATACTTATCCATGACATCGTAGATGAGCTTTGCCTTGTGGTCGGCGATCGCCTCCTGGCCGCTGACTCTTTGGGTCCCGAATGCAGTCACGAGATTGGCCATGACCTGGCCGGCAATCCAGAGGTTGAAGATGGGCAGGGTGTTGTAGAGCGAATTGTTCTTGGCGATTGTGGCATAGTCGAGCACAATTGGGCCCGGAAGACCGCCGATGTTCAGCCGCTGCAGGAGCGCAGCTGGAGGCGTTGCGGTTTGAGGCGGGAGTAGATCCTTGCGGACAATCGCGATGGTGATACCTGTCACTCCGATGTTCTTCTGTGCGCCACCCTGTATAGAGCGTTAATAAGATGCAGCCCTAGAGAAATGAAACAAACCACGTACAAAGATAACCGCGTACTTGCGGACATCGACTTTCCGGCTGAGGAAGTTGGAGCTCATGTCTGCCACCACCAGCCGCTCATCCTCAGCATCCTGGCCCAGCGCCTCCAGAGACTTGGGGAAACTCTGGAACTCCACGCCATCCACCGTCTCATTATCGCAGAAGTAGACAAATGCCGAACCCTTGCCGCCCTCCTTCTTGGTCGGAGTCAACGACCAGGTCTCCTCGGCGGGGATGGTGCCGAATTTCCCACCATTGGCCTTCTTCGCGTCCAGCGCAACATTCACATATTTCGCGCCGACCAGTCTGGCTGCTTCCTGCGAAGCCTTGAGCGACCACGAACCCGTCACTAGATAATCCAGCTTCAACTCCTCCTCGACCTCCTTTTGCAGACGCTGGAAAATCAATTCATCGATCTGCGCCTTGTCAGCGCTGGCGTTGGTTTTGGAGATGTCCGCCTCGGCGCGACGACGTCGGCGCTCGACCCAGACTGCAACCAGATTGTGTACGACGGCGCTGAACTCTCCGCTGCCGCCGGCTTGCATGAAGAGGATTTCATAGTTGTCCGGGATATCGAGAAGGGTGGTCAGGTTCGCCTTGGCTTCGTCGAGGATCTTGTTGGCGGCGGGGGAGCGGTGCGAGATCTCGCCGAGTCCGAGACCCGAGTCGTTGTAGTTGACAAAGGCCTTGGCGCCAGCTTCGACGACGGGGGTTGGGAGAGGCGCTGGGCCAGCTCCAAAGTAGGAGACTTCTTGCCGGGTCGGCATGATCGCGGTGGCTTCGGTGGTGGTGGTGGGGTATGGGAAAGAAGAAGAACAGAAAGCGGGAGAGGAAAAAATAGTAGAAGGTAAAGTCGACCCGCAACCTGCTGGATCACAACGTTACATATGTACCAGAGCACAAGAATATGTACGGACTATAAGCTTGTCCTTATAGATTCACCGGGTGAAACTGTACTTCGTTATAGCCGAGAACCCTGGCGGCTATGGCGGGGTATGAGTCAGATGCTATTGAAGCCAATTGATGGCACCCATTGTTGCTCTCTGGTCGAACAATGGATCTGCTTGATCCGAACAGCAGCAGTGCAGAGTACAGTTGTGGGTGGTGGTGCTCGGCCTGCTTGATGTTGAGCCGGGTCTATAGTTACTTCCCAAGTTTCTTCAGGACGAGTCCATACTAGATCAAGAGTACTGGGTCATGATTGGTTTTTACAATATAGAAAACAATACCTATCAGATCAATTCCTTTTTTGTTTGGTTTTTGGTTTTTTACGTTAGAGTCAAGTTAATATGGTAACTCAACATTCGGCTCGGCTCTGCTCGCCATGACTCTATACATGAATTCTCTCCGACATCGGCAGATCCATAATCACGTGATCGTGATTTCACCGACGCCGGTCCGCTGAGTCATCTCCTCTACTAATCGGGGCGTCCTCATTTGCCCGTGATTTTTCCCTTGGTGACTCGGAAGGACTGCTTGACTGTAATTGCTCGGAGAGTTGGACGGTGCGCAACATGACTGTGAGTGTCTCATGGCCCAACTGGTTTCCAGCCCAATTGACTGACCTTCCTCGGCCCATGCAGTCCCGATTGATGCCATCCGCCAGCGCTGGCCGGCGTTGGGTCTTGCTGCGCGGTTCTGTCGCCAGCTCTGTCGCTAGAACGCAACAGCGCCGGAACTTCGCCTCCACTGGCGTCTTCTTCTCGCAAGCCTTTCACTCCCAGCTAGAAGACCCCGACACAGCCGCGGTTTTCTCCTCCATGCAGGCCTCCAAGGCCGTGCCGCAGACCCTTACCGAAAAGATTGTCCAGCAGTACTCCGTCGGGCTCGCCAAGGACAAGTTCGTCAGGTCGGGCGACTATGTGACCATCTCACCTCACCGGTGCATGACGCACGATAACTCGTGGCCGGTGGCCCTGAAGTTCATGTCTATCGGTGCCTCCAAACTTCACAACCCGGACCAGATTGTCATGACCCTCGATCACGACGTGCAGAACAAGTCCGAGAAGAACCTACAGAAATACCAGCAGATCGAAGACTTTGCCAAACTACATGGCGTCGAATTCTACCCGGCCGGACGCGGAATCGGACATCAAATTATGGTAGAAGAGGGTTTCGCTTGGTAACGTTGCATTCTTCCTGCAATTCACATTCTTTACTAACGAGAGGAAGGCCCGGGACCATGGTAGTGGCCTCGGACAGTCATTCGAACATGTATGGCGGACTAGGTTGTGTTGGAACTGCTGTCGTACGGACAGATGCTGCGAGTATATGTTAGAACCCTTCCTGATTCTCTTGCATGACCCTGGATCTGATATGAGACATAGGGGCGACGGGGACCAGTTGGTGGCAAATTCCACCAACTACCAAGGTCACCTTGACCGGAATCATGCCTCCCGGCGTGACGGGCAAAGATGTGATTGTAGCCCTCTGTGGACTGTTCGATAAAGATGATGTCCTGAATCACGCTATCGAGTTCACTGGCTCTGAAGAGACCATGAGAAGTCTGCCCGTCGATGATCGGTTGACGATTGCAAATATGACTACCGAATGGGGTGCGCTGACCGGTCTATTCCCTATCGACGACGTGTTGAAGGGCTGGCTGAGGGCTAAAGCGACGACTGCCGCCATGGGTCTAGCCGACGGCCCTTTCAAGACCTTGGCCCCGCAGCAGTTCACCCATCAGCGCTTGGAGCAGTTATTTGCAAATCCCTTGACTGCCGATAAGGGAGCCAAGTACGCCAAGGAGCTCTATTTGAATTTGTCTTCGCTGTCCCCGTACGTGTCGGGCCCTAACTCCGTGAAGGTGGCTACTCCTCTTAATGAATTGGAGGCCGCCGATATCAAGGTGGACAAGGCCTACCTGGTCTCTTGTACGAACTCACGCGCTTCTGATATCGCCGCCGCTGCCCGCGTGTTCAAGGAGGCCGCTGAAAAGAATGGCGGTCAAACCCCTAAGATCGCGGATGGCGTCAAGTTCTACATTGCCGCCGCTTCTATCCCTGAGCAGATTGCTGCGGAGGAGGCAGGTGACTGGCAGACTTTGCTTGATGCCGGTGCCACGGCTCTGCCCGCCGGGTGCGGACCTTGCATTGGCCTAGGTACTGGTCTTCTTGAGCCCGGCGAGGTTGGCATCAGCGCCTCTAACCGCAACTTTAAGGGCCGGATGGGCTCGACGGATGCTAAGGCGTACCTATCTAGCCCTGAGATTGTGGCGGCGAGCGCCCTAAACGGTAAACTCTGTGGACCTGGCTGGTATCAGACACCCGAAGGCTGGGATGGTGTTATTCGGGGCGAGGGTGAGAGTCCGGACCGCATGATCACGGCGGAGGAGGCTCTCGAGAAGGTGATCGGCCAGATCGATGAGCTTGTGGCCGACGGCGAGAAGAAATTTGCTCCTGAGCCGACCCAGGCCGAGGCCGAAGCTTCTTCGACAGACGATGCCTTGGTTGAAGTGTACCCTGGATTCCCTGAGCGGGTCTCCGGTGAGATCGTCTTCTGTGACGCCGACAATATTAACACCGATGGGATCTATCCGGGAAAATACACCTACCAGGACGATGTGTCCGTTGAGACCATGGCTGAGGTGTGCATGTCTAACTATGACGCCGCGTTCTCTTCAATTGCTAAGCAGGGCGATATCCTGGTGTCCGGCTTCAACTTTGGCTGTGGCAGTTCGCGCGAGCAAGCTGCCACTGCCATTCTGGCCAAGCAAATCCCTCTCGTGGTGTCCGGCAGCTTCGGCAACATCTTCTCGCGGAATAGCATTAACAACGCTCTAATGGGGCTTGAGGTTCCACGCCTAATTAGCCGTCTACGTGAGGCTTTTGAATCCGACGACAAGGCTCTAACGCGTCGCACGGGCTGGACGTTGACCTGGGATGTGCGCCGCAGCCAGATCGAGGTACAGGAGGGCCCGAACGGACCTAAGTGGACGCACAAAGTCGGTGAGCTGCCACCGAACGTGCAGGAGATCATCGCCAAGGGCGGCCTGGAGAAGTGGGTTAAGAACGCTATCGGAGCTTGATCTTGAGCGGATTGATGGTGGAATCTGGCGTTAGACGTGATACCCGAGCTCTTTTGTGCTATATACAGCGCTTCTGTTGTAGAATGTGTCGGTGTTGCGACCAAAATGTACAAAAAGCAGTTTTTATTAAAAAAGCGCATCATTGAATCTTTGGCTTGTTTTGTACTTAGTCTGATCCTCTCTTACGCTCGGAGATCGACCCATGCTAAGCCCCGCGTTGATCAGCTCAGCTGCTCAGCCTCGCCCTGTTCGAGCAGCAACAATTCCCCTCTGCAACATCTATGGCTATTAACATGTTCATATAGACTCAACATGGACCCTGTCACTGTCTTCGGCATCATATCAGGAGGCGTCCAGGTCGCTGGGGCTATCCTCTCCACAGTCGACGGGCTAAACAAGCTACTCGGTAAATTCAACGATGCCGATCTGACCATTGGATCCTTGATCCGCGAGCTAAAATGCATCCGAACCGCCTTGACGAGCTTGCGCGAATGGGCTGAGACCAATGCGCGTGGCCCGACGCCGGAGGAATATCTCGAAGGCTTGACGGTTGCAATGGACGGGTGTCAGACCGTCATGGAGGTGCTTGAAGAGGACGTGTCGACTTTGGTGCGAGGTACACATTATGATGGCGCGATGAGGTTCAGAACTCGTGTCAAGGTGATGTGGAATGAAGAAGCTATGCAAGCGCATCAAGGGCGGCTACATGCCCAGGTACTTGCGCTACAGCTATTGCTTCAAGTCTGTCAATGGTGAGAGTCAATTATGTTTGTCTAGTTGAACATGAACCAGCTAACGACTGACAGCCATTCATCTACCGAGCAGGTGAAACTGCTTAGAAGAGCAACTAATCGTCAGATCATTCGCAAGATCCACGATGACACCGTCACGCTTCGGTCGAGTCGCGCTAGCCAGATATCACGGACATCGAGTACTGTTCCCAGTAGCAGACTATCAATGCATGACCAAACATTTGATTTTGACCCGACCTTAGCAGCGTCAATGGTCTATCGCCGGCCTACACAGCAGCCTCAGCATGTTCGGGCCATCTCAACACCAGAGAGCCACTCGACTACGGGCGGCCATAGTCCATTTACTGATCAGAGTTACAATAGCAGTCGAACAGGGACACTTGAAATGAATTCACCAACAGCTTCTCGGGAAAAGGTCTCTGCGCAACAACAGGGTTATGCCACCTTGCCGAGTAGTCCGTCCGGGCTGGTGTATCCATGGCAACAAACCAGGAGTGTATCGTTTAATCAAGTATCTCGACCTACCCTGAATTCAATGAGACGATCAGAGTCGGACTCTACAGCCTCTCGAGGAACCATGAGATCCTTGGGATCGCGAAACAACGGAAGGTTATCGTCTTTGCTTGAGCGTGTGAATCCGCGCAAACGTCAGAATTCCTTCGCTCTGTCAACAAGAAGCTCAGCAAATCTTTCTATGAGTCCAACTTTGAGCCGACGAAGGCGTTCCCGAGAACCGAACTTCAATACCAGCATCGACCTCGCCGCGGCGGATAGCGCGTCTATACCGCCGATTATCAGAGCCGCTCAAACTGGTTCGCGTGAAGAAGTGGAACGACTAATCGACCGCGGCTGTGACATTGAGGCTCGTCACTGGCAGTCCAGACGTAATGCTCTGTTAGTCGCTTCGCACTGTGGGAAAGAAGAGGTAGTTGATATACTGGTCCAGCACAACGCTCGACTCGACGAGGTGGTGCAGATTCTGCTTGAGCATGGAGCGGACATTGAAGCCATGGACGGCTCAATGATGACGGCACTGCATTATACATGCCAGGGCGGGCACCTGGAAGCAATGGAGATTCTCTTACATCACCGAGCCAACATTGAGGCAGTAGGTCGAAATCGCAAGACCCCTCTGATATGCGCGTCCGAGGCTGGTCAACTTAGGGCTGTCGAACGTCTTCTCCAAAGAAAGGCTTCCCTCTGCAGCACCGATGATACTGGCATGACAGCTCTCCACTGGGCTGCGTACAATGGGCACGAGGAAATTATCAGGCTTCTGAGTGAGAGAAGAAAGGCCTTGGGAACAGTGAATAGTATGGGACGAACAGCTCTACATTTGGCAGTCATGCAGTCTCAATTCGCGGCAGTAGAGCTACTACTACGCATGGGTGTTAGCCCCGGCCAATCATGTAGGGCAGGTCTCACGGCCCTGCATTATGCTTGTCTTGCAGATAATCCTGAGATCGCGAATCTGCTGCTTGTGACGGGTTCCAACATTGAGGCCGAGGATCAGCTCCAGCAAAGACCGATACATCTCGCCGCTGCGCGAGGATCAGTGCGTCTTCTCGATCTCCTATGTGACAAGGGCGCATCACTTGATGCCCGGGACGGCATCGGAGACCGACCCCTTGGTGTTGCATGTCGGTACGGACAAGTCGCTGCTGTACGGAGCCTGCTCGATCGAAAATCTCCGTTGTGCGTCAAGGTTGGAGCCAATTTCCGAGAAGACTCGCCGCTTTGTCTGGCTGCTATGGGTGGCCACTTGCAAGTAGTGTCGCTGCTGATTGACCGGGGAGCATCGACTACCCGGAAAGACAAGGATGGACGGCAACCATTTCGATATGCAGCGTACCACGGCCACCCAGAAGTTCTGCAGCTGCTTCTTTCATGCAGTCACATTCCCGATCTTGATATTCCTGACCTCCTTCTCATGCCAGAGGCAATCGGGTTCTCTGCGCAGTCTGAGATCTCCGACGAGAAAAAGCGGCAAGTTGACGAGTTACTTAAACAGGCCTTGGAAAACCCCGACTCTTTTAGAAATGCTGTTCCCAGCTTCCTCCGTGGCGGGGACCAACGGGAGTCTTACGAGAGAAAATTCCGTCCTCCAGCTCAGATGTCTCGTGATATCCCTCGTTCTGGAGATCCTCAGGAACTTCCCGGCAATTTGGAACAGGGGCTACCGAGTAGTCGGTCCACGACACCAGAAGGTATGCGTCGGAATGCTCAAATAGCCACCATGCCCCCGGGCACTGGTGTTCGTGATCTGAGGCAGCCGGATCAGCCAGATCTGCCTCCCCATCTAGTGGCACTGCTGCGAGAAGCGAAAGACAGATCATCCTTGCCACAACTTGAACAACAATCAGCAGAAGAAACTAGGCAGTATGAACACGTGCCTTATAATATTCCAGGGACATCAGCAACATTTATTCCTCGGCCTATACCTGTTCGATGGCCATCTCCACCCATCCAGGCTCCTTCTTCTGATGGGTTTAGGGCCGGGCCTTCTATTCCTATTGTTCCTTCCCCCGTCTCAGTGTTGGAGCAACAGGATGATGCGGCATACATTCCCCGAACGATGCTATCCACCCAGGAGTTAATTCTGCCCAGGTTTCAGTATGGGTCAATGCCTTCTCTTCAAAAGGCCAGCCATAACAAAGACCCTGGTTCTGGATCTGACTCGGAGTCTATTTCTTCAGTCTACACTGCATCCGAGGGAAAAGCCGAGCCAGACACAGATGTGAAGGTGAGTACGGGTATTCATGAAGTTCGCGAAGGTGTCCACGAACTAGCTATCCGCACTTTGTGAATATTGTGTTGCGGATGTCCTATAGTTTCTCTCTTGATAGGTTATAAATAGTCTCTATCTACATAAGCCGTCTAGTCCTTCACTTCTATTCGCAATTTGTAGATACTCCATTGTGGGTGAAGGGAGCTATGCTTTATTTCTTTACGATGGGACGAAGCTATGACTGACAACTGATACGAAGGGCACGAGATAGGGCTTGCAAACTGTTAGGTATATACAGATTGAGATCCAAGATGGTGAAATTGTAGCCTCATTTACAAAAAGATTTCTGATCAAGTTAGGGCACATTAAATTCCTCCACATGTCCGCGTTTCCTTCCCCACACCTTCATTCCCTCCATGAGGCCATTGGCAAAGTCCGCATTGAACTTAGCTCCGGACTCAGGCCATGCAACTCGTCCGTATCTCCACATTGCCCAAGTCTCTGCCATAGTCCCCTCTCGGGCTCGTAAAATACCCATGGCTATATCAACCACCGGCGGCCGCTGCCGCTCGTCGCAGGAAAAGAAAACAGTAGCACCACAAGTACCGCAAAATGTGCGAAGCACACCCTCGCTCGACTGATAGCTCTTGGATGAACCAATCAACATGTCTGAAGCTGGAGTGGGGGATATATGATCGAGAGGGACAAACAACCACCCGATCACACTGGTGCCATTGACTAATCGGCAGTCATCACAAAGATCAAGGCATGCTAGCCATTTCGTCTTGTCTGTCGGATATAAATAGTCCTTACCTGCAGGACTGTCGACAAACTCCTGTCGCGGGCGTGAGATGTTGAAGGACACACCGCCGCAGTGACATTGGGCTAGCAGAGTATCGTCCAGGGACTGTGAGCCTGCATTTGACAGAGTTGGAGTCTGGGACACGACTGATTTGTGTATCTCCATTTGACGCCCGCCTACAGAAGGGACCAACTCTGCGAGCCCTCCATCAGGCGAGTCACTAAAGCAATGTTGAGTGTACGTCCACACAGTCGGGTCATTGCTAAAGTCGAAGATTGCGCTGGCAATGTACCAGTTTTTATCGTCATGCCCCCGGTCCCCGATCTGACAGCCGCAGGTGGTGCAGAAGTACCGGGTAGACTGTGACTGGGCATGCGCATACGGTGTGAGTTTGTCAAGTCCTGACGGCGCGATAAACTGTGGCTCAACGCCATTAGGCAGCCTGGAATGGAATGAACAAAGCGTGCCGTGGGTGTAGCGGCAGACGCTACAGTGGCAGAGATAAGCCTGGAGGGGCAGATCTGGCGCCGCGACGGTGATGGTGAATTGGACGCTGCGGCAAAGGCAACGTGCAGTCAAAGTCTTGCTTGCAGTACTGGTCATGGTGATTCTATCAATACTTGAATGTGTTGTTCAAAGTCCACTAGGATCGAGGATCCTTGGTGAGATGAGTCCAGAGAGTGGGGTACAAAGAGCTCGTATTCGGCAAGATGGTTGATCCAGGCCTACCTATCGCGTTCATAACTAGAAAGACAGAAATTACCCAGATTCGATACCAATGGCCCTATGACAACTGGATGTACAAAAGGAAGAGTTTTTGTTTTAAGCTCCCCCAGGTCGTATAACCTCTGGCTGGGATCGTTGGTTAGGGTTAGATCTCATGCTCACCACGGCTGGACACCATTCACGTTGATGGCTTTCCCCTCGTCAGCATCACGCTTTCCTTGTACGACATCTTTTACAAAATTCCCCCCAACTGAGGGCTCGAGAGCGCCGATCTAGATGTTCATCAGTCAGCCTTGGCGCTTTACAATTGCGCTTGATGCTCACCTTCTTCAGAGTTTCTGGGCCAATACCGGCCAAACCAGTCGCGAGGAAGCCGGGTGAAACAGCAAAGACTTTGACTCCGTCCTTTTTGAGGATACGATACCACTGTCGCATCATCATATTGAGGCCCGTCTTGGAGCTGCGATACGCCTCTGTTGGATTCAGTGTGCTGGGTTTGGGCCATCCAGCATCCGGCAAAGCGTTGAGTAAAGCATACTGTGCATCCATCCGTTCTGTGTCGACAAGGGGAGATGTGCCGCTCGTGATGAACAGCAGCCGCGGCTGGGCTGATTTGAGCAACAGCGGGACAAAGAGCGAGGTCGTAACCTGGGCGCCGGTGACGTTGGTATCCCACGTTTTGTTCCAGCCTTCCCTGAGACTGAGATCGCCGGCTTGCATTGCACGGTCAAAATTGGCGCCCGCGTTGTTGATGAGAACATCAAGCTTGCCGTATGTCATTGTCACATAATCAACGGCACCTTCAATTGAGGCATCGCTCAGAACATCAATTTGGACTACGCGGAGAGTGCTGCAAGTCTGGGGAATCTCTTTTAGGAGCTGGGCGCTGGCTTCTTCGCCCTTCGCACGATCGCGACTGCCAATGATAATGTTGTAGGGGATCGACTCCTTGCAGAGTGCTCTGACAATCTCCAGGCCGAGTCCAGCGTTGCCGCCAGTGATGAGGATTGTTTCTGCGGTCGCCATTGTGAGGATTGTGGTTGCTCAGAATTGTGAAAAAGATAAGAAATTCGCGTGGTATCTAGTGTTGGATACAGACGGGTTGAGCCTGCTTTATATGTCTCGAGCCCGGAGATAATTCTAACAAACGACGGACATAGTTGGGTACGGATTTGCATCGAAATGCATACCGGAAAGGGTTTAGCGTTCCCGCCATATACGCATTGCAGAGTCAAAATCTAGACGTACAAGGGTCCCACATGGAAGTGCAAATCACGAAGCAATCAAATCTCTGATTCTGAGAAATCTGGGAATGCCCAACAATTTAGGACGGCGAAATAACTAATACATGACTTATACACAATGGGAAATATCAATGAGGGGTAGAATCCCTGTATGTGACCTGTAGGAATTCCAGTTCTATCTTTATAAATAAATTTACTTGTGGAAGGAGTAACGAAAATAAATGAGCTGTTACAGAGAGAAGGCAAGCAGGATAGGGGAACAGGAGATAACACAGATCGAGCTGAATAGACAACGTGTCACAGAAGAGATGCATGAGTATCAGACTTAATTAGTTTGATAGATGGTCAGATCGATCGCCTTATCAGGAACGCTCATTAGTTCTAGCATTCCCAAACGTGCGCTTGCATTTCAATGTCCAGTATAATTCCTGATAAAACATGGATAGATGAGCAAATATTTTACTTTGAAGAGAGAGAGGTCTATAAACAATGGGGGAGCACATACTGCCACGAACCATTCATAATTTGGTGAATTGACAATGGTCAGGTATTTCATACCGCCGCCCTCATTGCGTAGATTTACCACATCTTTAGGTCCGCTATAAGGTTCTCCAGAGTGAGGCATTGGGACATCAGAAATGTGCCAATTCCGACCTAGATGAGGTATTTCGATATCCTTGCTGATTTCTTGGGCGTGACTAAATATTAGATAATGTTAATCCTAGGTCATGTATTATGCAGCGTGATATTCCTCAAAGTGGAGATAGACGAGATAGAAAAAAAAACTCACAGCAGTTCATGAAGAACTAATGTTCCCCTTGACATCATTTTGTATGAAACATAATCATGCAAGACATGAGGTGCAGCAGAATTGGGGCACTTATAATAAGATAAGGAATGATAACTGTCCAGACCTCTCTGGCAAAAATGGATCTCAGAGTATGACCTGACCCATGTCTTAGTTTCTGTATCATAGCCAGCATAACAGTACCCGAAGAGATCGTCTTCGACGCATCCATTTTGGAAGTCAACTGCATTGATGACTATGCGACGCAGTCTATCGGCACCGGTAGAGGGATCAATGGTACTCGGTGAGATAAGTCGACGGAGAACCTTCATCACCTTATCCCAACCTTCACTTGGGAAATATTTAGAAATGATTCTGTAGAAATCATCAACTTCGTCGCAATCTTCTTCAAGATCATAAACACGAAAGATAGCGTGTAGCATCGTTGTCATATCCTCGAATCCTCGTATAATATCTGCCTTGTCACGGCTCTGAGCAGGGAAGTTGATGAATTGGCCAAGTGCCCGACTCTCGATCCTGTTGAGGCTATCTGAAGTGGGCCTATAAGGTAGGAGCGGCAGATGAGTGATATGTCTCAATTGATAATCTAACGCATAGAGCTACATGGTTATGAGCACATACCTCGACTGCCCGGGAATTGCAGTCCCCCAAACAATGCAAATCAAGAATGTGGCAACGATATAGTATTGCCTGAGAAGCATTTTCATGGCGATGAAGATCAGAGTCAAGAAGGGAGCGGGAAATGTCGCAGTAAAAGGAACATCATATGATTAGAAAGATTTCAAATTATAAGAGAAAAACCGACACTTATATTGGAATCATACCGGGACAAGTACTTGAACAAAGGTCCTCCCAAATCGTATGGAGGGCTTGGTTGGCTGCTATTCTTCCTCTATTGCCCTGCCCCCCACACGAAGCCGGGGGGCCAAAAATCCTGAATCTGATTCTACTAGTCGGGGGGGGGTGGGGGGGGGGGGGAGCCTGCTTCAATGTGCTACATCTAGGAGGGTCTGATAATAACAAATTTGTTGGTCTTGAAAGGGGACCATTATGTACTCGTGAAATCTAAGATAGGATAATTATAGTATTGGCAAAGACCCCAGCGAGGTACTTGAGTCTTGGTTACTATCTTTAGTACCCGTCATTCGTGGCCCTCTACGGGATCCAGGTGTAAGTCACGAATGACGGGTGCCATGAGATGTTTATTATTATTGTCTTTCGCCCCGCCTTGATCCTTCGCTAACTGATCAGCATTATTAGTGAAATAGGCCCATCCTTCGTCTGAGTGGAAGCAGAGTTTAACACTGCAGAAGAAGAGAAGTTTTGCGTCCGGCCCTGAAGACCCACCGACGCCCCATGCGCCTTGCTTGGGTAAATGAAATCATCCATCCATCCATCCAGCCAGTGCGGACCATCTGCACAAGAACACTGGCAAACACGTAGGTCGCAAATTAAGCAAATTAAGCCATAGGAACAATGGTTCAAAGCCTTGCTAGCAGCTACGAGGCGCTCCATTTCCTTTTCGTGGCCGTTGGGGCAGAAATAGGCACCCTTCACAGTCTCCATTCCAGGCCCAGAGTCTTGATGCACTCAAGTATCTGAACCTTGGAACTGTGCAGCTTCTGCATCTGGAGATCCGAGATTCAGATCCAGTTCTACTTAGTCAATCAAATACATCCTAGAGGCACGTATCAACGAAGATATTTATGTTCATGCCATTTACGGTCAAAGAAGCCCCGGACCGCTTCGTTCACTCCCCAATCAATCTTTGTCTTGGACAGAAAAATACCATCAGCCTAGTGTGCTGTCTTTTTTCCTATCCAACACAGACCAGCATCATCCCAGTCCTCACTACCGACACCTCTGCGCGAGATGAACAAGCCAGCTGGGTCCCACTTCTGCTTCAGACTGTACAGACGGGGATAATGGCTACCCCAGAACGAAACCTGAAACCCCGGTTCGTAGGCGTTCGCCTCATTCACATAGGCACCCATATGGTCCGCACCCTCCACAGACCGCAAGATCGGGATTTCTACGTCGGTCATGTTCTTGATGATTGCTGTTTGCTGCGCTAATGTGGCATTGACCGACCAACTCCGCGAGAAGAGCATGTGGGCGATCGTCTTTCTCCAGGCGGGATTGAGAGCGCTATCGATCTTGTCCCCATTCGACGCGACAGCGCCACCTGCCACCACGTGGCCGATGATCTGATCGTAAGGTCCCGTTCTAATGCTGCGCCATGCATTAGTGAGTCGATCGGGTCCATCTGCCGACTTAAGAAGATCTCTTGAGTACAGTCGCGAAGCAAGCACGGATATCGAGCCTGTGCTGTCTGAGTTCGAACCACCTAAAAGTAGGGTCTCAATGCTCGAATAGATGCTCGGAAGGACCGTAGACTCATACTGCATGATAACCCCGGGAAGTTCTCGCAGTTTTGAGCGCAGCGGAGCATAGAGCTGGTCGATCTGACTTACGTTACTATGCGCTGGGAACATCAAGAGAACCATCATAGCGGATAGGCTCGTGTTTGCATCAACGGGGTAATTCGGCAAGGTGAAGTAGTACCCAGACGCGCCGGCATCGTTCAGGGCTGGGAGCGCGGCATGGAACTCCCTGAAGCCGTCCCAGAAATGGGGATTGCCGAGCGTAGTTGAGACATTGAGGTAGGTGGCCACCACGGGCACCTCAGGGAATGTGCGGACGGTGACGCTAGTCACTACGCCGAACGTTCCGCCGCCTCCACCGCGCAGTGCCCAGAACAGATCTTGATTCTGGTAGTCGTTGGCAGTAACGATGGAGCCCTATTGGTGTGAATTCTATTAGCCGCGTCCTTGTTCGAATTAGGAAGTCACTCACGTTAGCCGTCACTACCTCGAACTCAAGCGCATTGTCCGAGGCCATGCCCTTCCACGTCCCAAAGGGCGAATGTCCTCCACCTTGGATATATCCTCCCGCCGCGCCGACAGTGTGCGAGGATCCTCCGATCACACTCCGGTTGTGCTGCGCTACGGCGGCATAAAGTTCGGGAAGGTTCACGCCGGCAGCCATCGTAACAGCCGGACCTTCGCCTTTATTTTTCGCACCTTTGGGTATAAAGTTGTTGACTAGCTGGATATCTTTCATATTAAAGGTCAAGATCTGTAATGACTCCGGAGCGGTCGAGCGGCCTAGGAAGTCATGACCAGAGTTCTTGATGGCCAGCCGGAGATTATGTCGGCTGGCGAATTGGACTGCCTGTACGATTTGATGGGCAGTCTGGACCTTCGCAGAGTATAGCGAGATCCGACCCTGGCCGCATTCTGTGTCCCGCGGTGTCGTTTCATAGCAGCTCTGGTGGCGCTCCGGCCAGGCCTCCCAATTCTCCCATTGCACGGCACCAGGCTCGCTCGCCCGCCAGGTGGAATTGGCCCATTCCTTCTGGACAATGCTACAGGCCTTCGCATCGAAGTCGCCCTTGTGGCAAACTGCGGCTACGGGTCGCACGGCAACCAGGTTACCCTGGATGGTGTCATTCAACGCTGCCCATTCATTGTCCGAGGGCCAACAGCTCTGGTATGAGAGACATCGACAGTGGGGCGTCGACGAAACTGCAAGAATCAATAGGGGTAAGAGAAGAAGGTAAAGAAGTATGGACATAGTTAATATGTTTTCCGGTGACTGAACCCACGCAATTGAGGCAGGATCTCTACGGATTTATATATTTCACTCATCCCTGAGGTGGACACTGCAGATACGAGACTTTCCGGATCGGGATGGATAATATGCGTATTGGGGAACACAAAACCGCGATAAAGTTTACGAGCGAGGCTCAGCAGGGCAAATCTTGGGTCCTCGTAATTTGACAACCTATCGGGACATCATGGGTCGCGCATTACATACTTCCTACTACTCAGCCCATGCAGTATTGTCTGAAGTCACACCGATGCCTCCAATAGGATGTAGTCTTTGCACACCATTAACATGGCAGTGGATTAGGTACCGCCACACTCCATCGTAGTTAGAAACAGAACGGATCAGGGGAGATGTAAACTGTTTACTATCGTATTCAAATCTCAAGCGGGTTGAACCAAACTCTATTGATTGCCTCGATATCTTCGCCATTATTAGGCAGCATTACAAGTGCAGACGAGAATTCTCCCTTCCAACAGAAGTCCACTCGTTCACGGGTTAGGAGGCTTAGCAAGATCGCCTGATTGGTCCCGTGTCGCGATCACGTGAAGTCGTCCCATGCAGCGACACCAACTTACTTCCCAACTGCCGCAATTAAAGGCAAAGGAGATTCACATCCCCAAGACTTACCGAGGATCTCTTATTTGAGGCGAAAAGCCAACCCGCGGAGAGTCTTCTTTCAGGACAGATGCCTTCCGATTCTGAAGGAGGATTCACCCGTGATCAACATCTCCAGACTGTGTTCCGGGTATCCGTACCGAAGAAAAAGCAGCCATCTGTGTATCATCGGCGAAGAACACATCAGAAATCTCGAACAGGCTGCCTAGTCTGTAAAAAGAGGAGAATCAAGGTATGGGCCAAGCAAAGTCCATATTTCGACCAGAGTAACTGAAGTCCTGGACAGTGCGATGAACAAAAGCCATATTGTCAGAGATGTCAGACCCGGGGTATTCCATGCTGCTACTCCTCGGAATTAGTTCTGGACGGAATGTCGACCTCTAGTAAACCGACTACCACCCTATTCAGTCTGTCCCTTGAGAATCTCATGGACAAGATCGAGGGGACTCTGAGCCTCGAATCGGCGTGGAAACCCTACGCTCTAAAGGACCAAGGTTCCGTTCATCCGATCAGCACAGTGGCATTCCAGCATTTTGTAAATTGTTCAACTAAGACAATTGCCCACCCTGCCATTCGGGATATAATGAAGACGGACGTGATACGCGTCTCATTCGCCGTGAGTCCTTCTTTCCCGAGTATATCTTCTTCTGTACCGTTTCTTAATGGCGCGATGCGCGATTCCAGAGTACTCACTTAATGTACACGGTCCTCGCAGTCGGTATGCTCCATCTCAATCGACTTTCGCCCAACAAAGAACGATCCTTTGCAGAGTCGTATTTCTGGCAACGGGCTATTCAACTATACCAAGCGGCATTATCGTTAAGGATCCGCAGCGACAGTGTCGATTCCATTCTGTCTACTTGCATGTTGATGGGTGCCATGACGATTTGCCCAGAGCATTTCAAACCCACTGATTCTTGGGTTCTCACAAACAGACCAGAGGCCATGAATTGGCTCTGCCTTCAAAGTGGGATTCGATGCATATTATCTCTCGCCGCCCCATATTTATCCGGCAGCATCTGGGCTGCTACATTCAAAGACATTGACAACGAAGAGAGTCAAATCTTCGACCAAGGAGTTCAAAATGGACGAGAAGGTCTCAATTCAGATTTGGCAGATCTCTGTCAGATTGATGATTTCACTACGGAGAGCACCAACCTTTATTATGGTCCTCTTCGTTTCCTTTCCACGCTCCTGGGACTGGAGAAATCCAGCCACAACTCCACCCATTGTGCTTCATTTATTGGCCGATTAGACTGCGATTTCCTTAATCTTCTGAGGAAGAGGGACCCCCCTGCTCTTATCATCCTGGCACATTGGATGGGACTCATGTGCTTGTTATCACAATGGCAGCCGTGGGTGGAGGGGAGGATCAGGGCGGAGTGCGTTGCAATTTGCATGTTTTTGGAAGATAGTTCCGACCCCAGGATAATGCGGCTGCTGCGCTTTCCAGCGGATTCGTGTGGATATGAACTCAATCTGTCCTAACTGGGTCAAAAAAAAGAGAATAAATCTGCAACCAGGAGCTTTCGTAGATCCATCTCGTTTCTTTACCTTTTAGATTGTTTTCAAGGAAATTCGTGCAAGCGATAGAGTGTGCTCAGTTTGATCCAGAAGAACAAGCAACTCTCTCGGATATGTTACATGAATACAGTACAATATTGACCACAGCCTGCGACATTGCCACAATCGGTAGGGCGAAGACGTTTCAAGATAACAACGCCAATCACAGATCCACGATATGCCCATGAAAGTAATTACCAGCCACCAGCTCCTTGACGGCAGCGATATTCCGAAATTCCGCGAGTGGTACTTCTATTTCTTGTAGCAAGATCTACTACAAGGGCACAACGTGGGATTCTTATTTTTATTTTTAGCAAGCGTTCGTTGTTGGTTGGTGGCCTGTGTCATTTCCGCCTGTCTGTGTGACAAGACTCCAATTTGGAAGGTGACTTGGATTTCTAATCTAATCGCGGAGTTCGTGGATGACCAGCTCTACGGCGGCGATCATCAGGTCTAAGAATAGAATCTGACACGCTGAAAAAAATACACTCTGTCCTTCCTTCCTGAGAAACCAAAAAGGGACCAGCACGAAACAATAATAGAACACTGTGTCCGAATAGAAATTCAAGACCGATCGGGCCAATGACATGGTGTCTCAATCTCGAACAAAACAGGGCATAGGAAAGTTCCTAACTATGGAAACACACACCACCTGCCCTGACTCAGACCTGACACGGTCTGTGCAGGAACAAAGGTCGCTTCCATTACATTCCAGGCGACGGCGACGTTTCTAGAAGAGACATGGAAGCTGGACACTGTCGGGAAGAAGGGTGAATGACCCTGGGTGAATGGGCGCCTGGGGATGATTCATCAGCGACACCGAACAGAGTGCCCAGGTGCAAGGCAGACATTACAAATATGATCTGGGAGCTTCCTTTTTTCATGATTTATAAAATAATATCACATCGCAGTTACAAATACAAGCTCTCGAGAGTTGTCAACCTCTATCGTACAATACACTACACACTTCAACTCTCTTTCGTCATAATGGGCAGAGGAGGATATAACACACCATCCAACTCGGCAGCGCATGCGCTGCAACTATTCGCCAGTGGCAATTAGCCACCTAGGCAGGACCGTTATGCGCGGGAGAATCGACAACCGGGCATCAGCCCGCAGAACCAAAATCGTGCCAATGGCAACAAATCAGTCCTTGGCGACAAGCCATGCGAAATCCCGTTCAGTCATTGCAGTCGCAAGAGACTACTCTCCAGGGCCAAACCTCGCTCATTTGCCAACACAGAATCTGCAATCCAGCGAGTCAGTCCACAATCTCAGGTCCCCGAATGACTATCAGAAACTTACTTCTCAAAGACAACACCCAGCACATCCTCAACATCACCGCTCTCGCCCTTGCCAGTGATTTTCGCCAGCATATCTGCCGCGAAGCGCAGATGTTCCGCCGCGGTCACGATATCTACCTCGAGCTCAAGGGTGTTGACGCCAGAGTTCTCGCGCGGAGGATGAGCAGGAGAAGCTTGAGACAGGAAATCATCGAGATGGTCGAGGCATCTTTGTAGATTAGAGCTTTGGCGATGTGTCACGCCGAGTGAATCTTGCCAATAAGATGTGTCATATTGACCGCTTTCGTCGCCTTCGGGTGAAGCAATCTGTTCAAAGGTCGAGATCAGGCCGCGGAGGAATCCTTGTAGATTTCCCGGGTCCAATTCTGTTAAAGATGATGCACCACGCTGTGCTTCTTCACATGAGATGGCGAAGATCCGGTCCAGCGGGACTGCTGGGAAGACTTCGTGGATCCTGTTGGCTATTGCCTCTGGGAGAACGCCGGTTCGCCGGGCAGCAGGGAGTCTGTCGCATTTGTTGACGGCCACAACAAGACACTTCCCAGCGTCCAGACAGTCATTCACTGCGTCAAGCACCTCCGGTTCGATAAGAACACTGGCACCATTTGAATCCTTTTCCACAGAGACCACCACCACGACAACGTCCGACTCCAAAGCTCTCGCCCTCGCCCTGCGAATACCTTCTTTCTCCACGGCCCCAATCACAACACCCTCTCCAAGCCCAGGAGTATCAGCCCGAATACCAGCCATATCCCCAAGCTTACAAAACCACCCGCCCAGGTCAACACCCACATCCACAATATCCCTCGTAGTCCCCTCCTCTGTCGAAACAATCGCAGCTTCCTTCCCCACAACCTGATTCAGCAACGAACTCTTCCCCGCATTGGGCGCACCCAACAGTGCAACTTTGATCCCATTGCGCAGCAACTCCCCCTTCGAGGCATTGCGTATATGGAACGCAATCTGCGTCTGCAACGTGCGCACCTGTCCTGCAACCGATCCAACCAGTTCCTCAGTCGACTCGTCAAAGTGCTGGTCCTCACTGAAATCAATTAAGGCTTCCAGCTCTCCCCTCGCATACAACAGCTGCTGGCGCCAGGACTCGTATCGATTCAGCAATGCGTCGCTCGACCCCCGCACGGCCAGTCGGCGTTGCTGCTCCGTCTCGGCGGATAGTGTATCCCCCAATGCTTCGATCTGGGGTAGACCGAGTCGGTCGTTCATAAATGCGCGGCGGGTGAACTCGCCTGGTTCTGCATACCGAACAACGGTATCAGGGTTGTTTGTTCGCGCGATGGCTCCCAGTACCGCTTTGGCGATGGCCGGGCCGCCATGGATGTGGAACTCGAGTACATCTTCGCCAGTCACGGTCTTTGGCGCGGAGAAGTAGAGAACTAGCGCGCCGGCATCGAGGACGCTGTTCGCAGATGGCATCTGGTGTGGATCGTAGAGGGTGCGGAGGGCTGCGAGGCGCGGTTTCGGGAGCGGTGCTTGGGGACAGAGCGCATTATATATCTGTTTTTATTTAGTGTGATCATGACTAAAATACATTTGAAGCTTGACTTCAACAGATTCTCATACCGATACACAGGAAGGTCCGGAGACGCGCACGACTGCAATGGCTGCTCTGCCGGGAGCAGTGGATAGAGCGTAGATTGTAGAGTCTCCATCTAGTATGAAGCGAGCAGGTCTATTCGAAGAGAAGCTTCGCCAGTGCCCTTTCGTCGGCGGAAATGGGTGGGCGGGAATCGCGACATCGTGTCGGACGTGGCGGAGGCTGTTATGTTGTAGGGATCGGTTCCATGATGGGCGGAAGGGAGCTGCCCAACGCGCGGCTCGAGGACAGGATGCTCGCATGCGCAGAACTAGGCGACAGAGAGGAGAAGGCAACAGTGCAAGTTGGAGGTTGTCGCTGCCTGTCGATAAGGTGAGACGTCACGTGATAGTATATCAGCCTCTACAGAACAAAAGGTGTATGTGAGTGGAAGTGTATGTACACTGTCGAAGTATCTCCAAGAAGATACAGCAATCCAATAGAAACAGCAGGGGGGTCTCTATCATACCCGCTCTAAAACAAAAACCAGCTTCAACAATACATTCAGTTCATGCAATTCAATGGCGCCCATCCGATCATGGCGACATGCTCATGCCCGATAACACGTGAAAGTGCAGCAAAAGTCCGGTAGAAAATTATGTACAAGGAGAGAGAGGGGTAGCAGTGGGAGAGAGAAATGACAGGACCGCAAGAACAAATGACCATAGTGGGTATGCAAAGGGATGCCCCCGACAGACAAGAATTGCACAGAAGAAAGGAACGAAAAGGTATGTAGATTGTATCATGACAGACACGCCATGCTTGCCAAGGCTCATAAATGTTTCAAGGAGGGAGAAAGGTAGAGGGTGATTCGGGGGATGGGGAAGATGAAAAGGGTATTATACAATCAAGGGCAGAAGAAAAGAAAAACAAAGATTCAGAGACGACATGAGAATCTATCAAACATTAAATTAGAAAGGATGATGAGCGAACGACGTCTCGTCACAATCAATCCGACAATTCAATCGGCTGGGTCGCAGTGGAACCTTCAGTTTTATCATGCTGCTCGGACACGACGATCGAGGGCGGCTGTTGTGATGCTGACTCGTCCTCATGCGGTGGAGAAGGTAGCGGCTGGTCGTCCGCACTGGGAGACTCGGGCTCTGGCACAGACGGGAGCCCCAAGCCATCGGCACTATCTTTGCTCCCGCTTGTTGCGCCATTGCGTCTTCTCGCGCGGCGATTTCGGCGCTCCTCATCGGCACTTTCTCTGCGTCTTCTCTGGCGCTCGCCGCTCGTATCGGAGTTGCTTCTCAACCCCATGAGCATACTGGCAGCACGGTCAGCAACGTCCTCGCCCTCGGAGACTTCCTTGCTGCCGTCGTCACCCTCTTCGAGGATCGGGGGACTCAGAAGACCATTCTCGGCAAGGCTGGTCTCGCCGTTGGCATCCTCCCCCTCGTTGCCCTCTCCCTCATTACCATTGGGAGCCTGCTGGCCAGAGGCAACGCGGACCTGGTGCCGCTCCTTCAGTCGAGCACGACGACGACGATCTCGCTGGTCCTTGGCCTGAGGAGCCGCAGCACGCAACTTCTCCAAGAGGGAGTCCATGGCACCACTGGAGGCAGCGGAGGTGGGCGATTCCGAGGGAGTGGTAACGCTGTTCGCGAGGGTAACGTTGACCCGCTTGCGCGCCAGAGACGCTTCGGTGCGCTTCCTGGATTCCTCCAGAGCAGTATTCTTCTCTCGTGATTTCTAAGAAATATTGTGAGCAGAGTCAATAGCACGAGTAGTGGTAAAAACTAACCTTCCACTCCATGAGGAACGAAGCCAGCTTCGCAAAGAAGTCGCGGCGAGAGTTCTCGTCCGTGTTATCTTCGCCATAGAAGACCATGATATCGTCATACGACTTGATCATCTCATCCAGGTACAGCTGTAATTGCTCGGCCTTGCGTCGAGCGTCCTTCATGGATCGCTGAACCACATTGCTGACTCGGTCCTGGGGATGGAACTTCTTGGGGTCACTCAAGTTGCCCGCATCCAAGCTAGACTGCACGTTCTTGATGTTGTTGATATACTTGGTAGCGTCCTGGCGCAGCAGATCGACGCTGACCTTTTGCAGGCTAACCACACCGGCGATCTCATCGACGAACCCTTCCCATTCGGGGTACTGGTTGCGAACGATCCGTTCGACGAGATCGGCGAAGGTCGTTTCATTCTTGTCATCCTTGACCATACCAAGACGAGCGAGCGAGCTCAACTTGAAGCCCTGGGCCTGTTTGTTTGCGTCGTTCATGAAGTTTCCAATATCCAAAATCAGGCCAAGAACGTTCATCAATGAAACTGAATCCCGCAGCGACTCGCTGACCTTCACGATATACTGCAACTTCTCAGAGAGGTGCTCGTACTCGGGTTCGAAGGAGCGAGTCAATGCCAAAGCCCTCATTCTGGCCTTCCAGTAATGATTCAACTCGTAGGCAGTGTAGAGGTAGATTTGATCCTCGCGAGTCAATTCGGCGGGATCTTGTTCGCGCTCGGAACTAGCCGCACCAGGACCGGTCCAGTCCATACTATATGCCGCCATCAACTTAACCACATTCTCGGGGATCGTGCAAAGCTCGTCTCTCTGCAAGAAATCCATGACAACCATGTTATCCAGAATCTCACGGTCACAGTGAATAATCATCCGCACCACATCTTCCGCAGGATATTGAGAGAACTTGGCCAGGGCGATCTGGAAATTCTTCGAGAGGTCGTTGGAGATGATTTGCTTCTTGTCCTTGCGCTGCTTCGCCGCTGCACTATTCCCGAAGATCTTGGTTTCCTTCGCCATGAACAGACGCTCAACCTCGTCCAAGACGCCCTTCTTGGCCAGGTCGGTATATTTCTCTTCCTTCTCCTCCTGTGTCGGTGCATGCGTCGCCCAGACCGTCACCTGAGGAGTATCGACCTTGTCCCAATGCAAAGCCTTGAGTTTCTTCTTAGGACGAATAGAGGGCATAGCGGTCGTTGATGGTGCAATAGAGTTGCCATCCAAATAGGCTGGTCTCCAGCCCGCTCCCAAAGGAGCGCTTGGGGGAGGCGGAGGCGGCGGAACCATGCCAGTTGCTGAAGATGGGGGCGGAGGAGGCGGAGGGGGAGCGAGTCCCTTTGCAGCTCCAGGAGGTGGGGCTAGTCCCTTCGCTGCTCCAGGAGGAGGAGGTGGCGGTGGTGGTGCAGATACACCCTTCGCTGCTCCGGGAGGCGGAGGAGGTGGTGGTGGCATAGCGGGCATTCCCTTGGCCGCACCTGGGGGAGGGGGCGGTGGCGGCGGAGGGGGCATGGCGGCCCGGGCGGCCTTCTCCTTCTCTGGGGATGAAATCGGTTCGTCTGCAGCAAGAGCGGCCTCTTCTGCCGAAAGGGTAGAAGGAGGTTCAGCCATAAAGGTATCGCCTTCGGCATCATCGGCGGCATATTTAGGCAACTTGGAAGCAAGCTCGCCCAGCAGACCAGTCGCCTGGGCAGTGTTCATGCGCTGCGGGCGTGACAGCTCCACCACGCGAGGTTTTTCGTACACAACCTCGTCACTCTCATCCACGGGTGTCATCGAGTTGCCGCTCTCAGGCGTGTGAGCCATCTCCGGCACATGGCTTCTCTTCCGATAAACAGAACCAAAAGCGCCGGGATCCAACCTGCGACGGGTCTGCTCCTCGAAGTCCTCGCTGGAATCGTCGTCTCCGTCCATCTTCTCACGCAGCTCGCGCAACCGATCAGATGGTCCATGCTGGCCCCAGACTTTGCCCTCAAGTTTGAATTGAGTCTTGGTTCGTTCAAGCTGCCGCTCCAGACGTTCCATAAGCCGCTCTCGGTCCATGACGCCAGGCATCTTGGATGGATCCTCTTCTGCGAGTTTGTCCGCGGTGCCGCTGGCAGCCTTCTTGGCATTAGACGCAGCGATATCCTGGGCGTCGCGCAGCATGAGATACAACTCTCGGGTCTCCAGTTCGTTGCGCTGCAGCTCCTGGGCACGCAGCCTTTGCACCTCCGCGACCTCGGCTTTGAGCGACTCGTTCTGTCGCCCTTGGAGCTCAATGATGCCAGCCTGTTCGTCGATCTGTTTCTGAAGCTTCTTGACCAGACCATCGGCACCAAGCTCTACCTGTGCTTTCATTTCATCACGCTCAGCAAGAGCAGCCTCGGCAATCTGACGGGCCTCGAGAGACTCATCGTACACTTGTCTAGCCTCTGCGTCGGTGTGAAGCCGGTCCAAGAGGCTTTGAACCGTAAAATTTAAGCCTTGCCGAAGGTCCATATCGGGAAGCCGTCTGTCCATAGCAACGTAGCTCAGCATGGCGTCCACTAGCTGGAACATGCGAAGACCTTCCTCGCCTGCATTCTCGCGGATGAGAAGCATGTGCTGCATGGAAGACAGGAAGTAGTCATGTGCACGACTACCTTGAATCTTGGTGGCAATAGCGTCGGTGATTTGGAGCGGATCGCTCATATCCTTCACCTCGCCTTCGACACTGTCCTTCGCGCTGCTGCCCTCCCGCTGGAGAAGGTCTTCGTAGTCGATCGCCTCATTCTCCCGAAACCGTTCGATCTGCTTGTCAATGACCTCGTACTGGAACCCCTCCATCTTCGTCAAGAGACGCTTGACGCCACACGAGATGAACTGGGCGCGAATGTGGCACCGTAATTGCAGGTCGGTCTCCGCACCATCAACTAGCATGTTGATGAGGATCATAGTCGAGACCGCGTACTCCATCAGCAGATTCTCCATGCCAATACCTCCGCTGCGGTACTCTTCACTGGCGCCAACAAGGCTCCCCATCTTGCCGCGGCCATCGATTGTCACCTCGACAATGCGCATCCATGCGTCGAAACGGCCAGTTTCGTTGTGGTCGTGCTTGACCTTGTCCATGGCCTGAAGGACTTTCAGGTGTCCTTGTCCCTCGCCCCAGTGACAGAGGAAGGTCAACACTTCGCTGACCATTTTCCTGGTATTCAAACGAGGCGATCCCAGCGAGGTAACGAGAGCCACGAGAACACCTTGGTGCTCCAGAGCATCATCCGCGCCATACTTGTTGTTCATCAGGCCTTTCAAACATTTCGCAATATCATACTCTCGGTCCAGATCTCGATCACCAGTCGGGGCAGCAGGAACGGGGCCGGAAGCTTTTCTTCGGTTGATTTTCTGAAGAACATTTGTCAAAGCAATCTGCCCCTGCGCTTCCACAAAAGCTTTCACCCAGCTAAAGATTTGACTTCTTAGCATGCACAACAGGAGAATTTAAAAGCAGTCCTTACCTAATCGGCTGTGTCCGTAAGCTGACACTCAAACTGGCGAGCTGCTTCGATGTAATGGTATCGTCCATGACCTTCTTGACATACCACTCAGGGCTGCCTTCTTCGTCGGCACGTTCCAACAACCCGGACATCCCTTCCTGGTACTGAGTCTGCCGCGCAGTCTGACGTCTCTTCTGCTCTCCTTGCAGCTCCGTCAACCGGTCCTGGTGGACCAGAGTCCATTTCTTGGAGGCCGGGTAGGCCAGCATCTGTCTCTTGGCTTGTTCGGGAAGATTCTGCCAGCCTCGTTTCTGCATCAAGTCCAAAAACAGTTGATCAACCACGCGGTCATCTCTCGGTCGAGTTAGGAAATGGTCTGGCGGGGGCGGATAATTCGACGGGGCCGGCGCATTGGACAAGCGGCCGGCGCTTCCACTCTGGAAGATAGTGTTGCGATCCCCCGAATGCGAAGTCGTGATAGTGCGAGCAGAGCCGTCAGAAGACCAATAATTCGAGCCCCGCGTGTTAGATGAATGGGAAGAGTAGACGCTGGCCTGGTCGAGAGACGTGCGAGAATTCGAGGAAGAGTCAATTGAACCGGCATTCGCTGCTGAACTCCCCGGTCTTCCCCACTGTTGATATCGCGCCCCGCGGTCACCCGATGTGCTGCTGCTCATGGTCATGTTGGAAGAGTGTGGGGGCGGACGCGGGCCAGAGGGGGGGGAGCTGTACCCATTTGGCGCGGACGAAGCGGCCCACGTCTGGTATTGATGGTTGCCAGCATGGTTCGATGCTGGATCATGGCGCGACGATGAATCTGGACGGGACATGCTGTCGATGGCTATCGGGGTCTTGGTATCGGAGGGAAGGCTTTCAAAGGGGATGGAGGTAATGACACCCGGCGTCGGCGCAAAGCTGCCGGTGTCCATATCATGGTTCAGGTCGACAGACTGAATCGACGATCGTTTGGAGTAGCGAGATGAGCGAGAGCCCGCCGCATTACTGGCCGCGGGCGGCGCCAGGCTGTCGTGTGATCCGGCGTATCCATCGTAGCGGTCGTCACCCGGCCGCTCTTTGTACAGTTTCCTCCCGAAAAACGACTTTCCGGCTGATGTTTGCCTTGATTTATCGGAGCCAGGTGTACTGGCTGGCATTTTGACGGGCGTCACTGGGCAGAGGCAGGGCGCAACATGAGCGTTGGGCCTAGCACTCCGAGAGTGGCGTTAAAACAAAATCGGATCGCAAGTCTTTGGAAATGAGAACATTCAAAAGAAGGTCGCTTTGGTTGGTCCCTTTTGTGTGAGTGGTTAGTTAGAACTATCCCCGGTAGAGTAGAGCGGGAGGCCGTGCTGATAGGGAGGGGACAATAACAAGGCCCGGTGCACCGCACTCACCAGACAAAGACAAGGATATCCAAAGGAGAAGAGCAAGGGAAGGCAAGTTCCTGCAAGAACGCCGTGGCGGCGAGTGGCCAAGATGGACAGATGGACGGATAGTCAGGACAAATCCCCGAGGTCGACTATTCACAACATTATGCTTGCTTAGGGGGGTTTCTTGTCTCTCGGGCCGGAGAAACTATCAGGCACGTGATCTATCACATTCCAATCACGTGACTACTTCTTCCCATCCATCTTATCGGCGCCAGTTAACTCTGGGCAGGAGGATTCCCCTGACCCAAGTAATAGTGGGCTGGCTCATCCCGCACCATGGGATCCTCAGTGAGCTTCGCAAAGGTACCAACTCCCCATTACACTTCCACTAGCAGTACGTACTCAGGAAGAAGAACCACTGACACCACCGCCACGCAGACAATCCTCATCCCCGCCGTAATCGCCCTAACAGTGTACCTCCTCTTCTCCTTCGTGATCATCCCTTACTTCTGGCGCTACCACCAACGCTACTCACAATACCTCCCCCTCCACTCCATCTCCGCGCACACGCTCTCCCTCCGCGACCGCATCGCCGACGGCGTGATGCGCTTCTTCTTGCCGGCCTCGTGGCGGGCCCGCGTAGCTGACGACCACGAGAATATCAGCATCGACGACGAGGAAGGGGAGATTATGGTCGGGATGAATATGAATTCAGCACGGAGGGAGGCCCTCGAGCGGAGGCGCAGTACGGCGGCCGAGGCGGAGGGGCGGCTGAGTCGCGATCTGGAGGAGGGCTTTATGGATGATAGTGATGACGAGGTGGATTCGCGGTCAAATGGGCGGCGGTGATGATTGCGCTTCTGTCAGTCAGTGTCTACAACTCATAGGTCGGCGTTTTTTCTTATTCCTTATTCATAGCAATGCGTTGCATCTTTCTTACAACTCTACTATCCAAAATGGTCGGGATCGACACTATTCTACTGAGAACACCCGATCAGAACAAGATATCATGGCATTGGTATCGTTAATGATGCTACAATTTTCCCAGTATATAACCCTGCTGCGGAAGTCGATCCGAAATTGAATATTAACATCCATCATCGAAACTCAGAAACAAATATTTGCAGCATGCACCGGAGGAAGTTGGTTTACTTGCGCTGGCCGTACGCCTTGGTGACATAGTCACCCTTGTGGACGATCAGGTCCTCCGGGCGGTAGTCCTCACGACCGGAGAAGTAGCTGTCGAGGATGGCCTTGGTGCCGTTGGCGTAGCGCACCTGGGCGTCGAGCGAGGTGCCGGACATGTGCGGCACCATGGCGTTGCCGCCGCCCCACGGGTGCTGGGCGTAGCGGAGCGGGTGGTCCTTGGGCGCGGGCTGGGGGAACCAGACATCACCGCCGTAACCGCGGAGGTGGCCGGACTTCACGGCCTCGGCGACGTCCTCCTTGACGACGATGGCGCCGCGGGCGGTGTTGACGAGCCAGGAGCCTGGGCATGTTAGTACGGGCTTTGTTTGTCTGGAAGATCATGGGACTCAAGGACTCACCAGGCTTCATCTTGGAAATCAGGTCCTTGTTGAACAGACCGCGGGTCTTCTCGTGCAGAGGGCAGTTGATGGTGACGACATCACACTGCGCGAGCATCTCCTCGAGGTTCTCAACGCGACGGCAGCCAATCTCCTTCTCTGCCTCAGGTGAGAGAGGCTGGTAGTCGTAGTAGAGCAGCTCCTTGCAGTCGAAGGGCTTCAGACGGCGGAGCACACGCTCACCGATACGGCCGACGGCAACAGTGCCGACGACTTTGCCCTCGAGGTCGAACTCGTTCTTGGCCGCAGCCGCGACGTCCCAGTCACCACGGCGGATCTGCTCGTGCGCGGGCACAAAGTTGCGCACCAGGACGAGGATGGTCATGACGACGTGCTCGGCGACGGACACGACGTTGGAGCCCGTGACCTCGGCGACGGTGATGCCGCCGTTGGTCTTGTTGGCGGCATTCAGATCGACGTGGTCCGAGCCAATACCGGCCGTGATTGCCAGCTTCAGCTTCTTGGCCTTGGCCAGACGCTCGGCAGTCAGGTAGCCGGGGTGGAAGCTGGGAGATGGTCAGCGAAGTCTCGTTGGGGATTGAGGGTGGTTGACGAACGGAGTCGTGATGATCACCTCGGCATCGACCAGCTCCTTGTCGAAAGTCGAGTTCTCGCCTTCCTTGTCGGAGGTGGTGACCAAGGTGTGGCCGGCATCCTCGAGCCACTTGCGGATTCCGAGCTCATTCTCGGTGGTGCCCAGCAGCATGGGCTGATCCTTGGCGTGCACGCCACCCTATAGACCATTAGCATTGATTGACAAATCCTTCACCAGGGCAGTACTTACATCGTAGAGAACCAGAAGAACTTTACCCTGAAGGTTGGCAGACGCGGTTAGCGTACGAGCATTGGCAAAAGCGCCGGCCAAAGGTGAGGCCCGCACCCAAGGGGTGCGGGCAGCAGGCTTCGACAGGCCATAAACAAATTGGGAAGCAGGCCGTCGCAGAGGACGGGACAGGGAGCGGAGAAATACCATTTTGAAGAAAGTGAGAAGTGAAGTTGTGGGTAGTAAAACTGGAGCGACGGGACGGTTAGTTATATGAAGTCATGAGTCTGCGGGGAAAGCTGGGAGGTATGCACCTTGTAGGTCGGTCGGTGTTACTTGTCAACCACTCAACTGGGGGAAGGACTCGACCATTATATAGCCCCCTCTCGTGCGACATCCGCCGTCTCCCCTCAAGATCCCACAAATGTGCTTGGGCCCCGGTCACATCGGGCATCCACTCGGGCCCGTCTCCGCATGAGGGGATGCGTGAGTTGGCGCGGCAGAGCGGACGGGTATTGGTGGGTTGCAGCGAAACCCTGTCACTTGCAGAATTCTAGAGGGTCTAGTCTGAGTGTGTTGATCTCCCTGTCTAGTCAAAGGTTCGTCTTATTGATCTCCATGATCACTGACCCCTTTGCTGACAGGCGCATATACATATGACCATCCCGATACTATTTCAGTCGAACCCTATATTATTTCAGTCTAGCGGATCTCCCTCGCACTGGATATCCACAGCACCCAATACTCCCGGTAATCAGAATCACACCCGCTCCCATTCTTCTCAACTGGCCCGATCGAAAAAGAAGACGCAACTAACTAAACTAACTAACTAAAAAGGTCTCCGCACGAGGGGATGCTGACATAATGAGGGGAACCTTTCGGTCCGTCTGGATGATGGCGGCAACAAACAATGGACCGACCGATCCAGCTCTTCATTCATAATCATGGACTTCTTGTCTCAGAAATAAGCACCATGAAACATTATTAACATCCATCGCCGAGTCATCCCCGTTCTTGGCCCGACTTTCCTCCATCTCCTCGGGCCATTATCCATACTCCCCCCTCAGACCCGCTGGCGTGAGGAGAGCGCGGGTCCGACTAAGCGTCAATAATTCTGTGCGCCGTTCGCTCCCACAGGGGACCCGTTGTCCCGATCGAGGAAAGCTGGGAACTTTCTGCCGAGTCCGGTGTGAGAAACCCGCCTGTCGGGCGACGCTGCATCTCCTCGGCGGGACCACCATGTTTGGTTTCTTCCCTGCACTCGATTTATTTATTAATGCCAGACACGAACTACCATTCTGCTGGAACATGTTGTCTCTGTCGCATCGGGAATGCAATTGTGAGCTCTGACCTAATTCATTACTATCCAGCGGAAAGAATTTCTAGCTCGATCTGCTCACTTCGCACTCCCCCCTCCCGCTACCCCTCTGAACGTGTTCAATCTCCATAGTTAGCGGCCGATCTGTCGAAACCAATTACGCATAGGTCGATCAATGGGGTGGTTTCACATGAGCTTCGATGTAAATTGCTGCGAGCGACCGGAATGGACGGTGATGACTGGCCAGCAGACATTTGGGTGAAGGGTCGTGGATGTATATGTTGAGTTCTGCCCCGATATATATTTCGCTGTACTCCTGGCAGAGACGAGCACTCCGGAATTCTATTTGCGGGAAACACCGCGCAACAGGTATTCTAGCCAATACCCGTCTATTTGGTGAACATGGCCTCTTTATTGCCATTATACGCTCTCTTTTTCGATTCGGTTGTTCTCTGCTCAGTTGTTTCCCTGAATCCATGTGGCTCAGCGGTTATCTCCGCTCCGAGTTGACTCGGCCTCGGACACAGTGACAGCGGACAATTTCCTCCGTCTTTCCATCCCTTCAGTCGTTCATTCTCTGTACATTTTATTCCTAGACATTCTCTTTTATCGCCATCTATTCTCTTTTCCTTCCGAATTCCTCAATGAGACTCCGCCCAACCCCCTCGCACGATCCACGCGCGCCTGGAACAGCGCGCCTGACATCCTCCCCCGGCACCGCTTCCTCTCCACTACGCCATGCCACTCCAGCCGTCCGCGCGCGCGACTAGACATCCCTCCACCCTTTCCCGTGACCAAGGCCTGTCCCGAATCCACCTGCGACTGTCCCGCCACACCGTCCATGCCCGAGGGGCTCCCGATCGACCATGACCACCCTTTGAACGGCACGATGGTTGCCTATGCGCAGCAGCTGTTGGTGTGTACAGGACAGCGAGATTGGAAGAGTCGCATTGAGAATGACGGTCATAATACGAGCTGGGGCGGCCTGGTGCGCGGATTGAAGCAACTGCTCGGTCGGCGGGGTCCGTATCTCGACGTAGGTTTCCTTCCTGACATGTCCACGCAGAGCCATTGCTGATTCTTCGGATCGATAGCCCTTCAATAATGTCCTAGTTTCTAATTCCTGTATCGCGCCCGCTGATGCGGCTTCTACTTCTACGGCATCTGCATTCCTCTTCCCCGCGTTCAAATACATCCCCTCGATCCCCGTGAATATCGCACCCGATCACTCTCCAGACCTGACGACCTTTGTGCGCGCATTCCTTCTACCCTCACACCTCCACGACATGCACTCTTCCCTCTCCTCGAGCAAGCGCGCCGAAATGACCCGCTCTCCCGAGTTGGCCTCCCAGTTCCCAGGCATCGTGGACATCGATTACTCGCCCACCATCCTCATCTGCGGCCACGGAGGCCGCGACATGCGCTGCGGCATGATGGCGCCTGTTTTAGAAACGGAGTTCCAGCGCGTGCTGCAAGCGCGAGGGTTTACATCGGCTGATAATACTGGGACGATTGTGGACGATCCGCGCCACGCGCATCTGGGACTGATTAGCCATGTTGGCGGGCACAAGTATGCGGGCAATGTCATTCTGTATATTCCGCCCAAGATGAGGATGGGCGAGGAAGTGCACCCGCTGGCCGGGAAGGGGATCTGGTATGGCCGGGTTGAGCCTAAGCATGTGCAGGGCGTGGTGGATGAGACTCTGCTCGGGGGGTAGGGTGGTCGCGGACCATTTCCGGGGTGGGATTGACAGGAATGGGGATATTCTACGGTTATAAATGGGTAATAGGTAGGTAGAGGATAGAATAGTAGAGCAAGATAGTTAACTATCTTGAGTGTATAGTTAGTTTGATCCAACCGCGCTAGTCCAATCGGAGCCTCTGAGACTCCCCGGAATTTTTGTTTGCAACTTCGACAAAACACCACCAGTTACCACCACCACACTCATGTCTCGCTGACACAATGACCGAGCAGCGACCATGCTGACCCTTTCACGTATCCGACTGCCCTCCCTGGCCCCCAGCCGGCGGTGTGCGACACGCCCGGTGTCCCTCCGGCGGACCTCCTCTAACCTCCCTCATACCGCGATCCGCCTCGCGACGACCTACCCAAAACTCGACTTGCCGGCGCTGGATAAGAAATGGCAAACCAGATGGGAAGAGGAGCGGCGGCAGAACTGGGCAGCGCAGGGAAACAACCCACCCTCTGCCAAACCGCAATCCTACATCCTCTCCATGTTCCCTTATCCCTCCGGCACGCTGCACATGGGCCACCTCCGCGTTTACACCATCTCGGATGTCATATCTCGGTTCTACAGGATGCGCGGACACGAGGTCCTCCATCCCATGGGCTGGGATGCGTTTGGTCTGCCAGCAGAAAACGCGGCCATCGAGCGAGGCGTTGATCCGGCGGAGTGGACGGAGCAGAATATTGCGAAGATGAAGGCGCAATTGCGGAGTATTTCCGCTTCCTTTGATTGGGACCGGGTATGTTGATGTCAATCAATTCGGATTGTGCTGGCTGATATTTATTTTTATTGGATGTTTAGGAATTGGCAACCTGCGCACCGGAATTCTATGAGCACACGCAACGGATCTTCCTCATGCTGTACGAACAGGGACTGGCGTACCAGGCGGAGGCATTAGTCAACTATGATCCTGTGGACAAGACGGTGTTGGCGAATGAGCAGGTGGATGCGAATGGGTTCTCATGGCGGTCTGGTGCGAAGGTCGAGAAGTTGAATTTGAAGCAGTGGTTCTTTCGCATTACCGACTTTAAGGAGATGCTCCTGAGGGATCTTGATTCGTTGACTGGTGGATGGCCAGAACATGTGTTGTCGATGCAGCGGAATTGGCTGGGCAAGTCGGCTGGTGCCCAAGTTCGGTTTCCTGTTCTTGCTGGGGAGGAGGAAGTCGATGTGGACGTGTTCACCACGCGGCCGGACACCTTGCATGGAGTTGAATATCTGGCTCTGTCGTTGACTCATCCCCTTGTCTTGAAGGCTGCCGAGAAGGATGGTGAGCTGCGCAAGTTTCTGGAGGAGGCGTCATCGTTTCCTCCGGACTCGAAGGCTGGCTACCGCTTGATCGATATCGAGGCCTCGCATCCGTTGCAAAAGATCGACCCCGACAGCCCTCATTTGGCGCGCCGGCTTTCCGTCTTCGTGGCACCCTACGTTCTCGGCGACTACGGTGGAGGCGCTGTGATGGGTGTCCCGGGTCACGACACGCGAGACATGATGTTCTTCAAGGAGAATGTGAACCCAGAGTCGATCACTGTTGTCATCGAGCCGGAGCCATCAGAAGCGAAAGACACGACTGTGCCCGCTCGAGACGCGAAAGCTTTTACTCATAAGGGGTTCCTCACGTCTCGTTGTGGGAAATATCAAGGCATGCGCTCGAAAGAAGCCGCGGACCAGATCGTCACCGATCTCAAGCAAGTCGGACAGGCTGATTTCGTTGAGAGTTGGCGGTTACGGGACTGGTTGATCAGTCGTCAGCGCTACTGGGGTGCCCCGATCCCCATAATTCACTGTGGTGATTGTGGTGCCGTGCCGGTGCCAGCGGAAGACCTTCCAGTGAAGCTCCCGAAAATTCAAGGAGATTGGCTAAAGGGCAAGAAAGGCAACCCGCTCGAGTCATCCGAAGAGTGGCTTCATACCAACTGTCCAAGCTGCGGAGGGCCCGCGCGGCGTGATACAGATACCATGGACACCTTTGTGGACTCATCTTGGTATTACCTGCGCTTCTTGGATGCGGCGAACAAGGAAGCCCCCTTCTCACCCTCTGTGGCGTGCCCGGTAGATATCTATATTGGAGGCGTCGAACATGCCATCCTGCATCTGCTCTACGCCCGATTCATTTACAAGTTCCTTGCTCAGTCTGAACTTTTCCCGGCATCCAGCGAAACCCCGGCAGAGCCATTCAAGATGCTGCTCTCTCAGGGAATGGTCCACGGCAAAACTTTCTCAGAGCCCTCGACCGGCCGGTTCCTGCTTCCGTCTGAAGTGGACCTTACCAACCCGGACAAGCCTTTGATCAGCGGCACTAAGGTGGCGCCCAACATCTCATTTGAGAAGATGTCAAAGAGCAAACACAACGGGGTGGATCCCACAGTGTGTGCGTTGAAGTACGGCGCCGATGCAACTCGCGCGCAGATCCTGTTTTCGGCTCCGGTCAGTGAAGTCCTCGAGTGGGATGAAGCGAAGATTGTTGGTGTCGAGCGCTGGTTCGGTCGACTTTCGAAACTTGTCTACGATGCGGGTGATGTGGTGAAGGAATCGGGATTATCTCTAAAAAAAGGGTCTACTGCGCATGCAGCTTTTCTCCCATCGTCCCTACAGGATCTGAGCGACGCAGACGCCGATGCCATCTTGGCCACCCACAACACAATCTCATCCGTGACAGCCTGTATCGAAAAGAATCCCTACGGGCTCAACACGGTCATTTCGGACTTGACCAAGCTAACCAACACTCTCATATCCTCGCCCCCTTCTTCCCCCGCTATCTTCTACCTATCCGTCTCATCCCTCCTACGCCTCTTAGCCCCAATCGCACCCGCTCTCTCCTCCGAATGCTGGGAAGTCCTGAACCTGAAGGAATCTGAGACGAACCCAGTGCCATCAATCCACTCATCCACCTGGCCCACTCCGCTCCTCACCTCTGAACAAGTGGATATTCTGTCCTCTCGCGGCGGCCAGACCGTCGCCGTCCAGATAAACGGCAAGCTGCGCTGCGCGGTGACCATTCCACGAATGCAATCGCCAACACCTTCTCCCAAGTCAAAGGGCAAAAACGCCCCGCCCTCGCAGGAGGAACAGGACTGGATTGTGAAACAGGTCCTCGAAACCGAGGACGGACAGTTATGGCTTCGCGAGAAGAATGATTGGGAGAAGCGCCGACGGGTGATTGTTGTCCAGGGGGGCAATTTGGTTAACGTGGTGTTCTAACAAGAAACTCCTCTCATGTATGAAACTTTTCCGTTTGTTTACTAGCGATATAGAGACGTGTATATTAGGATTGGAATATCTTCCCTAAAATATCTCTTTTCTTTCCCCGTGGGACGGACAGACTGTAGCCCCCGGTGGGACAGAGGGCCGAAAGACGTGGTTAATTAAGCCTTGCTCAGATTCTATCTCGGCGAGGGAGGTCACGGATATGTATACCCGACAACAGGGTTATCTGGGTGGTTAGATTTCATCTCCTAGATATAGAACCGAGGATGCATGATGCAATCTATGTCCGATATGATAATGTACAACAATGCCAAGCAGATGGACAATCAAGACCTGGCACATGCCAAAGAGATATGTAAGGACCATCAGATCATGACGACGAGGTTGTTGCGCTCGTCGAAAAAGAAGTCAAAGCATGATACGACTCCGTCAGCGGCCACAGAGTGAGCCCGAAGGCCACAGCCCCCGTAACCAGGAAGATGTAGTACGCAACAGTCCAACCAATGCCCAGGGTGCCGTCCGCCACGTACACCGAACTGGAGGCATTACCATCAGCATCCTCCTTGGACTTTGCCAAAGGCGGACCAAGCGGCTCACCGGCCTCCACCCGTCCCCAAAACCGAGGCAGGCCGCACCAGTTGCAGAAGCTGTGGACGAGAATCACCGCCGGCAGAGATCCCGTTCGGAGATACAGGAACGTGGCATACCAGCCAAAAATAGTCGTGTAACCAAACTGGAACAGCGACCGCAGCACCGCGGCCAGCACTGCGGTGTCCGGATGCGTCAGCCAGAACTCGTAGAAGTGGTGCACATGTGCGATGCCAAAGTACAGCGGTGCCACGAAGACAATCCGGCTGGGAGACACCTCCGCCAGCATATGCAGCGGAATGATGGCAGAGCGGAACATGATTTCCTCCGTCACAGGGCCCTGATTGACAAATGATCAGTATCAAATTAGTCACAAAGAAAAGGGGCATTTGATTTGGGTACTTACGGCCACATAATTGCGCCACCCAATCCAGCCGCCCAGACTCTCAGAGAACTTGGCTCTGCGAAACCAACTCCGCCATTCGCCCTCGACCACGCCCCTCTCGAACAGGGGCCCCAGGAAGAGGATGGCAGTTAGCAAGACACAGCGGATGATGTCACCCAGATCGATGGGCCACCAGCCAAGGGCGCTGAGCGCGGCGCCGAACGAGGAATTGCCTTCTTCGACAATGATCCACAGCACGACGACAGAGCTAACGAAGCAAGACGCCGTGACGGCGCGAATGCGCGCGCGGATCACAGAAGGCGCGTCTCTGCTCAGGCTGGGAGATGGTCGCGTGGCTGGGGAGAGATAGAAAGGGGCCACATAGACGCATGTGAGGAGGATCTTTTTTTAGAGTTAAATAGTCAATATTGACTGCGTCCCGAAAGAAGTGATGTATGTGGACATACCGAGACCAGCACCACGGAGTGCACTGACAACGCGGGTTCATCTGCGACTTTGCGTTAGTCTGACCTGTCTGTCTGTCTGCCTTTCTGCCTGGCCTAGGTCTGCTACGCGTGTTGGGACATGGACATACCCATCTTCCCCGAGTACATGCCCCGGAGTCTTGCCAGGATGGAGACTGGCGCCATGGTGGTCAGGACTGGGGTGAGGTGAGGTTTTATGCTGGTTCGAATGTGTTGGAGACGGCCGGGTGGCTTTGTGGCGGGTGACCGCCAGTGACAGTACGGTATTGTGGCTACAGTGTAGGGAGTGGTAATATTGGTAATACCCTGTCACATTGACTTTCTTATTGTTTCTTTTAATTAACTATTGTCCTCGCAAGTACATGATCATGTCGTAGTCTCTAGTCTACAGGGAGTGTCCCAAAATAGCTGCCACCAAGTTCTTCCGAACTGATGGACCCAGCTCGCGTGGATCCCCTGCGGTCCGATGTGAGCCATCGTCTGCCGGTCATCCCTTGCGAAACCCCCAGCAAGCAGGGACCGTGGCCGAATTCTCCGACCTCATGAGCAATAGCGTGGCAATCACTGCAATAGAGGGCTGGGAAGGACATCAATACGGGCGCTTATCACCATCATTCGCTAACTCATCCCGGCGGATCAGGAACAACTCAGTCGGGTGGGGCTGACAGGACAGGCACAGGGACCAGGATATGGACATGCGAAGACAATAATCATGTCTCTCGGAGTATAGGAGGAGTATAGCGTGGGTGACAGGTCTCTGGACCACCTAGTCTATAGCTTCAAGACCTAATTCCAATCCAACCCCGACTCATCACTTCATCGCGGTGCAGCCAGATCGGCACCCTCTCAGCCTGGCCGAGTCAACGGGCTGCATACCCCTGCGCCCCCCGACTCGATGTGATAGGCGCTGGAGGGCTGACGCTCACCGCCGCTGGGCAACAAAATTCCCGGCCCCCCCTTGGTTCGGCGCTCCCTCTTGTCTCATGTTGTGCTTCCCAGTTGTTCGTTCTTTTTCTTCCAGTCCTTCGTTACGCTCTTTAATGTCTGAAACGATCTTTTAATTCTTTTTTTATTATTACCTTTAATGAGTCCCCGACCTTCGTGACTGACTATAGACCCTCATTTCAACTATCGATATCCGATCTACTCGCCCAGCCACGGAGCATTCCTTACATCGTTCCGATCTAGGAAAAGATAAATATTATTCTTTCGTCATTCGTGATTCTGCATTCTTGATTGATTGCCCCACGATTCTTTGGCGCCTTCTTTTATTAGACGCGCTTGTCCCTCGTTCCGCCGTTTTTTCTCGAACATGCAATAATATTCCCTCGACAACATGCGTTCAAGAGCCAAATCATCCTCTCCGCCTCGACAGCGGAGGGCTTTGCAAGAGCGAACGTCCGCGCATACGAATGAAAGATCGCCCACGCGGTCATTGCGGATGGTTTGTGAGAAGGAGGATGCTGATGTGGATGTGTATACGGCCACACCCTTCCCAACCAAACCGGAGCAGATTTTCCTGCCTGCCCCTGGCAAAGGACAGCGGGAATACCTTCCAGATACACGGTTTATGCCGGGGCCTTCGACAGCTACTTGGTCTACAACTTCCACCAGTTATGGTGCTCGGAGCAGTATGCTGGAGCATTCCACCAGCGAGACTTGGGATGTCTCGTCGACTGTTGATACCGGAGACATGTGGGAAGACGATCCAAATCTCACATCCAGCAAAACCTCTTTACCGGAGGCGTCATCGTTCAAAGCCGTCCATAGTCTGACGGAGGAGGACTCCGGCTCTGAATATTCAGATGACGAGATGATCGTCTTGCCCACAGCTACGCCAACAATCAAACCAGTACTCTCAGAACCTCCAACATCACCTCCATCACCAGGAGAACGGGAGCAAACTACCATTGGCAGCTCCAGTCCCAACGTCATGCCCATTGGGGTTCCATCAAGCCCTAACTTCATGACTCTCAACAACTCAAGCGCCAATTTTTCCTCCCGAGGCAGATCCTACTCGTTCTCGGATCCACGGGCAAACTCGCTTTCTTCATATAACTCACACGGGACGGTTGTGAGACACCCCGGTGCAGCCCCATGGATCTATACGCCCTCGTCGGAGCAAGTGAGTTCGGGCTCGCAGTCTTTCCGGTCAACTCCACCCTACCAGTCCGTCACATCCTTCCGCTCCTGGTCTAGACGTCCTTCTGGCAGTGGTGGTAGCCGGTCACGCTCCGGAACCTCATCCTCGCGCAGTCTTCGCTCGGTAGCCGATCTCGCTGCGGCAATAGAAAGCGGCATCCAAATCCAATATCCCCGGATTCGTGCTGCATCATCCAGTTCCCGGGCAGAAACATCCGTTTCCACAGATCACCACCGGGAGTTTACACCTGGCCGAGACTTCACTCCCGGTCCAGCCTCTGGCCGTTGGAACCCTCATCTGTCCCGAGTATCTTCTGTTTTCTCCGCAGAGGAAATCATGGCCCAAACCCCACCGCCGGAAGGACCTTCAGATAACACAGATGAACCCGCTGTACCAGCAGCTGCATTGGTAAAAACAAATACCAGATCCACCGTGTGGCTTGTTCGGAACTCCCAAGAAGACCAGCGCGAGGACAGCCTGACAAACCTACCCACTCGCCCTAGCATGCCCACGAGTCTCTCCTCCGGCTCAAAGAGAAGCGACAGCTCCCGCAGCCTCAAGCGTTCCGGGACAGCCACCAACACAATCATGCACATCCTGCCTGCCTGGGCGAAGATCTACTACCGCGCCGACGCAATGGGCCTCAATTCCGCTCTAAACATGTCCATGTGGGACCTCAGCCGACCAGGTTCCCGGCCCGGGACAGGCAACTCCAGTATCTTCGGTATGATGCCCTCCCCACTCAACCTTTCTCGCCCCCGGTCTCCGGAAAGACCGCGTTCCCCCGAACGCGCCCGGATTTTCCAACGGCGCGTGGACAGCGATCCCCGCGACCCTCGCTCCCACTGGGTTCCCGGTCCGGATCCACAGGATATCGAGATCGTAGGCACGCCGCGCAACCGCCTGCGCCACAGCTGGTCTCCGCACCTGTATCAGGACAGACGTCTGATTCAGTATTCCGTCAGTGGATGGAAGGCCCCGTCAATAGACACAACCACAGAGCCGACGTGGAGCCGGCGCAATGTTCAAGTATACGCCTTCTTAGTCGGATTTATCTTCCCGTTCTCCTGGATCATCGCGAGTTTCCTCCCACTGCCTAGACAGCCAAAATTGCCAGGCGAGAAGGGTGATCCAGATACAGACGTTGAGTCTGCGCTTGAGACGCAGTTGATGAGTCTGCATCAGCGGCGGTATGAGAATGCGCGCTGGTGGAGGAATCTTAATCGGTGGATGGTGTCGCTGGGTGTGGTGATTTTCGTCGTTATTGTGAGTTACCTTTTTCTTTCAACTGAAACAAGGATTGGATTTCTAACAGACTCTGTTTAGATCGCGCTCGCTATTATCGGTACTACCAACGGCTTTTGATGTCTCGCCTTCCGTCCAAAAACTGCTCTTTACTTTCATGACTTGATTTCCTTCGATTGCATTTCTTCTTACGACGGCATGGAGTCTCCGATCCGACTCCTCGCCGACTATTTACATTACGCCAACTGTGCATTTTCTTTACTGTTTCAGCACGCACATCCTTCTCCATCCACCCTACGTCGTTTCTTATATTTCCTTCGATTCCCCTTCCCCGAACACTTCAACGGGCATGCTTCATTTATCTTCGCTTCACTGAACATCTTCCACACGACTGCACGAAAGCAACAACGACTGTATGCATATATAATTATCCCGCTTTTAAATTTTCGTTACGTCTGGCCCCATCTCCCTGCCTTTTTGGTGATGATGGTGATGTTGGCTTTTACTTATGGTTATACGATATGACCCCTGTAATGGATATGTCTGGCCTGATTGCACCTGACTTGACTCAACTCGTTTTTCTGCTTGTCATGTTTTGACATACATTTCTCTTGTTTCTTCTTCCTCTTCATCATGTACTTAATGTGACACTATCTATCCGCAGCCGATTTCATTTTCTTCTAGACTCATCGTGCTTCTTGACCGGAGTTGTTGTTTACGAGAACTATTATATAGTACGGAGAAAGTGACCAACAATAGGTCTATCACTCTTAATAATATGGGGTTCACAATCATTGCCTCGGATTAAGATGCTACACACACCAACCAGGGCATCACAGTGTACTCCCAACACAATCAAAAATTACAGAAAGGGGTGAAGAGAGCCCATCTGTATATGTACATACATATTTCCCGCCGGCTCTCTATAGCTCCACCCCTTGCATACACCTCATCGTCCACCAACTGCTCCAGGGATTTCATACGTTCGGTTCTCTCATGGTCGCTGACACTGATTGGTCCATCGATTCTGGACTGGTCGTGCGGCCGTCCATTCGTCGAAATTATACAATGGAGGGTTGAGAATTCCACGGCGCCAATACAGGGTCTTAAGCCCCCTTGAAGAGCTTCCTTTCCCGGCCACAGTTCCCCACTAAAGCTTCCGCCCAATCTTCTGCTCCACAGCAATCTTCAACTCCTCACCGGAAGGCATCGTAACCGCACTCCCGCGTCTGCGGCGGGACTCAATCTCCGCCTTGACCTCCTGCACGGCCTCATCGAAGTCTCGCTCCGGATCATAAGGCAGGCCTAATGTCGGCGCGCGTACAGTCTCCTGGCTGACGGTGCGCATGATATGGGGCCGGTTGCGACGTTTCAGGATAGAAATCAAGTAGCCCTTTGCTGGGGAGAGGAAGAACGCGAGGGACACGATGTTGCCGATGATCCCGTAGAAATAGACGCGGCGCCAGACGGCGATGGATTGACTGAAGCCCAAAAAGATAAAGGGAAGTACTGCGAATGATAGAGTTAGTTGCGTCGCGGCCCAGCTGAGAATGTCGTAGTAGCGCTTGTAGGGCGTGGATTTTGTGCCGTCTGGTGTGAGGAAGAAGGGGCGGATGTAGCGGCGGAAGTCTTAAGTGTTTCCATTAGCTTGTGTTGCAGAGAATGAAGGTATGAAAGGACTTACTCTTTGCAACAGTCTGAATGAACGAGCCCAAAACAAAGGTTAGGTAGTAGCCCGGGGAAAAACCGTGCCACAGCGCACTGGTCGCGAAAGTGGCCAAGCTGGCCCGGAAGCCAGGCTTCTTGCCTTTCGGAGTGACCCGCAGATAAATGTAGTTGCGCAGCCAGTGGTTGGTATTCTTGTTCCAACTGCCCAGATACGCGTACGAGTTCTGGGCCGTCTCGAGGCTCCAGGGATCGATGTTCTCCAGGCGATTCCAAAACACCTTACCAGTCTTCTGGTCGAAGCCGTTATATCCCATGCCAGAAAGGATACAGGCGCCCTCTGTCAAAGACCAGACGCCGTAATACTTCAGGCGAGTGGTGAATGCAAGCATGTACACGATCCACACACGACGCGCGAAGGTATACGCCATGAACTCGTCCGAGAGCACAAACTCCTTGGTGTAGTAGGAGCCCAGCTGCAAGAATAAGAAGATCCAGCCCAGTCCAGTGGCCGCCTTCTTTGCGGCGGGCGTTCCACTGCGGGGAATCTTGCGCTTCTTCCGCGTTGGAGGCACTTTGGATGGGTCCGTGCCGGGGGGAATGTCGAAGAGCGTGGTGTCGATCCAGCGGCGGTAGTCATTATATTCAAACGCTGGACCGGCAAAAAGCGCCGGGAAGAAGAGCACATAGCCCATGTAGTCGAAGATACCCGGAAACTTGGCGATAGCGGAGTACTTCTGCGGGTCGGACAGCTGGTCCTGAGGCAGACGGCCGTCATGGATGTTCCAGCAGAAGGCCGACAGCTTCATGACAAGCACCATCTGTGCACCGGTAATATCAATTACTTGCGGATCGTCGAGGATTTGGCGGTGAATATGGCTAATCGACATGTGGCCCATCAAGAACAGGAACCCGATCCATGGCATGAGCGACCCGTCTACATAGTAAGCGATGGCGTATGTGCCTGCTGCGCTGTACAGAAGAGTGCGTAGGCCATCCCACAGGTCAAATAGACCAACGAGGTAGAAGAGCGACACGCCGGTAACGAAGGCATTTTTCTTCCACGGCTGGCCGTCGGGAATGCGTTTAAGAAGGCCGGCTAGCGGGTAGGATAGGAGGAACGAGGTGATGAGCTTCACTAGAGGAATAGTCAGAATGCTGGAGCTGTTCAGTGCAGGAAACCGAACATACACTCATCGGTGGATGCGCCAGTGAGCCGAGCCGGGTAGTCGAATACTATGCGGGGGGAGTCAGTTGGAGCTCAGTCGAAGGGGTGCAGAAAGACGAACGGGCGTTAATGTAGGGCAGCATGGTTAGAATGCTGTCAACCCAGAGGGCAGGCAGTCAGTTGTTAGAGCATTCGACAGACAGATGATAGAGGGCGAGAAAACAAGGAAAGAGAGAAAAAGAAGCAGGAGGAATGGAGAACGATGTCATGTGTTTCTCCCGCCCCGGTGATCTGCACTCGAGACTCCCCTTCGTCACATCAACTGCGCAACAATACAACAAACACTCCTTTACCACTTCTCCTCCATTTTATACTCCCTCCATCTCGCCTGTCTGGTGGCGCGCTCTCGCCCATCATGGACGTCGTCGCAGCTGTGTCCGGCTACATCTCCAAGATGGTGACGGCGGGCGAGTCGGCTACGGGGTCTTCGTCCACCAAGATGAAGATCCTGCTTCTCGATAGTGAGACAGTGGGAGATGCGCTCTGCTCGTGACCTTCCGGCAATGATAGCTAACATTTTCCGGCCCAGGTCCCCATTGTCTCGACCGCCATCACCCAGTCGGCGCTCCTCAATCACGAAGTGTACCTCATTGACCGCCTCGACAACTCCGCGCGCGAGAAGATGCGACACCTGCGATGCCTGTGTTTCGTGCGCCCATCCCCGACTTCCATCCAGCTGCTGATCGACGAGCTCCGAGAACCCAAATACGGCGAGTACTATATTTATCTGAGCAACATCATCCGCAAATCATCCCTGGAACGACTCGCTGAGGCCGACAGCCATGAGGTGGTGCACCTCGTCCAGGAACAATACGCCGACTTCATTGTCGTCAACTCGGACCTGTGTGCCTTAAATATGGGCTTTCCGCTACAGCGACTATGGAGCCATTCGCCAGACTTGTGGAACTCGGATGCACTCCAGCGGGCCACCGAGGGGACGCTGGCCATGCTGCTCTCCCTAAAGAAGAACCCATTGATTCGCTATGAGAAGAATAGTCTGCTGGCCCGTAAACTGGCGACGGAAGTTCGATACCACTTGACACAGGAGGAGCAGCTGTTTAATTTCCGGCGCACCGATACGCCTCCCATCTTGCTCGTTCTGGACCGACGCGATGACCCGATTACCCCGTTGCTCACCCAGTGGACATATCAAGCGATGGTTCACGAGATGCTCGGCATCCACAACGGGCGGGTAGACCTGCATGATGTACCCGAGATTCGGCCAGAGCTCCAAGAGATTGTGCTCGCGCAGGACCAAGACCCGTTCTTCAAGAAGAATATGTACCAGAACTTTGGTGACCTCGGCCAGAACATCAAGGAATATGTGGAGCAGTACCAGACTAAAACGCAGAGCACCATGAACATTGAGTCTATTACTGACATGAAGCGCTTTGTGGAGGATTATCCCGAGTTCCGCAAGCTCTCGGGCAACGTGAGCAAGCATGTTACCCTTGTGGGCGAGCTCAGTCGACGAGTTGGCGAAGAAAATCTCCTCGACGTCAGCGAGCTAGAGCAGAGTCTGGCGTGCAATGAGAACCACTCCAACGATCTCAAGGTATGCTGATATATGGCCAAACCATCCAGGCTTGACTGACCTTCTCTCCAGTCACTGCAGCGGATCATCCAATTGCCCAACGTACCGGCCGAGAATAAGCTGCGCTTAGTGGCTTTGTATGCCCTTCGCTACGAGAAACAGCAGAACAACTCTGTGTTAGCTCTCCTGGATTTGCTGGTTACCGCTGGCGGTGTCCCCTCCAGCCGCGTGAACATTATCTCGAAGCTGCTCGCGTATCACCACTCTCTGCAGGCCCCACCGGTTGCAGGCGGATTCTCTGATCTGTTCGAATCGACCTCGTTCTTCTCTGGGGCGAGAGACCGCTTCAAAGGATTGAAAGGTGTTGAGAACGTCTACACTCAGCACTCCCCGCGGCTCGAGGTCACCCTTCAGAACCTGATCAAGGGTCGCCTGAAGGAACTGCAGTACCCCTTCTTAGAGGGTAGCGGACACACGCGGGACAAACCGCAGGACATCATCATCTTTATGGTCGGCGGCGTTACATATGAAGAGGCCAAGATGGTAGCGCAGGTCAACGCCAGTTCCCCGGGTGTCCGCGTTGTGTTGGGAGGCACCTCCATCCACAACAGCACGACCTTCCTGGAAGAAGTTGGCGATGCCGTCGGTAGTTGGCCGGAGTCTGAGCCTACGACAGCCGCCGGACGGCTGCGACGGGAGGTTGGGCGGTAATTGATTGATTTGATGGAGTTGGTGGGGGGCTTGCATAGTGAATAGTTAGTTAGCTGGTGTAACTATATCCTGGGTAAATTCAAGGTTTGTCTTTCTGGTGTTGTGGTTCCTATAGTTAAGTAGATCACCATTGGCCCAAGGCATTCCGCCCAATGCGGAGAAGAATCTCACCTTCGGACATACCTTCTCTTCACTTCACCTCTCATCCTCCGCCGTAATGGACCAGAATTCGCCCCCCAAACAGGGGGCCTCTTCCCCGATAGCAGCGCGCGAGCCGCGACTGCATCTACCCTCGACCACCGACCCTCCGGGCCCTCAGAATCCACCCAAACCCCTCGTATGGCTGGTGTGTTCTTGCTTGCTCCCACCCTACACTCCTCGCCTCGAACCCTCAATTCAATGACAAATCTAACATCCGAATGACTTCTGCCAGATCTTCGGAGCAACAGGCCACATGGGCCGCTCACTTGTCAAAACCGCGCTATCGCACAACGACCTCGTCGCCGCCGTCGGCCGTACCTACGAGAACAGTCCTGAATGCATGAAGGAGCTAGAAAACGAGCACGTTAACTGCATGGGCCTTCTGTGCGACGTTCGCGCGAGAGACACTGTCCAGCGCGTCATCGAGCAGACAATCGCGCGGTTCGGGCGCATCGACGTGATAGCCAATTGCTCCGGGTACGGCGTGATCGGCGCATGCGAGGACCAGGACGAGTTCGATATCCGGAACCAGTTCGAGACAAATTTCATGGGTACCCTGAACATGATCCAATTGTCACTCCCACATTTCAGGGAACGCCGCGCGGGCCGGTACCTCGTTTTCAGCTCGACGAGCGGCGCACTGGGCGTTCCGGGCTTGGGACCCTATTGCGCGAGCAAGTATGCGGTGGAGGGACTCATGGAGTCCATGCTCTACGAAGTCGACAGCTTTAATATCAAGGGCACGCTCGTCGAGCCGGGACATATGCGGCGCGACGATATTGCCGATTTGGTCTCGCCGTCTGCCATGGCGGCGAATCCCTCCGAACACAATCTCTCCTCGCCTTTACCGTTATACGGCCATTTCCTGGTCAAGCCGCCCAGCGAGCCGTACAACACGCCTACATCGCCCGCTGCGCACGCGCGGCGCATGCTCATGTGGCTAGGCGATAAGCAACCTGCTAGCGCGGTCAAGGCTGCGCACCTGGTCTGGCAGCTGGGTCATTGCTCGTACCCGCCTCTGCGGCTGATTCTGGGGACTTATGCTGTGGAGAGTATAAGGGACCGTCTGAAGTGTATCATTGAGGAGATTGAGGACTGGAAGCATCTTAGCTTTCCTTTGGGGGAGACGCAGCCTGCTATTGGTGCTCGTGAGCAGTCGGCGAATTTGGGGGAAGGGAATGATGGTTGAGAGTACTCCAATGGGGACTGGATGATCTACTTCTTCCCCTGAAGTTCATGAATTTCATCTACGAACCCGTCTGACCAAGCGGCATACCCAACCCAGCCCAGACTATAGGACGCCATCTTCGTTCCCCCTCTGGAAGTCATAATTGCACTTTGCAGACAGACCTGCAGCAGTGATGCAGCGGATCCCAAATTCTGCGATGACATCGCAGTCCAACATGCCCAAAGCCATGGCTACGCGGCTAACAGCCGTAAATGACCAATCTTCTCGCTGTTCGAGAAACAGATTGGATGACAGGCAGATTGGTGAGCCTAGATATCTACGGAGACAGGCACGGGACAATGGAATTCCCTCTTCATGTTGTGAAATAGAATTTTGAATTGATTCAAGTACTATATTGATCTGCCCAACACACTTGATAACCTCGTTTTAAGGTCCCTCTCGACAAATCAACAGATGCAATATACAAGAATAACATAGGGATATAGCCTTTTCAGCGCGTAGGCGGCATTGTTGTACAATCCCAACACTAATGAAGAAAAGAACCAAGAGGCACACACCATGCAAGGAAACCTACAAGGTAAGAGAATCATGAGATCAGACAGATGCCCTCGCAGACATGAAGGATGATGAGGTATGAGATAAACACAGATATGGGAATAAGGGATATATGCTATGAACAGGGATGCGGTATAAAAAGTTAGTCCCAAGCATGAATCACGCACGCCTCCTTCGCATGCCAGATCCGTCTGCGCCGGACAACGTCCGCGCCGAATGTATCCTTGATACCACCGCCGTCATAATGGTGATAATCTGCGTGATCCTTGTCTTTCCCGTTCTGCTCATCCGCCGAGCGAAGGAGACGGGCCTCTTCAACGCTGGCGCCGAATTCGTACTCCCCCGCGACTGAGCACTGTCAATCCCACGGTGGCTGTGGTAGACTCGCCGCTTTGCACAACAGGTAGAGACTGCTGCAGCATACCCGTCCAGACGAGACGACGGGTGAGGTCTAGGGCGACGTTGTTGGGTTGGTGGCGGAGGCTGGGCTGGAGGCGAAGAAGTGGGTGGATGGGGCGAGACGAGCGGTTGCGGACCGTGACGCTCAGGGTCAGCAGGTCGTCTGTCTTCGCGCGGAAGCGGGAGCGGCCGGTCTGCGTGATCGAGGTGTCGGAGTCAGATGCAGTAATAGAAAAAGTAAGTTCCACGTCCTCGAGGCGCATAGCTTCGACCATGCGAGGATTCAATCGGATGTTGCGTAGATCGATGGTGCCTTCGCGGCCGGTAGCGGGCTCCTTCCAGCCACCGACGAGACGCTTGAGGAGTTCTTCACGGAACCAGAATGCCTCCCGGGAGGCGGCCTCGGCCTCGAAGGAGAGCTTGTTAGCGCTGACCACGAACTGTCGACGTGTGCCGGTGTTGACAACGGGGATAGCAGCGTGCGGGTTGTCCAAGTAAATGCGAGGCAGGACGAGGACGAAGCGATACACTTGACCTGGCTGGAAATCTGCGTAGACAGATTGCTGGCCGTCGGAGTCCTTCATGGAGGATATCACAACCGAAGGATCGAGGAACGACTGCTCGCTGACTCGCAACCAGACGGACAGGGGGTTGGGCCAGGCGTTCCGAAGATCGAGGAGTACAACGCAATGATCTGGTCCGTAGGGCCCGTTACCGAGGCGCGAAAGCACTTTCGAGAATGGGTCATCATCGACGGCAGCGATTGTCTTGGATGATGGGGAGGCGGGCCCAGACTCGGGGTTGGAATGAAGACGGTTTCGCCAAGCGAAATCACCGCTGAAGGGCAGGATGTCGCAGCGTGCTACTTCCACACTCGCATTCACGGTCACAGTTAGTGGAACGAATAGCTGCCGCGTGTAAAACACATCTGGAGTGTTGCCCTCCCCTGCGCCAACGCAGGAATAGTCGATCTGAACAGTCGTGTCTTGCAGGCCCGGTTTCCCAAGGACATCAACCGTAAAGGTGGCTCGTTGGCCTGGAGGAATGGAGTGGTCGTCGGACGATGAACCCTCACGGCGCCACTGCAGGGCTGGCCTGGTTGCCAGCTTCAACTCTAGCTCGTATATCTCTACCGGCAACAGATCTTTGTTGGTGAGAGCGGACTGCAGCTGTCGTGTGGTAGAATCTTGGAAGGTAAACACGATGAAGTCAAGAGGGCAGGATGATGTATTTTGCAAAGTGATGGTGAAGGACCTGACCTCTCCTTCCAGAACCATCATCGCCGATTGCGATAGCGACAATGACTCAATCACAAGCGACGGCTGCTTGCCAATCACCTTGACCTGGCAGGTTGTCGCTTCGGGACCCTTCTTGGTAGATACCTTGCCGTCCTTTGATGTCGTCGAACTCCACGAGAGAGGGCGCTCGGTCAATGGTTTTTTCGATTCCAGGCCGATGCGTTTAAATTTGACCTCAGGCTCGGGCTTCCAAATGGTCTTGAAGATGGGAAATTTTCTGGCCCGGCAGTGCCGTACCTTCACAGTGCATCCTGTGATGTTGAGGTCACCCTTCTCGTGCGCGATACCAAGGACAGTGATCTCTTGCAGAGAAAGAGGAGGAAGAATGATATGTTCGGCCACAGCATCAAACGACACACCCTCACTCTCAAGACGCATATGCTCGATCTCAACCTCAAATTCGTAGGGGTTCTGAAGAGTCACTCGGAATGATGCATGTTCACCCGCCACAGCAAGCATCTCGATCGCTTTGCTGCTGGGCTTCACAAACGGGTTGTATAAAAATGGGTCTTTCTTGATCTTTTCGGAGTCCGTCGTGACCGCATCCAATTGTGTCCTGGACCGCCTGACTGGCCGCCTGTTATCCGAAAGAGCCAATAATTGGACATCGCGAACAAGGAAATCATCCCAGTATTCAGCCACCACGTCGGAGGCACCAAGCCTGCTCGCAGCCGCAACCGTGCGCTTGATGTTGTTTGAAAGACGAATTTGGTCGTCGACCGGTAGATAAGGCGGTGCTTGATAAGATTCACCAAGCATAAGTTGGCCTCGAACCGTTTGAAGGAGCTCGACAGTGAAACGAAGAACACCATTGAAGTCAGGAAGCGCTTCACAACAGTTGATGCACGCTTTGAGCACATCGATCTTCAAGTTCAGATCGCCATATCGATCCAACACGACATGCCGAAATGATCGTTCAGCAATTGCATCAATCGAGTCGTATTCCGGACAACCAGATGATCCGTCGGTGTTGAAGGATTGACTCTCTCTTTTTTCCACTCGTAAAACGCCGAGGGTTGAACTCCGTATATCTCGCCTACCGAGGCAAGGAGAAGGCGCACGCTTGCCTCCATGTTTCCGGGCCCGACATCCAGAGCATTGACATCGAATGCGGTATCGCTCAGAGACGCTAACCCAGCAGCAGGATGAATGCCCGCCTCTGCAGCTCCAATTTTCCTTGCCTGAACAAGACTTGGTACCATCAGCGAGAGAAGTTCGCGCAAGACGAAAGCTTTTTTCCTTGGCAGACCAAGAGTATTCAAAACGGAGGCGACTCCGACTATGATAGGGACGGCATCAGTCGCAGGTAGGTCCGAGCTAGGAGAGAGCGGCAGAGCTCGGAACAGGAAATTGGCAATCTCAGATTTTCGAGGCACAGCCGTCCCGCGAGGAAGTTCTGGCTGATGTAGCGGCGTCAGAAGATCGTTCATCACAATATGCTTCAAGGCATTGTCGTCAAGAATCCCATCACGAATGCGGCACGCCACCAATAGCCTTGCTAAGCGGATGACTGTCTCGGAGAACACGAGTTGGGGGAGAGGCTCCTCTGTAATATTGGCAGCACGGTTGTAAAGATTCAAGATGGTGTTTGTGAGGTCTGGGAGCAGGTTGGCCAGATTTTGAAGAGACACGGCACGGTTACCAGCCCCCGGCGGTGGAATAGAATCTCGATGCGATTTGGAAGTTTTCTCGGCCGTTGGATAGAGGATAGATGGAATCTGAATTCGGTCAGTAAGTTGTTATGTCGTCATGAAGCCAAAACAATGTACCTGAAAGTCCATCCCGGCCCAACCGAACATCAACAAGGTAAGAAGAATCGTCTCGAGAGCTTTGCCATGCCACACATAATCGCTGCTAGCCCTAGCGTTGTTTGCCGCTTCAACCAGCTCCTTGAGGGCATCTGGCCACCTTCCTGCCAGCAGGAAAAGAGACCCAACGACAACACCGGCACGGCCCTTGATACGGTTCTTGGTTCTGTCAGTTGCACTTACGCCGCTGACCGACATGCGGTCCCGGCTGTGCTCCTTAGGCGAATGCACAGATGGAGTTCTGCTGAGAGAATTCGTACGACTAGAGAGATTAATGGATCGATGGATTTCGTCAAAAGTTATGGGCGTTTCATGATCACTCGGGACCGGAGAACTGGCATTCGAACTCAATGGAGTCTCGGGTGCAGCACTAGGATCGGTAGGCATTTGCGCAGGTGAGGTCATCCGATGAAGCAGCCGATCCACTGCTCGCGGCCGTTGTTCTGGATTCCTGTGTGGACCCCAGGAAGAAGATTTGGGAGACTCAATGGATGGGATGGTTTGGATCGTCTTCGCAAATTCATCCAGCTCAGAGAGCAAGACTGAGGTGATATCACAAAGCACCGTCTTAATCGTGGTGGCTTTGGATGCCTGTGGTCGCGGGACCCAGAGGACATTATCCGGGCCGTTTGTGAGTTTTTCTACGCCTTCATGATCGAACACCAGCAGTTGATGGACCAACGCGCGCGGATTCCTCTCCTTGACGACCTCTAGCGCTTCCAGCAATGAATCCAGGCCGTCGGGTGTCGGGTGCTTGTCTTTGTCTTCGCCAGTCGACCTTGAAGCGAGCTCGGTTCCATCCGCTATTGTGATAATCACCAATGGTTCTCGAAAAAGTTCAAACGGGAATAGCTCAAGGTGCGAAGTCGGAGGAACCGAGTACGAAAGGTCGTATAGGATCAGCCCGGTAGGGAACGCGAGCGGCGAGAACATGTCTGAACAAGGAAGTTGTTAGCACCAGATATATCTTGCGACTGCGATTGTTGCGTACTTCGATTTGGCCGTGCATCCGGGCTAATGTCCCCTAATCGGACCACATTTTCGGCCTGGAGCCTGGCGGCGAAGCTCAGGAATCGCGAGCGCTTGATTCTCCCTATCGGAAGGAGGAGTGCCCTGAGGCGTACCGGCGCAACCGGAGACAGGGGGTCAACACCCATCTTGTCGAGTACACGAGATCGGACCGGCGATTGGCGCGATGCTCAAGCCCGCACCCACAAGAAGTCGGCAAGCTTGCAGGCGTCATACGTCGAGGGAAGACGGCATAGAAGACAATTGCAGCAGGCAGCAAACCGCACCAAGAGACCGTGAGGCAGAAGCACACATGCACTTCGATCCTCCTGAGTTGGAGATGGAAACAAATACCTTACATAAGCGCATCGTTAATCCCAGGCGGGGAGCTGTCACGGGACCCTCTGACATAAGCGGCGATAAGAGATAGCTAAGGCCATCTCCAGGTCCGCCATCGTTTACTTCTTCTTCCTCAGTCAGTCAGTCATTCATTTGTTCATCGATCCTTTTGTTATCTCAGCCGGCCTGGTTTGGACAGCATTTTTAGATTCCTCTCTCTGCCGTCTGTTACGCGACATAGACCATCGAGATCTACATCCATGCGCTGGTTCCAACAATAGATGACTGGGCTGGTGGCAGACAACATGGCGATGAATGTGGACTTTAACGCGCTTAAGGCGCGGACGATGGGCTCGGGCGCTGATGAGGAAGCGGTGACGGTCGATACAAGAGGTCTCATCTCCAAGGTCCTGGCTCGCTATTCAGGGAAATGGTAAGCTGAACACATGCGAGCGATTAGAAGAACGATGCTAACTACCACGGACAGGACCGTTCTGCGCGAGATGATCCAGAATGCCGCCGATGCCAACGCCACCAAGGTGACGATCAAGTTCGAGACCCTCCCATCTACCACGGTGCCTTCGCCCTCGTCAACCGACCCGACGGCCCTCGTTAAGCACACAATAGCCAACCACACCCTCCGTCGCCTTTTAGTATCCAACAATGGTCTTCCATTCAGTGAAAAGGACTGGGCAAGATTGAAGCGCATCGCAGACGGAAATCCCGATGAGACCAAGATCGGGGCGTTCGGCGTTGGATTTTATAGTGTCTTTGATGACTGTGAAGAGCCATTTGTATCATCTGGAAACCAGGCCATGGCCTTCTACTGGAAGGGAAATGCGCTCTTTACCCGTCGGTTGGACTTGGGCGAGGCTACTAGCCAGGATACCACCTTTGTCTTGGATTATCGCAACGATTCATCTCCCGTCCCATCATTGATGCAGCTGTGCCAATTCTTGTCGAGCAGTCTTACCTTTGTCAGTCTTCAAGAGATTGAGCTGTGGCTCGATGATTGGAACCTGTTGCGATTATCGAAAAAGACGGCACCCAGCGTCAATGTCGCCATTCCCAGAGATATCGAAACGAAGACCGCTGAAGGCATGATGAAGATTGCTGGAGTCACCCGTGAGATTGCGCAAGTTGATGCTTCCTGGATGCGAATTGTTGAGTGGAACCCCCATGCGAGTGTGTTCCGACTTGAGAACATCCGCGACACGACAAACTCTCTGCGTAGCTTTTTCTCGAAATTCACGAATCAGGGTGGATTAGAGAAACCATCACTGGCCGAGAAACCAGAACGACAGGAGGACACGGGAAATATGACCTCGATGATGACGGCGTCGGTATTTCTGCATATCAATACTGCCTCCATTCAACCCTCCATCAGCAGTTCGCTGAGCAAGGAGCTGGAAAGAGCCACGCGCAAGCCCCCACCGAAGAGAGCAACCATTGCTATCTTGACTCCTTCTTATGATGCCAACCTCGCAACGGATGCGTTATCGTCCCAGTCCGAGATCCTCAGCTCGATCCTACCTTCAAAGGCCGGAAGGGTCTTTATTGGCTTTCCCACTCAACAGACCACCGGACTGAATGCTCATGTCTCCGCACCCTCCGTTATCCCAACCGTCGAGCGAGAGAGTATCGACCTCAACACACGATATATCAGCAAGTGGAACCTGGAAATGCTGCGTGCAGTGGGTATCACCTGCCGCATTGCTTGGTCGGCAGAAATGGCCACGATCAAGTCCAAGCTGTCTTCGAAGTCAAAAATCCGGAAGGACGATATTGTTGATGTACTTCCCGAGGCGATCCATACTGCCAATCAGTTCGCATTCCGTGAATCTACCCCATCATCTACACTGGGACAGACAATCGAGGATGCATTCTGGATGTGCAACAAAAACGCATCCATCGAGGTTCTCTCCACATGCGGTGTGATTCCCAGCCATCAGACACGACTAGCGCCCAAAGATCTCAGCTTCATGGACTCCATTCCAGCTTTGCCAGATGAGTTTGTGCTCAAGGCGAAAGATTTTGTGAAGCGACTGACAGACTTTGGATTGGTCACGGAAATAACGGTCTCTGATATCAAACGTGAGCTCGAGTCTAGTACTCTTCGTTCAAATCAGGTTGTTGAATTCCTGTCGTGGCTGGGCCGTAAGACTATTACCGGACAACTTGATGGGATGTCTGTCCAGAGTCTTTTACGTGTTGCGGTAGCGAACGAGGAAGACAAAGACGGCCACCCTACAAGACTGGTGATATTCGCAGACATCACCAGCTTTTGAACCCACAGCGCATTCCGGCAGACTTACCTATACCTTCAAGCGTTGTACCTTTCCATTTTGCAAAGTCGATTAGCAAACAAGAGCTCGAGGCACTTGGTTGGACCGAACTCCAAATTGTTCCTTGGCTTCGCTGGCTGATCAACAATGCTGGAAACCGCAGCATCCTTCCAGCTGATCAAGATATCACTCAAACGGCATCTTTTGCTGGACAAGTTTTGCCCGTGTTGTCACGGCAGTGGGACCACCTGAGCCAGTCTTCGAAGCAGACAGTTGTCAATACACTGCAAGAGACCGTTATACCGACTAAGTTGGGAATGAAGCAGCCGCAGCAGACATACTTTGCTTCTGTGCGCCTTTTCGACGATCTGCCTGTCGTGCATGGTCTGAATAGTGTCAAGGAGAAGTTCTTGTTAGCCCTTGGAGTTCGCAAAACCGTAGAACTGGGCGTGATCTTTGATCGCCTCATCAACACGCCCACTTCTAACGATGCGAAGGGACCACCATCACGGAAATGGAACCACGTTGATCTCATACGATACCTCACCTCAGTCAGCGACGACATTCCTGCCAATGATATTCACCGACTGAAGAATACAAGTATTTGCACCGCCGAAAACCAAGATATCCGATACAAAATCTGCGAGCTCTATGAGCCGAAAGACTCTCTTCGGAGCCTCGGGCTGCCTGTGATTGACTGGCCAGGTATCTACACAAGTGGCAGCAAAGAAGGCCAATTTCTGAAGATGATGGGGCTGAAGAGCTATCCGCCAGGCTCTGAACTCGTACGTCTCATGACAACAGATCATGCCGAGAAGGACGGTCGTCATGGCAAAGCCCTGTCATACTTCATCAACGAGTATTACACGAACGGCTATGCTTCATTTGATGCCAGTGCAGTCACCATCCCTTTTCTACCTATTGAGGGGAAGCAGAACCTCAGCATTCCACGAAAATGCTTCACGGACGAAGGTGCTGCGTTATTTGGTTTTGATATCCTCCGGAAACACCTGCACCCACACGCCTCCAAACTGGGCGTCAAAGCCCATCCCCCCATGGCGGACTGTCTCCACGTGCTCATCCGCCATCCTCCCACCACCCAAAAAGATGCCCGGGTGATGTTCAAATACCTAGCGAGCAGGGCTACAGATCTCAGTTCCGCTGATACGGAGCGCGTCAGCAATGCAGCGATTATCCCAATACCCACAAATCAACGGTCAGAGAAAGGTTCTCGGACTCGCCTTGTGACTCCAAGACTCTGTTATCTTGGAGATGGAGAGGACTACAAAGGCATCTTTGACTTTGTGGACTTTGGTCAAGAAGCCAACCTTTTCCTGATGGCCGTCGGCTCGAAACAGGAACCTACCAAGACCGAGATTGCAAGGATGCTGGTGAAAGAACCAGCTCGCATCTCCGCCGCGTTCCAGAGTTCAGAGAAGTATCTCATGCTTTTAAGGACACTCGCAGAGCATATGTCGGTTCTCAAGAAGGACAGGGAGTTGTTCAGCGAGATGAAGAGAGCGGCCTTCCTTATGGCTAGCCGAGATATTCCATCTCAAAAGCTTGGTGGCAAGGAAAAGTCGGCCGATCCGGAGCTTTTGGAAGACGATCTGGATATCAGGGAATGGAATTTGACTGCCGCCAAGGACATTGTCGTGGTGGATGACTTCCAAAGCTTCAACCTCTTCAAAGAGCATATCCTCGCTGCGCCACAGGAGGAAACCTTGGAAAACTTCTATACTGCTCTTGGAGCTGTTCCGCTAAGCAGTCTTGTGGAAGAACAGGCCCGCTTCGGTGGCGTGGCCACTGACCAGACCCAAGGAGTCAAACTAAAGAAGGTGATCCTTGAACGCACACGGCTCTTCCTGCATGACCAGCCCTCGGATGCAATCAACACCAGGGCTCGGTCTTTGGAGGATTGGTTCAGCGTGCAGGTGGTGAATTCGATCACCTTGACGCGTTCTCTTAAGGGTCGACGAGTGTCTCACACCCAAAAACGAAACGCCATTGTCGCCCGACTGTCCACGAATATGGGTCTGTGCATCTGTCCCGGTAAACTTGACCTGTATGAGATCAGCCAGTCGCTCGTCCATTTGCTTTTGAGGCGCCCAAAGCTCCACTCAACTCTAACTTTGGAAATGCTCCTGAAGACGGATCTTCTGGAATTGCGAGCTCGTGGTTACAATGTGGAACGCATTCTCAGGCAAAAGGCCCATGAAGCGCGGATCGCTGAGGATAAGCGACAGAAACAGCTGGAAGAGGAGCGGCGTGTTATCCAGGAGAAGGAGGCCGCCTGGGAAGCAGCTCGTGCTCAGCGTACCGAAGCCGACCAGCCCGAGGAGCAGAGACAAAATTCGATGCCGGGATTATTTCCCGAATCACCTAGCAACAACAAGATTGCCCCGGTTGAGGCGCATGCGGTGCCGCCGGCCCCCATTCCAGATCGACCTAGCGGCAGCTTGTTTGCCAATCTCACGAAGCGGTTTGGTTTGGACAGATCCAGTTCCGAACAGTCGCGCTCGCTGCTCCCTGAAACCTCTACGCCTCCACCGCCACCGCCATACTCGACGACCGACCCACAGAATCCCCAGGGCACGCGCCCGGAACAGCCCGCGAATGTCAGTTCTCCCCATCAACTTCATAATCAGCTGCTGTCAGCTGTCCAGGCCTGCCGGCCTCACGGTTCGTCCGACGTTTTCTCCCGACCGGAAACCAACCAAATCACCGAAAGCAAGTCGTACTGTGACGAGCGACCGAGCCACGACCTGGAGTTCGTCGCCACCCTCCCGAGCGGCGTGAACGTGCTGTTCGTGAAAACCGTCCCCGAGCGATCTGCTTTCCTCGCTCAACACCGCGCGGGCATCAACATGTTCGCATCGGTGGTTCTCGACTGCGCGTCTATCTTCTCGATGCGCGCCGACACCCTGAGCATCTTCTATGATCCCGGTGGCAAGACCATCGCATTCAACCGGGCGGGCAGTGTGTTTTGCAACTACTTCTACTTCCAACAGTTACATGAGCAAGCCCTGCTCCAGAGCCCGAACCCAAACCGCACTGACGCCATCGTGTACTGGTGGGTGATTCTGTGTCATGAGCTGGCGCACAATCTAGTCGAGGATCACAGCTCGGCGCACAGCTACTACACCGAGGGCTTTGTGGCCCAGTATTTCCCCAAGGTGGCGGTCAAGCTGGCTGCGCTGCAGACTTCGCCATCTTCGTTGCTATAGATACCCATCTTTTCTTGTGTTGTAGATAGTGGAGTGTTAGACAATAATATTGGTATTCAATGTCGCCACTTTGTTCCGCCGGTACCCGCTTTTTTCCTGCCGCATCGAACAACCTTAATTTTTTTGATTCTCGAGTTACCCGTCTTTTTCCTTCACTTACCCGCGCCACAATGAGTGACTGCAACATTTCCCTCCTTTACACACCGTAGAGGCCTGTATCGTGGTTTTACCTGACATCGCCACTCATTCATCGACCGATGGGAGATCGATGAGAGTCGGGAGTTTTTGAATCTCATCCGATCACCATGGCCCCATTACTGGGCAATTGGGATGCCTCCGACTCAGGGCCATCATCCACAGGCCCAGTCACGGGGACCCCATCACCCAAGAGCATCCTCTATGTCGATGCCTACGATTCATTTTCCTACAATGTCGTCGCCATGCTCGAGGAGACGCTGGGCGTGCGAGTCGCGGTAATGACGATCGACTCTGCCTGGCCCGATAACAGCATTGACGAGTTTCTGCGCCACTACGAGGCAGTCGTGCTAGGCCCTGGTCCTGGCGATCCGAATTTCCCGAAAGATGTCGGGGTCATGAGAGATATTTGGGATCTTCATGATGCCAATTTACTGCCTGTTTTGGGTATTTGTCTGGGATTTCAGAGTCTGTGCCTGAATCACGGTGTGCCAATTCAGAGACTTCCTTATCCGCTTCATGGCCAGGTGCGCCGTATTACGACTACGCGGAGCGATATCTTTGAAGATCTGCCAGATGCGGAGGTGACACTTTACCACTCTTTATACGCAAATGTGGATGCATCTTGTCCGAAAGATCTAGAGTTCCTTGCTTGGTTGTCCCTAGAAGAAGACCAGAAAGGATGCCGACCGAAGTCTCAGATCCCAATGGCAGTTCGCCACCGCCAGAAGCCGTTCTGGGGAGTCCAGTTTCATCCCGAATCATGCAAGTCCGAAAAAGATGCTTGCAGGAACTTGCTTCGCAATTGGTGGAAGATGTGTCTTGGGTTCAACAAGTTGGTTGGACGCGGGGGTTTGGCAGCCTCCCTGAAGCAATTCTTGGCCCTCATGCCGAGACGGCTGCGTTCCCGAATGCTGCTTATGAGATGCTGAAATTAAGTGCGTCGAGTTCGGCCACTTCTGCTTTTCGGGCCTTTGCAAAGGGCGATCTGACAGCTGAGGCGATAAGCGAGGCGCTCAATCAGCTTGGCTCGCCGACTGTCGTGTTTCAGTCCAATGGACAACATACCATCGTTTCGGTGCCCAGTCCTGGTTCCTGGCGGCTTGAGTACCGTGTTGAATCGCAGGATTTAATACTGGATCAGATGAACAAAGAATCAGTGATTGAAAAGTCCCTGTCCGTATCTCAGCTATGGGATGCTTTTCGGTACCTGATGGAAATGAAGAAGGTCAACTCCGGTCACTCCCAGATTCCCTTTTGGGGTGGCTTCCTAGGTTACTTTTCCTATGAGCTGGCTCTTGCTTGTCTTCCTCATCCCAAAGATTCAACACACTCCTCCACAACGTACAATCATGCATATAACACAAATGGCTCCGTTCAAGATCCACCGGATGTCAGTTTACTATGGTGTGAACGAAGCGTTGTTATCGACAATAGCTCGGGTACTGTTGTTGTACAGTCCACTTGTGAATTGGATCATTCACCTGGCGCCTGGGTCGATGAGACATCGCGTTTACTGCAGGCCCATTCTTCCGGGAGTGAAGATACCACGGAGTTTTTAGATTCGATCCTACGCGAGGGTGTGATCACATTCCCCGATGAAGAGCGGTATAAGAGCCAAATTGAAGCATGCAAGGCGGAACTGGAGGCTGGGGAGTCCTACGAGCTATGCCTGAGTTGTGAGACAACCGTCTCATTACCATCTGCAGCAACAGAGACAGACCGAGCGGTTTTCCCATGGGAGCTATACAAGCGCCTCAAGAGCTACAATCCAGCTGCATTCAGCGCGTTCGCGCGATTGGGCGACGTCAAGATCGTCAGCAGCAGCCCAGAATGCTTCATCAACTGGGATCGCTCATCCACTCTCGAAATGAAGCCCATGAAAGGCACAGTGCGCAAGTCGCCTGGGATGACCATGGAGAAAGCCCGCGGAATCTTGGGCTCCACCAAAGAGATGGCCGAAAACCTGATGATTGCTGACCTGATCCGGCACGATCTGTACGGCATCTGCGGCTCTGGCGGTGTGCATGTCGAGAAGTTGCTTGAGGTCGAGGATCACGGCCGCGTTTTCCAGATGATCACCCATGTAAAAGGCGAGATTCGGCCCGATCGTCTCGGCTGCGCCGTCCGGCATATGCCTCAGTTGAAAACTTCGAACATGGCAGTTCATGGCCTCACGGCTCTGCAGGGGTGTTTGCCTCCAGGCTCGATGACCGGCGCGCCCAAGGAACGATCATGTATGCATCTCCGGCAGATTGAAGCTCGGAAGCGCGGGATATACTCTGGCGTCATGGGTTTTCTGGATCTCGGTGGCGGGGGAAGCTTCTCCGTTATGATCCGTACAGCTTTTGCGTGTTTTGATGATCGCGATGATCGACCGCAAACCTGGCGAATTGGTGCTGGCGGCGCTATCACGACGCTGAGCACCGCGGAGGGCGAATGGGATGAGATGTTGACTAAGTTGCGGACGGTCTGCACGGTTTTTGTCCCCACTGTGAGCACGTAGACCACCGCACAGGGCTCTTCAACACTATTCTCGATTGATTCAACAATTAGCGAGGGCGTTAGGCATACAATTGAATGTTTCCATAGACAAATGTACAAATTCTTGACTGCTGACTCAACTGGTCGCCGCCCCCACGGGCCGGGCGCTGATATGACAACATCGCTTCCGTCACTTAGTTTCCTTGGCCAAGTGCATCCTCAACGCTCACTTACTGCCTACCGCGCCAATGTTCAAGAATCTCAAGGGAAAGCATAAACAAGCCAAAGCCTCCACCCCGGAGAGCGACAAGGGCCAAGACATAACCTCCGTCTTGGACCGGTCGCAGCGTGCCGAGCTGACCTTGTTGGTGGCTGAGTCCATGGAGTCGATGCGGACTCAAATCCATGAGGTTTTTGAGGCGCCTGAGAAGACGTCTCCGAAGACTTCTCCCACTCGCTCTACTGCGGAGAATTCCCCTACAGAAAACGAAAAGCAAGAAGATACGCCACAGAATAGTGACACGCCTTCAAGTGAAAATGGCAGCTCGCAGCCTAGACAATCAAGGCAATCGGCCCAAAGAGCAGCCCAGCTAGCTGCATGGAAGCGTCGAACTAAAGAAAGGGCGCTCTCTCATTTCGATGACTGGCGTGATGCCGTCTTGCTGCGAATTGGCGAAGCCGTCAATAAGGGTGATGACAGCGAGGAGAAGCAACAAGCGCAGAAAAAAGCCAACGAAAAGGCTCAAACGGTGGAACTCCCCCTGGAAGAGGATCCGACCAGAATGGAAAAATTGCATGAAGTCTACCATCCCGTGGAGACGCCGTTGACCAAGCTTCCCAAGGCGACAAGGCTACTTATTCTCCACTCTCTGCTCCTTTTGCTGCTTAGTTTGGAGCACTATAATGCCCATTCGCGCATTCTTATGCTGCATGCTGCATCCAGCTTGGACATTGACATTAATATCCTCAATGAGGATGAAGTCAAAGTGGCTCGCGGGTTACTCGATACGGCTCTAGCACTATCATCGAATCCTGAAGCGCAGCAGCAGCAGGTCAAGAAAAGCGATGGCACCCGGAAATGGAAGGTCGGCATTGCATCCGTGGCCGGTGCTGCTTTGATCGGTGTCACTGGCGGACTCGCCGCCCCCTTAGTGGCTGCGGGCATTGGAACCATCATGGGCGGACTGGGTCTCGGTGCAACTGCTGCAGCTGGTCTTCTGGGAACGCTGGCTAGCAGTGGTGTTGTGGTTGGTGGGTTGTTCGGAGCCTACGGTGGACGGATGACGGGACGAATGATGGACAAGTACGCCCGCGAGGTCGATGACTTTGCCTTCATTCCCATCCGTGGTCCGCGAAGACGCAGCAACGAAAAGGAAAGCGAAGAAGCTCGGCAAGATCATCGGCTGCGAGTTACCATTGGCGTCACTGGGTGGGTGAGGGAGGAGTCGAACTTTGTGGTTCCGTGGCAGGTTGTGGGCGCCGATTCTGAAGTGTTTGGTCTCCGCTGGGAAATGGAGCCTTTGATGAAGCTCGGAAATGCAATCCGCACCCTTGTCACAAGCGCGGCATGGTCAGTGGCAGGTCGTGAAGTCCTGGCTCACACCATTTTTGCCGGTATCATGTCTGCCGTGATGCTGCCGCTTGGTCTGCTGAAGGTTGCCGGTGTCGTTGATAATCCGTTCAGCGTAGCCAAGGCCCGGGCAGACAAAGCAGGCGAGGTGCTTGCTGATGCACTGATCGATAAAGTCCAGGGAGAACGACCTGTCACTCTGATCGGGTACTCGTTAGGGTCTCGCTTGATTTTCTCTTGCCTTCAGAGTCTGGAGAGGAGAGGCGCTTACGGACTGGTCGAGTCAGCCATCTTTATGGGATCACCCACGCCTTCAGATGCCGACCACTGGCTCCGAATGCGCAGCGTGGTGAGTGGGCGTCTCATCAACGTGTTCTCTCAGAATGATTCTGTTCTCGCCTTTCTCTACCGGACCAGCAGCCTCCAGCTTGGTGTCGCGGGACTTCAAAAAGTTGAAGGCGTGCCGGGAGTGGAGAATATCGACATGAGCGAGTCTATCAGTGGTCATCTCCGGTATGAATACCTGCTGGGCAGAATCCTGACGACGATCGGACTGCAGGACATTGACGCTCGAGAAATGGAACAAGAGGAAGCTGCCCTTGCGGAGGAGGATCGTCGTGAAGAAGAGGAACGCCTGCGCAATGAGAAAAAGGCCGGAGTGAAAGATCGAGAGTCGTCTGCTGCAAAAGAAACCGTGAACAGCGAGGAAGGTGTTAGTGGCGAAGATACACGGCTGCAAAAACAGGTCGAGACGCAGACCCAGGAGAACATGAATCAGCACCGGATTCATCGGTTGGATCTGGACGAAGATGGCAAAGACGATGACTATTCCAAACCATTAGTCGAAGATCCCTCTAAACACTCTGCCCTGTGAGCATTGACTATCTGTGATTAGCTCAATATATATATACACGTCAATAATATAGATTTCATTATGACATCCATCCGGGAACATCTGAACCCAGCGGCTTAGGCATTATATCCCAACCGGGCATTGCTCCCTCTACACACGCAGCAGGTTTCAAAGCCGTAATCTCGCCAAAGGCAGAGGGTCTTGACTCCAGGTACTCGGCCAGATCATCGTCGCTAAACGATATATCGTCACATTGAAACCCCGAGTTACCCGGATACTGACCCAGCGAGCGAAGATACTTTATAATCCCAGCCAAGGAGACCTCAACCTTCCACGCAGACCCGGCGACTGTCCGATGATACAACGCCGCCATGATCCCCGACGCCAGGCAAAAGCCCGCCGCGTGATCCAGAGCTTGACACGGCAAAGCCCGCGCTGCCTCGCCAGCTCCAAAGTGCTCTGCCTCAGACACATTCATGCCCGAGCATGTCTGAACCAGAGAATCAAAGCCCCGATTCTGGCTCCAAGGCCCATTACTTCCGTATGCACTTAGCTCTGCGTAAATGATGCGCGGGTTCACACTTGCCAGATCAGAAGGAGCTAGCCCCTTGGCTGTCAGACTGCCTGGTCGGTAACTCTGAAGGAAAACATCTGCGTCGCGCACAAGGTCCAGTAGTTTGGCTTTTCCAGCGGTGGAATTCAGGTCAAGCTGGATAGTGCGCTTGCCGCGACTAAGATCGCGGTCTAGTGGGGGTAAATCTGGCATTCCCGGTCCGGTCACCCACAGCACGTCTGCACCGTGCGATGCCAGCGCCCGTCCGGCAACAGGGCCTGCAATCACCCGACTGAGATCTAGGACTCGGACTCCGCGTAGACATCGGTCATTACTTGGTTTCAGCCAGGGAGATAGGCCCTTCGGACCGTCGGAGGCTAGTCTGCGGATCTGAATGGGCAAGTCGGGGATAGCGGATGTTTGCGGATGAGCATCCCATTGTTCATAAGAGCGGAGTGCCGTAATGACTCCGCCAGACTGAAATGCCGCCGTTTCAACTTCAACAGCAGAACGACTCAGCAATGCCTCGGCTACCTGGGCGCGCGATGCATTGCCCGGTAACCGCAGTATATCTAGTGCAGCTTGTCGGTGGTGCGCCCAGTTATCGTGAATACGCACGTAGCCATCACGCGTGGCGTGTAACCCGCCGATTGGACCCCATGGATCTGGTGGCGGGTGACCGTCGATGCGATAGAGGCGCTCAGACTTGAATTCGGCGCATGCGTGGCGAAGCGCTACTTGCACGCGAGGTAAAGATGGCTTGCCGTTGCGGGTTGCATGAAATAGCGATGCCGCGAGCGCGGAAAGAGCTATTGTGCTTTGTGCTAGATGCCCGACTTTGAATGATGACGGAAGTCCTGGGTCTGAGTTGGTGTCCGGCAGCTGGAGGGATTGCAGTGCTTGGTGGGGCAGGTCGAGGTGATCCCAGAGATGGGATATTGTGTCCAGTACGGTGAAGTTTGTTCGGTCTGTCATTTTATTATATTGGATGAAGTCGAGAGTGTTTGTATTCAGGCGAAGTACCTCGGCAAGGGACAAGCGGGATAAATGGATCCGTTGAACTGACCCAAAGGGGTTTAGCTTGTCAAAAATGGCATCACTATAGGAAGAAGTACATATACTCTCTCCAAAGCAAAGTCTCTACATGAATTGAGTAGTACTGATTATTCTTCAGGCTCCTCATCCCAAGATTCAACACCAGCTGGAATCTCCATGACCGCCTCTTTACACCAAATATGCACAGCTTTTGACATCATCTGCTGCGTCAAGCCCTCCAAACAGCCACCTTTCACGCCCAGAGCATCCTCTCCATGAGCGCGATGTATCAATCTCGACCCACAGGATGTACAGAACAAACACTCTAGTTGCCTATTATTCAGAGTTCTGCGAGTAAAGATACCAATGCGGGAGGTGCCATCTGCATTGGTCACTGGCAGCTCAAACCAGGGAAAAACAGTCGTTATGCCGCAGAAAGACGAGGATTGATGGCGGCATTCCGTGCAATGGCAGACAAAGATCTTAGTTGGTTCTGGGAGAGGTGTAGTGAATCGAATAGCACCACATTGGCATCGGCCTTCCATGATGATTGTTCTAATTTCGGAGGAGTTGAAAAGCAAAGAAGTGATTCTGAGCAGAGTATCAAGATTGGAAAGTGTATGCTCTGCGTAGAAGGGGGTGGATTGAGGTCAGCTCGCGATTATTTTGCAGCTTTGTGTAAGGGAAGCTCGTTAATCTCGCTGCTAGGACTACCCCGCTTCCAAGTTGAACTTCGCCCATGGTAGGGATAGCGTGATTTGACATAGAGCTTGGGCATGGATCTCTATCTCAGGAGGATTTTGAATATGAAATGTCAGTATGTAATGTGGATTTAACCCATTGCCCGAACATTTTTCGGATATTGTTATTTACATCCGCAGGGCGCCCAAGTCAACTGTTCATCTACCAGTGAGAGCAGAAGAATTTACTACGAATCTAAGCCATGAGGGCAAAATGCTTCTCGACCAACCGTGCTGTTAACTTGTGTGATTGCGTGTCATCTTATCGTACAATGCAAACTGCTTGTGTTTTAATCTCCTCGTTTGTAGCATGTTGCTGGCAAACTCGAAAATCCCCATCATACCCACTAGCCCAATCCCGACCAATGGTGCCAGAATTGAGAATACCGTAAACCCATAAGACGCATTTTGAAAAGATAGGTTTTGGCCTAAGCGAGTGGTAGCAAGCCCAACTTGCATGGCGGTCAACACTAGTGCAACGTAAATGGTTGCCGCTGAGAGGGTAGTGAGGTGGTCACGGACCAGCTCGCCGTATGTTTGATAAGTGAATTGATACCCCTTTAGTATGCTGCCATATCGAATGGAATATATTTGATTTAGTCGCGACAGCCTCAGCTCACCGAATAAATAGCGATGGTTGATGTTTTTGGGATTGGTAGCCCCCTTTTTCAACAACTGCTGGACCAGTTGGACCCATTTCTCCCAGGTCAGGTCACGGGGAATTAAATGATAGTTGTGGGCGATGGCAAAGTCGCTTTCAAATTGGATCAAAGCGATGTAGGAAGCGAGAAAGCCCAGGGCGCATTTATATAGATGTTCCCTTGTCTGTCGGTTCGGGCCTTGCGCGCCTTGGTCTTGTTCCACACAACTTGATCCTTCGCAGACGAGATGCTCCGCCCAAAGTTGACCATCGAGAAGATATCGAGGAAGTGGCTTCAGGTGGAGGCGCCGCGTGGGTTCCCACACCAGGTGCATGTCCATTCTTTCGTCTGCAGCAATCTCGCGGGATGCGACGACATGGTAATTCAGGGGCCGAGGAGGCATTGGTTGTCCAGCCAGCCATAGATACCGATCAATCTTGTTCAGCTTGTCCACGCGGAGATCCTTTTGGAGGAAGCTGTGCATGTCTTCCGAAGGGCAAATCAGGGTTTGCTCCACCGTGCGAGTCGAGGCAGGCAGGAGAGCCGCCGTGGGGTCGAGCGCATGGCTAGGGTTGAAGGGATCGTCGCTGAACGGCAGTCCATACGACATCGAGTTTAAAATAGGCACAGATCAGAGAATCTTTGCAAATACACAGGGAGTTCCAGGACGTGTCAAACGCAGTTGGAGCTTTGTGGTGTCCGGGCGCTTAAGCGGGGATTCTCAGCCTCCGAACATCCGAACACTGGATACCATCCGTTTTATTCTTTTCCCACTGCGATCTGTCATTAGTTAAAATGGTAGTTTCTCCTTATAATCTCACCCATAGAGCTAGCGAATACAAGACTTCACTGGTTGGAACGTGTCTTATTTAGTAACCTTGATGCCCTCCTCTTTAGAAGATGATGTTATTAGCTTGCTACGTCGAACTTGGCATGGACCCTTGTATTTTGCCTATATGAAAATATTTTCTATTTTCTTCAGTTGGCCAAATCTACATCAAAGTGGAAGACGCAGCCAGTCATCCAGCGGATCAAACCCTGGGATTGGAAATGGGAAGTCTTCGTCAGCCGCAGGCAGCGCGTACATATAATCACCCACAGCTGCGTCTCTTAACCTGCCTTTTTCTGCTTCACGCTCTCGTGAGACATTTGTCAAATGCTGAGCAGTTGCAAGAGCCTCTCTGGTCAAATGTGTATCGAAAGTATGTGCAACCAACCGAAGGAGGTCCATGGCCTCTGGAAGAAGAGAGAGGATCGGAAGAGAATCAAACCATAGACAGACACAGATGGTTTGAAAGGGCACACTTACCAAATTCCACCACGGCTGTTGTAGAGTGGTCAACTCGTGAATTTTCTCAAAGGCATTTTGAATGATAGTCACAATGGCAGATGAGCTAGACTTGTTGATAGCGCGAGTGACGCAAAGCATCCGTCGCAAAAGGCAGAGGCATATGTCAGCTCTGAAAACTGCTAGGAGTGCTGGTTCTTCCTCAATGGCAATAGAATTACCCAGATAGCATTCGATTTCTCCCTTGGGAATCAGGTTTCGAAGGTCTTCAAAACCACTTTGCAGTGAAAGAGCTAGACCGACAAATTTGTCTCCAGAGGCCCCGGGGTCGCGAGAAGGCAAGCGACAAGTCACTGATTGCAGTTTCACTGGTGTGAGGCCATATTCTGTCGATAATATGTAGTTCAATGACCATATAATCCAGAAGTAACGCCGCCGCGTTTCAGCCTCCTCTCGAGTAACTTCCAACTGATCCGACGCGGTGGTCATGGACCTGGATGTCAGATCTCTGTGTAAACTGAGCGTCTCGGCAACATGCATGGCAGTTTGACTAGCCAGACAGGCAATATATGGTCGGGTCGTCAGTCTCATATATATAGTACGGAGTATCCAGCCAGCCAAAAGCTCCATGCTCAAACGAATAACCGGCTCTGCATGTGCCATATCTAGTATAGACAAGCACTGGCCAACAAGCTCTGATTCGAGCGGGTGTGATGGTGTCGAGAAAAACGACCCCAATGCGGCCACTCCACAGATAACCGCTTCAAGGCCAGGTTCGTTTTGCATGGATGTCCACTTGGACTGAACTTGTTCGAAATAGGCTTCCTGCTGTAAAAAAGAAAATGTTGGGTGCACTGCGCTGAAAAAGACGGTGGACAGAGTGTAACACTCTTCTTCGGAGAGTAAAGAGGTTATTTTGGAATGAAATCTGTTCCGACATTCTGCACGGAGCCCAAGATTCCATCCGTACGAATGTAATCGAGGGGGAGTTGGATCGTTCAATTCATGGCCCAAAATACGCGGCAAAGCGACAGCGCTGTGACTACTGATGACGCGAGACCGTTGACTTCGAATTACAACTTTGGACCATGAGTCGCTTTCATCGTGTTCCCCGAATTGACGAGAATTGAGTTCTCCTGTAGACGGTCCCATGGAGTCCCCAAAGTCAACACCTTGCTTCGTTGGTCGATCGCATTGAGCTGGCGAAAATTCACCAGAGGAATCTTTCGATACTGTTGAATCGGTGTCGTACTCGCAGCGGTAGCCATGGCCTGCGCAGGATGAGCAAGGCATACGACCGTCACATTTTCGCTTCCGTCGGCGGCACTCTCCACAAGCCCGTATGGAGCGGACTCGAAGATAAGTGTTATTATCTTGGTCTTCGGGCCGAGGATGTGCCTTGCGCTTGGGCATATCAGTTTCTGTTGCAGTCCGTGCTTCCTCGAATACTGGCAGAGAAGGCAGAGAAAGTCAAGATTGAAGTCAATTCTAGGTTTCAGCGAGCTGGGTTGGCTGCTTAATAATTAATCGTATCGATTTTGGGTTGATCGGTATAGTTTTACTGGCTTTTAATCCATCCCCCTCAAGCTTGCACTTGCAATCATCAATAATGCACCGCAAACATGCACGATAATAACCTCAATAATTGAGAACTTTTTCTAGCAACTCCAAGAACATGGACAGTAGACAAGCTCAGTCGGACAGCCTCGGTTAAGAGAAAGATAGTTCCCGCGGAGGATCTGTGCACTCATTCAGCAGTAGGTACACAGGATAATGTCTGCCACCTTGTGACTTGCTCTATCCGCTGTGGTGCTCACCCCTCGCTCCCTGGCTGGAACTGAACACGACTGTCAGCAGCCTGACCTGCTCACTCTGATCATGACATAATCACACTGAGCATCACCTGACCCTACCTGAGCGTGATGCTGAGCGGCTTGAGTAATCCCACCCAATAAAATGCACCCCGCTAGCTCATCTATGGGCAACCCTTTCCCCTTTAAATCTTATACTCTAGTGTGCAAACTAAATGGTTCGGCACTTCAAGTCAAAATCGTAGAATAATTATCAATACATACTGAATATCTAAATAGCCAAAAAAAAAACAGCACAATCTATGCAGTCACGAGCAGGCCACGAGCCTTTGCCTGTTCATAATGTTTATCATCCGCATCCGCAAATTGCAGATTTGTGAATCTTACCTACCCTACCATATCCGCAAATTGCGGAGCGGATAACACGATGTCCGCAGCTCTTGCGGATGATGCCGCAGCCTATAGATATATGACACATCCTCACTAAGAAGCAGCCAAAGCCCGTAGATCTAGGCGTCAAGGAGGGTGGGGAGGTATTCTCTCCGTGGAGGGCTACAATACCCTTATATAGTCCCGAAAAATCTAAGAGACTAAGAAATAAAGGCGGAAGTGGGCGCGAAATGCTAAACAGAAGCGGGATGAGATCAGCCGCTAGGTCGAAATCGGGGATTGGGAGATTGGAGAGGAACAGTTAGAGATGACGGTGAGCTATTTATTATATCATAGATAGAGAAGGGAGAGCGCTCTGAATAGCCCTTAATTCAACCTGGGCGTTTCAAAATACTTATTTATATAGGGTGGACCGTGGACCCACAATCACGCACGCCCGAGAAGACTCACAAAACTGATTCTTAACAGAACCAAGATGGGACCACGACACGGTGGGTATATATGTCCCCAATAAGTACTAGATTTCCTCTGCCAGTTTGGGGCTTGCCTATCTGGGCGGCCGCCTCTTCAATAAGAGCCGCTCAGGCTCCGGCTCACTGAGTAGATGCCAGCACTTTGAGTAGCCTAGTGGTAGGATAGAGAGCCAATTAAGTGTAACTCGAAAATAACAGAAGTCTATGATATACCATGTGAATTAGAAGAGACCCAGTGACAGTGTGATTAGAGAGTTTACGTCGACTTCGCTAATTTTTTAATTTTCTCTTGTACAAATTGCTTTTCAAGTACGCAAATTCAATCAGTACATTGCAATGCATATAAATGCGAATTAATTGCCTAAGGAGTTGAGTTCCCGTGAGAATTCAGGAATGAGCATTGGAAGCAAGGAGCAAAATGGGGGATGACCGTTCTAGAATCATGCCTTATCCGTCAGGCGAAACTTCCCGGGAAAAGCCGTAACTTACCTTTTTTGAGCTCCATTTTCGTGAGAATAACTGGTGCGGGTAATGCGGGTAACGCGGACAAGATGTATCTATATATCGATCATTTATTTTGGTCGAGGCTTGTAGGATCTGAATCCACATTGTGATCTCGACATGGCTGAAAAGACACCAGGTATCACAAAGACAGAGGATGAGGCTCTAAATCCTCAGCCCAATGTCTCAACACCAGCCACTCAGGCTACTACAGATTGTTACTTTTACGATAAATTGCTCATTTTCCCTCCACTAAGCGATGCGAAGAAATTTGAGCCCTGGAAAAAGTATCTTTTCACTGGTATAATTTCTTTGGCTGCTGTCGCTGCGCCACTTCAGAGCACAATGTTGATGCGTATGTCTTTCTTGATCCGTCCCATTTCATTTTCTCAATTCCGGCATCGAAAATCAACGCGAACTTAACTAACAGAATGAATTCCACGTAGCCGCGTTACCGGAAATTGCGACATATTTTCACATCTCAAAGTCGCTCGCCAACCTTTCAATCGCCTTTTACGTACTGGCCATGGGTATTATCCCTATCTGGTGGTCGGTGATATCGGAGCTATATGGGCGGCGTCCGGTCTACCTTATATCATTTGCTATCTTCCTGGTTTGGAATTCCATCTCTGCAGTAAGCACCTCAATTGATATGCTTATTGTCATGCGCGCTTTGTCAGGGGGAGCATCGGCCTCTGTCCAGGCAGTTGGAGCAGGAACTGTGGCAGATCTATGGGAAGTTGAGCGACGTGGCCAAGCAATGGCTTACTTCTTCCTGGGTCCCATGGTTGGGCCGCTCGTTTCTCCTATCCTTGGGGGAATACTTACTGAGCGGCTTGGCTGGCGGAGTACCCAGTGGGCCACAGTCGTCTATGGGGGCATCGTGTGGCTCTTAATCGTTTTTTGCCTGCCAGAGACCTCTACTAAAAGGCCTGGCGCAAAGGGTCTTGATTCAACTACGGCCCCAGAAAATGCGAAAGGGGGACCATCTTTGATCCTACGTCGGATTAGCCGGATATTTCTCGAGCCTTTCAAAATTATCGCTTATCTTCGGTTTCCCCCCGTCTTGATTACGGTATACTACGCCAGCAGCACTTTTGCTTGCTATTACGCGATCACCATTTCCCTTCAGACACTCTTTTCTGCACCTCCATATTCTTTTTCACCGATAATTCTTGGCCTCACCTACATCCCTTGTGCCCTCGGCTCTATTATCGCGTCCCTGTTGGGAGGCCGCTGGACAGACTACATTATGCGACGACAGGCAAAATCAGCAGGTAGATTTGATGCTTCGGGCCAACTTCAATTTTTACCTGGGGACCGTCTTGGAGAGAATGCTTGGTGTGCATCCACCATTTATCCTGCGGCCTGTCTATGGTTTGGCTGGACCATTGATAAGCATGTTTTCTGGTTTTGCCCAGTAAGTAACCCTACTATCATTTTTGCTTTAGCAGCATGGTCTGATCATCACCAAAATGATAGTGCCTTGCGACATTTTTCATAGGCCTCGGGACCAGCTTGGTCTTTAGCATGACTTCCACCATGCTGACTGAGTTGTTGCCTGGAAGAACAAGTACTGGAGTGGCCTTGAACAATATTCTGCGAAACTCACTAGCTTGTGTTGCTGTGGTGGTAATGCAGCCCTTAATTGATGCTATTGGACCTGGGTGGATATTCACTGGACTGGCAGTTATCACCTGGGCAAGTATCGTCATCCTATGGTTATTCAAAAAGAATGCCGTTAAATGGGCAGCGGAAATGGAAAGCAGGTTATTAGAGAGATAGGTTGTGCGTATTGTTGTTAAGCTAGGCTTCATAAAGGAATAAAATGCATGCATAGCGTGTTTCGTCCTCGATACTTCAATTTAAACTCATATTCAAGACAGGGCTCGAGGAGAAAATCAGAGAGTGATGCGTGGGAATCTGTTTTCGAATATGGCAGTGCTCATCTTGCAAACTCCGCCAATATCAACACGATACATACTGGCTATACAGAACTTTAGCTCTGGACCAGCTCTAGATCGAGTAAAAAAATGGCCTGTCCCGCATCCGTAGTGAGATGTGGGCAGAAGATTAAGGTATGTTGTCGGCCAGGACAAGCAGGAAACTTACCAGTAATAAGTCCACGCCTCCTGCAATCTGCACCTCCCACCGCGGCAAAGCCCCCGATAGAGTATGATAATTCATCATCTTCCCGCGCCGAATCCCGATGATGGTCTGATCTCCCATCATCACCGTCGTCACCGCGTTGCTGAGCTGTAGTACCTCTAGCTCCTCTTGCTCATTTACTGACGTTTCCGAGTACCGTCTCGCCGGCGGGAACGCAAAGGAGGAAGGTAGCGCTGGCTCCCGTGGCGGCTCCACTGCGTCTAGTAAGTCTTGTAGGGAATGGCTCGTGCAGTGCCGTATGGAGTCGTAAGATGGTGGCAACGTGCCAGCGGTACAATCATCATTCAAGTATAGTAAGACGTTGTCGTCCATAGTCAGGTCCCTCGTGTTGCTATTGTTACTGCTTGCGAAGTAATCGCTAGTGTGATCGGTGATCACGGCGCTATACGGCGGTGGAGATCGCTCCTGTGGCGGATCGTCGCGGCTTGCCCTCTGGCTTGCTACGGAGCACCGACTGGCTTGGAATTGCGCGTGCTGCTGGAGCCGCTGCTGATGGCTCTCATCTAGTTGACTCGCGGCTAGTAGTGCGTTTTTCACTCGCATCAGTATCTTCATCTCAATCGCACAGCCCATGTTTGCGCTCAGAAGCTCGTCCCCACCGCCTCCAGCCTGCATAACCCTCCAGATCCGCTGCCGCCACTGTCGCCGTAGCTCCAGAAGTGGCCGTCCTGACGCGTCTCGGATTTCTCGGTGTTGCGACTTGCGCCAGAACTTGCTGGAGACGGTAAACAGTAGGGACTGCCGCTGTCGCGAGTGTAGAGACTTGTGACACCGCAGCTGGTGTACTAAGAAATCCGGCCCAAATAGCGTGTTCTTCCGAGTGATAATAAGTGTGGTTGCTGTGTCGGTCAACAGATCCGGCATCGAGGCGAGGAGGTGGGTGGGCTGCAGCGCGATCGGATGATCCGGGGGCTGGAGTGTCGCTGACAATCGCGACATGGTTTTGGCGGGCTTGGATCGAGGAAGTAATCGGGAGTAAGAGGACGAGAGATAACTATGTAAGACTATCTACAGGAGGAGGAGGGGCTCGGAGGAGTAGATCCAAGGAGTCATTACTGAAAGGAAAGCCAAAGAGGCAAAAAAGCGAGAATGAGGCTGTGCTTTTCGAAATTCAGGTTATTCAGTCCTGTCGTATGATTCATCACGGCCATGCTTAACGTATCGGTAAACGCGAAAGCCGCACGTAAGCGAGCGCCGCATCCCAAAACACCATAGTAAATGCATTTTATTTTTTACAACTTGATAATTCAACAACGACTGAGTAGTTTTATTTGATTAGTAGTATGATATTATTTAATTGTATAACTAATAGTATACGCTAGCTTAAATTGAGATACAATAATTATTTAACTACGTCCCAAAAGAATACGCTGCGACCGAGTGCTAGATATATTAAATTAAACCCTTAAGTCTCGAAATTTCTTAAAACCCTCATGAATAGGTTAGTCATGCACTAAATAGTATTAGAATACAATTTCATCGTATACTATGCCATTATTGTTGAGATATGAAATCGTAAAATATCGCGTTTATTATGGTGTTTTGGGGCGCGGCACTCGCTTACGTGCGGCGATCGTCTACCGATCGGGCGGTTGTTTGTCGATGACGCCGCGGTTCCGCTGTTCTCGATTCTTGCTGATCGAGGCCTCGGTTGATCTTTTAGGTGTCCATATTTCAGCTAAACACGCAACTTTTCATGGGAGCATTTATTCAAGACAACTCAAGTTCGCTTGTGATAAGTTAAATATATTTTTGTCTTCAAAATTCGGAAATTTACAAATACACTGCGATGAAAAGCAGGAAAGAAGGAACCGAGAGCCTCATAGCTCTATGCCAGCGAACGGAATGGTGAAAAATGGTCTGTGAGGGATGATGTACTTCTCTATCTCAAGGCCATGGATCTAATTACAGTTTGCTAGAGACGAAGTAGGGAATGTTCTTTGCCTCATAGAGATCCTTGTGCTCGGATTTGATGATATCCGCACCCTAAAATACGGGTTAGTCTTCTCGTGAAAACCAACAAGGTTCATTACTCACCTTCTCGCCAATCATGTAGACTGAGTTCTGAATACGGCAGTCGGGAATCACAGGGATAACGGAAGCATCCGCAATCCTGAGGTTGCGCACTCCATGTACTCGAAGCTTCGAGTCAACGACGCCTTGGTGGATGCTCTTAGAGAGTCGTGCTGTGCCGCAGGGGTCTGTGAATTACATTAGTGCTGTCGCAAATATTGGTAAGAGACGATCTTACGGAATCCAGTCTGGCTTCGATCCAGAACAGCCTTGTTCATCTCATCATCAGAATGGAGAGGCATCTTCCAGGGGTACTCCCGGACGACGATGTCTTTGAACCCAGCACCGCTGGTTAAAACATCATATGTCCAGCGCACACCCTCACGCATTGCCAGGATGTCCAAGTCATTGGCAAAGAAGTTGAGGTTGATGTTGGGCTGAACCAGGGCGTTTGAGCTGTTCAGGGTAACCTCACCCTCGGACAGCGGCCGGAGCAGATCGACAATGACGGTCATATAGCTTCCTTGCTCGGGAACCGGGAAGTGCCACTGGAAAGCGGTGCTAAACAAGCCGACGAAGTCAAGCTCAAAGTGAGGCTGGCCCGCGGGTCCAAAGGGATCCAGTCCACCATTCGCAGCCTTCGCCTCGCGATAGGCGGGATACTTCTCCAGTCGTTCATCAATGCGGGGGAACCCTACAAGTTCCAAAAATCCGGAGCTTGCAGGGCCCGTCTTGTCACGCTGATATGTAGCCAATGCCTTGTCATTAAGAGGACCAGAGCGGAGGATGTGATCATCCAGGCCATAACCATCTTTGAGCTGAAGCACGAAAGGCACAATTGGATGGTCCAGGAGGTGCTGGCCAACATGAGGAGAGTCGACAACCGGGTTGATTCCATGCTTAGCTAGCTCTGCGGCCGGGCCGATACCGCTCAGCATGAGAAGCTTGGGTGTCTCAAATACACCTTGAGACAAAATCACTTCGCGGCTAGCATAAACACTGATCTCGGTGTTGGAAGCTCCGCTGATCACAGTGACGCCGGAACAGATGCGTGTTGCCGGATCGATGATCAAGTGCTTCGACTGAACCCCATAGAGGATTGTCACGTTCGGCTTGTTCTTCAAGTACAGGAAGCTACCCTGGCGCACGCCTCGGTGGATGGTGTCGACACAGTGGGTAAGGCCTTTCATTTCACCAGAAAAGATGTCCTCTGTCAGAGGCTGGCCCTTAGAGACCCATGCTTCGGTAAGCGCATCACGGAACGGTTGCATTTCCGGCACCAAATCGGCATGGGAGATCTGCACAGGACCTCCGGTCCCAATCTTGCTCAGTTCGGCCGGATATAACTTCTCATCGTCATGGTACGTGGCGCACTTGCGCAGATATTCCACACAGCTATCCCAGGTCCAGTCTCGGCCTCCAAAGTCCTCCCAGTCGTCAAAGGTAGGCTTCGAGCCCGGGATCCAAGTGAAGTAATTGGCACACGTACTTCCACCAAGGGCCTTTCCGCGGGTGTTGGGTTTTTCAATGCGCTCGTAGTCATCGCGCTTGATCATAGTCGTCTTGTATGCCCAGTCATACTTGCTTCCACGAAGGGTAAATGCCTTTGACGGCGTGGTAATTTGTTCGATTTGGTCTGGGTTCGGGATACCAGCTTCAACAATCAGAATACGAACATCGGGATTTTCAGCAAGGCGACCAGCAACGGCATTGCCAGCCGTGCCACCACCAACGACAATAAAGTCGTACTCAGCGCCGTTGGAAACGGTTGCCATGGTTTGAGCTTTGTATGTTGCAAGAAAGCCGTTGAAAAATGATGGTTTTCCAATGTCTAGTAGAAATTGACGAGGTAAAAGCTTCGCTTTTATACCATTATGTGTTCAATTCTTGCCGAATTCCGATCAATGAAATGGCGAGGTCATACCATTGTATTGGTAGTACTACTCAATACGGTTAGTTAATAAATTCGTGGAAGGCGGATCTGCAACCGTCGTTGTCACTGAGATAGGCTCCATATGGGACAGTTGTAGCGGGAATTATTGACCCCTCATGAGGGGAAAAGGATCTCCGCACGAATATGTAAGCTATACTATTGAATCACGGTCACAGTCGCTTCAAGGTGCGCAGTGCGGATGTGATGCCGAGCCCGGCAAAGACTCGGTGATGACTCGGCACAAACGGCACATACGGTACGAAAGTCTCGGCCCGTAAAGGCTGAATTTAAGGTTTCGTCCAATCACGTTGTATCTCCATTTCTATACGCCCTTAGCGTCCAATTTGGATCTGTCGTCACCTAACACTCCTTACATAAGAGCATACTGGAGTTCCATTCGACAGCATTTCAGGATTTCAACATAGGATAGTGGATGCGCGAGGCATTAAGGGGATCTTTTGTCCTGTTTCTTCCTACCCCTCACGAAACCCATACCAGGTTTATTTCGGATACCAATCCAAGTGTTTGTCATCGAAACTGTCTTTATAATATAGACTTGGTATATAAATTAATAAAGACGAAGCCAACCCCCTAGGAATAGAGCATCCACTCATTCGTAGTTGGCACGTCCGAAGAAGAATTCGCCATGCCGAGCCCTGCCTTTACGTTGGCAGAAGGTACGATACTTGAATTCTCAACATAATGCCTCCCGCTAACATCCTGCAAGGACAGCCAGTTGCAAACCCATCCGTCAGTACCACGTTGCCTACCTTTGGCAGCGGAGGCATCACTACCTTGGGTGACACTCTCCTGATTGAGACGCTTTCGCACTTCAATCGTGAACGTATTCCTGAAAGGTCAGAAGTCATTCCATTCGCATTATGAAAGTAGAGCTAACACTGGGTAGAGTTGTGCATGCCAAAGCTGCAGGTGCTTGGGGCGAGTTCGAGGTCACCAATGATATATCTTCCCTCACATCGGCCAAGTTCCTCAATGGCGTGGGCAAGAAAACTCCCATCCTTTTCCGTCTTAGCACCACTGGCGGTGAAAAGGGCAGCGCAGATACCGTTCGGGACGTGCGAGGCTTCTCTGTCAAGTTCTTCACGGAGGAGGGCAACCACGACATTGTAGGGAACCACATTGTAAGTCTTTATTCCTTGGTCTCTTACACCTCTGGTTCTGATATATCCTAAGCCGGTGTTCTTCGTGCGCGATCCGATTAGGTTTCCATCCCTGAATAGAAGCCATAAAAGGCATCCTGCCACTAACCGACCAGATTGGACCATGGTGAGTGCTATTTCATGTCTCTACTTGCCGGTGATCTAATCCCCTTCAGTTCTGGGACTTCCACGTCAATCAACCGGAGAGTGTTCACGCTTTGATGCACCTGTTTGGCTCTCGCGGTATCCCCGATTCGATCCGTCGAGTGACAGGGTTTGGCGTCCATACCTTCAAGATGGTGGCAGCTGATGGCAGGTTCCGCTACTGCAAATTTCACTTCCGACCGACCCAAAGCATCACCCATCTCTCTGGACAAGACGCCACTCGCATGGCTGGGGCAAATGCCGACTTTCACACCCAGGACCTGTGGGATGCCATCTCTCGTGGACAGTTTCCGGCCTGGAAACTTTACTTGCAGGTGATGGAGCCCGAGCAGGCTGAGACCTACGGCCGCGCTCTTTTTGATATCACCAAAGTCTGGCCCCACAAGGACTTCCCGTTGCTTGAAGTTGGACAAATGACTCTAAACAAGAATGTATGACTGGGCTTTACGAGAAACAAGGAGCATAGCTGATAAGAAATCTAGCCGGACAATTATTTTGCGGAGATCGAACAAGCTGCATTCTCGCCTTCCAACATGGTCCCTGGTATCGCGATGACACCTGATCCTAGTAAGTATATCCTGAAATTGCTCTGGTATTTGACAGGATACTGAATACCCCTGGCTATATAGTGTTGCAGGCGCGCATGTTTGCCTACCCTGACGCTCAACGATACCGCTTGGGGGTGAACTACACACAGCTCCCTCCAAACCGTGCAATTTGCCCTGTTTACGCACCCTTTGAGCGCGATGGTATGGCGACCGTGACCCGGAACTATGGAGGTGACCCGAACTATGTGCGCAGTACGTTGAGCCCAGGCGTACCCAGCCAGGTGGTTTCCAATGTGCGACACACCGAGCGCATCGAACAGAACGCCACCCTGGGCCAGAATGAGATTTTGGTTGATGATGAGGATTACATTCAGCCACGCGAGCTGTGGAACAGGGTCTTTGATGAGACCGAGAAAAGGCAGTGGGTGGCGAATGTGTCGGAGACCTTGGAGGACGTGCCTGCTCAGCTGAAGGAAGCTGTCATGTCGATGTTCAGCCAGATCGACCCTCGTATTGGCCAATTGATAGGGGTTAAGACTAAGAGCAGCTCGCGCCTCTGAGGGCTTAGATGTGTAATTTTTATGTGCGGTCACGAATTGGGAGAATTTACTGCGTCTTATATTGGATCTTGACTTGTTGAATAAAAATTCTCACTATAAGCGCATCGCGCACCGGAATAACTACTAGTATTTGGAAGAGCCTGGCAGAAGTGCGCGAGAGAGAGATGATACCATAAAAATCACCGTTAAGAGCTGAAATAGAGCTTTTGGCACCTTTTGGCCTTGCGGTATATTTCGCAAACATTTTTGGTGGTCGAGAAACGAAAAAGGCAACCGATAAGAGGGAGAATAAGGCGACGAATAAGAGCCAGGCTGGGCGGGAGATCTGGCAGCCTGGTCGCAGCGTAACCTTGCAGGCCTTCGATTGTAAACCCTTTCGCCTCTCTCACTCCCGGCTGTCAAGATGAAAAGGGTGCTTTGCACTTTTACTATTCGCTGTGTATGGAGAAGGCGGGTACGGAGATCAGGTATTTATTCCACGTCATTTTATGCTTCGAAGGCGAATCTCGAACGTGTCTGGATTAGACGAAGCCCAACTCGTATCCGCCCGGTGTCTCTGCCGGCGCGACTGATACGATGCAACCTCGCTTGAGGCTGACGCCTCGCCGTGCGCTCTAAAATCTTACCGCAGAGACGGGACGCCGTACTCGTCTTACCCGCCTGCTTATCTCAACTCGGCACGGGTTCACACGAGAGTCACTGTCATGGCCATGCCTATGCCGATGCGCCTGGCCCGACACCCTTGTCGCACCCTGCAGGACTGCAGGAGAACCAAAGCACCAAAAGAGGGTCAGATCTCCCAATCAGACTGATCGGCAGGCCATTGTGGCGTCCAGATCTTAGTCGGACCGCTAGCACATATAAGAAACATCGGCGCCGTTCCACCACAAGAGCCAAGCATGTCTTGTCTGCTCTTGTGTGCTCGCTATGGCCTCGCACATCCCGGGGTGTCGCATGAGATCGGCGTGCAACGCCTGCCACTTCGCCAAGCTGCGCTGCTCAGGTGGCTCGCCATGTGCCAACTGCCAGATCTCCAGCCAGCCGTGCGCCTATAGCCTGTCCAATCGCCTGGGGCGGCCCAAGGGCGTCAAAAACAAGCGATCGACTGGCGACTCTGCGCGCGCGACATCCACCCGGTCGAACCTGCAGGAGACGAACCTCAAGCGGCCGCCGATGAACGGTCACGATGTTTCCACGACGGCCAGCACGGAGCCGGAGGGGATGGCCGATCTCGATCGTCTGGTCCACGCGAATTATCCCATGTTGCCGGACGAGCTTGACCTATTCACAGTATAAACCCCGACATGCTCCCCTGCCTGATGGTTCGATTGCGTCTGGACTAACATGACGCATATATCTGTTAGGCCTTTGCAGCCTATCCTGGTGATCTCCCGCTGCCGCCGCACAAGTCGGCAAGTGGATATGTGACGCCGTCCAACAGCATCCACGGCGACGCCACCTCGCTCGAAGTCTCCCACCGGTGCATCTGCGCTCAGCAACACGCCGACCTGCTCTCTCATCTTCGCGCAATGCGCCAGCAGCCGGCCCCAACCTCCGTGGACGCCCTGCTGGCAGCGGGTCAGCGCACCTTAGCTACATGGAAGCACTTCAGCCAATGTCTCGCGTGTAGCAGACCCGTCAACGAAGAGACCATGCTCCTCTCGGCAATCAGCATGCGCAGCATGCTGCGCCTGCTACAGACCTTCTCCTCATGTGTCGCGACCGAACACCCGGCGCCTACCAGCATGCTGTCCCCGTCCTTAGAGGATGCCGACGGCCCGCTGAGTATGACCATCGGCGGATACCAAATCGAAGGGGACGAGCGACACATGGTCGGGAACATGTTGGCGCTGCACACGCTAAACCGCATCGAGTTTGCCGTCTCATGTCTCACGGAGCGCGTCGCTAGCTGCACGCGGCCGGGCACGTCGTCAGGTGAGAGGATGCCTGCGAAGTGGATGGCGCCCGACGATAGTGAGTTGGAGAGCGACCTACAGCCGGTGCAGGTGATCCTGCAAGGAATGGAGGCGACGATCGGGAAGCTCAGCCAGGCTCTGCAGTGGAAACATCGCGTCGCGACGATGAAGATGTACGGAGGAATGGGATAGTAATGATAGAACAGAAACAATAGTCTATTTGATACATCGCTAATTAGAGATAGAAACAGATTCCCACGTTGCTTACGCTTACAATATCAGATCATTCTAATTCACATAGCTCGTAAAACCCCAATTGTCTATCCTGACTAAACCCCCCTCGCCTCCATCCTGGCCCGCAGAGTCCGATAGAAGGTGCCGACGTGCTCGGGCGCCAGCAGCGTGTAATGATGCCCCGGCACCTCGTGGAACTGCACGTCGTGGACAAAGTGCGTCCAAAGCGACAGCTTCTGCTGCAGCCAGTCCGTCTTGGTGCGCGCCACCGCCTCAATCGGCTGCCCATAGAGCACTTCCAACGCCGGCACGCGGCCCTGCGGCTCGTAGTCGCGCGCGATAACGTGTGAGTTTAGCGCCAGGCTAGTCCATGTCGCCAGCCGGCTCTTGTCTAGGCCGAACTCCTCCAAGCGGTGCTCCGAGGCCGATGCTAGGAGCAGATCCACCAGCTGGCCCTTGTCGATGTCGTCTTCTAGCCCCCCTCCAACAGTCCGTAACTGGGCGACCACGGTGGCCTCGGCCTCAGCGCTGGGCAGCAGGTCGAAAAAGCGCGCCAGCGTCAGCAGCACGTCCGCCCAGCCGCCGTGGCGCATGCGCTCCTTGATATGTGGCGGCTGGTCGAACACCGCCAGGAAGGGTGTCGCGAACCCGTCCTGCTGCAGCTGCTTGGCGATCTCAAATGCCACCGTGCCGCCGTACGAGTAGCCGGCGATGGCGTACGGCCCGACGGGCTGCACGCGCTGGATAGCCGCGCGATAGGCGTCTACCATCTCACCCACGCTACTGAAGAACGGCTCCCCGTCGAACCCGCGCGCGCGCAGCGCATACACGGGTCGGTCCGTGAACCGGTTGGCCAGGTGCAAGAAGACCAACACCTCGCCTACGCCCGGGTGGACCAGCCACAGGGGGGTTTTGTCGCCCCCGGTGCGGAGCGTGACCACCGGGTCGTAGGGCTTGCTAGAACTGCCCGTGGCGGTCGGGTCTAGAGCCGCAGCGAGACCTTCAATTGTCGGGTGGCCGATGATGGTCGTGACGGGGATGCGGTCCGGCAGGTCTGGCTCGTTCTGCAGCAGCCACTTAATCTGGAAGATCTCCAGCGATGAGCAGCCCAGATCGAACAGGTTGGTATGGACGCCCAGCTCCGCCCGTGACGCCACGAACACCTCGGCGAATACACGCTGCACTGCCGCCTCAGCGGGCGTGGTGGGCTGCAGCAGCGGGCCGCTGGTGCCCTGCCCCAGGTACTCCTCGTCCTGCTGGATGCTGGCGTCGTACATGCCGGCTTCGAACGCCTTCTTGATCTTGGCGCGCGAGAGCTTACCCAAGGCGGATTTGGGCAGGAACGCCCGGTCCAGCGGGATAATACGATGTGGCCGCGCCATGCAGTGGTTCATGACGACCGTACGAATTGCATTGCGCGTGCTAACACGCGCAGAGACGTCGTCCACGGCGTAGGTGGGCAGATACACCACGCAGAGTGTTTCGGACGCTGCGCCCGGCACCCGGTAGGGGAAGATGGCTGTGTATGACATTGCCACACCGGGGATGCGCGCGTCCTCGATGGCGCCCTCGATCTCGTGCGGGTAATACTTGAGGCCGTTGATATTGATGGACTCCTTGCCGCGGCCGACCAGATGCAGCTGCTGGCTCTCGTCCAGGAAGGCCAAGTCGCCCGTAACAAACCAGCCATCGGACGTGAAGGCCTCCTGCGTCGCGGCCGCATTGTTGAAGTACTCCTTGAATACGTTAGAGCCGCGCACCTCGAGATGACCGATCTCGTTGCTGGCACAGAGCCGGGACTCAGTGTCGCGCACCCGCATCTCCATGCCCGGGATGCAGTGGCCTAGCGACGTGAACTCCCGACCATGCGCGAGGTCACCTGCGGGGCAGTTGTTGTTGTAGATACTACCGGCACAGGTCTCGGTCATGCCGAACCCAGGCCGGATGAAGTCGCAGGAGGCCCCCAACGGCTGGAGAAGCTTGGTCAGGGCGGCACATAGCGCCGTCGAGTTGGCTTCTCCGCCGGAAATCAGGCAGTGCAGGGAGGAGATATCTGGAAGCCGCCGGCCGGAATCGTCCTCGTCGACCGATTGATGTGGCAGGATGTTCTCGAGAGTTTTCTTCACGGTTGCGAGGAAGAAGTTGGGCGCGAATGTGTATCCCACTGCGTGGCGCTCGATGAGTCGCAAGAATGCGAGTGGGTTGGCCAGGAGGTCGCCGGCGTGGACGTGCACTTGGTCAGCGCCCTGGGTCATCGCATGCAGGTGGATCTCCGTGAGGTTGGCGACGTGGTCCATGCCGATCCAGTTCAAAAACGTCTCGTCGCGATGCGTGCCATGGTACGCGGCCTTGCTCGCGACGGCATGCAAGATCTGGCCGTGGCGCAGCGCAACGGCCTTGGCGTTCCCGGTGCTCCCAGATGTGAGCATCAGGGCAGCCAGGTCCTTGGGTGACTGCGTATACCCGTTGTTCGAGATGTACTCGGCCCGAAGTGGAGCCTGGTGGGCCGTCAGATCTTCGACGGTGTGGATGACGAGGCCGGGCAGGTCGAGGAACTCAGACACCAGATGCTCCCTGGTCAACACGACGGGACTCTGTAGGACATCCTGCAGATGTAGCAGGTGCTTGCGCCGCTGGTCGAGGTTGTTGGTGAACGGCGTTGAGATGGCAGGCACTTGGCCGGCAGCCAGCACCGCCCACAGCCAGCGGACGTTGTCTTCATGGTTGTCCAGGTGGATGAGAACGATGGTCTCCGGCGTCAGGCCGGGGATGGTCTTGACCGAGTTCCCCAGGACAATTGCGTCGCCTAGGAGGTCGGGATACGTGATTCTGATGGGCTCGCCTTCCGTCTGCCCCGGCGGGTAGATGGAGAGGCCCTTCTCGGGGGCCGAACGAGCAGCCCTAGTCAGGGCTTCGAGCAGGTTTTTTGGCACAGGAGCCATCATGGAGATGTGAATACTCAGTTGATGGACAAAAAACACTTAACCAAGCGTATTAAACATCCTCACAATGTCGGTTGAGGTCTTATTCATGATAGTTATCGATGGGATCCTGTTCGCCCAGCTTATAAGGTTCCCACGTTGTGCCCGTGTTTGCACGCCATCTGGCATCGCGATGTCTGACAACAGAGACTGCCGATGATAATCGGCGCTACAGTCATGAGGCCATGGCTCTGCAAGTGGAATCTCGCCGACCTCGAATGGGGGCATTCTCTGGCAGTGGATCCGCAGAATGGGCCGATAAGCCTCCTGGTAAATAACGCTTTGTAGTGCTTACTAGAGGATGCTGAGACATGCCCGGCTAGCTAAGGCAACGACTTATCGTGTTCGTCGGAATGGCACCATCTGTTAGAGGACGAAATGGGACTAAGTTGTCCCTCTGATGCAGGCCCGTTTCCTGATGGCCTGGATCAGTGCAGCCTTCTCTGGCCCGTATTCCGTCTGCAATCAACGGAATTGCCGCCACAGGCCGTATGGGAGGTCGCGTTGGCGTTGGAGAATGTCGTCTACAATCTAGAACGGCGTTGCTCAGGCGTATGTGTCCCTGGCTGAATCCTACGGCGACATCCCCGTCTCATTCGGTCTATAACTGCGTCACCCGTTTATTCCTGCTTCAGGGTCCGATTTCTCTCTTCCCGTCCTGCGAGCAGACACAATACAATGTCGCATTCTATGGCCAAACTACCTGAGTCGGCCGAGGCTGAAAGCGCGTATGAAGTGGTATGCTTTCCCGTTGATCCCACCTGGCTAATCGCTCGCTCATCTTGTCCAGTCATGGGAAGGCTGCGATGATGCCAGCAATCCGCGCAACTGGAGCACCGCGAAGAAATGGCGCAACGTGCTCCTGATCAGCGTGCAGGCCACGCTCTCGCCCATGGCCTCCGTCATGCTGGCTGTGACCAGTATCGCTATCTCACGCGAATTCCATCTGACGGGCCCGTACACCCCCAGTCTGCCCACCGCGCTGTTTGTCCTGGGCTTCGGGCTAGGCCCGCTGTTTCTGGCACCCCTGTCCGAGCTGTACGGCCGGCGCATTATCTACCTCGCCTGCTTTGTCGCCTTTACGATATGCAACATCCTCTGCGCGGTGGCGCCCAACATGGCTGCTCTGGCCATCTTTCGCCTGGCCTGTGGCATGGCAGGATCGGCGGGCCCCAGCATCGGCGGCGGCACCATTCGGGACATGTTCACGCCGGAGACCCGTGGTCGCGCTCAGTCGGTATACAGCTTTGGCCCGACGGGCGGGTCGGCTCTTGGGGGAATCATTGGCGGGTTCATCCTGGCGGGCACCGGCAACTGGCGGTGGGTGGCGTGGGTGATGGCCATGGCGTCCGGCATCACCTGCATTGTATCGGTCTTCTGCCTCCACGAGACATTCCCGCCCTATCTGTTGCGCAAGAAGGCAGCCCAGCTCCGGGCCTCGACGGGCAATGACGCCTACCGCAGCTCACTCGACAGTCCGCTTGGCCATCGACAGCTGCTGGCACGCACCCTGACGCGAGCAGCCCACATGCTCGTCACCGCGCCTGCGTGCACCGCCATGAGCCTCTATATGGCATTGTATGTCGTCCCTCTCGCGGGCCGAGGCGTATCCTGTTATCGTGCCACTTACTTACCCGAATCCAGAATCTACGGAATTTTGTACCTCCATATGGTCACCCTCCCGCTGCTGTACTCGTCTGAGCCCGCATACGGCCTGCCCTCCTACCGCTGGCCTGCCGCCCTGACGGGGTTGTCGTATCTGGGCGTGGGCGTCGGTTCGTTCGCCGGGGTCCTCGTCTGCGCTCTGGCGCTGAACCGCACCTACGTGATGATGAAGGCGCGCGAGGCCCGGAAGGGCCGACCAACCGCCAACACGGGTCCTGAGTATCGCATGCCGCTGATGCAGGTGGGCGCCTGCATTGTGCCGCTGGGCTTGTTTATCTTCGCCTTCACCGCGCGGGTCGACGTGCACTGGATCGTGCCGCTGGTCGGGGCCACCGTCTTCTCGTCCGGCATGCTGATCACGTACATCTGCGTGACGACATACCTGGTCGACTCCTTCGACCAGTACGCGGCCAGCGCGCTGGCCGGGATGACTCTCACCCGCAGCGTCCTGGGCTGTGTGTTCAGCCTGATTGGCTTTCGCCTGTACGAGTCGTTGGGCTACGAGTGGGGCACGCTGATACTGGCCTTGCTCTGCGTCTTGATGATGCCGCTGCCGACCATCTTCTATTTTCTCGGCCCGCGGTTTCGCGGCCTGGGTGGATATGGGCTAGACCGGGAATCGGTGTGACTGTGTTTTTGTATGTAGACCGTGATAAATTGTGACTATTTTTAGCATAGATCAATCCATATGACTGCAGATTATAGAAGAGTAAAGGTAAACCGATGAGGCTACCGAGCCCAAGCGATAGGCCAGAGAGAGAGCGAGAGAGAGAGAGCTGAGCCTGACGAAGGCTAAAGCTAGCAATCCACCCGAGATGAAACCTCCTGCACCCACCCCTGTCAGTGGACACGAGCCGATGGCTTGGCAGGGACGAAATCCCTGCTTATCAGACGCACTGTCAGAAGTCCCCGAAAATGCTCCGGATCGCCGCAGACATCTTTGTGTTGGAAATGAGGAGGTTCGGATTATAGGTGCATGGTAGAGTTTGAGGCATCGCGTAAGCGAGGGTAAGGGTCTAGCCCTGGTCTGAGTAGCTTCATCACGACTTCGACGTTAGAGGGCCGAATAGTCACTCAATTCTCAGAGCTCAATGCTAGGTAGTTATAAATAGTCGCGACGGTGCAATTCACACGTCAAGCCTATTAGGGTAATTAGAAGTACTGGCCTGATACGAACCAAACCATTCTCCCAACCACAGACAGCTCAATGGCGTCGCAAGGACAGAGACTGTCTCCCCTGAGACTGAAGCAGACTCTGCCGTTGGTAAGTTACCTCCACCTGGACCGAAGCGCTCTTGGGCCCTAATGAACGGCAGAACGACGCAGTCGCTCGCTCGGTGGACCAAGGTCGCGACGCTATCCAGCGTGCGCTGCAGACTACCATCCCGTCAACACGGATGTCCACGCCGCCGCATCCCGGGCTCCTGGTCATTGTCGGACCCTGCAGCGTGCACGATCCAACTGCAGCACTGGAATATGCCCGCCGACTTGCGGCCGCGGCGGAAAGGTATCGCGGAGAGCTGCTGATCGCGATGCGGGTCTACATCGAGAAGCCCCGGACGACCGTCGGGTGGAAGGGTCTGGTCCACGATCCGGACCTGGCGCAGGGGGCAGCGTCCGACTTAAACCGGGGCCTGTTTGCCTCGCGTCAGATCATGCTGCGGGTGGCCGAGCTGGGCCTGCCGGTTGTCACGGAGGTTCTGAGCCCCCTCGTGCTGCCGTTCGTCCAGGACGTGCTGGCCTGCGGCGTCATCGGCGCCCGAACCACGGAGAGCCAGCCGCACCGCGAGCTGGTCAGCGATATGCCCATGCCGATGGGATTGAAGAACGGCACAGACGGCGGGCTGGGAGTGGCCCTGGATGCCATGAAAGCCGCCGCGCAGCCCCATACCCTAGTCTCTGTGGACGACGAGGGTTACCTCGTTGATCATTTCAGCGCCGGCAACCCCGACACGTTCATGGTCCTGCGCGGCGGCAAGAGCGGGCCCAACTTCAGCCCGGAGCACATTCTCCAGGCAGAGGCTGCCATGGTCCAGGCGGGCCAGCCCGTCCGCCTCGTCGTGGACTGCAGCCACGGCAACTCGATGAAGGACTATCGCAAGCAGCCCCTGGTAGCGGCCAGTGTTGCCCAGCAGGTCGCTGCGGGAGCTCCCATCGCGGGCGTGATGCTCGAAAGTAACATCAATGCTGGTAATTGCCGCCGCCCTCTTGTCGTACTTCACTCTTACTAACCCATGATCAACAGGCCGACAGGATATCCCCGCCGATGGACTCGCCGGTCTTCAGTACGGCGTCAGCGTCACGGATGGCTGCATCGGCTGGAAGGAGACCGAACTTGTTCTGGAAGAGCTGGCTACTGCCGTGCGCGTGCGGCAGGCTGTGGCGCCCAAGCCGGTGGCCCTGCGCAGCCGGCGTCGATCATCCGTGCAGCAGTCCATGGAGAAGCTGCGGCCCAATATTTCCATCCTGGAGTTCTCGGGATGAGGAGAGAGCGGAATGATGATCAGATGATGAGATGATTGCAAAGAGATTTCTGTGCTCGTTGCATGCGTTACCAGACTGTAATATGATTTACTATTCGATAGACTACATACACTTTTTCCACTATTTGTGAATTTGTTCTCGCTATTCCTTTTATATAGAGGTTACCCTTTGCTAGGATCTTCTCAGAAGAAATGGGTTCAAGTCTGATGCCGCTTGTCTCATCGACTGGAAGCAAATATCTCCAGCTAAGTTATACCTAATACCTTCAAACGTTAAGACGATTTCTCAAGGTGTTACCATATTTTAGGAATCTGCCAGAAGATGTAAGACCAATTAAAGTCTGAAATAAATTGAATATTGACAAAATCGCCGTCTATCACAGGGCCACCAACTATACACTCCGGTGGTTACGAAAACTCCTAGGAAAAAAATGCCCAACGGCTATACCCCCGAGTCAATCTCCGGCACCAAGTCCACCCCCTTGTAATCGGCCCAGTCGCGGCAGGTCTGGTAGACGCCGTGGGGGATCTCCATCTCTCGGATCTTTTCCGGATGTTCCTAGTCATGATCAGCACTGGGATGGATCGATTTGGGTGATTAGAAGAGAATAAACACCAACCAGGATATTAACATAGAGCCCCGCGCTGACGTGCCACGCCAGATGGCAATGCAATGGCCACACTCCCGGGTTGTCCGTGACAAAATCCATCACCATGTAGCCGGGTCCCTTGACGGGGTCGCCCGGCTGCAGGATAAAAGTATCCCGCCGCATCGGGTTCTTCAGATTGGCGATGCCGTTCCACTCGCCCACGCCCTCGGCCACGATCCAGAAGTTGTGCCCGTGCAGGTGCATCGGATGCTGGCTGCGGTTCGTGAAGCTGTAGTTATACAGAATGATCCGCACAGAGCTGTTGCTGCCGAAGTTGTACACTAGCCAGTCGGGGTCGGGGTACGAGGTGTTGCCCGCCTTGGCGAGGAGAAGGACGGGGTGTCTGTCCCCCGTCAGCATGTAACATGTTATGCAAGGCAGGCTGACTTACTCGTAATTCGCGCGGAAGGTCTCGTTGTTGACGTACCATAGGAGGTTCCCGGTCTCGTTCGCCTGGAACCGGATGTCCAATTGTTGCGTCACGGCCGGTGTGGCCGGCGGGTCCATGGGATATACCGGAGTCGTCAAATTAAGCGGGACCTGTCCATCTCAAGTGAGTATATGTGGGCAGTTGAAAGAGCTGGATGAGACTCACATCACCACAGTGCGAGTCATCGTAGGGCGCTGCGGTTGTGTTGGGCAGCTGGGTCACGTCCGCATCCTCATAATAGATAGCCGCTTTTGCATGGCCCTGGTAGCTGACGGCGCAGAGGGCACTAACATCGGAGCGCATCCACACGGCGTCCGTCGCCTGGCCCGTGGCGTGGACGAGCACGTCGGCGCGTTGCCCGATGCCGATGCTCAAGACGTCCGTCTCGTACGGCTCAATCGGCACGAAGTCATTGGCGATCACCGTTAGGCGCATGCCGTCGATGCGAAACCGCTGGAATCCCTGGCTGCTGACGTTCATGATCCGCAGGCGGTATGTCTTGCCCTTGGTGAAGCGGAACTTGGAATACGTCGCATTAGGCGAGCAGGTGAGGTGGTTCGCGGTGATGTTGGGATTGTTGCAGTCGTACGGCATCCGGCCGTTGATCAGGTTGTTGTCCGAGTAGGCTTGCGTCGTCGGCGCCGGCAGGCCCACCACGCTCTCCACTACCTCGAGGTAGTTGGCATGATACCAGTCAGACTAGATCAGTCAGTATCAGTTCATGTTTCTCGACTGTCAACCGGCGTACCAGCAAGACCGGGCCCAGGTCCACGTCGTAAGGCACATGTTGCGGGCTAAGCGCCAGTTAGACAGACTGAACAGCCAGAAGGGCGTAATGAGGGCCCCATCCAACTCACCCGTACAAAATGAGTGCGCCGAAGATGCCCGCCGAGTACTGAGCCCCGTAATGCGCGTGCCAGAACGTAGAGCCATACGCATCCGCTCGGAATTTGTAGGTGAACGACGAACCGGGAGCGATCGGACACTGCACGGTGGAGGGAACCCCGTCCATCCACTGTGTGTCAATCATGCGGAGCCCATGCCAGTGGATGGTGGTCCCCTCCGCGGGATCGACGATGCGGTTATCGACGGTAACTTCGATAGTATCCCCCCAGTTGGCCTCAATTGTCGGGCCCGGGAACTGTCCGTTAACCAGCAGCACCGGCCGATCTACGCCGTCCGGCGCAATCGTGGCCCGTGCAACCGAGAAGTGATACCGCCGGACCACCCCAGTGTAGGGGATCTCGTTCGGGTTGACATCCTGTGCCGGCTGGTTGTTCCAGGGATTGGGTGCAGTGGACCCCTGTGACGGGGGCAGGTTAGGCACGTCGCCATTCACGCATGCACCATCTCACCGGGGGGAGGAAGAGAGAGAGCCAGCTTACTGGATGGTCGAGGTACAGGGGCAGCGCAGGAGCAGCCAGCGTGCCCAGGCTGGACAAATGCCCGGCCACATGGGTGACCAGGACTGCAGCTGCAGCGATCTGTCGGAGAATTGGCATCTTTCCACGTGCGGATCAGCTCGATGTCTCGGTCCCTGGCCATCTTGGCTTCCCCCTTCCGGTATATATATATCGATTCGATGGGGATAAGATGCCCTGAGCTGTTATGGTTTCGCCTCGTGTTGCCATTCTCCTTCCAGCAGTGAGGCTGACATTGGAGCTGTAAGCTATACTGTTCCGCTCACCCCTGTTTCAACGCATCTAGATCTCCTCGGTTCCGTGGTGACCAGGGTCTGCGTCGGGCTGCCGTGTTAGCGCTTACCCGAACCCACTGCCAGGCACAAACAAAGAACCCAGCTTCGACCCGACATCTCGGGGATATCTTGGTCTGAGTCAACCCAAAAATGCGCCGGTGAGATTTGAGTGGGATCCCAGGCGTCGCCGAAGCCCGCGACTTACCAGGCCTTGGCGGAGTCTTTTCATTTATCCGGTGCCATCTTGTCTCTCGTCTCTTTTGGTGTTCGGACATCTGCTCAGCTTCCACTCTTTGCTCTTGTTCAGTCGGCTGCCGCTGTTTAGTCCTCTGCCTCGTATTACTCCAAGTCTTCTCACTGCCACGATGACCTCGGCCAGTCTCTCCCGCTGCTGCACCCTCGGCTCCCTGCACGACGGGGAGGCCACCGGCGAGATTAAGGACATTGGCGACAGTACGTGCTCGCTCTATGAGGCCTTAAAGCGTTGCCCGCTGACCACGCACAGTCTCGACCTACTTCGCCTACCCGGCCGATAAGTCCACGGAGAATGCCATCCTCATTCTCTCAGATGTCATCGGCCACCGCTTCATCAATGCGCAGCTGCTGGCGGATCAGTTCGCGGCCGCCGGCTACTTCGTCGTGATGCCGGACCTTTTCACAGGCGACACAGTGCCCCTGAACCGGCCCGAGGGCTTCAACATCATGGACTGGGTGAAGAACCACCTGCCCGCGCAGACGGAGCCCATTATCGACGCTGTCTTGAAGGAGATGCGCGAGAACCTGGGCTGCAAGTACATCGGCGGCATCGGCTACTGCTTCGGCGGCAAGTACGTCTGCCGGTACCTGAAGCCGGGCAAGTTGGATGCCGCCTTCACGGCCCATCCCACCATGCTGGAGGCCGACGAGCTGCGTGGCGTGGAAGGTCCACTCAGCATCGCGGCTGCAGGTACGTCACTTGCGAACTCTTTTCCCCGAACTGTTATATAGAATGGAGATTGACACGCCAGGCTAGTCCGTGACTTTGTTTTCACTACGGCCAAGCGCCACGAGTGCGAAAAGATCCTAGACACGCTGGAGATCCCCTACCAGATCAACATGTTCTCCGACGTCGAACACGGCTTCGCGGTGCGGTGCGATCTGTCCAAGCCCCGGCAGAAATACGCCAAGGAGCAGGCCTTCACGCAGGCCGTGGCCTGGTTCGATGAATACGTCAAGAAGCATTAAGCGAGACCGCATTGTGTGCCACGTTGATAGGCGTGGTGTTATAGATCAAAATGGAATCCTTCGTCGACCCAAATAAATATTAGTAAACTAATTCCTATGTAGTCGTGCTCACATAATGGTCTGTTTCAGCGTGACACTGGCTCAACTCAGAATGCCTACTTAGTACCCACGTAGGACCTGTGGACAGCAAGATGACCGGAGAAATCACGAATTACCACATCCCGGACACCGGGACGCCTTTCAAACGCGCACGGCGGATAAGAGGTCGTCTCAGGCCAGGGAACTCCAAAGCCTGGAGGGGTATAAATAGGAGCATCGAGCCCTCGGGTTGCGCCCCCTTGTCCGTCCTCCTATTAGCCTTGCCCGCGCTCGGTCTCTCAACATGAAAACTGCCTGGCAGCGCCTTATCCGCTTTGAGGCCACCGACGGCCGCCTCTTGTATGGCGAGCCCATCCTTCCCCATCCCAACTTTGATCTGGGAGAGACAGTGGAAGAGACGAGACTGCAGGCGCAAGTGATCGTGGGCGACGATCTCTACGACACTACCGGGGCCACTCGAGTGACCGACGAGGTGGTGACGGTGAAGGAGCTCCTGGGGCCCTTGACTGCAAGGAATGTCCCCATCGTGAGATGCATTGGACTGAACTACTTGACACACAGTGAGAGCGATAATCTGCGTCCCACTAATACTCAGAGTATTGTTCAAGATGCTGATGGCTGCAATTCATCCAGTCAACGAGACCGGCCAGAGCTCGCCCCCGTATCCGACCATGTTCATCAAACCGTCCCATGCGGTCCACGACCACGGTCGGAATGTGGTCATCCCCAAGATTGCGCAAGACGAACAAACCGACTACGAAGGAGAGCTGGTGCGAGTCCCCGAGCGATGTATTGGAGAAACCACTGACTGACTCGGTCCCGGACGCAGTGCGTCGTCCTCGGTAAGGACGCCAAAGACGTCGCGGAGGAGGACGCCCTCGAGTACGTGGCCGGCTACACGGTTGGGAACGATATCTCCGCGAGGAAGCTACAGCTACACGCCCACCTGGCTGGCCCTAAGCCCCAAGCCTGTTTTTCCAAAGGATTCGACACGTTCGCGCCGCTTGGCCCGGCCCTGGTGGGATCAAGCGTTATTCCCGATCCGTCCACGTTGGTATTGCAGACGCGGATTGATGGCGACCTGCGCCAGGAGGGCAGTCTGGATGATCTAGCCTTTACGATCCCGTATTTGATCCACTATTTGTCGTCGGGGACGACGCTGGAGAAAGGCAGTGTGATCATGACCGGGACACCTGGAGGTGAGTTGCTCTTCGGATGGTAGAAAACGGCCGATTCTGACAAAACAGGCGTGGGATGGCACCTCACCCCTCGGAGGGCTTTGATGCCCGGGACGAGAATGGAGGTTTATGTGTCAAGCATTGGGACGTTGAGAAATGGTATTGAACACGCCGCATAGAGTGGAAAGTCTACATACCCGTAGCTTTCTTCCATGGGGTTAGCCAGCTCGGGGATATCCTAGATTCACAATTAAGTTCATCAATCCTATAGACTTTCCATCTGGTGTATCGCTGCGAAATGGTTGGATAAATCCTGAGCGACTAAATAACATTGAGAACACCTGCTCGTATCGGTCTGGTGGCTGACCAAAGTAATCCCCCGGCTGCAAGGCTGTGGTTGATCCCAGGAATCCTCCGTGAAAAAAGAAAAGAAAAAGTCGCCGACATTAGCCGATTTCTAGCCAGCCGACAGGCAGGGGTGGGGAGGGCCACGGCGGAAACCTGGAAAATGCAAGCGAAACTCACGACGCCCTACTCTAGGTTCTGTATTCATATTCCATAGGGTTATGAGCCCCCAGTATGGAGTATGTATACGGGCTGTCCTGCCGCTCTCTCTCATATGCTGATCCCCTCGTATACGGCCATATTCCAAAATGCAGAGAAACGAGGCCATCGCGGACGTCCGCATGGGCGAGAAAGCCCTAGCCGTGCAGGAGACTCATGGCTCTGACGAATCCAGCACTCTAGTGGATCAATCGGCTGAGAGGAAACTGCTGTGGAAGATTGATCTTCTCATCCTCCCGATCCTATTCGTGTTCTATATGTTATCGTACCTGGACCGGATCAACATTGGCAATGCTCAAATCTCGGGGATGAACGAAGAGCTCCATCTGGACGTGGGAAACCGACTCAACGTCGCCATATTCGTGAGTACTCAATGGCTGCAAAGTTGAGAAGTAAAGTCAGGCAGTTGACTGAGAGTCGTAGCTGTTCTACGTACTATACATCCCCTTGGAGATACCGAGCAACATCTGGTTGAAGCATGCCCGGCCCTCCTTATATCTACCAGCATTGATGTTCTGTTGGGGTATGTACTCGGCAAAGAAAATAATGGATGCCCGGTGTCAGACTTTTAACAAGTGAATTAGGAGTCATCACGATGTGCACCGGTTTTGTTCACTCGTACCAAGCTCTGTATGCGCTCCGTGTCTTGCTGGGTCTGTTCGAGGCCGGCCTCGTCCCAGGTGTGGTCTATGTGACCTCCATGTATTACCGGCGGTTTGAATACCAGAAGCGACTGAGTCTGATGTTTGTAGCCACCTCGGTGGGGGGCGCCTTCGGTGGAGTAGGTGCATCCAAAACCTGTTCCTAGAATCGAAAACTGACGCAGGACGGGGTCAGCTGCTGGCCTACGCTATTGCTAATCTCAGTGGACAGCGTGGGTTCCTGGGATGGAGATGGTATGGGTCCTTCAATAGCCATCCTTCCCACAGTGAACCGCTAACTCCGACAGGATCTTCATTATCGAGGGCGCTGTGACGGCCTTTATTGCCCTTCTGGCTCCTTTGATCGTGGTGGACTGGCCGGACCAATGCCGCTTCTTCACTCCGGCCGAGAGAGAGCTCATCCGGTTGAGATTGGTCGATGACGGGATGGAGTTTCGCATGGACACCCTCAACCGCGACTCCGTACGCCGTATTCTGCTGGATTGGAAGATCTATCTGGGGTGCGTGCGAGAGTTGAATGATGTTCACCTTCCATGGCTAACTCTTTCCCAGATCTCTGACTTACATGGGCCTGACTACCAGCGGGCTGGCCATGTCCTTCTTCCTCCCCACCATCCTGAAGGAGTATGGATGGGAGTCCACCGAGGCACAGGTGCACACGATCCCCGTGTATGCCTTCACGCTCGGCCTGACCCTGGTCATGTCTTGGGCCTCGGATCGCCTGCAACATCGTTACGGATTCCTGATCTTCTGCTGTCTCATGGCCAGCATTGGCTACGGAATGCTCTTGAACATGGAACATCTTTCCCGCAATGCTCGGTATGCCGCCTGCTTCCTGATTGCAGGAGGGGGTATCTGCTCAGGTCCCATCGCCATCGGATTCCTCTCCAATAATCTGGCCGGCCACTGGAAACGTGCGGTAGGATCAGCCATGCAGGTCAGCTTCGCGGGCTTTGCCGGCATCATCGGATCGGTCATGTTCTTGGAACAGGAGGCCCCTTTCTACCGCACAGGCCTGCGAACGGGACTGGGTATGGCGTGGCTGTCGGGCGCGGCGGCCACCCTTATAGCCGTTATCGTCTGGAGGGAAAATCGGAAGCGGGACCGAGGCGAGCGAGACGAGAGGTTAGGATGGCCGGAGGAAGTGGTGAACAACTTGGGAGACGACCATCCCCATTTCCGATTCACTCTATAAGGGAGGTTTAAGACAGGAAGATGAGGGGGTTGCATGAGTCGATCTTGCAAAGGACAGCCAGTGTTGAATATAAGTAACCTTTTTCCAGATTTGAATGATCTGTTCCCAAGTATCCAGTCAGGGACAGCGTCATCTCCTATAACAGAGGGTTGTCTTTGCCCTGTTGTCCCTGCTGTCCCGGAGCTTGAAGTCCAGAAACCAAAAGTCACTCAGAAATCACATGTCACTCAGTGTATAAAGATTTTTTTAAATGCTACCCGTGTCAACAGTATTCACGAGCTGCTTTGTATCCTGGAGCAGCAACACTCGCTCACCTGCCCTTCGTAGTCGCTGTCTGCTCCTTTCAACCCCAGCGGTTCCGCAGCTCCGACTTCGACAGAAAATTTATAGCTTTTTCTGATGAAGTATCTGATCGAGTCAGCGAAATGGACATGAGAGGACGCCTCAAAAATGGTAAGTAGATCATAGATGTGCCTTCAAACTTTGCGAGACCTCCGGAAAACCCTTACCACGTTTCCGAATGTTTCTGTAGCGGCATTATGATGGGCTAGGCCTTGTTTGGATTTACTTATGATGACCTACATGCGATAGCTTTTAGCAATGTACGTCTTAAGTTGACACTGTTTACAACTGATGATTTAATTTAATATAGAGCAACTCGGCAATAAGCCCTATAGAGAGGGTACGATCACAGATTTGCGTGTGCCAGTGGCTCATTTGCGTGATCTTGCTTGATCATATCGCTCAGCTTGTAAGCCATAGCCCCAATAGTAGCAGTGGGATGTCCACTTATTTGCTCTGGGAAGACACTAGCATCCATAATTCGAAGCCCCTTGATACCATGTACGCGGCAATCCAAGTCCACCACGCTGTTACTGGGCGCGGTCCCCATACGTGCCGAGCCAACCGGGTGATAGAGAGTAAAAGCCTTCTCCTTCATGAAACGAATAAGATCTTCGTCTGAGATTTCGTCGACGTTGCTGCTTGAGTATGGCCACCAATAAGAAGAGACATCGTCATTAGCTGGGACGACCTCAAGGAACCGTTGAAAAGCTGGGCTGCGGATGATTTTCAGACAGACTCGTAAGCCCACCAAGAGCACATTTTGATCATTGTTGCCCTCGTCAGAAAGATATCGTGGGTCGATGATTGCTAGAAACATTATATAAGTTGCTCTTCTCTTCAAGAAAAATGCGAAACGGAGCAGGAAAGAAAAAAGAACACTACTCACCTGCGTCAAAAGCGTCCCTGCCACGCAGCGTAATTGTACCACTACTCAGCGGACGAAGACTGATTGGGACAATACTGAAGACGTTACTGCCATCGATTGGGCGTTCTTCGCCGTGATGAATGAACGCTAATGGTGCTCCAATGATCTCCAAGTCTGGTCCAACCCCACCAGAGGTGTTATCATTTAGAACATTGCGTAAGGACCCGGCGAACTTCTTGTCGGTTGATCGGATAAACGCAGCGGCCTCGCCGACATTACTGGTGAGCGGCCCGCTTCCAAAGAGCAGCCACTGGAAAAGAGCAGGCAGGGCCTTGATATCGCTTGCAAGATAGTCGAGCGTTTTTCCTGCCTTCGCCTTGCAGATCACCGGCGTGGTGCAGAGGTGATCTTTCAAGTTGTGGCCTACCGCGACATTATCTACGAGGACGGGGATCCCATGTCGATTGAGCTCGTCGGCCGGTCCGATTCCGCTTAGCATTAATATCTGAGGAGTATTGACCGCTCCACCAGAGAGAATGACCTCTTTTCGGGCATGGACTTCAAAACGTTCCCCGCCCCGTTTGGTTTGAAATTCGACGCCAATAGCTCGAGGAGTCTGCGTGGATAAACGGTCAAACAGCACCCGCGTGACATGGGCATGGCAGGCAACGTAGAGATTCGGCCGTTGCATTACACTTGGTGGCAGAAACGCCGTAGCCAACGAAGAACGCTGACCCTTCGAATCGATGAATGTTTGAAACCGAGTAACACCAAGCGGGCTATCTGGACAGTTAATATCGGACTGAGGAGGAATTCCTATCTCTTGACAAGCAGGCAGAAATCCTTCGTCAATTATCTCGGATAGCCATGAGTAACCCGTATGCCACTCTCCCGAGGATCCACGGTGTTGAGCGTCAATGGCAGGACGATCGGGGTTGGGAGTAAACTTCTCCATGCATCGTAAGTATGGGGAGAGGCCATCATAGTCCCATCGTTTGCACCCATGCACAGTTGCCCACTCGTCGAAGTCGGACCTGGAGCAATGGTGATACATCATGGCGTTAAGAGAAGTACAGCCTCCAATTATACGCCCTCGGGGCCAATACAGCGTCCGCGAAGCGAGCCCGGGTTGCTCAACAGTAAAGTAATCCCAGTCATGCTCGGTATGGAAGAGCTTCGAAAACATAACTGGCACCTTGGATTCTAGTACTTTAGTGTTGTCTCCGCCTGCCTCGAGCAAAAGCACGGATACGGTTTTGTCTTCGGAAAGCTTGCTGGCAAGGACACAGCCCGCGGCGCCGGCGCCCACGATCACTTAGACGTAAGTCAGATAGGCCGCTTAAAATAAAAACAGGTGTTCTGAACTGCCAAAGACATACCATAGTCATAGCCAGAGAGGGCGCGTTGGGCACTAGAGAAGGTCGCTGGCGCGCCCGCTCGAAGTTGCGGGGTCGCATAATGAAGTGGGTTATGCAATGGGTTTCTATTTCGTCGAGCCATCATGGAGGACGGTAAACCGATGGATAATTAGTGATGTTTCCCCTTTTCTTTTTCTACTTATACCATGCCTGCCTTGACCAGCAGCCTTGCCAGTCCTCCGCCCCGTACCCCGCCCCAGTTTCTCCGCAATTCACATTCACAGGATTTCTCTCCAGTAAGTGGACCGAGGCTTTCAGTACCCTTGCCTACTCGCACTCTATTCGACGAGGTTTGGGATAAAACGTATGTTATCCATTCAAGTTACCCGTCGTCATACGGTGGCTGTGAAAGCTAACCTCGACGGTCCCAACTTGGACACAGTATCTTGGGGCAGTTAATCGACATTTAAGAAGCTAGCAACCCGGTGCCAGATAACTATTAGCATATATAACTCTTTTTTAAACTCTATCTTATGTTATCTGACTCTGGAAAGCCCTCCGATAATGAAACTCAGCATGTTGAGTATCCTATGGATGAAGCCCAAAAGCACACATCCCGTCTTCCCAGTATGTCAACTTTCTTGACAATAAATACGTCCAGTCTGCACAGTGTCCCTAGCTTTTATTATGCAACCCATGATATCTTATTGGCGTTGATGGATTGGGTTCAGAAGGATACTGCACCAAGAAAGGCGGTTGTCACGACCCGAAAGAACGACACAGCTCAGGACGTGGTGTATCGTCAACGGCCGCTGTGCGGCTGCGCGACTATCCAAAGAAGGTTGTGTACAATGACAGAGGGGATTCGAATGAAGCACAAACTAGAAATGTCAGGTCTGGTATTAAATCAATAAGTTGCTAGGCAAAAATAATCCTGGTTCATCATTGGCGGCGGTCTGAGGGCAGTGAGGAAAGTCTAAGTCGCTTTGTGATTATGACGTTATCAATTCGAAATAAGTTAGTCTTCTTCATGTTGCCCTGCGCTTAGGCCCTCGGGCACCGTAGCTTTGGATCCTTGTCGTTCAGAGCAAGGCAGGTCCAAGGTAGTATGAGGTCATTTGGGGTCGGTACATAGGCGCTAGAGACACCTGGAAAGGGGCCGACTGTGCCTCGATCTTCGAAAATTTCATCGCAATCACGTTCTCGTGATATTTGGCCTTTCCCTAACAATCATGTATATTTTCACAGAATGCTAGTGCTGGGTGAATGGCCGCGCCCTATAGGAGCTTTCAATGGTGTTAATAGTGTCAGTCCATTCAATTGGAAATCAGCGGCCGGAGACAATCCATCATACCCAAAGGCGAGTCGCCCGGTTGACTGGGATAGTGTTTTCGGCTCTAGAGGAAGTTTGAGCGGCCTAGATGCGACTATCTGATCGTATACTCCTGGGCAAGCCGAACAGTTGGGCTTGGGGGCGGGATGGAACATTCCAATCTCGTGTGAACTGGTAGAGGCCCCAGAGGGTATCCCACTTCAGAATCAGACGGAGCACTTTTCAAAGGTAATCCAGGGCCTGGAGGATCCAATCTGTTCTGGGGAAGATGGAATTGCAGCAATGAAGGTGTGTATGGCTGTTGCTCAAGCCTTGCATCGGAATGATGGGATGCCTATTACTATCCAGCAGGCCCTGGAGACATCCTAAAGTAAACTAACTACAACCCGGAGACCTCTCTAGCCCAGATTAATGGCCATCTCACCGCTAACCCATGCTACCACTGCGAGCGTAGTAAGGGGCCTTTCCCAACTGCTTGACTCTGCCTACGGACTCTGGGATGCTTGAATGCGCTGCCTGCCACTGGCGTGGCCAGGGTGCCCGCTGCAGCTTCTCCCTGTTGATCAGAGAATAGCTTGAGACCCTCGCATTATTAGATCCGAGCGGACAAGTGCCCAGCGTGAGCTCTCCCTTATTCGTGTCACCGAGCGACAGCTACGGGCTAGCTGACAATTTTGAAATGAAGAGATTGAATTTGTCCTATGAGCCAGATGAGAACGAACGCATAAGCTAGAGACCATAAGATCCAGGAATACTAGTATCATTATTTCCCTGTGCAAGACCTAGAATAGGTTTACTTGGAAAGTATAACTACTTTTTCAATCTTTTATAACGGCAAAGAACCTAAAACTGAATTCTTTCAAAATAGCTAAGTAAATATGTGCAAAAGAAAATCGACGCTCAACTCCTAATCAAACATATCTAATATAAACAAAATAGATGCATATAGTAGCACAAAATCTGGACATAGGCATGTTCAGAGTAATATCATGAGTTAATGTTGTTTGCGCAGGAGAAGCTGTTGCTAGATGCGTCATCGTGGATTGCTTTGCCGGAGACATAGAGACCCAGACCGCACTGTAGTAATTGTATCAGCAATCGTTATCTAGAGATTGGTTTTTGAAAGGAACTTACCATAGTAGCACCAATGCAGACGATGGTCATATTGAGGATGGTGAGGCAAATCTTCCGGGGAGAGGAGAACCACCGACCCCAGTTGATGTGCAGCCAATAAACGCCACCAAGACCGTCTAAAACATTCATTAGTTCGATTCTCAGAAATCATAAAGAGTGTTGCAAACTTACAGCTAAACCAACTCGCGAAGAGAGAGCTCTGTAAAATAGAAGGCATCGGTCAGCTAAAGTTTCTTGAGTAAACTCGGCTAGGAAAACTCACAATCAGACTGAGGAGATCGCTGAAGACAGGAATGGCATCGGCAATGATCCAGGCGATAACCCAGCAGGTCACACCGATAGCAATCCAAGAGCCAATAGCAACGAAATCACGCTTGTGCATGCGGTCAGTGCCACGGAAGATCCGGACATAGATGTACTTGAGACCAATGTGGCCGTTGACAACACCAGCTCCAACAATCTGCACCATATTAGTTGCTTTGATCATGTAAAAGGCAGATTACATCACATACCGTGGGAATGGCAATTCCATAGGCCACCTTGGCGAGGACTGGACCAGCAGATCCCAAAGCAGGAGATTGCACAGCCTGACCAGCATAGTAGTAAATCACCACAGCGGCAACTGTATAGAACACAATTTCAAAGATCTGCAACATTGCCAGAGCCTTAGGGAAGTCTCTCGGTTCCCTCATTTCCGCCAGAAGACCGAAGAAGGCCACATGGGCGCAGTACGCAAAGACAATATTGGTAACGGCACTGAAAGCCTTGAACAGACTGGTGTCGATAGTGGCTTGAAGAGTCGTGTATCCGTGATCCTGGACACCGACGCCAATCATGGTAATAATGACGGCAGTCAAAATACTGACGAATGCTAGAAAAGGGCAATCAGCAAATGATTCAAGGAATTTTTGAACCGTTGACAACGTACATGTACAAGAGATGTAGGTCATGTTCTTCATAGTCCGAGGGAGAGAGCAGGCCAGACAGATGACAAATCCAACCGTGGTAAAGACCATCGTGCAGGTGCCATGCTCGGTGATAGTGTTCATCATGACACTAAAGGTGAGAATGTGGCTTCCCATGATGAAAATCGAGAACAAAATCTGGCCGAAACCGAAGAGCTCGCGTCCAAAGGTACCCATCAGAATTTCACCAGCATCTGCCAGGTTCTGAATGTGAGGATAAGCTTGATGAAACTGGCCGATAACGTAGCCGGTATACGTGGCAAGGATTCCCAGCCCAATAATGAGAATAATAGCGCTAAAGAATATCAGTTTACAGGTACCTCCGGGATGCCTGTGGCGACGAAACTCACGGGACGAGACCCAACTCCGCCAGAGTGGCGGGCAACGACAAGACTCCCAGCGACACAGATTCAGCAATCATGACTAAATTGGTCAGTTACACCAACATTCACTGATAAGTTAATTTTGACATACACATTCCAGTTTGCCTAGAAGGGAACTGTCAGCTTTCTGCACACGACGAAGGCAAATTCTGGAAACATACCACCACTCCATAGTCTTGTACTTGACCTCTGCATTCTCTTCATTGCCGAATGCATCAACATATTGAGGATTGAAGTCCTGCTTCTCCTCAAGAGACTTCTCCTTGTACTCGGAACTGGAGTCGACCGGATCGGCCTGCGGAGTAACTCCCTCAAGGATCATTTTGAATGGAATGCTGGTTTAGAAGACGATGGGTGACAAGTCCGGGGGAGCAGGAAGAAGGAAAGAGAAGAGAGGAAGGGAAGGCAAAGGCAATTGTATGTGTGAAGAAAATTCCAATGTGGAGCTCAACGCCGCATTACTCAACCGAGACATCCCCCGCGACCGGTGCTCTTTTGGGGAAGGCTTGGGGAAAATTCTGGGGCCCGGAACTTCTGGAAGCCCCCGGGTGGTTGGCTTATCAGTGGCAAGTAAATTTCTATTGCATATTTCTATTATGGAGTCCGAAACATGGTGCATGGTTTTCGTCGCGATATACAGAACCAAAGTGCAAGATCTGCAAAATTAGGGTGTGCCTCGGTCCACTCCGGACGCCATAGTGGGCCATTCCCTGCGCTAGCTCCACTCTATTTGGCCATTCGCCAATCATAGACTCGGCTCTTAGCTAACAGAAATCCCGATTTTCGTGGCAGTCCGACGTTAGCCGGTTCGATTGGTGCCGAGAGCGCTCAACATCTCTCTAATCTCGGACGCCAAGTGGAAAGCCCCGTTATTTGTGTGCTAAATTATCACCGTTGAGGTGTTTCGACTCGAAAATGAGTATACAGGGCTGAGTGCATTCGGCGAGGGACAGCCCGTGAGAGCAAGGCGGGTGGCGCATTCAAACTCCTGAGCCCTGGAATCAAACCCACGGAAAACTTCGGCGTGAGATTATGTAAAACTCCCGGGGTCGCCACCAATGCGAAAATTTTAGTCAAGGTTCAGAGGAGTGTCCACTGGATATGCGGCATCGTGCCTGGCATGATCATAGTCCCCGGATGTCAGGCACCACAGGGTCTGCACGATATGATGTGTGGCCCCAGGAGATCGTCTATGAAGTCATCCAGTATTCCTTAAAATTACTCCGCTTATTATTTACGTTTTCCATATGAAACCTATGAATCGGACTTTTGTTATTTCTCTCGCTGAACAGAACTGCCAATTATAAAGAAAATCTTCGTGTTCAAAACAATCGAATATGTGTCTACAGCAACGCTGAGCGGAGCAGCACCTCCATCTCCCGGAGGGATTCGGGTTTTGATGTGACACTCGACATCAAATAAAGGACATTTCCCAATACCCGGGAGTGAACGTTGAACTGGTCGCCTCCGGTGGCGAGTTTCTGCTGGAGGCCCTTGGAAGCGGTGGAAGTGTATCCTATATCGTTATCATTAGCAATTGTAGTTGATTAGATCCCAACATGGAAGGAAAACGGACCACCGCCATGCACATCACGAAGTGCGATTACAAGAACAGTTCCAAGAGCGAACACGCTCTCTACTGTCTCCGCACAAGAAAGATCCTTGAGTAAACCCTGGGACCAAACGCTCCACACATTTGGAACCGCACCAGTCTCTGGTGGATGTACTTGAGCGCTCCAATCGGCTCGGTATCCATCCCAAGAGCCATCGGTATCCAGCTGGGCCATGGCCCGCAGAGAGTCGACGGCAACAGTACAGCCGACAGCGTGCGCAGTGTAGCTGTGGCCGTGAAGAAGGGCATCGCTCTTCTCCGGACTGGAGAACGCTTCAAAAATTTCCTGGCTAGCGACTGTTGTGCAGAGCGGGATCAGCCCTCCCGTGAGGAGCTTGGCGTTCACTGCTACGTCAGCGTGCACTCCCAGGAAAGACGCAGACGACCGGCGACCGAGGCGATACAGGCCAGTGAAGACCTCGTCGAAAATGACGGGGAGACCGGACCAAGACGGAGACTGTTTGGGGGAGACGCTCTTAGATGTGAAGAGCTCAGGATTGTCGCGGACAACATCTGTTAGACATCGCTGGAACAAAGGATCGCTATTGAAGTTATTGGTCAGTATCCGTGTGGAAAGTAGAGTTGTCCAAATCCAGCGCATACCAGAAAAGCATTCCACCTGCCCCTAAAATAACAGGCTCAAGTATCAAAGCACCGAACTTCATTCCTTGACGCTTGACCAGATCCAGGATGGTAGAATGGATATATTCTCGATAGCGTCGTCCAGAGTCAGAGTTGACACGCTGGTCCAGATCGAAGACCGCACCCAGAGAATCAAACTCGACATCTGAGCCAAGTTCTTTTTGGAGGCTAGTTGGAACCTCAACCTTCCATTTACCCTGAACCATTTTCACCAGGGGAAAGTCAAACCAGTGGCCCCGGCCGCGGTACCACTCGACTTTCTGGTTGTATGTCGACGGCTCCGAGCAATCCATCACACCAATGGTATCGCCATGATAACTGCCCTTGAGGCCCAAAATACTGATTTTCTCTTGAGTGGCATCCCAGCCATAGCGCTCACACGCCGCGCGCAGACCCATCTTGATGGCGACCTCCATTCCGGTGCTTCCGTTGTCCGTGTAGAAGACCTTGGTGAACCGAGGGTTGCCAATTGTCTTCAGCAGGTTATCCGCGAGTGAGAGGGCGGGCTCATGCACAGCCCCTGCAAACATGACATGTCCGTATCGTCCGGCTGCGTATGCCGCGGACAAAGACAACTCGGGATTACCGTGTCCTAGACCTTGGGTCCACCACGACGCTGACCCATCAAATGTCGGTCGCAGCTCACTCTCGCTTGTTATGGTGCGGTCTGAGCGAAACGTCTGGAAGTAATCATCGTGTGCAGAATCAATGACGGTAATATCCTTGGCGGCCATGCCCTGATGTTGAGTGAAAGGGTACCAAATTAGATCCCGGGCTCGATCAGCCATCTCCTCAAGACGTTGGACACGGTCGGTGTTTCTCCTAGACATATCTTCGAGCAGTCGTAGAATATCCGACTCTTGTGAGACTCGCTGATAGTAAGTTGCCATGGCCTCTTCATCTTTCTTTTGTAAGTCGACATCCTGGGGGAAAGGTCGGGCGGGAGGTGCAGGCAAAGGAACCAGCGGAATGCTTTTACTGTTGAAAAAATCGCGAAGGTACTCGTGATTCTTATAGTAGTCATCGCGGAATAATAGGACCGATTGGACGTCATAGCCACGGAGTAGAAGAGACTCGTAGGCGGAGATAGAACAGGAGATGCCGCCTAAGCGTGCATCGGCAACGAGGACAATTGGCAGCCTGAGAGGTCGATACAAGTCGGCTTGCGAGTTGCCATTGGGACCGGGGGAATGCACTCCACCAGCCGTTTCGACCAAAGCAAAGTCGACATCCGACTGAGCCCAGCCTGCCAGGGTCTTGTGAACAGACGCGAGCAACTCGTCGTCTCGTGGGATCTGAAAAGCAAAATCAGATTGTTTTCACATAGATACTCCCGCAATGACTCACGCTCTTTTGTCGCGCCGCAATGTGTGGGCTGACGGGCTCGTCGAATTGGTACAGACACTTGGTCAGAGTCCCAGCTCCAAAGCGCTTCAGGTGCCTGCAATCGGTGTTAGCGACCAGTTTATGTCTGCATTGTTCGTGACCTACTGATCATCCGCGTCATCCAATGGCCCTGTGGACACCGGCTTCAGGAACGCGGCCTGTTGTTTTTGGCGCTGAACAGCATTGCACAACACGGTGGAAACAATCGTCTTGCCCACGTCAGTGTTGGCGCCATAGACTTGATGGGCGCGCAAGGACCGCCAGAGTGCTGCGCCGACTGGTGCCATGATGTTCTCTCGGGTGTTGTTGGCGTTGAGTGCTGCAGACCGGTACTCCGGACTCCGCGACCGCTTTGGGTTTACCGACGGGGAACTTTGATCGGCGTCAACGAATCACCTTGTTTTCGCGACTCCACAACCCTCGACTTTCACCGAGGTTGAGGAAGGAATCGTTGAGTGCCCCAACGACAGGGTGCGTCAGAGCTCGCCCGGCAAAGATCTGAATTTGCACTTGTTTGATTAATGGTGATCGACTAACTATTCTGCGGATCGTGTCGACCTTGATTGAAATTAAAGTGTGGAAGGATCGCCGGATCCAGGCACAAAACCCCCCCCAAAAAGATCACAATCGTCAGTCAAGCAACGCTGGCGCAATGGATCCTCGATCATCTGCGAACCGCAGAACATCGCTAGTGGACACCTTGACGGGTGCGCTGGCAAGACGCGAAGCCAAGTCTGCCCGTCGCAGGCTCACCGTGCTCCCCCAATCAGCCGCTGATTTCTCCTCTAACGACTTTCTCTCCCTTTCAACATCAACGGCATATCGTGAGCGCTTTCTGTCTCACTTAAACAACACTCCGTCATCGTTTCCTTTCGCTAGCGGAGGCTCTCGATTATTAGACGGCAACTCAGCTTATGCGGAGGAGCTCGAGAAATTCGTGGCCGCATTCCACCAAGCTCCAACTGCGCTATTGTTCAATTCCGGCTATGACGCCAATGTTGGTGTGCTCTCCTGCATTCCACAGCCTGGTGACTTGATTTTGTACGATGAGCTCATCCACGCCAGCGCTCACGAAGGCATGCGACTGTCACGGGCGGGAAGTCGAATGCCATTCGCACACAGTTCGCCAACCAGCCTGAGAAATGCTCTTCAATCCCAGATCATGGCAGACCAGCGGATCCGCGATGGTACTCGCAACGTCTTCATCGTCATTGAATCCATCTACAGTATGGATGGGGATGTAGCTCCGATCAAGGAGTTCATCAGCGCAGTCGATGAGCTTTTGCCCAACGAAAATGGATATTTCATTGTCGACGAAGCACATGCGACCGGTGTCTTTGGCCCACGCGGCGCGGGTGTCGTACAAGATCTCGGTGTCCAGGATCGCATGTTCATCCGACTACACACGTTTGGCAAAGCTCTTGCAAGCCATGGAGGTATGATTTTCGCTCGCTTGGTTTCGATCCACGACATCTCTAACTATCTCCTTGCAGCCATGGTTCTCTGTGGACCGGAAACCAGAGATTATCTGGTCAACTACGCTCGAAGCCTGATATACACCACCGCTTTGGGATTTCCTTTTCTGGCATCCATCCGAGCCGCTTATGAGCTTCTGTCCGAAGGCGAAACTAGCCGGGTAGGTTTGCCGCTTGCTTTCACGGAATCTCAATGATACCTCATTGACTGGCAACTGACATGGTCCAGCTACAATCCCGTCTTCGAGATCTAATTCATCACCTTCATCAACGTTTGAACGACCTACACACTGGAAAATCTATCTTCTTTGAGGTTGATCATTTCCCAACGTCTCCCATATTCTCTCTTCGAACGTCGGCACCGCGAGAATTAGCGGGCTTCTGTCAAGAGAGGGGCTTTATTGTCCGCGCGATAATGCCGCCTACAATACCCGTGGGAAAAGAACGGGTTCGAGTCTGTTTGCATTCTGGAAACACTAAAGAGCAGGTCGATGGTTTGGTGCAAACAATTCAGTCATGGTTGGACCGGAGCTTTGCAGAAATGAAAGCTAAACTATGAAATCCTGCTGGAATAACAATTGCCGCATCCAAAATGCTAGTCTTGTACACAGGAGTGATATTCTAGAGTGGATGGTTGGCATATTGTAATTTCTAATGCCTGAGGCAACCAGGCAGGTAACGCTCGGCATCTCGTATTATTAGCCCCACCTCCTGAGTTGGCTACTCTCACAGGTCTTGACGTTCTCTCGACACGACCAAGTCTTTCCTGAGTGAATATGAACTTTCTTGGTCTCCCCAGAGAAGTACTTTTTACGATCGCGGAAGAATTAGAAGAGAGAGAAATTCTACAACTCGTATGCACGAACCAGTATCTACATGGTCTGCTTCTTTCGGAAATCCTCTACAAACGAAACGTTAAATCCAGCGCATCGGCGCTATTATGGTGCGCAGAAAAAGGCATAGAGTCAACTGCTCGGCAACTACTATCATTGAACGCGAATACCAACGTTCGAAACAGCTTTTATTCGCAGACACCATTAATTCTCGCCGTTCGAAACCGCCATCACGCCATAGTTGAGCTACTCCTGGAGTATAAAGCCGACGTGAATTTATCTGAAACGTCCAACGCTACTGCCTTGCATTCTGCGGCAGAGAATGGTGATGAAAAGATGGTGCATATCCTGCTCCGGCATGGGGCAGATATTAACTCGACAAATCACTTCGCTCAGACACCTCTTTGTCTGGCCGCATATGAAGGCCACTGTGAAATAATCAACATTCTTCTTGATCATGGTGCGATTATGGGGTTTCCCAACCTTGACAAGGACCACTTGGCCTATGAATACTGGTTTTCCCCACTTCATGCCGCAGTTGAGGAATTTGAGGAAGGCGATAAAAGCACGGCTGCGCTGGAGCTACTTATAAGCCGTGGTGCTGATGTGAATATGTTAGATGGAAGCGGAGAAACTGCGTTACATTGGGCTGCATCATTCGGTGCTAATTCTATGATTCAGGCTCTCCTTGAGCACGGTGCCGATGTAAACCGTCCAAATCTCGACGGACATACGGCATTGCATATCGCAGCAGAGCATACAGAACGAGTAGATACGATCCAAATTCTTCTCGATCGAGGGGCTGACTGGAGATTCACAACCACAATTGGCTTTACCCCTCTCCAGGTTGCTAAGGAGTTTGGCCACGTGGCTAACGTGAGGTTACTTGAGCAACACATTGCTTCCGTTGATTCTCTCTCGGCAGAAGAATCGGACATGATCAATGTATTATGTTATCCTTAATTCCGGAGTTTGGTCGCGTGACCTCTTTGTGCTCTTGTTAAACAGGGAGCTCTTTGCACAACCTACTCTTTCTCCCTCGGGACATAAAGATTCCTCAAATTCTGATACATTTTCCTTGCTAGAACTATAATCTGGGTGTGCTAGGGGCATTTACCCTGCATCCAAGCTCTTCACTTCCCTAACTCTAAAGGAAAGTCAACTAGAGCAAGAACTATGTATGTACATCTTTCTTCAATTGGAGAAAGGAGACAAAAGGGACCGTCTAAACGAACTAGCCGGCTGGTTATTCGCACTACATTGGAAATTATGTACATTACTACTAGTTATTTTGTTTTCCATATGTTATTCTGATCTGCGAGTAACCATTGCTCCTCAATGCAATTGTTGTCTTCCTAGTTCGTTCCCAACTAAACACATGAGGCTGTAATCGTAGCCCTCGCTAACCGACGCATCCCCAATCTCCAGCTTATTAATGGAGGGAGGAATAAGAGGATGAGAATAGAAGCAGGATATTTGTTTTGATAGTTAGTATGCTCGCCAGGCTTGGTATAATTTTTACCAAAATGACAGGTCTTCGCATTTTGGTAAAACAGAAAGGCCCGGTTAGTATAGTGGCACGTGTCACAATGTACATGGAGCGTATAGAGATCTCCAAAACAACACCGGCAACTCCGACGGCATAACCCGCCCTTCGTGGTTCCTCTTCGCTTGCACATTTAGTCTCCATTTTCACTCAGCTCAATTAGATTACCAAGCTGCTATTAAAATTTGTGGGCCTTACAGATGCTAAGAATCGGGGTTTCCGCTATAGTTACGTGTTACAATCTTAGATCCCACATGGTCAATTGTTACGCGACTCGCCAATCAACAGAAATGAGATCAGGAAGCTCGACATGTACGGTAACTACGTAATATAACGTAATTGTCGGCAAATGTTAATGTGGAGTCCGTCCTTGTCACGCTTGGTACGGCAAGATCGAAAACCCATGTGGGATGGAATGCGGCCTAATCTGGAAGTGTGGCTTGTCAACTAGACCGATCTCAGATTAAATATAGTCGATCCTCTCCACATACGCGATCTACTATTTGTATTACAGGCTATAGCTTCCTATGTCCCGAGAACCTATGGGTCTCTCCAGGGGCTGATAAATCGGTACATATTAAGCCCGCAGGCGCGTATAAAGGGTCTGCAGTTCCCGCCAGGGTAAAGAGCGGATCATTCTCTCTTTTTGCCCTACCAATTCCATCCTAAACCACCACCATGAAGTTTGCTGCTGCCATCCTTCCACTCATTACTGTGGCCTCTGCCGCGTCGTGCATTCATGGCACCTCGCTCATGCCTCGCGCGCCCGATGGCACTGTCGAGGTCAATGATTTCAACTACACCAATACCGGTGGCCCTCTGAACTGGTATGGCCTGGACAAGGAGAACAGTGCTTGTGCCAAGGGTTCCCGCCAGTCGCCCATCGACATTGTCACCGAGTCCTCCGGCTACGTCAAGTCTGGTTCTGTGAAGTTTAGCGTTCCCAACGCGGACAATGTCAAGTTCGAAAATCTGGGCTCCGGCCTCGAGCTTGTCTTGACCAATGGCACCCTGATCACTCCGCAAGACTCTTACAAGCTGGCCCAATTCCACTTCCACACCCCCTAGCGAGCACAGAGTGAATGAGGAATACTTCCCGATGGAGGTTCACTTTGTGTTCGAGAACACGGCCGGCGATGTTGCCGTTGTTGGCTTCTTCTTCCAGCTCTCTCAGTTCGGCTACTCGTTCCCTCTGTTCGACTCTGTTTTCGCTCACATCGATGATATTGCCGCCCCTGGTACCTACACCCGCACCGACAAGCTGAACTTCGCTGGTCTGATCGACCACTTCGACAACCACGGTGTCTACTACTACTCTGGCTCCCTCACCACTCCTCCTTGCACTGAGGGTGTTGCCTGGTACATCTCCACTGAGCCGCTTCCTCTCAACGTGCAGAGCTACAACGCTGTCAAGAAGGTGCTCAAGTTCAACGCTCGCTATACTCAGAACGCCCTTGGCCAGTCTAACCTGCTCGAGGTTGCTGCTCACTCTCTGAACAACTAAATACTGTTCTAAGAATCGATGTACAGTACGATGTGGTCTTTCAAGGCTTCTTCTATGTACTAGACAAGTATCTGGTTGTCTATCTTTCTTTCTCAACTGCATATATTTCCCGATAGAAATTAATATACATAAATGGATCCGATGAACGGGTCGAAATACACAGCAATTTTTCAGGCCCTGAAGCCTTTGCCTTGCGTAATACGACTCGGGAATTACGACGCGAGCAGAAAATCGTGCAGCGATCCACCCGTACGGCGTAATATTGTAGGGTAACAATGCAGCGATTTACTTGTCTTCGTTCGGGCTGAAGTGGAGCCAAATGCCAGTGGGACTCGGAAGGAGACAAGAGCTACAAAGCACCACTCTAGTACACTAGTGCAAGATCCGCTCGAGCCGAGATCACGATCTGTAATGGAAAAAAAAAATTCAGACCCGGTCCTTGAGGGTATTTTCTCTGCCATTCAACATGCAGTGATGGTAGATTGCCGAATCCGATCAGTCTGTGGGGAATTCCAGGCCTAAAGCTGTGGTTTAACTGATCCAGCACATCTATTTCAAGGCCCCTGAATTGCTCTTAACTTATAAATCCGTGAACCCTTCCCCATACACGGATGACAAATTCCAACCTAGCAAGTCCAAGAGAAAAATACGATACATACGACGGCTTTGTTGCCCGCCCACAGCGGAGCGGCTTGGCACGATGGCTTTGTTGTGATAAGCCGATTTGGTCCCGGCAGTGGAACCACGGGGGTCTGAGCCTTTGTCTATGGTTCATCTCCTGGAAGGATCGATCGGACCCGTTCACTCTTGTCCGACTAATGCCGTCCCTTGGCGGTAATTTTGGAATCTTAGCTCGCTTTTTCAGCTACACAATGTTGTTCTATTTTTCCGAGTCTCCAGTCTGTGTATGTCGATCAATTCAGGAGAGGCTCAGGGGATGCCGGAAGTATCTCCTGCGAACACAAGACCATCGTCTATTTCGACAATGCAAGCGGGCGTAGTGTGAAAGATAAACATAGTCTATAAATGAAGCCAGAATAAAAGACTTTGCAAAGTCCGTGATTGAATTTCTTATCCTCACGGTTGACATGAAAATATATATTTCTCTACTTTCATTGAGTACAACCCATATCGGCCAGATGGAGCTTAATTAATATTCAAAACATACACATTCTAGCCAGACTGATGAAGCGCAACAGGAACCTATATCCAGCGGTTGCAATAAGGTGTAAACCGAGGGACGATGATTTCATCAAGTTCCCCGAGGTAGTTCACCGCCAAGACGCGATCGCGCGTATCCCTTGCATCTTTGCGCAAACCTTTCTGCGACCTCACTACCGCGCTATGTCGTCGGGGATCGACTGCCAGTCATTAGAGTCAAGCCCACGCTTTCTTCTCCGCCAGCCGCGCGCGCTACAATGGTTCGAGAACGGCCGATTAATGAAGCGCCAGGAGGGCGAACGGCAAGCTGGTGTGTATCCATCTTCGGTCGCATCGCGACGCAAAAGGCTAAGCTTCCACAGGCCGATTTGAGCTGTTCCTCGATCTGCTCTATGTTGCGATCGTCTCTAGTTTTGCCGACACCCTCTCTGAGGATATTACTGGCGCCCAGCTCGTCAAGTACATCCTCATTCTCGCGCCGTCGTGGCATGTGTGGGGCGATTTGCGCGAATTGATGAACTCATTCTATCGGGATGACGTTTTAGAGCGTATACTCATCTTGTGGATCATGGCTACGCTGGTTGTGTACGGCAACAACGCGCCGCTAGTGGATGAGGATATTGGCGCAATGCGCTCGACTGTCGGGGCATACATGGCTGCCCGCCTAAGCTGCACTCTTGCCCATCTATATTACAGCTTTGGAGACTTCCGCCACCGACGCCAGCAGCGCCTCTGGGTTAGCCTCTCAACAGTCTGTCTCTGTGTTTACATCCCGTTATATTTTGAGTCTGTCTCAATTCGCGGGAAAATTGCCGCAGCCGCAGTAGCTGTTTCACTCGAGGAACTCGCCTGGGCCTTCGCCTACTCCCCTGCAGCAAAAAAGATGCTCCGTGTTAAATACTCTACTGCAGTCGACATACCTCACGAAGTCGATCGATTCGCCGCCTTTTACATCATCGTACTTGGCGAATTCCTTTACTTGATCATTGTTGGATCACCCGCTGCTGTTGGGTTAAACACTGGCCTTATCCATTCCATCTGGACTCTGATCATTGCGTTCTGTTTGAACTGGCTCTATCTTCATGCTGATTGCTCCACGGATGGCGTACACCCTCTACGGCATTCTGTATATACAGCCATTCCTTGGGCTTTGTTTCATCTACCTCTGGTTGCCTGTCTGTTAGCAGGTGGTCATGTTGCTGCTGCTACTGCTACCAGTGAAAAATTTGAAGACCCTGAACGGTGGCTTCTCTGCGGAGGATTGGGGGCTGGCATGCTCTTTCTGTACATCCTAGCCCTGCTACATGGTGCTAACGAGCAATGTGGAGATTTGATTCTAAACAAGGTAAGCCATCCACGCTACTATTTTATGGGAAAATCCCCTAATGTATCGTCAACCATCCAGCAATTTCGGCTCATCTTTCGGCCCATTACGGGCATTATCATAATTCTTCTGCCACTGGCACATCACCTCGATGCCACCGAGGTTCTCTCCATTGTTATGGCTTTTTTTGTGATCTGCGTCATCTGGGAGACGGTAACCTCTCTCAAAAGGGGTGCTTGCTTCTGGGAAAAATGGGAAGATACAGAATACCCGGAACGAGTGAAAAGTGTAGAGCGTGAGGCACAGCTTGAGCCACAGCTTGAGCCACAGCGTGAGGGGGATTCCTTGGCTGCTTGATCTATGTGTTTGGACAGTTCTATGATTTTTATTCAATACATGCAGGCTTAAAAGATCCAGGCTGTGCATCCATTTCAGGGAAATAATTGGAAACACCTATGAGAACTATTTCACAGATGACATTGGCCAACACGACATAACATACACATCTGGGTCCTTCCAGCAGACTCGATTTGATAACTGGCAGATGATACTGATGATAATATATGCAACGACGAGTTTATGACACTAAATAACACGGAGAACGCATCTGTTCAAATCTATTCCGTTTCAGATCTCTCGCTCTCTCTCTCTCTCTCTCTCACACACACACAGTCACCTAAACCATCGATTTCTCAGCCTTCACATCATCAGTTGCCTGAGTCTCAGATCGGCTCATAGTGGTATATCGACTGAAATCCTGGAGACCACGGCTCTCACCAGTACCATGCGCTCCTTCGCCTTTCTTCGCCTTGCTCTCTTGGCGACGGAACCAAATCCGCTTGCACCACTTCCAACTCTCAACGCCCAGGAAAAACAGAAAAGTTTCCACGAAAACGATGCCCCATTCCCATGAGATCCCAGTGTGTTTGAACACATCTCTGTTAAGCACAGGGATATACAGAATGGGAAATGCAAGTACGAATCCTGACATGATGCCCCAGAAAAGAAAGCGGTTCCTCCAAACGTCATGCATCCACTGCGTGAAATACTTCTTCGAGTCGGGCTGCATCTGGAAGAAGCTTCGGCGGAGATTCATCATCTCCCATGCGAGGAATAGTGCGAACCAAGTCATGCAGGTGAATGTCGTTGCACGCGCGCGAAAAACGGTGTCACACTGGAAGTCGTTGAAGATGTCTTCATAATTGGAGTTGCAGCCCTGCGCTAAATTTCCGTCGCCCCATCCATAGAGGACAAGTGAGAAGGCACTTAGACAGAGAGCTGCCATCCACACGCCGTATACCAATGTGTCGATGATTACTTCCCAGGTGAATATTCCTTGTTTCTGCAGACTAGTCAGTACAATTGCCAAAGAAGAAGAGACGACAATGAAACCTACACTTTGTGGTGGTCTGTCCATGACTTCCGGCGCTGCTTCTTCCATGCCAAGCCCCATGTCGGGTAGTCCTGAGGTGACCATGATGATCCAGATAATTTCCACTGGAGCAATGGGAAACACAGATTGGTTGCTCTCGTCCTTAAACGCGAGCCCAACAAGCAAAATCAACCCCAAGGCCACGTTTTCTGCCAGAAGATGCAGGACGAATTTCTGAATATTGTCAAAGATTCGGCGGCCCTCAGATATACCCTGTATCATACTGGCAAAGTTGTCATCTGTAAGCACCAATTCCGAAGCATCCTTGGCCACATCCGACCCATTTTCACCCATTGCAATACCGACATCAGCTCTCTTGAGCGACGGCGAGTCGTTCACACCATCGCCGGTCATAGCCACATATTTACCCCGACGATGCAAGGCTTCGATCATTCGAACCTTGGTGTTTGGTGCGCAGCGAGCAATCACCAACGGCAAGGTTGGCAGACGGTCAATCTCGTCTTCAGTCAGCTTGTCGAACTCGCCAGCCGTCATCACCATCGCGTCAGAAACGTCTTTGGCGAGCATCTCCATGTTTGAAGGGATGATTCCGACCTGCGCGGCAATTGCCCGTGCTGTGCCTGGGTGGTCCCCCGTCACCATGTGCACCGAGATGCCGGCCTTATAGCATTGGGCAATTGCCCCCGCGGTTTCGGGTCGAGGAGGATCATAGAGGCCGATCAGTCCGTAGAAGACGAGGTCTTTCTCGACCTCTTCTCTTGGAAGTGGATCCTGCCCTTTTTTGCTCTCAGGGCTGGGATTGTGCTCTCGACCCGCTAACGCAAGAACTCGAAGCCCTTCCCTGGCAAGCGCTTCCATATTTTCAAGAATTATTTCTCTGGTTTCATCGCTCAAAGGAACCGGGGCAGCACCCGCTTCCCATGTGATGGTCGAGCACGCATCGAGAACTCGTTCCACAGCACCCTTCGTGAAGATCATATCGGATCCTTCTTCGTCGTTGGAAAAGATGACAGACATCTTCTTCACACTGGAATCAAAAGGATACTCGGCCTTTTGCTTCCAGATGGGATTGTCGCCTTGAGTCCAACCACCAAGTCCCCAGTTGAAGCGATGCGCGAATACTTGGATCGCAATATCCGTGGGCTCGCCCCGAGCGTGCCATTGGTCGTCGGAAGATTTGTGAAGATGAGCAAGATTTGCCATCGCAGCAACGTTGAGAAACGACTTGAGAGCCTCATTGTCTTTTAATAATTCCTCTGGCTGCGCAATGTTGGCCTTAGACTCGGGAGCAAGCTGGGTCGGCATCTCTGCAATCAAACTCATTTCGCCTTCCTCCGGACTGAGCGGATTGTTAGACGATCCAACGGAATAAGTCCCCTCAGAGGGAAGCCATGCTCGCTTGGCAACCATTCGCCCTTGAGTCAGAGTTCCAGTCTTGTCAGAGCAGATATTCGTGACTGCACCGAGAGCCTCGAGTGAATCCAGCTTACGCACAATAACGTGCTTCTTCACCATCTGCCTAGTTCCTGCCGCCATGGTGATCGTCAAGACAACCACCAAACAAGCGGGAATCATAGCCAGACCCGTGGCAACGGCATAAATAATAACCTCTCGGTCACTCCGCCAATCATTAGCGGCTTCGACAATAACCGCAAAGATCACCGCAATTCCAAAAAGTAGAAGCGCCAGCTTCGATAACTTGCGTTGCAAAGGCGTGCCGACATTGATGCCCAGGAACCGCCCAATGGCATCGGTGGTAGTCAGGGTCCATGCCTGGATGTACCAACGCTTTTTAGTTTCGCCCTGAGCATCACGCTTAACTGGCCGGCGCTTGGAATTACCTCCGCGCAAAGCCGCAGCTATGGCGCCGATTTCCGTCATCATTCCGGTGCCTACCACCACACCGCGACTGCGCCCGCGAGTAACAGTTGATGAACTGTATGCGATGTTGAGTCTGTCGCCGGGGCCGGTGTCCGAGTCGAATTGGGTGTCGGCATCTTTCTGGACGGGCAGGGATTCGCCTGTTAGGAGTGCTTCGTCGGTTTCGAAATTAAATGCTTCCACCAGTCTGAGATCAGCCGGCACAGTATCTCCCACTTTCAGCTCGACCATATCGCCAGGAACAATCTCGGTGGCTGGGACAGTGGACGTTTTACCGTCGCGGGATACCACACCTGTTGGGGAACTGAGAGATCGTAGCGAGCCCATGGTTTTCTCTGCTGCGAGGTCTTGGTAGACTCCAACGACGACATTCAGAGCAATCACTGCCGCAATGAATCCGCCCTCAATCCAGCTCTGGATACCGAAGGAGACGGCCATCGCGATAATCAGAACCTAGTGAGAACAAAGTTAGTAGAGGATTCTTGCCTGTGAATTTGTTATGTACTTACTAGCATCATTGCATTGGCAATCTGTCGAATGAAAATTTTGGCAAACGAGACCCCTTCGTCTCCCTCTAGCATGTTTTCGCCATATTGAGTGAGGCGTTGTTTAGCCTCGGCGGACGTGAGGCCATCCTCGCAGTTTGTACCCAACTGATTGAGAACATCATGGAAGGTGAGAGTATGGGCTGGCTGAGAGAGATTGATTGTGTTGTTCGAATCCTGTGAGCTAGCCGCTTGAGCTTGCTCCTTTGACATTGCAAATGAGAGTGTCTATTCGAAAGTTTGTGTACTGCTATGGAGCGTCTTAGGATGGTCCCATGTAAAATGTATCCTCAAAAGAGTGTGTCCACAAAAGTTTTTTCTGTGATTTAGTACATCTGGATTCCTTTTCCCTTTACTTCCCTATGCCACCTGAAGAATAACCCAGGATATAAATACCTCCGAGAATACCCCCCGAAGGCAAAAATCGCCTTGGTGCAACAGGATTCAGCCTTGGCACCTAGAATGGCCGAGATATTCCAGAATCTCGACCCCAGTCCCAAGAGTCGTCCTCCAATCGTAACGTAAAACGAACTACAAATGGTGGTTGATGACGTACACGATAGTTCTCGGCGGTGTTCTCGGCCGGACCAAAGAGTGGAGTGGCGGAACCGCCAAGCCCTCATCGCGGAGGCTCTTGGCGGGGAACAAGTACATTCCAGCGGAGACCAAATCCTTTCCGCTGTTTCTCCTTCGCTGTTTTCCGCTGGCCCACTCTTCCTCTCGTGGAGTGGTCTTGGCACGTGGTATCTTACCCAGGGAATGAGTCTGGTCTATTCAGATCTGCGGGGCTGACTGCCCTTGGTTGTTTCTCTTCCCCATTTCACTAATCTCAGGTGGCGAAAGTGGCGGACTTGGAGAGAAACACTGGTCCTTCTTGCGGGGGCTAACTCCAAGCAGTACTGGCTGCGTGGTTGCCTTCGATAGCATAATATGTTAAAGGGAGTGCTGCCAGGTAGTTCAGTCAACAAACAACTCGGGGAATAGATAGCGATTTTGATTACTTTTATCTTCTCCCATTTGCTCACCAGATAACCAATGATTCGCTGCAGCGATGTTTTCTTGCTTGACAGTTTACACAAGCTTTTCGAAAAGACATACTTCTATGTTCAGGGAGGATCTAAACCAGTACCGTGCAAAGGAAAAGGGCATACGGAAAGCAGGAAACTTAATGAGCATGCCCGAAACTTAGAACAACTGCTGAAGAGATATAGCTTATGGAGCCAAAAGCTTAGCCCTTTTTATTACTTTCTCTCTTGTATATAGCGACACATTTTAATCCCTTCGTTTCCTCGACTCTAATCCTCATTCTCGTGCTCCTCGGGGCATCACCTGCTATTCCTTGTGGTTTGCCCTTCCCCCCACCCCTGACACGGCAGATGGCCTGTGTGACTACAGGAACTGCCGGGAGTGCCATTTAGACTAGACCACAATTGCTAGATCCGCGCAATGAAATGCTCATTTCGCATAGTCACGGGGATCTTGCGGGGAGATTGTCAGCATATCAATGTTCCCCGCAATTAGAGGGGAAGACCGGATAAATTGCCGAACATATCCCACCTTTCCTTACATCTCCAGAAAACGAATGACTATCTCATTCAATTCCAATTAGTCGCTCTTGAAATTGAACATGATCATATTTGACACTTAATCCACAAGTTTATTGCGATTAAATCCTTGCCAATATGGTTTTGAAATTATCTTTCGCCTGCTGGGACTATGATCGCATGAAGGCAATAGAAGATGGCCGGGTTCGCGCCGATGGGATCGAAATTCAGTTCCTAAACCTTCGTGTGGAGGAAACGTGAGCATTTCCTTTGCACACTGGCGATACATACGTCCTCTAACCCCAATAGATTTTTCCGACAATTGCGCTTTAAGGAGTTCGATATATCCGAACTGTCTCTTTCATCTTACATGTTGACGCTCAATCAACCAAATCCGCCTTTCATCGCCCTCCCGGTTTTTCCTTCTCGCTTTTTTCGGCATCAATCGATGTATATCAACACCAAGGCCGGTATCTCTAAGCCTGAGGATTTGGCCGGGAAAAAGGTTGGAATACCCGAGTACCAAAGTATGCACCTACAAAGATGCTGTATATGGAGTGATAGTGAAACTAATACAGCAATACAATAGTGACGGCCGCGGTGTGGCAACGGGGAATTCTCGAGGATGAATATGGCGTCAGTCCAAGCCAGGTTCAATTCTACGTGGGTGCAATCGAGAAAGTGGCAAGCGACGTGCAAAGGATCAGCAAAGTTCCGCATTCCCTACCGGAGGGCGTGACAGTGACTGCCATCCAAAAGGGCCAAAATCTCTCTGACATGCTTGCCAACGGTGAAATCGACGCTATCTTCAGTGCTAGCCAGCCTTCATCCCTGGAAACATCCCAGGATGTCGCCCGTCTGTTTCCCAGTTTCAAAGAAGTGGAAGCCGAATACTACGAGAAGACCAAGATCTTTCCCATCATGCACGTTATCGCCCTTAAGCGAGATCTTTATGAGGCACACCCATGGATTGCAAAAAGTTTGACCAAGGCATTCGCGCAAAGTCTCGATATCGCCTATGAAGCCCTGGAGGAGCGCTCGGCACTCCGATATATACTTCCCTGGCTCGAGGATCATGCCATTGAGACCAAGAAGCTAATGGGCGGGAACCCCCGATGGTGGCAGGATGGTTTCGCAGAGAATAAGCATGTTATCTCCAAGTTTTTAGATTATCACTACAGACAGGGATTGTCCCAGAGACTGTTTCAGGCGGAGGAGATCTTTGCCCCGAATACTCTGGAATCGTTTGTGATGTAACCTGGGCCCTTTTAAAAAGGGTTTCCTCAAGGTCCGCACGAGAGGAATACCATAATTGACGGCGACTGAATAAAATATAAACAAAACAAATATCAATCAACAGCATAATCGATCGCCCGAAGACCACCGGTCCGCGCGATGCCAAGAAGAAGTATGAATTCAACACTAACTCCCATCAAAACCAACCGCCGGCCCCCCTCTCTTTTCGTGGCCCGCTACTGATCTTGCAACAGAGATGCCAGAGAGAGGCTTGGAGGCGGCCGGGGCGGCGCTCCTTGCTAAATGTCTAAGAAGTTGGCATCTCTTTTTTTTCTCTCGAGTTGGTCGGCAGCTGTTTCAGTTTTGTGGGGGCAGGAATATCTAAACATGGTTATAATTATGGTGATGACACTGCCTATTGGGTATGTTGCTTTGGTTCCTATGGTCAGTCCAAATAGATGTTCTATGTTGAGATGTGTGTTTGCTTTTTGAATAAGCAATGAATGAATCAAAAAACGAGGTATTGCTATTATGCAGGGCTTCCTTCGGCGGATGCAAAATAAATCCCGATATACAACGAGATTGAGTGAGACGATGAGATCATTTTTGAAAGCGGTTTGGCCCCCATGCATCCCTAGTCGGAGGCTTGCAGGGATGCTGTCGCACGAATAGGAGAACCCATGCGAAGGTAACAGCAACCGAATTATCCGCAGAACACGAAGGGCTTGGTCAGCCATTGAGTAAATAAACAGGGGTTCAATCCTGAGGCCCACACTTGATCTCTTACGGAGTACTCTGCACTGTACCATTCAGGTCGACATCGAAGAACACCACTTAGCTGTGCGGGGTTTCTTACATTTAGAATAACTCATTGGTTCCATGTATTCACTAATAACCCTCTCTTACGAACTACTAGGTTACTTCTTCCAGGAAATCGGACCCACCTCTGGGAGGATTGTATTGCTTTTTGGGGGCTAGTTAGGCGTGGCTGGACAGGGCTTCCAGCCATGCGTAAGCCACTTACTCGCGAGAATCTGGAAGGCTAGAGCAAGCACAATTTCAGATAAATCGGCCTTTCCTCCTTCCCAACCTAATTGACTTGTCCTCATCCATTATTCCCCGATGGTCCGCCTGGTTCAGTTGCTCGGGTTGGCAGCAGCGGCTGCTGCGAGTCTGTCGCAGCTCGAGACCAATGGTCGTTCTGCATGGGGCACACTGCCATCGCCCACTCTCCCCAAGTTCCTTTTGGATGGTGTATGTATGACTCTCAATATAACAGATGGCCGCTAAGACGCCCATAGCCTATGGAAAATGGCGTCCCATGGGGACACGCGAATCCGGCTGGAGACGCACCTAATACCGGAGTGACACGCCATTACGATTTCACCATCACACGGGCCTTCAAGTCGCCCGATGGCTACAACAAGAGCGTCATTCTGATTAATGATCAGTTTCCAGGTCCAATGATTGAGGCGAATTGGGGAGATATGATCCAGGTTACGGTGACTAACGAAATTGACAGTGATGAGGAGGGCGTCACTCTGCACTGGCACGGTATTTTGCAGAAGAAGACCCCTTGGTATGATGGTGTTCCCGGCGTCTCCCAATGCCCAATTGCTCCCCGCGGGGGCAAATTCACGTATACATTCCAGGCAGATCAGTTCGGCACTGGGTGGTATCATTCCCACTACAGCGCACAGTATGATGACGGTCTATACGGCCCAATGGTTATTTACGGTCCTGTCCAGGATGAGGTGTCTTACGACTATGATCTGGGGCCAGTCATGATCTCCGATTACTTCCATATCAGCTACTACAAAGTGCTGGAATTGTCCTTCTCGAAGCCGCCAGTGGGGGTAGCGGTCGACAATAATTTAATCAACGGCAAAGGCGTTTGTGACTGCAGTAACATCAATGCTGATGTGAATAATGAGCAGGCCAGCTGTCAAGCCGGGGCCGGACGGGCCAAGTTCCAATTTCATTCTGGAAAGAATCATCGGCTGCGCCTTATCAATTCCGGATCTCTTGCCAATCAGAAATTCAGCATCGACAATCACGAGCTTTTGGTGGTCGCGAATGACTATGTTCCCGTCCAGCCGTACAAAACCAACGTGGTTACCTTGGGTGCTGGCCAGCGAACGGATGTCATCGTCCACGCTACTGGCTCACCCGCCGACGCAGTCTGGATGCGATCTGAATTTGACATGGTATGCCTGGTAGCCAATGCTACCGTGCCGAATGCGCTTGCAGCGATCTACTATGAAAATGCCGATACTTCCGTCGATCCCACTACGGAGGGGACAGAATGGGAGAGCAACAACTGTCGCAACGATCCGCTCAACCAGACAGTGCCATACTACCCACTACAACCTCCTTCTCAGCCCGACACCACCCAAACGGTCACCATCAGCGTCGGATTGAACGACACAGGGTTCGCGGTGATGTTCATGGACGGCTCATCCTTCCGGGCCGACTACAACGATCCCATTCTTCTCGACGCCAAGGAAGGAAACTTCACCTTCCCTGCAGAACGAAACGTCTACAACTTCGGCTCAAACTCCAGCGTGCGTCTGATCTTCAATAACACCTACGCAACCGTTCACCCTATGCATCTCCATGGCCACAATTTCTGGGTCCTGGCTGAGGGCTTAGGTACCTGGGATGGCAAGATCACGAACCCCGAGAATCCGCTCCGTCGCGACACGTATAATCTGCAACCGGGCTCGACGACGTTGCCCTCCTATTTGGTACTGGAGTGGAGGCAGGATAATCCGGGTATCTGGCCTTTGCATTGTCACATGTCTATTCACTCGAGCGCGGGGATGTTCATGCTGGTGATGGTAAGTAGTAACTATGTCCTCGGAATTATGTTCCGGTACTAATGATGTGTCTCTTATTCTAGGAGCAACCGAACTCCATAGAGAGGGATATGCAGATTCCCATGGTTATGGCGCAAACGTGTCGTGATTGGGACCGTTTCAGTAATAATGATTTTGTGGATCAGATCGATTCGGGTGTATAGACTTGAGGGTGCGAGATGTTTGGACGGATTCGCAGGACTACCTCCAGTTAACGAGACTGTGGATATTATATTGATTGTTAATCAACTAGTCTTGCGCTTTCATCTTCTCCAAAAGAAGCCCCAGCTACCTGTCAAACTTATCACCCAGTTACCCACAACAAGTCAAGACCTCGCAAGAAGTGCCACACTTCACTTGACAGGGTTGCAAACAAGCAACCTTATGCTCAACCCCCGTCGCCACTGCAGCGGTAGTTGTCTGCCCTAATTCTGGTTGTACAGTAGCCGAATGGATCCCATAGCTATGAAAGCAGTCGCTCATGGTCTTCGCGATATCCACAAAGTCTGAAATCGTCTTATCTGACATCGAGACATGCACAGATGCCAATGCCTTCTCTTGGTTCAGTCGCCAAACATGTAATTCGTGAACTGATATAATGCCAGGAATCGTTTCAAGGTCATGTTTGACGTCGTCGAGGTTTATTCCACTTGGGACGCTTTCCAGCAAGATCTTGCCTGATTTTTTTACTAGATGGGTATTCGGTTAGAGTAGGACTGTAGACGAAGGAACAAGAGACAAACCTAATGGGAGCGACGTTGCGAGGATGACAATGGCGATGGTCATGCTAACTGCAGGGTCCGCGTAGTAGCGGTGAGGATATTTTGTGAGCCATATAATTAGTGCTGAGATTATGACAGCAACATTGTTGGCGGCATCGCCAAGAACGTGAATCAGAACACCTAGCATGCCGAGATCGTATCCCTTTTTGGATGGTTGGATATTGTTGTGTCGGTGGTTTGTGTGCAAAGAAATAAGCTATGTCTAAGTTTTAGCATAGTCCCATTGATATTAAGGGGATATTCTCACTTCTGTTGTCTCACTATCCGAGTTACCAATAGGCCCGCCAACTCCGGGACCTTCTGCTTTGGCATGATCGTGGTCTGCAAGTCCGATGGCGTATTAGTGAAGAACATAGGTGAAAAACAAAGCGTGGCTACAAACCATGAAGAAATGAGGCACTTATAATATTGAGAGTAAGTCCAACGCAGCCAACGATGAGAACAAGCTTTGGCTGCTTAACGACTACTATTGTGTCAGCAAGATAAAAGCAAGCATTTTAGGCACTACTCACTTTGCAAGGATATGAACCGTTCTAAGGATTGCAAAAAGATACTCACACCCAGCGCAAGAAGCAAAACGCCGTTGAAAAATGCACCGAGGAGCCGAGATCGTTGCCAGCCGAAGGATAAGTCTGATGGCGAGTCTTTTTTCGCAGATATCTGCCTTCCGTTAGGACGAACTCATAGTGGGGAGGGAAGCTAGTTGCTAACCTTGACGGAGGCGAAGGCCACCATGAATCCAACTAGATCATTCAACTAGGAATAGTTAATAAAACAAATTGAAGATGGTGAGGCAATAGCAGCCTTTCTCACATAGTGAAATGCATCCGCAACGAGGGCAAGAGATCTCGTGTAGAATCCAACAGAAATCTCCGCGATGAAGAAACACAGGGAAATGCATATAACGAGCTGGAGCCGCTGTGCCTGGCTGAGGTGTAGGTGTAAGGCCATACTAGAGTGGAAGTTGACGATATTCGCAGAGATCCTAGGGATCAAGAAATCGAGAGTTGCATAGAGAGGAGTGAAAAGTAGAAGGAAGAGCACGGTAGGAGGTCGCTTAGGCTGCACCTTTCAGCTCGTCACATTTAAGGTTTCGGTCCTCGGGCGCCAAAGGTGGCGTGGACGAAATCCAGCGTTTTGTTGCACTATAATTGGTAGAAATGGATATCCCTTACCTACCGCAACTCGAATGAATATTAAGCCTACTACTGTCTATCAATTCTTATGCGTTGCAAAAAGAGCTTGAGTGAAGGCCTTGACCTATTCTTTCCGTCCCGGGGGTCTCTTTTAAGACACCCACACCATTTCCCAATGAACTGTTCATCTACAATCCAGGATCAATAGACGAGACCACTTCTGTGCAGACAGGGACGGTTGTCTTTAGACGCCGGTCGACGCAGCACATTCCCATCGTCCATTTCCCTTAGTTTCTATCCGCACATCCATGGCCACTCTCTTAAACGAGCTGTGATCTGAGTCCGTCTCATCTGCATTCAAAACATATCACAAACAAAGTGCGTCACGGAGAACCAATGCCTTTGATAGCACCGTTTCCACTGTCGAGTTTCCCGCAAAGGACGAAAGCTACTTGTGCAGACTTTGCGCACCCAATCCGCAAGTTCAGCGCCCTGGCAGGCCTCTTCTCCCATTCCTCTTCGCGGAAGTGGTGCTGTCGAGTAATATCTAATGGAAGTGAGATTACCTTGATCGAATTTCCCTCTTGACATTAAGTTGAGAAATCCAATCCTACCGGGGTAGTTGGAAAGGTTGTGCTGGACTGAGGGTCGGTGAGCACATATATAATCGCGGCTGCCTCGGGATCCGCAAATAGGTTGAACTCGGCAAACGGGTTAGCATTGATTACTACATCGATAGCACCGCCCATAATGACGACCTTTTCACTCGCGAAAATATAACGGGGTCGGTAATTGCAGCCTTCGCGATGTTACTATGAGGTCCAATAGCGATAACAGTAACAGTTTGTGATTCGTGAGATTGAAGCACTGCAGAATTTCCTGGTGCGGCGGATGTGGTAGCATCGTGAAGGGCAGAGCTGCTTTTTAGCCTTATCCATACATAAAACTGAGGATACATATAATAAAAGAGCCAGCAGTAAGTCAAATAACCTTACGTCGTGCAGTGGGGCTTGACCATAGCTCTGTGTGTTCTCGTTGGGCAGTCTGCTTCGTCAAGAAAACAGTGTACGGCTCAAGTCGCATTGAATTTGTTTCACGCCCGATGAAACCGGGCATTCATCCTGATCGATCGGTGTAGATTATTTATTTTTGTGCATTATAGAATAATTTATTTTTACAACCATTGGTGTAAAAGAACACGGGGAAAAAAAAGAAAAGGACCGAGCGTGATTTGAACACGCGACCTTCGGATGTTTGCGCAAATCCTCTCCTCTCAGAGAAGGAACTGCAATCCACCGTTCTACCCCTAAACTACCGGTCCAATCTTGTGGTTGAGGGACATTAATACAGAGTTAATAGTATCGAAAATTTATAGTTAGTGCAATAGGGTGCACATATAACAACAACCACCTTCAACCCAGTTTTATGCGGTAACATTAACAATTCTTCCTATATGCTTAGTTTACCACATAAAGGTGTAAATTTAGGTTATAGAATGCCAACTTAATACGACCCGAGCTACACAGGGGAAAGTGTATTATAGTCTACGTCAGTAAAGGTTTGTACGGAATGGGTGTGTTCCCAGTCAGTAACACTAGTAACTTAAAGTGAGTCGTCAACGAGGACATTGCCTGCGCATAGTTCGTCGCAGCCGCCTTTTTTAACCAAGTGAGAGCCTAGTAGAGATGAGATAAGGATGTTATAGTGCAGAGTCTAATAACCATTCAATGTGCTCAAAATATGAATACACAATCCACCCATCATGTTCATGCTCAGCAAGGAATGCAAGTTCAGCGATTTCCTCAAAACCAAAACCAGTGCAATGCAATGAGGAACAAATAAAAAAAAAAGAAAAAGAAAATCGGACATGAATCATCACATCATCACACTATTTATTTCCCCTCTCCTCTTTTTGCAAGCCACATCAAACACCGTTCGGCTCATCATCATCGGACTTATAGTTTGCATCATCGCTCTCCCAGCCATCGGCCTCGAGAGACCGGCCACGGATACCGAAGCTCATGATGAAACCGATGAACGAGACAGCTCCGAATACGCCAAAGGCTAGGGCTTCACCCTTGGGTTGAATTTTAGATGTGAGGGAGAACAAGCCGCCTGACAAAAATGGGCCAACGGTGCGGCCTGCAGCGGAAAGGGTCTGCGCGAGACCGTTCAACGCGCCTAGGACGGCATGGTTGGGTGCTGAGTTTGTGACCTGCATTCCGCAAATTAGTACTCCATAGCGTGATTAGATGGACGTAAAAAGACAAGAACTCACCAGTAGCAGTGCACTAGTCAGACCGCCCACCGAGGCAACGGTTTTAACCAGTAGCACGGAACATAGCTCGATGGCCATGAGAGCAGACTTGCCCGTTAACTTCTTGGTCTCTGCGCTTTTATACCCGACAAAGGGCATGAGAAGGAACGAGATCACAAAGCCGAAAAGACCAGCACGATAAGACCACCGGTTGCCCATCTTGTCGCGCAGGCGGTTAAAAATACAGATTTGGAAGATGATTGTCACCGCGCCGGCGAAGCCTTGTGACAGGCCGATCTCGGAGGGGGTGAGGGCTCTCCCAACAGGGGGTCTCGCTTGTGCGAAGATCGGGAACAAGGAGTTGAACGAGACGTTGCAGAGGGCGAAGATCAGATAGGTCAAAAGCAGGAGGATGGTGTCTCGGTTGTAGATCTCGTCCCAGGTGAGCTCCTCGGCGGGGTGGTCTTCTTCATCATCTACCTCCGAGGCGGAGTCAAGGTCACTGTCATGGTCATCGGCTTCAACTGCGCCATCACGGCCTCCTGGTGGACAGGAGGCCTGCTGCGAAACCCGCAAGTAGGTGGGATGGCGAGCGAAGCCGGTGAATTGCCACAGCCAGGAGAATAGACTGCGAACCTTTTTTCCAATTTTCGGGAGACTGTCGTCTGCATCTTCGAGGCTCTCTTCCAAGAACAGGGATGTCAACACAAAGTCGACCAGGAGGATCGCAGCAGACATAAGATTCGGCGCAAGGTACGGATAGGTGCTTTTCGCGCCGGTGAACGGGTTGCGTTCGAAAACCAACAGTCCTCCAAGAAGAGGTCCCGATATGCCGCCAATCCCATAGAGCACGGGGAGATATGTGAAAGCCTGGGACTGGTTGCTTCGGTCTGTGATCTCGCCCAAGCAAGTCGACACCAAACCCTGATTACCATTGACCGCACCCATTAAGGCTTGCACAGCAATTGCCTGACCAAGCGTCTTGCAGAATCCGAACGCAACGAAGCACAGCGCCGTCAAAAGCGTTCCCAGCAGAATAACGGGTTTCCTCCCCACGCGGTCCGACAACCAGCCCCAGAAGTAATTGGTGCCAAACTGCGCCAACGCAAAAGCCGATGCAATCGTGCCAACGTAGACTCCCACATTGCGGGACTCGACCTCGGGAAACTGTGACGCCATGTCCGGGAGGTAGGGACTGATCGAATTCAAGGCTGTCTGCTCCGCCAAGGCGATCATAGCCAGTACCGCCATTTGTTTCTTAGGGAGGGGGACTGAGCGCCGGCCTGGTCGACACTGCTGCCATTGTGATCGTGTGACCCCCCGCAGAGGACTCAGACCGGCCTGAACTCGGTCTTCCGGGATGCTTGGGTGGCGGCGTGCCAAATGTTTGGTAGTGCTGCGTAGAGGAGCGGCGAGGGAGCGAGGTGCGCTCCGACGGGGGCATCGTCGCGGCTGGTGTTGTTGCTCTTGCGATTCGAATGTCAACCAATACGCTTGCAGGAGGGTGGGATTGAGGCGCGCAATCAGCCGGCGCCGGGGCTGTACTGAGGCCGTTGGTGGAATAACCAGAAACAAATGGGATCTGGCAGAATAACAGGAGACCGTGGCTGTTAAACACAATGCTGAGGGCGGAAGTAGGCAGACTAAGCAAGCAGGGAACTGGTCTCCAATAATAATATGATGTAAGCGATTTGGAGATGCTGAGTCATTTATTGGGCCAGACGAGACGACGGATGCATTGTTGACTGGATGTGTAAGGACTTCACGCAGAGAATGAGGAAATTCTCCGTCTAGCACACCAAGTGGCCGAGCAGTAACTCAGTCAATTATCTTCCTTGGTCTAGTGGTCATGATTTCCGCTTGTCATTAATACCGATAAGCGCGGGAGACCGGGGTTCGATTCCCCGAGGGAGAGTCTTTTTTTGCTATAGATATTAGTTTTTGCTCAACTGAGGAAGGAGTGTCAGTAACTCCAGATACTGACAATGGAATATGATTAATTAACAATTTACTTGAATTGCTGGAAGTATATACTGGTGTAGTAAAAGCAAAGGGTCAAGATGAATCAATCTCTTGGATCACTTCATCAGCAGATCGACTGCCCAGGGCACACTCAGCCCTCGAAGATCCCCGTAATGCTGTCCAACGCCCAAAAACACAATGGGAATGCCCGTCGCGTGCACCATACTCACCAGCGTGCCCACCATGTCCCCAACGGTGTCACATTTACTGATAATAAACCCGTCTAAATTGCGGCCAGTGCCAAATGCCGCATTGAAGTTACGCGCCTGCATGACGCTGTCGGTGCCGACCAGGGCCTCGCCAACCATGAAGATCTTATCCGGATTGGCGAACTTGGCAAACTTCTCCAGCGACGACATGAGTCGCTGGTCGTTGTGGCGGCGGCCAGCCGTGTCGATCAGGACGACGTCGAACTTTTGGGCAGCGGCGTATTCCACGGCGTCCTTGGCCACATTGGCGGCATCCTTCCCGTAGCCCTTCTCGTACAGCTCGACATGGCCAGCGGTCTCGCGCTCGCTGAGCTCTTTCAGGTTCCGGGCATGTACACGGAGCTGCTCCACCGCACCGGATCGGAAAGTATCGCAGGCGGCAATGAGCACCCGGTAGTTGTTCTGGAGTAGGAAGAAGCAGATCTTGCTTAGGTTGGTGGACTTGCCAACACCATTGACCCCGACAATCGACATCACGTAGGGCCGAGGCGCACGCTCCTTGGTGGTTGGGGCCGTCACGGCATTGATCTCGCGCAGCAGATCAAGTGAAGAGGTTGGCGTCAGAATCTTCCGCAAGGATGCCTCCATCGCTTCGTGTAGAGCAGCATCCACACTCTGAAAGTTGCCGGTTTTCTTTCCCACCAGCTCACGTTCAACACCTGCGCACAGACGGACGGCAGCCTCGCGGGCGACATTTTTCTTCAGCAGATGATCCTCCATCGCTTTCAACGGCTTGTCAAGATCGGCCGCGGTCAAAACTTTTCCACCCACAATGTTCCGGAAGAAACCGCCCATGGCCTTGAACCCGGAGCCAACGACTCCGGTCGATGCGCCGGTCTTGGTCTTACCGGCATCGGCTTGGTCCAGAATAGAATGGACTTCGTCGCCCAAGTCCTTCAGAACGAATTGGCCCTTCCCAGTTCGGCGGCCCCAATCATCTTGAGAGACCGCCTCCACAGATGGCGCAGCAGTCCCCAGATCATCTGCGGGAGCAGAGTAATCCAAAATTTCGCCATCATCCTCATCGGCAAATCCATCAGCATCCCAGCGGCGCATCTTCTTTTTGGTTGCCGGTGCCGGTTTGCGATTCCGGGAATGCTCGTCTCCAGAAGACGTAGCACTGGTATTGGCGGCTTTCCGCGCACGGCGGGAAACGCGGCCGCCGGGGCCAGCCTTTGCGGTGAGAATATGGCTGGCGGGAGTTGAAGATCTAGAAATATCCGGAGTTGCCGGTGGCGTACCCTCATCGGAGGTTGCCCCAGCCAGCGCAGCATGATGCTGCGCTTTGGTACTGTCAGCTTTGTCGTGCATCGCAAACTCAAGCATTCCTCCATACCTTTCATGAGGCCAGGGACCGGTGGCGGCGGCGGGCCACCATTGTCTGACGAGACAAGCGGGTCCTTCTTCTCCGTGCTCTCAGCGACTAGGGTCTCGGCGACTGCTCCAGTATTGTCCTCCAGCTCGCGCACCTGCTGCTCGAAGTAAGGATCGAACCGATAAACGGTGATGCGCGCCCGGGTGGCCTTCAGCTGGTCCTTGTAGAGGTCGATGAAAATCGTCGAGATATTTTCCAGCAGCTTATCGATCCAGCCGAGGTGAAGCAGTGATTGGTAGACAGCCTAATGCGAACACAGTGAGCTCATCTGCGTGACTCCGGTGGCATGCGACAAGACCAGACATACCACGAAGATCAGGTTGAACTCCTTGACTCTCTTCCATTTCAGGGTGTACTTCTCCTTCTTGAACACTGGCGACACACCGGGGGCTGTCGTCGCAGCTTGGGGCACCACCTTTTCCTCGATAAAGACGTCGTTGATCAAGCTGTTGATGACATGCGCCCCCACCGGTGCGTAGGACTTGGACCATAGCACCACACCGGAGGTGGTTAGAATCTCGAAAGCTTCCAGCATCGTCAGAAATTGTGTGGTATTGGCAAGAGGGAAACACTGGAGCGGAAGGCCTAGAGGGAGGGAGAAGGAAGTCGGTCGTAATAGTTAGCGGTGGCGGAGGTGACGGGCAAAAAAGCGAAGTTCGGGAGCTGAGCGGATCTCTAGCCACGTATAAACACTTACTTCCCTCCTTCCTCTCCCGCTTCCCTTTCAACCACGCTACAACTCATATACCACTTTCCTCCTGATCATTTTCACTCCCTCTCCTCGGTCTGGTGCATCATGTATCGGGGCTCCTTTGCTCCCCCGCCCGCGCACTCGCCGCCCCTGCACCACCCTGTCCCGCAACATGTCTCGACCGTGCCTATGATGCGCTCGCCGCCGCCCCCAGCTCCCCAGCAGCCTCCAAGTGCTGGCTATGGAGGCAATCCTTATCAACCATCGCCAGGACAAGGTGGCAGTGGTACATATGGGCCCGGGCTAGGCGGGATCATCAACGACCCGACAGCTCAAATGGGATTCCAAGTTGGCAAGAGCGCCATGATGGCGGGACAGGAGTACATGGAGCAAAACGTATGAACATCTCCTAATTCATTGCTCCCATTTCTAACTGGCAGAAACAGTTGAATCGCTACGTTTCGATCCCCGCCCTTAAACACTACTTCAACGTCTCCAACTCCTATGTCCTCAACAAATTGGCCCTCGTCCTCTTCCCCTGGCGACACAAGCCCTGGTCCCGCCAGCAAGCCCGCCTGAACAGCAGTGCTGGCAGTCCCAACGGCCAGATCGCCCAGCAACAGTATTCGTCTATGTTCCTACCCCCACGAGATGATCTCAACTCGCCCGACATGTACATCCCCGTCATGGCGTTAGTGACCTACATCCTGTTGTCAGTGTTGCTCGCCGGATTCAGAGGCAATTTCCACCCCGAATTATTGGGCTCGATCACCACCACGGCCATCGCAGTGATCATCTTCGAGATCTTGTGCCTGAAGCTGGCCACGTACATCCTCAGCATCAACCAGGACTCGCAGCTGCTGGATCTGGTGGCCTACTCGGGATACAAGTTCGTTGGCATCATCGCCACTCTCGTTGCCTCGGAGATCTTAACGCCGGGGCAGGGAACCGGTGGTTGGGTTGGCTGGACGGTCTTTGCGTACACGTTTCTCGCAAATGCGTTCTTCCTAGTAAGTCACATGCACCATCTTGATCATCTCTGCACTCATGCTGATATCAAAAAAGCTCCGGTCGTTGAAATATGTCTTGCTTCCCGACTCGACCGACGCCACGATGCGGACAGGCTCGATGCACACCGTGGCTCGCTCCCAGCGCAACCGACGCACTCAGTTTTTGTTCATCTACGCGTATGTCATCCAGTTCATCTTCATGTGGGTTCTCAGCCGCGAGGGCCCGTCGGCTCTGGTTTCGGCGGCGGCCAGCAGCGCGGGTTCGTCATAGCAGAAGATTCACGTCATTGGGCGCATGGCGGATAGTTATAGACGGGGCTGGGGGAAGGCGCTGCAACATGTATGGATAGCATCAGGCACAAACAAGCTCATCAGTATACTGGCCCAACCTTCAGGGTAACGATAATAGCACGATTTTTCAACTGCCACTAAGTTCATTCTTCTACCGGTACAAGCTACATAGGCTACTCGGTCTACTGTAGAGAAAAATCCATCTTCAAGATCAACATATGTATTTTATTTTATATGCTTGTCGGGCTGACGGGAAAACTGCGTCCTATCGAAGGTTAGAAACAGAGCACAACCAACGAAATGCAAAGCACGATGCCATGAAGAAGTCCTCAGAGATCTTGGTGATAAAGGTAATATCATTGCCAGAAGCATCAATTACTATCTAGGCGTGATAAGGTTATAATCATCGGACGGGGGTTGGCAGTGCTAGAAGCAAAAAACACGCACGTACCGGTTAGTGAAAGATGGAAGTCGAGGTCTCGGATCATGTCTAAAAGTCTTTATCCAGTCAGTATGGCTATCCAACCAGATGAAATGAGAACACCGTGGCAGAAGAACAAGAGTATCAGAAAGTGAAGAAATTAATATCATCCGACAGCGCTGTATCGAAAACTCAGGCGTGAGCTTCACAGACGCCGGGTCAATCGCAAATTACAACATCATGTAAAGAATAGGAGATAGGGTGGAGGATGCGGGAATGGCTTACCATCAGCTGTGTCCTCGATCGAGCAGGAGAGTGAGTTCCTTGTGAGGTAAAAGAATAACAGAGATGGGAAGACCACGGGAAGAAAAAAAGCGCGAAGAAAAGCATCCGCCCGGCTCGGAACAAAGGATCCTCCGTGCTGACATAATACCAGCCCTAACCACTGCCAGTGGCCCGCTAAGCGAGTGCTTGTGTGGCACCCGAAATTCTTCGTGACTCTCACTCTTTCACGACAATCCTTTCCGACATCCCACCACCACCAAACCCGTTGTCGACCGTGAGTTCTGAATAACTCCCATTTCATATCCACGCGCTGAATTATTGGTTGCCTTCTAGAATTTCGCCATGGCCGATATCGATGTCAAAATCGCCGAGTGGAAGCAGGTCGAGGTCGGCCGTCTGGTGCTGATCCGCCGCGGCCCCTTCGCCGGCAAGCTCGCTGCCATCGTCGAGATCGTGGACCACCGCCGTGTACGTGAAACATTCAGTCGGGAGGTCGGGAAGGCATTTTGAACACTTTGCGACCGACCGACCGACGATTTTCGGGGATGATGGAATCATATATTGACAACGATCACAGGTCCTGGTCGACGGCCCCTCTGGCGAGGAGAAGAAGATCGTGCCCCGTCACGTTCTCCCTCTTGCCCACGCCACCCTCACCCCCTTCACCATCCCCCAACTGCCCCGTGCTGCCGGTACCGGCCCCGTCAAGAAGCTGTGGGCGAAGAACGAGATCGACAACAAGTGGGCCAAGAGCAGCTTTGCCCAGAAGACCGACCGTGCCGACCGACGGAAGAACCTGACTGACTTTGAGCGCTTCAAGGTCCTGCGTCTGCGCAAGCAGGTACGTTGTCACCGCCAGTGGAACCATTCATGATGCACGGATTGAATGGTTTCTTGACTCCGTCCATTCAATTCAATCTTACTGACCACTGTTAGGCCCGCTACGAGGTGCAGAAGTCCTACGCCAAGGTCCGCGCTGCTGCGGCCAAGTCATAGATGATTACCATGAGGCGTCGGTGCAAGAGGAAGTGAGGGAGGGGAGGTGTCCTGGGACGGGGTTTCCATAGCTGGTCTTCCCCAGCCAAATTGCTGTATGCATTATCCGCAGCCAAAATGATCCAAAATCCTTGATATCCCGGCAGGGGTTGTGTCATGCACTGTTCCAATCTCTCCAGCCATCTTCGTAAAGCGAGTAAATGGAGGTTTTCGTAAATCATCCCAAGTAATTCACTAGATGTGATTGTCGGTCTCTATTTTATTTTTATTTTTTATTATATTCTAAACGAGCGAGTGTATAGTCCAGTATACTCCGAGTGCCACCGACTGCACTGTGGGATCCGGGGGGGCTCGCTAACGATTTTCGGCGGAAGGAGTTGCGCACAGCTCAGCGACCTTCAACTTCTCGACTGACAAAATCCCCCCGCATCCACCACAGCTTGATCTCTGCGTTCCAGGTGCGTTGGCCCGTTTCCTCTGGTCGTGTGTTCGTTCTGTACACCTCGATTTCTCTGGTTTTTGCCCCCGGTCTTGTGCGATTCGTGGTGGCTGAGAGAGAGAAACCTCGGACATCATCCCACACTACACATCAACCCGCCCACCCGATCGATTCATTCCTCCTCCAACAAACCAACCACTCCGAAAACAGAACTAATTGCTCGTTATCTTCTGCTAGGCTCGCCCAATCCACAAAAATGGCTGACCCCCGCGTTGAAGAGCTTCCCGATGACGAGGTCCCCCGGACCGGCGTCGAGGACGCTGGCAGCTCCTCCGAGTCCGAGGCTGGCGACGAGCCCACCATCCCCGGCGGCGCTGCTGTCACCATCCACTCGCGCAACGAGAAGAAGGCCCGCAAGGCCATTGGCAAGCTGGGCCTGAAGCACGTCCCCGGCATCACCCGTGTCACTCTCCGCCGTCCCAAGAACGTATGTGCTTGTCAAACCGAACCCAATCGCTGCTGTTTCAATGAATGTTGGCTGGCAGCGGACGGATGTGTGGAAGGATTGCTGTATGACAGGGCAGACGCTGATTCATTCTACTGGTTTTAGATCCTCTTCGTCATCAACAACCCCGATGTCTACCGCTCGCCCTCCAGCAACACCTGGATGTATGTTTCTCTTTGCTCCGCAGATAACTCTTTTCCTAACCATTCGGCAGCATCTTCGGTGAGGCCAAGATCGAGGACCTGAACGCTCAGGCCCAGGCCTCCGCCGCTCAGCAGCTGGCTGCCGCCGAGGCCGCCGGTGGTGACCACGCTGGTCACGACCACGAGCACGCTGAGGGCAAGGGCAAGGAGCCCATTCTTGGTGAGGCCAAGAAGGAGGAAGAGGAGGAGGATGATGGCGAGGAGGCTGACGAGAGCGGCCTCGAGGCCAAGGACATTGAGCTGGTCATGGCGCAGGCGAACGTGACCCGCAAGAAGGCCGTTAAGGCGCTGCGGGAGAACGACAATGATATTGTGAACTCAATCATGGCGCTCAGCATATGAGGATAATCATGTGTGAGCGGCATGGGTGTTGCGATGGATAGTTGTTTCCAGGGCCTGCCCATAGTGTACACAATCACTTAGCCTTAGCTCCAAAAATCCCGTTACAATTAAGCGCTCAGTGTAATTTGCCTTTAATCTAGTCTTCCTTGATTCTAGTTATCGTTTGTCGTCTATCCTATCGCCCTCTCTCCGTAGTGTTCCCGTGATCCCACGTGACCACCAAACCTTTCCGAGTTGACCCTAAACCTGCCATTCCTGCATTCGACCACCCCCTCTCCTCTCACCCACCCCCATTATCATCCCACTCGTCACAATGGCAGCTGTACGTCTTCCTCGCACTCTCCGCCACCTCGTCCATCCCGGTATTACCGATTGAGCCACCCCCGCTAACCCCTTTAACCCGTCAACAGCGCAGCGCCGCTCTCAAGATCGATTGGGCCAAGGTGTCGACCTCGCTCGGCCTCCGCGGCCAGACCGCCACATCGTTGCAGGCGTTCAAGAAGCGCAACGACGATGCCCGCCGCAAGGTGCAGGTGCTGTCCGAGCAGCCGCAGACTGTCGACTTCGCGCACTACCGCAGTGTGCTCAAGAACCAGGCCGTCATCGACGAGATCGAGAACCACTTCAAGAACTTCAAGCCCGCCACCTACGATGTTGCCCGCCAGCTGAAGGCTATCGATGCCTTTGAGGCCCAGGCTGTGCAGAACGCTGAGCAGACTAAGGGCAAGGTCGAGGCCGAGCTGCAGAACCTCCAGAAGACGCTGGAGAATATTGAGACGGCTCGTCCGTTTGAGGATCTCACTGTGGTATGTTTTGGCTGTAGCAATGGCATGATTCGGATTGTGTGCTGACCCAGTTGTTTAGGACGAGGTCGCTTCCGCCCAGCCCGAGATCGACGAGAAGACCGCTTCGCTCGTCTCCAAGGGCAAGTGGATGCCCCCGGGTTACAAGGTATTTTCTTTCCATTTTCTCACAAACTTTTCAATGGATTACAATTGCTAATACGACTCTCTCGGTAGGAGCGCTTCGGCGATCTGTCCGCCGTCTAATCGCGGTCTCCTTCGTGCCCGGTTTTTCCTCGTCTTATCTCCCACCGGTGTCGTCACACCACTCTGTAAGGAAAGGAAATGGTCATTCCGCCGGCGTGTGGTTAGATTATCTCCCGCCGAGGATGTGTTGGAGCGGTCGGGATATGTATAGAAAGTACAATCAGATCTGCATTTTCCTTTGTCTAGACTGTGTTTTCTTCCTTGTCGTAGCTCTGAAGTATGGTGCAGATCCTGAAACCGCTTATTTATTCGTAAGAGACCTATAGAGAGTGGTTGGAGTTGATAGAGGGTTTGTTGGGAATGTACTTGGCTCAGATATATATCTCATATCCCCAGGTTAAACACACTGTATATACATCCGGCAAAAAATGACAGGTTGATTCTGGCGTTCAAAGTACGGTTAATCGAAGAGCATTTTTATCATTGGGTCCCTTTTGTTTGAACAGATATCAACTATACACTTCTTATATCGTATGTTTACTCTGCTACACATAACCACCCAGTACCTTATTAACCACCACTACCACCTCTACCACCAAGAACCAATAATAAATCCCAATAGCACTGACAGCAATGCACATCCATTCCTAGTCCAGCAGTCGATCATGCACATATCTACACCATTCGTGGATCGAGATGCGCCCGCCAATACCCCTACGCCATTTCTCGATTTATCCACTCTCGGGCCCCTCCGCCCTCCTCTCGTCGCGATCGATGGCTTTCGAGCTCTCCACTATCGTCTCGCCTCGAGCCGTGTACGAACCAAACTCGAACACGAAAAGTCAACCCGATATGTCCACCCCTCAGTTCTCCCTCTGTGGCCGCGAGTCGTACTAGGAGCGTTTGCTGCCGGTTTGTTTATGTTGACTACTCCGCTCAACCATACCATACCACCACCATCTGCAGAACACCACAAACTACCTCCTCCACCTCCGTTGCACCTGCAAATGGGCCAATCGGACACAAAACTCACCACCACCAACCCGCCCAGCTTCTCCCGCCTCGAGTCCCTCCCCGTGGAAATCCTGCAGTTGATCTTCCTACACAGCCTAGAACTCAACCTTCCCCGCGCATCGCCGTCCCTCAGCCGCGCGCTCTCAAGCAACCTCCTCTACACATGGCTCATCCGACTAGCCTTTAGCAGCGCCAACCCGGGCTCGGCGGTGGGATTCTTCACCCCGGAATTTCTGCCCTACCCGCTCGATTTCTGGGGCCTGGCGTGGGAGCAGCGCCGGGAGCTGCAGACTGGTCTGCTGGCTTGTCGATGGTGCACGCTGTCTTTTATTCGGAAGTGTCAACGGGACTACGTGGCTCATGTTATCCAGCAGAAATGCACGGATCTGGTTTTCCATCCGGATGACCGGGCCCTGCTCTCGAACTTGGACTCGCATTTCACAGACCTGACCGAGGCTGATCATGCAACTGGCGGCGGTCGACGCGGCAAAGGGGACCTGATCATCCCGGCACACCTGGGCTCGAATGAGAATGCCACCAACACTACTTCGTCATCTCGCAACGCAGACCGCAAACTCGCAATCTGGTTCCACTTCGGCGCCGTGCAAATCCGCAAACCCCACGAAGTATACTACGAAACCGACCTCTTTCGCCTCCCCTGCTCCTTCGTAATCGGCCCAGGCCGAATCCCCGATAAACTGCTCCGCGCGCCGTGGTCAGAGCCCCAGTTCGAGTTCCTGCAGCTCCTCTCGACGGACTTCTACCTGGACGAAGACCAGGTAGACGCGGAGCGCTCCGCGGATATCACGCACTGGCTCATCCGCAAGCGACAGATTGAGCCCTTTCGGCGGCTGCTGAGTATGTCGTTCCGGTCGGCGAATTGTCGCGTTCCGGCGCGGTGGCCGTTGAGCGAGGAGCTTTGTGCGCTTGTCAAGCGTTGTAGCACTGGCGCTGGGGATCCGTTTGCGCTGGCTATTCTGGATGAGCGGTGGGATGATATTCCCGTGGAGGCGAGGCACGATTTGCTTCGGTTCGCTGAGGTAGAGGCGAGTTGATTTGGGGAAGTGGATGAGTATAAGTAAGGGATTTTTGCGGGTTGCGATTGTTTATATCGCACTGTACCTTGCATGATTGTACACTGCTTCAAGCTCTACTTCTGTATATAGTTGCCTAGCGTATGATATAATTCTTCAGAAGAAATTAAAAACTGATATGAATTGTTGCTCCGCTGATCCGCGTCAGGACGGGTATGTAGTATGTAGTTGTAGGTATTGTGTCCATCACCGGCAAAGCAAACCAAATAACAAGAAGAGTACCCCAGCTTATCCCATCTATCCGTTCCATAAATCATAACTCGTAGCCAAGAATCACCTGGCTATCTCCCGCAGCGCATTATACCGCTGACCTAGTCCCCCCCCTCCTACGCCGTCCACAGGATCCGCATGTCAGGCAGGAGATGATGGCATCTATAACGGTGACGACGCCACTGACGATAGCGTGCAGGACGGAGCCGATGGCGTTGACGATGCCCATGAGGCAGGAGCCGATGGCGTGGAAGACGCTTGTGATCTGGAGAGAGAGAGATGTTAGTAACTGATCGATCGAGAGAAAGGTTCCGGGATAAGGTAGATAGGGATGATATGACGTACACACGAGACGACTGCACCCATTTTGAATGTTTCTGGGTTTGTATGAGAGGTTGGTTTGGTTTAAGGCTTCGGTTTAGAAGAAAGGCTTGAGCCAGAACTGGATGATGCGGTTGTGTGGGTTGATGTATCACTGAAGGGACGCATGTTGGAAGAAAAAGAGAAGCAAGACAGAGCAAACAGGTTCTTCTTAAATGGGAGACAGATAGAGAAAGGTCCACTCGGGCAAACAGGGTCCTGCAGCGAGTGGGTGTAGGTGGTACGTAACAAGCCTGGAAGTTGTTGTCTCGAAAAGGTGATGATGGACAAACAAGCCACAAGCAAGTAATTTGCCACAGGAATTTGGTAGGGCTGGAATTGACGTAGATTTGAAATAATAATAGTTCCTGCGAGGTACAAGGATGAGAGGGGGAGAGAGAGTGGACAAGGAGTGCTTCTGCAATCAGGCTTTTGTACATTCCGTCATCTCGGGTTACGCTTTCCTTGATTTTGCACGGGAACGCCGTTCACCAAGCCACTGATCTGCGCCGTTACGATTTGGATACTGCCTCTGAGACATGATCTACCTTTCTAGACCTTTGTAGTATTTTCCGATTGCCATTATTGACGCTCTACAGTATGTTCTTGTACCTTCAACCCCACAAAGTGGTGACGTCATTTGATATTCATAAAAATCACCTGACTAGTCTCGTTGCGGCCGGAATTCCGCCAATCAGCTTGCATGTCGTCGCGGAATATTGTTGTCTGTATATAATGCTCGACCGGCTTGAGCGAGGAATGTATTTCGGCATGGTGGAACTCATGAGGACTGCTTTTGAGGACGGTGCATTATCCGCAAACAATCTAGGTGAGGAGGTGGAAGGGGCTTGAGATGTGTTTAAAGAATGGCCGCAGTCAACCAGCCCATTCATTGCTGAGACAGTGAAATGGCGACTACGAGGTATTTTTCGCAGGTGGCAGAGCATTCTTATACCCTAGGATTTTGTCCGGTGATTTTACATTAACCACGTTGTAGATTGCATTCGTATTGGAGAGGAGAACACGCCATAAGAGCACTAAGAACACATCTGCAATTAAGACACAAAAGAAGAGGGCATAGACCAACCAGCAACACCAATAACAACACGCAAAAGAAGGTAAAGTGTCATCATTAGTCCGATCGCACCCTGCTAGGGCGCATGAAACAGTCAAACCAGAGGAGCGCGTCTGATAACGAGTGAACAAGCCGCCAGGCGGTCGAATCACGGGACGGAGCCAGGAATGTAAGTCACATTTTCGAGAGGTGGCAGATTTCATATCTCCAGGGATGGATGGTAATCCAACTAAAAAAGGCGGCGGACATCTAAATATGCTCGATGACCTGAGCATTCATCGCACGCTGGAATCCATCATCTTGCTGCTCCTGGCCGTACCTGCTCGGACCCTCACCCGCATTGTCCGCGGCGGCCAACTGCGCCGACACGTTGCCATTCACTCCTGGTAAAAAGATCACTTTGCTAGCCGACGACTTGGCCATTGATTGCATTGCTTCCAGGTATCGAATCTGCATGGCCGGAGCAGAAGAGAGGATATCGGCAGCCTGAAAACGGGTTAGTAACGTGTTATGCAGAGGATTGGTAGGAGCCATAGTACCTGACGCATCAGTTTGGCTGACTCGACTTCGGCGCGAGCAGCGATGACCTTGCTCTCACCGATCCGCTTAGCCTGCGCAGCCATGGAGAGCGAATCTTGCAGGTCATCGCTAAAGATGATGTCTTTGATGAGCATGGATTCGACCTGGACACCCCAGCCGGCGGCAACCTCCTCGATGATCTCCGATGTCGACTGCGCAATCTCCTCCCGGCGCTCGATTACATCCTGTAGGACGCGGGCTCCAATTACATGGCGCAGCGTGGTCTGGGTGCGTTCGACGAGCGCCTGTCGCACGTCCGCAATGCCGAAGGCGGCTATGTGGGGGGAGACGACTCCGTAGTAGATAACCGAGGTGAGATGAAGGGTGACATTATCCTTGGTCATACAGACCTGACGAGGCACTTCGACTATCTGAATTTTGACGTCCACCGTCCTCAGGTGCTCGCTGAGTGGGTTTACTTTGACCAGGCCAGGATCTACGGACCGTTCAAAGCTGCGCTTTCAAGTCAGCAATACTCTCCAATGATGTAGTCGGGGGATAGGTGTCGCGAACCGTCCGAACTTCGAGACCAGGCCGACCTGGCCCTGGTTGACCGGCTTGAATGGGTTGGGGCAGCAGATGCAGCATGGAAAGGCTCCACAGAAACCGATACATTGTCCCAAGCTGTGAACTAAATAGAAGTTTCGAACAGTTAGAATTGATCTGAGCGATGACGGCAAGACGTGTAGAAGTTGAAAACATCGCACTTACTGTACGATGAATACCATCCATGCGCATCTGGGTTTTCGCCATCATGTTTGATCGTTTGAGCATATTTCGGCTGCAGGTCATCTAGACGCGCGGGCTGCACATTGACAAGCCGTCGCTCATGGGGATGAGCATCTCGTTCATGAACCGGTGCCTTGCCATGGCCAGTTGCATCGTTAATAGACATGTTGTAGGAAGCGCCGTGGTAGGTCTTATGTCATAGTTATAGGCCGATTATTCGATAGGAAGTAATATTTGCTCGGACAATAGTAACGGTGGAAGTTTTCTTTTCCTTTTTCAGTTAGAAAAACTCTTAGGCGAAAGCCAACTGGAGTTACTTCAGGTGACGATCGGGAATCGTTGTTTCTAAAGGAAAGACGTCTGGCTACTTAAACAGTCAGCAAGGGAGGTCCAGAGCTACGAGGCCGCTTTCATCTCGTCCATGGGCCGGATTACGTATTGCGTATGGACGTTGCGTGTGACATTCAGACAAGTCCGGTAGCCAATTAAATTTCAAAGTGAGGAGATCCTCAGTTTTTAATTGGACAGTATCTAAACCTTCTACACATCCTTTGCTCGTTCTCGCATAATGGTGAGTTTTGAACCCATGTACAATCTTCACCGATTTAACCCTATAGTTTGAGGTCTTGTCTTTTCTGTATTCATCACGTGGTTAAGGAAATAGAATCCATAACCAGGGAGCCAAACTCTTTTTCCGTACTGCAACTTTGATCAGCGAGAAATGAATTCTATCAGGGTTCGCGATGTCTTGTAGTGGAGCTGATTGTTCGAACTGGATGTGAGCCATGTCGCTATGCTCTCGAACTTCAAGAATCACGAAACAACGAAAAAATCCAAATAAGGCCTGTACCTCATTATCTAGATTTGCCATGAGCTTTTTGAAATTCATTATATCTCTCAACAGAGAAGCTGTCGTGGTGTGTTTTTTGGTTGTTGCGTATGGTGCATGTTTTGTCAGGCGTCAGATTCGTCTTTTCCACTTCCGTAACATTACAACGTCGCCTCGTCATATTTCGAGATAGTTTTGCTCTGCCCCTCCTCATACGTGGTGCAGTCTTCAGGTTCAATATTTGTCTGCTGGTGGAGCAGGCTCCTTTCTGGACTGGCGGTCTTCCTATCCAAGTCCTCATTGGCATCGTTGTCCACGTTACTCCCGCTTGGGACAGGAGCATAAGGGTGCGAAATGCTCTCGCGACGGGGATGTTCTCTGCCTGTTTGAATGGGGCCGTTGTCGGTCACTTGATGAGCCTTGGCGAGAGCAAAATCACCAGAATCAAAGTACGTCCGTTCCTTCCCCTTGTCAGCTGGAAAGCCGCACTAAGTGATATCAAAAGTACCTTGAAATGGTGGCCAAGCAAATATCCGAGCGGAGGCTTTTCGTATGTGCTGAAATCACGTCTCTCACTTTCAGAGAGTGGCTGAACGAAATACTGTCAGCATTCTGCTTGAGACGAGATGTAAGCAAGTTTTACTTCCGAGCGTGGTGTCTTGCGTCTTGATTCCATTCGAGAGGGTATCTCGTGCACGTATGAAGGTCATATCCAAGCATGCGATAAGAAACTGCGTCTAAGCAAGAGAACATATATTCGCCACCATTTATCTATATCAATGACGCCGTAGCTTATTGTATCTTTTGGGAGCACGAGCACTAGTCCGTATTGGGCCACAGTATCCTAGGGTCGGTCGTGCTTAATAGGGGAGCACCCGAACTTCTGGTAAAGATAAGGCTCTCTCGGATCCGAATAGAATTGCAATGGAATATATCCCGCAATAGCCGTTGGTTATTCTTGCTAAACCCAATGCGTCCCGCCTCTCCTGTCTCCCTTGCAATGAAGTTTGTAACCAGTTACTCCATTTCGTTCGAGGGTGATTTGGAAGGTGGCTTTTGCTTTTAGTGAAATCTTGAGGTCCTATCATCTTGAAGACGTCCCATGAATTCAGATCTTACACCTAGCGAAAGATTTATATGAAGATTAGTCGAACAAGTTGTCCCACTAACAGAGTACTCAGATAATTAAGAAATTTCATCTATTATATGCATTCTTATTCTTTCCGACTTCGCAAACCAAGTATTGTACGTATTTTTGACAAGCCAGTTTTCTGAGATTTTCGTACTGGGTGTCTGTCCACGGCCCTCGAAAAATCATCGAGGGGCAGGGAACTGTAGCCGGTGTTGTGGTTAGTTGCAGGCTCCCTCAACGATATGTAACTATCTCTGGCCCTCACGCCGCCGAGAGTATCAACATGAGGCCTTGGATTGGTTCTCATCTGGCCGTCGTACGGTGATAGCACAGTTGAACTGATAGACATTGTTCTATCCAGATAGGGAGCGCCCGAGTGTGTTGCGGCCCCCTCTGTCGACACAATCTCATTCAAGAAGGATGGAAAAATCGATGCAGAGAGAAGATCAAGCATTTCCTGTTCGATCGCATCAAGTATTGCGGGAGCCGGAGGTTTCTCCAAATCGTGATACGCTAGCAAGCCATGTCTTTGGTTGCTTCCCAAGTTAATTTCTCGTGGCGATCCCGCGAGGAGATAGGTTGATAGTAGCTGCTGCCAAAGCTCAAGCAATACTCGTGATTTGCGGCGGGCAGGAGATATGTGAGTTCCCACAACTACCGAGCTAAGTTCATAGATGTCCTTATATCGCCTGCCCTCCAGTATGAACTCGAGGATTTCAAGACAGTGTGCTTGAGACATAAAGGCTGTGAAGGACTCGAGAGTATAAGGATAGGGAGCCTCATTCTTCAACACCTCATCAAGTGAGGGCTGTTGATCCCTTAAGGTTGAGTTGCGCGCAACGCCAAAGGTCATGTTATGAGTAACACCAACATATGGCTGATTGACGGAGGACGTGTCCATCTTGCGCAGGTCCCGCTATCTCAGTGTGTGTCTCATGACAACGGCTTTGAAACAACTGAATGGTGACAATGTTCCGGAGGCGAAAATGAGATGAATGCTATTATGTGAATATTCAAATTCAGATCAACCGATTTTCTTCGAGGCGTATTCTTCCGATTACAAAGAGCATCCCACTCGAGCACAAAACATCACAGTAGACCGGCCTAGGTCCTTCTTGACCCTAATATTGATTGATCAACGTGGCGTGAGGCAAACGTTCTCGATCGACACTGACATATTATCCTGTACTCTCAAATTTCTCAACCATGGCTGAAATTCCGAACCCCATGGTCCCTATCTTATCGACATATCACGTGTCCGTGTCTGAACCCGATACGTGCAGAATATAGTTGTGGCAAGAGTGATAGTCCTAGTCGCAACGAATCACGACGCCTGCTTCTAACAGTGGAGATCCTTGCCGATCTATTCTGGACATCATGTTAGATATACTGCCGCGCGAGATTCTGATGATGATTGCAGAATGGGTACGTACATGGTCCTGTATCTGATCGAGATCCTAGTTGCCGCCTGCCATGTTCACGCGCTCAGCCAACTGTTGCTGAGGCTGTTTGCGGTGCTGGTGCCTCAAACGTGCCGCCCGTGACGTTCCGCGCTGCGAGTGAGTGGTCGGTGAATGTCGGACGACCTCGAATTTCCTGCCCCACCATGGGCACAGGTAGGCCTCGCTCGTCATGGAACCGCAAGAACCGCGGTTCTGCCCGCACTGCAGAAGTGGGGTTATAATGTTTCTATACCGGAACCGCGGATATGCGGTTCGATCCGGAGGATCTACAAACGATTACAAAACATGGAACATCTCATGACCTGCATATTTTGTACAAATGCGGACTAGGGTTTTAAAGTATTTTTCTTACAGATTTATCAAAATAGCAGATGAATGCTTAGATGGGAGGAAGATTTTGAAAAGATGAGAAATCAAAAAGACTTGGCTTTCATACACACACACAGTCAGTATGTCTTTCTCCCTATATGTGACTATTATCAGGCAGGAGGATCTCATCCTCCTTCATCTAATTTAATTAGAGGCCCTTTGGCCATCTGTAGTAGCTTTCGAACCGTACTCTCTTTCTAAGCGCACGTTCACTGACCGGTTGGACAGTTTGAGAGTGGCTGGAAAAGGTAAACATCCTCGCTATTGCTAATCGAATCAAACCCATCCTCTGCTTTCTGGGAATCATTCTCTTCTCTTGCTGCTTGCGTCTCCTGGGTAGTGAGATCCTCATCTATTAGTGACAGTTGTTTAGAATGCATATCAAACATTGTTATGCACATAAACAACATAAGATCCTTGATCGCTTTAGCTTTTAGCGAGCCGGTGGTAGTGACAGATACCATGAGCAGAGTAATGTCCAGTGCCTAGCCACCATCTACAGTCGGTCAGTCTTAACACAGAAAGGCGGATAGAAACTCATACGGATTGGGAGGCGCGCAGGCTATCCGGATTTAGTGCACAAATACCAGCTGGAGCTTCTCCGTAACGGCGAGAGCTCTGCCGTGAGGAAGATACTGTAGTATGCACATCGGCTAAACCGGACGACGAGTCTAGTCAGCTCGACATGTAAATGCAAGTAGCGTCGCTGTAACACCCCCTTAGACCAGCAGAAGGCTCTAAGCGCAAGTGCTCTCTCTCTTTAATTCACCTTGAACGGCAAGCTCTACTTCTTCTGGCCCAACTCGCGCGCACGATTGATGACATTTTCAATGCCATCAAGACCCATCTTCAAGGCATCCATCTTGGGACCATAGCTTAGGCGCACGAAGTGGTGGCACGGGCTGTCGAAGAGATCGCGACGCTTAGCGGGATTCAGGTCAAAGAAGATACCTGGAACGACGATGACATTCTCGGCCAGGAGGGCACTGAAGAAGTTCAGGCCGTCGGAAATGTTGGCCTCGGCCGGCAGTGGCGGATCGAGTGAGCTCAGGTCAAGCCAGATGTAGAAAGTTGCCTGCGGGATGTCCTGGACGCGGAAGCCGATGTCATACAGCCGCTTCAGAACGTAGTCGCGCTTCTCCCGGAAGTGCACCTGCAGTGCCTTCATTTCGGTGCGCACCCGCGACGGCTCTAGCATCGGAATCGCTGCCTCTTGGAAAGGCACGTTGGCGCCACCATCCAGGTAGGAGCCGGCTGAGCCTAGCGCCTTGATAAATTCTTTGGGGCCCACTACCCAGGCAATTCGCCAGCCTGGCAGGCGGAAACGCTTCGTGAGACCATCAACTAACAACACATCTAGATTCCTAGGTCAGTGGATAGGTCATGAGCCACACGTCAAGCAAAACGAACCGTCCTGGTTGACATCGATGACATTCATAGCGCCACTGACTGTGGCACCGTCACAGTCGGTCGTATAGTTGTAGCCACCGTAGAACTCGTCTAAGATGAGGGTCACGCGACCGCGACAGATGTCCTGGATCTCTGCCAGCTGATTATGCTCCACGACGTGGCCTGTCGGATTACGAGGGTTCGATGTCAGCAGCACCTGGGTACCACGCGCAATTTCCTCTGCAATCTTGTTCGGGTGGATCTGGTAGTGGTCTTCTAGGGATAGCGGCATCGGGATGGGGGTAATCTATGCCGGGGAGCATCGTCAGCACACGCATAGAATTCTAGTACTCCGCACGCACGTTCTTGAAAAGTGTCAACATCTCCGAGTACGCCGAGTAATCGGGGATAGGGAACGACAGGTACGAGTTGGCTAAGATGGCGGCAATCCGGATCAACCCTGCTCGCCCTCCAGGCACAATGCACACATTCTCCCAGGTATACTGGCTCTCTTTCCCTTGACGATAGTGCTCATTGTACAGGCGTGCAACGGCCGCGCGCAACGGCTTGATCCCAGTGGTCGGACCGTATTCCCGGCCAGCGAGGGAGACGGGGATCGTTGTCGGGCGGGGGAAGCTGCCCTCGATCTCGTCGTCGACTTCGGGGGCACCCTGGCCTAGGTTGGCCCAGGCGGAGGGATCCTCCGCGAAGCCATGCTCGGTGGCACGTTCTGTGCACCAGACGACACCGGTAGAAGCACGGGAGGCGTCGAGAGCCGCATGGGGATAGTGGCCCTCGTGGGCGGTTCGGAACTGGCGATGAGTCTCGGACCGTTGCTCTGGAAGACCGGGACCGTCAGTCTGAATGCTCCCAAGTCCCAAGCGACCACTACGCACCGTTGTCGGAGAGGCCCTCGCTGGCCGGCATGCCACGAGTAGGGGGGCGCAGGATGCTCACACGGCGGCCCGAGAACGACATTCTTAGCCAAGTCGCTTCGATGAGTGGCTGGTTTGTTGCAGGCCTCAATTCAGTATCGAATCCACGTGAGAATGAATGGCCTGAATGAATCCTAGCCTGGCCAGCGCAAAGGCAGCTCGGGAAGGAGATTAAAAGGGAGGATTGGTTCTCGCTTCGAATCAATGGCGAGCGAATCAATAAAAAATGCCACCGAGTAGGCTGTTGAACTGGAGCTGCTTGATGCCATCTGTCGAGCGTGACGACGTTTTGAGGGACAGATACTATTCATCATGACATCAACACTGGATGCCCCGTAGGTCAGCTTTCTTCCACCGGGCTTTCCGTCCACCTCATCCAACATTTGACAGAATCCGAGTTCGGAGCTCCCAGCCGTCAGGAAGAGTCACGACGCACGTGCGTACCGCGAATTTTGATAGTCCAAAAGCCCAAGGAAGGACCACAGACTGCTGAAGAAGTACATAGAAGGCGACGTTTACTTTGCATCATGGCAATTGAGAGGAAATCTGAGCCCTCCAATTGCTGTGTTCTCTTCCTCTAGCGGGTGTGTCGAGGTGTTGGGAAAATGGAGGAGGAAGCAAGTAAAGTCAAGACATGAGGGTCATCACAAACAAACGGCACGGTGGGGCCGAATGCCCCTTTGGGTATGGACCGAAGAGGATGACGGAGAAGGGCGTCGGCGATCGATCACGTGATTATAAAGTACTATTCATCAAGAAATTTCCGATGTCAAGGGACCTACCGAGCATGGTGACAACCCTGTTGCAGCGATGGTGAGGCAGATGCTGAAGGACGCGGACTCGGCAGAGAGGGGACCTGCTCCTCCAAGGCCACGCTCTGCGCAGGCCAAGTCCTTCAAGGTACCGCCGGCACCCGCGAACACCTTTCGCAGGCCAGCACGTCCATCGAAACGTGTCCATGGTACATTGAGCCAGGGGGACCGGCCAGCAAAGTCACGGAGGACTCGCAGTCCGTCGCATCGTGGCCATGACCAGCAGCCGCCGCGCCAGCATCGCCTCTCGCTGCTGGAAACGCTGCCGGTGGAGATCCTCGAGCAGATCTTCCTGCACTCGCGGAACATGAATTTCCCGCGCGCATCGCCCGCTCTGGCCGCTGCCGTCTCCAGTGAACGCATCTACCGGGTCTTGATCCTGCTCGCCTTCTGGGATGATGATATCCAGGGTGTCGAGCCCAGTCCCACCCCGGCCATTGCTCGCCTTTTCGCGCCGTTGGAATACACCCCTCTGCGCAGCAATGAACGCGCTCAGCTACAGGATGCGGTTTTTCGGTGTGCATGGTGCACCCTCGACCGCGTCCACGCACAGCTATCGACCCTGATGGCCTTGACCGTCCACCGCCACTGGTTCGGCGACGGCATCGTCATGGAGCCAGACGAGAAAGATGATTTGCACAGACTTCTCGCTCGAGAATACGATGGCCACCGTGGCTTTTCTGGTTCCAGAAGGTCCGGACGTAGAACGACACTGAGTATCGTATCCTTGCTCGCTGTCACAATCCCATTCTCTAACCCAGCGAGGTTCACCACCGTGAGTCTGTTCAAGCTCCCAAGCCATCTCATCCAGGGCCGCCGTCGTGGCGGATTCTCAGAGGAGAATACGAACTTCCTCGAGATGTTGCGCATAACATCTGGAATTTACAGTATCCCGTATTATCAAGGTGGCCATCACACCCCCGTGGTGCCAGAGTTCAACCGCGCAGCCTTGCACCACGGAGTCCAAATCGCCATACGCCAGCGAAACATCAACGCCGTGACCTGTCTGCTCAAGATCGATGAATTCGCAAACCGCTTCTCCACGAAGGGCAGGGAACTCTACCTCATCCCCCCGGACCACTTCCGCGTCGCCGTGCGAATCAGTCGTCAGAATCTCGATCCAACTCTTTTCCAGACTCTCTTCCGCGCAAGCGCCGAGTCTATCCCAGCGGACGACGAGGAGATTACGCAATGGCTCGTTGAAATCATCGAGCGCGGCACAGACGAGGCGCGGGCGTTTGCCCACTGGTTCTTCGATTTCATGCTCTCTTTCCCGACCCATTTGAAAAATGCGCAGCAGCAGCTGGGGCAGCAGCCACACGATTCACAGCTGTTCTATTTCGGGGAGCTGAATTGTGGAACTCAGATGGGGGCGAGGTATTTGGTGGAGGTTTTCCAGCCGTACGCTGGTCCAGGGGAAAAGATGCGCAATTGGATGCGGGAGACGTTTTTTGAGCCTGTGACCAAAGGCTATGGAAGGGTGATGGAGTGCTGAGTACATGAATGTGTGTGTTCGCCCAGACATTGACCTGGTTTGGCGGGCATTGGAGCGTTGCTGGATAGATTCCAGTCCATGTCATATGTTTTTCTCAACCCTAAAATACAAGATATTGATAATACATCACCTTACATATTCCTCAACAGCCGAATAATCCCAGCCACACGCCCACCCAGCGTCAACTGATACCCCGTCTCGACAACACCCTTACACAACTCCCAGGCAGACGTACCATCCGTTGCACCGGCGACACCCTCCCGTTTCTGGATAGGATAGTCCACTCTGGGCGGGATAGCAGTGCCTACCAGCCGGGGGAACCTATCTTGGCAGACAGCCTTGAGATTGCACATCCCACGCAGGCCCTCATCGCCCGCAAACCGTCCATACCCGGATCCGCGCACACCGCCGAACGGCAGCTGGACAGCGTAGTAGCTGCCAAAGTCGTTGACGGCGACCATTCCCGCGCTGATTCCAGAGACGCAGGCTTGCACGTCGCGGCGGTTGTGGCCGAAGACGCTGGCGCCGAGGGCGTACGGCGTGAAGTTTGCGATGAAGATCGCGTCGGAAACGGACTCGGCGCGCATAAGGAGAAAGACGGGTGCGAAGAGTTCGGTTTGCGCGATCCGCATTTCTGCCGTCACGTCTACCAACAGCGTTGGGGTGAAGTAGTGGCCGTGGGTGTGCTGCGGGTGGCTGTACCGCTTGCCACCGGCGAGTAGGCGGGCGCCTTGTTCGACGGCTTCGGCGATGAGGGCTTCTAGTTTGTCGAAGGATGCGGGGGAGATCATAGCGCCCATGTCGGGGGTTGTGGCCGTGTCGAGGAGGATCGAGCCGAGACGGAGGGCTTGGATGCGGGAAGCGACGAGCTCGATGAGACGGTCGTATACACCTGGGAGAGCAATGACACGCTCTACACCGATACAGTTCTGCCCGGCAGACTGGAACACGCCGCGCATGAGCACTGAGGAAATCGAAGCCAGATTCCGAACCGTCACCGCATCGTCCAGGATGACAGCCGGGTCCTTGCCACCCAGCTCGACCACCACGGGAGTAAGCGACTTAGCGGCGGACGCGCAGACCTTGTGCGCGATAGGGCGCGACCCGATGAAGGTCAAATGGGCAATATCCGGGTGCGAAGTCATGGCATCGGCAACAGCAGGAAGAGTAACGACCGTCTGCACCAGATCCCGAGAATGGCCACAGCTCGCGAGCGCGCCGCGCACAATATCCAAGAAGAAAGCTGAGCACCACGCCGTCTGCTCAGAGGGCTTGACTACAACCGCATTGCCCGCGAAAAGTCCACTGATCACAGGCCCAATGAAGTTGTGGAAGGGATAGTTCCAAGACACACACGCGCCCACCACGCCCAGCGGTTCGTAGGTAACCATGTTTTTCTTGTACATCATGAGGAGATTGGTCGGGCGGCGTTCGGGCATCAGCGCCTTCTCGCCGTGGTCGATGGTCCACTTCAGTTTTTCGGCCGTCACGAGAATCTCGCCGAACGAGGCGTCCACTTTGGTTTTGCCCGAGTCGAGGCAGCACGCGGTGACGATATCATCCTGGTGATCGAGGACGTACTTCAACAATGTACGCAGCACCTTTCGTCGTTCTGCGAAGCTAGTCGCTGCCCATTCGACCTGTGCCGTTTTCGCCGCTCGCACAGCTTCATTGACATCCTCCACAGTTGCAGGCTTGATTCCGTTGCCCAGAACACGTCCGTCCGCGGGGCAGTAACTCATGATGAGACTATCATTCCATTTCTGCATTGATAGCACAAAGTGATTAGATTAAACCTTTTCCCACATATATGACCAAGAACTCACCCCGCGAACCTGATCCTCCAACACCCGCTTCTCCTGCCCCTGAGCATCCTCCCATTGTCTGCCAGGCGTGTCCTTCCGCACCTCAGCCGGCAAAGGAACATTAAAGGAGACCGCTGCTTCTCGCCGACCTAGGATATAGAGGTACCCCACGTACACGGCGACGAGGGAGACCAACGCGACTCCGAAGCACTGAGCGTGCTCTGCGGAGAGCGACGACGCGTGGGTCTCGGCGAGAGACCGCAGGCAGGTCGGGAGGTGGGAGAGGAGACAGGCCATCCTGAGAGAAAGGGGTGTCAATGTGCAATTGAGCCCCTCGGGGATGTGGGAGTGGTGGGTTGGAGGGATGTGAAGATGGTGGTGGTCGCGGTCTTTTTTCTCCGATAGATGGTGGTGCGATAAGGGGCACACGGCACTCGACAATTCAGATCTATGCAATTAATGGAGCCCATTCAACAGAAACGAAATAGTCATTTGAGGCAATACAAAATAAAGAATTATCTCAAGCCAGTCATCTGGATACGCTAATAATAAAACGATACAGGGTATATATACTCAACATATAGAACTAGAGCCACCATCTCGCCCAGAGCATCAGCAGTGATAGAACACACTCTCAACAGCAGATCACTCAGTCAATACATCGCTCAGCTCACTCACTTCACTCTCCTCGTCATCCAGCTCGATATCTTCATCAGACACCTCCTCATCTTTCATCTTCCCCTTGCCTCCCTTTTTCCGAACAGCCTTCACCGGAACAGGACCCTTCCGCTTTCCAGTCCTCGTTACAAGATGATCAATAACACACCCGTCTTCCCAACCCACACTCGACTGCCCCGTAGCAGCACGGCACCGGGGACAGGACTTGCCATGCTGAATAAAGAGCTTATGAAGCGGGTATTTCAAATGATCGGGAATGCACACTTCCAGATGACTGAACGCCGTGACCTCGTTGACGGGACCTGAAGGCGGCAACCAGCCCAGCCACTTGCAGATGCGGAAGATGTGCGTGTCAACGGCGAAGCAGGGGCGCTGGAGACAGAACAGAATTACGCATGCTGCTGTCTTGGGCCCGATGCCCGGATACTTGACGAGTTCCAGCATGGCTTCGTCCGAGGAGAAGTTGTGCAGGTGGTTCAGCGAGAGGATGTTCTGGTCGGCGCAAGCGATTTCGTATTCCTTGTCCTTCTCCACCTTGGCAGGCTGCATCTTTGTTGAAGCAGCTGCTCCATTGTTATTGTCCACAAATCCCTTCTCCAGCAGCTGATCGCGCCGCTCTTGGTTCTCCTTGTGGACTAGATCCAGAATCGCTTTGAGGTTCTTGCTCTTGACATCCGCCAGCCCGCCGCTCTTGATCGCTTCGAAGACATCTTTGACGGTTGCCTGTCGCACAGCATCCCAGTTCACACTGCCCTTCCCGATGCCTTCAGACAGAATCCCGAATCGCTGCACTAGGCCGTTGAATGCCCTGGCGGAGTTGGCGCCCGTGGTGGCGCCGCTGAGAAGAGTTCGGATGAGTGCATCTAGGACAGAGGGGACCTCGCCGCAGCCGGTGACGGTCAAGGATGGTTCGGGGATGGTTTTTGGTGCGGTGGCGTCTCCATGGATGCTGGACAGGAGTCGATGGACTTCTTCGCACTCCTCGGCTGTGGGATGAGTCCAGTCTGGAAATGGGGTTCTGCCGGGTGTTAGGCCATAAGGACCTCTTTTGGCTTTCTGCTTGGTCTTGGCCTTGGTGCCTGGCTCTGTTTTGAGCACGGTATGTGTGGCTTTGTTGTCTGTTTGCTGAAGCTCTGGAGCTAGCTCGTCAGAGTCCTCATCCACCTTGATTGCCTGATTTTCTTTATTGGATTCTTTAATAGAATCAGGAATACCAGCATCGACAGACAAAGGAAGTGTCGCTGGGCCCAGGTTGTGTGGAAGTTCATCAGTATTGGTAGGCGTCAGAGCAGGTTTCTTTTGCTTCGTGGAGGCAGATGTTTTGCCAGTTGGTCGCTTGGAGCCTGCAGAAGGCGCTGGCGTGGAGGAACTCTTCTGTCTTTTACTTTGATTCTGGAAGGTAACTCGCTTGGGAGCAGGTCTTTTGGAACCGGCAGCCTTTGTTGCAATGGGCTTTTTGGTGCTGGTCGAGTTGGATATGGCCTCGGATGCCTGCGGTGCAGGGCCATCTTTTCCGTTGAGCGCCGCCGCCGGTGCAGCACCTTTGGCAGCAGAACGGGTAATGCGAGTAGCCATTCTCATCCAATGTTCAGACAAGATAGAATTCACATGGACTTTCTGTCATGAGGATCCCTGTGATGGCTTGAATAATCGGGACTTTTCAGTGTGTGCGACGAGAGAAGAGCTGATGCACAAGAGTGGTAATTGGCAAGGCCAGACATCCGTCACTGCTCCTTGAGATGAATGCGAGCAATACGATGGATTGATGATATGGGTGCCTGGCAGCAGGTGATGAGGATGGAAGACGGGATTCTACTGGCCGAACCAAGATCTAATGAGAGGCATCACGTGAGACAACTTCGTCTTCATCGATTTATTCACATTTCAAGACTCGGGGGGATTTATTTCAGAGAGACGAGACGTAGATCATCCACCAGAGAAAAGAAACCCCCCTTCTAGATACATACAGATATCTACAGACAAACACAACGCCTAGACTCCAGATGCAGAAAAAGGACCCGACAAGATATCATCATCGTCTTCATCATTATTATGGATGATCAGCAATGTTGTGAATGCTGATATCCATGCGGTCAGCGATCTTGGGGTCCTCCTCGGTGCCAATGGTATCGTTGGAGCCATTCGACACGGTGGATCCCATCATTGAGGCCGGCACGATCTTGCCATTGGTATCCATAGCGACTCCATTCGCAGCGATCTCAAAGTCAGTCGTGCTTGCGAAGCCATGGGCCACAGCATCCTTGGCTTTGTCGAGAGCCTTGATTTTGCGGCCCTCGCCACGGAGGGCTTCCAGGTGCTCAAAGTAGCCGTCCCGCACGGGGGTCACGTAGCTGCCGCAGAAGACACCGACCTCGAAGTTCACGGGTTCTTGCAGGCCGTTCTCGCGCGTGATCTCGGCACAGGCATCCTTGAGGTCTTCTAGGGTTTGGAAGATGACGCTGTCGGCACCGATATGTGAGGCAATGGTATCCGCAGTCCGGTTGTGGGCGACCAGCTCTTGGGGCGACGCCAGGTCGATGCCGTAGATGTGGGCGTGGGTGATTTCCGGCGCACAGCTTGCAAAATACACCTTCTTTGCACCGGCTTCCCGGGCCATGCTGACGATTTCCCGACTGGTGGTACCGCGCACGATACTGTCATCCACCAGCAGCACGTTACGGTCTTTGAACTCGGCTTTCATGGCGTTCAGCTTGCGGCGGACGCCCTTTTGCCGAGTCTTCTGTTCAGGCATGATGAAGGTTCGGAAGACATAGCGGTTCTTGACAAATGCGTGGCAGTATGGCTTGTCCAGGTACTGCGCCACATTGGTCGCGGATGTGGTGGAGGTTTCAGGGATGGGGATCACGACGTCGATATCCTTGACGACCTCGGGGCCCAGAACATCCAAAATGCGCGCTCCTAAGCGGTCGCCCATGCGCTGCCGGGTGCGGTACACGCTGATACCGTCCATGACCGAGTCTGGGCGGGCGAAGTAGACGTATTCGAAAATATCGGGGGCATAGTCCTTCTTGGGGGCAACCTGCTGGAAGACAGGCTGGCCACCCTTCTCGATGATGACTGCCTCTCCAGGCTGGATGTCGCGGTGGTTGCCGAAGCCCAGCTGGTCCAGAGCGACGGATTCGGAGGCCATCATGTAGTCCATACCGGGGCCATCCAGGGACTGACGGGAGCCCAAGACCAATGGCCGAATGCCGTACGAGTCACGGAAGCCAAGAACACCAAAGCCTGGAGCCGTTATTAGTTAAAAGCGTGCGACAGAGTTGGAGCAACATACCGGCCAGCATGGCAGTGCAAGCCCAGCCACCTTCGCAACGTGTGTACATGCGGCTAAGACTGGCGAAGAGGTCTTCCTTGTTGACCCGGGCCTTCTTGGTCTCGCTCAGCTCATCCGCGAAGATGTTCAGCATCAACTCGCTGTCGCTGTCGGTGTTGATGTGACGGTGTGCCTCAAGGTCGAGGTATTTCTTCAACTCGGGGGCATTGATCAGATTGCCGTTGTGGGCAAAGCAGATGCCGTACGGGCTGTTCACGTAAAACGGCTGCGCTTCAGCATTGGCACTGCTGCCGGCGGTCGGGTATCGCAGGTGTGCGATACCCATCGAGCCGGGCAGATTGGCCACCTTGGCACCATCCTGGAAGACCTTGGCAGCCATGCCGTTGGCCTTGAGCTGGTAGATGCGACCCCCAGAGGCACAGGTTGCGATTCCGGCGGCATCCTGACCACGGTCTGTAACATGACATAGATATACATCAGCAATTGTCTTCCAAACACCTTCAGATCATTGTGACTTACGCTGGAGGAGGTAGAGTGCCTCGTGGAGATCGATGGCGGCGGCCGACGAGGGGTTCGCCTGGATCAGAGCAATGATGCCACACATCCTGACTCGGGGGAGGGTTCCTGTCACGATCGAGGTGGTCAGCACCAGAATTGCCAATAAGCTTGTGTGTCATTGTGGAAGTGCAAGTCATCGATCAGATCGGGTGTTCTCCGCAAAAATGCTTAGGAAGTCTAACATCTATAAAAAAAACCGAAATTCATCATAGAGGGGGATGGTGGGGTGGTGTTGATGAAGACAGGCAATACTCACCAAGAACCAGAGGATAGTTAAAGTGCAGATCAAGGACAGGCGGGCAGTCACCAGGCAGTCCCAAGAGACCCAGGAGCAAGAAGAGGAAGAGGAGGGCCCATCGTAGTGAATTTGTTCCACCTTTTTGGCTCAGCAGGCAAATTTTTCGGTCCGGTGCCGGGGCTGACTCAGCCGGGTCACGTGGGGATGGCTGAAGTATAACCGACTGAATAAGGGAGGAAAGCACAACACACAACACAACAACTTCTAACATCATACAATTCTTCACGATGGTTCAACAGAAGAGGATGGTTAACATCATGGTGTCTCCAGGCACATCATATGTGCACTACTGGATGTGGGCAATTTTCTATGCCAACCGCGCTTTGTTGCTTGTGAGAGCGAGGAGACTTGAAAGAAAGAATGAATGAAGCAGGCAGATTTGAGGAGGGTTGCTCCAGCAGTAACATCATCTGATCTCTTCTTCTATTCTGAATTTTGTAACCATCCTTTTTCAAGAACCATCTCATTGCTATCACTTACCTCCGTCTCATCCATGAATTGGGTACAATCTGAAAGATCTCATCAAGGACGCAGGTACATTGCCAAGCCCAAACCATCTTCTCCTTGGCCTCAGGATTGTGCCAGGCAGGAGGGCATGTCTTATCGGCACCTTTGTCCTTCAACTGACGCGCCATCGCATCAGACATCTCGAGACATGGAGACAGACCCATCAGTGACTATGAGCATCTTTATTGATACTGGAAACTGCTGGACTCAGAGCCAACCTGTAGCAATTGGTAATCCTCATCTCCCTGACACTGACCCTCCTTCTCTAACGATGAACACTTTGCAGCCGAACATGTCTCAACCGAGCAGACCAATTCTCGGGACTCCATCGAAATCATCGATCTTACTTTAGAAGACGAAGTTGAGATTGCCCTGCCTGACAAGCTCACTCGCGAATGTCGCATCGGTGGTTTTAATCTCGCCGACTTCCTGACAGATGACCAGTACATCCAATACTTGGAGCAGCTGAAACAGTTGGAACAGCAGCCAAAGGAAATCTCCGAGGTTGTGGTTGACTACGTGGTCTACAAACCGGGGGTCTCAGTGCTACTGCAGGATGATTCTTTTCTGCGCATTGAGAAGGTGCTGCAGAAGGGCGAGGAAGTGATCTTTCATGGGCGCTATCTTCTTGCGAACACTGACCCTCGCGTCAAGAACCATATCGAACATGGCATCCCGAAGAAATACTACGAGCTTGTCTGGATTGCTCACGAGAATGAGCTCATGCCTCTGAAACAGGTCAAAAGGATTTGCAATATTCGTTTTACGAACCTCCGCACCACCATCAATCATACCGATTTGATCTGCCGCCTAAAGCTCACCTTCATGCCCAAGAATGTCGCTTGCACTACGAAGGACGAGTATGCCATCGAGTACCTCCGCTATGAGGAGGCAGATGAAGGCTGCCGGATGAGTTCGGCTGATCTGCGAACTCAATGGCGTGGTCATACAGTATCATTCGGCGAAGCCGAGGTATCGCCTTCTCTCTCAGCGCCGACCGACCTAGACAATTCCACAAATTCCGTCGTTGACCTCACCGACGAGGCAACCCGCACATATACTTTCGGTGACGCTTTCTGCGGTGCTGGTGGTCTGTCATGTGGAGCTCGAGAAGCAGGTCTGAGGATCCGATGGGCGTTCGATCTGAGTACACACGCCATTACTACGTACGGGCGGAACTTTCCCGACGTCTTGCTGGAGAATGCATCGATCTATGACTTTTTAACCAACGATGATGCGTTTCTCAGAGTCGATGTCCTTCATTGCTCTCCGCCCTGCCAGCCATTCTCACCTGCACACACCATCAATTGCGATCGTGACGACGCCAACTCCGCGTGCGTGTTCTCTTGCGACAACCTGCTTCGAGCGAAACCGCGAGTTGTAACCATTGAAGAGACCCACGGTTTAGCAGAGAGACATAAGCTCGTGTTCGGAAGAGTCATTCTCGACCTTGTGGAGAATGGATATTCAGTGCGTTGGGCAATTCTGGATTGTCTGAACTATGGAGTTCCGCAGTCACGCAAGCGACTATGCATCATCGCCGCTGGGTAAGATAAAACAATTCAACTTCTGTCCTTTCACCACTAATACAGCCCGTTTCATAGACCCGGCGAAGCTCTCCCACCACTCCCTCCTCCGACACATGGAGATAGAGAAGATCTTCAGCCGTTTGCCTCAATCTACTCCGCCATCCACAACATCCCCGACGATGCAGGTGACCATGACATCCCTGCAGCTCTTGAGCGCTACCGACTGCTAGGATATCGCGATCCTTACGACGAACATGGCCCAGCAAGAACCATCACCTGCGGCGGAGGCGAATTCAACTACCACCCAACCGGGAAGAGAGTCTTTACGACCCGGGAGTTTGCGTGCCTACAAACTTTTCCACTGGAATTCCAGTTCTCGGAGCGAGAATCGCGCAAGCAGATTGGCAATGCTGTGCCGCCCCGATTCGCGGCTGCGATTTACAAGCAGATCTACAATTCGCTGAGGGAGACGGACCGCAGGGAGTCTTTGGGCGATACAAAGTCTCTTGGAGAGGCTTTGAGTTGGGTGCCTACATGAGTGGTTTTTAAAATTGGTTCTTTGATTCTTAGATTACAATGCAGTTAATCTGAGAAGGACGGGTGCCTTCTGAAAGCTGAACAATTTTACCCCACCCAGGATTTGAGCTGCAGATTCGAGATGGATGATCTTCGTCTGGTTGATAGCGACATGAATGTTGAATATATCTTGAATCATATCCCACAAAGTTGGATAGCACCTTACATGGTGAGATAGCTCTACCCCGACGCACCAGACGTACAGGTTACCCCCAGATCCGAGGGTGTATTCGCACACTGAACCTCCCCCGCTCCTGACGGTGACTTCACCGTATAATCGGTGACAGTAACGCCGCAAGTCCCGTCAGCGCCACAGTCCAGATTGCCAGTGACAGGGTCGTAGCTGGTACTGGTCGTTCCACTGAACGCATTGAAAACTATATCCGTCAAGTCCGCGTCTCCGGGATATTCTTCGCAATAGCTTTCATCTTCACCATAGCAGCTCTGTATCTGGATCGCATAGTCACAATTCTCGACTGTGATATCCGTCCATGTCACGTTCGTCACTGTCGATGTGCCATGGCTTCCGCCCGAGGGATAGGTTTTGATGCCTGCTGCTTTGGTGGAGTTTATCATCGTCGCACCGGAGACGTATACGTTCTTGACGGTGTCATCTGAGCTCTTGCCTAGTGATCCAACGGAGAGGCCGTGCGATCCGGTACAGGTGATCTCGGTCACGGTGACTCCGTCTGCACCGGGTTTGAACGCCACGCAGTCGTCGTCATTGGTCACTTTGATATTGCTAAGTGTGACTGAAGTGCTGTCGCCGATGTCGAATCCATCGGTGTTCTTGGGTGGATTATCGCTGTTGGAGGTGGCGTCCAGCTCCAGATCTGAGAAGACTACATTCGTAGAGCCGCCTTTAAGAGAATTGAAAACATTCGGCGGGTTCTTCTGTCGGAAACCTGATACTTGGATGTTAGATCCGCCTGTGATGTACAGCAATGTCGGGCGCTGGTAGCTGCTATCTTCCGCGAAGAGATCGTAGCTAGCGCGAAGCGTCAGAATTTGATTACGAAAACACACGATACGAAGAAGGAAAAAGGAGATACATACGCATCCTGTCCATTCCCATCAATAACCCCATCCCCCGTCACAGAGCGAATCTTAATCCCATCAATATCCTCAACATTCATCATGGCCGTCCGCCCTCCCCAGTAACTCGTCGATGAACTGAATTTGAGTAGTCCCTCGACCTGAAAGTCACACCCGCTGCATCCAGAGAAATCGAGTACGCTGTTCAGATAATATGTACTACCGGACGGTATAACAATCGTACCGCCATCGCCGCAGGATTGAATTGCAGATGTGATGGCAGGGACGTCGTCGGTGGATTCGGACCCGCCTGCCGTTGGGGTGCAGGTTGATGAACGGGCGTGGAGGGTACGTGATGGGTTTGGGTGCGCTAGTGTAAGGGTGAAGATTGTGAGAACTATGAGGGTTTTTAGGTTGGAAGTTATCATGATGTTAAGAAACGTTATTGTGGTATTATGGTTTAGGGAATTTCCTCTCATAGACAAGTTTGTACGACCATGACTTTATATACACCTCGAATTGGGAGAAATCGTAGGAGTACCAGCCTGGTAATCAATACTAAATCAAGCACGGAGAAGTGGGTTGAACATATGAAACCGTACATGGGATACTAGCTTCGTGATTCGAGGAATATCTTGATCGGTGATCGCCTTGTCCTTGTCGATCAGCTTGGCGTATGTATTGCTACTCGGGAATTTCGCGAGAACAGGGAGAGGTACGCTCTTTCTGATTTATGGAAAGAGAGTGCATATTACATATTTGCTTTCTGGTTGCAGGACGCATTTGTTGCATATCCCGGACATCCTTGAAAAATGACGTCCCGGCGGGGGTCCGTACTCCCGTAAGCCCTGTATGCAGCAGAGGCTTCGGGACTTAACATGCATGAGTTGTTTCATATGGAAATATATTGTCCCGATTTGCGGAGTGTGGAGGAACTGGGGCACTGATGCAGCAGACGTGGCTTTATAACTCCGACATGAAGAATCTGATGCAGGAATAAACCTGGCAACTCGGTGGTCTCGCCGTGTAGGTTTGGGGTGCCACCTGATTCAATCAACTATTTAAATTCATCGATACTGCATGAAGGCTCATTCTAGTAGCGTTAAACTCAACAATAATCGACCGACGGCATCTTTGGAAGCTTCATACTGCTCTCCACGATGCAGCTGTATACACTTATCACAACTCTCGCCCTCTGTGGCGCTGTCACCGCCGCCCCGGCAAGTCTCCATCGCCGCACTGGCAGAACAAGTGCACCCTCAGGATGTCTCACTGTCGGATCTGGGGGAACGTACTCAACTATCGGGGATGCATTGGACGCACTGGGCTCGTCTTCTGATGCAGCCTGCGTCTATATTGCCAGTGGCACCTATGAAGAACAGCTTACCATTGACTATAACGGAAACCTAACCTTGTACGGTGAGACAACTGACACGGGGACCTATAAAGACAATACGGTGACTATCACGCATACTATCTCCTCCGAAGAAGCAGGGTCACTGGACTTGAGTTCCACTGTCAATGTGGTTGCTGCCAATTTCAAGATGTATAATATCAACGTGGTAAATGGATACGGCGAGGGAGCACAGGCTGTCGCGTGGGTTTATTTGCCCTATGTTATATCTACTACAGCTGACATCCTGTGTGATAGTCTCACTAGCAACGCTGACCGGCTTGGATTCTACGGTTGTCAATTCTCCGGATACCAGGATACACTGTATGCCAAGGCAGGAACACAGTATTATTCAAATTGCTTGGTTGAAGGTAATTTTTCCCACCTTTTCACTTTGCCTCCTCTTCTAGCATATAGCACTTGCTCACTTCCTTATCCTCTCCAGGGGCCGTGGACTACATATTCGGTGATGCCTCCGCCTGGTTCGGCGAATGTGACATAGTCTCCAACGGTGCTGGCGCAATAACTGCCAACTCACGAGAGACAACCAGTGACACTGCATGGTATTGTATTGACAGCAGCACTGTCAACGCCGCTTCAGGCACCAGCCTCGAGGGCGAGGTCTATCTTGGAAGGCCCTGGAGAGTGCTTGCTCGTGTGATCTATCAGAACTCGGAACTTGGGAGCTTGATAAATGCTAAAGGGTGGACCACAATGGCTGAGGGGGCGACGCCGCTGTTTTATGAGTACAATAACAGTGGTGACGGTTCGGATACATCTGGAAGGGAGTATGAGACTTCCATATCGGCGGCTGTAACAAAGACCACGGTTCTTGGGAGTGATTGGGGAGATTGGACTGATCGAACTTATTGATGTTACGCCTGGGAGAGAACGGGTTTCTGGATATAGCGTAGTACCATTCCAATTCTTCACTTCACATGCGATAGTTAAACCTTTAAATCCGGTAGGAGGGCCATCAGGTATCAGTTGCCAAGGTATGGATGAACACATCTTTGCTGCCGGCATTACTGTGAATGAAGTATTGAATTACTTGTTCTTCTTCTGTTTACATGTCTCAAAAATTGTACATGGTTCGGTACGGAAAGCGTTTGGGCTAGACTGGTCGCTGTCAATGTATGGAGGGCAGATCTATTGAATGGATTTGACAAAAACGATGTCCTAGCTCCAAGGGTACCAAATGCCTGGTGAGATTTTTGATAAAATAAAAACAGCATCAGATCTTCGGGTTTCCTCGTTGTGTCCGTTTTCTCTCTTTCTGGATTTTCTTTTTCAGACATAAGAAGTGTCCACCCAGTCGGCGTAATCACTCCCCAAGATAGTGCTGATAGAAATTGCCGATGACAACTTGGTCGAAAAACTGGCACGAGTACCACTTGCTCCGGCACCGGTATTATCATATTCCTGGAATGTCACATCTTCCGTGTTAGGCTCGCTGGTGCTCCACTCGGACCAGCCGGCTGGGTTAATGATATCGGATAGCGATGTCCCCTGGAAACAGACAGTGGCATATTCAGACCATGGCCGGCCGAGATAGACGGTCTCAGCATTGACGGTAAAACCGGAGGCAGCGGCTACTGTGGACTCGTCGATGACATAGTAGCTCACATCCGAAGAGCTCGAGCGGCCGTTAGCAGTGATGCAACCGCCACCAGCGCTGACGCCGATATCGCTCTTGGTGACCCATATCCTAGCGTGTTGTCCAAAGATAAAATCAACGGCACCTTGGATGTAGCAATAGCCGTAGACCTGCTTGCCGGTCTCGGCCAGAAGGGTATCCTGGTAGCCGTAGAGGCCGACACCATAGTAGCCCTGCTGGGTGTTATACGCAGAAAGGGCAATTGCCTGGCTCCCTTCGCCGTAGGTATTCTTGATGTTGATGTTGTATACTGCTACGTTTGGAGATAAATTGATGAGGGCGGCGGTCTCCTCATCATTGGCAGCACCGCTGGCCAGGCTAGAGTCCCACTCTAAATTCACCACATTGTCGGCATAGGTTGCAGTATTAGTTGTATATCCGTAAATAGTGAGCTTCCCAGACAAAACCGGAATAGTGACCTGCTCGGTATAGGTACCACTATAGATGAAAATACTATGAGCCGAAGTCGACGAAGTCGAAATCGAGCTCACTGCTGCTTGGATCTGGCCCTCCAGTCAGCTCAAATCTCTAACTGAATTTGGAAGATACCACTCACAGTAGAATAATTGCACCCCGAGGAACACACTGTAATACTTCCACTTGGTGGTGAGGTGCGGCTAGTGGCAAGGGCGCCACTAATAGTGCACAAGAAGACTGGAAAGAACCGCATGGTGCTTGATGACCGCAGTTATTTGCGTACTCTGCCGTTTGTATGTTGTGAGAAGTTGATTTTTCTTCGTTCTCGTTTACACCGTCAACCTGACCATTCTCAACGAAAACATGAGGTAAAGGCCGTATTTAAGATCCGATGTTGAAGGGGCTCTGAAGGAGAGCGATAATATGCAATTGGTGGAAATAGTATCAAACATTGTCGCTTCTTCAAGGCGGTACGAACAATTACATTTGGAAGGCAAATTATTTGTAGTTTCGTCATGAGAATGGGTGTATTCAGCAACCGAACCTTGAGTGATCAAGCAACTCAAGCCGATACAATCCCAAATAACAACCTACCCCTCTCTCAGCATGTCAAATGAGGATATAATTACCGACATATTAGCACTTGTATGATAAGGAGAAATGCGAAGATGTGACGTCGTCATGTGTGTGGCTTGAAAAGCTGCGATTCCGTCTGATTTCTGAGGGTGTAGAGGATGCCTCGCATTAATAAAAGACTGGTGGTAAAAAGAAACACCGGGGTTAGGCCACAAAGATTCAGGAAGCGACGATCGGACATTCTTGAAACAAAACGCGGGACGTCTAACAATTGGACGGGATATCTTAATAGGCTAACCGCTACCCCAGTTTGTCTGGGGTAGAGTGGCACAAGTAGTTTCGTTAGCTCCGGCGGGGAAATTCTTCCCATTGGCGGCTTTGTACATAAGCTATGCTGCAGAACCATCCTCCCAGCTTAAATTGTTTAGAGATACTTTATTCAGGCACGGCATTATTTAGTACCGATTAATTTCTGTCAGAAAAGGTTGTGAAAACTTCATTTATTGGAGGATAAACGAGGAACTCCTGTGCGGAAATACCGGAAGCACTTTTCCTTGCCTGAGAGACAACCATCTAGCCCTGCCTCCTCTATATAGGGCGGCCTGCTCCTACTTATCAGCAGAAAAAAAGCAATTACCTAAAAATATTAACAAGGAAGCTCATACATCTCGAGTCGCAATGCCCAAGCTCATCAGTGCCTTAGTGTTTACTGCCCTGGCAGCGTGCGCGCTGGCTTCACCAATTGCCGAGCCCGCTGTCACGGAGGCTCCGAATGCAAATCTAGCAAAAAGAGCTACGAGTTGCACGTTCTCGGGATCTAATGGGGCCTCTTCTGCGAGTGCTAGTCAGAAGTCATGCTCTACAATTGTCCTGTCAAGTATCGCTGTGCCCTCCGGTGTAACTCTTGATCTCAGTGATCTGGAAGACGATACCACGGTAAGGCCAAGCAAATATGCGCTACTCACTTCACTATAGTTTTCCTTATTTTCGTTTTCCGTCTTTGCCGATTTGGCTTTGTTTTTTTGACTGTGCTAAGTAAACATCCATAGGTCATTTTCGAGGGCGAGACTACTTGGGGTTATGAGGAATGGGATGGACCTCTGCTTCAAATATCGGGTAATAAAATTACCATCGAAGGTGCTAGCGGTGCTTACCTGAACCCTGATGGATCGCGTTGGTGGGATGGCGAGGGTGGCAACGGTGGAAAGACGAAGCCTAAGTTCTTCTATGCCCATGATTTGACATCGTCAACCATCACGAACCTTTACATTGAGAACACACCAGTCCAGGCTGTGAGTATTGACAATGCCAATGGCTTGACTATCACGGATATGACAATCAACAATGAAGCTGGCGATACTGCAGGGGGTGCCAATACCGACGGATTTGATATTGGCGACAGCACTAACGTCGTGATTACGGGTGCCAATGTGTATAACCAGGACGACTGCGTTGCAGTTAACTCGGGAACGGTATGTCATCAAAAAAGATCAACTATAATTAAAGTGCTTACACTTCCGCTAGGACATCACATTCGAGAATGGAGTTTGCAGTGGAGGTCATGGGTTGTCCATTGGAAGCGTTGGAGGAAGAAGCGATAATACCGTAAGCACGGTAACCTTCAAAAATTCAGAAGTCAAAAGCTCTGTCAATGGTAAGGAAGCACGCGAGTTATGCCCTCTGAACGTTTCTGAGCTAACAAAATACAAATCGCAGGTATCCGCATTAAAGCTACGGAGGGAGACACTGGAGAGATCACCGGCGTGACCTACAGCGAAATCACGTTGAGTTCTATCTCCGGGTAAGCCCAAAAGTGATATGCACTTTAGCACTATGGGTATTAACAGCATTCCAGTTACGGTATTCTCATTGAGCAAAACTATGATGGTGGCGATCTCAAGGGAAGTCCGACAAGCGGCATTCCTATCACAGATTTGACTCTCGATAATGTCTCTGGCAGCGATGGAGTTGATTCGAGTGCTTACAATATCGTCATTGTCTGTGGCAGTGGTGCCTGCTCTGATTGGACTTGGACTGACGTTACTGTTACTGGAGGTAAAACATACAGCAGCTGTGAGAACGTTCCTTCGGGCATCAGCTGCTAGTGAGCGCCGTGGGGGTTCAATCCAGGTTGTGGTCTGTAAATACTGACCAATTGATTTTACTCAATATGAATATTTCTAGCTGTCAAACAAGCACCCGCAGATGCAGGGCGCGTAGAACAGGAGCTTTTCTGACGTATTCCCCACCCGCCACTTATTTGTTTTCTTTCTCTAGATCTGCAGCCCACAAGGCCGCTCCAACGGTATTTGTGAATGAAAAAAATATAGAGGCAAATGGGACCATCTCAAGCGCAAATGCTGCAATGCCTAGTCTGGGAGTTTGTTAATATCATGTACTAACCTTAGAGTAACGAGAATCAAAAAGATATAACTTACCCTGTGTATGCACCTCGGTTTTTTGTAACCCATTCATCCCGCTTGGTAGAGTCCCATCCTTTTAGCTGGAAGTAGCGCGCATGTAGACCCGGACCAACCCTCTTACCCTGCACACCTACGTATAGAACCGTTCCGACAACAGGGATGAGGTTCAAGGGCAAGTAGATCAATGATCGCAGAAGCGCCTCTGGCCTCATACGAGCGAGGGGTCGAGTCAGAGTCTTTCCTAACCTTGCCACAGCGGCCCTCCCTCCCGATGGAGATTTTATTTGTCGTCCTTGTGCGACAAGAGACTCCTGGTCGCGAGCTATGAGGGTGCCATCAAAAGTATCAAGGAGAGCATCCCCAACTAGGAAAGAGCGCGAAAGGAGGTTCGTGATGGTGGAACTTTCGGTCAAAACGAGCAAGCCTGCAGAGATAGCGGCCAATGGGCCACTGGTAAAGGCCATGATGGCCAATTGAGGCACATAGGTGAAGAAGAACATAAATGTCGTGACGCCCATCCCTAGACTGATAGTCCGCCCAGCACGGGAGATAAAAGGGTCCCATAGATCTTTATGGGTTGCAAAATAGATTATACCCTAATCGTTTTATTCAATTCAGGTTCCAACTTGCGATAGACTGACTTCATAGTAAAGGGGGCTTGCTTACCTTGAACGGATAAAGGTACGCGCCGGACTTGACAACATCTTGAGAGGCTGCCTTGACGTCCTTGGCCTCAGTGATGACTGCTTCTTTAACTCTGTCGGACATAGCGAAGTCAACGTTTTGTGCCTTCAAGATGGGAAATGGTGTTGAAACAGGGTGAACGAGGGGATTCGAGGAAGTCCCACCTCAGGGAAATAATGACGTCATCAACCATCAAACTACCACTCATGCGACTTCATTGTTTTCATACCAGTCAACCCTTTTGAACCGTTGGAGTACAGTCAAAATACCGCTATTATCGTATAAGCTTTTATAGTAAATGGACAAGAAAAACATAGCCCAAATTGTAGCGCCTTATGAGCGAGATGAATATACGCTGTACGAGCAGTCATTCTTGGTACATGGCAGACCACTCTCTTTCCCAATCAGCAGAAGATAGGACCCTATACAAATATATAGTTCAAATCCGGGAGATTCGCCAGATCGAATCACTTCCGCTCGGTCGGTTTGCGCAAACTTTGCTAACGGTCACGGGATCACAGGCAGGACTGTCAACCACGAAAATCTACAGGGATTTAAGACAGCTTCTTACCATATTTAAAGTCCTCTATTATAACTGAGTTTTACGTGGCTATCATCTGCCTGGCACGTCGCGAAACGAAGTTTTGACTGGATGTTTAACCTCCTGGGAAAATATTATCTGAGAGGTTTGGCGTCTTTGGAGACTCATATCAGGCATCACATCCGAGTTTGAACTAAGAGCAAAGGAGATTCGTGCAAACGAATATAACAAGAAAACATTGACTGTGGCTCAAACTTAAACAAGACACCCATAATTCGTCTCAAGTCATCCATGAGAGAGGCTGTTGACGGGATTGAGCTTGTTATGGCAAAATATACCAATTCTTACGTTAATCTGGGTATTTTCGAATGGTAAAAGGAGCTCTTTGCTGATAATGCTCGTGCTGTTGGCCCCCGATTGCCTTGAAACTCACATTTTCTCGGGTATTCTCGGGCGTAGAATAGGGATGTCGTGAATGAACCAGAGTAGCTGGAATTAATGCGATCGCGTCATACCTGGAATAGGTAATTAATTAGTGACAAACTGGTGCTTGTTAGCGGCTAGGTCGGTAATACTAGAAATTGGGACGAATGTAGCGAGCAACCTTTTGATCAAGATGAGTTTCTCGTATAATGAATAAGCTCTGTGGGACCCCTCCACTTGTCAACAACTCTCGGGTGGATCTGCAATGGTGCGATTTTCACGCTGATGGCATCATTCATCGCCTAGTGCTTCAGACCAATTAACCTCAATCGTTGCCGCCCGTAGATAATATTATATGGGCTAGACCCACGGAAACCACGCAGCGGAGTCTCCCGCTTTAACGTTAAAGAAAAGCGGCAGCCAATCCCCATACCTCGCTTGCAGCAGTTTGTGTACAGAATAGTGTGTAGCTTTCCCCACACCACATGTTGGCTGAAACTGTCCACAGTATGTGGCGCACGGAAGAAGTGTTCAATCGCTGTCCTGCCTATTCCTGCCTATTTTAAATCGTTGTGTCTGCGGCTCACAGTCAATGTTCTGGGACACTTTGACATGGCATCTTTTTGGTTTCCGATCACGCAAGACGCCACCAAAATCTAAGTTCGTACTTACCGAGATTGATCTTTCAATGTAGGAATCGCGCTATATATTTTCTCTTCTTCCCTTCCCTATTCTGGATTCCGCACCTACAGCCTCCTTCGATTCCTACGTTCGCTGTGCGCTGCCCGTTCGTCCAGCGCGCCAGGAAACACGGGAGAGAAAATGTCTACTAAAATTGGGCATACCCTAGCCAAGGGCCTTGGGATTCAGCTGGCTCCCTATGAAGATGCTGCCAATGACCCAGTCACACGCGGAGAGTCGGCATTCTCTGTTGGCACCATGGACACATCCCCATACCAGGAGCTGGAGCCCTCCAGCGGCGAGTGGATCCGCGAACACACTCCATCATTATCTGATGTCGGCTTGTATTTCTACAATCTATTCCCCTTTACGCGCTGGATTGGTCACTACAACACCCAATGGCTGATTGGAGACTTGATTGCTGGTAAGTTTTGGCGCATGGTTATCAAATAATTCGCTGATGAGATTGTAGGCATAACCGTGGGAGGTGTGGTCATCCCGCAGGGCATGTCTTATGCTAAGCTCGCGAATCTGCCCGTGGAATTTGGTCTATATACCTCCTTCATGGGGGTTCTCATCTACTGGTTTTTTGCTACATCCAAGGATATCACTATCGGTGTAAGTGCTGAAGATGAAAAAGGACGAAAGTCTAAGAAGTTGTTACTGACTCAGATTACATGTAGCCCGTCGCAGTAATGTCAACGTTAACCGGAGAAATTATTACGAATGTTCAAAATCAGATCCCGGATGCTTCGCCTATCATAATCGCTCAGGCCCTCGCGATAATCAGCGGCGGTATTGTCTGCTTTCTGGGGCTAGCTCGGCTCGGAATCCTCGTCGACTTCATTCCACTGCCAGCCATTTCGTCTTTCATGACAGGATCGGCACTAAATATCGGCGCGGGACAGGTAGCAAACTTGTTAGGAGAAACTGCCAAGTTCAACACGCACGGTTCGACCTACATGATTATCATCGATAGCCTTCGTTATCTTCCCACTGCACAAGTGGATGCCGCTATGGGTCTGACAGCTTTAGCCATGCTATATGGAATCCGGTCAGCCTGCAATTACGGAGCGCGAAAAAACCCGCATCGTGCCAAGCTCTTCTTCTTTCTCTCGACGCTCCGCGTCGTCTTCGTGATTCTGTTTTACACCATGATCAGCGCGGCAGTGAACTTGCATCGGAAAGACAACCCAGCATTCTCGGTTCTCGGCACCGTTCCCCGGGGATTCCAAGATGCTGGTGTTCCTCAAATGGACCCTAAGATCATCCGCGCTTTCGTGTCTCAACTACCGGCTGCGGTAATTGTTCTTCTTATAGAACATATTTCCATTTCTAAGTCATTTGGAAGGGTCAATAATTATACTATCAACCCTTCGCAGGAGCTAGTCGGCATTGGGGTGACAAATCTGCTCGGTCCCTTCCTTGGTGCCTACCCTGCAACCGGATCCTTCTCCCGCACCGCCATCAAGTCTAAGGCTGGTGTCCGCACGCCTTTGGCTGGAGTTATCACGGCAATTGTTGTGCTATTAGCCATCTACGCGCTCCCGCCTTTATTCTTCTATATCCCACAAGCATCTCTCTCAGGGGTCATCATTCATGCTGTCGGTGACCTGATTACGCCGCCGAACACGGTATATCAGTTTTGGAGGGTTTCTCCGATTGACTGCATCATCTTCTGGATTGGTGTGCTTGTCACGACTTTCACCACCATTGAAATTGGCATCTATTGCACAATCTGCGTTTCGCTGGCAGTTTTCCTTTTCCGGACAGCTCGGGCTAACGGGCAATTCCTAGGCCGAGTATCAATCCACTCGGTTGTTGGAGACCACCTGATAAACAGCGATGAGAAATCTGCGGGCTTGCAAACCCCTCCATCTCCACCGGACGAGAATGACTACCAGCGATCTATCTTCCTCCCCATGAATCACGTCGATGGCTCCAATCCGGAGGTCGAGGTGAAGCAACCCTTCCCAGGCGTGTTCATCTATCGATTCACAGAGGGATTCAACTACCCTAACACCAATCACTACACTGATTCCTTGGTGCAAACCATTTTCCAGACTACGAGACGGACAAACCAGCAGGCCTATCTCCGACCGGGTGACCGACCGTGGAACGACGTAGATCCTGGGATCGGCAAGAATGGGGTTGGCCGTGACGTCCACCTACCACTTTTACAAGCCGTTATACTGGACTTTTCGTCTGTGAATAATGTGGATATCACATCGGTCCAGAATTTGATAGACGTTCGCAACCAATTGGACCGCTGGGCATCACCACGGACAGTGCAATGGCACTTTGCGCATATCAACAACAGGTGGACAAAGAGAGCTCTCGCTGCAGCTGGATTTGGATATCCGAGCCCGACATCAACTGATGGCTTCCATCGTTGGAAGCCTATCTTCAGTGTGGCTGAGATTGAGGGCGATTCATCGGCTGCTGCGCATGCTGAAATTTCCACCAACCAGCGCCAATCCAAGGTTTCAGACCTGGAAGCCAACACGAAGACCGTAGTGTCCGCTAGCGGAGTGGAGGAGTGGTCTGATGGAAGTGGTAATGGTCAAGAGAAGAAGTTGGCAGACGACATCAGCGTCAGCAAGGTCAGGAACCGCAAAGCTGCCGTTATTCAGGGCATGAATCGTCCCTTCTTCCACATCGATCTGACCAGCGCCCTTCAAAGCGCGGTGGCCAATATTCCTGAGGAGACCTTATCCAAGGAATGATTTAATGTTTGTATAATGTGGTTGTATCGGCTGTGGTTCTCGTTTGCTTAAGTGTCAAGAAGACTTGATATATTCCCAATCCGAAGTGATCTAATCGATTACTATTAATTTTAAAATTGAAAACACACTTCATGACAAAAATTGTATAAGTTGTTAGCATTTGACCGCCAGGATACGTTTCGATGTGGTCCATCGCACCTTCGTACGTGAATTTCCAATCAGCCCCAGGCGTATTTATATATTTTCGAGGTATTGTACTATCAAGGTCCAAGGTGGAAGGTTCAAGGTCTTGAACAAGTCCGGGTCCCGCATCACTCTTCGAAATGGCCAGCAACATGATGCGCTACGGCGGCTTCATCGCCTTCAAATGCGCCGCACACAGGACATGACGCGATTGCCGTTGTTGTCTGGAGAATGCCCGTTGTGTCCATCATCTCATCATCTCTCTCATTCAAACTCTGTCGCGTTTGTGTCTTTTGGCCCCGCTTATTTCCCTTAGGAGGTCGTATATACATGTCTAGGCCAAGGGGTTCCGATGAAGGCTCTTCAGGGCCGTCCAGGCGCATATCCTGCGCAGCGAAACGATTGCGTCTTCCACTCGGATCGCCTCCCTCTGTTCTTAGTTGTATGCCCCCTTCCCTTACGTCGGCTTCCTCTTGCATCGAGTCGGTTAGCTCGTCACCGCTCCGTAGACTCTGTACCCTTCCGACGCGCCCGTCAGCGAGGCGCACTTTGACGCCCCGCGGATGGTCCCCGCGCGTGAGTACTTCACCCACTGTCCCTGATACCGTGTGCCCGGTTGGCTGGTCGACCTTGAGGATAATGTTGACAGGTGTCCCGGGGTTGATGGATTTTGAGGGAGGCACGCGCGGGTGAGAGGGGCGCGACCGGCCAGGCCCGCCATATCGTTTTTGGCGATTCATTCTTGTAGTCGGATCTGGGATGGTATGGGCGGCGCGTAGTGATTCGTTGATGGGACGCGGATTATGTTACGTGATCGCATTATTGTCGCCTGGAGAATCAGGTGACACAGTCTTTTCTTTATCACGAACGGAAAGAGCTAGCCACGGGGCGCCAGACATTTATCCTGTGTATATGCATGGACTACATGGTTCAACTAACGAGGGATTCTTGAGAAGATTTCCAAAATAGGACTAGAGCATGTCAAATAAGGGCGTGGAAAACAACGCGTGGGTAAGCAAGTTATCCTCGACATGGACGCACCGTCGTGGCCTGAACAACCTCCTCCATCTAAATCAAAATGACCGTCGACAGCCTTCATTTTCGTATTGCAACCCCAGACGATGCGGGGCAAGTTCAGCAACTTGTGCAATCGGCATTTCGCGCCGAAGACAGCAGACAAGAGTGGACTGCGCATGAGGAACTCAACTCGCGCTTTTCCATTGAACTCAAAGAGATCCTGGCCATAATCACCAACCCAGATTCCGCGTTTCTGATGGCCACCGACAACAATGCCACCTTTGTGGCCACCATCGGGGTTTCTAAGAAGGCTGCTGATCGCGGTCGCTTGTTTATGCTCGCAGTAGATCAGAAAGCCCAGCGCGGTGGTGTTGGACGCCAGGTACTTGCTTACGCTGAGGACTACTGTCAAAGGACTTGGGGCGTCACGAACCTCGGGTTGAACGCTCTTTCGACGCGCCAGAACCTGATTTTGTGGTACATACGCCGCGGCTACCGCAAGACTGGCGAAGAAACACCATTCCCTCGTGAGCACTTCAAAGATCTGGTGTTGCCGGATGACATGTGTTTTGTGGAGCTGGAGAAAAACTTAGGCGCAGTGCCTGTTGTGGAAGGACCTGCATGAAATCGGTGATAATGTTGTCCTGGCACACCAAGCCAATGGGAGTGAGACGGAAAACCTCGGCAAGAACAAGAAGAAGAGCACAACAACGCAACCAATATGGTGTTCTGACGGAAGATTTTTCATCTCACTGAAGCCAGGAGGTTGGGTTGCAATAGCTACGCTACCATACCTATATTGAGGCGCTACGATGTCAGGAAATGCGGCAGGTATTGGGGGTCGTGTTTACAGAGCTTTCTCTGAGGTTGATGGCCAAGTGCATTGTTCACGTCTTTGGGCACTAGTTTTTCTCTCAGGGTTTCTATTTTGCTCTTTATGAACAGTCGGAAGACGTCTTTCTGCAGATTCACATTGGTGAGACCTCAATAGGGCTCGTTAAATGTGTAGTAAGTTACTTGTAATTGATGTTCTGGCCAATTCACCCCCGTACGGCGAATTTCAGCCCAAAGTGGCTCCCAGATGAATATCGAATGTATGCGATGCGTTCAATTTCGTTATATTGTCCCAAATATCTCAAATCATCAACTCGATCTATTAACCATGCCATGGTTAAAACGAAGTAGGTGCGGTCGGATAATTCACTCGCTAGATAATTTGCCTTTCGCTGCAACCCCTATCTAACGACAACGTGCAGTGTACCTTGATCGCTACTGCACGCTCCATTTCAGGCACAACTCTTGCATGATGTCAAGGCTGGCATATTCCCCGAGACAAAGTGGATCCGCGGGAAGTTAAGCCACACTGAAGATAGCACATTTGTTCTCGCAAATTCTTCTCTGCCTGAGTTAGAAAGCGGATGTCTCCACTTCTCCAAGACAACTGCTGCTGATCGTTACTCGTATCTCCTATGAATTGATTTGTCCGAAACGACCCAGTCTCAGGGGTCGGCGCCCGATTCATCTTCTCAAGCCGTGTGTACCATTATTATTCTGCGCCCGATCCATCGTGTGTGGACTACACACGGCATAGTCCGCACAAAACAGACCGAATACGATTGCGATCATCTTACAATCCTGGTCCTCCAGATAAGTGTGGCGAAATCCCGGCCTGCAGAAGGTCGATCACTCCATCCCAGGCGCTAGCATTGGTGGAGACAAAACCGTGCCTTTCCCGATTAGGAGAGTGTCGTCCCTGGTTGAGATCATACATGGAGACCTAGGCAACAAGACATTGGCCACGGGTCCAGCTGGTCTCGTTCTATTGCTAAGTTTGGCCTTCGGGATGGAGCATTCCGCCTCGGAGGACGGAGGACGGAGGCGTGTCTCTGATGAGTGGCTAAGCTTAGCCACACGAGTGATATAATTTTTCTAGGCTCCATCGATGTCATTGGTACCTGATTCGATCGATGTTGATCGGCTCGAGAAGAATACATACCTGGACGGACTGTCCCGACAACGCAGCAAGGTATAAATCGCGTCTCCCGCCTGCTCAGATCTTTCTTTATCACGAATCAATAATAGACACATTCTTTCTTGTTGACAACTACCACTCTCTACATTTCATATTTCATTCAAGATGATGTTTTCCGCACTCTTTTCCATCATCCCTCTGGTCGCCGCTCTGCCGGCATCCCACCACTCGTCCAAGAGCTCCAATGGTGCCTTCGGTGTCATCGCGGCCCATTCCGGCTCTCCCATTCACCTTGAGCCTCTGACTGCGTCCGGCTCTAACTTCTGGCTGGGTGGCAAGTCTGCTACTTACTGTCCCTCGGAGGTCGTCCCCAACTGCCCCAATAGCACCGAGACCGTGATCTACGGCGAGCACTACTTGGTATGTATCCTCCATCCCACGATCATAGTCCAGAAATGACTAACACCTCAATCAGGATGTCGAGGTCCCTGGTGGACAGGCTATCTATGTTGACCCCCGTGGAGCTCTGCGTTTCACCCAGGCACACTCGGCCTACGAGCCTACTGGCTCCTCTCAGGGCCCCTTCGTGTACACCCCTCCCAGCAGCCCTAGCAGCTCCTTCGGTTACTGGTCCTATACCGGCTGGGGTGCCTCCGGCTTCATGGCCTGCCCTGTTCCGGCTAAGAACGCGACTGCTGCTCCGTTCCGTAGCCGTGCCGCCACCGCCGCTACCAAGTATCAGGTGTTCGCCGCGCTGCGCAATGCTACTGTTCCCACTGGCAATGTTAACGACTGCCTTGGCTTCGATGCCCTTGCTGTCCCAGCCAACTCCACCAAGGGTATGGCTTGGCAGTACGTCTAAATTGGATACGATTGAGACTTCATCGACTTCCGCATGAGATTGGAAAATAAGTCCCGATGCTTTTTTGTTATAGTCAATTGCAGGTGCGCAATTAGGTGGCTACTTGGAAAGACGGGCAAAAATAATGTATATTTATATCAAGTTTGCATCATGTGAGGTTACCATGATTTGATCATAACCACTGTCTGTCCTTAACAATATATATCCGCATTGTGGTGAATCCTCATTGTTCATTGACCCAAAAAGTACTTTCCAGTCTAAATCTGGACACTCATCTGCACTGGCTCTTGATATGTATAAAGGGTGATTCTCACCCGGTTTCTCGTCTTGTCTATTGCGCACTCACCAATACTTATTTGTACAGGCTAGCTATATTTCACATATCATTATAGTTAACTCCGAAACTGATACATACGACCACAGGGTGTGGAGAACAGGGCTTCCCGTCCGCTCAGCCGTACTTAAGCCACACGCCGGTCAGTTAGTAGTTGGGTGGGTGACCACCAGCGAATCCTGACTGTTGTATGTTTTTTTTTTTTGCCAATTGGCTTCCTAGCCGGCCACCAGCATCTACCAGATACAGTTCCTAGTATAACGAGCATCCCTGTTTGTACCACATAGTCGGACATCCCTTTCCAGCTTACTTGTCGACGATCTACACTAAGCAATGGGGGTTTCCCTTCACCGTAGGTATTGGAAAAAGATGGGCATGGAAGGAGACTGCTCGTTCTCCTTTACAAGATGAGATGAAATGTCAGCGTGAAGATGCAGAGAACTGGAACCAAGTTCAAAACCTCTTCGATTCGGTCGACCATGTGGTGAAAGGGATAGCTGGACCAGTCAATTGACGATTGAGATGCATGATGAGCTTTAGACGGGCCAGGGTTTGCCTGCATTGCCCGAACTGATGATTCTCCTCTCAGATAGACCCGGAATTATCTCTACTCAATCCAATGGCAGGAACTATCAAAGTGTGTGAACTTTTATATCAAGCACAGTAATAAGAAAAAAAGACAATTTGAAAGTATTCAATGCAGATTCAATGACTGTTGTACAACAATGCAAGCGCATAAACATAAAACAAAGGGAGGGATAGATCACGTCATGTCTTCTTCACCGGAAACAAGCAAGAGCGTAAGGAAAGGAAAGAAGGAAAAAGGGGTATTCATGATCATCAAGCTCGCCATGTCCAACGAGATCCCTCCTGCTCACAGCTTCGCAGCGGTACCAGCCGACGAGATCTCGTTGTACAACAAACTAGTCAAGAAATCCGCATAATCCTCACCCGTAACCTGACCGGCAAAATATTTCGCCGCAGTCTGATACTTATTCCCCTTCGGACCCTTCGACGCCAACGAATCAGCCTGCTCCTGCAGCAGACGCAGAGCGTAGGCCTTATCGACGCGCTTGCCTTCAGAAGTGGTCACGTTGTGGCGGGTCCACTGCCACAACTGCGAGCGGGATACTTCGGCAGTGGCGGCATCCTCCATGAGGAAGTTGATAGGCACGCAGCCAACCCCGCGCAGCCAGCCTTCCATGTAAGACAGGCCGATATTAAGGTTCTTGCGGATGCCGTCTTCGGTGATCTTGCCGGGGACGTTGGTATTTAGCAGGTCGTTAGCGGTGATGTTGACGACGTCTTCGCGGCGCTTGAATAGCTGGTTCGGCGTCGGCATGTGCTTGTTGAAGATCTCTGACGCGATTGCCGCCAGAGCCGGGTGCGCAACCCATGTGCCGTCATGTCCGGCGCGCACTTCCCGCAGCTTGTCGGCGCGCACGCTCTCCATGGCCTTGTCGTTCGCCGCGGGGTCGTTCTTCACGGGGATCTGGGCAGCCATGCCGCCCATTGCATGCACGCCGCGACGGTGGCAGGTTTTGATCAGCAGCTTGACGTACGCGTCCATGAAGGGGACAGTCATGGTCACGTCTGAGCGGTCGGGGAGGACAAAGTTCGGGTGGTTGCGGAACTTCTTGATGAAGGAGAAGATGTAGTCCCAACGGCCGCAGTTCAAACCCGAGGAGTGGTCGCGCAGCTCGTAGATGATCTCGTCCATTTCAAAGGCGGCGGTGATGGTTTCGATCAGCACCGTGCCGCGGATCGTACCGCGGGGAATCCTGATGTAGTCCTGGGAGAGGTTGAAGACGTCGTTCCACAGCCGGGCCTCCAGGTGGGATTCCATCTTGGGCAGGTAGAAGTATGGTCCGTGGCCGCGGGACACGAGCTCCTTTGCGTTGTGGAAGAAGTACAACCCGAAATCGAATAGGCCGCCGGAGATAGGCTCGCCGTCGACGGTGAAGTGCTTCTCGTCCAGGTGCCAGCCGCGGGCGCGGGCAATCAGTGTGGGAAGAGTGCGGTCGGTGCGCAGCTTATACTCCTTGCCGCCTTGCTTGAAGTCGACCTGGCGACGGATGGCGTCATACAGGTTAACCTGGCCGTTGATCATGTTGTCCCAGGTGGGAGCAGAAGAGTCTTCAAAGTCGGCCATGTAGGTCCAAACATCGGAGTTGAGGGCGTTGACGACCATCTTGCGGTCGGTCGGGCCGGTGATTTCCACGCGGCGGTCGACCAGGCCCGGCGCGGGGGGCGCGCCCTTCCAGGCATCGTTCTCGCGGATGTGCTTGGTCTCCGGTAGGAAGTCGGGCAGGTGACCGTTGTCGATGGCGGCCTGGCGGTCGACGCGGCGCTGGAGCAGGGCCTTGCGGGTGGGATTAAAGGTACGGTGCAGGATGGCCAGGAAGGCGCAAGCGTCCTTGGTCAGGATCTTGCGGGCGTCATTGGGGATGGCGCCGAGGATGGCGACATCCTTGAGGTGGGACTCGATTTGGGCCATTTTGGGAGAAGTGAGATGGGAGAGATAGGCGTAATGAGGAGCAGAAAGTGATGATTCAATCAACTATATACTCCGTACCCCCCACCGTTCCGGCTGTCCGACCTGCGGAGATGGAATACGTCAGAAGCAGAAACAACCGCGGCTACTCGCTCACCCGCCGACCCGATAGCTACCCAGCCAATGGCCAGCTCGGCCAGGGCTGACCGCCTAACCTGACCACCAGCCCTCTACAGTTCTCCGCGGGAAACTCCCCCTCCCTCTCGGCCGATGTTGACCTCTCTGCCCGGCTCCCGATCGGGATGCGCCGCAGCCCGAGTCCTCTCGGCCTGGTGAATGTGCGGTTTTCTGTCAGGGCCGACCGTGGGGTTTTATAGAATGGTCATTATGAAAAGGGGGGCCGGTGGGATGAGATCAACGATGCAGGGTGAGGTATGGCTGGCCATGGTTCTCGTGGGCTCCTAACTCTCCCGTGAGCGAGTCAAACCTAAGCCGCGGTTGATGCTATGGCCTCAGGCTGACTCCCCTGTCCGACTTGTTCCGGGAGGTGATGAGACACACTACATGTGATGCACATGTGATTACTCAAATCAAGAAATTGCCACTATTTACACTACATGGTATCATCTCATATCCTGTTAAACCGTCTCGATATAACGCCGCAGCTCCCTGCGAGGCTGTCAGTATATGTAATCCCAACAATGTAAATGGGATGGATCAACAAACCAGTCCGTCACGGCTTCCTCCCACAGCCGCACCTCGTGCTCCCGGGTCCCTCCAAAATGGTCGACAAAGGCATCTCCAAACACCTCCCGCGCGACGCTGTCCGGCCGCATGAATGTGGCCGTGGCCTCTTTCAACGACTTGGCCAGACGCACGCCCGTGTCGCTGGCTCCGCCCATTTCCTCGCCCTTGGACAGCGGGGGCACAGGGATGTCGAGCTTCTTCTCGACTCCGCGCCACCCCAGCGCCAGAATGGCCGCCAGGACGAAGTGAGGGTTGGTGTCGGCGCCGGGCGTGCGCACCTCGAACCGGGTGGCCTTGGGGCTGGCGGTGGGCGGCGTGATTAGCCGAATAGATGCCGCGCGGTGCTCCAGTCCCCATGAGACCGTGACGGGGGCCCAGAAGTTCTCGACCAGCCGTTTGTAGGAGTTGACCGTCGGCGCCAGGAGCGGCATGATGTCCGGTAACCCGTCCAGCAGCCCCGCCAGAAAGTGCCGTCCCAGGTCGGAGAGATGCGCGACATCGGGATAAGGCGGGGACGGGTCCGGGGAATCGCGCAGGAAGGCATTCGAGCCGTCTGCGTTCACGAGCGAGATGTGCATGTGCCCGCTATTCCCGGGGAGCCCTTGACGCGGCTTGGCCATGAAACACGGCGTGATACCATGCTTGATGCCGAAGGCCTTGACGACGTATCTGAAAACGAGTCAGCTGGGAAACACGACCCAGTCCCAAAAGACCATACTTGAACAGCCCGGCCTTATCGGCCATCTCCTTCACCTCTCCGAATTGTAATGCCTGCATACCCGACCACCGATTAGCCCATGCTCGCCCAGCCCACTGCAGTTTTCAACTCACGGCCTCGAACACGCCCGGCCCACTCTCCGTATGCCACCCTTCAAGATCGCAGCGGAACTGTTCGCACGCATCAAAGATGCCATAGAAGTAATCCTGGTTGTGAATGGGTCGCGTGAGCGAGTATCCAAACATTCCCTCCGTCAGTGCAGGCAGCGCATTCGCAGGGTTCGTCTGCAGAAAACTGGCCGTCGCGGACGCAGCGCGTTCCGGCGTGGAATAGTCGCCCGGCGCGCGGAACTGGTAGAATTCATACTCGGCTGGGAAAGGTCAACACGAGAGCTTGTGGATGCCATTGGACTACCCACCTCCAGCCATGGCCCGATATCCCCCCGCCTCCACCTTCGCCGCCGTGCTCTTCATCAACCCCCGTGGACACGCACAGACCGGTTCGCGCGTGTCGGGGTCCAAGAAACTAACCAGGAAGAACGGCACGTTGTCCTCCCAGGGAATGCGGCGGAAACTGCTGAGATCCGGCACGGCGACCAGGTCGCGGTATCCGTTCTCCTTGTTGCTGATGGCTAGCTCGCGGTAGTAGGTGGCATCGTGCTGGTCCCAGCCGAAAATCACGGAGCAGAAGCCGAAGCCCTCGGTCACGATGGAGAGGAACTTCTCCTTGCGCATGAGTTTCCCGCGCAGGATGCCGTCCACGTCGACGCCAGCTACCTTGACTTTGCGGTCGTTCTGGAGGATGTGAGCGACATTGGAGGCGGTGACCTCGGGGTCTGTTGAAGACGACATGGTCAGGAACAGCTGAAGTGCTCGGTGCTAAGTGGGGGTGAGCAGTCAGTCCGCGTGGGTGCTCTGGGATATCAGATGCTGGCTTACCGGGTTCGAAACGGATAACCCAGCTGGACACAGTCTTGCTTATCACTTATCAGCCAGCTCCAACCGAGGGTCTGCCGTCTCACGATGCCACTGGAGAGAGATAACAGTCCGTGATATCATGTGCCCATGCCCGACACCCCTCGCGCATTACGTAAAGCCCCCCCACGTGCCCCGCGGTATGTAGGGGAAGCTGTGGTCTGCAACTCACAGACTTCCACCTGTACACTGACGAACTGGTGAGTACTTAAGGGCACTCAACAATGGATCCACGGTTAATCGAATTCTCCAGTTCAACACTATGTCCGCCACCGCTTCCCCAGGTCGTCTCCAAGGCAAGAATGCCATCGTCACCGGTGCTGGAGGGTATGAATCAATGCCTAGCTATCACCTTCCATGCATTCTAACACCACCTCTCACAGCGGCATCGGCCTCGAAACAAGCATCCTCTTTGCCCGCGAAGGCGCCAACGTGCTCATGGCCGACATCTCCCCTCCAGCACTCGAGAAAGCGGTCGCGAAGGTGAAAGAGCTCGTCCCAGGCGCGGGCCGCATCGAGTCGACCAAGTGCGACGTGTCCAAGGAATCCGACGTGCAGGCTATGGTCGAGTCGCAGGATAGCTGGGGCGGCACAGACGTGATCTTCAACAACGCGGGGATCATGCATGCCGACGATGCCGATGCCGTGGATACCCCCGAGAAGATCTGGGATCTGACGCATAACATCAACGTCAAGGGCGTGTGGTTTGGCTGCAAGCATGCTGTGCAGAGTCTGCGTCGGCATAAGAAGGCGCGAGGGAGCATTATCAATACGGCGAGTGTCGTTGCCCTGGTGGGCAGTGCGACGCCCCAGTTGGCATATACGGCTAGTAAGGGCGCCGTGCTGGCTATGACGAGGGAATTAGCGATTGTGCATGCGCGCGAGGGATTCAGGTTCAATGCGCTGTGCCCTGCTCCGCTCAAGTATGTCTTTGTTTTGCAATTGTTTGAATGAGAGGAACTCTTCTGACCCATGTGTGTGTCCGCAGCACCCCCTCCTGCAGGACTGGCTCGGCGATGACCAGCCCAAGCGCCTCCGGCGCGAAGTGCACTTCCCGACCGGTCGATTCGGCGAGGCCATTGAGCAGGCGCACGCCGTTGTGTTTTTGGCCAGCGACGAGAGCAGCTTTGTCAATGGGACGGACTTTGTCGTGGATGGTGGGATGACCAAGGTGAGTTTCGGGGATTCTGAGATTGTGAGATTGATGTCTAACTCCTATTGTAGGCGTATGTGACTCCGGAGGGTCCCGCTGCTCCTGCGCCGCAGAATCTGGGCCGTTAAACTAGGTGTTGTGCGGCTAGGACTTTTTCCACCATACCGATCTGTAGATGCAGTGTGGCATGATCTCGTCTTTACACGCAGTAAGGATAATCTCGGGAGTTTATCCCAAGACAACTTCTAATTTTTTAACAAAAAGCGTTGGATTGTAACAGAGTATTGGAATACAATAGATGTCCTGATTATTAAAACAACCCTGTGCAGATATGAAATATGTCAACGAATTCGCTCCCCCCGATACAACCTCCCATCGTAAAGCCCGGTGAGCACGCGGCCATAGTTATAGTTAATTATAACCATTGAAACCTGATTAAATCAATCAATCCAGGAATCATCAATAACCCACGCATAGAATAACCGTCGACCCACGGTCCCGTCCCACCAGCTCACGTCATGGAAGTTCAGCACGGCAATTTCCCCGCCTCCATCCCGCATTCCGGCCCCGAACACACTAATCCATCCCTTTAAACCGAGGATGGCCGCTCACTGCGCCACCTTTCTCACCACTAACTGACCCCTTCCTTCTTCCCTTCTCAACCTACCTCCACTCATCCATCACAGTCGACTGTCTTGAATGCAATTATCCCATGACTTGATCTATCCAACATGTCCCATCTCACCTTCCCCGGCGCAAATAAATCACCCTCATTCCGGCCAGCCCCGAGCAGCGGGCCCGCCTTTAAACCCCGGACTGGCGGTGCGCGGCGGTGGTACGTTAGCCCCCTAGCCCCGATTCATCGGTCGCACCCCATATTCTCATGCCCTGAATCCAATTCAGTTCTCTCTTGATATGTCTGTATGTGGTCGCGTGCTCAACTAACAACTACTTCGTGTGTTTGTTTAGGTATATCCCATTAATCGCTACAATTGGACTGGGTATGTTTCTCTCCCTCCCCTCCCTCGCCGCCTCCCCGGGTTAGCTATATTTATTATAACCAACAATATACTAACCAATGGATTACTGTGACAGGCTTCGTCGCATACGATTACTACCTCACCGCGGTATCCCGCCGAGAACAGCAACTCCGCGAAGAAGAGATACGGTGGGCGCGGAATCAGCAGCTCATGGATGCGTATGGGGATAAGGAGTCGCTGCGCGATGTGCAGCAGGCGCTGGATGCTTATGAGGTGCGGTGATGTGGTGTGGATGTGGGGGTTACGCCCGGATGGATATTTTGATGGACTGATGAGTAGATGATCCCTGGACGCTGGTAGTCTTGGGGATTGAGGTATTCATTGTGGCGCTGGCGTTGATTCTGCTCGATGGGCGTCTTCGAGTGGATTGCATTGCTATTTATTAGCAGCATTCATTGGATGGAGTTTTATTTGTGATATCACAACCAGACAGTGTTCTACAGCAGTTCTTTTTCTCTTTCACATATTATGGATTTCAATGGGGAATAGGAGAACAGAGACATACATATCCTCTACATATTGGCTATATTTAGACTGGCTCATTTTGAGAAGATATATATATGCATAAGTATCAACCCGATCACTCCCACGAATCATGCCTCCACCCTCCATCAACCCTCATAAAAACTACTAACAGGCCACCCATTAAAAACACTATAATCCGCCGGTGGCGACGACCCATGAAGCGTCTGATAGTGCACACGATCCCCACAATCCACAGCCGTGCTACTAACGTTGCTACACTGCCTGCGCAGCATATGCGCAATCTGCTCTCCGGCACTAAGCTCCTCAAAGGACGTACCATGCAAGAACCCAAAATACGGCGCGGAAGTAGCCTCGCCAACGAACCAGAGTCTATCCACGGTTGTATTGTGTTTGTCTGCTAGTATTCAAAAAAACTTACGGCCGCCGCGACACCAGCCATTCCACCTCCCCTACCGAGGTCTTAGTCCATGTTCAGCAATTCTAAAGATTTTGGCTGAGATCTTGGTAGCATGCTCACAGGATCGCGACCGTCGTCTTGGTGCAGGCTGCAGTGTCATCGCGCGAGTTGGGAATGGAGGTCGACACGCATGGGAGAGCCAGTGCATCCGCCAATATCCATGTCTTGGATGAATAAACCATGATATTAGGAATGACCAAGTTGGACAGTCCACGCGGTGGACACTCTCCCCTTCTCTTTCCCCCTCTTATAGCCCCCGTCGCACGACCGTCCACCGTCAATTCGCCAAGGTTATCACCCGATCCACACCATCAATAACACAATTAGAGTAGAGCAGCTTATCAACACCAACGCACTTTTTACGCAATGCGGCAGGTACATGCGCCCCAGATGAAATGGGGAAGCCAAGCCGAGGATGATCCCAGGCACGGGCGATTGAGTGAGCTTGCGGGTCAGATACTGGCTGTTCCTGCATCGTTATTGGGCGACAGGATCGGAGCTTCGGGGGCAAAAACCAAGCCTTGCTGTGTGTCATGGATTTCTTCCCCGCATCATCGCCAGTCCGGATGTGCCGACAGGGGTTGGTAGTATGGTTATTAGAGACGGTGTTTCTTTTTTTCGCGTGTTTTTGTTTTCGATTTCCGATCGTTGCAACTCATAGTTAGGGCACCACATCATGAAGGACATCAGCCAAGATGACGACGCCCAATTGGCCGCTATGGGCCATCGCCCGGAGCTAAAGCGGCGTTTCTCGACTTGGTACGATTGGCCCGTTATCAATTACGCACGCCTATAGACTTACTCGGGATGCAGGTCGATGCTGGGGTTGGCGTTTGCCGTGCTGAATGTCCGTGCCAATCCCTTATTCTTATCATTCACAACACTGATTATGGATCTAGTCGTGGACGGCGCTGTCGGCAAGTTTGTCTATCAGTTTGGACTCCGGGGGCAGTACCAGCGTGGTGTGGGGTGAGTGGATAGGCATTGCGTGACATTATGGATATACAATAATTGACCACCGGTCCAGGTCTGATTACGGCGGGATTCTGTAATCTCTGCATTGCGGCTTCGTTGGCCGAGTTTCTTTCTGCGTATCCGACGTGGGTGATACTCCTGTCTTGTTCTTTGGGAATCGTGGACTTGGACTAAATGGCAGATGCAGTGCGGGTGGACAGTATCACTGGGTTGCAGGTGAGTGCTTTGAGACTGGTCTGTCATGCTCTTGCTAACCGAATTTTTACATAGTCAGTATGTTCATCCTCTCGACTCGAAGTACACAGATCCTAACGGAACAGTCTCGTGGCCAAAATGGGTGCCCATTCTCTCATGGATCACGGGCTGGATCAACGTGGCGGGCTGGGTAGATACACCATGGTTCCTTCTTTGGCCAAGACAAAATTGACTGGTTGGCAGGTCGCCCTCGTGGCTACCAACTCGCTGCTTTCAAGCCAGCTCATCGTGGGATGTATTTCTTTGATGCACCAGGTATACACGGTCACCTCCCTTTTTTGTAAGGGTCAATACTAACCATTCAACAGGACTATGTAGCAAAGCGATGGCATCAGTTCCTCATTTATATCGGATTAACAGTAGGCGCTTTTGTCATCAACGCCTTCGGAAATGCGGTCCTTCCACTCTTATATCGCGGTGCCTGTATGTTAATATCCTTGGTGCTTGGCACCCTTACTGATTCTTCTAGTTGCATGGTCAATTGGCGGGTTTGCGATTGTCTCTATCACGATCCTTGCTTGTGCTTCCCCTGATTTCAATTCAGCATAGTAAGTCTTGCAGTCTGGAATGCTATATGCAGATGCTAACTAATTTCTCGCCAGTTTTGTGTTCTGCGATTTTGTTAATAAAACTGGCTGTAAGTTTATTTCCCATCCATCCTTTCTGAAAATACATCCTAATTAAATTTAGGGCCGGATGGCGTTGCGTGGCTACTCGGAGTATGTCACCTTGATACCTCAACAACTCAAAACAACTAACATCAGAACCAGCTGCTCCAAGGAGGTCTCGGAGTGACTGCATTCGTAAGAACTCACCCACCCACCCATCGAACTACAGAACTAATCCTCTCAGGATGCCGTCGCGCACATGATCGAAGAAGTCCCCAATGCTGCAACCGAAGGACCCAAGATTATGGTCGCCTGTGTGGCTATCGGTACTTTTACCGGCTCAATCTTTTTGATTTGCTTGCTGTTCGTAGCAGGACCCATGAATCAAGTCACGACTTCAGCAGCGGGGCCGATTTTGCAGATTCTCTACGATGCAACCCGGAATCGCGCGGGTGCGATCTGTCTCTTGGTGTACGTCGCTGTAACCTTTAGGGTGGAGAGTAGTTGACTAAACACTGTCTGGATAGGCTTCCTCTCGTCTGCATGATCTATGCTATTCTCAGCGTCATGACCACTAGCAGTCGAATGATTTTTGCATTTGCACGGTGAGTTTCGTCTGCCATTAAGCAACCAATTCTTCCTCTAACAAATACAGTGACGGTGGTCTTCCCGCATCCCGATTCTTTGCCACTGTCCACCCAACACTGAAGTTGCCGCTGAATGCACTAATGCTGAGCGTCGTTGTGGTCATCTGTTTCGGCTGCATCTTTATGGGTTCCTCAAGGTAAGTTGCTGCAATGCATTCTACCCAATCCAAAACATGTATGCCTTGACGCTGACCAGACAGCGCCTTCAACGCCATCATCTCCGCGTCCGTCGTTGCGCTCGACCTCTCCTACGGAATACCTATCGCAATTAACTGTCTGCAGGGCCGCAAAGCCCTTCCGCCGGGGAAGTGGAAGCTTCCCAATGCAGTTGGATGGGTGGTTGACATTGTAAGCTTTATACGTTAAAGATATTCATAATGTCTGAGTTAGCTGGATTTTTACTAATAACTGGACTGCTGATTAGGTTGCCTTGTCGTATATCTCCCTGACGACCGTGTTGTTTGTCTTCCCTCCTGATCGTAAACTTACGGGGAGTAATATGAGTATGAGGTACCCATCTTGTCGTGTTAATGATAATACTGACATCCATTGAAGATTACTGTATTGCTGCGTTCGCTGTCATCATTATGATCTCCGTGTTCCAGTGGGTTGTGGACGGACGAAAGAATTTCACGGGACCTCGTGTTGATTTGGCTATTGAAGGACTGGATACCCTGCCCGCCGAGTCGAAGGTTGGACATACGGCCGGGACCGAAACGGACGAGAAGTAAGAAGTAAGAGACGGGGCGTGGTATAGCCAGCCTTGCCAGGGAAAGGTGGCGCCAGCGCTTGATCCAAAATGTGGATTATTTGTGTATACCAATTTAGTATATTATCTTTTAGAGATAGAAACCTAGTGATCAACGAGCCTCTTATAATCAGAAAATCCCCGGAACAAATCTCTTCGTCTTACGATGCCACTCTTCCCATTCCTTCCCAAACTGCCCCCTCAACATGTCCTCCTCATCCTTCACCCTCGCAGCACAAATCGCAATATTCAACACCAACGCACCCACAATAACGGAAACACCCCACCCATCCAACCTCGCCAGGACCTCCTCGCTCACCCAACAAGCCGGTGTCGCATCCCACCTCAGAAACAATCCCTCACAACCAGCCGTAAGCAACGCCAGCCCCACGTAGCTGGGATGCTGAATCCAGCGATAAATCCCATCCGTAATGAGGTGATCCGGCGCAGTGAGGTGGAAGGTAAATGACCGGCCTAGGCCACTATAGGCCGCGAGACGTATGTATCCGCCGACGAAGATGGCGGCCAGCGAGGACGCGGTCGTCGCGTTCCAGGTGAAGAGGGCGACGTTGATGGTTGGGTATCCTGGACAGAGCTGGGGAATGTGGGCTGGCGCGTATGAGGGGAGGATTGTGAGGAGCGCGTGATATATGAATCCCACGATCACGAGGCGCATTAATGGAGTGATAACCGTTACTATTAGGCTGACGCGGTCGGTGTTGTGGCGATTTTGGGCTGGATTTGGGGGTGTCAAGCATTTGATCGTTATGTAGCCTGCTGCAAGCATTGCTGCGGCGAGTATTGCTGCTGCGAGTTGTGTCATAATTATCTCTGGTCTTTGGATGGGATTGAGGTTGCGATCTTGAGAAATGAGGAGGTTGAGGTGGTGTCCATTCTTTTTTTATCGCCGCCCACCTTCTGGTGGGGGCCGCGGGAGATGCCGAGGTAGAAATCCAGTTCACTAGTTGACTGGAATGGAACCATTCACTTGTCCAAATTTCTAGCCTGGCAAATATTGCTTCTATCGTTCGGAGAGAGAGTTGGGAGGTGGTCCAAATGAATATGGAAATAGAAAAAGACACCCTTCCTTCATCATTGAGCGGGCAAGTGAATTAGTCACATAATATCGATCTTACTGTTATTATGGACAGAGTTTCGCGCGGATATCTGCCATTTGTGTCATTTCATCCTGGCTTTTAGTTCACTCTTTGCTCTCTAGCTCTAAAAGTATATGCAGTTATCACGTGCTGACCCGCAAGCTTTTGTGGCGCAACTTCTCCCACCCAACCTACACCTAACCACTTGATTTCCACCTAACGACCTGTGGCAACAATGGAGTACGAAAAACACTTCATTCCTCTGGAATCCGATCCTAAAATATTCACCAGTTTGATGCACAATCTTGGCGTTACTAAGTCGTTCAAATTTATTGATATTTGGTCCCTCGAAACAGAGCAATTGGACAACATTCGTTTGGAAATCCAGAGTCCTATCGAAGCTTTGGTCCTCATTCTGCCTGACTGTCCTGCGTACGCAGAGCAGAGCATCGGAAATAGCGTTTACGAAGGAGATATTCTCTGGCTGAAACAAACTATAAACAACGCCTGCGGCCTGTATGCCATATTGCATTGTGTTTGCAACATTTTAGGCAATAGGAAGATCGGTAGGATATTCTACTTCAGTTCTATATAATACAAACTGAAATGAGTAGAGCCAGACTCATTCATTGACGGTTTTATGAAGGAAACACCAGGCGACCGTGCCCAGTACCTGCATAATTCACCAGAACTGGATACACTCTATCGCAAAGCCGCATTGTTTGGCACTTCAGAGCCTCCTGCTGCCGAGAGTGAAGTTGACCATCACTATATATGCCTGGTGCGGCATTCAGGTTGTCTCTACGAGTTAGATGGAGACAGAACGGGGCCAATATACAGAGGTAACCTGGAAGATGACGAAGATACCTTGTCAGAAAAGGGCTGCGATATCCTTAAAATGTATATGAACAGTTGTCCTGGGGGATGCTTCAGTCTGCTTGCACTGATAAACTCTTCCTAGCGCAACATTGGGAAACGAAACTCATGCATGACTTTTGACGATTGGGCCACTGGCTAACCATATTTCGGATATTTACAAGTAATTAAAGGGGCCGAATCTGTTATGAGACCATCATTTCCGACCACAACCACTAAAAACGAAGCTCACACGCCTATAATAAGCTGTTGTTTTGCAATTGTTTAGTAATGAACGGATAGCGGAAAAAGCACCTTCCGGAGTCCACTCCTTAGTGCATCTGATGTTCAAATCAATTTCCAACTTGAGAGAGACTAAAGATGGGCGCGGATGCTCCAACTTCCGCGCGTCGTTTGTTCCTTGGTTGGATATTTCCGCCTCATTCTCTGTCAATCTGCTGGGGATTTCCTTTAGAGAGATGATAGATGTAAAAAGCAAACAATTGATTCCCTAAAATAATCTACTTCTCCAACTCACCCACGAAAACGAATGCTGCAATGGCCTCCGCTTCCATGCCACCTGCAGCCCAGCCAAATGGCGCCATCGCCAGCCTGGACACCCTCGACCATGACATTCTGATAGCGGCGCAGCAGAAATACCAGACTGAGAGAGAGAAGCGTTATCGTCCTGAAGGTGCCGCGCAGTACATCGATCTGAGCAGCGTTGCAGGAGGGCCGGCCTATCCCGCCGAGGAGACAAATGTCCACCACAATCCCCTTCTCCATCAGGAACACCACCGGGTTCTCATTGTTGGCGCCGGCTTTGGAGGCTTGTTGCATGCAGTGCGCCTTCTCCAGACTGGCTTCTGCTCTACGAAAGAAATCACGATGATAGACCAGGCTGGCGGTTTCGGGGGCACTTGGTATTGGAACCAGTACCCGGGATTGCATTGTGATACCGAAAGCTATATCTACATGCCGCTGCTGGAAGAAACGGGACACATACCGACGAAGAAGTATGTGCCTGGGATGGAATTGAGGGCCCATGCAGAGCGCATTGCTAGCGAGTGGGGGCTGACTTCTCGGGCTATTTTCAATACCACGGTGAATGAGATGAGCTGGGATGACGGAAGTAAGCATTGGATGGTCTCAGTGGCTCCCATCGCGGCAGCTCAGAAGCCAGTCACATTGCGCTCAGATTTCGTAATCCATGCCATGGGCCTTTTCAACGATCCTAAGATACCCAAGCTGCCTGGATTTGAGAGCTATGGCGGTCACATTTTCCACACCTCTCGCTGGGACTATGAATACACTGGAGGAACTCAGGAGAACCCCATAATGGACCGATTGTACGACAAGAGAGTTGGAATCGTCGGAACGGGTGCAACTGCAATCCAGGTTATCCCGCATGTTGCTCAATGGGCAAATGAGCTGTTCGTCTTCCAGCGAACGCCGTCATCTGTGGATCATCGCGACAATAAACCGACTGATCCAGCTTGGTGGGCTGAGAATACCCAGAGGCATGGTCCAGGATGGCAGAAGAAACGTATGGAGAATTTCAACGCATTCGTGAGCAACGCTTCTCCCCTCCCGGAAACAAACCTGGTGAACGACGAATGGACATCCTTCCCGTCGTTCAGTGTCTTGATCGGCGGTCCGTCCGGTCTACAACCAGACTACCTGGAACAAATGCAGCGCGTGGACTTTATTCGCCAAGAATACATTCGCAAGCGTGTCGACGATACAATCACCGACAAAGCCGCAGCAGATCTCCTGAAGCCGTGGTACGCGGGTTGGTGCAAGCGACCCTGTTTCAGTGAGAACTTTCTTGAGACATTCAACCGACCCAACGTCACACTGGTTGACACCCTGGGCCGTGGTATTGAGGGGATGACACCCAATGGAGTCCTTGTCGGTGGCAAAGAGATCAAACTTGATGCCATGATCTTCAGCACGGGCTATAACCTCGGCAACGGCACAGAGAAAGGCACCATGAAGGTCACCGGCCGGGGCGGCAAGACCCTGCAACATAAATGGGCATCCAGACCTGCTACCTTGCACGGAGTGATCACGCACGACTTCCCCAATTTGTTCCTTTCAGGTCCCTACCAGGCTGGCGCTTCCCCGAATCATATTTATGTCCTTGATCAACTGGCAAGCCATGTTGCCTACATAATATCGCAGTCAGCGGCCAGATTGAACGCCCGTGATGCCAAGTTCACAGTCGAACCGAGCTTGGAGGCCGAGGAGGGTTGGTCCATGCAGATTCTCATGAATGCACGTGCCCTCGCCGGTGTCGCGAATTGTACGCCGAGTTACTATAACCGGGAGGGACACAAGCTGGAGGACCATGAGAAGATGGTGGCTGCGAGATTCGCTGTCTGGGGAGAAGGCGTAGGGAGTTATGCGAAGAGGATTGAGGACTGGCGCAGCAGTGGGAAGCTTGAGGGGTTGGTGTTTAATGGTGATAAGACTGCATGAGGATAGGTCATCTTTTGGATTGAGGGCTAGTATTCTCTTTCGGTTCTACCCACCACAATTGTTACATTTGTGGACGGTTGGCAAAGGGAGGATTTCTCGGATTTTGGAATAGATTTGCTTCTGAAGATGAATCTGAACAGGCCAGGTATCGACTGCGGCTTGGTATTTTCTTTTCACATCTTTATCTCTAGAGTCACACATCGAGAGAAGACTGCTAGCAACTGCTATTAAGATCACGCTTGAATAATACTCCGGAATGCAAGTCAATGTGGAGATCTCCGCTGTATTTCCACGTGGCCTTCCATATCGGGATCTTGCGCCGTGATGGAAAAAACTCGACCGTACTCAAACCCGTTAGCTACCCTTCTTGGCTCTACCCTCAAACTTTAAGACAGGTCTTGGCCATTGGTAAACAAGGGTCCACCTACTAACTCACAGGCATCCAGGTTTATGAAAACATAGATTTTTTGGCTCGACGGAGACTTTGGACAAGCCTAGGAACTGGATTTCATCTAGCAAAACCAATATACCTCCCGGATGTGCTATTAGTTCCTTCACCATGCGCACAGAAAAATAATTTTCTCGAATTAAGCTTTAGTAGGGACTCCACTAACTAGGTGATTTTTTCGAAGTGAGACAAAATTTCTAATGTGGCACTGGCAATTCCGGGTCGGCTTAATAGTCTGTGTGCTCCAAGCCTCCGGAGATGAAATGACGGCAAGAATGGCTTGCCGCAGACCACGGGAACTAGACGAGACGCCAAAAGTGGATGTGTCAGGTGAAAGTTGTATGGTCCCATTTCACGGCATACCGTATATCCGGTATGAACCCACGGCTCGCCCGGTACGTTCTCTGTCCGGCGAATGCCGAGAACGTAGGTCTAGATATTCCCCGGGGGGAAATATCCCCGGCCGACCATCAATTGAGTTTGAATTTCCCCCAAAAGTTCAGGGCGGCCGCGGCCTGGTGCCATATTGAATTTTTTTTGTGGGACCCCACAATAATGTAAAAATATGGGTTGATTTTGCACGGGGTATCCGACTAGATGGTTTCGCGGGCCGATTGATTGGACGGCCCAGAATCATCCCCCAGAAAAGTGGCCGCGTAATTCTGGTCGGTTGCACCGTTCTTTCGTCTGGATGTCTTGGACAAGTCCGAGCGCACGTCAAGTCAAGCCGAGCGTGGCGATATTCTACATGACAGATTTACTTCGGGTAGACGGGAACTGTCTCAGGTACCTCGGGATGTTTTCTTTCGGTCAGCCGAGCACCTCACGCGAGGAGGCTGAGCCGGGGGAGTAAGCCGGGTTTTGTCAGCTTCCTCGACTGGTGTTCCCGTCTGAATTTCCAGACGCTAAGAAAAGTAAAAACTAAACCAAGAACCATGGAAAGCCCTCCTCGTGGTGGCCAATCACGACGCTGCCCGAATCCGGAGCCGAATTTTGTGGAGTTCAACCCGAGCATTTGGTTGGCTGGCAGGTCTAGACTCTCTCTCTCCTCCCTCTTTCTCTCTTTGTGGTTGAGGCATGGCTTTCCCCGGACACCCTACTTTGTGCAGAAGATTCTTGCGCGTCAACGCGCATCGAGAAGGGAGTTGGATCTGGGTGAGGATACATGTATGTACTACGTGAAGCGGAATGACCGCGTTGTCCAAATGATTTACTTCGGCCGGGTACCTATATAGCCGACTACCCCGTGTTTGTAGTTAGACCAACCCGTCCGTTCATGTTTCTGCTTTGCAATCGGTTCCTGTGGGGTGCTTGACCCCATGACAGTCGTACCTGCCTAAGTGGGCGAGGGCCCAGCTGGTATAAAAGTGTGCGCTGGTTCCCTTTGTCTGTCTTCTTCTTCTCTCTTTTCCCTTCACCCCATCCTCCACTTTCTCACTTCTCTTCACACGCCCACTCCCCGCTTTCCATCTTTGCTCATCCTTGCTCGTTCTCTCCATCTACCTGATACACTTTTCTATTCGTTCATCATGGCCGGTGGTGCTGTCATCATGGCCGGCGGCAACACTTCACGTGTGGAGGCGCCAGTCACCTTCAAGGCGTACCTCATGTGTGCCTTTGCGGCCTTCGGTGGTATCTTCTTCGGATACGACTCTGGCTACATCAACGGTGTCACCTCAATGAATTACTTCATTAAAACTTTCCAGCACCTGGTAGGCACAGCCCTTTCACTCAACACCCTTGTCCATCGATCTAACCCTGATCTGTAGGACCCCAACGTCGTCAAGGGCAGTGCCTTTGTTATTTCGGCGTCGCACAAGTCCCTGATTGTCTCCATCCTGTCTGCTGGAACTTTCTTCGGTGCTCTGATCGCTGGTGACCTGGCTGACTGGTTCGGTCGCCGCACTACCATCATCGCTGGCTGCATTATTTTCACCATCGGTGTTATCCTTCAGACTGCCTCCAGCAGTCTGGGTCTTCTGGTTGCTGGTCGCCTGATTGCTGGTTTCGGTATGGGCTTTGTCTCTGCCATCATCATCCTGTATATGTCTGAGATTGCACCCCGCAAGGTTCGTGGTGCCTTGGTGTCTGGTTACCAGTTTTGTGTCACCATCGGTTTGATGCTGGCGTCCTGCGTCGACTATGGCACTCAGAATTACAACACCTCGGCCTCGTACCGTATCCCCATTGCCCTGCAGATGCTTTGGGCCCTGATCCTGGGTGTTGGTCTGCTCTTCCTGCCCGAGTCACCTCGTTACTTCATCCGCAAGGGTGACAAGGTCAAGGCTCGTACCGTCCTCGCCCGAATCCGCGGCCAGCCCGAGGACTCGCACTTTGTCGACGATGAGCTCACCGAGATTGAAGCCAACCACCTGTATGAGCTTCAGGTAATCCCCGAGAGTGGTTACTTCGCAAGCTGGCTCAACTGCTTCCGTGGCAACATCTTCCACCCCAACAGCAACATTCGTCGCACCATCTTGGGCACCTCGCTCCAGATGATGCAGCAGTAAGTCCTTTTGCCTCTTCCCACTCTTCCAATCTCCCCTTACTGATCAATGAACAGATGGACCGGTGTCAACTTCATCTTCTATTTCGGAACTAGCTTCTTCACTACACTTTTCCAGAAGGAACAAGGTGCCGTCACCAACCCGTTCTTGCTGAGCATGATCACCACCATCGTCAATGTCCTTTCCACCCCCTTCTCCTTCTACGCAATCGAGAAGATCGGTCGTCGTCCTCTGCTGCTGTGGGGTGCTCTGGGCATGGTCATCTGCCAGTTCATCGTCGCCATCATTGGTGTGACTGACGGTAACAACCCCCATGCTCTTTCGGCCATGGTTGCATTCATCTGCATCTACATCTTCTTCTTTGCCAGCACTTGGGGCCCCGGTGCCTGGGTTGTCATCGGCGAGATCTATCCTCTGCCCATTCGCTCCCGTGGTGTTGCCCTTTCCACCGCGTCCAACTGGTTGTGGAACTGCGTAAGTACGATCTGAAATGTCGTGAGGCCCTCGCCGCTAACAATGACAATAGATCATCGCTGTCATTACACCTTACATGGTCGACGCCGACAAGGGCAACCTTGGTTCCAAGGTCTTCTTCATCTGGGGTTCGCTTTGCGCTTGCGCCTTTGTTTACACCTATTTCCTCATCCCTGAGACCAAGGGCCTGACCCTCGAACAAGTTGACAAAATGATGGAGGAGACTACTCCGCGCACCTCCGCCAAGTGGACTCCCCACTCCACCTTTGCCGCTGAGATGGGTCTGGAAGAGAAGAGCAAGGGTGGTGAAGACGTTCCTCAGGTCACCCAGCAGGAGGTTTAGCCATGTGCTGTACTCTTTGATCGGTTCGCTTTGTTCTTGACTATGATAATCTGTTATTTCCTCTTATGCGCCATGATGTAAGCCAGTTACGATGTTTAACAGTCATACCACTCATGTGTTGCCATGCGTTGATGTGATTTCATGTTTACCATGACGATGCTGATGAGGCGTTTTGTGTATCCAAGTCTATTGAATGACAATAGGTTATTTCCACTTCTTGTTTTGGTAGACCATGTAACCATTGTAACTTGCCCTCCGACATATACAGGAGATCACTGAGGTGACATGGAATGAAAAACGCCAAGAAAGAGACAGGCATTAGACTCTAGTATGAGTGTTTTGAGACATGAAACTCCAAGACTATAATAATATCTCGGAAGTAAACAGAATATTAAGCCTTTATTACAGCAAAATTAATATGTAACAAATGAAGAAAATTAGTGGAGGAAGAGAAGCAAGAAAGTAACACTCAAGACCCAGATGCTGGGCGAGACGGATCTCGACCCATCATTGGAAGTGATAACGACAGGTCCAGTCCCAGTGACCACGGCCTCAGTAGGTGTACCTGTACAAGTCGTTGCGGTGGTCAACGAGGGAGTCCTGGTGGTCATTCTGAGTGTCGTGGATGTTGTGCAAGGGCTGGTCGAAGAGGGTGATGTCTCAGGTACAGTCACTGTCTCCGAAGCCCAGGGGGTGGTAGTGCAGGAAGTGACCGTAGTCGTGACAGGGAGCAAGCTCACTGTCGTCGTAGAGAGCAAAGTGATTGTAGAGAAAGATACCACAGGTACAGTGACTGTCTTGGAAGACCAGGTGATGGTAGTGCAGGGAATGTCAGTGGGTGGCGGAGGAGGGGCAGTAATCGTGGCAGTGGGAGGGCCCGTGGACTCATTAGTTTGGCTCGAGCATGTGCTGGTCGGGACAATGTCGATGATGGCTGGATTGCTCGGGACGTAGGGGGCACAGATGCCGGCAAAATACGACAGTCCAGACTGGATCTCCTCCTGAGAGCTGCCCCAGGCCGTGATGCAGGACTTGACCTTCTCCGTGAACGCGGAAGACGGGCAAAAGCATCCAGAATCGCTGTTCGAGTCACACTTGGGCACGGTGAGCCACGTGTTTATGCACTTTGGAACCACATCAGGGCAGGAAGATGGTGTTGCCGATGGTGTTGCCACGGGAATAAGCGTCACGGGGATAGTGCGTGTTATTGTGGTTGTCTGGGGCCCAGGCGTTGTGAGAGTAACAGGGCACACGGTGGTTGACAAACTATACGTCGAGGTGAGTGTGACCGTAGAGTGAGGAGGACATTCGGTAACAGCAGGCGGACATTTTGTGACAGTGACCTCCTCAGTGGTCCACACTGTGGAAGTAGTCAGGACTGGGGTCTCAATTGAAGTAAACGTGTGGACCTCCACTACAGTGGTCCACGCTGTGGAAGTGGTCGGGACTAGGACTAGGGTCTCAGTGGAAGTAGACGTCTGGACGTCCACTTCAGTGGTCGTACAAGTCTTGGTGTGGCCTGGAGTAGAAGTTGGAGGAGTCGGGGGCGGCTTCGGTCCAGTGGAGCAGTCGAAGTGGATGCGATGAATGTCCATATCACATTCGCCAAATTTGCTCTCTTCGGGGAGTCTGAATTCAACCGATGTCGCGCCACCACACTGATCGTTGTGAATATCGAGGCCCTCGGGAGTACTAGTAGCAACCTGATGACAGGCTGAGCCATCAGCCAGGGTGTATGTAATGAGGACATCGGTAGCTCGGGAAGTTGCGAGGTGGAAATCGCTGACGGAGAATGGCGCGATGTCGGAGTCCACCCTCAATGTCCAGTTATCCTCTCGGGATAGCTTTCCCCCAATACAATTGCCCTTTAAAATGTTAAAATCAACAGCTTGGAACAACTGAGATGGACTTACATTTCCAGCAGCCTGGCAGTGGCTCTTAGGCGAGAAGCCAACAAAGTTGAAGCCCTCAGGGCTCCAGTTATCGCCGTTAGCGAGGTCAGACCAGTCAAAGCCAGCTTTCTGGTCCTCCAAGCAGTAGTTGTCGGTGTTTTCAGGAACGGAATAGCACTGATCAGTGCCCCACCACTAGACATCTTCAATTAATTTCACTAGAAGTACAGGCATATACAGAATAGTACTTACAAGACCAGATGGATGAGCGAGCGTAGCAGCGCTAAAGAGCGAAAGGAGGCTGATTACCTTCATTTTTTGATTTGGAAACGATTTGTGAATTTGGAGTCAGAAATTGCGAGTATAAATGAGAGAAAACAATTAATCGTTCCCCAATGGAATAAGTGTCGGTTCGGAAATGGCGAGATGTTGTCGACTGAATTTACGATGAAAATTACTTCCCGCTGCGGATATCATGGCTTTTATGCTTCGGCAATAACAACATCAACTGTGAACTATCAACAATCCATATGAATGAATGGCCGTAACATGGGTTGGTACTGGTAACGAGGAATGAAGTACTGGAAATGCGCCACACCCCGAGGAGGAACATAGTAGAATGTGCCACTCACAAGACTAACTGGAGCCTTACGGACACGGAAATTGCACAGGCAAGACTGAGTGAGATGTGGGAGCAAACAATCTGTAATAAAATTCGTCTCGAAAATAGCGTCACCATCTCAGACCTTCCCTTTATAATTTGTTTCTCAGTCCGTAAGGCCACACAAGATGCATCAATTGAGTGTCTACTCGGGGTACACTTGGCTATTCGTAGTATATCACGTGTCCCACATTGCCCATTGTACCTTCCTCCTATCTCCGAGAATCGGGCTAGATGTCTAGCATCCCTACCCCTACATTCTAACTATCAAACAAATCCCTTGATTGTTCCCCACCCCTTCCCTAAAAAACAAGTTTTAGACGAACACGAAGATGCAGACCACTTTAGCCTCGAAATTTTGAGCCTACATTTTACATACTCTTGCTCTGATCTCCGATTTTATCGTGGATCTGACTACCAAAATCGCCTTCTTCGAGCCTTTCGATTTCAAGACTGCCACAAAATCTACTATGCAGGCTTGGGTGCGAGAACTTGACTTCGCGGCAAACAACGAAGCAATCTAACAGTTGGTCGCTCGAAAGCTATTAAATTAAGTATGCGAGCATTCAATGTACTGAAAGCAATTTTTCGACGTACTGCAAGTAGACAAGTAGACGCGCTCCCGATCGATGTGAGGCTTATGATGTAGTCAATAGTGGTTAGTGGACTCTATAACCAAATTTGAAACAGGTTTATTTTCGCATCGCAGTCTTTTTTACCGGGTCTTCTTCTCATCATTCCTAAAGAAAGAAAGGGGGTTTCCCCATAAGGACAATAAAACGTTGCCTTTGACATTCTTTAAAAGTCTAGAAACTTACACCAATTTTAAATCTCAGATTCCGGGCTTCGAACTAGCTCTCATTCTCGCTCTCGGCCCGCTCTACCCTAAGTACTATGAACTGTTGTTCGTGGCGTTGCTAGCTATGTTTCTTCGCGACCTAACCCTTCCGCTAGCTTTGTCTAGATCTAGAAACATTGACACCTACCACAAGGATTTGGTCTAAGAATATGCTCCTAATGACTGCGAAAGAGCCCAAACTCCGGAAAATAAAGGTAATGTATTCGGTAAGCGAGTGGCCCATGCAAGCGAGTGGCCCAACCCAAAACATCATAGTAAATGGGATATTTTACAGCTTTATATCTCAACAACAATAGCTTAATATAAGTTTTAATGAACTCCTGGTAATAATTAGGGTATATCTAGCACATTTATACAAGTTTAAGAAAATTTTGAGAAATTTTGAGATCTCATGATTGAGATATATATATTCAGTACGCAGTCACAGTGTATTTTTTTATAATGTAGTTAAACAATTATTTAACATCAACTCAAGTCTCTCTATACTATTTGTTACGTCTATAAATGATATGATACGAACAATAAAGAAAATTATGCTGTGGTTGTTGAAATATCGAGGTATAAAAGTCTTGCATTTATGATGTTTTTTGGGTTGGGCCACCCGCTTCCCGAATACGTTACGGGAGTCGAGTCATTACGTTAATACAACATAGACAGAATGCTTAGTAGATTCCCCCCACCTAGAGGGCATAGTCTGGGTGCTCACTAATTATTCAGAGGGGATTATCGATCTGTCACGTACTGTCTCTGAGAGAGCTCACAGAGCCTGGGCCTAGACTGGAATTTACTGAGAGAGTCTGATTCTGAGCGTTGTCATTAAAGCGGCTCCTAAAATAGGAAAGGCCCGCCCAGCAAAGGAAATCTCTATGTAGAGGCGATTACATAGGTAGAAATACTTGCATAGTGTATATGATTTCACCAGGGAATGAGATAATGAACGAATGTTTATACTTTTTAATTTCCCCCTTTTTAGCCAAACAAAGCTGTCTGAACTAGCTCTCGATGTGAAAGTATGCCACCACGGAGCAAAATACCCAAATAGATTCGTTGACTGAAGCTCGAATAAACCTGCATGCATAAATTGTTGAATTGTCACGATCAGGGGTCCTGTATTACCGGACACACTGCAATAAACTCATTTGGTACACCCTCTCCCAGCGATCAAAATCCGGTGGTCGCTTAAAATTCCCCCAGCGGAACCTTAGAGCACAAATACTACAAATATCGCTGGAAAAGGTATCACCAAGGGTTACAGTCAGACGTGAAATAGCCAATGCCTGTCGGCATCTAGATACACAGCCCCTACATATTTGTAATCCACTATTCATTACTCGTAGTTAGACTCCAAGTCCAGTTACTCGAGCCAAATTTAGAGGTCGCGTGAGCGTTTCCTCTGCCTGAGGCATTTGTCCGCTAATATCTTGAGCTGCGGGCACCGTCCGCCCTCCAAAAAAAAGGGGTTCGGAATGTATGTTGCCGACTCCTCTGTAGGCGAGTCTTAACTTTCATGGTACGGGTACGATTGCAGGATTTCAGATACGCAAAGAGTCCGAGGCATCACTCTGAAGACCCGGGATTCAAGGATCCTGGAAAGGGTTCCTTTTCTGGTCGAGATGTTCTATTGGGCTCTAAGTTATCCTTACTTTCCCCTCACCAAAGCCACTGCTGAGTGGTTGGCGCCGGCTCAGTTCGAATTTTGTGCAAGTCGCTCGAGATCACGGCAGCAGCATTGTCGAGTTCGAACAGCAATTGGCCTTCCGTTTTTTCTTTCCCATCCGCGAATCTGATTTCCGGCGATTCTTCATGAATAACCATGGAAGCAATTCATTGACGAAGCTAAGAAAGGGAAGCTATGGATAGCCGCGTCGGATGAAACCATGAGATTGGGGGACAGATCGCCTACGATGAATAGTCTCGGGCTCACCGACGCTATGGTCGTCCTGGCGCACAATGTATGAACGGGCTGCTCAGTTCAGGGCAGCAGTGCATATACTGGCTTACCAGCTGCCATGCTGGAGAGAGATATCCAGGAGTAGGTTGCAGATTTCTTGCACAGACCTATCCTGCTCTCCAATAAGTTCATCAGCTTATTCACAGCAGGTAATAGAGGCGATTCAGAATACATATTTTTGTTTCATCCTTTTCATTATATCTTTGTAAGCCTTCGTCTTGGTATCCATCTTGGTCTCTTTATTGGGTCATGATCCAGAGAACTCTATCATAATACAACTATTATACAATGACTGTATTTCTGTTGCAGAGAGCTGATCGTTGCCCAATTGGCGCTAGCTCATCGGAAGATAATCATCTCTTGCATGTATATCGCCATTCGAAGACCTTTAACCGGCGCCCTAAACTTGAACGTGCTTCTTCACTAACCTGCTGATAAGTCTAGAGTCTAAATGACGAATTTCTGCAGGGCTATTTGACCTCTGCTAGCAGCGAATCGGACAACTGAAAAGGGCGCCAGTGGCTGACTTAGCGCCTGATTGACGAATATGGGGGTCGGAACTCGTCAGCGCCATCAAAATTGTACCACGCAGTCCAACTGCATGGCTTGAATATGGAGAAATTACTTGGGAGGCAACAAAACCATGCAGACTTGCTTTGTGAAAGGTAGAGTATCCCGATGGGACCTGACTAGCTACGGAACGCCACCTAAATCTGACAAAACCCCTCTCTGTCACGCGCTACCAGGAATTTTTCTCTCGTGCTTGCGAATTGACAGGGGAAGTATGATATCGCATCGTTTCAAAGAGCTGCTCTACGGCTACAACTTTCTATCTGGCGACTTCCTCCAACGTACTCTTCTTTGTCAGCGAAGGGTCTTTGGGCCGATTCAACTGAACACCAAGAGTGCTTTCGGTCTATCGTATGGCTTTTTAAGGATATCTTAAATCGGTGGATACTGGCCGATCAATGAACAATTGGCCATATTAAAATCGCGAATCTGGGGCTAGGCCCAAGTCTTCATCAACTAATTCTCTGCATAAACAACGCTAGCGCATTGCGCGATCTCGCTTCATGGCATTTTCCATCTCGGTCTCCGACGGCGTCAAGTATTGTCTGTTCTGACGTGACTTTTCTGTCATGAAGAACGTATGGCATTGCAGTGTCGATATTGAGGTTGCATTGACACTCATTCGCAAGAAGATGGGCTGGTGAGGAATGAGCCCACTCGGGTCTTCAGTATCTGTCATTGTCTCAATATACCAGCTGAGGTCACTCTATAAATTCTGCCAACCTTTCCCGTCGCTGTATTTTACTCTATAGCATCAAAAAAGGTCTGCCTTTGCCTTCTTCTAATCTCAAGCTTTATACTTCAGTCACAGGCTTTGTTCGAAGCATCTGAACTTAACTTTCATCATGAAGGTCTCTACTGCAATTCTCAGCAACACGCTTCTAGCCACTGCTGCTTTTGCTGCACCTCTTACTGCTCAACGTCAAGCCCGCAATGAGGCCCGCCGTCTTGCTCACGTGGAGGCTAGCTCAAATGAGCGCCATAGCAACCCTCCCTTCAAGCCGGATTCCCATGAGATCATCCACCTCAACGAGACCACGCATGTGGAATACAGTTCCAACTGGGCTGGAGCCGTTCTTATTGGTTCTGGCTATACTACAGTCACGGGCCAGTTTACCGTCCCCACTCCTAAGGTCCCCAGTGGCAGCAGCAGCAGCGGAACATACTCTGCCTCTGCTTGGGTCGGTATCGATGGAGATACCTGGAGCGATGCAATTCTTCAGACGGGCGTCGACTTCACCATTGCAGATGGCAAGGTGAGCTACGATGCCTGGTACGAGTGGTACCCTGACTATGCCTACGACTTTAGTGGCATCTCCATCTCCGCAGGAGATGTTATCAAGGTGACTGTCACCGCTAGCTCTACATCATCCGGCACCGCCACTATCGAGAATGTCACCAAGGGCAAGACAGTGTCTCATACCTTCACCTCAAGCAGCGTCGAGGGTGATCTGGGGGAGGTGAATGCTGAGTGGATCGTCGAGGACTTCGAGTCGGGCGATTCCCTCGTCAACTTTGCCAACTTTGGCAACGTCATCTTTACTGATGCCCAGGCCACTGATAACGGGGCTATTGTTGGTCCCTCCGGTGCCACTCTGATAGATATTAAACAGAACAACAAAGTTCTCACCTCCGTCTCTACCACCTCTAACAGTGTCACGGTTAGCTATGTCTAAGCGATGGACTATAAAGGGTGATTCCATTCGTCACGATGGCCGAAGAGAATTTGAAGACTTTCGAAATGGCGAGAAAGCAAGGTGGGATAACGAAAGATTGAAACGTGGGGATCATGGAATGGGCATGCATCGAACTGATGTGTTCCTGTTATGTATGTTTGAAGAGACCGTATTGGCTTTTTTCCGTTTCTATGCTGTCTCTGATTCTCGTGCTGGGACATGGTCGCATAAATTTTCCGGTCACACCATATTGGCAAGTGCTGATTTACTGTTGATCGGACTCCGGTACTGCCAAGGATGTCCTGAAAATGTCACCCATTTTCTCTATTTTCCTAAAATTTTACTGTTCCTGTTTACTCCTCGGCAACTCCGTATAGAGAATGGAATATGAGTGGACCCGGCCCTAACCACATAAACTAAATACTAGTTGTAGTTGTAGCAGTATCTTGGCTCGAGCCGACCGGTTAGCTCACTTTAAATGACCACTGATCTATTTAGAGAGTCCGAGGTTCAAATCTAGTCAGAGAGCAACAATTTTTGGGAGTAGTAGGAAGTCTGCTCCTGCCAGTGCTCCCCTTCCACTACTAAACTAGGATGTATCGTCGACGGAACCGTGCCTGAGCTACCGCCGGGGATGGAAAAGATATCACCCGTTAGGTCGACCGACATCGGGTCTGGCGTCGTCTGGGTTTTGGACGTCACTCTCGGTTCAGCTCCAATATTCTCATTTACAACCTCATTGCTGTTCTGCGCATTCAGCGGTGGAGCGTATGTGCAACGATGACCGCGGTTCCTGCATAGCTCACAGTTTCGGTGCCCGTTGCACTTAACCTTCGCAGAGCGGCACGCCTCACATGCAGTCATAGGACGACGTTTCAACGGTTTCGTGTTTCGAAGCTTGTGACTTGGGCGACTGCCAGTTCACCACCCGAGTGCCAGGAATCTGTTTTCTTCGGGAAGGGGGCAGAATAGCAGGGGACTCTGACGGCAACATTGGGGAGCGAGCAGACCGGCAACTGGCCAGAGTGGTCAACATGAGTATAGGGGTGTTCACGATAATCGGTCTCAACGATATTATCGCACGATAATTATCGTTACAGATTTCAGTTAACGTTAGACGATAAGATAATGCGATAATTATCGTCAGACCGTCAGACTAGCCTATTTGAGCTTAGCATAGTCACCTGACTAGTCAGGAATCAGTTATTCCACTAACTAATAGTAATAACTACAATATGCCATGAATACAATCGTCCCCTAAAGTCGGACCCCCAAGGCTGCGCGGTTGTGGGTCCTCCCCAGTCTAATGAAATTTCAGTCTAATAATACCCCGCAGTCCGAGAGCCGCGCCGAGTCCCGGTGCGAGAACCTAAATCCGCGAACGCCCATACAAATATTCCGCGACAACCTAAAATAACAAGTTGTTGTCAAATTAAAGGATATGACGAACCGACAGGAAGATGATATATATAAACCCCGGGGAAACACATTGATATATCTCGATGAGGAAGAATTCTCGACATCCTTCTACTCAGTTTTCCGAGAATACCTATTGTTGACATAAATTTGCAAAATGGGGTTCCTATTTCTGATTACCTGGCTGATATCTCTGTATTTGTCAAGGGCGATGGGCCATGAGATAGAAATCAATGCCCCAGCACGTCTGCCTGTCAGAGCTTCTAAGCCCGTGGAGCATGCATTTGCGTCGTTCTCATTTCCGATTCACTTCTTCGCGGATTATGCTGGTAAAGAAAATAAAGCCAATCCCGAATATACATGCTGCTTATACTTGAAAAATAGGCAACAAAAGTCAACCCAATCAGTTTTCACAGGACATTATCAAGCTTCTGCACCAGAAGACCGGAGAGTGGCCGTATATCAGAGTAGGAGGGACTTCTGCGTGAGAACAATGGTACCGAAAAAGCGAAAAAGCGGTCACTGACATTATTTAGCGATCGCACCGTGTATAATGCTTCCCAAACTCAAGCTATAATCCTTTCATCTGTTTCAGATAATGGCATTCCTCTTGAAGTTACGGTAGGCCCTGTGTTATTTGAAGGCTTTGAGAATTTCTATGAAACGCCTTGGACTTTTCAAGTCAACCTTGCAAACAACAAAAGTGGTGCTTTAGAAAATGCCGTTGCGGAGGCAGAGGTGGCTCTAAGTCACATAAAAGGCAACCTAGTTGCTTTTGAGATCGGCAACGAGCCCGACCTCTACGCGGGAGCCGTAAGGCCGTTGAATTACACGGTCGCGGACTATGTTGAAGAGTGGAATCATTTTGCTGATGCTATCTCTGAAAAAGTGTTGCGTGGAAACTCGTACGGTCTGGACTCTGAGAAGCTATTCCAGGCTCTGACTTTCGTTTCTACAATGAACAATTTCACAACGTAAGTTTCCAACCAGGGAAACACGAAAGAAGATACATCCTGAACTGACTCGATATCAGATACAATGCCTTTAAAGATGGAATTGACTCGCATGGGCATGTCAAGACTGTTTCATTGCATCAGTTCGTTCTTCCTTCGCAAATGTTATAATGAAGGTTTCCTAACCCAAACTCAGGTACGCTGTGGGCAACCAGCCGTGGGTTAGACTCCAAGGTGAAAACAGAGGCATCATTCGACTAGTCAAATTTCTAATTTAGCTCAGGCTCATTCATGAATCATACGGCAATCGTTGCAAACTTGAGCCAATATATCGAGGACATGAATATTATTCGAGCCAACAATCCATCAATTCAATTTCTCCTCGGTGAGACTAATAGCGACTACGTCAACTTGGGCATGAGTCAAGACGAGGGAGTTTTTGGAAGTTCCCTATGGCTTGTGGATTTCCTGCTCTATGGGATGAGCCTGGTATGCCCACTATCACCTAGCATTTCATACTATCTGACACTGGTTTGAAGAACATTACACGCTTCAATATTATTCAAGGAACTACATTCGGGTATACCGCTTGGGTTCCCATTGAATTCAATAGACAGTCCCCTCAAGTGAGGCCTCCACTTTACGGTCAATTGCTCGCTGCCGATGTGATTGGCAAACATCCGAAGGTCCAAGTCAAATCACTGGATTTAGGTCGGTGGGACTTGTCCGCCTATGCGATTTATGAAGGAGATATCTTATCCAAATACGTTGTCGTCAACTTGGATGAGTGGAATTCCACAACGCCATACCCCCGACCTGTGCAAAACATTGCCCTTTCCTTGTCACGGGATGTGAAGAGGGCTGAGGTCAAACGGCTTACTGGACCAGGGGCAGAAGCGGTGACCTCCATCTCCTTGGGTGGCCTCAGTTGGAACTATACCGACGGCAGACTTGGAGAATTTGGCCAGCCCCAAGTCCAGATTTTTCATGAACATGATGGGAATGTGAAGTTCTCCTTGCAGTCAACGGAAGCAGCCATTATTGAGCTTCACAGGGCTTGAGTGATGAGCTACCTGGGCCGAAGAGGCTTACTCATATACGTTTCTTGACAAGCCAATGCGAACGATGTTCAATTGAGAAACACATTCGCCATCATTTATTGCTGCAGTAACTTGTAAAACGTCGATGGAAGACGATTAAATATATCAATGAAGTATGTTATCATTTTTTAGATCTACCCCAATGGTGAACTGTAATCAAGTATACCTTGCTCGGTCCTCGAATGATTTTCGGCAAGGGTTTATCCGATACAGGATTATGGTGTTCAGAAAGAGCTTTCTCTGACACTCCAAACATGCTGGCGGTTTCATATACTATTACAGAAACTGCGAGTAGAGACAAAAAAAGAAGCCTTCAAGAACTAAGAAAGAGGATGATCAAAGGAATGAGAACTAGATTGTGCAAAAGCATTAACTAGCAACAGTAACAGGGAAAAAACAGAACAAGACAGGGTGTAGGTAAAAGAGAGGCTTCTTCATCATCCGTGGATGATACAGTGGGCATTTGGATTGAAGGCAGCAACTTCCGAAATTCCTATTCAATGCAATTAGGTAACTTAAAACAGATAAAAACGGATATTGAGTACTGACAATTTCCTGCTGAGACATCAAACGGATATGGTTTTAACAAGAATCAGGATACCATGGATTATCTGCTTTGCAGTAATCTGAAAACGTCTTCACATTGGCGCCATTCGCGAGGTAGCAGTAATCCTCGGCTGCCCCATAGCAACGGCACATACTTGAGCCATTACCAACTTCTGCGCAGATCTCGGCAGTTTTCGAATAGTCGCCGGCTTTGGTTCCCTGGGGATTCTTGCACCGGAAGGCAGGGTCACTGCAGGCAGAGACAGCCGCAGTAAAGATAATCAAAGTAGATAGAAGCTTCATGGCTGAGATAAAGAAGTTGATAGCTAGTTGCCTTAGAAGGAAAAGTTATGATTTTAGTCTGCTGCGTAGCCTGTGTTGGACTTTGTAGGTTAGGTCATAGGACAGCTAGTCGACTTTATAACTTATTTCTTCCGATAAAAAGGGAAATACAGTAGTCACTTGCTAAGCATGGGCAGGCGCCAGAGTAAGGCAGAGTACTACAGAGTGCTCGCCGGGGCTCATAAACTCAAAAGGAGTAGTTAACACAGGTGGGGACTAGCTGCTCTCAGAAGGGTGTGAGCCTTAAGGCACAAGGCGGCCTGGATTGCCATGTTTGACTCACATACAGTTTACGCCGCGCGCCTTACAGGGTGGAAATGGATTTAAGCCTAATTCTCTTCATAGCGCGTAAACACCGTCAATCTGCTCTTTCAAAGCACACGGAGCGACCACCATTTTGATTAATAGCTAGGTAGCAATCCGAGCCGGTTACGCTTCTGAAGGCTCCTTTGAGTAGCAAGCCATTTAATAGTTAACAGGCCTTACAATGGATCCCATAGACCCTTACGAATTACACTGTGAAACTTTTAGATTGAAAACACTGCTAAATTTATTTTAATCGCAGGTTCTTAGGCCATACTCTAAGCTAAATGAGGAATGCTACGGAAAATATGTTCTGGGCATCGGCGTTGGGAAGATTATTGAAAGATCCTCAATTCCACCTTCAGAAAACTCAAACAGAAAACATAAACCGGGTCTCTAGATCGCCTCATGGAGAGGACAACAAGTCTGGCCTTTTGCCTCATGAGTCTATCCCGTGATGTGAAGTCACCCGACACTGGGAATCATATTGATTGCAGGGTCCTTCTGATTCCGGCGCGGTGGGGCGGGCCGTCACTGTTCACTTGGCTGCATGCGGGGGCGGATGTACCCGCACCATCGCCTACTCCACAATCCACGGGCCGTACACGAGCCCATCTGAAACATGTGGGCAGCTCTATCCGAGGACACAAAGACAGGGTAACATCAGCGATATTACCTGAAATCAGGATATTCGTTTTTAGAGTTTGAAAAATGAAGCAGGGTGGCAGCTTCACTGGACAACCTTGGATCCCTTCCCTGAACAGGGCAAACGTAAAAGTGCAGAGCAGGCACTTTCAACCGGTCACCAGTATGTATACCTGATCATGAACGAGACTCTACCAGAGCTAATCCATAAACCAGAAGTAGAAAGAATGGCTTCAAAAGGAGTGACGATTGACAGACACCAGCTTGTCTCCGTGGACCCTGCGAATGTGTTCCCTCATATTGTCACGTCTGTTAAACCACTTCTCACAACCATCAGCTGAACAGTAGTGGATGACCTTGCAGATATGTGCCACTTTCAAGTGCCGCAATAAATCGCTCTCTCGTCCAAAGGTACCAGCATATTTGCATCCCTCCCATCTACACCGAAGTTCTGCCCGATTTCTTCCGAGGCTAATGTTAAAGATTTAGTCACAACGAATACTTGAGATATCGGAAAGAGAGACTATTGCTCACCTATTTGTACAGCCTTCAAGATGGAAAGACCTCTTCCGAGACCCCACATTGCTAGAGCCGGAATTTCCTGCAGAGCATGCCGCTGTAGAATCGGAGTTGCTCTCTCTGTGGACCTGGTGGTTGATTGTCTGTCCCAACTCGCCGCAGACAATATAATCATCGGCCATTAAGCTAGAGCCAATGTCGTCAACATATTCTGTACCCAAAAGGTTATGAAAAAATGGGAATTGAAGGTCTTCCGTTGTTTGGAACGGCCATGGATTATCAAAACCAAACCCAGTGCCTATGTTGTTAGGAATGAGAGGCGTGGTGGAGGAGACATTTTCTGGTATATCACTCAAAAACCATTGAGAGACGTCTATTGCTGACGAAGGTCCCAGAGGAAAGCTAAATTCTGGTAGGTTAGGAGACACGGACTGAGGAGTGTATTGACTAGCCTCCAACTTAGTTGGACGGCAAGCAGACATGCTGCCATAAGATAGCTTGGTTAAGATAATAAGTTAAGGAGGCTTCAGGGAAGCTGAGGCATTAGCGTAAATGCATCACTTCAGCCTATTTAAACAGAATCTGTTCTTAAGGAAATATTGTGACAAGTATCGAATTATCCTCCACAATCCTACAGAGAGTCGTGCTCAAATTACGCCACTGACTAGGGAACTAACAATGCGATCCATGGCTATAGATCGGACAGCAGCCGTCCACTAGTGGCACAGTACATTGACGTAACATTACCACTATAGGACGAACTCATTATTTGAAAACTGTAAGAATATCCTTGAAGATTCCCTGGTTGATATTGGACTACCCTTTGTCGTTGGAGAGATCCCTGGATGTTCTCTCCACATGCTTAAATATCCCCTGAGATCAAATATGACATTTAACTTCCTCTCAAAAAACTAAATAATCAGTAAAAGGAGCAAACCCTGGCCGTATATCATTAACACCATCAAGCACAAAATTGGAGGGACTGCTTCTGAACCATGAAGTCGAGCGATAAGGACAAGACGAAGTCGGCCGCACCAAGAAAGTGTCGCAAGTAATGAGCTTCCTATCAGTAGATACTTTCTCTTCAGCGGTTCTCTTAAGCCTTGCTTTTGCGCCTTGCGCCGTGCGCCTGTTTCCGTTTGCGTTACAACTTACATAGAACGATGTTGAAACGCCACCCACGTATTACAACCTATATCATTACTACTTTGTAATTTTCCAGATCCCGTTTCCCTCCTCACCTAGCAAAGAATAGACTCTTTCCTTCGCTGTCAGGCGCATTTGGGCCGCGCCTGGTAGTTATATGGTCATGAACCAGTTCTCTGTAACCTTTCCTGTGGGAATACGAAGGGAAATAAGCATTCTGGGCCGAAGTCCTAGCCCTTTCTTTCTGAAAGTACCTTTGCTAGGGCGAAGATTGACCTGCCTCTCAGCGAGATCTGAACTATAAAGGCAGGCAGGCAAGCAGGCTTCCGTTTGCTTCAACTCAAGAAAGTTTCTTCATTAATTGAAAGCTTACGAAACCTCCATTTTAGGTGATCTTCTGAAAGGGGAGAATAATATGTCTGGATACGTTGAAGGTGAGAAGGTTACTATACTTGCAACACGTTCTTGATACTCATACTCGTGGATTCTTAGGCGCCGTTGTTAAAATCAACCAACCAGCAGCTGGCATTTATTATGCCACGCAGATATCTGATGCAGAAGCTGCTGCAACTTCTCTCAAAGCTGCATCGCCACAGCCTGAAGCTCGTATCAACTTCGGGCCAGTCAGCTTTTATGGGGTTCTTACAGTGAGGATTCAATATCTCTTTCTACTCTGCAATGTCCGGTCGCTCACACCAGGCTATTGAATAGGTCGCTGGGTACGTTGATACTAGCACGTACGAAGCCTCAGCTACAGTATCTGTACTTGGAATCAGCCTAGGCACTCTGACCGGAAGCCTGAAAACCGGAATATCTGTTCAGGTCAACCTAATTGCTGTCAAGGGTGAAATACGGTTTTACTTGAAGAATTCCAATGAATTATGGGTAAATTTCGATCTCAGCGTTATTTTCGACGGAAGTTATAACGATGATGTTAAAATAATCACTCTTTAATTGTGGCATTGGTTTGAAACGGAATGAAAAAAGGTTTGCTCCGCGTTTCGTCTGATTTCGAAATGGGCCTCAGTGTAGGTTTTTCTCCTTACTTTATTAGGTTTTCCCTATACTATGATGCAAATGCAGAGGCCCATACAGTATTATCGCCACTTGCTGTTACTATATTCTGAAGTCAGTTGTATTTAAGTTTAATAAATCAAGTAAATCTCAACACCAGAGTATCTTATCTTTAATCTGTACACTGATATTGACAGATCATCATCATTCGTCACAGTTCCGGCTGATATGCAAAGTCATAGTAAAATAAACAAGAAACCAGTCTCCGCTCTAGTTATAATACATTCCTAGCCAGGGCCTTCAAATCCACACTGTATAGTCAGAATGTTTGGTAGTCAATGAAACCAGGCATCACTTGTCCCATGTTTTGCATTTTTGCCTCGTAATAAAAACCGTGAGTTGTTTATAGATGGAGATAGTCTCTCCTACTAGACAGATATCTGGTACGTACGACATGTATTAAAACTACTAAGAACGGATATTTTAAAACGAACGGGCTTGTCTTCACCAGAAATAGTCCTCCGATTATTACTTCTTAGAGAAAGCTTCAAGATTTTTGGTAAATGCAACTAGACTTTGTAATGTCATCGACTCTACAGAGTTTCCGCCTTGCGCCTCGTCAAAACAACTCAAGAGCTCCTAAATAACGTGGAGCCAAAGAACAAAGCGTCATAAGAGGATTTTTTTGAGCCTCTATCAACCAGGGACCAAATTATGATCCGACACTCACCGTTTCATATTCAATTGGAACACGTAAAACGCGCCTAATGACGCGCACGGTCTGGAATGGAATAAAGTTCATGAGACAGGACAAGGCGCAAAAGTGCGATCGCCACAGTGCGTGAGGGCCATGCTTTAAACCAGTTAGTGCGAATTTTTCAGGAGTTTTCAACAGCATGGTGTTATCAATGTCTGTTAACCAAGGCGCGGTAGTACTTTCTTCAATCTCCTCTGAGTGTGTTATTTCTGAGCCTTGTGCCGCAAGCATATATGGCCACTTAGGGAAGTTCTCTAGCACCACATCAGTCTAACATTGTATGTACCGTTTCAGCTAGAACTATTGAACATTGTTTTTGCAAGAATCTAGTCACGGTTGTCTTTTTCGAAAAATGCCTATGTCAACCGTAATCTACGGTATTCTTCTTCCTTCTCTTGGTTTCGCAAGGATGGCTGCACATGCTGATCTAGGATGCCGAGGTCAGTAGAATGGCAATTCGGTCCTTCAATACTAACAGTCTACCTAGATGTTTCTGCAGAAGTTTTAATGCAACTGATCCTATTCTCGGAATACTGTGCTGCGGCTACTTGTGCAGGAAACTTCAACTCCAAAGGGACAAGGGTTGTGTGCGATCCAGGTGTATGCCCGACTCTGGAGCAGACGGAGACAATCATAATCACTGGATTCAAGGAGTATGAGAAGCTGTGGGACAGGCATGGAGTTGAAGGCTAATGTTATATAGACTTAATCCGGGTGACACTACTGGCTTCCTAGCCCTTGATACGACTAATAAACTGATCGTTCTGTCATTCCGGGGTACCCGAACGCTAGAAAACATCATCACGGATTCTGAATATCAGCAGGTACCTATCTATGAAATTTGTCCAGATTGCCAAGTTCATCGTGGTTTCTATTATGCCTGGATAAACTTCTCACAATTCATAATGCCATATATCGACCGTATCGCTACGGAACATCCAGACTATAACATCATCTTCACTGGTCACAGTCTTGGAGGTGCCCTTGCCACATTTGGGGCAGTACTTGAGGGAAGCACCAACAGACCCATTGGTCTGGTAAGTGTCACAGTGAAATCAACATCTGAAAATCTATCCAGACAAAGTGCTGATGAGAGATTAGTATACTTTTGGATGTCCTCAACTAGGGAATTATAGTTTTTCTGAATTTGTCGGCCGCCAAACTTCAGACACCGGATACAGAGTGACTCATACGGATGATCCGGTGCCCAGAATCCTATCTACGACTGCTAAGGTCAACAAGACTTGGCAGTATAGTACAACATCCCCAGAATACTGGATTACCTCACCAAATGGCGCACCAGTCACGATCAGTGATATCCTGGTGATTGCGGGCATTGATAACAAACGTGGAAACCTTGGCCAAACCGCGTTTGATCTTGCAGCTCATAATTGGTACATTGGCAACATGAGTGGGTGTTCAATGAAGTAAATTTCGGCCACAGGGATCCGGTTTACAAAATAGTGCTATTTCAACCATTATACATCTGACTATTATGTACCTTGAGTTGAAAGTATCAAAGATAACAGAAGTTTAGTCAAATGTTCTGATTATTATGTGCTTTAAATAGCTTTCAAGCCTATTTCTTGACATTAGCACTGTAATTAGTATCTAGCTCTTTCATAGTCAAGAGAATGGCTTTCGGGGAATAATTAGTATGATATATACATCTTCGCCCACAGAATTTGGTTTAAGCTCTTTTTAGCAAGATTAGTTTATCATCCGGTCTGACAATCAGCATTGCGCTACCGCTGAGGATTCCTCGAAGATACTACCATGACCTTGTACACTCAGGTTTTGCTCTGGAGGACAGGTTAACACAGTTTTTATTACAATTATTTGTTTCAATAGCAGTAACAAAGTACTCTTCCGTTTGTTATACAAAAACTCATACAAAAGCATTGCTCGGTGTAACGGGCAAGGACCCGATGCAGAGCGCGACCTGTTCCAATTCACCACCGGATGTTTCAACATAGCAGCCGCTGTGTGATAGCCACATGTAGGACCCAGGGTTGGGGACTGGACTGCATAGGGCGATACTGGCCTGTGCTGGCCTGTGCTGGCCGCAGTTAGCCGGTGCCTGGGTGCATCGGCGATACGCAACACGATTCGTGCCTGAGGCCAATTACCAGTTGTATCTGAATGCTCATGCATGCGAAGCTCGACATAGAACTACACGGTGGTACGGAAATATATCCGTTCCTTGGGTAGTGTCCTTTGTGGCATTATAGATCAAGGGTTAAAAAGCCGATTGGGACGGGCCCTAGACCCACTTTTACCCTCTATAGTTAAGACCAAAATGAGGGTCCTGTCCTAATCACCCTCAAGGGGTCGAATGCCCCGCATCGGTCTCTAACCTGCGAAACCAAACAAGAAAACCTTTCGCTTGGTCAACGAGTGTTCGCATAGCAGGTGCCGACTTTGAGCGGTTGTGGATAACTGAAGCTTTTCTCTAGAGACAGTAGGTCAGTAATGCCCGAGTTAGGAGAGGGAGCGGGTGATGCCGAAACAGACCTCTCTGACTCATTCCCCATTGTTTGTGTGCAAGACATATAATCTAGCACCTCGTTCTAAGCAGTGGCCAGAAGATTACGCAAACATCGCTTCATCAAAGCAAGTTACTTTCGGCAAACAAAGAAACCCGTGCAGAAGGCGTGGACAATAATTTCGCGTTCATTCATCTGTTCGATCAAGAGTGGCAAACCCACCCACAATGTACCTTGGACCTCGGCTAGCCAAGTTAAACGAAGTTCCTGCCATCGAGGAGATTATTCGCCAAGCTTACTCCCCTTATATCGAACGTATAGGGCGACCTCCAGGGCCGATGTTGGAGGACTATAATGCATTGGTCAAGGAAAATCGGGTTTCAGTTATCGAGCAAGGCAGAGTTATACAAGCAATCCTTGTGCTCATTCCAGAAAAGAGCTCGTTGTTATTGGACAACGTAGCTGTCTCTCCATCCGCGCAAGGATTGGGATTAGGCCGAAGGATGATAAAATATGCTGAGAAGATTGCTTTGGAAGTGGGATACCCATCTATTAGGCTGTACACAAATGAGGCCATGGCGGAAAATATTCGATATTACAGTCGCCTTGGATATGTGGAAACACACCGAGTTGAGGAAAAGGGACTTAAGAGAGTGTACATGTCCAAAACCTTGACTTGAAATATCCTTTTTAGTCTATTCTAGAATGATCTTTACAGCAGTTAGCTACTTCGTGTGCCTGTCGATTCCTTCCCCAACTCGATTTAACCACTCACTGAACCAACAATATTTCCATTATCTTCGTCAAATATATTAAACGCACCGGAATAAAATAATCCCTCGCTAGCGGGCACACAAGGAGCAAGATAGTCTGCCTTGACAACCGAATGATTCGCTGGGTAGAACTCGAAAACAACAATATCCCCAACGTTTGCTGTGATATTATGCGGTACATATCGGTGAGGCGCCGTCTTGGGACCGACTTTAATAGTGTGCGTAGCGATGGCTGTTGTAGAACTGGCGCTGAACGTGGAAATAGTCTTCTTTTTTTCTTCTGTCGCAGATGTCGTTTTGTTTCTGCCAAGGCAACAACGGCGACTAACAACAAACGGAAGAGGTGCACCAGCAGCATACCGACCCGGAAATTGATTCAGAGTGAACCAGCGCAAGAGACAGAGAGGTAATTCGAAGTAAGAATTCTACAAATGGAAAAAGAGGGAATGGGTTGGATAGAATTCGAAAGTAAAACCTTTGTGGAAGTCGAACAAAGGAAAGAGTTACGCCGGAGTTGATGTCCGTAGACTTTGGCCGACCATGCATGCTATCACGTCATAAATTCATTACATACAACAATCAATAAATGCGATAATACCATCGCTATCCCAGAGAAGTGTGCAGAGAAAAAGAAGAAGTACGTAGAGTGGAGTGTTGCACTGCCTTGCTGCCTGAGGTATCAGTTCTCGGCATCCTTTGTTGCCTTTCTTTTTGCTAAATATTTTATTGGTCGTCCCTTCTCGTCCATACATACATTTATTCTATTTCCCGGTCACTCTGAGCAGTTTATAACCTCCGCAACCGCGGTCAAGAGTCCGCTCACATGGTTACTGGGTCAGATCTGGACGGACCGTGATACGGTCCGTCTTCACGGTCCGCCTCGATGATCTGCCGTGACCGGTCTATTATACTTGCCTATCCCAGTGTGGAAAGCCTACAGGATCAAGATTAGTCTTGAGGATTTCTCGTAAGATTTTCCCGAAGGCGATAAAGACTCCTCTACCTCTTCCTTGCATGTCCGGCCACGGGCCGCGAAAGCGGGTCGATGTACTCAAGACTACGAAGCAAAATACTACTTATAATGCCTTTCCCCTTATGATCTTGTTTAATCCACAGTCTTCAATTATCGGGACGAAATGGACAAGAACAAGCAAATTGTCATCGTTGGTGCTGGGGCCTTTGGCCTTTCCACGGCACTGAAGCTAGCTCAAGAGGGCTATCGCTCAGTGACTGTCCTGGACCGAGCCATGCCGCCTGTGCCAGACGGATCCAGTGTCGACATTTCCCGCATTATTCGTTTTGACTATGGAGATGTGACATACGCTCATATCGCAAAAGAGGCATACGACCTGTGGAAAGACTCCCCAGATTACAAGGACGCATTCCATTCTGCGCCCTGCGTGTGGATTTCTCACGAGGCGACTCCAGATCAAGTGATCCAACCTCGGGCTGCAGAATATAGTCTCAAAACAAAGCAAGTCCTGACCAACATGGGCCAGGAGTGGCATGCTCTGAGAAGCGGGGCGGAGGCCAGGAAAGCATTCCCTACGTTGACGGGCAATATGGATGCCCCTGGTTGGGACGGTTTTTACAACACCGCGGCTGGTTGGGCGGACGCAGGAGCCGCGGTGGCACAGCTTGCAGCCCGATGTATCTCAGCTGGAGTTTCAATCATTGCGGGTCCGAATGGCCAAGTTTCTAAATTCGAGGAACGAGAAGATGGAACAATCAGAGCCGTCCGAACTGTCAATGGAAACAAGATTGACGCGGACTTGTTTATTGTTGCCGCCGGTGCTTGGTGTGCCAGTCTTATTCCCGCCTGGAATTCAATGTTGGCCGCTGGACAGATTGTGGGATACTTGCGCCTGACACCAAGTGAAGTCGCCAAACTGAAAGATCTCCCTATCTACTTCAATTTCTCCACTGGCTTTTTCTGTTTCCCTGCCCATGAGGCTTCGGGATATCTAAAAGTTGCGTGCCATGGCTACGGTTATACTTCGTCGGAGACAGGTGTATCTGCACCACCTATCATGGCCGTCTCGTCGCGAGCCAATTTCATCCCTGCCGATGGCGTGCGCCGACTTCTTGCCGGTTTGAAAGATATTCTGCCCGAACTTGTTACTCGAGGATTTGAGCGAGTGGGACTGTGCTGGTACAACGACACCCCGACCGGAGATTTCATCATGGACTATCATCCTCAGCACAAAAATATGTTCATTTGTACTGGCGGCAGCGGACAGTAAGTGAAATTAAGACTGGAGTATTCAAGTCCTATGAAGCGATATGGCTAACCTCGATTTTAACAACAGCGGATTCAAATTCTTGCCTGTCATTGGAAAATACGCTGTCGGATGCCTTGAACGAACGCTGCCCACCGATCTTATAGAGAAATGGAAATTCCCTACACAGTTCCGCAATGAATTCCAGGAAAATATATTCACGGGAGACGGAAGTCGTGGAGGTCCGGCAAGAAGAGAGATGACAAACCATGAACGCAACTCGTACAGCTCCGCTGCAAGAGCAACTGTGGCAAGGCAGAGCAAGATCTAAAGATGAAACCATGAATACAATAATGAATCCATGTTTGAAACTCCGATGGCCTTCAGCCCACTGACTGATGTTCACAAACTAATCTACGAACATTTCAACTTCATAAGCTCTCTGCTAAATAACCATCCAAGAGCATCCAATCAGGAATGCCAGGTATCCCCTCTCCAAGATTATCACAGCCATTTCTACCAGCAAACGGCCAACCTCGCATGGGGTATTCGCTTTCACATTCTGGAATTTGCGCGAGGAGCTGTTTTGCACTGGGAGAAAGAACAACGGAGCCCTGGTCTATCCCCTGGACGTCTGATATAGGTAGTTGGTCCACAGGATGTGAGTCACTTAACCCGATATCCTGGTCTAACGAAGGACTTAAAGCCTGGTTTTCCATATCAACAGGATCAGAAAACGAACTGAGATCAAGAATCTCCCACAGCAGCGCTTCGTCCTCGTCAGACATTCGTGGTATATTCAATGTAGTGGGCATGCTGGGATGAGCCCCGGAATATCGGTCCTGATTATAATAAAGAGAGCCATAATTCCGGTGCCGCGCAGCTATTTCGTTCACACGACCAACCTAGATGAGAAATATCAGTAACTATATCTCCTGTCACGCTGGTCAACTCACCAAGAACTTCGTGCTTCCCCAATGTGTGGACAGACGAGTCATGAAATCAACCAACACTCGAAACTCGTCGTTTACCACCAGAGCAACTTGTGCCTTTTTGTTGACTGTGTGCTCTAGCTGGATCGTGGCTGCTATGGCTGCAAGATACCCAAGAAATGGGTCATAGACTTGGAAATCAACCTCGGACATTTCCTTGGCCAGTCGCGCAATCCATCGAGAATGAAGGAGGGAACTTTCGTACGATTTTTGCAAAAACGTTGCAGAGAGATTTCCTTTCATATTGCGAAGTTTTGCCATCGTGAAAAATGGATGATGCAGAATGCACTGAATTGAATGCAGGAGAAATTGGCAGCTTAACCACGTGGAAAGATAGGCGCGAGACTGGGGATCTTGGAGAGCACGTCGTTTAAAGTCCACATTTATATAGCGATACTTGTCTGGAAAATGTGTCTCAAAATCTAGCCATTCTGACTCTAGGACTCCGAGTGTTGATCCAGTTTGCCAGGGGGGCAATGAGTCTTCCCTGAATGGTTCGAAAACATACTCTGTAGCTTTGCCCCATAAAGAGTGCAGTCTGATGAGGCATGTCAGGATGCCCTGATCCGCGTTCTCTCCCATCATTCTTGGGCTAAGTCGCAATCTTTCGCTTGTTGGTGACCCTTGTCTCTGATCTGGCTCTTCTGTATCTTTCGCCGGAAGCTGGAGAGTGAAGTGTTTGTCTGCAAGACATGTAGAATAATTCCTTGAGGCATTGTAACTGCGATCCAGCATGAAGAATGCCCAAGTTATGCGTCTTGTTTCTTCTACCTCGGAGTGCTTCAGGGTCAATGCGTGCTGCTCCCTGTTCAGGCCAGCAGACTGGATTGTTCGAATACCAAGAGCGACAGAAGCATATGCCCGTTGGGCTCGACCATCAGCAAAGTCAACCTGAGCTAATAGGAAGGTTCCCTGTAGAAAAGAAAGCCCCATTTTGGAATCTCTGTATTGCTTTGACAGGACATCCCATGCCTTTCCAGTACAGTACTTCGTGACTGACCTGTTGTTTATAACATCCGAGCGATGTGTGAGACGCGACGTAAGGGCTACCAGTGGAAATGCAATTTCCGGAGGTAGCGAGCCTGCATTCGCGAGTAGCCAACTCTTGGAGAAGACACAGTATGGTTGATCATGGAAGTATCCAAGGTATGTCTCTACTTCTGATTTCAAGAAGTCCTCGGAGAGCAACGGCCTTGTTAAAAATGTATCAGCTTCTCGTCAGACGTAAATTTGGATTGGGAAACACTCACCAAGGCCAACTGCTTTTGCCTGAACATGGAGAACCGAGTATTGGTCCATAATTAGTGGGAGGTGCAGTAGGAAAAATGGAGTTATTATGCCTTGGTAACAGATGTGATGACTGTGAAATCTGCGCTGGGCCTCCAATGAATGGCGTAGCTCTCGACAAGTTTTGTCTAAAATGAGCGAGTTGTATAGTTAATACCAGTCTTGTTGCAAATGCGGAAACAAATAAACAATAGGATGAAACATACTGCAGGACATGGGTCAAGTTGTCTAATTGTTTTTCAATGCGCTGAAATGCCTGTGATCCTTGTATATTTGTCTGGTGTGTCTAGCAAGTGATTATCAGTTCCTCGAACAGATATGGGGGTTGGTTGATGGAGGTTGATATAACGCCTACCGCTTGCGATTCAATTGGAAATTGTTCGTGACCACCGCTTGAGGGGGGCTTGGTGTGCCTAGCCCTGTCTGATGTTGGCTGCGAACCATATGTACATCGCTGGCCTAATCTCTCACACAATGTGCATGTGGGCTTTTCTCCAGGACAACGTGCCTTCTTTCGACTATAACATACCAGTCAGGGTTACTGCTAAGCTTTTGACAGTAGAGGCAGCCTGGCAAAGCATGCCAGAAAATGCATCATCTTCACATAATTGAGAAGAGAACGTACCGACATGGACCACACGCTTGGCGAGTTCGTTTAAGAGAGACTTTGTGTATTGTGTAATTGTCATTCAAGGCACTCATTTCGGCCGATGATAGAAAGTGGTTTTCCTTCAGCCAACACACATATGGATTTGCTATCGAAAACGCAATTTTAATTCCGATGGAAAGTGGCACCGGCCGATTTTCGCTTGCCTCTGGTTGGTGGAGACAAGCCAACCGCCCATGGAGGGGTACGGAGCGGATCAATGAAATACCGTAGCATGTTCACGATCTATGCAAGTGTTTAATCAATTATATGTGTTAAAGACTCTGTTGCACAGAAGGTAAGGCATTTAGTTTGTTTTAGGTCGATATGAAATATTGTTCTTGAGCACAATAAGCGGTATAGGTGGACACTGCTCCAAGAGGCTTCAACGCGACGAAGAATATAATCGACAGGGAAAGCATCTACTAGTCTACAGGTTGTCAAGCATCTTGCACCCAATAGGTGCTAGGCTCTATGCGTTGCATTAGGTTTAATAGACGGAATGTGCATGATCGGTTTTATGCATGGGCATTTGCCTCAGTGCGCAAGACATATGCACAGGGCTACAAGGTATGGACCGAACGGAGCAAGGAAAATATTTTTCTTCGTTTAAATATGGCCAGCGACCACATAGGAACGTGATTCCTATTCGAGGTATACCTTCCATTGACGTGGCTGTCTCCTTGTGACTTGCCGCCACCGAAATTCCTTCGCCCTTCCGGCGATCGGTGCCTGCTCCGAGGTCTAGAATCCCGGGAACCATTTTCAAGCTCCGTCTTACTCGGGATCACCCCAGCATGCCTGTCTCACATATCGGTATAGAAACCTAATATCTTTCATTGAATTTTTATGTGCCGATCGATATGAGCATGCGCAATGTTAGCCTAGGTACCAAAAATATAGATTGGAAAAATCCTCCCGTTGTTGGCCACGACCCTCCGATCTTGGACGATCCATCGGCTAGCAAGGAAATGCAGACATTGAACCGGATTTCGTATACCAGTGGCAATTATGGAACGAGATCTTTTCGTATTGAGATCCATGAATACATGTTCACACAAAGGAGATCCGTGGAGCCGATAAGAAACCGCTCATGTGATCGGTTTCAAAGCGGAGCTTATGACATCTCACTGTGGGGCGTTACCCCCGAGTAACGTCAGATGACATGAGTCCTTGTCGAGCTGATTACTCCCTCTTGTCCAGTATTCTTGACAGGATCGTTTTGAACTAGATTTCACCAAATAATATGGGAATAGCACAAGAAAATATGGTGCAGCCTGAAGCCTACTACATCCCCAAAGGCGAATTCGTTCCAAACAACCCGCTTCCTGCTCTCGTGTACCGCAATGTACTTCATCGACCTGTGACCGGAGAATCAGCTCAAGCTCTCTGCGAGGGAAATCACTGGGAAAAGCGGGTAAGTTAGGATAGTTAGGATAGGTTCGGTCCAATACCTCCTCGTTCTCCCTACACGAATACATACATCTTGGACATTTATCAAATCCTTTTCTTCGTTACTCACCGCGCTCTGTAGGGTGAATGGGGAGCTATCTGGGAAGCACATTTCCATCCCAACAGCCATGAATGCTACGGTGACCCAAAAAGTCCAATAGATGATGAAAATGCCCGGAGTTACTGACACCAGCTTTAGCCATTTTACAAGGTAGCTCGAGGTTAGTCTTAGGTCGTGAACGTCATAAAACCTCTACAGGAGGTGTTGAGATAGATGTCACTGTTGGCGATGTTGTGGTCGTTCCTGCAGGTGTGTCTCATCGATCAATTACTGCGCGGGACGACTATCGCTACATTGGAGTGTATCCAGAAGTATATCATCCTCCAAGCTAACTATAAATTCTGCTAACCCAGCGGGAATTAACAGCAATGCCCCAAATGGCGTAACGACTTTTGCAAAGGCAAGGAAGATATGAAGGCATTGGAGGATGAGATAAGGGCAGTTGTAATGCCGGAATATGACCCCGTGTATGGGAAAGATGGTCCCTTGGTGACGCTTTGGAGAGAGGTGACAAGAGAGAATAAATTGTGAATATTGCGATACAATTCTTTTGAAAACGTATCTGCCTTTCATCACATTCCTCACATTTTCTTCCATGTGAATTTGTAGAACTTTTTAAACACAGTATTTGGGGGTGAGGCTCATGCCGAGATGAAATTGTTGGATTGAGAGTTCGAGATTGATCATATTACATGAATGATGATTCTTCTGGCGGAAGCAAGATAGGTACTGTATAGAATAATGTAAAACAAGGATATCTTGGACGAAGGATATAACATGAAGCTAATTGAAACAAGGTCGTGATGCTGATCCAAAACTCGAAAAGCTTTCCATTCCTTGATTTGCCTCAGGGGGCACATCTAGAGGGAAATGTAGAACTGATTGGGTTAATTGCACCGAACCTTATTGTGATCAGCAAACATCATTGGGTTTGACCTAGTGGGGCAATCAGGACGTAAGACGGTAGCAACACCGATCAAAACCGGGTGGCGTTCATTTGTCGGCGCCTGAACACCGTATACCGGAGCCTTCATCCCTGTAGAAAACGACCATGGATATGTTTGTGTCTATTCTTGCAACTAACGCCGCTATCATATTCCGGTCCTGTGATCGGTATAGACCTGATATGGAGTATTCTCACGGCAACGCCAGTACCAGCTCTTATCGAGGTCAAAGGTGTTCTTTGTATCTTACTGCTATATAAACGGCACATCCTTATCACAACATGAATGCCTGAATTCAATATTCAAAAACAATTCTAATACCAAGCACTCCCATCTCTCTCCACATACACCTGTCTTCCTTGTCGTGATGGTTCCATCAATCTTGAAAAGCTACTTGGGCCTTGAGAGCAGTCCAGCACCTGTACCCACCAAGGATGCCAATACGCCCGTGAGAGCTTTGCCATCCTCTTGGTACAGATCTGAAGAGATTTACGAGCTTGAGAGACGGGCTATCTTCTCCAGAAAATGGATGCTTACTACCCACAAATTGCGACTTCCCAACACCGGAGATTGGCTCCGCTATGATGTGGCTGGATACCCTTTCATTCTTGTCCGCGACCGTGAAGGAAACATCAACGGATTTCACAATGTCTGCAGACACCGTGCGTTTCCAGTGGTGACCGAGGAAGGAGGTACATCCAGGATCTTCTCTTGCAAATACCACGGCTGGTCCTACGGACTCAACGGTAAGCTGGCCAAAGCGCCTGGCTACCAAGAGCTAGAGGGTTTCGACAAGAGCAAGAATGGACTGCTGCCTGTTCATGTTCATATTGATTGCAATGGATTTATTTGGGTCAATTTGGATGGAGGAGAAGAGCCTGAGATCTCTTGGAAAGACGACTTCAAGGGCATTGACCTTCAGCCCCGATTCCAGGACTTCAACTTCGATGACTACAAATTTGACCACACGTGGGAGATGAGTGGGGAGTACAACTGGAAGATTCTTGCCGATAACTACAATGAATGTTACCACTGCGCGACGACACATCCCGATATCTCTGCTGTCGCAGATCTCAGCTCTTACGCTGTTGATACCAAGGATGGCAGTATTATTCATTTTGCGAACGCACGATCAGACCAGATAAGGACTGCAAGCACCTATTACTTTCCTAATGCCTCAATGACGGTGACGTAAGTGTTCCTTTCCATTGTGCCTAACTTCCAGAGCCTCGCTGACTTATTTAGATCAAACTTCTTTTTCATGCAGAGATGGGCGCCTACTTCTCAAAACCAGTGTGCGATGAAATACGAAGTATACCGACATAAGAACGCAAGCGATGATGACTTCGAATTAATTAGTGGGATGTATAAGCGAATCATGTCGGAAGACAAAGAGCTCTGTATTGCAACGCAGAAGAACTTGAACATTGGTGTTTTTGTTAACGGCGAATTACATCCCAGGCTGGAGAAAGGTCCACTTTACTTCCAGAAGACTGTCCGTGAGCTTTTGCAAGAGCACTACAAGAGAGAAGAGGAAGCGCAACAGCAGATCTGGCCAGCTCAACAAACCCTGCCGAGGGAGGCCTCGACTAGCCAGAACGATATGGATTTCTATACAGACTTGACCACTAAAGGCCAGGGCGCTGACAGCTGTGCCACTGTAGCTCGTCAGTCAGACGGCTGCTGTGGAGGCATGGCTTGTGGAGCCAGCGGCGCAGCCCTTGTTCAGTGATTTCAGTTGTCCAACTCGGTAATGATATCAAGACTGCAATGACATTTTTATTTTAATCTTTCATAATGATTAGAGTCCAAGATTTGCTGGGCGATATAGCAAATAGTTATTTTCCGCTTTTTGTGGCACAAGAACTGAACAAAGCCTATTTTCTGAAACACGGAATCCCTCCTACAAGCACCTGGCTCCTGATTAAATCGCTTTATGACCTTTGAAAGAATAGGATTTTACCCTATGTTGACAGATTGATGAGACTGATATCTCATCCGAGATTCTATAGGGATTTGGGGAATCCACCGACCGAAGTACCCGTCTGTATATGCAGCAACCCACGCATGACATGTTCGAAGTCAAATACGAACCAAATGCCGTTGAGGCGATAGTTAGCATCAGCCGATTAGAATATTATATATTAGACATCTGGTGGGCAGGACAAAAAATTCTAAGTCACGCATTGAACCATCCCCACATGGAATTTTTAACCTCTTTAAGTGAAAGTTGAAGTTTGCTCCACCAAGGCGACATCGTTCCACACTTGAACCATCAGCACGGACCGTGGCAACGGACCGCCTGATAGACTAAAATCAAGAGATTAGTAACGTGTTCTTTGTTGTTTTGGCCCGGCGAGGGTCGACCTGGGCCACCAGACCCTGCTCGGTCGCTAAACTAGTCTTTTTGGATCCAGACTTGGATTGGGGCGATTGCTGCCTTTCCCCCGCCCCTCCTCCCTCATGTCACCATCGTCACCATAATTAATTAATGAACACCCTCCCTGGTGGAGTGACAAGCTTTCAGTCGTGCCTTGTTTTCGTTCACACTACATGCTTGGGCCATAATCATTATGGCCTCTCTTGACTATGATTTACTGAAAGTCCAAGTGCCTCTGAGGTGATTGCAACCGCTGGCAAATCCACTTAGTCGGCCGATTCCGTCAACAGGCACAACACATCTGGTGGGAATTTCACTCGGCTTCCTCTACACGAACTGTTGAGAAAATCGTATCATGCCGCGAGAAAGTAGCCGTGGTAGACTTCGCTCTCATGAGGCTTGTCTTAACTGCCGGTTAGTTAGCCTTCTTCCTCCCTTGTTTCAGTGGTGCTAATCTACTATTATCTAGGCGAAAGAAAACTCGTTGTCCCGCAGAAAAACCGGCATGTTCAAGTTGTGTACGCCTCAATCAACCTTGCTATTATACGTCTACCGTCAGAGCAGGGCGGGGTGGCCAATCTGTATACTTCACACCACATATCTGTCCTTGCTATCTGAGTATTGACATCTTTGACAGGAAGATAGACTTGCATCCTTGGAAGAGAAAGTAAACGCCATTCTCAATGGTTCAAGGTACTTATTATTCCACCACATCGATTCTTGGAGGTTCAACTGACAGGTCGTTAGGTCAAACCGTGGTGAACATGCACACGAGGATGTCTCGGAATCTTCATACTCGGCAAATACTCACCCCTCCTGTAGTGATCCCGGTTACACCCTTAATGACATGCTCTCTCTCGGATTCGGTCTCGATAGTTCAAATCAACAGCCACCCCATACGTCTATTAGCAGAGGATTGGATCTCTACTTTGAATATTGCCACAGACAGCCCATTTGGTGCTTTGACCGTGAGGATGTTGAAGACACGAGTTATCTTCCTGAGGAGCTTGCTTGTAGTATTTTGGCTCTCACTTCGCGCTTCTCGCGAGATCGTGACCGATTACAACACTACGGTGATAGTGCAAGAAGTCTGATCATGCTTCGTGTTGCAAATGGGACAGTGGAACTTGGAACGATTGAGAGCCTGTGTCTTCTCTCCTACTCTTCATTTGTTGGTAGGTACAGTGTTATTGATGTGTGAAACCCTATCGAATATTGACACCTATATAGACGGTAACATGCAGCTGGGTCGATTTTACCTTGGTCTTTCATTTCAGCTCTGTCGGTCCGCTATGCTTGATTTTGAATCAGCTTATACAGCCGAAGATCCCATGACAGAGCGGAAGAGAAGACTATTCTGGAGCCTTCAATCACTAGAGCAAACATACGGTCAGCAAAATGGATTTCTCAGTGTCCCCACCGATATTCTGCGCCCAGTTTATGTTTCAACATGCAGTGATGGGCTGCTTAAGGAACCGGGCTCAAAGCATCCGCCCTTTCCCAACGATGAAATTGGGTGTTCAACATCAAGCGACATCGGAATCTGGAATCTGGCAGCTCACATCAACTGGGTTTGGAGTCGGGTACGAGCATATATTGCCGACTGTGCTCAGAATCGACTCAAGGAACCTTGGCGACACGATTCTATGTACTCCATGGTACTGTCTGACTTGACAGAAATTGAGAATAAGCTTTCGCTATGTCATCGATACGAGTCTGTCAAATTTTATGAGCGCGAAACAAACGAACTTGAAATTATGAGGGATTACTGGTCCCCTTGGCTGAAGCTACAGTTTACCTACCATTCGATCCTCACTGTATTGAACCACCCCTTTCTTTACATCGTCGCGTCGCAGCATAACCCCAATCTCGCCATCCCCAATGCGTTTTGGAGACGATCTTCGGAACAGGTACTGTTACATGCTACCTGGATTGTTCGAATGATCGATATGGTTTCAGACAAAAATTTCCGACTGATTGACCCTTTCTTTGGACATGCTGCCGCAATTGCAGCGACAGTGCATTTGTACTATTGTTGTGCTGCGGATCCAAGATTGAAACATAAATCAAAAGCGGACTTTACCAAATGTCGCAGATTTTTGAAAAGCTTTGTGTCTTTTTCTCCTGCATGTGCAGGCTTGGTATGTTTTTACATCACTTAACATACAACAGATGTGAGCTGACCAGATAAGGACCGTTCCCTCGACAAAATGACACGCATCGCCTCTGGCTCTGACAACCTTGAATTTGACTGGGCGCCTGGCAAAATACATCTGAGTATACCTTTGATGTGGGATGTACTTGAAGTCAATCCTGCCCCGGACCCTCAAGAAATGTCCACTAGCGGTCTACTACATCCTTCCCTGGCACCGACAGCATCTCGAGTGGACTTAGAGGAGAGCTCCAGTTCTACACTTGAAATAATTGTTGCAATGTCACCAGAAGTGACAGTCAACACTGCTGATGGCGGCCAGGCCGTGCATATACCACCACGCATGCCCAAAGTGTCTTCCACCCCTGTTTCCCCAAGTACTATGGGGCTTCGAGATGTTTTGGTTGCACCTGCCGACAGCCTGATGTCGAATACCCCTTGGTTATGGACCGATCCTACTCAGTTTGATGACCTTGAGAGCCTGGAATACCAAGACTCGGAGTCTACTGTTCCAAACCTTGAAGGATTTTCCACATGGTGGGACTATGGGAATCTCTAATTAGTACGGTTAATTACAAATCGTTTTTCTTTTGGATCTTGGACGGTAATCCCCACTTAACGATGTTATTTGGCTGAGAGTCTTTGTGCATGCCTTGAAAGATATATCAAATACATTCTCCTTAGATCGTTTGAATACATTTTTCCAGAAAGGCTGCAACTCGTCTCACATCAGCCAATTCGGCGACTACTCCAACATATCCATCAGGCCGAATGACTGCCACAGCTCCTTTCTCCGGTTTCACGCCATAGGTTCCGTATACATCGTCCATCTCGTAACCGCTGTAAAAGGACATTTCAGAGCGCAACTTCAGCTCGGATGGAAGGTCGTTCCACATGAATTCTTTTGGCAAACGCGGGTGAATGGCTACCTGTTCAACTAATGATTGCGGAAAGCGACCGATTAGCTGTGACAGCTGTGTCAATGTCTGTGCAGAGACACCCTGCGGGTCGAGCAGGTCTGAAGATGTGAGGCAAAGAATGCGGAAACGGCCGGTGGAAGGAAAGTCTGGACTGGATTAGCTTTGCATTAGCAAGATAACCATTTTTATAACTCACCATCCTGAAGATCGCGTCGGTAGCCGTCCGCATGTCGAATGAGGCGTACGTTGAGCAGTCTCCGTCCTGGTCGCAGAACACCAGACAGATAATCAGTGCCATGGATCGGATTGTTATCCTCATTCAGCGTGCGATTCACTGTCGTATTTTCCGGGTACTCAATACCGCAGCCGCTGGTAAACCCGTTGCCTCTACTGAATACCTTGAGAAATTCTTCATGCGTTAGGCCACCAGCACCGTCTTCGGAGGCACCAATTTTGCCCGAGAACATGGATGAAAATGCACGGTCAAACTCAATCAGCTCTTGAGCTATGGTGTGCCTTTCAGTGTGATATGTGTCAAGAATGTCGTCGGGTTGAGCTTCACTATGCGGTGTTAGACCATTGATGGAATAGATCAGTTTCCAAGCCAGATTGTATGAATCCATCATAGAAACGTTCATCCCTTGACCTGCCTAGATCACAGTTAGTGACCACCAGGGCCAGTTGACAGGACTCTTAATTTACTTTGGGACTATGGGTATGGCAAGCTGTGGCGAGGACTTTGTCAGTATGCAATTGTCCGAATTGAGCTCACAATGGGTAACATACCGTCACCAGCAATGAAAACTCGGTTAATCTCAGCCGAATCCTTCACTGAGAACTTATTCGTTACTCGTTGGCCAATCTGATAAGCTGCCCACCAATCTACCGCTCCATCATTCTTGGGGCGGATGTAGTATGGCTTGAATGCAGCGGCAGCATTTTCAAAGATGGTCTTCTCAGTGACTTGGCCACGACGAGCCCTTGCATCCGACACAGACGCCGCCCCCGTACCATTAATTGGCTGTAAGTCACTGTCTGGCTTGACATCTCCTGGAACTTGCACGTAAAGCCGCGTGAGATAGTCCCCGGTAGCTATACGTTCACGAGGGATGATCATCACAGAGCCGGATGGTGAGTGAATGGCGCATCGGCGACGGATATCGGGAAAGTCTGTGTCAACAACCAAGTCGACGACACCCCAAATATGGTCACTCGACTCGCCCTCTAGCTTCAGCCCCATACATCGACGAACAACTGAATGGGCACCATCGGCACCAACCAAATACTTCGTGCGCACGGTACGCTTTTGACCATTTGTTTCGATTTCAGCAACCACTGGGAATTCGGCGTCACCTGTCTCATCAATCTTGACATCAAGGAGCTTCGTATTCCGCTGAACACCGCGTTTTGAGTAGCGCAAAAGATCTGTTTCCAGAATTCGCTCGATTCGACCTTGGTGGATGGTGACTTCATGTGGGTAGCGGGCCGGAACAGCAACGTCAGGCACAATTGAAGTGCGTTCGATAATCTTGTCCTTGTTGTCGGAAGGGTTCCAAAATGCGACCTGTATGAAAACTCAGCGGTTAATACTGGGCGAATATCCGAAACTCAGAATTCAAGGCAGAACAGTACCTGCCACATTTGACAGCCTTCGCAGAGAATCTCATCTGCTAGACCCAAAGACTTCAGTGTCTCCAGGGTGCGAGGCTGTAGACCATCGGCCTGGCCCGATTTCAGTGTCGTCGGCTTCGCGTCGACGCATAACAACGCTTCGTCATCCAGGCCATATCGTGACAAAAGAAGCTCGAGCATCAGACCAGCCGGACCAGCACCTGCAATTACAACCTCGAATTTGTCTTCATTGCCCGCGGCAATTTTTGGCGTCAGACGCGGTAGTGGGGGCGCGAACGAGGGAGTACGCGCAGCTCCCGGGACGCAGCCGAGTACTCGGTGAACACGGGCATGGCTGAGGGTACACAGGCGACCAAATAGAGTATATCTCGAAAGAGCTATCTGGGGTCAGCCGTTGTAGTAGCGGTGTCTCTTTAGGCAGGGTGCGCATGAATTCCGGCGTAAATAGGTCCGAATGGGCCGGAGTGGGGCTGCGGATTGGTGAGATTTGGGTAATCAACAGTCATGCAATTTTTACACGAGAACCAACATGACAAAATCATTGATCAGCTTCGAGTTTATAACTATTACATAGAACACTTACTACAAACTCCGAGACAACCACCCTCATTGCTGCGAGCAGATTTCCGAGCGCGGGGGTTCGCGGCTCTAGTTAACATTACACTTTCTCCCGAGCCTCCCCACTGGATAGATATACATTACCTATGCTAACTTAATTAGGACATGCCAGTTTGTTATCTAACCTGAAAGAAAACTGCCGATAGTTTCTCCACTCTTGTGTGCATGTATATAGACCAAACTCATTTAATAATTGTCCAGTTGGTGGATAGTGAAGCTAGCACATGGTAGAAAGTCTGTATAGTACACGTTTGCACAACTACTAACCTTCGGTAGCCCAGTTAGGCATCTGCAATTCTACCAATGGCTAAAACCCAAGCGATTACTCACTGAGGCCTATAATCCACCACTTGCTTCTGAACACGAGATACGTCAAAGCTGCCAACCTTTCAGCACCCAGCCAGCGACAAGAGAGAGATACCAATTAAGGATAAACGCTTAGCCCCGATCTTCTTTGCCTTGTCTTGAATAGGCTAAATCGACATAGTGGACCGTTCTGCCCCTACACTACTGCGTCAGAAAGATCCGTAGTGCCAAGTTGTGGCGGGCCTGCTCCCCCTAGTGTATTTATTTGCAGGGGTTTTTCCGGACCCATTCACCCCTCATACTTCTAGTTCCGCGATTACCTGGGATCTTTCCGTTGTCCCGGAAGCATCAACCGATATCCGGGAGGCACTATGTATTGGAGGGCATTCTGTATTAGAGGGGTATTTTCAACTCATGAGGGAGTTAAGACGTATTCATACTGGGGAAGGCAGGGTGAAACATTCCTCGTTGGTTCAACGATCGTGTATGTGGATTAACACCCCCAAGCTTTACGAAACAAGAGAGATTGGCAAATTTAGTTCAAGCATACTTAATGGAAGCGAAGGGACGCACGACATTCCTATTTAAATAGTAATATCTGACCCATGCCCCTCACTAACTCTTCGAAACTCTAGAAGATTTTGTTTGCTTCAACTCATATCTTGACTTAAAAAAGAAAATGAGCCCAGTCGTTACAAAACGCACTTCTCGCACCTTTAGTGGCAACCCCACGCCGGTCGCTGAGCAGGCAGACGATCTCGATGATAGGTGGATCGTGAAGGAGCGATCAATCGACGAAAGTCGCCCACTTAGGGTGGTTATCATCGGTGCGGGTGTCTCGGGAATCATGGCGTGTGTTCGCTTTGTGCAGAGAATTCCTAATCTGGAACTGTGCATTTACGACAAGAATGCGGATGTTGGAGGCACTTGGTTTGAGAATCGCTATCCAGGCTGCGCTTGTGGTATGATTTATTTCCCGCATGGTTCTTGTTTTGAAGCGCTCTGAAACTATACAGATATCCCGGCCCATACTTACCAGGCGACCTTTGAACCAAACAAAGAATGGTCACAATTTTACGCGAGCGCTCCCGAAATCCACAGATACTGGAAACGCGTTGCCTCTAAGTATGGGTGCATGAAATATATGAAGCTTAAGCAGAGGGTGTCTGAGGCAATCTGGGATGACGACCAGTCCAAGTGGTGCTTGAAGGTGAGCGTCACCTCCCAACCAAAATGCACTTGTTTGCTAACAGGCGGTAGATTCAAGATGCAGATAGTGGAACTATCTATTCGGACAAATGCGACCTTTTAATTCAGGCAACCGGGGCACTGAACGATTGGAAGTGGCCGAAGATCCCCGGTCTTCATGACTTCAAGGGGAAGCTCATGCACAGTGCCACGTGGGACGAAAGCTACGATTACAAGGCACGTTTAGTCAATGATTTAAGCACACGCAACGCAAATTGACGATTTAAATAGAGCCAGCGCGTTGCTGTTATCGGTAACGGGTCGAGTGGAATTCAGATCGTGCCTGCATTGTTACCCGATGTGACGCACATCGACCATTACGTTCGCAGCCGGACATGGATTGCGCCATCCTTTGCACGGGACCAAATCGATCGGCGTGGCAAGAAATTAGATAATAGTGAGGGTTCGCCAATAATTTACATGGATATTCAAAACTGATTTTGATAGTTTCGTTTACTCCCGAGGAGCTCGAGAGTTTTAAGAAGGACCACCAGGTGTACCAGAAGTTCCGTAAAGGCACGTTATTTTCTTTCTATTGATATGCAGTATACCTGACAATATGCAGAGGTCGAGTTACAACTACAGTCGATCCACGGAGCCACCTTGACAGGCTCTGAAATGCAGATCCATGGGCAACAGCATTTCGCCGAGAATATGAAGGCACGCTTGGCCAACAAGCCAGAGCTCTTTGACGAGCTTCTCCCTTCCTTCCCACCTGCTTGTCGGCGCCTGACCCCCGGACCAGGGTATCTGGAGGCATTGACTGATCCCAAGGTGGATATGATCAAATCAGAGATCGTCAAGGTTGACGAGACGGGTATCGTCACTGCTGACGGACAACACCGACCCGTTGATATGCTCGTCTGCGCCACTGGCTTTGACACATCATCTACGCCTCGCTTCCCTATCATCGGGTCTAAAGGAGTGTCACTGTCGGAGAAGTGGAAAGACACCCCGGAGAATTACTTGTCTGTGACAACAGACGGGTTCCCCAATTTCTTCATCTGCCTTGGACCTAACTCCGGTCTGGGCGAAGGCAACCTCCTCCTTCTCATTGAGAAGACAATAGACTACTTTACTGAATGCATACAAAAAATGCAGCGCGACAACATCCGCTCGATGACCGTGCGCCGTGACGCTGTTAGGCGGTTCACCAAGTATTGTGACCAGTACTTCTCCCTCACGGTGTTCAGTAGCAAGTGCCGCAGCTGGTACAAAGGCGGCACCGAGGAGGGACGAGTCGTTGCACTTTGGCCAGGTTCCTCGTTGCATGCTATGAAGGCATTTGCCAATCCGAGGTGGGAAGACTTTGAGTACGAGTATCTCGACGACAACCCTACTGGCTGGCTGGGCGACGGGTGGACGGAGAACGAGAAATACAACCGCATCAACGTGGACTACTTGGATGACGACCAGATCGACTTTCCTCAGCCGGCATCGGAATTTACAATCTCTGTCTAGGATGATAAATTCAATCTTTTTCTGTAGTAAAATTGGTGATATCATCGATTCGGATTACGCTACCGTACCGTATCACAATACTCGTTTGGTGGCGTAGGTCGCCAAACTGTGAAATACGCATACCCAGCACCTTTCCCCTCTGCCCCCGGCCTTCTTCGGCTTCTTCACTTATCGCTTCCCCGGATCGCATGTTCCCCAAATGGATGCGCCCGAACATGAAGCCCGCCGAGAAGCACTTTCGCTGTACTGTTTGCCAACGAGCATTCACGCGCATTGATCATCTCAAACGACACCATCTGCGCCGTCAGTACCCCCAGCCTTGTTCTCCTGGTCGCAGCTAACCCCGGTCCAGACTCGGGCCAGAAGCCCTACTCGTGTGTCTTCTGCAATGAAGCCTTTGCGCGCTGGTAGGTAGTCCGGTAGCCTGGACTGTCCTGGTTTCTAAATTCTTTGCTTATAGCGATAATCTCCGCGACCACTACACCGATTGCGTCAAGCGCGGAGATCGGAAGATTCCCGAAACTGGCCAAAGGGGTCGACGGCGTCATGCGTGTCAATCGGTGAGCTTATCTCACGCACAAGACCCAAAATAAAATACTAACCCTCTGTCTTCGCTAAAGTGTATGTCTATGAAACTCCGTTGCGACGGCCAGAGCCCCTGCGGATCGTGTCAAAAGAGAAACCTCGAGTGCAACAATGAGCAACCGGAACCGTCGAAACAGCCAGAGCTGGACTATAGTATGGAACTGGTTATGATTCTGGCCTAGGTGGATACCATACTGACCTCCATATAGGCGAACCCTCTGTGAAATCCGAGGTGCCCGGACAGCCATCAGACCGTGGATCAATTAAGTTCCTACTCAATGCCGGCTACAACAGTTTCACCGAAGGCTTTCGACTTCCCCCTCGGAGTGACCGGCCACGGGGTGCATTATTCGACAGCAACCAAAATGAGTTAGAGGAGAGTGAGAACAGCATGTTCCCGTATAACATGGAGAGTGGCCAAACGAACTATACCCCAGCTATGCTGGATTCCGATCCTACGGCACTTCAGTTCTACCAGGATACATTTCTGGACTTTTTCAATGGGCCTTTCGGAGATGCTCATAAAATACAAGGGGATCCGTATTCCGGAGTGGCCTACCAGGCTATCGGACCACCGGGACAAGATCCCAGCCTGGCACTATCCGGAGAAAATGCGATGTTCGAGCCGGAACGACCCTTTTCAGCGGCGCTTATCCAGTCCATACTGGCACGAGCATGGACACTCCCGCTGGATGCCAAAGCCCAAGAAGAAATTTCCACAAGCCTCAACTTCTTACTCACCACTGCTCGCATTCGGAAGTTCGTGGCCCTGTATTTTAAATACTGGCATCCGAGTTGCAAGATGATACACCGTCCATCATTTGACCCGGAGACAGCCACCCTGCCACTGCTGGCTTCGGTCGTTTTTATGGGAGCCATGTATGCGACCGACCAGGGAGAGGCCTATGTTGCCAAAAGGGTGCTCGACTTTGCAGAACTCTTTATTTTCTCCTGTGATGTTTATTCTGCAGAAAACGACATTGTAAACGTTTTCTCTGGGAACAGATGTTTTGAAAATGAGTCGAACGACTGGGTCAAGTTCCAGAATTTCCAAGCTGGATTCCTTATTACCATAGTCCAGTACTGGGCGGGCAGTAAGGTTTCCCGGAGTCGTGCGATGGAGAATCGGTTCAGTGAAGTTGTTAAGGTGTGTACCTTGCGATCTCTGAATGTATTGTCAATTAACACATTTGGTGACAGGTTACTCGGCGTCTACGGCTTTTAAAGTGTCGCCATACTCCCCGTGATCGAGTCTTGGAAAGCTTGTGGATCCAGACAGAGTGCCGTATTCGGTATGTATAGTTAGCAAAAATGGAGGCAGCTCAAGCTAACCGCCTCCAGCTGTGTCAATATTGTGATTTCACTGGATTGCGCCTTCTTCTTCTACCAGAATCATCCTTGTCGCTTTACTCATACGGAGATGGAATGCGACCTACCATGTTACGACTCGCTGTTTCGGTCTGATCATCCATTTAGAGAGCCTAACTTCCGATATACACGCGACCTTACAATTTCCGAGGCCTTTCAAAACTTGTTTGAAGAGGAGCCCGGACGTGACTCTCCACCACATTCACCTGGAATCAACCGGATGGACCTCACTGTGCTGGACATGTGGTCCTTGATTCACAGTATGTGCTTTCAAACCAAACTTAGGTCCATAGCCACTGACCATCAGTATAGTTCTATACGCATTCATCAACACCCACATGACCTTGTTAGGGCCGCGCATCCGTCACCGCAAACCCGAACAAAATGGAAACTATGCAGCCTCAGGCACAAATCCAATCAACTCCATGCCAGACGACTCGGTCCTTAAAGCCATTCGGACAGCATTATCCCAGTGGCATAATAACTGGGAGGCATTACGCAGCAAACTCTCAGGTGAGGAATGGGCTTCAATGGGGTTCTATAAGAATGGATATAATTTCTGGCTTGTTTCGCAGCTGCTGATGACCAAGAAAGATGCGGTTGATGTGGTCATGAACATGGAGGTCAACTGTGAAGATAAACTACAGAAGTTGAAGGTGCTATTGCGCGATGAGAAGGAGTAGAAAGGCTCATTGTTCTACCATGAAGGGAATGCTCGTGTCAAGATATATACCGGCGTTGGATATGTATTTGTGGGAGGCTGGCTTGATTTGGTGTTGATCTTTTACAGTTTATATCCCTGGGTGGACTCTGGTTATCTGGCTATTTATATTACTCGCACATAGATGAACATATCACACTTCCAGGTGCGGCAGTGTACTCAACGCTCACCAGCTCTTGACACACGACCAGACCTCGGACCGAGTAGTCGTCATACTCTAGACAGTGCCTAGGTCTAGTATCCCTATGCATATCCTAAGTTCCAAAACGTCTCAATATTCTTACCCGTATCCTCATCTACATACGGTGGAGGATCCGCGAAAGTGACATGTTCACCATGCAACTCCGCAACTTTGCCGGTCAAAGAGGGGTTTGCTATGAACCGAGCCACAGCCTTCTGCGCAGTCGACATTGGCGTGAGAACCATGGACTTGAACAGCTCTGCACTAGGTGCAATATTCGTTTCTATTTGGACGTCAGCTGGGTAATCTCCACGATCCAGGGTTCTCTTCACGTACCGATAACAGCAGGTGCTAATGCATTAATCCGGATCTGCTCGTTTTCCAACGACCGAGCCAGGGACCGTACGAGTCCTATGACCGCGTGCTTGGAGGCGGCGTACATTGGTGCAATCGCAAAGGGATATAGACCCGCATTAGAGGCGGTGCAAACAATAAGCCCCTTAGAATTGCCCTCCGACGCGATGTTTTTAGAAATATAGTGAATGCCGAGTTGAACGGCTACCCCATATCAATGTTAGATGGTCAGTGTTGTGCCAAATGCGATACACTCACAGTAAATAAGTCCTACTAGGTTAACATTCAATGTCGCTAGATTTGGCTTGACGAGACCTTTTCCTGCATCATCAAAGGTTCTTGATGGCAACAGACTGCCCTTCTCCGTTATTCCGGCATTCGCAAAGACGATGTCGATCCGGCCTTGTTGAGCATGTATCTTCTCGAATGTGGCGGCTTGGCTCTCCCAAGAAGAAACATCGCATTCCTCAAATGTAATACTAGCGGCTGGGAATTTCATACGCAGGTCTTTCAGCGTCTGGGCGCCTGTCGTTGGATTGTTGTCGAGAATTGTAATGTGCGTGTTGGGTTCTGCAATGAGGTGTCGGGTGATGCCCAGCCCAATGCCAGATGCTCCGCCTAGATGTGGGTTAATTTTGAATACTATCTGAAAGTAATAGCCAGCTATTCAATTCTTACCAGTGACTATAATACATCTGGCAGGCGCCATGCTGTTATCTTGAAGTGGTGATGGACCTAGACAAAAGTTTGGTCCGAGGAAGTTTCTTTCTGTTTCATGGAAATAAATTGTCCTAGTACGCGCCAAAAACCGTATATCTCGTATTTGTAAATCCGGTATGTGTGAACTCTCTCCACCTCATTTGCTTCCCCGCATTGTTGTTTCGTGGAGCAGGGGGATTTCCGGTTTCTGCGGAGTAATGGATCCATGGATGCCAATACCATGCTAACCCATGCACACTTCCACTACCTGACTTTTACTCGCAGGTAACACCGTGAGAGCTGAAAGCTCATTACAGCTTGGCCTTCTTATTATTCTAATTTAAATTTCACACTGTCTCGGCCGGGTCTTATCGGCATAATTTACTCAACGACGACGCCTTCTACTCTCCACCCCCCGCATGATCAAGCCGATGTACGGAATTAGCGAGGATTATCCTTGTCTCAAGAGCTTCGAGGCGGAAATAAGACCCTTGTGTGACTTCATCAGATGGCATGGCTCGGCTTTCGTCTCCAATCTACTTGCCGAGGCACGCCACCTGATCTTCAGCGAATGCCTGAAAGTGTCCAGGATGCTCGGCCTGGTTGCTCCCCGTGTAGCCTGTTACCGGAGTCACAGTAATAATAATAATAATCGCAATATTTTAAGCATTTCCCCTCTTGTCCCTTTGTTATGCGATATCGGCATGAATCGAGTGCATGTATCCTTCATAGCAATAAACCCCCACAGGAGTCATACTTAGTACAGTAGTATACCACCACAACAAGCCCTTACCCTAAGAGGAACTGATAGACCTACCCCATATTCTGTTAACGAATCCCAACCACCAGATAATTGTCCAAGCGTACAGCAACGGAGCTTAACAAAGGAGACCGCCTTGACCGTGCTTTAAAGACGTCGGGAGCCCTCAATTCTGCAAACCCTCTCCCACTATTCCTTTTCTTCGGAGTGTTACTGCCAGATTTTGTCCTTCTGGCAACACCTAGCCAGACTATGCGCAAGACTTAGAATGCGACCACTAGTTTTTCTCGATCTCTTCCTCTAGTTTGAACATCCTTCTCTCAACTGAGTGAATATCACCATCGAAATGCCACTTGGAATCCTAGACGATACCAAGGTGGAGCACGTTCCAGGCACAGCCCCGTTAAACCATCTTCAAGACACCAACACCTATTCAGGAATTGACCCTAGTCTCCTCAAACATGACCCAACTGGAAATTTTGTACTTGTTCCCCAGCCATCCGACTCGCCAAATGATCCATATAATTGGCCGCGACGAAAGAAGGAGTTGTTTACCGTAACCTTTGGTTGGGGATGCGGATGTGTTGGAGGTAAGATGTATTTCTATGCACATTATTCCAAGAATCTAAAACTGGGCGACTCTTGCTAGCTGTCGGTCCGCTGCTCGGAGGAGCTTTTGTGCCACTAGCCAAAGAATTCGATGTGTCACTAAGCACATTCGTCTCCGGGGTTCAAGGGGGAACAATTGCCGCGATCGCTGTTGGCAGTCTGATATTCAACTCGCTAGCTGTGAAATATGGCAAACGTCCCATCTACTTGTCCACCACGGTGGGGCTCATGGTTTCGTGTTTCTGGGCAGCAGCAGCAAAAAGTTTCCCGTCTCTTGTTGCGGCAAGGGTGCTTTGTGGCTTGTGCATGGCACCATTCGAAGCGTTGATACCGGCTTCGATTGCAGACATATGGTGGGTATAGTGAATATCCCTTCTTCTATAGCTGACATGTCGTCTAGGTTTGTTCATGAAAGAGGATTTCGCACAGCGGTGTTTAACTTGGGTGTCTTGGGAGGGATCAATCTTGCAGTTCCAATTGGTGAGTCGGGAAAATCACAATTAGGAGGGACACTGACCCTTATTCATTAATAGCTGCGGCAATCATTCAATATGGATCGTATCATATTGCAATGTACGCGATGGGTGGTGCATTTGCGCTGGCACTAATCATGATTTTCTTCTGGATGCCTGAGTCGGCTTATGCTCGGGAGGCATTGAACATCGATACAGGTAACGAGAAGGTTGGTAGATATCGCAAACGATCTGGTATACTTCAACTGATAATAACTAGGTTGTTGTGGAAGGCGGAGCAAAATTGCGACAACTCGATCACCCACAACCTACTGGAGAACAACCTAATTCATGGACCAAGGAGCTGCTTCCGTATAGTGGCTATATCAACCCAGTCTCGTTTTGGAATACTCTTCTTCGGCCATTCTATCTACTTGCCTCGCCCAATGTTCTCTGGGCAGTTTTACTCTTTACAACCTGTATCTCATGGCTGGTGGGAATCTCTCTCACGCTATCTCAGATTTTCTCTGCGCCGCCCTACAATTTCTCTGTGGGAGCTGTCGGAGCGACGAACCTCTCGTCCTTCGTAGCGTCTGTCCTTGGCACGGTGATTGCAGGCCCTCTAATTGACGGAATGGTAAAACAAATGTCCAAAATGAACGGTGGCATATTTGGTATGGCATTCATCTCTTAATCCGAAAACCTCCATTCCTCATAACCTATCTTCACAGAACCTGAATTCCGCCTCCCCATTATGATCACCTACCTCCTCTTCACAGCAACTGGTTTCTTTGCATGGGGGCAGTCAGCTTACGAACAGGAGCCGTGGCCAATCCCAGTGATAGTCTGTCTGGGGTTGATCAATTTTGGTGTTCAGCTGGGAACCACCGGCGTCGTCACGTACATCGTGGACTGTCATCGCGAGAAAGCAGGCGAGGCCTTTGCGACGATGAATTTTATCAAGAATCTTTTCGCGTTTGGGTTATCGTTTTATATCAACGACTGGATTGCGAATCAGGGTATTCGAGATTGTTTCTTTACTATCGGAGGTATTACGATGGGCGTTACTTTTCTGACGATTCCTATGTGAGTTTCCCCGACCCCAGCAATAGAACTAGAAGACTAATTGGCTCTTTTTATTATTCAGGTATATCTTTGGCAAACGAGCCCGAAGCTGGGTTCAGCGACACGGAATTGCGGATCGACTGTAGATCATGGAGGGCGGTATACTTATAACAAATATGATATAGGAGATAAAGAATACTTAGCAAGGAAAATTCATGTTTTCAATTATTGATAATAACATAGAGAACACATGCATTCTGGCATTATGGACCAATACTTAGAAGTCATCCTCCTCTGACTGGCCTTTCGTACCCGCGCTGCTTCTTCAGCTCGTAGCCACACAGTTAACCTCTAGCAGACTATCATCAACCTAATTGTTTCATAACAGTGTCAGCTCTCAATCCTCTTTCTTGTCCGGGTGCCAACTTACATTTGTACAGACGAACTCATCGGTCCCAATTGGACTAGTGACATGAATATCGCTGGCGTAAATATCCGAGCACACCTGGAGACAATTAGAATACCACCATCACTTCTATATAAAAAGGCTATCACTCACATCAGGGCTCGAGCAGACAATCGTTCCAACATCTGGGTTATTTGCGCCAGACGTCACCCCCTTGAAGTTGGTGAAGTGGACATCGGAGATGGTGAGGTTGCTCTGTATTTGAGGAATCAAATTAGCTGACTGATAATGGTACAGCCGTATAAACATACCGGGTACTCATTGCACAGAGTCATATTACTTTGTCCATAGCACTGAGTCACTTCGATAGCCCAGTCAACGTTCTCGATGGTCATCGTGTCGTAGGTGATATTCTGCACGCTTCCCAAACCGCCGCCGCCCTGGAGGTCTGCAGACATTTCAGAAGGTAGACCAGGCCATACTTTGATACGTGCGCCGTCCTGAGTGTTGAGTTAGGGGTTTATCCGCTCGGAAAATATGGATAGCACCTACCGACGCGTTGAACATGGACACGTTGTATACAAGTACATTCTGTACTATGTCAATCTCGCCCTTGTATTGGCCTAGTGAACCAACGGAGATGCCGTGGGAGCCATTGCAGTGGAGATTTTGGACCAGGATTTCGGTGGTATTGGGCTTGAAAGAGACACAATCTGTCCCAGTATAAGCAACCGGGCAATATGAAGATAATATCGACTACTTACCGTCACCGTTGTTGATGATAGAGTCCTGAATGACAACATTGGTCGAGCGATATATATCCCTATATAATATATCAGTATCTACTCCAGAATCCCAATGTCGTACTCACCATCCATCAGTATTCTTAGCTTCATTTTTACTCGTGCTATAGCCACCAATATCGATGCCCTGAAACAAGACGTCCGACGAATTGGCCACAAAGTGATACCACTGCGGCGAGTACCGGAGCTTGAGCGGGCCAATGGTACCGCCGTGCAATCCAATAACACCGACGAGAATCGGGCGCAGGATCAGATCATTCTCAGCGTAGAGATCATACCATACCTGGCCGTTGCCATTCAGCTCACCGTCGCCGTAGATATTGACGTCTTCGCCTCCCAAATTGAAGAATGTCGTGGCATTCTGGTAGGTGTGTTTGAAGGAGTGTGCTTGCCAGTAGTCTGTGTTGTTGGTGAACGTGACCGTACCCAGGATTTCTTTCGAAATAGGTCAGCAAGATCGTTAATTGTTTCTTCTTAAGCACATACCCAGATCTACATGCTTCAGAAACGTCATGTCGAGAGCTGTGCCAATGGTATACTCTTTATCGGCATCGAAAACGACTTTTCCGCCATTATTACAATCCTTCAATGCAGACAGGATATTTTCAGCATCGTCGCGCCCGTCACCGTGGCAGGGTACATGGCAAGTCCTCGTTCTGGGATGGCTGGGAGGCAGAGGCCGGAAGGGATGATGTGGCTTGCATGCATCGGTTCGCGAGTGAGGATCAACTCGCGACTTGGGTTCAGGCCGAGAGTGTGGATTCGAGTGAGGACTACCCTCCACAGCAAGAGCAAGCCCCAGAGCAAGGACCGCAGCCTGCGCAACTGTATTGGCGAATTTCATGGTGGCTGATGACAATAGTCAGGAGTTACTTTTTTGGATCTGTATGTCTGCACACTGCCCAAACACCACAAAACGACCTGGCGGGCCTATATATAGTTAGCTGCAATTAAGCATCGTCGCATTGTTTATGGCGCGCTAGATTGCAGCGCACGCTCTTCATTCGGTGGGGTAAATCGCTTCCCCTCCACATTAATCCGGGGAAAGCGTGCCGGCGGAACAACTGTTGAGGAGGCCGAGGAATAACGTGGGGTTGGGATCGTTTTGCGCGTGTTGAAGACGGCGTGCAGAGGAGTGGGCGCGCCATGGCGTGTCCGATAGGAGGAATATTTGGTTGGCAAAGCCCCCGATTGGGAGGAAAAATCCGGGTAAACGCCTTGGGTCAATTCACCAGCTAGCTAGGAGTGGGAGACGACTGTGAGTCTACTGTTGCAAGTAAATTATTGGTGTTTGCTGCTCCGTTCTTTGAATCTAGTACATAGGTCACTTGGGAATGCTTGATATGTACAGCGGGTGTCCATAGAACGAAAAGACTGACGTCGACAACAAAAAGAACTAGCTCGAATCGCAGCCCTTTTTTTACATTCACCGCACAACTCAAAGCTTCTATCTATAGATACCAAAGTCTCAGCATTCATTGCCTCTTCCACCTGTAGTCAAGCTGTCGCCCCGTTTATGACTTCTTCACAGCAGCCTCCGCCTTCTCAACAACCTCCTTAGTCGAAGCCTCGGCTTCGTGCGCGATCTCCTTGATAGCAGCGGCATCAGAGCCTTTCTGGCTACGCTCCCACGCATAAATACGGCCCACTTGCACGACACCCACGCATCCGAGGAAGAAGTTGACAGCGGCCAGCCTACAGCGATGTTTGGTCAGCATTGGGCAGCAACAGTACCACAGGGGAAGAACGCACAGGACGTTACGGGGCTTGATAATAAGGCACCATCTGGTCCAGATGGCCCCCGTGGCCATGAGAGCGGCGTTCTGGGTCAGGGAGAGCTTCTCGGGGGGACGGCTGAAGTCGGAGATACCGGCGATGACCAGCGCCCACTGTAGAGAGCAATGCATCAGCAATGGCCTTTTTCCAAGCACTTTGAACACATGGCATAGCAGTCCGGATATATATCTGGGGAATATCGCGCGGAACAGGGAGTGGATCGGGAATAAAATCAATTCGAGTCGAGTCGAGTCATACCTTCATAACAGGGGCCCTATCCAGATAGCATTTCCATTAGTATGAAGATCTATCACCACGGTCTAGAAAAAGCGTACCAGAAATGCACCGTCTTCACACCCACAGGGCTATTCCAGAGACGCTGGAAAGTGCTCTGCTGCTCTGCCGCAGCGTCGGAGCTCTGGAAGCGGAAGCCCGTGCCGCCCGGCCGGCGGAATGGCCCGGAGGCATTGCGAAAGGTAAAGCGAGCGTTGTTGAGGAAGCGGAATCCCACACGAGACGACATGGTGACGGTATAAGGGGGATGTGGTGCGACCGCAGCGCTGGCGTTGGAGTTTGGGGAGAAAGGAAGAGGTGAGTCGGCGATATCGGGTTGGTTACTAAGTCGGTCAAGGGAGTTTTCCGTCGGATAAGGAGAGACTGCCACACCACGGACACAACTAGAATTCAGAATAAATAGAGACGAGGATATGTAAAGTAGTTCTACTCTCCTTCAGACACTTCTCACTTGCTTGACTTCCTCACCTGCGATCGAGGCATTTGCCCTGCTGACATAACCACCCCCTAATCGGGCCTAGCGCACTCTCCCGACTTCCTCTCTCCCGGGCCAACATCTCGTTCGACAGCCACATCCACCCTCATTGCCCGCCATGTCCGGCAAGTACGTCTTTACCAAGGGCCTGAAGGAGCTCCGGTTCCTCTTCTGCCACACCTCCGAGCAGAGCGCACCCACACGGTGAGTCTAGGGTACTGTGAACACAGTCGGCAATCCACTAACGTGTCTGTTCAATGGCTCCAGGACCTTCCTCAACCGCGCTTATCCCACCATGAAGAAGCACAACCCGCACACTCCCATTATGATGCGTGAGGCGATGGATACTGAGCCGCGGGTTTTCGCGCGATACGGTATGGATAAGGACCCATTGAAGACGGACTGTCAGAACCGATTGAAGAAAGAATACGGGCTAACAATGGATGAATATGCAGAGTTCGGAAAGGAGAAGCAGGAGGCATTGTCGGGTAAGTTTGAATCGAATCAATTGGACAACTTGATTGCTAACTTCCTGTCTACCAGGCTTGTCGGAGCAGCAGATCGAAGAACGGATCACGAATCTGGTGAAAGCGTCCTCATAATCCTAGGATGTTCTGTCCTACACCCAATTCACGAGCCCGGTGCCATACCTACCCTACACATCTCCATCTGTACCTATAGATGAAATCAAACTTGATTTTTATACACACGCCTTATCCATCCCATTTCTGGCACCTATCTATCTCACGACAAACCTATCAACATCCCTACGTTTCTCAGTCACAAAGAACTGTCTGCACCATTAGCACCCCCCACCACCCCAAAGCGAAATTGCGCCCAACTCATACTGCCCTCCGGCAACGTCCAAAGCCTCTCCCCCAGATCTATTCCCGCAGCACCAGCCCCAACATGAATAGGAAGGAGATGCTCGAAGGACGGATGTGCCTGTCTCGCATCCGGACGCTTCAGCAACGCCGCCATAGCCTTCTCTCTTTCCGCGGGGGACGTAGTGACGGCTTCCTTGAGCGCGTCGTCAAAACTGACCGCGTACGGCAGCGGGCGCGGGTCGCCGAATGTAAACCGCATATCGCGCAGATTGTGCACTGCCATCCCCGACACGATGATTACGATGTTTTCTTCGCGGAGGTGGCTAATTGCTTGGCCGAGGCGGTAGTGCTGGATTGGGTCTTCGGTGTCGAACAGGGAGACTTGGACGATTGGGACGGCGAGGGGGTTGGAGTCCGGTTCAAATGCTGCAGCCATAATCAGCGTCCGCCGATAGCATGCAAACTACTGCTGGGGAGCAAGGTAAGACATACCACACTTAAAACTAGCCCACACACCATGATCAAGACCCCTCTTTACCCCCTCCGCCTTAATGCCCGCCTGTGTCAACGAATCCAGCACCTTCTGCGACACTTCTTTGCTACCGACATTGGGGTATGTCTCTTTATAGTAGTGGTCGGGGAAGCCATAGAAGCTAAATTTGAGAGATAGGTCAGCCTCCAACTCAACTCTTCTTTCAAAAAGAAAAAAAAAAAAAACACTCACTCATAGATCAGATCCGTCATCTCGGCCGTATTCACATGGATCGTATCCCTTCCGCCCTGCCAATGCGCCGAGAAAACCACCACGGCGCGCGGTTTGACCTTGTGTGTGATTTCGCGGCCGATTTCGGCGAGTTTGAGGTAGGCCGGGTGTTCGGTATCGTACATGATGTTTGGCTGATATGGTTAGGATGGTAAATTCAGATTTAGGACGGGATAGGATATGTAGTAGGGATTGGAAGTGTTTGGAGGCAATGAGTAAAGGGTTCACTCACCCCGCCATGACTGAGGAAGTAAACCGGCGTCTTATTCTTATTCATCTTGGAGCTTGAACTCTCGCCTTGCTGGGGATATGCTGGGGCTTCTGATGTGCTAGCTGCTGTTGCTGCTGTAGTGGCTATTGTTGCTGCTGCTGTCCCCGTGGACGCAAATGCAAACGTAGAACCAGATCGAGAAAAAACGCCTCCTACCGACCTCGCAATGAACGAGGAAGGTCCAAAAAGTGATCGAAAGCCGAACAGATTGTCGGAGTCACCGTAGAACAAGGCGATGAGTAGAGCGAGGATCGCAGCGAGAATAGCTAGCAGAGCTAGTCTCCCGGTCTTAGAGTTTGTGCGTGTGCGTGTGGGTGGTAAAGAATTATGGTTGTCGCGATGTTGTTGGTGGCTCGCTTCCGAAGACATATATCACAGGAGCAAGTCCACGAGCTGGGTGAGCTGGTATATGTATGGTTCAATGCCAGGCGAGACAAGCTGAGAATGACGTGCACCTTATTTCAACCGATTGATTTATCAGAAACTCGTCAGCGAGAAAAAGCAACGAGAAAATAAATGCCTGGCTGACAATTCCAATTCCAAGTCCTTAATGCCGAGTCGGAAGCGCTGGAAGGTACAAGCCGATGGTTCTTCCCGAGAGGGCCGGATATGTCAGCGCGGAATGGGGCCGCTTTATACTTGGTTAACGACCCAGTCAACTCTACAATATGTACACAAAAAGAGGGGCAAATAATGCCTAAATTTAGTCGAAATTGTAAAGGAACGAAAAGAGAAGTAATGAAGTGAGTGAGAAACAGCAGTCTATTTATTGTAACGTATTGTATGCAATGCAGCCAAGCCAGCTGTGTACAGTAGCAGCCTCCCGGGTATTCGCCTCGATTCGCCTCGCCTCGTTCATTGATCTCCTAGGACCAAGTCCACATCATGCATGCCATGACCCATTGACAAAATGACAAAGAAAAAAAAAAGAATAAGCACATGTTCCAGTCCATTCACTCCAAACCAACCATCACGGATCCGAGCGAAACATTACAGTAGAGTATGTAGACAACCAACACTGTCTGTCTCGTTGCTTTGTCCGGGATAGGGGATAGATAGATCATACAAAACAACCAACAGCCAAGGAACCAAGGAACCAACCAACCAAGCCAACCCTCCAGCGCCGGTGGTTATTATGAAACAAAAAGGAAAAAGAAAAAGAGAGAATCAAGAAGGGTACATGCATGCAACTGGAAGCAGCAACGGAGACAAAAAGGTCATGCCAAAAATTACATCAGGACACAATCGCCATCACTCTGCTTATTGACAGCCGAGCGCGAGAGCCGAGTTTTTTGCATCCGGCCGCCCCGCTTGAGGTCTTCGAGGCGTTCGCGGGCTTTGGGGAATCCTTGCGCTGAACACGAGCCACAAGATTAGCATCTGGACAGCATATTATAGGTGTGATAATGTAAGGCAAGACTCACCTGCGGCACGCCAGTACCACCTCTTCGCATCATCCAGATTAGCCTGGACGCCGATGCCCACTTCGGAGAAATAACCCATGGCATACTCCGCCTTCGCCAAGCCCGCCGTGGCAGCTTTGCGCGCCCAGAGATACGCCTCTGTGTCATTCTGCTGCAGAATCCCCTCAGAACCAGTTAGATACCATCCACTCAGCGCGAGTTCGCTCTGGTGTTCCCCCTGGGCTGCGGCACGGGTATACCAGATGATACTCATGCGATTATCGACGGGGCAGTTCATCAGTCCGTACTCGTACGCGGTGCCCAGACGGAACTGCGAGAACTTGTACCCCAGTTCGGCGGCTTGGTGGAACAGCTGACTGGCGTACTCTTCGTCGCGGATGACGATGTCGTTGCTGCCGGCGCTTTGGTACATGAGGGCCAGTTCGTGCAGCGCGTGGGGGTTTTCGGGGTCTGCGCGCTCGGCGGCGCGTTTCAGCCACGAGATTCCTTCGCGGGGACTGCGCGCTTGCCCCAGTAGGCCCTTCAGGTGGATCATCCCCATCTTGTACATGGCGGGCGTGTCGCCCAGTGTGGCGGCGCGCTTGTACCACTGCACGGCCTTGAAAGGATCGCGTTTTGTTCCGCCGCCTTCCTCAGCTCCAATCTCACAACAGACCGCGACACGATAGGCAGATTGCGCGTGGCCTGCTTTGGCAGCAGATTGGTACAGCTGGAACGCTTCTTTCGGGTCTGCCTCGAGACCCAACAGGCCTTCACCGTAGCAATCCGCAAGATAGAACTGTGCGTCGGAGTATCCACCCGAGGCGAGTTTCTTGACGATCTTGTGAGCATCCAGAATGTACTTCTCCTTGGCCCTGGCTTTCATTTTGGGGTCCAGTCGGCTGTTGTCATCAACAAGGACAGTGGCCGCCTCCACAAGCTTCTTGGCTAGGAGAAGCTGTGTCTTGAGATCAGATGGGTTTCCTCTCGCTTGCTGCTGTAACCGCTGCAGCTCGTCGTGGGTAACAGGTACATGCGCTGCGGGCGCTCCCTCTGGAGTCACGGGCTGTGGTGCAGCGGGGGCAGGAGTGGAAGGATTGGTGTATTGCCGCACAGGTGCTGGTTTTTGGTCCAGGCCGGGTCTGAATGGTGTTGGATGCGACGGCAAGGCATCTGGGTTCTGCGGCTCCGGCATCGCGGCCGGGTCATTGTACCCTGGTTGGTTTGTTCGAAGTGGGGGAGGGCCATTGGAATATCCACCAGGAGACTGATATCCCACATTTTCCTGTTGGGAAGGAACGGGTGGAGCATCACCGGGGATATCGAATTGAAACCCGGCATTTTCGAACTGATTCGGGGGATCATTTTGGCGGAGGTTGGGCTGCGACTTGGAACGCGGAGGCTGAGACGCAGAATTCGGATCGTAGGCGGAATACTGACCCCCCGAGGCGGAGGCCGGGATCTGTGCCTTGCTCCTGGGTGCCTCCAGTCCCATCTCATCAATCGCACCAATCTGCTGTCCTTCCGGGATGGCGTCAAAATTAGGCATGTCCGATTCTTCGCCTGGTGTCCCTCCTTCAAAGTAGGACTCTAAGAACTCCTTGGGTGCATAGGACACTCGGTGGGCGGGATCAGGCGGAGGTGCCATCAAGCCCATATCCATTCGTCCCGGTCGTGAACCACTAGCTGTGCTCGGTCGTGGCGGCGGGACCTCGCCCATGGGGCTTGATGGGTAATCGGGTTCCATGTAGCTCGCCTGGCCAGGGTACATGCCCCCCGGGCCCATCGGCGGTCCTCGAGTCGGCATTGTTGCGCTTCGGCCTGGCGGAGGCATCGCATTCGGGTCTGTAAAGGATCGTTCAGGTCCTGGTCTGCCTGACCGTCCGGGAGGTCCGTAAGGAGGGCCACGGCTGGAACTCGGCGGCGGCCCGCGCGGAGGGGGCGCCCTCATATCTGGTCGTCTCGAGCCGGGAGGTGGCCGACCCGGGGTTCCTCTGCCGTTGATATCCATCTGCGCCATGCCTTTCTCCAGCGAAGGGCCACGGGGCGGTAGACCGTGTCGATCTTTTGGGTTCGGAGGGAAGGACGGGAAAGGGTTGTCGAAGTTCTCGCCTGGCGGAGGACGCGATCCCGCTAGGTCTGTTAGTGACGTCCCATCATAAGGTTCTGAGTCTGGGTCACTTACGCGGCGCTCTCGAGCGTTTCTGTGCTGGCGGCCTATCCCCGGGATAGCCACGAGGCGGTGGGCGGCCATATCCTGGAGCTGGGGCGCCTGGCGGCGGCGGTCCATATCCCCCACGCGTCGACCGCGGCTGAGACTGCGGGCTGGAGGTGGCCGACTGATAATTGTATGACCCGTCATCATAGCCCGCATCGCCATATCCATAGTCCTGGCCGCCGTAGCCACCGTTTCCGTAATAAGGATCTTGTCCGTAGCCGGCAGGGTCGGCAGCCTGGCCTCCATACTGCCTCGTCGGCGGCGGCCGCGCCGCACGTTGCTGATATGCCATGGCACCCACAGAGGGAGCAGCGGAGAGTCTTGCCGAAGCGGTTCAACGGATTAAGCTGGCCGTCCTCGCTATGATGGCGGTATGCAGGGAGGGGGTGTCCAGTCACTGAACGAATGAGTTAGTTAGTCCCAGATAACTAGTTCAGGTTCAACCCCGCCCACAGCAGCAGCCAGGCGATGGTCGCACTGAGGCCTGGTCATGCCACCCGTGAGCCTGGTGCGGGAAGCTTCGTGGTCACGCCGCGACCGGGGGGGAAGGGACCAGGTCAGGAGGAGCAGGCGCAAGGGCCAATGCCGTGCCGCGGAAGGGAAAACGGAAGAACAAGACAAGAGCAGAACGTACCCCCTCGCGACAGAGCGAGCACTCAGTAATTGCTAAATACAATGTTGAAGTGAAAGTGGGAGAAAGTGGAAGTAAGTAGTTGGGCAGAATACAGTAATGATCACTAGAAGACGGGCGGTCGGGTCATGGATTCCAGGGATTTATGGTCGTGACCCACTGCAATCACCCACGCCGGACCAGAAAAGTTCCAGACCGCGGTTGGTGCGGTGGGTGAACCGGAGAAGGACTCCTTGACTCTTCTAGTTGTCCCTTCTAGTCTGCTAGATCAGGTTTGCCGGCAGTTCCCATCACAAGGCTCGCGGCTCTTGTCGGTACCTGACGATCAGGGGGTGAAGCGATTGCTTCGACAATATATTCAGTTGGAAGTCGCTCAACAAGAAATGAATAAAATGTAGCTAGGGAATGTTACTGAGTGATCAACTCAGAGTCCTAGAGCCAAATGTCCCTGTCTCCCTGTCCAGTGTGTTGCCCTCACCCACGGGCGAACCGTTGGAAATGAAGAGGGATCGAAGAAGCAAGTCTCCGGCTGATCCCGCTGACTAACTTGTCCACGCCCAAGACAATGTCCCCTGATTTGACTTCTCACCAAGTGTACCTGAACTCAATAACGAAAAGAAAAGAGAAGGTCAAAGATGCCCTGACGTTGGTGTATACTTCTGTCCAGAGAACAAGGTGAGACAGCATTACCCAAACCAGTAAGGCCAACTGCGCCACATCAGACACAGCCACACCTGCGCCACCCAATCATCTCCAATCATCTCTCTCGCTCTCTGCTGCACTTGCACCTCCTCGTCATAACCTATTCTATCCCTCCATCCCTGGCCAGACACCACCCACCATGTCCCGCGCAGGCATCTGGCTCAAAATCCTCGGCGCGTACGTCCCCTCCCACATCCATTACTCATCAGTCAGTGCTAACACAGACCCATCCATCAGCGGCATCGTCGTCTCCGTCGGCGGCCCTCTCTTCGTACAATCCATCCGCCCCACAGACGAAGAACTAGTTAAGCGATACAATCCAGACCTTCAAAAGCGCAGCGCCGAGCAAGGGGAGCAGCGCGCGCAGGAGTTCGATGACTATGTGAATAAGCTGAAGGAGTGGTCAAAGTCGGATAAATCCAGTGCGTCCTTCCACTCCATTGTTGTCAGCAAGCAATGATTTCGGGAAGTCTGGGGCTGGGCTAATTGATTGCAGTTTGGTACGCAGCGCAACAAGAGCAGGAGTCCAAACAGGCGACGATGGATGCGCAGCGCGCTAAGGAAAGTGCGGATGCGAGAATACAGCGGGAAGAGATGCGGAAGGAGTTGCTAGGCAAGAAATAGGGTGGGATGCTGTGTTTCCATGATTGGCATGATGTGTACGATATGTGTGAGTCTCCTGATATCTGTTCTGGAATTGTCGGATGATCTGCTATGATCACCCATAGTATGGACCGTGTATATTCAATATTATGATCCGTTTCACCACATGCATACCATGATGGCTTTGAATTCTTCATGCAGGAACCAAGGCCCTGCATGCATATAAATTTTGAAGGAGGCAATGAAGTTAGGTTGGATGCTGACTGATAGGACCAGGCATCAATGCAATGGAATCGCCAACAAAAACACGAGATGCCAAGGGAATAAGAATTATGATTATGATGATGATCATCATAATAAGCAGTTGCCATTGCCTCCTAGTTCTAGCCCTCCGATCCTACAGCTACAGTACATGTACTCAGTATGTAGTGCTGGCGATCGGCATCTGAAGACACTCGGAAAGAGTAAGCGCCGGGGCAAGTTGCCTGTCCCGGCTCTATGAATAGTAGCCGTTTCTCACGAATTGAGTGCATAGGCAGCCACATGCTATTCTACAATAATTACCGCTTTTAGAAAATCTTCTGGCAGTGGCAATATTGCCATCACTCCTTATTCACCCGCCCTTCATAGTTGAAACGGCTAGACCCAAACTTCCGATTGAGACAACGCCTCTCACGTGACTCCCTAGCAACTTGTCAGCTTCATTCCAGAACACTGTCTCTCTTCTTTCTTTCTTCCCTTCCCTCCCCTTCATCTCCATCTGCTCCTCCCCCCCACTTCCCAATCCCCGAGTCCGTGACTCTTGACGCTTATCCTACCAACACTGCCGGTCGGCTTTCTGCGCCCCAACCAACAACCACTCTCGTGCAACCCCCGTCGGGCAACCCAACCTCACGCCCAGCCACTCACCACAACCTCACTCCACGCCTCCTCCTCCCAACCCTCCCGTCATCACCATGTCTTCCTCCGAGCCGCCCTATGACCCTTATATCCCCTCCGGCTCAAACGGAGCCGCGGGCGCCACCTCCACCAACCAGCAAAATGGCAACCAGCGAACGGCCGCATTGCAAGCAGTAAGTGATCATGCCAGTCAACACGCCACGCACACCCCATCTTCTGACTCTTTTTCCTTTTACTAGCAAATCGACGACACCGTCGGCGTGATGCGCGAGAACATCAACAAGGTCTCGCAGCGTGGCGAGCGCCTCGACTCTCTGCAGGACAAGACCGACAACCTGGCCGTCTCGGCCCAGGGGTTCCGTCGGGGCGCGAATCGCGTGCGCAAGCAGATGTGGTGGAAAGATATGAAGATGCGCGTATGCCTGTTTGCCTGCGTGATTATTCTGATTGTCGTGATTGTCGTTGGAGGTAAGCAATGCGAGAAATTCCCTCATATGAGCCATTTATACTAACTCTCGACCAGCCGTCTTTGGCAGCCGCCACCATTAGGATTAGGCTACGCATGCAATGCAACTTCTTTCGTTTGGGACATGGGATACGCACGTACTTGACTTGGGATTTTTCGCCAGGGTTATTTTCTTACTGTTTATGACGATCAGGGGAAGAACGCCCGCTGTATTTTCTTTCGCCGCTAATACCTCCCTTCTGTTGTTTTGGTCTGGGCGTGGTTGTGATGACCCGATTTTCTTGACTCGCCGACGATCCGGATTGTCCGTATGTAGACAATCCGGGTCCATGTCAAGAATGTAAATGATACTCCTCTGATGCCGTGTTTGAGTACTTTTAAGGTTTTTGATTATCTGTCTAGCTGCAATGAACGTTCCAGCGTTAGGATCGCTTCATGATTCATGGCGTGATCCGGCTCTGGCTGTGTCGTCTTGGCAAACCAATCCCCACGTACTACTACGTACCTTCATAGCATAGTAGAAATTGATCGTATTCGGCCAGCGACCGCGCCAGAGTGGAGGAAGTGGATAGACACCCACGAGTCAGACGAGCGCGATGGATCAGATAAACTGCCCAAGTGTCTCCGAGCATCGGGGTCAGAGTGGGCTAGGAGGGTCTCGCTTGGGTTCCCGAATGTCCAGCGCGAATAGGGCAGCGGCTGCAAAATCCACAGTCGACCGGCCATCATTCGTATAAATAAGTCCTCATAGTTTGCTCAGCAATATATAGACCGTGTGACTGTCCCCCAAACTCACGATTACTCTGTACCCGGACGAGGTTCACCGCCTCCCGAACCAGCCGTTATCACTCCGACGGCCGGCCGATAATCGAAAATCTCTTGGGTGACTAACCTTTTCGCTCCCCCCAACTACTTGTTCCTTTCCACCCAACACAACAACAATAATAAATCCCTCAGCTCTCCCCTTGTCCTTTTCAGCTGCCGCATGCAGGCTGGTGCCACCATGCTCTCCCTTCGCACCGCCGTGCGGAGAGCTTCCTCCAAGCCCCTCCGATCGCTCTCCGCACCGCACACCGTCCGTTCGCCCGCTCGCCATGCGCGGAAGACCACCACCGCTGTCTCTCCTCAGCAGCGCCGGGGCTACTCGCGTGCCACCGACCCTCACCTCACCTCCACCCGCAGCACTGTCGTCCAGCTGCTCAGCAACATCGGCTCCAAGCGTGAGGTCCAGCAGTACCTGTCCCACTTCACCTCCGTCTCCTCCCAGCAATTCGCCGTGATCAAGGTCGGCGGTGCCATTATTACCGAGCACCTCGAGACTCTGTCGTCTGCTCTGGCTTTCCTCAACCATGTTGGCCTCTACCCCATCGTCGTGCACGGTGCCGGGCCCCAGCTGAACCGCATGCTAGAGGCTGCGGGCGTGGAGCCCCAATTCGAGGATGGGATCCGGGTCACTGATGGTAAGACATTGGCGCTGGCGCGGAAGCTGTTTCTCGAAGAGAATATGAAGCTCGTGGAGGAGTTGGAGCGGATGGGCGTGCGTGCTCGTCCCATCACTGCGGGCGTTTTCTCTGCCGATTACCTCGACAAGCCCAAGTACAATCTGGTCGGTAAGATCAATGGGGTTGATAAGACTCCCATTGAATCTGCTATTGCCGCGGGTTGCTTGCCTATTCTCACTTCCATGGCGGAGACCCCTGATGGCCAGGTGCTCAATGTCAATGCGGACGTGGCTGCCGGTGAGCTCGCTCGCTCTCTGCAGCCGCTGAAGATTGTGTACCTGGCCGAGAAGGGCGGTCTGTTCAACGGTGATACCGGTGAGAAGATCTCTGCCATCAATCTCGACGAGGAGTACGACCACCTCATGAGCCAGTGGTGGGTGCGTCACGGCACTCGCTTGAAGATCAAGGAGATGCAGGACCTGCTGGCCGACCTGCCTCGCTCATCCAGCGTTGCCATCATCCACCCTGCCGACCTTCAGAAGGAACTGTTCACCGACTCTGGTGCTGGCACTCTGATTCGTCGGGGTAACAAGATTCAGGTCAAGAGTTCGCTCTCCGACTTTGAGGACCTGCAAACCCTGAAGGATGTACTGGTTCGTGACCGCGAGGGTCTGGATGCCCGCGCCGTGGTTGACCGCTACGTTGATGGTCTGCAGCAGCACGAGTTCAAGATCTACTCCGATGAGCCGATGGAAGCTCTTGCCGTTGTACTTCCCCCGCAGCAGGGTGCCTTGATGGCCCATCTGGCGACCTTCGCTATCACCAAGTCCGGCTGGCTGACAAACGTGGCCGACAATGTCTTCGCCAGTATCAAGAAGGACTTCCCCAAGTTGGCGTGGACCGTCAAGGAGGACGACGAGAACCTGACCTGGTTCTTTGACAAGGCCGACGGCAGTCTCAGCCGTGACGGCGAGGTTCTGTTCTGGTATGGCGTCGAAAGCGGCGAGGAGGTCAAGCAGCTTGTCCAGGAATTCAACAAGCATGGCCGCCAGATGTTTGGAGATATCAACCTCGAGTCGCGCCTCCACCGCGCGGCCCAGGCTGCTCTAAACAATGTCTCGACGGGTTTTGGCGCCAGCGGTGCCTCGGCTGAGCAGAGACGCGCCTTCTCCACGACTAGCAATGCTCTCCGGGCTACTCGCTCGAAGCGTCCTGCCGTTGCTGTGAATGCTCGCCGCACCTATGCCACCACCAACCCCAACCCCCCTCTGGGCGAGAAGAACGCGTCGAACACTCAGCCCGCCAAGGTTGCTCTGATCGGTGCCCGCGGCTACACCGGGCAGGCCCTGATCAACCTGCTCAACGCACACCCCAACATGGACCTGCGCCATGTGTCATCTCGCGAGCTGGCCGGTAAGAAGCTCCAGGGCTATGACAAGCGGGAGATTATCTATGAGAACCTGAGCCCGGACGATGTCCGCAAGATGTCCGCCAACGGCGACATCGACTGCTGGGTGATGGCCCTGCCGAACGGCATCTGCAAGCCCTTCGTCGACGCCGTCAACCAGGGCGCCGAGAAAGGCAACGTGATCGTCGACCTCAGCGCAGACTATCGTTTCGACCCGAACTGGACCTACGGTCTCCCGGAGCTGGTCAGCCGCTCCGACATCGCCAAGGCTACCCGCATCGCCAACCCGGGCTGCTATGCCACCGCCGCTCAGCTGGGCATCGCGCCTCTCGTCCCGTACCTCGCAGGCCAGCCAACCACCTTCGGTGTCTCCGGCTACTCGGGCGCCGGCACGAAGCCTAGCCCAAAGAACGACGTCAACAACCTCACCAACAACCTAATTCCCTACAGCCTGACGGACCACATCCACGAGCGGGAAATCAGCGCTCAGCTCGGTACCAGCATTGCCTTTATCCCACACGTCGCCGTCTGGTTCCAGGGTATCCACGTATGTTTCTTCTCTTCTCACTACCCTCACTCTCAACTCCAGACCCCAATCAAGCTGACTCTTTTTCGTTTCGTCTAGCACACAATCAGCATCCCCCTCAAGGAAGAAATGACCTCCCGCGACATCCGCAACCTGTACCAAGACCGCTACGCCGGCGAGAAGCTTGTCAAGATCGTCGGCGAGGCACCCCTGGTTAAGAACATCGCTGGTCGTCACGGTGTCGAGATCGGTGGTTTTGCTGTGCACTCGAGCGGCAAGCGTGTTGTCGTTTGCGCTACTATTGACAATTTGTTGAAGGGTGCTGCGACTCAGTGTCTGCGTGAGTTTACCCGTCCATCTTTTCTTCTCTTCTTCTTTTCTATGAGAAAGAGAAAGAGAGTGTTTATACTGACGATTCTTCAATGTAGAAAACATGAACCTCGCCCTTGGATACTCGGAGTACGAGGGCATTCCTCTAGAATAAGAACTGACAAGGAAAGAGAAAGAGTAAAAATAGAATAGTGCTCGCATGTCCCGTCTGTCTGTCTGTCATACCCCCCTTCGCGTGCATTGCAATGCATCCTACCAGGTCGCCATGGGATCGGGGTCTGTCGGGGTCTGTCGTTGTCGTGGTTGTTGATTGGCAGTTGGTGAAAGAGGAAGATGTTTTCGTTATTGTTGATGTCCATGTTCGTGTATTTTGAATTGTCATTTTGGTCCGATGTTGTTCGTTGGTGCCTGGTTCTTTTTTTCGTTTTGTTTCTATTTTTGCTTAGATTCGTCTCTCGGTGGGGTTTGAGGGCCGAGGTGTCTGTTGAAAAAGCAGCTTTTTGGATTTCTCAAGTGGTTTTCGGTTCCTTGATCGGGGTGGATGAGGTCATATAAATATCAATAAATACATATATCTCAATTTTTTATTTCTACCCTTCTGGATTTGGAGATTTAGATACCTGATGGAAGGTGATATGTAGTGAAGTTTGACAAGCTGAGATATACTATATTCTTTTTTCGAGCTGCATCTCAACTAACTTCTTCATCCCATTGCCCCTTGGAGATGTGAATGAGTAGCTGGACCTGCTGTAGCTGAGCCAACTTGATACATTCTCGAAACGTTCCTACCAGTCAAATCCCAAGGAGCATGGTCGCCAGTCTGATACACAGCATGTCCTGATTCTTCAAGAGCCATGGCCAATCCAATCCATCCAGAATTATTTGGCCCGGAGAGATGACCAGACTGCCCAAGGCTGTAGTGTGTGTATGTTAGGTAGGGATCTGTGTATCTGCAGAGGTTGTGTGTGTTCGTAGATCGAGAAAGACTTTCAAGCTTGCTTCTACTGCCTTCCTTCCTCATTCTCTCTCTTCTTCTTCCCGACCCAATCTGTCACTCACTTTCTGCCACCACCTTTCTATTTCCAATTACGCAAATTACACGGGCACTCGAGCCATCCTTATCCTTCCAGCCTTAATTTACTTTCCCGTACTCGTCACCACGGCCATACTCTCGCGTCTCCTTCAACCAAGCCTTCTCTCTTCCATGGACTTCCTCATCCCCGAGACCCAAGATAGCAGACGATACTAAACCTACTTCAGGGCAGGTCCTTGAGATTGAAACGCGTGGGAGACGTCTCGTCTCAGATACACGGCCATCTTTGTTCTGAAGGACGGGCTGCGGGCTGCAGGCTCTATCTGAGCATTGCAGCCACGATGTTCTACAGTCACGAAAGTAAGTATGCCTTGTAGTTCCCACGTGGAAATTAGAACTGGCGTATACCATGTCATACTGACAGTCCGAGTACAGTCCTCACCTCGCCTGAGCATGGCGTTGCGACCATTTGGCAAGTACCCGAGTCTCTCAGTCCACATCGACCGTATTCCCGCGAGAAGCTGACCATGCCTTGCAAACACAGGCTCGTGGCAACCCTCGGCTCCAGGTCGATCACCCGACGAGTGAACCGAAAGGCGATCCTCGACGTCAACGTTCCCCAGGCATGCAGAGTCATTATCAACCCCGAGGCGCCGATGGCGTTGCGCCTTCAAGGAAGTCTGCTGTGTGTCATCCATGTCGAGAGACCAAGCTGTTTTTGCGCGCTGACAAGCTGTTTGTTAGGTACGGTGTCTCAAGAGTCTACAATCAGCAATGCGGGTTTACCTTGCTCGAGGTGCAGGGGATGCATGATCGGATGGAGTCGTTGGTCCGGTCGATTCCCGGTAGCGGACTGGATCCTAGTGCTGGCAAGGCTAAGTGAGTGTAGTGTGTTTCTGTACTGGATAGTTAATCTACTAATCTCTGGTGTCAGACCAGGCCAGCTTATCGTTCCACATGACCCAGCTTTCCTACCCGAGACGGGCCTTCCGGGTCTGGACATTGACTTCTCAGTGTTTGACAAGATGGTGGAGGAGAGCTTCAGCCAGAAGTCTACTGGTTGGTTGTCGAAGTCACCCATGGCCAGCCAGATGCTCTCCTCTGAGACCGAGAGCATCCAGATTGAACTTGCGTCGGACGATGTCCTAAGAGATATTGGTATGATGAGCGTCCAGAGCGATATTAACAGTCCCATTCAAAAGCGAAGTGTAGGCGGCAAAATGCATGGTTCTCACGTAGGAGACGAGGAACAAGGAATCCTCCTTCAGCCCGACTTTGAGTTCGACGAGGATGGGAATATCGTGGAGCTTAGCCCGTCGCGACTGTCACCGCGGAGGAGCAGGTCTATCTTTGAACTGGAGGAAAATGTCCGTACAGAAGCAGGGCATGAGGATGGGCACAAGCTCCAGGTATGTTCCACATCCGAGGGAAAGTGCTTGTACTCACATCGTTGCAGTCTGAGAACAAAATTGAGGGAATTGAAAAAGAGGCTGATTGGATGGAGCTCGACAATCAGAACCCCATTGAAAACAACGGACAACTTGAAGCCCAAGAGACACGAGCCCGACAGGCTCGACGGGAAACCAAACATATCGCTGCTGACAACAACACAACCATCCGCAACGCCGATCTGGCGCGGTGGAACGAGCAATATGGTTTCAATATGGCCCGGGCATGGAAGCAGAAGCAGCTCAACAAGATCCCAACGCTGGCCAAGAAAAACGCCGCGTTCTGGGTGTTCGGCAAGGGCATCGGGTCGGTTGGGGTGGGATTGGGCGTGAGCCATGAATCCCACCCGCTGAAGTGTTACTCGGGCGATGAGCTGTACGACATCGTGTGTGTGGCCTTCCGACAGAACGGAAGGAAGCGCGCCCATAGCCCTGACGGAGACGAGTTGGGGTCGATGCCTCGTCGAATGTGTGTCCACGATGATAGCCGCCCTGACACAGAGCAGTCGATGCGGGATGTGGAAACGGGACGCCAGGGACCGGGGAGCCTCGATGACGACCACTCCTCACAGATGCCATGGAACATCACAGCTTCAGTGCAGAGTTCCCAACGCGGTCGAGGACTGGGTAGCGAGCTGTCCTCGCGAGGATATGGCGAAAGTCGAACATCACGACCTCGGAGTCGTCTCATGAGTGCAAGCCCACTCGCCGGACGGAGCTATCTCGATGGACGCGAACTCCTGAGCAACCTTTCGCCCCCGGGCTATGAAGTAGATGACCTAGATATCACGCAGTATCTCGAAAGCGAACTTGCAGCCGACCGTGAGAGTCTCAGTATGATCTCAGCCCGGCATCAGTCCGAGGTTCTGCGCGTCCAATCCACTCTCGACCGGGAGAGTCTAAACTTCCTCGATTTCATCAAGAGCAAAGTGGAATCCCAAGTCGGACCGAATTGGAGAGGCAGTGGTGAAAAGCCTAGCCAGATCGCATTCTCGACCATCCTGCCTCCGGTGAAGACCTCGCGCGCCGTGGCCACGCAGGGATTGATGAACGCGCTCACGCTCGCCACGAAGGGCGCTCTGGCTCTCTCCCAAGATCCCTACGATGATGAGAGTAGCGCCAGTATCGGGACGCGCTACCGGTATGGTGAGATTTATCTGCGGCTGGCCGGTTTCCGAGTGGAGGCGTGGTGTTATACGGGGTGGCGAGACGGTTAGGTGCAGACGGATGGGTGTCAGTGAGCTATTATTTATCGGCACTTTCTCAGCGTAGTGAGCATTTTCGCAGGAGTGTCGGTATTCGGATCTTTTTCTTCTTCTCTTCTCTCGCGGTATGCAATTGCATTGTCAATGGAGAGGCGTTGCGAGAATGGCCGTTTTTACGGGTTGTGGTTTTTTTCGCGTTTGATGGCTGGGATTGTACCTCGGGGTGGTATTATTTTTCAAGTTCACCAAGGAGAGGATGGAAAGGACCTGTATTTGCGCAAGCCATGATTATTCTTAATTTTTTCCCCATGGAGGATGATGTTCTCAGTATTGTTTACTATTTTTATAGTTCGCCGTTACTGTTCTCAATCTTACCAGGAACGTGTACGGATGAGAAGAAACAGTATCGCGTACCCAGTACGGTATGCCGAATGACCCCAAACAGTATCAGGGTAATGGTAATTGTATATACTCACCAGCAAACCATGCGATCTCGATGCGATAGTATCAATGCTCGACTGCTCGATTGGTGCCAAATGCGCTTTGGCGACTGGGTCGAGGCAGCCTTGTCCGTCCGTCTCCCGTCACGGTCAGGGATGGCACCAGGCCCGAAGTATTCCCTCGGATGAGAAGACTAACTGCCAAAATTAAGGGACATCATCGTTCATCCAAGTCCGCTCCGACACGCGAGTCGGTCCTTTGAGCCGTCCGTTGTTGCAGCCCGGTCTTGCAGCCTGCGCGCCCGCTGCTGTCTCTATTGGCCGCCAAGGGTTCGCCGGGCGGTTCATGTTGGGGGCCTGAGAGCTGGGGTGAGAAGGGAGGACAGCAACAACCATAGGGTGTTGGGAAGGAAAACCAGTAATCGACGAAGAGGAAAATGGAAACCACAAAAAGAGAAAGAGACAAGAGAATAATAATATACTCGACTATGTACGATGGACTGGTTATTGTATCGTGATGGTGTATGTACCATGCTCAAACTTACGCGTGACCTGTACTGAGCAGACCGCCGCGTATTCTCGTCTTGGTCTTTCCATTTCTTTCCTCTCTTCCCTTCCTTCCCCCTCCGCTTCTTCCGTCCCTGACAACTTTTTTCTCCCTCCCTCCCCCAGTCAAACCCCGGCCATCGCGCTGTCGCCATCGTGAATCCCCGGGACCTCCATCTGTCTCTCGAGCCCTCTCTTCCGGTCGCCACTATGGGTCGTACCGTCGACCAGGAGGTGCACGCCGCGTTTGTCGAGTTCCGCGCCAAGGAAGATGATAAGGTGCGTGACTGCGTATTTCGTAATATTTCAGCCCACTATTATGCTGCTCAACCAAACCCAAACACACCATCGTCACTGACATACCGTATGTAGTGTCTCTCCGTCCAGTGTATCTACTGCCAGCAGATCCGCGCAAAGAACACCTCGCGACAGAAGCAGCACCTCCTCGAATGCCCCGGCCTTCGAGGCCACCCCAACGCGCCCCAGCCATCTCAGCCCGCGCAGTCCGCTCCGAACGGCATCGGCCCTGCCAATGGATACCCAGGCACGCCGAGCGGTCCAACGGCCACGCCAGGTGCTGGTCCTCCCGGTCCTGGTCCGATCCCAACGCCCAATGGACCCATGATGGCCAACGGGGTGAACCCGCACGCGACCCCGATGCAGACCCCGCTGCAGAGCATGCAGAATCGCCCCCCAATGCAGACTCCCGGCCCGCCGCCGGGACCCCCGGGGTCCGCGCCGTCTTCTGCGCAGCCGTCGCGTCCGACACCCAAGCCCAAGCCGAAGACCTCGACCTCGAGCTTGCCTGCGCCGCCGCTGGACGACGTGCACGCGGCTTTTGTCGAGTTCCGCGCCAAGGAAGAAGACAAGGTACGGCTTTCGCGAAACCCCTTCGCGACATAAATAAACCCATCTAACCGCTTCGCCAGTGTCTGTCCGTGCAATGCATCTACTGTCAGCAGGTCCGCGCCAAGAACACCAGCCGCCAGCGTCAGCACTTGCTGGAATGCCCCACCTATCTTAGTGTGATGAAGGACTCGATCCCGGCCAACAATCTGCTTCATACGTTCCCGGAAGGCGATGTCGCGCGATCACTGCAGATTCCGGCGCCATCGCTGGAGCTGGACTTCCGCATGAGCATCAAGTTGAACCCCAAGGTTACGGTCGGTCAGAGCATCTGGGGTCATCGGGATTGGGTTTCGTTTGTGGGTGGACAGTGGGCTGGCCGGTGGGGCAAGGGAATCGTTCTGGTAAGTCTTTCGTCGCCTTCGTCATATCAGATTCTGACTCCCCGTATAGCCCGGTGGCCAGGATACTCAGGTCGTGACGAAAGACGCGACTACCAACCTTCGCGCAAGCTACATGCTTCAGACCGCAGATGAGCCGCCTGCGTTCATCATCGTGCGGACAGAAGGCTGGCTGACCGGCGCCAAGGATGTTTTGGAGAAGGTCAACGACCCTGGGATGGCGGATGGTGTCAATCCTAGCACCTACAAATACCGCATCAACCTGTCAATGGAGACTGGTGACGAGCGATACACATTCCTAAACACCTTGATGTGGATAGGCAGCGGCTGCCGCCGAGGCCAGGAACGTAAGTTTGCCCTGTGTCTTTGATTATCAGTTATAATTCTGACATGTGGCAGTCATCTTCGATTCGTTCCGAGTCAACTAAGTTCCTCCAACCAACCAAATTTGTCCGTTCTTAAGCGAGTTTCGTACCCATGGTTTCAGTTTCTTTTTGTTTTGATGGGGAAAACGGTGTTTTCTTTGCAACTCCAGTAGTCGATACGCGGGCGCAGCCTTATCTTATGACGACCTACCACCTCCTTCTTTCAGTTTTGTTCCGCGGTATCTTCGGGATGGGGGTCTAGGTTTAGGGAATTGTCAACTATCTTTGACGGATAGCAGGTTTTTTTTATTTTTTTATTTTCGTATGGACGAAAGTGGGAAAATCGGGATTCGGATCGGATTTCTTTCAGCTGTAACTCTCTTCATGTCGGCTTTGATCTTTATTCTCGATGGATGGATAAGGTGGGATGGGTGTAGGTGGTTATCTATTATTCGCTTGTTTCTCTGGTTTCCTTTCTGTCTGCTTGTCTCAAATTGACCTCCTAGCGGAGATATATTTGCTGGTTCTATTGGCCATTGGACGCTTAGTGAGATATTGCTGCTGTATGGGTGAAGTATACCGTCTATATCTCTGCTTGCAAGAACGAAGTTGCCGACATGTTAATGTACAATCCCTACCCAGGGAGTCTTTCTTTATATTATCGCCCTGGCAGTAACGACTCCATAGTTAATATAACACAGTTACATATAACATTACACTAGGAATAGAAAGGATGTAAGTAAAGCTTTCTCGACGTAATGCACTATTTCGGATATTTTCTATACTATATCTATACAAGTTACCCTCTGGGTTATATATAACAGGCCGACATGGCCATATTTGTTTCCCTCGGAACATGATAATTTCACAATCATAAAAGTCACATCGCAACACAATATCTTACCCCCAAGGCAATGTGAACAGGATGTATAAGTTTCATTACCTCACCTCGGTAACAGTCAAGATAATGATATTTGACCATTTGCTAATTACATCAGAACACGCTTTTTCATATTCCCCAGAGATCCTGCTTCTGCCTTTCGCTGTGGCCCTGGAGATAATTCATGAGCGTACATGGGCGAATCTGTTTTCTACTTTCATTATAATAAAGGGCAGAAACAGTGATCATTCAAAGGGTATCGGAAGCCAAAAAAGGTCGCGAAAGCTCCTCTTGCTCGTACTTGTATGCATTCTACCAGGTCACTGGGAAAACTCTATCTCTCCTCTAGAGCCAACTAATTCGATTTCTCGCTTAAAAAGCGAGCATGCCAATAGCTGCGGCACCGACATAAGCTAATGTACCAGCGACAATTGGGGTCGCCGCACTGCCGGCACCGGTAGATGTCGAGATCGAGCTTGTATTATTAGAACCCGTAGGGGAACTTCTTGCGGAGCTTGTGGTCATCGTTGTGGTAGGGCTCGCGGTGATCGTAGATGCGTGTGCCGAGTGGTTAGAGCCCTTAATCTTAAACAGCGGGGACTGATTGAAAATAGAAGCATCGTCGATAGAGCCAATCTTGATGTAATACTTGTCGCTGGTCGGAAGACTGCTGCTAACATTCCACCTGTATTTGCCCGCACCGCTTTGAGTATTGGCTATGGAGACGGCTTAGTTGTGGATACAATAGTAAAAATGATCCAAAACTACTTACGGCTAATAACTTCCACGTATCCTGCGGCATAGTTGCTCTCGCTGTTTTGTAGCAAAATATTGATGGAGCCTAAGTAGTTTTCCGTTGATTTTTCCCACTCGATGGTATACACGCTGCCGGCCTGAATGGTTTCTCCCTTGGTCGGCTTGCTGATCAGATCAAAATTGGGGTTAAGGGAAAGGGCTGTGCCAAATATCCCGAAAAGGGCGGTAGCGTAGTAATCAAACCGCATGTTGAACAGTATGCTTTGTATATTGGCGGTGTAGAGGCTTCAAAGTGTACCAAAGATGTTTCGATTGTTGCTAGATAATAGAACTTAGGAGGGCAGTCGTCGGTATTTAGAACACCTTGAAAAGTCTCTCCAAAATGGAAGTTGGGGCCTGGATATGATGTCAACCCGCAGCGGGAAAGATACGGCTCAACCCTTTCGCCCTCTTTTGAAGAAAAACAGCCCCCGGGGATCAGGGGCCGCTGCATGTACGTTGGTTGTTTAGTGGGGCTATTTTGGAGGAGGACCTGTCGAAAGCCTTCCTATAGGGCATAAATCGGCTCTACTGCATTAGGTCCCGAGTATTACGGCCCCCCAAAATATAGGGCCACATGTATTACAGCCCGATCTAATATGCCTATCCCTCCAGAGTATGCAAACCCCTCCTGCTGAAGCTGAATTATTATGAATGTGACGGGCTAGCTACCGCAGTGATAGAGGCTGCTTGATTTCCAAAGACAGGGGTCGTAGGATGGGTCAGAAGACTTGGTGAAAAGGACAAAGGAAAGGAGAATCCTCTTCAATCAACGGAATTCGACCAAAGCTGAGCCCAGCACAAAAAAAAGGCCACCATCTTTGACGGCTCATCAATCCACGCAATCCACTTTCTAAGCTTAGACCCAATCGACTTCTCATAATGGCTACCGGCACGGCGGCGGCATTTATTCAATTGAGGACGGTCTTCCTTAACAAGGTGGTAACGCTATAGAGAATGATCCTAAAATTGGTGTGTTCACCAATTTCAACACGGGCTTTGTGGCCGTAGGCTTGCTCTATGGCGACACCGCCTCCGAGCGACCTTCGGCCTTCGAGGCGTTCCATAACCTCAAAAGCTTGGTGACAACAGTTCCCCCTTCCACAAATGGCACTTTCTTATCACTGGCCCAAGCCGTGGGCCATAAACAGGAGTCCAAGAAGTGAGTGCAGCGGACACAAAAACGAGGCTCAGGTAATCACCAACACACGCAATAGGCGGGCCATTTGCACGATGACTACTAAGGTGTCGCAGGAGCTCTACGAAGATGTCTACAAGTCCTGGACCGGGGTCTGCAAGAGCCTTCCGACCGACTGCGCTGTGAATTATACAATCCAGCCGATGGGCAAGGCTGGTGTGCAGGCAAGAAAAGATCGTGGAGAGAGTATCATGGGACACGAGAGCATTCCGCAGTGCTGTAAGTGCATCTTGCGTTCCTCATCACAATGACACCCATCATATGAGACCTTCTAGCTGTTTCAATTTAACATTTCATCATTCACCACGGGAGTGATGGCTGCTGATCAGTTTTAAATCAACAATCATTGTCGCGGGCCTCTCTACTCCTTGACGTGGAGTCCCTGCGTTCCGGAGAGACTCCATTTCTAGCACCCGTATAGAATAGCGGGGGTGGGACCTATCGCATAGCAAATTGGCCATTTGAGGTTCCGGTATATCGTGAGAGCGATTCTTTGACCGGGGGTCCAGACTGGGGTATGGCTGAGGGGGAAGGGTTTCGGGGAGAACAGAGCGGAAGCTATGTTCCTTTTTTTCTTTTCTCTTCATGCTTGAGAATCGACTGACAGGTCTAAATACTCTATATCCCCAATATCTAGCCAGACACACGCTCGTTTTGATACCATGGCCAAGTGCTTCTCATGATATTTGGCCAGCCCCGTACCCGCTTATCGCTGCTGTCTCTCTTCGTCATGCCTTAATTGGCAACACCCCCGGCATTGCAGCCTTTCGTAACATAGACAATCAAGCGTCGCGTGACAAGATTTAGGTCAAGTGGCTGTTCGTTCCGTCTCGGCTATACTTCGGCTCATACTTGCATCGATGCCAAGCCATTGTAATAATGGGTCAACGCTAGTGGAGTATAAACGCGGAATATCGGCCCGTAAGCCGCCTGGACTTTGCGTTCTTATTGAATATCGAACATATAAACTCAGGACAGATCTCTTGAGTCTCACAGTTTTCAACCATTTGCCAAGTACCATACATTGAGTGACAAACCTGAACTATGGAGTCATCGCCTTATCAAGCTTTTATTTGGGAGCAGGTCAAGCCTGGAAGGTGGGAACGGGATATTGATGAAATCGAACAATCTTATACCACGTTGGCAAGGAGGTTCCAAGGAACTGGCAGGACCTTTTTTGCTATGACAGCCCACGTCTCTTTTTCTGTTAAGAAAACTCAATCTTCAATCGAAAATCTTGAGCTGCATGTTACGAATGCATTGCAGAAAGCATGGCTGCGACTTCGATACGACCACCCTACCATTGCATCATGGGTCGAGTACAATCGCGAGGGAAAGAGATGTAAGAAGGTCTATGAGATGTTTGCCGACCCAGGGAATGTTCTTGCCTCTGCCTGGCTGAAAGAAACTTTCCAAATCGTTTCCACCAGCCAATCATGCCAGGAATGGTGCAATTCAGATCCGCCTGTGCCTAAGCTACCGACTTTGTTTCTCATAAAACAAAATGCTACTTCATCAGCCAACATCACATTCTCTGCTGATATTGTTCTCCGATCACACCATGATATCATCGATGGAATTGGGTCGCTTCATTTGCTTAACAACTTGTTCAAATTTGCAGGTATTGCTTTTGATGACGCAACCGCCTTCCATATACCCGCCTTTGGCGATGAGTGGATAAATCTCAGTCCCCCGTTTCGAGTAGCAGCTTCCCTGCCAGCTAGCCTGACGTCGGAACAAGAAGCGCGATTGAAACAGATCTTGGAGAAAAATGCCTCTCTTCGTCAAGGCATTCAAATTGCGACAATACCTGTTCAATCCGAGCAACTAGTTCCTGGGCGCCACCAGCGAGTCTCGTTAACTCTGGATTCTCAGCAGACTCAAAGACTGCTCATCGCTTGCAGGAGCATTGGCGCTAGTGTGACGCATGTATATCATGCTGCAATTGCGCTAGTTCTTCGCGACGTCCAAGAAAGATATGCTGAGGAGCGCATGGTTCGATATATCAGCTACTGTTTGATCAATGAGCGCCTACAATGCAAAGCACCATACGACACGTCACAACATGCGGTCTCTGTATATCACTCTGGTTCTGGTCCGAGTCTTGCCATCGATTTGACAGTCCCCGCCGCTGCTGCCGTGAGGAGTCAAGCAGTAGATGACACAGCTTCCGAATTTGCCCGGGTGGTTGAGATAGTCAAAGAATATTATCTGGGAATACGGAATGACCCAGAACATGTCGCTTTCATCCCGTCATACTTGAAGCATTCAACTCCACCTTATCCCGACAGCCCAGGTGTTCCACCAATTCCTTCCCCGAACCAGGCACCCTCCGTCTCAATTTCTAGCATGGGAGTGATTGATAACATTATATCCCCGACCCATGGCCTGTTTGAGCTGGATGAGCCTTGGGTTACGGGAGAGGAGCTTGGGACAGGCTTGGGCCTTTTTCTCGGTACCTTCCGTGGACAGATGTGCTTAAGTGCCGCATATAATGATGCGTGGCACAGTGAAACAGAGGTCATGGACTTTCTGAGAAAGTGCAATGGCCTTGTATTCGAAGCTCTTGGGGTGTAGCAGCAGACATGAGATTAAGAATACGGAGCGAAGGAAGACTATTCGCACACAACCTCCAACAGAATTGTAAAGTGATTGGCACGGGCTGCTCCAGATTCAGCTACGACAATCCCAGTGGAGCGGCGGTCTGGTTTCAAAGAATGTTTGAGATGCACAGTTCGAAGACTACTCATGGGAATGGATTTAATGGTAGTTTTGAGATTGTCGCGACACAGGAGTCTCACTGGGAATCAGTGTGTAATCTGCGTGCAACTCATCCAATACGAATGTTCTCGTAAGCGTTTCTTCTGTTAGCTCATTTGTAGGCATACTGTCTGGTATGATATGTCTGGTGTTGGAGTGATTTGGCCAAGCGGGGTATAGTCTACTAAAAGCCTAGCTTCGTTTCTTACAAGGCATCCGAACATGACTACAGATGAAACGAACTATGTTAAATCTAGTAGGATGATGAATTTTAAAAAAAGAACTTGGTATTTTGTACTCTCTATCGGCAGGCTCAAATTGGATCATGTCCATCAATTCAATCATACACAACTCCGTAATTTAAAACCCTGCAAATAGAACAACAAATCAGCATGCTGTATACTGAATTACCCCCGGAGGAAACTTACCTTTCTCTGTATTTCCCTCCCCCATACTCTTACTGCTACTGCTCCCACTTTGGATTGCACCAAGAATCCCATCAATATACGGCGCACCACTCCACTTCTGGTGCGTGAGGACATCAACGCCGAGCTCCTTTTCGCGCGCCTGGATCAGACGCACGTAGGCGAGCATGCCCTCGTCTTTAAATGCGCGCGAGAGTTCCGTGGTGATGGTTGCGTTACTGTGTAGACCCGCTAGGGAAATCAATTGCAGGACGAAGCTGTAGCTATCAGTTAGTAACCGAGGGTTGTGATTCGGTAGGTAGGTATGTGTGCCCTTTGGGAGACACTTACCCATGCTTCGCCAGGTCCCAGATAAAGGACTTCAGTGATGCCTCGTCGAATCCTTGGCCCATCCAGTTGAATGACGGGCTGAGGTTGTAGACTAGCTTCTTGCCCGGGTACGAGGCGCGCACCTCGTCGGCGAGGGTCCCGGCTTTGGCGACATCGGGGTCGCCGGTTTCCACCCATAATAGGTCTGCGTAGGGCGCAAACTCCTTGGCGCGCTTTGTGGCGGCGGGGAAGCCGGCGCGGTAGTGGTAGAATCCCTCACGAGTGCGGGGGCTGTCGCAGGACCAAATCACGGGAGTTTTGGTGTAATCACTTGCTAGGGAGCGGCGGCGGGAGAAGGATAGATCGGGGTTCTTCTGCACCTGTGCCTTGTAGGCCTCCCGCGAGGACTGAGAGGCACCTTCAGCTTCAAGGTGGGCGTCGACAGCTAGACACTGTTAGGAAAGGCCTGGAAGAAAGAGATAAAATACATACCCTCGTCAAAAGTAACCAGCTTGTGTCTCTTCACCCAGTCAAGCTCAAATGCATCAATTTCATTCGGAGAAGCGCCTTCCCGCTCCATCGCCTGCAGCGTCTCGGCCAGAGGCTCCACCTCCTCGGTCACACCGAGGATGAACTCATGGTCGCGCACGTCAATCGCGCTGCTGATCAGCCTCCCGCTCTCAGAGTCTGTGCGGGCAATCACCAGCGTTTCGCAACCCATCATATCCCACTGGAACCGCGCAGCCACCAGCCGGTTGATATGCTCGCCCATCGGGACGAGTACCTTACCAGCAAGATGTCCACACTTCTTCCCGCCATGCAATTGATCCTCGAAATGCACCGCCGCGGCACCGTTCTCTGCGAACAGCTTGGCGAGTTTGAGGACTGCGGATAAGCCTCCATGCCTGTTCCCAAAACAATTAATCTCCGCGCGCTTGCTCCTCGGGGAGGACATACCCGGTATCACCATCTGCGATAATCGGCCGCATGTAATCCACATAATCCGTAGACTGGCGCTGCTCGGCAGTCAATTTTCGGCGGGCATCCCACTGTTTCCGATCGTGCATCTGCTGCGCCTTGAACAGGCGCTGCACCTGGTTCGGGACTGTGTTGTAAGGGTAGTCACCGAAATCGGCTGACACTTCGTTGGTGGTTGTCAAGAGCGAGGAACAGGCCCAACCAGAAATATACAGGACTTCCTGGTTCGCAGCCTGTTGCGTCATCTGTACGGGATCAATGGCGCCCACTTTATTGGCATATGGTAAGTACCTAGGCGAATTATGGACCGCACTAGATGAACATACTGGTATGCACAGGCTGGCCGGCCGCAGCACGCTCATTGAGCAGATTGAACAGCTTCCGCGCCATCAGCGAGCTCGGGTAGGTCTGCTGCAGCGAGCCACGCTTGCTCACGACGTCCGCGGCCGAGTATGGTCGCTTGATGCCCTCGTACCGCGGAGTTTGCCACCATGTCTGGACATCGCGCACCTGCTGCTCATACAGCGCGTCCTCGGCGGCACCGGCTTTCTGCTGCGTCGAGAGCAGCTGGTAGGCGTCTGAGGGGGAGGGCGGTGGACACGGGCGGTTGGACGGGGGAAGACATCCGAGGATAGCCGCATGTGAAGGGGCGCGATACTGCGAGAGTGGTGAGGAGAGGGCGTCGAGGGAGGCGACGGGGGATGGAGCGAAGCATTGTGTTCACTCCGGAGAACTAGAGAATGTGTGTGAAACAGAAAGGGAGAAAGGGAAGGAGAGAGAAAGGAAGAAGGCGAAGTGGTTTTTGTCCTCGGCCCGCGCTGGGGTTCCCCGCGACTAGGAGAATGCGCCGAAAATCGCTGGATGAGTAACAGACAGTGGATGGGTGCACCATTACTGCTAGGAAAATATCTGGGCATCCGAATCGGCCATCTACAATTTCATCATCCTTTATCGATCGCATGTTATTAGATTGTTTTTACTGCATAGGGAAGCAAGCTCTGAAGGGTCTGAGGATCGAAGCCACTATCCATGGATGATGGGTGGTGGAGACGAGGGAAGAAGAAACTGCTATAATTAATACTGGGCTACCAGTGGTGGAAGGGCCATTCCTATACTTCGGCCTTGTCTTCTTTGAGGAAGGCAAACAAATGGTCCAGTGCTGACCCTGGCCGTTCTAGACTCTGCACCCATGCAGAATGCGGAGAGGGGATCCACCGCCGATACGAACGGGGCGGATATCGGGTCATGACCAAGTTATAGAATCTAGATGTGGCAAACACCAAACACTGGAGGATACATAATTATGTCAGACTTGGTCGAGCTCCCCACCGGCACCAAGCGAGGGATCAGTAACCAAGTAATCGATCAAGAACCAAATATCTGCCACCCCTAGGCCCGATCATAATAGCGTTCACTCCCCTCACCCTAGCCCCCGCAGGGCTTATCTCGTCTCGCCCACGACGGGAATGTGTGGCATCGTCATTCGCCCACCTTATCTTTTCCCTTCTTTGTCTTCTTCTTTCTTCCCTTCCCCTTCCCACCATCATTTTCCTTCCTGCCTCCGGGCTTTCTGAATGGGCTCGATCCTCTTGGTATGGACTACATCAAAATCCCGTCGCCGTCCACCATCCTAGACTCGCCCAAGACGCTGTCGGCCTCTGTCCGAAAACCGGTGTCTCGCTCTACGGTCGCCCCCGCCACGATCCAGCGGCCCAAGCAAACCAAGAGCCGGAATGGCTGTAGCACCTGCAAGGCAAAGCGACTGAAGTGCGACGAGTCCAAGCCGTCCTGTCAACAGTGCGAGCGACGCAAAGTGCCCTGCGGTGGCTATAAGAAGGACTTCAAATGGAGGCCCTTCGAGGAGACCAACTTGGCCCCTGTGTCGGCCAAGTCCAAAAAGGGTAAGTCATGGTGATCCCATGACCCCTCCGGATTAGTTTGTCTGACCTTCCACAACAGCATCGGCTCCCTTGACCGCTGCGTCCACCACCACGGCTCCCTCGGTGCTGACCAAGTCGGCGCCATCTCTTAAGAAAAATATCCCGACGCCTCCTACCCCGGACCAGTCGGCGTCGCCGGTTCGTGCTCACGCTAATATATGGAATGCTTCACCCCCGGAATCGCCCCTGCAGAATTCCCCAATCAGTATCAAGAGCTTTCTCTCCACGGAGAGCAACTCTCTGGATGAGTTTCCTGATAACTCGTCGTCAACAAGAGCAGGCGTGGTTCCAAATGTGACCCTGCCTGCCGAGTCTCACCCGGCCAACTTTCTTTCCTTTCTTGAGCCCTTTCACCAGTCGCTGTCGGGGTATGGTGCCTTGGGCCAGGTGCCTTTTGGGCCAACCGAATTTCCTGATGAGCTTCCAGACCTCACCTTCTCTGAGCTATTGGAAGATGAAAATGAGGACATCGAGGATATTATCCGGCAGTCGGACCCCGATGTCGGCCCATGGAACTTTTCTCTTTCTGAGCAGGGAACCCTGCCGTTTGATCTGCTCGGTATTCCTACCGGGCCGTCCCTGTCCCCAAGCAGTCAGGAGATGATGATTCTCCGCTATGACAAGCTTACCTGCGGTATCCTTTCTGTCAAAGATGGGATCACGGAGAACCCATGGCGCACGTTGGTCTGGCCTCTTGCCAAAGATACCCCAGCCCTGTATCATGCCATCTTCGCCCTCACTGCCTTTCACTCCTCCAAGGAAAACCCGTCCCTTCGAGTCCAAGGTGTGGCACACATGCGGCAGAGCATCACCAGTCTGATGCAGCAGATCCAAGATATGCGAGCGGATGCTGCTCTAGCTACTAGCCTGGCACTAGCATTTGCAGATACGTGGGATCAACACACCCGCACCTGCATCCAGCATCTGCGCGGCGCGAAGGCGCTGGTCTCCCGGGTGCTGAACGAAGGGCTACGGAGCAATGCGCGTGGCGACGAGCTGGACCGAGTTCGTTTCCTGTACAATACGTGGTCATACATGGATGTAATTGCACGACTGACTTCCATGGATGACTGCGGGACTCCGGATTTCGATCTCTCCATCTTCCACCTTCCCAGCGACGCCGTGCACGAGATTGACCCGTTAATGGGCTGCGCTGCAACGCTGTACCCGCTGATGAGCCGCGTCGCAGAGCTCATTCAGCGCGTGCGCAAGAGTTCATCCAACACCGTTTCTCTCGTTGCGCAGGCAATGGAACTTAAATCTCTCCTCGAGCAGTGGGAGCCCCCTCGCTGGTTTGAACCACCCGAGGACCCCACTTCCGAGGTCCAGCACAGTGTCCAGCTGGCGCATGCCTACCGCTGGGCGACCTTGCTGTATCTGCACCAGGCAGTACCCGAGATGCCATCGGAGCCCACGGATGAACTGGCCAAACGTGTGCTGATCTTGCTGGCCACAGTCCCATATACCTCGCGCACAACCATCATCCAAATGTTCCCTCTTCTTGCCGCCGGCAGTGAAGTGGACATGGAAGATGATCGCAACTGGGTGCTGGACCGATGGACGACAATCCAGTCCCGACTCATGCTCGGTGGCGTGGATCGATGCCTGGAAGTTTTGCAAGAAGTCTGGAAGCGACGTGATGCCACCAAGGCCGAAAAGCATCAGCAGCAGCAGCAGCAGCAGCAAAATGCGGGCAAAGATAACCGGGCTGGTTCCTTCTCAAACGCCGATAGGAACCATGGCAAAGAAGCTTCGCGGGGCTTTGATAATGGGCCCCGTCGATTCGGCGGCTTATACAATAACCCGACTACTCCTCGAAAGAGACCCGTTGAGGCGAGGTTCTTGACCCCGTCAGCCAGGGCGGAGACATCTCGTCGAGGTACGGCGATTGCGCCATTGGTGAACATCGAGTTCGAGCGAACGGTTCGAGGGAGATTGCATTGGGTTAATATTATGGCAGAGTGGGGCTGGGAGGGTAAGGCGTCTGTCTCTTCTTTGGTAGTAAGACCCAACTAACTTTGCAAAATAGTATTCGTCGGCTAGCGCAGCCTTCTGATTATCCGTTACGGCTTCCCTGAAGCAGTTTGGAGCATCGACGGGACTTTTATGTTCTGGCGCTCTCTACTAATATTTACGATTTACGACAGCTTGAGTTCATCCGTCTTTCTTGATCATTTCTTCCTTTCGCGTTGTTTATGTTTATGTTCATGTTCATGTGTTCTTGTTTTTACCACCGCTCTCCCTTTTCTTCCCCAAGTCCATTCTTCAGCCTCCATTTTGTTTTTGTTTCAAATGGTGTGTTGGCGTCTGTGTAATTTCAACAGACCCCGCCAGCCAGCAAGGCGTTTCGAGACTTCATTCTTGATTTCTTGATTTCTTGATGATGACTATCTTTCCCTTGTCATCTTTCTCCTCCTCCGGGCTATCACCTGGAGGGCGGACCCTGTTATTCTCTTTTTCTCTTCCTTTATCTGACTGTGACCATTTTTGACATTGCAAGAACTGTGTATGATGTAGGTACTAATGTCTCCCAGCGTTCCACTGATCTCACTGATCTTGTGCCTTGATCCTTTACCAAACATTTCGCCAATTACCTTACCAATTTTCTATTACCAAAGCGATCGCCAATGCCAGAGCCATCCCAATACAATCAATAATGACACACGCATGCCCAATGCCCCAAGCCCGGAGCCCGCTGCACCCGTATATACAGGTCCAGTTCCGACCGAGCCGCTGAGCAACACAGCCCAAAACCGCTTCAACCCACGAGAATAACCTACTCTGCCTGACTCAAGGAATTGAAATTGCTCATTCCTTCACAACCGACATCCCTGGGCCCGTGTACACGACGACTCCCATCCAACCATTCCTTAGTCCCGATCGACTAGGTACAACTACCTGCTCCCACGTGGTCCTGTCAACACTCGAGATCTATATCTGCCGTCAGCGATCAATCCCGAAGCGAGCAGTAAATGCCGTCTTGTCTCGGCACTCATCCAGCTGTGGGATACATTGAGGATAGTACCCCTTCTAGCTCTCTAGACTAATATTTAGTGTAGTTGCTCTCGCCGTGCGTGCCGTATTGAATGTGTCTATTCAATTCATCGACCTGGATGGGGCATGTTCGACCACTGGTTGTTTGGAGCATGGCATTTAGGCTATAGACGTGCTCCATCGATTTACGTGCCATCGAACCAGTTTCAAGTGGAATACCCATTTAAAGGTAGGGGCCGCGATCCTTTAACACTGCTGCCATGCCATTCCATGGCGATCGGTAATTGATAAACTTCTCGGGTCAATGCCACTATACATCAATTTGAAGCGGTGCGCGCGGCGAAGGGCGGGTAGACGAAATAATGGTCTACGAAACTGAACCAGTGCGGTATTTAGATATTCGAATAGTCCACATAGAAGAAACTCTTATGTACTTCTAGCTTGTACTTGGACATGTTTGTTTGACATGGTTGGCCCTGCATGGTCGCCTGAGGTGTAACCGCCTCGCTTACCTTTGTTTACGGGCTTTAGAAGAATTGGAAGAGCTTAGAAGGCGCCAGATTGCAATGGCGGGACTCTTGCTCTTTCATTCGATTCGATCCTACAGTCCCTTTTATACTCTCTTCCATTCATTCCCTGCTCACACCATACTCTCCTTCAAACTCTCAACGCCGCATCGATCAGGCACATTGCTCAGTAAATTTGCCGCACCCAATGTAAAAGCATAAACATCCATCGCAAATATAGATCATATCATGGCTTATAACCCTTTGCAATGCTAGTCATAACGCTCCGACTGGTCTCAAACTTCATCCAATTAACAGGATTCTCCATCTCGTCTGGGAGCTGGGCCATCAGGCTGGCAAACTCCGGTTTGAGACCTACCACCCCAGTCTCGCGAGCATAGTCGTGCCAATGCGCCATGAGTTCCTCCAACTTGTCAGTTCGCTCTTCCTTCAAATCGTGCACCTCACCGGGATCCTCAACCACATTGTAGAGCTGCCACTCTTCTGGTCCAAATGGCCTGTTAACAAAATTGAGCTTCCACGCGCCTTTCCGCAATGCTGCCTGTCCGAACAGCTCCCATCCCGCCACATAGTCCTCTGGGTGGGGTGTTGGGGTTTTCTTTGTGAGGAATGGTACCCAGCTCGTGCCCATTATTTTTTCAATCCTCCTTCCTCCAAACATATCAATGGGCTTTGCAATCCCTGCCTGCTCTAGCATGGTTGGCATGACATCCATGACTGTGCAAAAGTCGTGGCAGATGGGCTGCCAATAGCTCATGTCCATGGATGGCTTCAAAATGAATGGCACGCGGATACCTCCTTCTGTGCTGAATTTCTTGTATAGCCTGCTGGGCGCAGTTGCCGCTTGAGCCCAACGACCACCATACCAAGCAAAACTGTCCTTGTTGCCGATATTATCCAGGGCATTGTTGTAATATCGCTCAATATAGTCCAGCACCTTTGGACCCATTAGCGGATGTGCCTCATAGCTGTATCCTTCCGCGCCGTTGTCGGACAAGAAGATGATCTCCGTGTTCTCATACAAATCATTTTCATGTAGATAAACGATTACACGGCCAATGTTCTCATCCATACAATCCACCATTCCCGCATACGCCTCCATCGCACGCGCGGACTTGCTTCGTTGTTCGGGTGTCATCTCTTCCCATTCTGGTACCTCAGGTGCCTGTACTGGGTGTGGGTTCACTCCCTCGGGAACTAGCCCAAGACGTTGCAATGCGGCAATACGACGCAGTCTGAGTGCGTCTGGACCATCATCATACATGCCGCGATACTTCTCGATGTTTTTCTGTGGAGCTTGCAATGGCCAATGTGGAGCAGAGAAGGGTAGGAAAGCAAAGAATGGTCGGTCTCGTGGCCGCTCATCAATGTAGCGTAATAGCTCGGTCGTATAGTAGTTGCTTGAGTAGAAGTCCGCCGGAAGTGTATTGTTGTTGACATATTGGCCGTCCTTCATGTGAACAGCGCTCACATTCACCTCCGCAAAACGACACAATGAATCACCAGTCTGGATTTCCGGCTCCCACGCGTAGTGGTTTGCCGCTGGAGGCAACAGTGCAAAACTGCGGTCAAACCCTCGATTGGCTGGCGAATGCTCGGGTTTGAGTCCAAGGTGCCACTTGCCCGCCATTATGCTATGATAGCCACCATCGGCGCGCAAGACTTCTGGCAAGGTAGCCACGTGCTCGTTTAGATAGCCCTCATGACCAGGTTTACCTTGGTGAATAGGACTGTCCATCAAAAACTCGGCCATTTGGCCTAGGCCCGTCAAATGATGATCAGTGCCGGTAAGGAGCATGGCGCGTGTGGGCGAACAGGCGGCGGCCGAATGAAAATCTGTAAACCGAGTGCCCGCGGCCGCGAGACTGTCGATGTGCGGCGTCTGGATTTCAGATCCATAGCAGCTGACATCAGAAAATCCGAGGTCGTCTGCGACAATGATTAAGTAGTTCGGCTTGGAAGGAGGTTTGAAAGAACCCATATCGGTTTTGGGTGACGCAGCCCGGCTTGGTGTTTGAGACTGTCGGATGAACGAAGCACTTTTAAGTCATGATAGCTATTATCAGACACTGATCAGATCGATTCCAGTGCTTCGCCATAGGTTGATCCTTGGTGGTGGGTGGGGCTTTTTAGCGACACTCGCGTTCAACGGGCCGCGGATCGATAGTTTCTGCATCGGCTTGATATCGGCGTTGGATTCCGAAGGGAATGCGCATCGGTACTCTTAATCTGCACATATTTAATGTTCTTCGGGACTAGGATTCCTTGAACTTCTTATCAATAGTTAAGGAAGTTGTACCAATGTTCGATATGGAAGGGCCTGATATGCCAATCACCCAACTTAGTTCGCCAAATATACGCCAGCACTAATGCAATGAAACTCCCCGCGTTTTGCTAATTCATCAATATCAAAACTGGATTTGTTTTTCTTTGTTTTAACTGTCAATCTCTTTTCATCGCCTCGACCATAGTATCTAACAATCAGAATGCTTTGCAACAAAACACTCACTAAAAGAGCAATCCATCCAACTATGCTGGCTTGCTCAATTCGGCGCCACTTTCTCGTAATAGTACTTTTCGGCTGCTTTCATGATAGCCTTAACCTCCGAGGCGGGGATTTTCTCCTGGCGGTCAAATGAATATAGACCATTTACCTCCTGCTCAACATCGCAGCTGTTCATAGATTAGCTTCAATCCGACAACGTCATGCACATTCTGAGGGGTGCACATATAAATGAAAAGAAGCAACTTACAGTTGCGTGTACACCAAACCGCATGAGTGTCCACCTTCGACGACTGCCATGACCAATTTTCTGAAACGTTCCAAGAGGTCCTTTGAGTCACTCGCAGTAGTGTATCCCCAATCCCTCTCACCAACGACGGTATCTTTGGCAGGAGCGATGTTGACACCACCAAACTCTGTGCAAATAACTGGTGCTCCTTGTTGATGCTTTGCGCCTGGATCCAAAATCGTCTTGCCTGAAAGGATAGGGTTGGTAAACATATCGTGGCCCGCCTTCTTCCCAAGAATCCCGCCCTCCATTTTTGAGCATGAAACAGACAATTCTGGGGAATCCGCGTAGTCGTGATATGTCGTCAAATCTGTCTGGACATGCTCCCAGCCGCAATTGTCATTAATAGGCCGAGTTGGGTCAAGAGTCCTATGCCGTCAAAGTTGGTAAGTAATTCAATGTAAACTTTTGGGTACAAGATACTGACTTGGTGAGGAAGTATACAGAGCGCATGTGATTGCGTTGCTCGATATTGTCACGTAGCGAAGTGTATCCCCAGCTCTCATTACCCGGTGTCCAGGTTACTATGCATGGGTGATTGATATCTCGCTTAACAGCCTCGGTCCACTCGGAGTTGAAACGATCGACATATGTCTCGTCAAACTCATAGGCGTTGGCAATCTCGCCCCAGACTAGGAACCCTAGTCGATCAGCCCAATAGAGGAAAAGAGGATCTTCAATCTTTTGGTGCTTGCGGCACCCGTTGAAGCCCATCCTCATCGTCATCTCGATGTCGGCTTTTAAGGCATCCGGAGACGGGGGAGTGAGGCCCGTATCGGGCCAATAACCCTGATCCAACACGAGCGCTTGCCAAAGCGGTTTTCCGTTCAGTCTGAAAGTGCCGTCACCATTCTGCCAATTGATATTGCGCATGCCGGTGGTGGTGTGCACTTCATCGACTAGAGCTCCAGCGCCATCGTATAAGCGCAGAATCAGGTCGTACAAGATAGGATGATCAGGATGCCAGAGCGCGACGTCATTGAGCCAGCAGCCGTCGGCAGTATATGGGGCTCGGTTCCGTAAATCGGAAGAATTTGGAACCCTCATTCCCACGTCCATACTGACAAGCTGCTTGCTTTCTGGCAGGTGCTTGACAGTTGTCGACACAAAGGTACCTCCTAAGCTTGACTCGATCTCAACGGAGCACTTGGTACCAGGCTTTCGGCCTGAGACTGCAACCAGGGCATGTAATTCACCCTTATCAATGTCATCTGAGCGCAGAACTGTCCCCTCGCTACTGCCACCGAGTCGCAGTGCAGAGACGCTCTCTAACCAGACAGATAGCCAGATCCCACTGGTGGGGGCATAGAAGATGTCCTCAGAAACCGGCTTCCAGTATTGCTTTCCGCGCAGCTGGGTGAGGTCATGTGGTGAATCTCTCACACGAACCGTCAGGCGGGCAGGGGTCTCAGTACTATTGGATTTCAGAGCATCTGTGAGGTCTAGATCAAAAGGCACATGGCCGCCACGGTGCCCACCAACAAGTTGGCCGTCCAGCCAAACAAAGCACTCATAATCGACAGCGCCAAATCGAACTAGCAGACGGTTACCCTTGCGGATTTCATCGGGTGTGCGAATGTCAGTGATGATACGCTCGTACCATATCACCTCGTGGGCTTCATGCAGACCGATACCTGAAGCCGGGGCTTGAAATGCAAAGGGAACCTTAATGGTGCGTTTCTGACTGGATACTTCATTCGCACAGATCCCAGTTTCCTGCCATTTCTGCGACACGCCGGAGTCTTTGTCGTCGAAGACAAACTTCCAGGGCCCGTCAAGGGACTTCCAGTTCAAAGAGGGGCGTTGGAAGTCAGGGCGAGGGTAGGTAGGAGAGGAACTCATTGTTGTTTAAGGGTTCGATGTCAATTGTGATCAAGAAGGAACAAAACGTCTGGATTGTGTCTTTAAATCATTCAGACGTTTGATAATTTATCTTGACTAGCTATTCAACCTTTGTCGGCTTTTGAAAATAATGTGGAGTGATGTCGGAACCCGCTCGGCGAATGACCCGATGTCGCGTCGTTCTGAAAGTGGATGGTTTAAGGACGCTGACTAGTCAAAAAAGAGCAAAAGCTCGGCGAATTATTCACTGTCGGGAATCGCTACGCTATTCTTTTCCCCCACCCGGTACGGTGGGGCACTGCATTAGATACACGCAGGGTGGATGCGCCGAGAGACATTTTTGCCAATTGTAGGCAAAGACTTATTTAAGTAGATCCGTGGAAAGAGCTTGTGCTTGATTTGGGCATCCTACAATCATGGCTTCTTCTGCTCGGAACATCTTGCTCGTCATCGCCGACGATCTCGGCAAGAATCTCAACATCTACGGACAAGAAAACTGCCCCGACACGCCCAACCTCGACCGCCTCGCATCACAGGGAAGTGTCTTTGACTATGCGTTTGCAAGCACGGCATCGTGTTCCGGCAGCCGCTCAACCATATATACGGGACTGCACACCCACGAGAACGGGCAGTACGGGCTGCAGTTAGGCTACAAGCTACTGCATTACTTCTCTACGTTCCCGCACATTGAATCGCATCCTTCCTTGTTTAATGCACTGGGATATTTGACAGGCATTGTGGGAAAAGTGCATGTCGGACCTGACGATGTCTATCCCTTTACAGTCCGGGACGAGAGCAGCACTCGCGATATTGCCTGGTTACGAGACCATGCAAATTCATTTGTAACCCGCGCCAAAGATGAGAAAAAACCTTTCTTCTTGACAGTTGCATTTTCGGATCCTCACCGTGATATGACTCGCGGCGGATTCGCCAACGATACCACATATCCTGAAGTCATCGAGAAGAAATACGACCGAGCTACAATCAATGTGCCGGAGTTTCTGACGGATGTACCCGAGGTTCGTCAGGAGCTTGCTGAGTACTATCAGTCAATCCATCGAATGGATCAAGGCATCGGCATGTTTCTCGACATGCTTGAGCAACAGGGTGTAGCAGATGATACCCTGGTTGTCTTTCTCAGCGACAATGGACCTCCCTTCATCAATTCGAAAGCCACCCTCTACGACTCCGGTGTGCGTCTTCCTATGGTGATTCGCTGCCCAGGCAAGAAAACCGGAACGCGCAACCAAAACCTCATTTCGTATTTGGATTTGCTCCCCACATTCCTGGACTGGGCTGGGCACAGCGAGAAGAACAAGCCAGATGCAAGTTCTCGGCGAGGAAGGTCTTTTTTGTCTATCCTCGATAGCGAGAAAATTGAGGCGGGCTGGGATTTGGTTTTCGGATCCCACACATTCCACGAGACTGTTTCCTACTATCCTACTCGATTCTTGCGTACGCGTCGTTACAAATACCACCGCAATATTGCATGGAAGCTTGACTTTCCATTCGCGGGTGATCTGTATGGTGCGCTTTCATGGGAAGGAATCCGCAACATGCCGCCGCCTGTTAAGATTGGTGAGCGTCTGCTGCGGGACTATATTCAGCGGCCGCCAGAGCAGTTGTTCGATTTAAAAAACGATCCGCAGGAGGTGGACAATCTGGCCGAAATGCCAGAGCACGCAGAAACATTGAAAGAAATGCGCAGTATTCTTGAGCAGTGGCAACGCGATACGGACGATGCATGGTTGCTCCGTGATGGGCAATCGGTACGTGTACTGTATAATCATCTCGACTCCGGGCTTATTCTTCCTGATCGGTTTGATTTTGATGTTGACAGACCCGGGAACAAGTAAAATATATTGGAATCTTAGTTGATCACATGCTCAGACGGAAAAATGTCCAGTTAGAGTAGGTATATAACTTTTCAAAACTGTAGACCACATAATGGCGCCATTTCAACTGATGATGACTCTATCAGAACCAGGAGATTTGTTCTATATAAATCATTCGAAAGCCATCCCGGTAAACCCCGTCCAGCGCGAATCCATAGTGTTTCGTCTCCCAGCCCCAGATACCAAAGAAAGCCAATCCTCATCCATATCTCGCGATCCATGCAAAAAAGGGGTATTTTCATAGAGTGGCAAGTTGACGTCTGGTGAAATTGTCGTACCCATGTTGTAGACCTTTTCAGGGACATGTTTCTCCATTATTCCCAGCCTCGTGAGACGGAAATTAGCCAGCGGATGCAGCAAGTAATCTGCAGAAACCTGAGGGAAAGAAAGTGGCAGATTTGTGCCAGTGCCGTTTGATTCATGAACTCCTGCAGAGTCGGTAGGCACTACACCTCCCGCACGAGCGTCCAGTGTGCGCACCATTTCAATTGTGGCATCCAATGTCCTTGTTATACTTGGGTGCAGGCTTCGCAGCTGTTGAAGATACTTGATATCGACGGAGATGAGTTCATTTATTCTGTGTGATTGGATGTTCCGTTCTTCTGCGGTCATGAAATGGCACAAGTAGTATAACTTCCCTCGAACTGCTGTATAGGCACTGATGCTTGTCTCTGGCTCAGCGAGGCTGTCCCAAGAATGATCAAGAGCCATCTTAAAGATGTCGCTGAGTCGACACGCGTGATTGTACCAGCGTAGCCGGCCCGAGCCCAAAAAATCCAGTGGTGCTGTGTTCATGCCGTGAAAAGATCTAGGCGGCATTTGCAAATCTGGGACCAGGCACCGGTAGAGATCGCAGCAGCATTGATGATAAAGGATGTGAAGTGCAAACAGTGCTGCTAGCATTCCCTGGCCTCGACGAACATACAGGACCTCCGAACTAAGACGCAAGTCTGTCGGAAGAGACGCTGCCCAGGTGTCGAGATCCGCAGCTAGTTTATTGAACTCGCTTGTTGGGTCACTGGGATGCTCTTCCTGGTGAGTACGCTTCAGATAGCGGAGCGTACGATCACGGCAGATGGCCAGTTGCACATATAATGCGCGATGACCTTGCTGAGTGCTATTGTCCGTAGCAGATGCTGACATTAGCATGCCCGGGGGAGCAAGAAATCCGGCCGAGTTAGCAGTGCGATAAAAAAAGCTTTCCTCATGAGCCGGGAGCTGAATACGGACATCCTCCTCGCGAAGCAATTTCAGCTGCTCAACGCCGCACGCAGTTGAGATATCAATGCAGTAGCAAGCCCACATGAGACGACGCCGTGTTTCTTTGTCCGTTGTGCTGAGGGCGCTAGTCTCGCAACTGAAATCCAAATCATATTCGACATTCAGCTGCAGTGCTTGGCAAAATCTACAGGCTAGACTCGACAACAAAAAACAGAGACCCATCTCTTCCGTCCGGGCACTGTGTTCATGAAGTAGAACAATAGCCATCAATGACTGGATCTCGATCCTGCCAATATGGGAGAAAACGATCTGCAATGCTGTGCGTGCCCATCCTGTACCGATGTCTCGTAGAGCAGTATGCTCCTTAGTCTTTGTTGCGAGTGCGCAAATTGCAAGGAGTAAAGGATCTGGGCTCGAGCTGTGGACAATTGCATCAAGACGCTGCATGAACGAAGGCTCATGGATAAACCCGAAGCTTCTCAAGGGAGCAATGTCACGGAAGAAAGTACCGACCAAGACGCGAACCAAGCGCATGTCCTTGAGAGAGGTCGCGGCATTGTCGGGGCGGGGAGGACTGCCGGTGATTCCACCACGGGAGACCAGTTCAGGAGCTAATTCGGAACCTAATGAAGAGGCTGGCTCACTCGCGATCGTCGTGGAGATAGAATTTCTTTGTCGTGTACTTTCGCTCTCCTGGTTAATTCTATCTCCTTGGACTCCGTCTTGCGTATTTATCGCATCCTCTCCCTCCCAGTCACCTTTGTCCTGTCCGGCCCCAAAGATTACTACCATGCTCTGTGACCTTTTGCCAGGGCGGTCATATGTACACTCTCGCCCTACTTTTATGCATCTCGCACAGGAAGGCCTTCCACCGCTACATTTCTGTCTCCGTAAACGGCAGAAGCGACAGCTAGACCCTGTACGGATCCGATGCAGCCCGGCTTGATTGAGATCATGCCGGCGGTCTGCAGTCATAGACAAGGCCACGCGGGTCTCTTGGGGCAAGCTCTCGTTTCCCGAACGCACACATTCGAGGTTCAATCGTGCACAGCGTCCACAGCTGTCACTCGAACCGAGTTGTAGATCACAGCGTACTTTGCGCGCACGACATGTCATACAACCTGTCTTAGAACGTCTCTTGGCTGACCTAGGGGCATTATTGTCCGGGGTCTTGCTGGCATTGGCTAGTCTCTCCATGCTGGACATGTATGCTCGGAAAATGATGAAGTGGATAGTGAAACGGCGTGTAAGTTGCTGTGCACTTTGTAGTAATGGGCTCTTTAGCGATTGCCGTGGCGCTAGGATGTCGCTTGTCGGCATATTTATCGGGATTCAATTCGATTGGATGCAGTCCAATACGATCCACACCTAATATGAAGGGCCCCGCTGTACCCCCGTGGAGAAGTTCGCCATCTAACTACTCATTATTGGCGTTTTATTCTAAGAGAATGCGCATGCGCACTCATGGTCAATGCCTCCAAATTGATCACTGACATCTATGCCGCTCTGGAATATGGAATTTCTTACGAAAGTCATTTATCGCTATTTCAGAACATGCGATATATCAAAAAGCTTGAAAGAGCCCTAAATGGGATCGGCCACCTTGGTATCCTCTACAGTCTCATTCTCATGTATAACCTTTCCTCCCTCCATAATTTCTTGTTCTCCGGCAACAACATGATCAATGCTCCCAAAGACTGTATCCATATGCTCCAAACTGATGCCCTTGGTTTCGGCAATAAACAAGTAGCAAAAGGCAGCCATTATGAGATTGCACCCCATGAAGAAATAGAATGTGTAAAAGCCAGCGGCGGCTAGGAATGACGGGTAGGCCTGTCCGAGGACGATGTTTGCTCTGTGAGGATTGCATTAGAATACGAATTTCTTTGCCACTGGCTCTGTAAAGTGCTTACACTTGCTGAGATTGTGAAGAGATGGCCACAGCATTGGCACGCACAACGACTGGCCAGATCTCGCTGGTCCAGATCCACAGCCCAGCACCCCAGCCTGGTCCATAAAAGGCATAGTAGCAGATTTCAAGGATTGTAAAGCCGATCCCAGTACCAAGAGAGTGTTTTCTATCTGGAGTTGCTGTTTGTGTCGTCACGGTGGCAATGGTAAAAGTGACACCGGCCATACCCAGAGCCGTGATGATAAACATAGGTCGCCGACCAATCTTGTCAATGAAGAAGAACGCAATGAAGGGACACATGGTGATGCATATGGCGACGACTGCTTTCACCAAAATGACAGTTTTGGGGTTTGGGAACACCTGCTCAGTGATGATACCCGAGTACTGAGATAAAGCACCGATACCGCTGAACTGCTGGCCGATGTTCATGATAATGGCCAGAATCAACCGTTTCCGGTAGGACTTGTTGACGATGAGCTGCTTGTAGCTGCCCTTGGTTTTTTCCTGTTCGTACAGAACAGCAGCCCTGATCTCGTTCAATTCATCCTCAACCTCCTCCTCCAAGCGTACACGGCGAAGTGCCTCGCGGGCTTGCTCGATTCTGCCATTTTGAACACACCATCGAGGAGTCTCTGGGCAGAATGGTAGCGCTAACAACAAAACCATGGGCGCAAAGAGCTGAAAGATAATTACAGTACGGAACTGCCAGATGCCCAGGTGTGGAGAATACACGCAGCCAAGAGCAATGTAAGTCGCAATCTTGTTCCCGATTCCGTAGAAGATCTGCCATATACTCATGAGTCTACCCCGAGTCCTCGAGTAAACCAGTTCTTCGATGTAGATCGTTCCGACAGGCATTGCAAGCCCTTGTCCAGCACCAGCGATAGCTCTTCCGCCAATGAAGGCGGCGATATTGGGAGCGAACGTCATGACAAATGTGGCGACGACAACAAGCGCAGAACCAGCACCAAGAGCCCATTTGCGGCCCAATCTATCGGCAATGATTGGGCTTATAAAGAAACCAAAGACGATCGCACACACGCTATAGGCGGTATTGATGGCGCCGACAAGATTTGGATTCGGGTTGTTGAAGTATTCGACCCAAGTGGGAAGCACTTGGATGGACGAGAAGACGGTGCCATCATATCCAAATTCAACCATGCAACAGCTAGCTACCATTGCCACTAGGTAGTTCTGGACAATGTGCTTTTGCACCATGTTGGTGGGTGAGCGAGCCCCGTGTCGGACGCTGATTTTTCAAAAATCTGAAATATTTGAGGTTCAATACCCAACAAAAAGGGAGTCCTAAAATAAATATATATTGTGGTCGACATCGTACTTCAAAGCAGACCGGGGTAGTTTAGTCTCGACGGGGTGCTCGAGCTCTGTGGGACGGAGAATTGTATCTCTCGCTGCACCGGCCTGTCGGGGCCTACCGAAGCGACATCCGTGCTAAAGAAATCGTTGGCGGGGGGGCCGAAAGAGAGCTATGGATGAGCTTTGGTCTGGTTGCAGTATTTTATTGGCCGGTCCCTGGCCGGTCCCGCAAATCGTAACTGACTCCATGCGGGGAACTTCGTTTACCGGGCAGGTAAATGCCATGTTTTAGACCGGCTTTGTTCCATTCCGACTAAGTGAGGAGTGGACAGGCGAGACAGCAATATGTGGTAGTTGATAATTGAATCATAAAAATAAAATCTTGGACAAAACCCATTCAACCTGACAATGTTGTTTTCATTTCTTTCTTCTCCGTAACTAAAGCCAGCGGCAAATTAAGTATTTCAATTGTATGCTCCTCGAATATTTGTCTCCTCAACTCTGATTGAGAACCAGTGGTTCAGTTCGACACATTCACCCTCGACCTGGATGAAGCTTAAGTATTCCCGAAACATACAGTCAAAGTCATCTCACCGATCACAACGGGGCTTACTATGCCGAAATCCTCCGCGCTTGGATTCGCATGCCAAAATAAAACGTGGCCATGCATGTCATCACATGAAAGCACATTTCACTCCACAGAAGTTGCCCTAGTCGCTTGGGTCACATTGCACAAAAACAGCTTGGCCTTCTCGAATCCCATGAAAGAGCAACCTTCATTTTCAAGGTGGCTAAATAAAGCAAACAGGTTCATAAACTCAGTCCGGCAATGTTGATTCGGGCATCGATAAAGCTTCTCCTGGCGCTTTTTGACTTGTGCATTTGTAATAATTCCATGTATGTCACGCTGATGTATAAGAGTGCGAAGAGTGGTGCTATTGACATCGGGGCTACCGAAGCAAAAGCCCAGCTCCAGATGGTATATCAAAGCACTCGCCTTTGCATAAATGCATTCGCAAAAGGGGCATGTTAGGTCCTGTGCAGAACCAATGCCTTCTGCGGATCTAGTGACGTCTACATCAATGGCTGCGTTGCCCCGAGGGGGGGACTGGGTGAGGTGTTTTGTCTTGAAGAGATGCCCTATTGTCTGTATCAAGAGTGTTGATATGTTCTTGATCATCCTGATATTCGGAGCGCAGGCTGGGAAATGGCCCATGAGATACTTTTTCCTGCTCCTCGTCGGTTCTTTTATCAGTTCCAGCATGGACTTTGGTATGTGCCTCGGCCTTGCTCTGGCAAACCCGGTTCCCCCGAATGCCCGACGCGTGATTCTGCTGGGGAGTGTGTCAGGATATCATAGAATTAGCAGAAACAATGGGAAACCAACCGTCTGGTCCTTCTGCGCCCAGTGGCCAGAAGTCTTCATGTGGATTGTCGCAGAATCTTCAGAGTAGAAGGCACGGTCGCACGTCTCGCACTGGAATCTTGGGGCCCAGTGGTCCGCGACAGTCATGTGTTGAACTTTTGCCTCTTGGGATCCAGAATATTCGCCACACATCTCACATTTGAATTCAGGACAATGCCAGTGTTCAAGTGCGTGCATGTGCTCGTTGGCAAGTCGCTCAGATCCGAACTTCTTATTGCACGTCTCGCATCCGTATTTCAGAGTCCAATGGTCCTTGGCGTCCATGTGATTTTCCACTGAGACCTGAGAGAAGAAAGACCGGGAACACATCTGACATTTGAATTTAGGAGCCCAGTGCCCGAGTGTATCCATATGGTGGCTGGCGGCTTCCTGAGATGCGAACCGTGTATCGCATCTCTCGCACTTCGTTTGCAAATGCCAGTGGTTTAGGGCATCCATGTGCTGCAGTACTGCCTCCGGTGAGCCGAAGGGTCGATGGCATGTGAAGCATGAAAAGGTTATGTTGCTCATCTTCTCATCTTTCAAGGGCAAAGATGAAAGATCCGACTAGTTGCAGGAAAGCGCAGAGCTGTCGGTACTCAAGGGAATTTGCGTGGTGGATAATGAGGAAGAAAGAAGGTGTAGATCAACCCCCAAGCTGATGAAGAAGAAGATGCTTGCTGCGAGAGAAGCTCATGGAACGAGTGTGGGGATTTTATGGAAGGAGATCGATAAAGCGGACGACAAAGGCCCGCGGGAGGAAGGGAGACAGAGGAGAGAAAAGAAAGAGAGAGGAGAGATTAAGCGAGCAAGTATTAAGAGAGGAAGTAACAAACTGATATACAAATAACCTCCTTCTGCTCATTCCGTCCGCTTTCAATACTGTTGCTTGTGAATCGAGTCAGTCAGGATGTCGTTCAGGCAAAACAAACAGCAATACAAAGTCGATTGATAATAGACTCGAAGGCAGCCAGTCTACATCCAGAATTCACAAAACAGGGTATCTTAATTATTGTAGAAACTGATTCACGATACATATTTAGAAGCTACTCCTGCCGATGCGGTAGTAAACCTCGATGCTTGTCGCTATGTCGAATAACCGGGGAACTTTCAGCACCCAGGTCCTGTTGATCTTCACTTGGTGGAAGATAAGTGGGTAGTCTCGGAGACCTAATTGAGCGCAGGCTTGGTAGCCTCCGTCGCTGTTTGAACATGCAGTTCAATAGTTTTAAGTGTTAATTGCAGGCCAGGCAGTTATCAATTGCAACCTTGGAACTTTCTTGCGCACAGACGAAAGCTTGGATGCAAGGCTGATTGCTTAGTGCCAGATGTAAATAAATTAGCGAGAGCCAGTCCAAATGACCTTGTACACCGTGTCGTCCCGACTCTGTAGGTATTTCATTAGCCAGTAATCATCTCAAAAAATATAGATACCCGTCCGTATGGACAGATGTGGGTTCCCCACGGGTCGGCCTTGGGGAGACCTATGGTTATCCATTTTGAAACAACGGGTCTTGGGTTCTGCCAGGATTTTCTGCACTTGCAAAAATGTCATGACAGCAAAATTTCTTATATATGTTTTCTTTTTCTGAACGCAATGCTTTGTTGCTAGCGCTCACAAGAAATTTTCTAGAATTATTTGCTGAATTGTCTACCTGTCATTTGTAAATGTCGGCGGGATAGACTAACCGGTTCTGGCAAAAAGATCCTCCTAAGCATTCGGGTCCGGTACACTTCTACGCATTTCAATCCTGAGAAATACGGCATTTCAAACCATTTCCGCGGTCTTTCTTGCATCATATCTCAGATGATGATATGTTGCAGAAGCTCGGATCGGGCACAGTGCTACCTCCAAGATTAAACCTCTCCACTGCACAGTGGACGACAACCGTCATTTATAGATCTTCATCCCAAGCTTCAACCTTCCCCTCACCCCTCATGATGCTCGCTTTTCTCTTTCGACATGAATGTCAGACCCCGCTTATTTCCTGCTGGCCTGCCTAGTTGGGAGATCGGATCCGACTAGGTGTTTCGGCGAGGATATCATTGCCCTCCAGTGACCTCAGAACCAAGGCATTGAGAGAATCCCCTCCTCTGGGGACATTGTTGGGTGATTATGGTCTGGCACTTATAAGGGCGAGCTGCCCAAGTGTTTCTTCACGTTCGACCAACTAAATATACTATACCGCACACAATACATTATGCCCACCCCATTCACCTATCACGCCAAAGCGCAGTCCACCTTCAAGCCGCCTCTCATTGCTAACGAGAATGCGTATCTGGGCGATGTCTTCTCAAGGTATCGCCGATAGTCATTTCGTACATTCTTTACTAACACACCCTATGTAGTGACAAGAACAATGCCGACAAACCCATCTCCTGCGGCTTCTATCGTCTAGAAAAAGGCACTCCGCTCATCTACGAGTATCACTACGACGAGATGAAGATCATCGTCGAAGGCCAATTCGAGATCTCGGATGAGACCGGCCAAACAGTCACGGCCGGGCCCGGGGATGTGTTCTATTTCCCCAAGGGATCCAAGATTACTTTTACGACGGAAGACTATGGGCTGGCGTTCTACGTGAGTTTCCTTGACTTTTCTGCTATATGTCGCTCTGACGTGATCCGCACATGCAGACCGGACAGCGCGCCGAGGGCCAGGCGTGATAATGGAGTGTTCCCATGGATCTGGGTGGGCCAGGCCCGATGGGGCTGTTTGCTTACAGTGGAGCTGACCTGGATGAGCTCTGGCGATGAGACCCATACTGTGTGTTTATCCTATAGAGTTTGGAATATACTACAATTGGATGTGTATACTTGTTTGAAGCAATTGAAGCAAGCTTTATCGTGGCCTGTCACGACAAGAATAGTCCGCCTGCCACGCCAATGAGGGCGAATATTCCAAATTCCTTGTTGTCTGATCACTTGTGGGGCACTAATAATACTCAGCTCCGATCGATAGCGCCACTCTAGACGTTGGGAGAAGGAGGTTTTGCACAGCCCGTATGACGTGGGAGCGAGTTGCCAGGGCAACTGCCAGGCACGCAGGAGATCCCGCGGTGGAGGGCGAGCGATCAGATCGGTGGGGAGGAACAGCTGGAGCCGATCGCAAGTCAGCTCTAGAATCATAATAAATAATAAGCGAGGGTACTCTTGAGACAAAGATTCCTCGGTATCCTTGTCGCGGCTCTGTTTAGTCTGTCTGCACGAAGGCAGTTAGTGTGATCCAAGGGGTCGGTGCCTCGTCCCTCCTTCATCCCTCTCTCTGTTTTTCCTTCCCTCTTCCTCCCACCCACCCTTCTGTCGTCTGCCGTCGTCCACCATGGCCATCGACATCGCGAAAGACCCAGCTGAGCGCCCCAGCTTGCGCCTGCCTAACCCTCCTCCGCTGCTTCACACTCGCTCAGGCAACGAGTCCTTCGACCGCCCCTCCACCCCCGCTGATAATGGCTTCACCAGCCCACCACAAACACCCCAGGGCAGCCCAAGCAAGAGTCGCATGCCGCCAGGCGCACTAAACCTGCCGAATGTCTTCGAGAAGGCCATGAAACTGACCCCTACCTCGCCCTCCAAATCCACCCATAACCACTATAACCACCCCATGTTTACACCCGGCAGCAAGAGCAGCCTCGAAGACTTCAACGAGAGTGTCATCCACCAACCTGCCAGTCCCACGCGCCGCGCAAACAAAGAGAATACGCCTCCAAATCTGATGCGCACACCCAAGGACTTGGGCGTCAACCCCACCGCCGCGGCCATCTCGCGCCACGAGCCATATCAATCGCGCGACACGGACACTTCGTCCCGGCGTCAGCAAGTCCAAATGCGCGGGCTGACTCCGGAGGAACTGGAGAAGCTGAACCAGCCCCGCGTCAAGCGACTGGTCAATGTGACTCAACTCTGTACGTGTTAAAATTGTCCTGTGGTTATCACTACTAATACTTGGACAGACTTCCTCGACCATTACTTTGACCTGCTCAGCTACGTTCACAACCGCCAAACCCGTCACACCCAGTTCAAGAACGCCTACCCCGACCCGCCTACGACTCCGGCTGAGGAGTATGAGCCTGCTCTGCTGAAATATCTCGGTCGCGAACGAGCGCATCTCCGCAAGCGTCGCACACGTCTGCGCCAGCATGATTTTCAGATCTTGACCCAGGTCGGCCAGGGGGGTTATGGGCAGGTGTATCTTGCTCAGAAGAAGGACACCCGGGAAGTGTGCGCGTTGAAGGTGATGAGCAAGAAACTGCTGTTTAAGCTGGACGAAATCCGTCACATTCTGACCGAACGCGATATTTTGACTGCTGCCAAGAGCGAATGGCTCGTCAAGCTTCTGTATGCCTTCCAGGATGATGATCAAATCTATCTGGCCATGGAATATGTGCCTGGTGGTGACTTCCGCACCCTCCTGAACAACACCGGCGTTCTCCACAATCGACACGCGCGATTCTACATTGCCGAGATGTTCAGCTGCATTGATGCCCTTCACGTCCTGGGATACATTCACCGAGACCTCAAGCCCGAGAATTTCTTGATTGACTCAACCGGCCACGTCAAGTTGACCGACTTTGGCTTGGCCGCGGGGATGCTGAACCCGAGAAAGATCGAGTCTATGCGGGTCAAGCTGGAAGAGGTGGGTAACACTCCAGTTCCATTCGGGCAGCCGATGGAGCAGCGCACGATGGCAGAGAGACGACAGGGCTACCGGACCCTGCGTGAGCGCGAAGTCAACTATGCCAAATCGATTGTCGGCTCTCCAGACTACATGGCCCCCGAAGTGCTCAAGGGCGAGGAGTACGATTTCACGGTTGATTACTGGAGCTTGGGTTGCATGCTATTCGAGGCCCTGGCAGGCTACCCACCCTTCGCAGGTGCGACGGTGGATGAGACGTGGCAGAATCTGAAGCGTTGGCAAAAGGTGCTTCGCAAGCCCGTGTATGAAGACCCGAACTACTTCCTGTCGCGTCGAACTTGGGACCTCATCACCAAACTGGTTGCGGCGAAGGAGCAGCGGTTCAAGAACATCCAGGAGATTCATACGCATGACTATTTCAGCGAGGTCGATTTCTCGCATCTGCGGGAGCAGAAGGCCCCCTTCGTCCCGGACCTGGACTCGGAGACTGATGCCGGCTACTTTGATGATTTCAGCAACGAGTCCGATATGGCCAAGTACAAGGAGGTGCACGATAAGCAGCGCGCGCTGGAGGAGATGGCAGACCGCGGCGACAAGATGGGCAAGAGCTTGTTTGTTGGATTTACCTTCCGGTATGTTTCTTTTCTTTGGTTATTCTGCTCGCTCTTTTCACTGACTGAGTCTCCTATGTAGTCACCGCAAACCCGCCGTGGATAGCACGGGCCGCAACTCGCCCCGCAAACCCATTGCGACGGATGGCACATTCGGCACAATGTTTTAACTGACAGACTTTATGTTTCGCTGAAGCCCGCTTTGACTTTGACTACTCCGAGCTGGATCTTGGGTTGGGTTGCTGGGCATGTTTCAGTATGAGTTTAATGTTGCTTTTTTCCTGTTTCGTGAGATTCCTTTTTATGGTGCGGTTTACTTTTGATGGCAGGAGTTTCAATTCAATTCAAGGCTGTATGATACACACATAGACTAAGGCAGTTCTGCCATCCGCCTACATGGTTGTTCTAGTAATTGACCACAGGGGCGGAGAGGGAAGAGCAAAAAAGATGTCAACCATGCCCTCGCCCTCAGTTCTCGGGAAGCTGGCGCACCATCTTCAGGATCTCCGACTCGCCATCTCCAATAACGGCTCTGCCATTCACCCAGTCGACAGTCTAAAAGAAAAACACATTAGCACCCATATCCGTATAACCATCAAATCCTCAACCAAAAGCAACCCCACGAAAGAGAGGAAAAGAAAAAACTCACGACAGGCCTAACAAAGCTTCCCCCATCCTCCTTAAACTTCTTAATCGCATCCTCCGCATCCTTCGCTCCCTTCACAAGCTCGGAAACGCCATAAGTGGCCTTACCGCCCTGCGGTCCCGTCCCGCTAACAGGCGAAATATAATCCAGGATATTGCGCAGCTGATCCGTCGTCGGGGGGTTGGTGGTGACCTCCAGCTCGAACTCGCCGCGCTGCTGCTTCGCATGCGAGGAGTAGTCGCTTGCTTGGTCTTCCGTTGCTGTTTCGGAGGCGTTGGTCGAGGCTTGTTTTAGAATGTTCAAGGCCCGAGTGCTGGAGGCGACGGACGGGGAGTGGAAGAGGGTTATTGGGTCAAGGGTCTTGCTCTGGGGTTGGTGGTGGTTGGGTTAGCTGTTGGTTGTGGTGGATGGGATGGGAAAGTAGAAGATGGAGAGTTGATATACTTACGAAGCGGAACATTTTGAGTGATGTTCTTCTGGTATGTTGGAATGGGAGAAAGTGAAGAAGTTGAGCTGTGCGAGGAACAGAAGTTCCTTGACTCAGGAACGGAATGATGTCATGTCCGGGTTTCGGCGGTTGTTCTGAAAGTCATGTGATGGACTATGCAAAATGGGATGTGCATTTCTATTGTTGGCGTTTATTTAGTTATCGAGCCAAATTTCATGAATCTGTCAATTATTCTTTGCTGCCTGTCTAGGGATATATTGAGGAAGGCATAAACGCCCAGCTCCTATTCCTCTTGCTCTTCATCTCCCTCTCCCTCTGCCTCGCCATCATCCCACCGATGCCCTATCCATCGCATAGATATTCAGTAAATCCTCTGTCGCAGCCTGATGGCTTTTTCAAACATCCAATCTAAACACCCTAAGCCTTAACTCTATTAAACCGCACCGCCTCCAGCTTTTCCTGATCCAGATCAGCCCGTTTCTGCGCCATTGCTGCGGCAGCTTCTTCACTTCCCCGGTCCCGCGCTGGTACCGCACGACATAGAGGTATGCACGCTTTATCCACTTGGTAAAAAACATCCTTACGTCTTCACTAAGTGACCCCCTGAGGGTCTATCCTGGAATAGAAATTAAGAATTAAAACCAGATACAGTGTTCTTTGTATCAAAGGGCTGGACAGAATCGACCCTGAAAGTGAACAATCAACGTGAAGGGAATTGATTCAGGAGACGGCCGTCCGTCATTGGCCAATTTTGGCCGAGGAATAGCTTTCTGTCTTGTCTCTGGGCCACCAGCAAATCGCCGGAAGGACTTGCCCGAACGGGCTTAACCCACTTGGAGGATGTGACTACAAACATATATTTCGGAACATCCAGGACTGAGAAAAGGGAATATTGTAATTCTTTGGAGACAGCCGTGCAAATGTCCCTGTTCGTTGATATCGTCGCCCCCAACGGGCGCAGCTATAAGCAACCCACTGGCCTGTTCATCAACAACGAATTTGTGTCTGCGACGGGAGGGGAGACTATCACTTCATTGGACCCCGCGTCTGTCATAATCCAACTCAATTGCGACGAATCTCGCTGATGATTTATTATTTGATAGAACCGACAAGCCAATTGCGACCGTGCATGCTGCCAGTTCCGAAGATGTCGACCGCGCCGTGAAGGCTGCCAAAGCTGCTCTGGTGCATTCGTCATGGAAACTGCTGCCCGCCACGGAGCGAGGCCAACTCATGATGCGATTGGCCGATCTCATGGAGGAAAACCGAGAACTCTTTGCTACTATTGACGCATGGGACAATGGTATGTCTTGTGTCGAAGAGATATTCTCGCCACACAATTAACGTTCATCAGGAAAGCCCTACCATGTTGCCCTTGAGGAAGACCTTACGGAAGCAATCACTACAATCCGTTACTATAGCGGCTGGGCCGACAAGACCTTTGGCCAGACTATCAACACCACCCCTCGAAAGTTTGCTTACACCATTCGCCAGCCTATTGGCGTTGTGGCCCAGATCATCCCTTGGAATTATCCTCTTTCGATGGCCACTTGGAAGCTCGGCCCTGCGCTTGCTTGCGGCAACACCGTTGTCTTGAAGCCCGCAGAGCAGACCCCTCTGAGTGCTCTCATTCTTGCCCAGCTGATCAAAGAAGCTGGATTCCCACCCGGTGTTGTCAATATCGTCAATGGATATGGACGAGAGGCTGGCGCAGCACTAGCGTCGCATCCGCTAGTCGACAAGGTTGCGTTTACCGGTTCAACGGCCACAGCCAGGGTAATTATGAAGACAGCCGCTCAATCGCTCAAAAACATAACTCTTGAGACCGGTGGTAAATCCCCACTTCTGGTTTTCCCAGACGCAGACATGGAGCAAGCCGTGAAATGGTCGCACTTTGGTATCATGTCCAACAAAGGCGAGATCTGCACTGCTACCTCTAGGATCTTTGTTCACCGAGATATCCTCGACGACTTCACTGCCGGCTTCAAGAAGGCAGTCGAGAGTGTTAAGATCGGCGACCAGTGGGATGAATCTGTCTTTCAAGGTCCGCAGGTCACACGAGCTCAATACGATCGCATCCTCTCTTACTTCGAGATCGCCAAGAGTGAAGGAGCCACAATCCTCACGGGGGAGCTCCATACAAGCCTACTGAAGCGAAAAACCAACACGGATATTTCATCCAGCCTACTGTGATCATCAATGCAACAGACTCGATGCGCATTGTCCAGGAGGAAGTTTTCGGTCCGGTAGTCGTACTTTCCCCATTTGACAGCGAGGAAGAAGCTATTCGCCGCGCCAATGACACTACCTACGGCCTCGGTGCAGCAGTTTTCACTCGTGACCTTGAGCGTGCGCACCGCGTGGCTGCAGAAATCGAGTCCGGTATGGTGTGGGTTAACAGCAGCCAAGACTGCGATCCTCGCATTCCTTTTGGTGGCGTGAAACAGAGTGGTATTGGGCGCGAGCTGGGAGAAGCTGGTCTTGAGGCTTACAGCCAGGTCAAGGCTGTCCATATTAACATGGGTACTAAACTTTAGGTTTTCTATAACAAGCACCAGTGTGCATTATGATATAGAATATATATTGATGTACATATACAATTGTTTTGAAATAGATTTTACCTCATTCTGGGTTGAAAATACATTAGGCGACGAGCTGAAGGGGGCTAAGGGAAGTACAAACTGCTTTCCAATGTTGTTGGAGCCTTACGCGAGTCAAGTAATATTACTACAGGGAAGAATAACATCTACGTAATTGTGAGTGATTAAAGGATACTGAATCTTGATATAAAAAGTCTGCAGGCTATCTTGTGAGCCAGACTTGACGTTTCGACCTTCGAATATCTAGCCAAAGTCCTGCACCTGTCCCACGACTCATGCTACTTATGAGTTGGAATTGTCAGCACAAGTCCAGGGCCTGGAGCCGCCTTGTTTTTGAAGGGAGTGAATGATGTTAACAACCGACCCATATGTGCCAGCGATAGTTATGAAGGTCCCAACCGCAATTATGAAACCGCTCCAAAAGGCAAGGGCAATCCACCTCCAGTTTCTCTTTTCGGTATGAATATCACCCCAGTTGTCGTAGAACCACATACAGCCAGCAGCTTGGTAGGCTAAAACTGCCCCCAATAATGCGCCGATGAGTGAAACGAGGCTATTGAAAACTGGAATGCCACTTGCAATAACGTATGCAATAATGGTGCACCCAAATGTGCAGCCAATCCATGTACTCCAGTGGACGAATGTGTTCGTCGTCAAATGTGGCGACCCTCGAAGGATACGGACAAAAAGGTATTTGCTTGGTAGCTGGTGTTTAAAAGGTTTTATGAGCGTCGAACAGGCGAGGCAACGGGGTTTTCTTGGAACGACCATTGTTTGGAGTATAGACTTACATGAAGCATGATAGTTGTTGACGCAATCAGGCCAGGCAAAGCAATACCATAGGAGACATTCTTGATCAAGGGACCAGCAGATCCTAGAGCAGGTGAAGCTACCATGGTCCCGCAGTAGTAGTAAACTGTGGCACCCACGGTAACATACAAAACGGTCGAACCTAACTGACTGTAACAGACAGCACGACTAAAGTATCGAAGGTCTCGCATTTCAGCGGCAATAGAGAAGTATGCTGGTGTGGCGGAGCAAGCAAAAATTAGAGTAGACACAGCGGAAACGCCATCTGCAAACGACGGGTTTTGAACGAGTTTAAAATCCGTGGTCCAGCCCTGTGGTGCAGAGCTCGGTCCACCTTGTATAGCAACCGCAATAGTTACGGTAAGAACTAGGAAGACACATATATTAGAATTAAAGGGTAATGTGGAGAGAGAAAAAGGGCTGAATTGTCGAGGAATAGGGGATGAGTACAGACCAGCTGTGACGACACAGGCCAAACCAACCCACGCTATCCAACTGATTCGACTCAGAGTTTGTATGCTAGCAAATAGAAACCCAATTGTAGCAGCAACAACAACAAAAGCAGCAGTACAGGTGCCGTGGCTCGAGACAGCATTCAGGCTGATCGATATACCTAAGATACCGGACCCGGCAACGAAGATCCAATCTTTCGTACGTTAGTATCCGTCATACTTTGAAAGTATATCAGTCAGTCATTCACTTACAAAGGCTGAATGCGAGTCCAAATATTTCCCGCCCGACTTTGCCAAACATCAACCCCCCTGCATCATTCATGCCATATACTTCGCGATGATTCAGCTTGAAGACACCAACCATGTGGCTAGTCCATGTTGCGATTCCTGCCACGATGCACAGTAAGATAATCCCTGGCAGCAATCCGAGCACATCAAAGGTTGCCGGGATAGAGAGAACACCCAGACCAATCTGGGTCTTCAGCATCAAAGCAACTGTTCCCCACCATCCAACCTAGATGCCCTTGAGTTTCCTGGTCTTCAGAGATTACAATCATTTCAAAACACTTACACTGCGATAGTTAGGGCCATCTTTGTTGACCTCGCCGAACACATCGTCATAAGTAACTCCGTCGATTTTTCCGGTCTGATATTCCCCATCCTGGAAAGGTATATCTGTCGTGTCCTCCGAATTCACAACGGGGACGGGGCTCTCGTTGTCTTTTGCAGCCATGATGTTAAAAGCTTGGATCTTAAAAACGGTAAGTCTAAGACGTTGGAATGGATTTGGGGTTCTTTTATCTAGGGTCCCTCTATACGCGCGACACTTTTTTTCTATTTGCAAGACATTCTGTGTACCGCACTACACATAGTAAACTACATAGTGGGATATGTCACTCCCATCTCCGAGAATGGTAGTAAATAGCCCGCATTCCTCGCTTCATTCCAACTATCAAAACAAACCCCTTGATTATTCCCCTCTGCCCCACTAGATAAGCTGAATGTTGACATTGATATGAAGCGTATTTTGGGATAAATTTTGTTCTAGACTTTATCCACTCCTACCATCAACTCTACCCCTGATTCTATTACGGATCGTACGAGTACGACGGCCAGCCTAGGCATGCGTGCGTTTTGAGCACATTCAAATCCGCACATCACTTACCGATAAGATATTACAATTACCGCGGCGAAAACGACCTGGTTCACGAGATGCACAAGTTCTTTGCAGTCAATGGAATCGCTTCTAGTTCCTCGCCACCAAAAAAATATGATTACAGCTTATATTTCTATCTTAATAAATGACATAGTTATCCCCGCTTAAGGAAGCTTAGATATCTAAATAGTATCCCGAGTCTTTCTCCCTATAATAAGAGATCAATGAGATTGCTGAAATATTCTCTCTTTTCCCCCTGTAGGTATAAAGCGATGCATTCAAGCCTACTGTTGAAGTATTGGATCTGGACCCTCCACCTTTTGAGATAGACGAGTGATTATTGTTGATTCCAATCAAGAGTGTGATCAGACAACTCATATACAGAAAGAATATCGGGTGCCTCGTTAGCCAAGCATCGGGCAGATAAAACGAAACAGAAACTCCGAAGCTATGCTCGGAGAAGTATATTATAGTATTCTACAATCCGGTATGATCAAGAAAATTTAACTTAAGAAGGTACAGCCAAGAAGGTTAGCCGCCCCCTTGGTTCAACGGTATGATCTATTGTGGTATGAATCGTTTGTTCTGCTGCAGCTTCCGGTAACGCTCTCGAGCTCTGCTGTTGGAACCGGAATAGATGCAGGAAGCTCACGCATAATGTCAGGAGAATCAGAGCTCTTGATCGCTACCAAAGCCTGCATTCTCTTTCTCCGCTCCCACAGGGCCCAGATGAGGAACACGATCGCCAGGAGACCAAGAGGAACGCCGACGCCAGCCCCAATTGCTACATCGTTGTTCGAGTCGCATGTATTGCTGTTGGGATTGAGCACTGTTGCGCTCGAATTCGCGGCGTGGTTTGTTGGTTCCGTTTGGTTTTGCGTTTCAATCGTGATATGGGCTGCATCGGAGGTGGCATTCGACAATTTCGACTTTTTGACCAAGTCGGACAGGGCGGCCACACCGGGGACGATTTTTGCGTTGCTCACTTTGAAGGGTGTTGCGGGATCGCCAGTTATGCTGTTGCTGCAGGTTGCGACGTTGTCATCGGCGACAACAGAGTTGCAGCAGTAGTATGAATCCGAGCCCGTACTGTTCAAGAGTACTAGTGATGTTCCACCGGCAGGTCCATAGGCCACTATAGATAATGAGTTAGTGTGTATAAATTACCCAAAAACAGTTTGGCGAGGACTCACTTCCGCAATACTGAGGACACTTGTCGGATTGCCATGTCGAGTCGCTGCAGCTCCCGCGCGAAAGGCCGAATGGTTGTTCGATAGCTAGACACAGTCCATTCGACAGGCAGATGGCGTCTGGGCCGCAACAGGCACTCGCCGTTCCATCCCCAAGACAAGGAATATCCCCGTCAGCTGGTGTACCGTTCGGATAATAACACTGCGTTGCCCCTGTGATCACGGCCAGGGCATAGAAAAGAATGACTTTGAGCACCAGGCCCTCCTGAAAAGAAAGTACTGCCATTGTTATGGCGGGGAAGAGGCCATCGATACTCCCCAAAACAGATGGAGGGATGTGCTTTTGGAAGGCAATTCACCTGAGGGGGAGGCTGGAAGACATAAGAACAGATCCTGCGGGCGGGGGGGCCATGATATCTAAAGAGAGAAGGCTCGCTCCACCGCGTGTTATAGCGGCCTTCAGCCTCGCCCGGCATAGCGTCAGTTGGCGCGGAGACCATGAATTCATGTACTCCTCGTTGTCGTCATTAGTATTGAATAGGATATCTACTGTGTGTGAATAATGTACCATGTAACTACTGGGCAGAACAGTTGTGTTTGGGTTGAGTTTGCACCACGTACTCAGAGTTCCATTGCGAAATACGGGGCATTTTCGTGTTAGTCTGTTACCCACAACCACTTCTCCACCGATCATAATTGGTGCAACGACCCTTATAGATCGGCAGGAGAAATAGAACTTTTAGCGATTTCTTATCCAGGGTGTAAACTGGTGATAATAATGCGGCTAAGTGACCCCTTCCGCATCCGCTGCAAGTCATGAAGTAAAGATCACCATGTCTCGGGAAAACGTTCATTAACCATTGGCCCGCTCGTTTTCAGCAGGGGCCATCCATACAGAGGGAGGGGGCTAATGCTAAATTAAGGGCGTAGGGGTTACTTAGGTATTGTAACTAGTCTTGCTGAAGGGTTTTAGCGATGATTATGTCGCCCTCACGATTAATGCTTTTGGTATCGCGAGTCCAGGGGCCCGTTCGGAGCGACCCAGGACCGGATGCGGGCGCGGTTCTGTAGTTTAGCCCCCAAATAAGGATCAACGCTCGATACAGTAATAGTATCGGGCATGGGGTGTAACACGGCCCCGGGCTAGAAGACGCGGTCTTAGCGTGTTCGACTAGGCTTCGATCCTACTTCACTGAGGGTGGGCCCTGATATTCCGTACCACCCAGACGGATCGTCAGGTCCAGCGTTCGGAGTCCTCGGTGCTTGGGCTATCGCGCGTTTTAACCAGTAAGGGTCGGTTTCCAGATGCGTAGCCAAGGCGAAGGCTGACGCTGTATATACAGAGTGATGAAAGCACCTGGGACAGATGCGATGTCGCAATGGATGGAAGAGAGCAGGAGAAAAAGTCAAGACCAGGCTTTCTGTTTGGGAGAAGGACTGTTTCCTTTATCCCCTTTTCTCAAGACCATTTTGTGCATTCAATGAAAGAAAAGAAAGCAGTCTTGCGATTCTGCTAAGGTCTGATCTGACGACAAAGAATCTAGGGTTTGCAGTGGTCGTGTTGACATCTCCACGTGATTTGGATACTGTTAAGGTGTCAAGGCATTACTATCAGGCATTAAATATCACGTGATATTGAAGATCATGTGACCCAACAGGATTCGCAATGGCGGCCTTTAGCAGGATGAAGTATACTTCGATCCGCTGTTATTTGGTATGGAAGAGTTCCATATATATATTATATGAGACTTTGCTAGGTGTTTGATGTCTCAATTACGTGGTTTCCAAGCGTGATGACTACTCCGAGTCCCCCTCCAGAGAACACTGCGACGCTAGCTGCAGTTGTAGCTAAAAAATTAAAAATAGGGGCGTTAAATTGAGCAAAATAACAATACATCAGTACGACTAAAGGTGTCTCGCAATAGGTGATCTGGTCGATGGCATTGAAGCTGAGTCTGAAAAGCGTATGTAGTAGTTAGGGTTTTAGCCGAGAGCGCCTCTCAACACCCACAATCAACGCAGTCTCACCACTCCAGCGACTTTCCAGTCAATCGGAATGACCACAATAGATGATAGTCATAGTTCAATATAGTACATACCAAAATCGCAGACCGTAGTCTAAGATTAGTAGTAACCCTTCCGGCCGCCCACACTTAGCGAAGCCCGGCGAACAAACTCCCCACACAAAACTCTCCGCCTGGACGAAGCGCATCATCACTTCAACTTCCCTCATCCAACCACCCACTTCCACCCTCTCACCACCCATCTACCCGTTTCTCTCCAGTCGGTATGTTCTTTCCCTACGTTTGAATCATTCGCCACACATTCTCGCACCGATTTGTCCCTGTTCCGCACAAGCTCCAAATGCGTCCCTCGGCTAACTCTCACCATCGCGGTACAGGCGACACGACACCCCTCCAATCGTCACCATGGATCAGGCAAAGTTGGCTAGAATGCAGGCTAGCGTGCGGATTGGTATGTTCTAGCTCTTTTTCTCCGTCTGCGTCGTTCTGGGCGTCCTGTTGGGGATTCGTGATTGAGGCTCGAAGCTGGTCATGTTCGGTCGACTTCACTGGATCTGCAGGCTTGTCTCTTGATCGTTCCGCCTGTCACCAACTCTTTGCTATCGTTGATTTTGAAACCTCTACTGACTCACTCGCTTTTAAATAGGGTATGTATAATCTGTCTTTGTTGAACCCGTCACTTCCATACCCGACCTCCGGTTACCCGTCCTTCGAGAGAGATTCCCTACCGATTCCGGCATTGCGACCGGCCATTGGAGGTTATCCGTGTGAGATCCAATAATCCAGACTCTTCGATCGGACTATTGCACCACCTTTTTGGACATGCCCTTCCACTCCGATGTCGCCGCCCGCCGTGAAGGAAAAAATATATCGACTAACACTCTTCCCACAGAGGCAAGGGCACTCCCCGCCGCAAGGTCAAGAAGGTCCACAAGACCGCCGGCGCCGACGACAAGAAGCTGCAGACGACCCTGAAGAAGATGAACGTGCAGCCCATCCAGGCCATCGAGGAGGTCAACATGTTCAAGGAGGACGGCAACGTCATCCACTTCGCCGCTCCCAAGGGTGAGTCTTGACTCTTTCCCCACCATCCCAGCCCATATCTAACAATGTGTTACAAAATCTTAGTCCACGCCTCTGTCCCCTCCAACACCTTCGCCCTCTACGGCAACGGCGAGGAGAAGGAGCTCACCGAGCTCGTCCCCGGCATCCTGAACCAGCTCGGCCCCGACAGCCTGGCCTCGCTCCGCAAGCTGGCCGAGAGCTACCAGAACATGCAGAAGGCGCAGGGCGGTGACAAGAAGGATGATGAGGACGAGGATGATATCCCCGATCTGGTTGAGGGCGAGAACTTCGAGAGCAAGGTCGAATAAACGTTCTAACTAGGACTTAACTTAACTACAAAAATTGTCTGGAAATAACGGTGGTTCTACACGCTCAATGAAATGTATCATTTCCGCTTTCAATGTTCGGTTGTTGCTTGCAGGCGCGTAGATGAGCAGATCTTGATTTAGGCTACAGAAGAAGGTAATTCGGACGGCGTCAGATGTCCAGTCAGGACTTTGTTCGTCGGGTCTACCTACTACGTAAGATGACATCGACTATCGTACACGCAACGGATTGTCTGCCCAATTGATCCAACTCCATGCTCAATGGGGGAATACCATAAAAACGATCAGATCTGGGTGGCGGGATAGGGCACAAGGTCAAGACAACGAGTCAAGAGTACAAGTTGTCACGAGAGCGGCCCTCGGGTGGGATTAATGTGATCTCAAGAAAGCCTCTTAAAGGCCTGAGCGGCAGCACTTCATGACTCCTCCTTCAGCCCACAGATATCAGAGCCCAGGATCTTGTCCACCATGTACCAGAAACGCCAGTACGCATTAGACTTGTCGTAATCAAAGGTGCCGTCTTCGCGAAGTTGCGGCCCGTCACCCACAATATCACCGGTGAACCAGCTCAGGATGGGAATCGATCGAAGAACACGCTCGGTGAGTGTTGGCTGGGGTGGGAGAGCTTCAGTCAAGGGGCGGAGCTTCGTGCGACGGACGGTAGGAATGTGTGTCATGAAATCTGACTCTGGTTTCGGCTCCGTGGCGACATGGCGTTGCTGGACTGAGGACGAGATCTGGATGCCAGTCGATGCTCCTGTCACCGTTGCCGTCCCAGACGTCGCAGTTGTCGTGCTCGAGGTCAGGGATTGTTCCTCGTCCCCCTCTGTAAAATCTGCAACGCTTGACAGATTATTCATTGCGAAGGACCGCGGCAGGGTTGACCGATCCTGGTCCTTGCTCGAGAGGAAAGCAGTAGAGTGCGTCGTCGTCAATGTCCGCGGCGCTCTGGTTCGGAGGTTGCTGTTCGTCGAAGAGCCGGCAGGGATTGCAGCATCGTCAGCTGGGCCGTGGCCATGATACAGTTCACAGAAAACAAGGTATCCATCGATCTCCTGTGGCGAGTAGAAGCAGGCGCGGTCCGCGGCAGAGGTCGAATCGAACGTCACTTTGATCCAGTGATACCCGCCATCGTAGCGCTTGGATTTGCGGTTTGCATCGGCCGACAGATTGGCGCGGATCACCACGTCGCCTCCGCTCAAGAGTTGGGTGTAGTGGCTGGCCGAATTGGGGTCACTGCGCGGGTAGTCCTCGCAAATCAGGCCCTGCGAGATGCGCTCGTATTTATCAATCACCTTCCACTCGGAATCTTTGGCCTTGTATCCGTAGAGGAAGCACTCCGTCGCGACTTTTTCGGTTTGTTTCCGGGGGTTGTCGAGGCTGGACGACGAGGTTGACTTGGGCAGGCCCTGTGTCTTCTCCTCCTCTTGTTGCACTGCGAATAAACGACCGAACTCGGCGACGTTGGCATTTTCTCGCTTTGCAGGTGTTCCGGTTCTTGTCCTTGAACGGGCATGGTCATATCGCGCATTTCTTCTCTTGCCGAAAGGTCCTGTCTCTTCTGGCGGCCTCCGGGGATTGCGAGATTCACTGTGGGGGTGTCAGCACGATGTACCGAGAAACTATCAGACTGTCTGAAACTCACTCTTTGTAGACATAACCCCAGGGCAAGAGGTTGCCCTTCTCGTCTCGCGCGCGCTCCTCTGGTGGCACGGAGTGGTATTCCATGGCGACGCAGGGACGCCGCGGGAGGGCTGAAATATACAGAGGCGATTTGGAGAAGCCCAAAAACAGCTCCAAGATGAAAGAGTCCAAGTGCGATAGATTATCGCGGAAATGGCACGTCGTCTCGAGCGGTAAGAGTTGGGACTTGGGAAAGGGAAACGCCAAAAGTTTTGGGCGCCGTAAACATTGGTAGTGATCACGTGATCGACCCATGTATAAGAACAGGAGCAGATCGAAGCAATGCACAATCGGTGGAAAATTAATTAATCCTTTCAATAATCTACACAATTTATCCGTGATCTCAGGCATCGCCGGCGTTATACCAGGTCCAATCGGCACGAAGGATCATAAGGTCTCGGATTCGGGCTTGCCAAGAAGTCGAAACAATATTGAGACTAGGATAAAGTATGACACTGTGCATCGAACAGAGCAGACGAAAGTAGAAAAGAGACATTTTATCATGTGAAAAGTGCGAGATTTTCGATGGTCATTTTAATAGCGCAAAAGATGGAACGCATCGGAGCTGTTCAATCTCATGGTTCGTTTGTTTCCTTTCGAGCTCTATACACTGTTGAATTGCACTCGTTGCATTCTATGAGCCCGTGTCTCACAGCCATAAATTCTAACTATATTGATTCACATTCCTCAATATCGCGACAATCTCGGTTCAATTCGATGGGCTGGCAGCATTTGAAGACTTCGCAGACGCTGGCGACTCACTAGACTGCAGTTCCATCTCAGATTCCGTAGTGCAATGCCGAAGCTTGGTCGGGTTGCAGACATAAAAGCCAATCATGAGAAAGAGCATCAACTGACTGTCAAACACGTAGAGAGGCCACTCATGGGTGAGAAGATAGCGGTGCTGCGATATTGACTGCATAACGTACTCAACAACTCGGTAGATGTTACGCACAAGCACGGCCGTGGACGTTCCATATAGCATGTTGAGATCCGACTTCCAGGAGCTTTGAATGTATATCCGAGTATCCTTAACGTAAACGTTCATTCTTCTGTGAAAAATAATGCAGCAGACGATGAAGAGTAGGAAAAGCAGAATCTGCAGAACCAGGCCGACGATGATAATATAATCGGCAATTTGAACGATAGTCGTGTTATCACTACCCAGTAGGCCAGCAGCATTGCCTTGGATCATGAAACAGGTGAAGTCTCCACCAACGAAGATCTTGGTGGCCCATCGCATGGGAACTGGTGAGAGATTTTCCCCATGAATTGCCCTGACGATCCGAGAATAAACCATATAAAGCGTTGCCGCAAATCCAAGGGGAGGGATGACCAGAAAAATGCTCTGGAAAAGGTATAATATCAAGCTGCCGGTGTTCGGGGTAGCCGCAGCCCGAGTAGCATATCCGATTACCTCGCCTAAAAGAAGAACGAAGAGAATGAAAAGTGTCAGCGATTTCATCCGGATAATCAATAACTGCATATAAGCTCTAGGACGAAGGCTCACATAATCCTCCAAGTATGAGTGGGATTGTAAAAATTGCTCTGGTCTTATATAGCCTCCAGCTGTGGACCGCGGTTGCAATTGCAAAAAGCGCACAAAATATGACGGAAAGGGGAAAATTGGGGACATATTCCCAAAGATATACGCCTTCGTAAGTTTGGATGGCTGGCATGTTTAGGCTGAAATGGGATATGAGGTAGATGAGCAAATACAAATAGGAAAAATTGGCAATGAAGCACGAGGAAGGAGATACGCACGGTATTTATATATTATGCTCGGTGGCCCCCGGGACCTCGTAGGCTGAACTATATCGGCACCATGGCAAGAGAGCCAGTCACCTTACTCTACTATAGTTTGCCTTGCACTGCCTTCGTAATGTGGAATATTCATCATCTAAAGCGTCAAGAAAGACGACTCATTTATCTCACAATATCATCCAAGCTGACTTTTGGACTTTTACGTACTCCATAGGAAAATCCAGCGCTTGAGATACGCGTGTTAGCTAATAAAGACGCCCCACCTTAATGGTTAATAGTGACTTTCTACTGCTTGGCATGTCCGATAGTTACAGTTCTCCCTCTTGCAGTGCCTAATTTTGGAAACACGGCCGTATTATGTAATACGCGTATTCGGCCACAGCCTCAACGTCCAACGAAACAACTGGCAAAAGGCTTCCTTGTGTCATCATAGTTCCTGTGTGTGTGTTCTGCAAATTAATTTGGTTTGGGCACGGAAATGCTGCGTCGCAGACACAAGAAATCAAGAGGCGGTTGCCTTTCATGGTGAGTTCAACAGCACGCTCCCTATGGACTTTTGTCCACTCATCCACGTCTAATTGCTGGCTATCGTAGTAAAGAACGCCATGTCAAGGTATTTTTCAGCTGCCCCAGATGTTTCCTATCGATTATTTCTCGATAGAGAATCCCTGTCCACTTGGCTTACTCGACAAAAGTGCGACGAAGGTCGACCAGTCTGTCTTTTATGTACCATTTCCCATCGTGACTGCAGGTATGCAGCACCATGTCCGCCCAGAAGCCGAACACCATCTGACCCCACCACCATTTCATCACATTCTTCCCTCAACCCTCAAATTCATGATCAGTCTCAAAATTCAAGTCACAACCAATCGGACGATTCTTGGCAAAAGAAGGGCAGAGGCTCAACTATCACAACTCCTCCGCCTACTAGCCACTTCCTCCGCTCCCGTCCAAATGTAAACCCACCTCAGCATCCGCACACAGATATCCAAGACCGACAGGACCAACCGGGCCTCCTGGGGGGTGCGTATGCTGATCTGAACATCAATCATATGGAACTGATTATTCACTTAATGTTGGACAATGACGTATTCTGCCTCGGTCTCGCTGAGATCGACTTTCATCACCATACTGCCACCTCCCTCCTGCTCAAAAAAGGCCTGGAATATCCATACCTTCTCCATGAAATGCTCGCCTTTTCCTCCCTCCACCTAGCCTCTATGCGTCCTGCAAAATCGATTTCTTACCAGCAACAAGCTATGGCACTACAAACCCGTGCCGTCTCCCTCTTCAACTCATATTGGACGGAAATTGATGAGACAAACTGTGTCGGTATTCTTTTGTTCTCCTCCGTCCTTGGCCACCATCTTCTCGCCGACACGATTGCAAATCAAGATATAGGTGCCCTAGACTGCTTTATGGCAAAGTATCTGCATTGTGTTGAGATACACCGAGGTATTCACACCCTCGCTATGTCTGCTTGGCCACAGTTGATGAAATCGGAGCTTGAGCCTATCCTTTCAGCAAGCTCGCGCTTCACATCGCGTTCACCGAGAGGAAGTGACTGCGAGGACATTTCTGGTTTGATTTCCGATTCTCAGGGACTGGGAGACGAAGACAAGGAAGCCTGTCAGCTTGTCATTCGAAATCTGCAAATTGGCTTTGACGCTGTATCGACTGAATTAGGGCAGGGATACCGGCACTACATGATCTACACGTGGTTGATGCTAGCACCATCAAGGTTCATCAGCTTGTTGTCTGCCAAAAAACCGGAAGCACTGATCTTGTTGGCGTTCTATGCTGCTCTGCTGCACCATGGCAGACAGCTGTGGCAAGTTAAAAACGCGGGGATATTCATCTTTCGCATGATCAACGAGTACCTCGACCCGATGTGGCATCATTGGCTTCAATATCCTCGGCGAATCATGTCGCAGGATCTTCATTAGAGCTATGTACGCTCGTCTGCCGGACCCTCAATCAAGTAAGGGACTGTCTGTCTTTTTGTTTTCCTTTTTTGTTTGAAAAGCAGCACAATTCAGATTTCATGCTTGAAACAAGTTAAATGTACAGTGCTCTAGAGTGCTTGCATTGTATATATACATATATAAATCTAATTCGTTTAATCATGGTGCAAGAACGTAATATTTCCAGCCTCTCCATCCAGATCACACACCTCACCAAAATCCCCAACTTCCTCTTTTCGCTGGTGCACATAATCCACAAATTCCTCCAGTGGACATGACTCACCGGGGCCTGATCTGCAAGACGGCAGCGGGACAATTCGATCATTGATATTGACTCGGACATAAGCTTTGGCATCAGTTGATGAACAACTCAATCGCTCGAACGTGATTCGCGCGCCCATAGGCATGACCAACGAGGTCCGCCAAGTACGATCGCGGACAATATGCGTCGTGGGAAGATGAGGTTCGCCATCAAAAGTACCCAACGCCGTGAGCAAGCGAGCAATATCACCGCTGTGCGCACTGAATATACAGTGAGTTCTATGGTTCCGTCTCTAGGTTAGAGGTTCTCACTTACAAACTCAAAAATAGAGTGCCAACTTCAGGCCCGTCACCAAGTAATTCTGTCGTGGCATCCAGCCAGAGCGATCCCATCGCTCTGGCGTACGAATTACCGGGCCCAGCTCGATAAAACTGGCGCAGGTCGCGGGCGTATTCATAACTATCCCAATCTTGTTCCGTAAACACGTCGCACCACGGGCTTGAGCCTCGCACCATAGTCTCGGAACCACACATTTCTTGCATAGCAAACACCTCGTAGTTCGTCAAAACACCGAGACCGGAATTTCCTTCGCCGATCAATCGATTGGCGATTTTCCGGATATAGACACTTTGGAATCTCGCGAGCATGTTTGCTCCATGGTCGTGTCGAGCCTTGTCCTCAAGATACTTGTGGCATGTTTTGCTCGGAGTAAGGGTGTCCCCCCTGCGTTCGAAAGTCTCGGGAATTATCTGTAATTCAGCTTTTCCGGAACTCTCCCAATCCGGTCCAAATAATCCCGAAGCGAAATATCGGGCTGTATCGATCACGCGCTGTGAGCCACTTGCCCACACTCGAGTGGGTTTTCTCGATATAAGGTGTCCGTATCGAGAGCGATACTGAGCACCTGAAGAGACCGCTTCCAAAGTACCTGGGTGCGGGCCGGTGTGGGTTAATTGGCCAAAATCTCGTGATGGGTCATTGGTGAAATAGGTCCAGTTGTTCATAAATGCAAGCGAGCCATTGAGAGGATGACCGGTGTTTTTCACCCGTTCCAAGAACTCGAGATGGCCTTCCAGGTGATGGCGTTAGATCAGACCCGCATTCATGGCAATTATTGAGAAAGTGTTTGACATACCAGTTCCAGCAGACTTTTTTGGGTATCTCTCTGCATGGCGTGACATCTACGTGCTGGTCAGCGAATTTTTCGATCTAAGAGAATAAATCCATGAGACAAGCATACCAGGTGGACCTGATCCACATAGCATCCTTGTGGAGGTGCAATGCTCCATGCCTCCGTGTTTTGGCCCGCCTTATGAATCCCATGGAGGAGATTCCACCCCTTCCCTGAGGCTCTGACTGGGCTCTCTGACGAACTGAATGGTGATGTGTACACCCATGTATTCCAGTTGGCAGCATGTTCCAAAATCAATTTGTAAGTTTCAGATAAGGGGGCGATTGACACCGTCACCGAAATCGCGGGCAAGGACGCGCGATTGTAAAACACGATTGCGAATAATATCGTAAGAAAAGGAAATGCAATCTTCAGCCAGGGCCGACCGAAAGGCACAGATGATGGCTGCATGGTTCAATCAGGCCCTTGAGATGTGCCTTGTGGCATCGAGTTGATAGGAGAAAATGAATATGATGGAGAGGGGAAAAAGACGCCGAGGGGGAATTGGAAGAGAGGGAGAATGTTCTCCACATCCTCTATCGGAGTTAGATAAAGTCTGTCACTCACTAACTTTTAAACCGGTGGTAAAGTGCTTGGCATCCAATTTTGCCCCCTTTGTGCTTTGTATTACTCGCCTCCAAGTTGAAACCTAATAGCTGCGCAGCTATTGGGGTCCGACTTGGTGGCGGGTATACCCAATTTGGCTAGCTACGTAATAAGTAAACATCATTGATAGGCTGCTGGTTGAAAGTTATAGTGGAGAGGCTTGCATATCGGCCCCCTTTCTTCGCTTTCGCTTTGGCCCTCTTATTATGTATGCGACTAGTAGTCTAATTATATATGATCGTTTACGTCTTTCTATTGGCTCTTTGCTTTGCCGATTGGCCTACTGAATATCCCCGTCTGATGCTTCGCCTACACTTTATGTTGGTGTCAGGACGCGCCAACGGCTGTTGGCTATGTATGTAATGATAATTGTGAAGGATTCTGGGTGAAATGCATAATCTTTTGATGTTTCTTTCCCTTACAAAACAAGCGAATTGGTGGCAAATTTAAACCTAACCACCGTTGTCAAAAGTTGACACTACCTCATCTGACCACGACAGCAACAATAAGATAGGAAAAGAAAAGATCAAGAAAATATCAAATGCCCAGGGTCTCATCTAACAGGGGATGACCTGCTACCAAGGGTAAGCAGCACGGCTCTAAACCCAACAGGAAATATATGTAAGCCAATTGTCGCTCTGCTACTCGCGGGTGATCAATAGCAATAATACGCATCACTCGGCGTTCGTATGTTCGGCCACCCGAATTTGCCGTCTATTTGTTTTTAATATCCATGACATGGACTTCCTTATCTTCCCCGCACTCACCATAGTCGACGCAATTAAATCAGGTTTAATCCCCGTTTGAACTGACCTTAACCACGATACTTGAACTGTGGAGAACAGATCAAAATAGTTATCATGGTCAAGGCACCACCTATTATTGACTTTGGGGGTATAGTTTCACTACCGCTTTTCGAGCGCGACTAACATCTATACAGCCTTTTACTCTTCTGACTCGATCGGGAAAAATGTCTTAGTTCAGCAAATTCGCGAAGCGTGCCAGCGCCATGGTTTCTTCCAGATAATCAATCACAGGGTGCCATCAGATCTACAGGAATCAATTCTACAGCAGTCGCGAGACCTATTCAGTCTACCGCTCGACATCAAAGAAAAATATAGCAAGGGTGAGTCTGCTTTTCACTCGTACATCACGGTGGAATAAACTAAATTAAAATTTTACCACCAGACCTCGGCACAGATAATCGAGGGTATGAACGACTCCGCGCCCAAAGGTTCGAGAAACGAGGGCAAGGCGATCTGAAGGAAGGGTTCTATTTTGGAAAAGATTTACCGACAGACCATCCTTCTGTAGTTGCTGGGAAATTCTCTCAAGGTTCTAACAAATATCCTTCCGAGATCCAGGACCATGGCTTGTTCAAAGCGACAATCGACACCTATCATGCCACCTTAACCAGCCTATCGGAGGACATATTGAAAGTTTTGGCACTAACACTAAACCTCGAGCCGAACTGGTTCAAAGAATTCGCTGAAGAGCCGGTGGCAATATTGCGATTGCTACACTATCCACCCCAAAAGCTCGATGCTCCTGCTTTAGAACGAGGTATTATGCCTATCCATCATTTAAAAATTAGAACATGTGCTGATAACGCTGGTTACCAGGAATTGGCGCCCACACTGACTTTGGCGCTATTACTATCCTCCTTCAAGATGACAAGGGAGGTCTTCAGGTTTGGGACCGGGAATCCTCTCAATGGGCCGATGTCAATCCTATTAAAGGGGCACTAGTGGTTAATCTGGGCAACATGATGATGCGCTGGACCAGTGACCGCTATTTGTCGAACTTGCATCGTGTGATTAACAAAAGTGGCGAAGAACGGTACAGTGTGCCGTTTTTCTTTTCGGGGAATCCGGACTTTGTGGTCAAATGTATTCCTAGTTGTGCAGATGGACCACAGGACACCAAGTATCCACCGATTACGGTGGAGGAATGGATGACTGCACGTTATGCTGATACATATGGGGGGACAGAGAAAAGGATGGGAGATTTGTTCAGTGAGGTCGAGAATGCAAATAATTGAGATGCAGAGAACTAGCCTATTCTTACATTGTTCTCATCCTCCCCACTCGTCTCCGTCACTGATCAAACCTCAATGACCGCTTCAGCGGAGAGTGACTACAGTTTAGTTTTATTTCTTAATTCTCTTGCATGCCTGTCTTCCAGAAGACGTTTTAGTGCTCCGCTTTTCGGAAGCATATTTTACCCTTCTGAGCAGAGAATGCTTACTTATTGCTGATAGAACGACGAGTAACGGTCACTTAAGTTCTTTATGTCACAGCTATGAAGACCAACTAAAGATTACGCTAACACGTAATATCACTCAGTATGTTCTTGTATATGCGATTCAAAAATGATACTGCGAGACAGAGTTCGTTTGAAACACCCTGCTAACTGTTGTCGGTCTTGACATTACGTCCGTCTATCCCATAGCCTGGTATGCTGTACTTCTACCCTCATCCTGCATAAGATGCATCTAGTGCCCCACCCCTGCCACCCCAATGTTAGATGATATAGGTTGCATGGTCACATTCTCTAACAATCTACCATGCGAGCATCCTATATATCCATTATCACGCCACTTAAAAAGCCTAGGCGCTCTTGATAACCTCGGCCTCCCGAGCCGTCGCGATAATCGCCGGCGGCTTGGGGATATTCTGGAAGAAGATATAACGCTTGATAAACCAAGGAAGCCACACGGTCAATTCGTGGCGGATGAAGTCCTTTGTTGGGACAGAGAAGACCTCTATGAGAGACATTAATAAAAAGCGATATAGGTTCAGGGGAGCGTCACTTACGATCCAACTCCTCCAGGGTGAGCTGCTTGGTTTCTCTGACAAAGCAGAAAATCATAAACCAAGCGATGAGGTTGAGTCCAGCGTAGAAGCCGACTGTGACTAGGGGTTAGCGAATTTGTGAGCGGGTAATCCAGTAGCGTCCACTTACAAGCACCTGTTGGTGTCATGACGGACTGCATTCGCGGGAATGTCAAGCTAAGGATACCGGCTACATTGAGCTTGTTAGACCATATCGGGGAATACTAAGCTTGGGTTCTCACCAAAAGTGTTATTGATGCAAACCGCCCAAGCCATTCCTTGCTCACGCTGAATGGTGGGGAACACCTCGGCAGAGTATTGGAAGGCAACTGGTCCTTCACCCAGAGAATAGCAGATAGTAAACAGATAGACAAAACTGGTTAAAGAAAGTATATCAGTCATATGTCAGTTGCAAACATCTTTCACGCACGTACAAGACAACTGGTCCGATCTGTGACGATACGCTACCGTAATCTTTCAGAAGAGAGAGACCACCGGCAAGCAGGAAGAGACACATCAGAGGGAAGGTCTTCATAGGAGAAATTTATCAGTGACGTCTCTTTCACAAAACTTGCAGATGACTCACAATCAAAGTCAGGGTTCTTCGGCCCTTAGTGTCGATTATAAACAAAGTAGGGATCGTGAATACGACTTGAACAGCACCGTAGCCAAGAGATGCATATAAGGCCTGGGTGTCTGAGTACCCGACATTCGTGAAGATACTTGAGCTGTAGAAAGAGATAACTACAAGGCGTCAGGGATAGTCACTGACAGGGAAGAGGAAACTTACTGTTGATACCGCACATTTGCTGGGCAAGCATGACAGTCGAGGCACCGTAGTTCGCGCGCCTGATCCTGGGCACGCGGAAGCAGTCCCACATACGGGAGAAATAGCCCGCACCATTAGCCAGCTGAAGTTCCTCTTCGTAGATAATGCACGAATAATAGAAGTCTCTTGCGGCAATGATGGGATGAGCTCGCAAGCGCAACATCGATTTGAAGCCTTGAGCATGTTTGTTGTGTTTCATGAGCCAGCGGGGGGACTCAGGGCAGAACCAGATACCGCACATGAGGATGAAGGATGGAATGAATGCTGAGCCGAATTGAAGGCGCCAAGCGATGCGGCCAACGTCTTTGACGATGATGTTGGCCGCGAAGCCCAGGAAGATACCTGCGCGGCAATTAGCAATGTCTTGGGAACAATGGTGCGGGATAGTTACCGGCCACAACCCAAAGTTGCCAGAACATGACTAGGGCACCTCGGATTCGAGCTGGAGCCATCTCAGATGAGTAGATGGGCACTGTAGCGTTCTTTGCACCAATACCAATACCCATAACAAAACGCGCAGCAAACAATTGTTGCCATGACTGCGCGAAACCGGAACCGATCGGGGTGGCAGTAAGACAGCAAGCAGTGAGGAAAATCTCGCCTCTTCTGCCTAAGTAGTGATTAAGGGGATCGACGATAAAAGCACCACTAAATAAACAGTCAATCACTCCGGCATGAAAAGCGAAGGAATTGGCGCTGCTCATATACTCACATTAGACCGGCGGTCAAGAAAATAATGGCATTGACCACCCCCACGATCCATTCGTCTTTCCCCTTGCCGTCGATGTGGAATTCCTTCGGGAAGGACAAGTTTGCTCCGTTGGCCCCAGTCTGATCCCATCCTTGTGTGGCGGCTCCAACGGCACACAGAGCGATCGAGTACCACAGCATTTTAGGGCCGTGCCATTTATGGTCCCTCTCGTACGCAAGGGCGGCGAGCTCATCTTCATCAAGCTCGGAAATACTGCCGAATAGCTCAGGTTCGCGTGCAACCAGAGCGCCCCGAGCAAAAAGATCAGCGTGCTCTTGCATGCCTTTCGCTGAGGCGAAGGCTCGAGCATCCGCGATGGTTTGCTCCCTGGAGCAACGCTGTAGGAGTAAAGACGGTCAGAACAAATGCACGACACGACCATCGGAGAGTGGCAGAGAAAGCCTGTAGATTGGGATGTTTACCTGCAGAGGATTCTCAACGAGGTTGAGAGCGGTGGACTGGCGTCGCTGGGTAGCCTCAACTAGCTCCACCGTCGCAGCCTGAGTCGCGTCCTGAGTCGCGTCCTCATTGTGAGAAATAACTTCCGGGGATTCTTTTTCGGACATCGTGATTAACAGCCCTGGTAGCTTAGGAAATATCAGAGGTTTTGGAGTTTTGGATAACTAATGTTGATCCACGATCGACCAAGTTTCCTGAAGAGTTCCCCGTGGGGGGGAAACACTGGATACTCCGCCGGATATATACCGACGTCGATGCGCCCCGTGGGGTCCAAAAGTGTAAAAGGAAGGCCAAACAGAGAGCGATCTTAGCTGTATTGAGAAGTTAGTGGCTTGGTGGCTTTTCGAAGGACGGCATAGACCCGGCCTGTAAGCACTAGTTATGACCCTTGGAAGGGACCATAGCACAGCGGGTAGGGTTCCGAACGCCCGAAGTTTGTGCAGTGCTCTAGGGTCCACTCTGTGGTAGTCTAAGCAGATAAAGCGAGAATAAAGTATTTTTCACCAAGACTATTCCGGGGAAAAGAATGTTCTCCACGGCACTGTGGCTTTAACAATCCTGCATGATTTATACAGCTAAAACCCCTCAGAATACTAAACCGGGCATGATACCAATAATGTGGTTGTGTGGTGGTGCATCTTGGTGTATTATTCGGTCCTGGTGGTCCTACTAGAGGCGCTCAAAGCGTATGCAGGAGAAGGAAGGATTGCTTCTACGAGCATTATTAATCTGAGGCTTGCCCCGGTGCCCTGCTCGAGGGCTTTCTGCTGGCCCCTTTCGATCCTGCGACAAATCTGGCTGTTCATTTGTGATATTTGGGACTGCCTGGTGGTTAACTAGTGGGGGAGACTGACTCACGCGAGTCCAGGCTGAGACTAAACGACGTAGCGCGTGACGGCGGGGCTGGCTAACTAGGCTAAACACGGTTAGCTATTTGCTGATGGCGCCAGCCCTGCTTGGCGGGGCACATTAGAGTCCAATCCGGGGCTTTTTGTGCCCCCAGAGTTTTGGCTTGGCCACACTTTTAAGTGGGTGAAACGAAAAGCTGGCCCCCACTGTACGCTTGGCTTCATCCGAATTTGGTGCGTTATTTTCCAACCCTGCGTTTACTTGTTACAGTATCTCTCCATACACATGATGATCGTCGGGTGGCCTAATCTGAGATGCAAGGAGGATATAAGCTCATCGAAGTTCTGCGATCGATCGCACAGACAGACAGTTAGCTGAATAATTATATATAATTCCACTCAATCTCCAGCGGATTTTAGAGCAATAGAAAGAACCGCTGATCAGCTTATGACTAGCCGTAAATTTCATGATCACTTTCCTAATCGGTACACAATTGAACCAAATATTTTCTATCAATATCAGGAAGGGGCCTTAGAGCTCCTTTTCAGCAGGTGAAATGGTCTGGCTTGGCCCCAAAGCAGACCCAGATTTATATCTCCCGCACATTTCCAGGGCCTGTCCTATGCTAGACGTTGTGCGACACTATGCTTCAAGAAGCCAGCAAGTCCTTACAAGTTCTTATGCGTCTGCATATCGAGCTGGACTGGACAGAATCCTCTTGTAAATGTCAGAGTGAAAATATTTATGTTGGCAGTGGCGAGATCTTCCCGGCCAAATAGGCATGGGTCGCGCCCAATCTCACTTCGAGCAGGGTCAGTGCCTTTCTCACTTATCCTCCACGAGGTTGCCACACAGGGAATCTGATTCGAACGAGGTCTCGCACTATCATCATACAAAATAGCTCCGTAACGTCTGAACAATTCTGTCGGCAAATAAAGCCATTCGAGGAAGTTGATGGCGAAGGAACACAGTAGCATTCCTTCGCCATCCTTGGGATCTAAGCGAGATGTCAATTCCTATGCGTGGAAATGATATACTCGCCCCCAGGGGCGTTAAATCCCTTCATTTTGGATCACAGTATTAACATCGATTCTCTTTTATCTTCCCATACTCATCGGTCTGCAAGAACGTCACAGCTAGCCAGAATAATTGATACAATAGACAGTGCGAGGAGCTATAGTGATGGAACTTAGAGTATTCTTGTGCCTTCTAGAACCCAATCCCGGTGGGGCAGCAGGAGCACTAGCCGGGCAACCGGCGCAACGGTTGTGTGATCCGGCCTGGGGGCGAGTATCTTGTTTCAAAAATAATCATGCTGTTCCAACAAACAATCATTGAAAAATGAATTCGATAAATAATACTCCCCACAGCTGGGTTTCTACACACCTAATGAGATGAAGTAGACGCGTTGTCTGTCTGTACACCCATGATGTGCTTTGGCTTTGCGTTCAGATCTTTGGCGTGGCCGAGTATTTTTTGCAGCCAGGTACTTTCTCAAACCGGCGGACATTATCACTCCATCAAAGCACCATTGCCAGAATCGTTTAAAAGGTCAAGACCAGAGGCTAACGTGACCGCAATCACATCGTTAGGATACACTATGTTAGGCGAGCGATTCGAGTTTCCTGGTGGATTGGTCTTTCCGGCGGATCTAGAGCAGGAGCTCTTTGCGAGGAAATGGGCTTTGGTGGCAAAAACGTTGGTTTTAACTACATGGCTAACACCAGAAAAATGCAAATTCTATTATGGGTTTAAAATACTTGGATAATAACGCCTGAGCCGCACAGTCTATCGACGCCGTTAAATAATATCAGGTCACTCGCTTTCTGGAAATACCAAACTTGGAAAATCACCAAGTCCTAACATATTGAAGTCATCAAACCAACTGAGAAGTGATGCGTACGCCACGTTATTTTCCCATATCTGTTGCTGAGAGGTGTCGGTCGTCGCGCTAATCTTGACAGTAGAGGTGATGGCTCCGGCAGGCAGTGCCGGCAAATCCACAGTCCTTCGACTCGATTGGCCAGATCTGTCTTGCACATCAAAATTCCGATACTGGCTGCTTTCCATGGGGGCTTCCTGGTAATGATCTCTCCGAGTTAGATCACTATGAGCAGCGCCGCTTTTATTAGAGTCCAGAAGACTTCTGTTCACGTTGTAAGTGCTGTAAGATCCAGAGCTGCGGTTACTGGTAAGATGGTCTGACTCCTCCATGCATGTTTGCCATTCCTCGTAACCAGATCCGTCGGCATTTGATGAGACAGCGACGGGTGTCGACTGCCATTTGCTTTTGATAGTTGTCATTATAACTCGAAGATTCTGGATTAGTCTGAGACCTTGCTTTGCGTTGCGGGCTCCAGAAGCCAAAAATTCCATAGATCGGATAATCACAGAGATGGCGGAATGGTAGCAAGGATGGCTATCGACGATCTCATTGATGATAATGATGATAGCAGCGGATATACAATTATTGAAATCCGTGTAGGAGTAGCAGGCAAGTCGGTGGCTTTCTGCAAGATACCGTATACAGTCGACCATTCGATATGCTGCGCTGACGCATGCTCGGGACAAGGACTCATCTGCGGGAGAGGAGACCTGCAGCAACGGTTGGGAAGCGGCAGCCCGTACTCCATAGAGGTGCATTTGTATGAGTCTTAATAAGGATGGGCGGCCCATGAAAATAAAAATTTGGTGATAGGACATATGTAAATGAACGGCGCCACGGAAAATCTTGGTTCCGGGATCAAGATTACTGGGCTGTAGTTGTGTTGGGAGATCTGCCATCCAACATAGTAAATCTCTGTTCAGACCAGCGATGGTAGATTCAGCAGCGCTATCTGCCAAACAAACCGACTTTTCGCGTCTTTAGATTAAAACATGAATTAGTTTTGTACTGCAATAATCAAGCAGAAGATATTTGAATACTTTACGGCACGGTTGAAGAGAGACATGAGGCGAATGCTAGCTTGGAGATTTCCGAGATTGTTGTTGCCTCCAAGTAAGTCGAGCGCTTCGCATATATCTGGGAACGGTGTATCGATATCTTCTTCCTTTATTGTTTCTGGTCGGTCCAAGATGATAGAAAGCCGTCTAGGAAATGTCAATATACACACACAGTGGCGGTAAAATGTAAAGCTACCTACCGTTCACTGACGTAAAGCGACCACCAAAGTCGGTTGCGAACTTCAATATCAATAGGATCCAAATCGCCGCCGGATGTCTTTCGGTGTAGCCCAGACGCAATGGCCATTTTCATCGCCATTCCATGGTACACGTACGACAGGTCCGTCGAGTTGGAAGGAAGAAGAAACAATGCCGTAAGGAAGCACACCTGGATTCCCTCCAGCGTGCATTGTGTGATTATATCGGGCAGAAGAAACTTGGCCTTCAAATAGAAGACCATTCCAGGTCCCTGTTTATGCACCGATGTCGGTGGAGTTGTTTGCCGCATATTTGAAGTCTGAAGATGTGCGAATTGGCTGCCCATTGCGAATACCATCAAGGCCAATGCGATCAGACTAGGGTCGGATTCGGAATCTGCGTGTAACCCATCAAGGTATAACCGGTTCAGCCGCTCCTGGAATTGGACTCGGTTCATGAAGTAATAATTCGCTTCTGAATGGCGGAAGAAACATGCAACGAGAAACTCGGCTACATTCGCTGATGGAAATCCTTCCAATGCTTTCTTGACCAAGGTGAGATCCGCGATATTCTCGTGGTCCTACGTACCACCGTTAGAATTGGCGAACCCAGACTAGGGATCCAGTGCGACTCACTGCCGGTTCATCGTCTTCAATTCCGACTCGAGAGTGCACCACAACTGTATCCTGGATCCTGGATAAGAACTTTGTATTTGAAACTTCTCCTTCGTAATCTGTGGTGAGAGTATTAGTGAACCTGCATGTATAGTGACTGCTAATGAAACCCACGGGTCTGATAGGAGCTTCGCACCACCAAGTGAGCAGCCTCATTTGACTGGGCAGACTTTGGTGAGCCAGACGAGTGAAACGTTTCATCTGCCGGCATGAATAGATTTGCATCCCGCGTATAATCGGCATGCACATTCTCATCGTTGGGCCTGTAGAGGTACAGTATATCTATTAGTATGGGGATCCGACAGACGAGTCCTCAAGATGTAGTACTATCTACTGACATTGAAGGCCCAGTGCTATAGGTTCGCTCAAAGAAGACTGGCTCATCAGCAGACGTGCACTCGACTCCTGCTTTCAAGCATCGTAGGCAGGTAGCCGCTCGGCTCTGGGCCGGAATGCATCGGCTTTTGCGGTTTCGACATCTCCAGCACCTGTAACAATGAATTCGGTCATACGCCTGCTTCAAGATAAGATGTAAGAAATAACTGGATGATTGCCTACGCTCGTGCAGCGCGCTTGCGATTCGAGTCCGCGACCCTGGGTCTTACTCGAGCAATTATTTGCCGCCGACCAATATCCATGCCTCGCGTGACTGAGAAAGAAAACAACAACAATCACTGAATGGGTTGAAGGCACGAATGCATTTCGTGTCAAGGTGTCGGCAAATTGCCGATGCCGGGTAGTCGGGACTTTCTTATCTTATTGGGGACGAATTGGTTCAATTGCGGAGAGAAGCGGGGGACCACGCAGCTTGGATCGCTTCGATTGGCGAATTTGTACAATTGGGGAGATAAGCGATCCGAGAACTGCGCCAGGATTTTAGCTAGTGTACCGTTCGCTCCTCATCCGGCCGTCTCCCTGCTGTTACTTAGCCCCAGAAATTCAGCCATATGTAATATCGTGACCACTTAGATCGTCAGATATTGAGAGTCCTGCCTCCAGAGCTGAATTCCCAGCAAGGTTACCGGTTCAACGATCACATTACTTATCATGGCTGACGCTGAGTAAAGCTTGGCTCACTCGAATTCGAAATTGGAGGACTGCTTAGTCATGGCCAGCAAGTGGCACCACTGATGGCTGCTGTACACCAGAGCAGTTTGTACGGGTGAAAAGCAGGCAGTTAGGGTTATTCACGATACGACATCGTCTAAAACTCCAATATCGCATATCGTATCGTCTAACTAGAATCTCGACGATAATTATCGTTAGACGATCTTACTCCTTGAAATCCGAACTGCAAGATCTGGCGTCAAATAATGCTGAAAATGGCGTCGCTGATCCCTGAGCTTCGTGCCATGGCCTGTGCAGGAACTCGTTCTGCAAAGCCCGGTTCCCATCATGGTAAACACGGGCGTAGCTGAGCGTCATCAAGTTATTCTGCTACTTTGGGGACTATTCTTTGTAGTATCTAACAAACATGGAAGTTTAAAAACAGGAATAATTTGCAGACTGAAAAGAAACTAAATTTGTGTTGAATAAAAGACACATTGACAGCAATGAACATTAACCAAGTAACAACTTATTCTCTTCTCATACTTCAGTATATGACCAAAAAGGCGTTGAGAATATCAAGACACACTATCGAAATTGCCTTTGGCTGGCCTGAAAACAAGCGGTCGTTGTTCTGTTATTCCTTTAGGAGGTAGAGCTGTTGGGAGCTCTTTCGTGTTTGAGGGATCAATGAATGGCGATGGCGATGTGCTTGAGCGGCTCTTCTTCGCGCGCGGAGGAGCTTCTCTTGTAGGTGTTGATTTTGGCGAAGACGAGGAAGACGACCTAATTATAGATTGATCTTTGGCCCACTTCTGCCAGCGATTCCGTGCTCTGGAGAAACCAGCAGCTGGCGGCGTAAGACATTTGTGAAGATTTCCTCGGTCATCATAAGGCTGGCTTTTGGCAAACTTCTCCCATGCTTTCATGCTGGCTTTCAGTGTAGGCTCATCCACCCGGAGCCATTCCCTGTGGGTGATACCACAACTGTCGCAGGGCTTTTCAAGTCGATTCTTTTCTTGTCCATATTCAGCATGAATAATTTGCTCAAACCGATGTACATGGGGGATAAAGATGCTGGATATTTCCCTGAACCCAGGATAACACCTCTCATGATATCCGAAGCGGCGGCTGCGGTCTGTAGTATATCCTACTTTGATTCGGTCTTGCGCAATAGGATGTGAGAGAGCATAGAGCCATCCAGGTTTCTGGTCCAGTGTCCCTAATTTCTCGTTGAGCCTCAGGGCAACGATTCGGTTCACATCTTCAGGGCTCAGTCGGTCCTTTGAGAGGGTGGAGTTATGTGTTGGCGACAAACTACCTTGAGAAACTTCATACTCCATGTCATGAGCGTCCTTGTCTCCAGCCACCCTGTCTCGAGCCTCTTCGTCTTGAGCCTTCCCGTCTGGAGCGAGATACCTGTTCATGTCGTTCAGAAATCTTTGCGGGTCCCCCAAGTCCTCTATCCATTGATCCTGAGCTCTGGTCTCATATATGACCTTGGCATGCTTCTGCTTGCAGAGACAGAGTGTCCCGATTTTGTAGAGATCTTTCGTGACAGTCCCACTCAAAGAATGAGTATCATTTTTCAAGGCATCATAGATGTCCTGAAGACGAGCTTTGACTATCTCAATCTCGTGTGATGCAATGCCTTGATCGCAGTCGTCAGAGACACCCTTTTTCACTGCGTAAACGACGCAATCGAAGCCATTGTCACCACCGTACACTCGCTCAATCAAAGAGAATAAGTCGCAGATCTGGTTTTTAGGAGGCATCACTAATGGGCAAGAGACTTCAATAAATGAAAAAGCCTAGAGAGCTGAGGTATAGTCTTATTTAAGTCACCCAAAAGACAGGGATTATCAGGGGCACAATTGAGCCCAAGCCAAGTGAGCAATTTCATAAACGATAAAGTGGACTAGAAATAGGCTGTCCTGTCCCTTTCAGGTTTAAAGGCTGGAAGTTCTGTACTTTCCAAGCGGCTTGGACAAACTGATCGAGCAGGGGCTTTGCGTTAGTCTAATGCAGAAGCAGGGATCCATGGCAGCTTGGGTCGAGGGTGGCATAGGCAAGTTTCAGCTTTTGGGGCCGAGCTGAGATATTGTGTATAGATAAGGAGAGTGGAAGCCACGTGCTGTTGAGAGGCTTTGCCAGGGTGAGATGCATTTGAAAAATGCAGCAAGTGTGCTATGCTGATCGCAGACAAAATGCCACTCCAAATAATTATGAACAATTAGATTGACATTCAATTCCAGTTCAACGCGTACAATATCTCGATGCTGATCTTCCAGGCTAGTGCGGCAAGTGGGCTAAAAATCCCGGGTTCGTAGACATCCTAGCGCAGCACCAAGGCCCCTGGCAACATAGATGCAAGTCTCAGGGGTACGTACCATTCCCAGCCCCAAGAGAGGGGAACCATGACCACGTTGATCAGACCGCGAATTGCTTTTGTCGGAAAGACAGATCCCATGGGTAAAGATGATTGAGCTATGGATAGTCGGAATGAAAGAATTTGGTATTCACCAGTATCTGTTGGGCAAGACTTACCTCAATTTAAGGGCATAAGAGGTCTGAGTTGCAATCTATCTAACTACCCCTATTTTGTAGTACGGGAAACCTGATTGTTAAATTCTCCCTACACTTTGACGGTATGCAGTCAGTTCTAGAATCATTAAGAAATAGTGGTATTTGGCAAAGCGACAAGCGTTGCTGCCCATCAAAACATTGGCCAAAACTACCATTCCCATAGTTCTTGATGTCGACCTCTTGCTAAATTTTTTAGGGAATAGCGCTTATGCGCCTAGACACCAATTCTCCTAGCCCCGTACACTGACTTCCTCTTTGCATTCCACAGGCGATGCCGCCTTATCCGATGCTCAGGTCGTTTCTGGCTAGTCGCTGCCGGCCCAAAAGGAAGGCCTCCCCGAGGAAGTACACAACCTGCTTTAAGATCAATTTGAGTGTCTCTGGTCCATCGTCCACTGAAGTGAACCAGACTGGCTAATATTGGAAAGTAAATGGGGAAATTTGTCCCCATTGGAAAGTAGAAAATTATATCCTTTCAAGGCACTTTGAATAATATAATATAGGGAGAATCTGTCACTCCTATTCAGCAAAGACGTAAAAGAATATTCCAAGGGTGAGGCTGAGGTTACGTGCACAGGCATTCCGCCGTTTCAATAGTACCGAACGTTGTGAAAAAGCTGTACGTCCAACTCCCTGTCCCCCCCTATCTCGTTATTCAACGTCCGGCGTGTGGATTGGGCCACACTACAGTATTACTTCCGGCGGCAAGGTCGGGGCCAGCGCTAAACCCGCTGTGAGAAAAGGGTGGCGGTGGCCCGAATGCGTTAGGTAAATAAACTATTTTACTAATTAGTATTAGGCCACTAACTTAACTTATAGAGATTTCTACTATCATGAGGGGGTTCTTGAACCCTGCAAAATCTCTGGGCCTCATACAGGGGAGAATATCTCAAATATTTAAGAGATGGTTTCTGAATTATGTGTCTTTTGGAGTAGAACCAGAATTCTTTATGTCAAAATCTGGGCGTACGACAGTCCCACATGGACGTGTAATTAACGAAGAAATAAATCTCTGATTCCGATAAATCTGGGAATGCCCGACAATTTAGAGGGCTCACTAACTAGTAAATGACTAATACATAATAGGAAATATTGGTGAGGGGTAAAATCCCTGTATGTGATCTGTAGGAATTCCAATTCTTGACACTTTACAACAAATTCACTTCTATAGATGTGATAGCTATATTCGCTGTCTAGCTCATATCCTACACTTGATTGTTAAATATATTCTACGATCATTGAAATCCGGTACTATTTTAGAACCTAATGCGATCTATGATAATCTACGATCATCATTAAGCTCTCTATCGATCTCATCTCAATTAGCATTTTGTAAACTCCAGATTTTTGCTATTTAGATTTCTCGTAGTCCTCAACGAAGGCAAGAGTAGAATTTGATCTATGATACAGTGAAGCTTGATAAGTGCGATGATATCGTCGAGACTGACTATCATGAACACCTCTACAGGCAGTGAGAGCCAGTTCGGCAGCGAATGTCTCAGCCCCCCCCCCAAAAAATAACAAAACAAAACAATATCCTGAGAAATAGCAACTCGTATCTAATAACCATAGCTTGGACTTACATCGGATGGTGACCACATATCTCCTGATACACTGCAACTACCACCAATGCTGTCCTGAACCTTTTGAGAGACAAATTGTGTGAACTTCCCCGTGTGTCCATCAGGCGATGTATAAACATAGTTCGCGCATGAACAAGGGTCATCAGCATGATAGTACCCCCCGACGCCCTCGCTATTATTGATATCACTCATCACTTGATCAACGCCAGGGATGTAAACCAAGTCCTGAACAACGCAGACAGGTACACCATAAAGACCAGGCTGATTGATAGCCACATTGCTGAACGTACTTTTCGCGGCTGAGATCCCCCCGGTGGCTAAGGTGTCGGTGAAGTTTTGGTCCAGGAATGTGAAGTTGAACCCATGCGTCTCTTGACCCCAGATTGCGGACGACATGATGTCCCATCCAGTGATGTTTGTGCCATTATAGCTTAGTGGTGTCATCCACGACTCTGACGCCGAACCCTCACTGCTGGGTCGGGTGAAGACAGACATGCCGGGCTCCCCATCTGGGCCGAACGTGATGTCACACGCAGCATAATATTTCCAACTGGGGTCATTGGTCCAGTGATCTTCGCAAATCGTCTGGTTGAAGCCCCATGTCTTATTATTATACGGAGTATCATCGCCATATGGTATGAACAAAATATAGGCGTCGTTGTCCTCAAGAGCTTTGGTGATGAACTCGGCGATCATTAGTTCCTGATACCAATTGGTGACACTCGCCCCGAAGCCGTCATCGTTGAAGGCCTGTACAACATCCGAGCTAACCCAAGAGCCGCCTGCGAGAATTTTGCTGATGCCATTTTGGCCCATTTCGTTGGTTTTAAGCAGAACGTCCAAGCCGGTCATCATTTGGCTGAGCTGGTTTGCGGCGCCGACTTGCCAGCCCGAGCTCTGATCAAACTCCGTATCCGTATCTGAGGGGTTTTCCAGCTCGCTGGCTACATTGCCGGTAAGCCCAAACGCATTTGATCCCACGATAGTTCCCGCGACGAGGAAACCCAACCACTCCGCTTCTGGTCCAAGGATTGTTTGGAAAGCAACAACAGCAGCGATGAGGAGCCCGATAACAGAGGAAACAACGCTCATGATCTTGTTCCAGGTCTCTGTTGCTGCAGGCTGCCAGAAGTCTTTGGTGATTGCGGTAATCTCATCGCCTATAGTATCCTTAACATTGGACACTGCCAGATATAATTCGTGGACAAAACTGACGAACTGGACGACGGCAGTAGTCATAATAACTCCTCTGACTTCGTCGTATCCAGCGTTGGTACTGCACTCTGCCTGTATAGGTGGTTCGCATTCGAAAGTACCGGTTATGTCGCATTTTTTGCCGTTCGCGTCCATTGTAGGTTCAAAGTCCGCCTGAGCCTGGTTCACCAAGGTTTGAAAGTTGTTGATATCATTTTTGGCTAAGTACGACTTGACAAACGCGTCCACTTGATAGGCTTCCCATTGCTGAGGGTCAGGATTGAATTTCGTGTTGGTGCAGTTCATTGCAATCGGTAAACCGCATGGCGGTACGCCCACGACGTCTAGAGGGTACGCCTTGTTACCGCCAATTTTTTGACCAGCTGTATCAGCAAGAAGCAGACCCGAAATCATCAGTGAGGGTTGCATGTCGGCCGTGACGTTCATATACCAACTGCCATCCGATCGCTGGATCATCTTCCCACTGTAATCCTGGTTACCGGTAATGCCTGTACATGCACTGCCCTGGCATTGGGCTTTCATGTCGGTTAACTTAGCACTGTCTCCAGTAGAGATGTTCCAAATGGAACCTTCTGTGCCCCAGCCAGTACCTCCGGTCACGATATTGATCCATCCTGTAGGGACAGCCATTTTTGTTTTGTACTCGTAGTTGTCCGATTTGCAGATACTTGGCGGAGCTCCCACCGTGAACTGGGTAGCCAAGCCATAGGTCGGTGTAGCACTTGAGGTTGGGGTAGGAGTAGCTGTAGACAGGAATGAGGACAGTGTTAGTTCCATGGACGGTGTATTGTTTGTTGAGGTCTACCTTTGATTGGTCTTGAGACAGTGTCCTTCTTTTGGTGATGGGGGACAGCGTTTGCTGTAATGACTGCTCTTGGGTCAGAATTTTGTTGGTTTTTGACTGGATGAGAAGTTAAGGTGTACGAACTGTGAATGGCCAGGCCAAGCCAAAAGAGACGGCGCATCTTGTATGAAAGGAGGCAGATTACGGAGAAGAATCGAGAATAACTCGTGTATTTGTGTTGTAACAAGATATAGAACCAACGCATCAGCGCAAGGAAATTCTGCTCTTTATATACACATTGTATACACAGCACAGACTCAGCCTTGCAAGCATGCTAACAGCTGACCGGGCGCAAGATATGCACGAAGGCTAGTAGCGAAATTGGTCAATTTCGCTACGGAGCCTATTGAAATCGTCTCTACGGAGTACTAGTCGACTTAGTCTAGGCGAAGTATGTCCGTATAGAGCCAAGGTTGATTTGTGCCCTGCTGCTGCCCCCAACCATATGTAGGTTCCTAGCCAATAGTAAGCCTTCTTAGAATTAGTCTAAGTTTAGATCCAGGGACGCTGTAAACTAACTCCGCACTCCGTGAAAAGTACAAAGCTGAAGAATCTGTCGACAGGGATTATAAAAGTTATATGATCTAAATAACCTGAATCATCTACTAGGTATAACTATCTAGCACTGGTTCCCATTATTAAAAATCCATTTTGTATTTCAACTGGTGTGATTTCCTCTATAGAAAGATGCACGGAAGTTGATAGCCAAATTGACCGGTTTCGCTATGGAGCCTCTGAGACCATTATCCCCATGTGGGCCCCAATCCTTGTGGGGTCTACACCAACAGCCTGATGAAGTTTCTCGTCCCTATGGAGCCTCTGAAACCATTATCCCCATGGGGGCCCCAATCCTGTGGGGTCTACACCAACAGCCTGATGGAAGTTGCTCGTCTCTATGGAGCCTCTGAAACCAATATCTCCATGGGGGCCCCAATCCTTGTGGGGTCTACACCATCAGCCTGATGAAAGTTGCTCGTCTCTACGGAGAACTACTGTAGCAGATTTGATCTAGGCGAAGTATGTCCGTATAGAGCCAAGGTTGGTTGGCGCTCTGCCGCTGCCTTCAAACATATGTGGGTTCCTATCCAACATTAGGTCTTCTCGGATTTGGTCCGGATCTGGATCCGGGGCTGTTGTGAGCTTCAAGAAGTGGGCTGGTTCACTATCTAAACTATTCCCATCGGAATGATTTTCTCATCCCCCACTTCTATAGCATTTTTGCCACCCACCACAGTGCCTAGAAATCCTGGCAAAACCTAAAATCGCATCTGGGACGCCTTAGAATCCTTCTCTGATTGTGGCAAGTCAAAAATTGCGGCCTTCGCGCAGGAATTTCGGGGTTCCTACCAGCAGCTTCTCGGACGCGTTCATAGTCGCAAATCTTACTCCAATGCCCTAACAACTGCCTAGATAAACCCTATGAGCACGTATTAGTTGACTAGTTAGCTAGATAGGCCAACTCAGTAATGGCATGCTCCGCTAACCCCGGAGGAAATTGAGGTCTACGCAAATAATATATCGCACGATGGTTCAGATCGACGCGTCAGCAAAACCTGAGCCTACAACAGTACAGCAATATTCGACATCAGATTGCCCCATATTCTTTGAGTAATTGTTTTCTAAACTCCGACTTGAAACAACCTAGTCTATATATGAGTTAGTACTATAGCCTCGCTGACAAAATAAAGCTTATATTTTACTGTGTATACGACTGATAGGACCTATTGTGAAGGATGAATCCTACAGGGCGCACACAGGACTTTTACATCGAAATATTATTGTGTAGTAGTCTATTATTAGTTAGTGGCGATAAATTGTTGGGCATCCCCAGATCGATTTTAATCAGAGATTTATTCCTTCGTGATTTGTACTTCCACGGTGGATCCACGTATATCTAGAATCTGACAAGTAATAGTAAGGACAAAGGGAGCAGTTTAGGGAAGAGAATTTTAGTTACTCCATGGGGGAGGAACATGGTGACTAGGAAACAATTCAGGAACATAGAAATCGGAGGGATTAGGCGGCAGATCAAGGATTTTGGCCCCCAGAGTTGGGATGAAGAATTCAAGGACTAACCCCCGTGGGGTAAGACTTTGGGTTGCAGTTGTTTCAGATTTGGGGCCGGCTGATTTAATGATGACACAAAGTGTCACGGTAGATAGCCAGACACGGATGGGTCTTAAGACTTCCCCTTCATTCATTCATTATCATTAATTGATAACTAATATTACGGCGTGTTCGCGTGCTGCAGCTCTAGTAGCATAAAAGACATCCACCTGTCAGTCTCCATTCGTAAATGCAGAAGAATTTTAGCTCACCAAAGATTCGATTCGCATTAGAACCCAGACCTAGCAATAGGCAAGGAATGGTACTTCTGAGCCATTATCCTCGGCTACTCTTCTCTCTTGGACAAACAACTACATTTCTTCTGCCTATCTCCTTCCTCGTTCCCTGACAGTCGGACTCCCAGCTGCTGGAGCTTGCAACACAAACCCAATATGCCTCCAGCCATCTTGCGAAGCAGCCCAGAGCTCAAGATAGTTCTGGAAAATGGGACTACCTACATGAGCGGCGAGACAATCTGTGGTCATGTGCTCCGAAAGTCCCCCTCTGTGGACCCGGATACCTCTATTTTCGTTCGTCTCCACGGGCGGACCGAGGTGAAAATCTCTAGTGGGGGCATGACACAACAAATGATTCGCAGTTGTTTCAACTTCTTCGATGGCTCTAGCGAAGCCCTTCAGATACATCAGGGCCCTATCCACATCCCGCCCAATAGTTCCGAGTACGGGAGATGGCCGTTTGCCATTATACTCCCTAAACACCCTAACCTAGCGTCTTTGAAAAGGAATAACGAAGATGAAAAGAGTTTTTTACCTCTTAGTGACGTCTCATCGCAAGGACTGCCTCCGACCTTTTGGGTGAAGGACCGGAAAGGTGGTCGACATACCGAAGGATTTGTGGAGTATTACCTAGAAGCGACGATGTGTTGCAGCAGCAAGCAAAAGGATCCGTTTGGCAAGAAAAAGCATAAAGAATTCCAGGCTATTCAACCACTCTATGTGCAATCGAACTCGTCGCCAATTCCTAACGCCCTGAACACCAAGCATCGTTCTGAGTTTAGGCTAGACTTTAGACCTTCTATCGGCCAAACAATGAAGAAGATGCTTGGTTCATCCCAAAGTCCAGGCTATTCGTTCTCTCTCAAGTGGGACTTTGCCACTGACCTACAGATCGGAAGCCCCACTACTATTCCTTTGCGGTTGCAAGCAAACACAATTTGGAAGGATACAAGTGAAGTCCGACAAACAATGCCGCCAACGATTCTAGTCAAGCAGTTCACTCTGGCCCTGATATCGACAGTGCACTGCAATTGCAAGCAGTTAAAGTTTCATCCTGACGGAATACGGGCAAACTCCTCGCTCATCTTAGCGGAATATACTTGGTCTAAAGCCAATGGAACACCGCCGAAGGCTCAATCGCATGCACCTCCGGGCGCAGATATGCTCATTGTACCTCAGAATAGTACATCTGTTATCGACCTAGGTAGTGCTCTAGGGATACGGACACCCACGAGCTCTAGAGGGGCGGAGATATACCCGACATTCACGACATACAATATTAAGAATGAACATCATATTGAGTGGGAGCTGACACTCACAGCTGCCGGAGAAGTTGCTAAGTGTGGAGGATATCAACCAGTTACTGTGATAGGGCCAAGCTCCAACTTGTGAGGACATTATGCACCTAGGGGCATATAGCCGGGTTTCATGCCTGAGGCACGATAGCACTGGGCATATCATCTATCAACTAAAATGCCGGTAATATAGCCAGCATTTTTCTATATTGTCATGATTGGCTCTGACATAGTTATTGCTGTTCTTTTTCGCATCGTCGCTGCCCGGCCTTAGGTTGTGTTCAGCCTTCTCTCGTGCTGTGGCCTAGCTTGTTTATTCCACTAATAGATATTATACAATATCGTCCTTGAGATTGGCAAGCTGCCAGATTCTGACAAATGCTGGTCGTCTTATCTGCGAACCCATTATTGCCGCGCCATGAGGGCAGCCTAACATCAAAAACGGCAACTAGGCCACGACAGGCCTCACCAGGCAAGGCTCAAAGTGCACCACTCAGAAAGTTTGAAGGTTTGGAGCAATCACCGTTGAACACAAAAGCATGTGTTTACACTGTAGCTGTAGCCTGGATATCACTTCGGCAGTTGAGACTCGGCATTGAGGTACTGTACTATATTATTACCAGGTTTATTTTTGGCGTAATCGTATCTGACCTAGCGCGTTTTGACACAGGGTTCCCGACATATTGGAAGCCAATTTTGAACCTGAGTGTATCTTAGCGTATTTATCTCTGTAGGTTCACCGGAGTACTATTTAGTGCCTTATCTCCTAGTACAGGATTAGGGGGCCTCAAGCCGCCCAAACGATGGTTGGACGCCTATTTGTACCCTTAGGCTGCACAATTTAGGATCAAAGAATTCTGGTGCCTCGTCTTACTGGTCGCTATATAAACCCTTCTTATCTCTACAAACAACCGGCATGGGCATTGGTATCAGCACTTTTCACCAGTCGCAATCTATATATGTCAACAAAATACCACAATGTTACCAACTAAGCATTCGATGCGTCCTATCTCAAATTCTGACCTGCCCACACTCGCAGACTTCCTCCACACCTCAAAACTAGCTCTGACCGTGAACCGCCTTATATTTAAGTATTGGCCGAACAATGCCACCCAGCTACAGCTCTACACTGAAGCCGTCGAATCCGGGTTTTCCGATCCGTCAATGGAATGCTTGAAAGTGGTTGACGATGAAACGGGAGATATCGTCGGCTACCTTGCCCTCTCTCGGAAACAGGGGGGAAAAGAAGAAGAAAAGCCAGCTGTCTCAGAAGGAGATCCAGAGCCAAGCGTACCAGACGGACTCAATCCACATGTTTTCAAGGCGGTCATGAATGCAGTGTCAGGAATCACTAAGCAGTTTGAGGGGGTCGACCGTTTCGGTAATGCGTATTGTCCCGGAAAATGAGCTATGCTAACTTCTAGTAGAGGTGACATACATCTGTGTCAAACCTAGGAGTCGCAGACATGGGATTGGATCGGAGTTGGTTAGAAAGTGTTTTGATAGGGCGAAAGCTGAGAACCTACCGCTTGTCGTCTGTGCGGAGCCAGAGGCACACCCTTTTTTCAAGGCGGTTGGATTCGAAGATACAAAGCATGCCGATATAGATCTCAGCCAGTGGGCACCGCCATATAGCGGCTTCGGGACGTTCAGACTGACAAGCATGATCTGGTCGCCCTGAAAACCAAGTTGCAAGCAGACGTAAATTTATTGCAATCACAGAAGCTCAAATACACTGATCTGGGACACGGGCATCATTTGTTGTACATGTTACGTTGTATTTTTCTCATAGTGGAATAGAACCCCGACTATAGCTGGAGATGACTCACTTGACCAGCATTAAATCCACGATCAGCAAACCGACTTCACCACAACCAATGAGCGCTTAGTGTAGCGCAAAATTCTTCCTCGAAGCTTGGAAGAGTCAACTTTGTAATACAGTCCAATCATCCCTTGGATCTGCCTCTTCCCTCAATTTTCATTCCGGGCGAATGACCTGAGTTCACCGGTATCCATTCAACCCTTCGCCATGGGCCAAATCGACACCTCTCAGAATAATGCAATCGCCGAAAGCGCTCAGATCCAAGAGAAACCAACCAATGCTGAGATAAATGCGACAATCCCTCTTTCAGATATAGAAGATGGAAAAGCCAACCCTCCCCAGCACGAAGCGCCTGAAATTGTCACCTTCAAAAACAACGACCCCGACAACCCACTGAACTGGCCCAGAGCCAGAAAATGGTCCATTACCATTGTGGTCTCCCTCTCTGTGTTTCTCATGCCGTTTTCGTCGGCCATTGTCGCCCCCGAACTAAACACGATCAGAAAAGAGCTTGACATGAAAAGCTCTCTCGAGTCGGTGTTAGTGCTTTCAACTTTCGTATTAACTTACTGTCTCGGCCCTCTTCTTCTCGGTCCATTGAGCGAACTCTTTGGGAGAGTCGCTGTTTTGCATTCTGGTAATACCTTCTATCTCATCTTTAACCTTGTGTGTGGATTCGCCCGTAATAAAGGCGAGCTGCTTGCTTTTCGACTCTTGAGTGGGTTTGGCGGAGCTGCTGGGCTAGTAGTGAGTTCGATCTATCCTACACCCCTTGGCCTCGCGGACCTGACCTGATCTTTCGGGGGCAGGTCGGTGCAGGTATTATCAGCGACTGCTTCGCAAAAGAAGAACGCGGGTGGGTGATTGCAATCTACAACATCGGACCTCTCGTCGGACCCTCCCTCGGCGCTGTGATCGGAGGCTTCATCACCGAATACACAACCTGGCGCTGGGCCTTCTGGGCAACCTCGATATTCAACGGGGCATTGGTGATACTGGGTTTAATCGTCATGAAAGAAACATACCCGCCAGTAATTCTAGCTCGTCGGAAGAAGAACATGGCCACGACGACAGGCAAGACAACATTGACAACGCCATACGAATCTCCCGATAAAACCCTCAGCCAGCTCTATCGCACTTCTCTCCTCCGCCCACTCCAACTCCTGAGAATGCAGCCCATCGTCCAGATCCTGGCCCTCTTCTACGCCTACCTGTACGGGCTAATGTACCTAGTGCTCTCGACGTTCGCCACGCTATGGGAAGACAGATACCACGAAGCCGTCGGCACCGGAAGTCTCAACTATTTCGCGCTGGGATGTGGATACCTCGTCGGGTCACAGATTTGCGGCTTCTTCGCGGACCCCATTTACAAGGCGTTGCAAACGAAGAATGACGGGGTGGGCAAGCCCGAGTTCCGCGTCGTGCTGATGTTCCCCGCTTCGGTCTGCGTGCCCGTCGGATTGCTCTGGTATGGATGGGGCGCGCAAGCCGTCACGCATTGGATCGTGCCCGATCTGGGCATTGCGCTCTTTGCTGCCGGCGCGATGATTTCCTTTCAGTGCACCACGGCCTATCTATACGAGGCCTTTACGTTGTACGCGGCAAGTGCGACTGGTGCGGTGTATATACTGCGCGCTTTGACTGGTTTTGGGTTTCCCCTGTTCGGGCCAAGGATGTATGACGCCCTTCAGTATGGATGGGGCGATACGGTGCTGGCGCTGGTGGGGGTGGTGATGGGACTGCCGGCGCCGATGATTCTCTGGTATTATGGTGAATGGCTGCGAGCTCGTAGTAGCTATGCGACTGGGTGAAATACGACCGAAAGGTCTGGAAAATGAAACAATCGACACATCCATACATAGAACATCAAGTTCCGAGGCACAAGTGCGACTCCACTTGTGGGTCTTACACAATATCCGGGGAGCCGATGATTGCCCAGCCTCTTTTCTATTCTTTCCTTTCTTTGTTTCTTTCTTTCTTACTTTCACATAGCCCTTGTTAAAAAGAAACAGAATGTCAGACAACTACGGGAGCTATCAGACAGAAATCTATGGCAAAGGTGCGCTGATGGGCCTCCTGCCCAATGTGACCACCGACCCCCGCCTACTGGAGGAACAAGCACGGAAGTCGCTGGGCGTGCGATCATTCAACTATGTCTCCGGGGGCGCAGGCGAAAAAGCCACGATGGATAGTAACCGGCTAGCATTCCGGCAGTGGAAACTGTGAGTTGCGCACTGCACACTAACTATGACATTTGCACTGGTCTGACTCTGGCTTCTAGCATTCCCAAGATGATGCGAAAGGTCAGTGCACAAGAACAGAACTGCGATGATGCACTATAGCTGATAGTCCCACCAGATGGAAAACCAGGATGTGTCAATTGAGCTGTTCGGCCAGAAATACGATAACCCACTCATCATGGCACCGGTCGGCGTCCAGAGCCTCTTCCACGAAGACAAGGAGACCGGTCTTGCCGAGGCATGCGCCGAAGTCGGCGTGCCGTATACCCTGAGCACAGCGAGCACCAGCTCGATTGAAGACGTCGCGTCCGCCAGCGGCGACGGCAAAAGATGGTACCAGCTATACTGGCCACAGGACAATGCGATTACGGCGTCGCTGCTAAAGCGCGCCAAGGAGAACGGCTACTCGGTCCTGGTGGTTACGCTGGATACATGGTCGCTGGCATGGCGTCCCGCGGATCTGGATAATGCGTATATTCCATTCATCAAGGGCGTGGGGAACCAAGTCGGATTCAGCGATCCGGTCTTCCGCGCGAAATTTGAAAAGGAGTCCGGCACGACGGTTGAGGATGATATCGTGGGTGCGTCGCGGGCGTGGCTGGCGGATGTGTTCTCGGGTCGGGCCCACACTTGGGAGGACCTCGCCTTTTTGCGCGAGCAGTGGGATGGCCCAATTGTGCTGAAGGGGATCCAGCATGTGGATGATGCGAAAAAGGCTCTGGAGTGCGGTTGTGATGGCATTGTGGTGTCAAATCATGGAGGTATCCACATCCCTCATCTACCATACAAGCGGACGATCCACTAACTGAGCCTAGGCCGCCAGGTGGACGGAGCTATTGGCTCGCTGGAAGCGTTGCCCGAAATTGTTGACGCGGTCGGCGATAAGATGACCGTGTTATTCGACTCGGGCATTCGCACTGGTGTGGATATCATCAAGGCCTTGTGTCTGGGGGCCCAGGCAGTGCTGGTCGCCCGGCCGGTCATCTACGGGCTGAGCATTGATGGCAGGAACGGTGCGAAGCAGGTGTTGAAGGGCCTGCTTGCGGATCTGTGGCAGAGCATGAGTCTGTCGGGGATCCAGAATGTTGCTGAATGCGACCGGAGCAAGATTCGCAAGGTGATGTATGGGGGCGACGTGAAGGCGATGATGTGATGGGTTGTATTCTGCTATTAGCCATCCTATATCGTCCTCGTACTCCTATACGACCCATGCCGACCACCATCATCCTCCTACTGGTGCCTAAAATATTCATCTTCATCCTCCGATACAATCACATGTGAAGACGATAAGCCGTGTAGTGTCATTATTATTGGCGGGTAGGTACCGATCGTCGATCAGGAACTTGACTGACTGACGCCACTCGACCTTATTAGCATCGTTGGCTGCTATGGTTGTTGTTTTCTATCTCAACACCTATGGATCACCATGTTGCTCAAAGACCCCAACCCTGATGAGGGCGACAGCGCCAGCCATGTGCCCGCAACATCCGGCGCCACGTTGCTGCCACGCCCTGTAGCCTCGCTCATCTCGCTGCTGACGCAATCGACATCGCTCTCGCTGCGCCTAGGGACATTTGTCGGTGGTTTCGCGTTAGACAGCGCGCGCACGACCACGCTGACAGGCCTGGAGTTGAGCCGAGCGGTCATCGAGAACATCCTGACTAGGGCTGGGCGTGACGTAGCCGCGCGCTGCGGCGATGAGCATGGCCGCGCCGAGGCGGAATCGCTTCTGGAACGTAGTGTAAGTGTCGTTTTGATTTTGGTTGGCACTTCGTCACATTGCGCTCGCTGCTAACGATTACATACAAAGCTGGCGACACTCCACGCGACCGTTACCTCGGCATCGTTCTTCGCCGCGGCGACCTTCCACTTCTCGTCGACCACATTGTCTTCCGTCGTCAATTTCTCACAGGCGTTGCTGTCGACTCTCGACGCCATTCTCGGGTCCACAGAGTCGTCCAGGGCTATCGCAGCCATTATCACGGTCATCCGGCGCGAGTTTAGGTCCGTCGAATCCGGCGTCAGTGCTGAGAAGATTGGGGTGAGTGATCTCTTGATCGGCACCATTGGTTTTGCACTCTTGCAGCGCTGGGGCAAGAAGAATACAGAGCGATATCTCCACGAGAATGGCGGAGATGAGATCATTTGGGATGTCGTCATTCTGGACAACGGCGCACGAGCCGATGTCGTGGGGACACACCAGGTGCAGCTCGGAGAGACGAGGGAGGACGAATTGCCTCCGGAGCCCTCCAGCGCCGCTTCATTCGTTATGCCAGGGAAAGGCGATGGGGGCTTTGATGCCGTGCACCGTCGGGCCAGTATGGCAGAGAGTATTGGCGGGTCGCGTCTATCATTCCCCTTGGACGGCCAACAGCCAGCATCGGATGAGGACATCCGCGCATACGTGATGAGCCAGCTTCCTGCTGGATGCCATGCCTCTGTGCGGTCCGAAGCGCTGACTGCGCGAACTATCACTGTGGATATTTTCGACGACGACATGGCGGAGATCGCCGCGCCGCCTGGGACCACCATGATCGAGGAGAGGTTCCATCATGATAATGGGTATGCCAACACCAATACACCGGAGTACCAGCGGCTTCCGAAACACACAATGGTCTTCCGGACGGCATTTAATCGATCCCAAAGTACGGAGCTACACCCATACGATGCCTACCCACCCGAGTCTGAGCCTGGTCCGCAAACACTTCCCCCGGGAAACCAGCGCACAATGACACAGCCTCATCTTGCGGTATCAAACGGAACACCACATGGGATGCGCAACCAAGTTTCCCCCGAAGCAGCACCAATGAATGCCAAATCTGCCAGGAGCTCATTCACCAAATTCGCACAAAGGGTCAAACCAGCAGAGAAGAACGAGGTTCCCAAACGGCCGCCACCATTGAAAAAACCGCCCAAAGCCTCCGAATCCTCTCGGGCCACCAGCTCCCGCCAAACTGCGCGGCCTGTCAAGGGCGCCGGCGCGGTGAAAGAAGCCACTGCACGCGAGCAGGGCGCCAGACCCGACCCTCGTCGACCATCTACACCAGCGCCCAATCGAGGTATCCCCAGGTCACCGCTGCCTCATCCCTCTCCGAGGCAGTCTCAGTCTCCACAACAGACCAAACACGCTCCGTCACGAGATGCGCATCACCGCGGTAATATCAGACCCAATTACTACGCTATGCGGGAGCGAAGCCAAGAGTCGCTGGTCACTCAGACAGACACGTACTCACGCCGGACGACAGATCGACGTCCCGGCTCGCCTGCCACGACCCGAAAGCACGTTCGCAGCAGCAGCTCCATGTCCGTGACGCGGTCTGAGGCAGACACCACCGTCTCCCCGACAGACTATCGACCCAGCTCATCGGCGCTGCACCACAGATCGCACTCCTACACGCCTAGCATGTACTCCCTAGCAACGGCTGGATCCGAAACATCGCTGGTACTTGCACATCGGCCGCGCAAGAGCGCCTACGAGGATATGGAGACCATCCACGCACTCCATCGCGACGGCTATGTGCCCGGCATTTTTCCTGAACGGCATTTTGTGCAGAATATCCGCCGTTTCTGTCGCTTTTCGTCGGCTTCATATGGGTCGAATGCATTGAAGGTTATGGGTGTCCCGAAGGGCAGCACTAAGAGCCTACCACCTCCCCCACCTGGACCTTCATCATCCGAGCCATCAGATACCCACGAGCACAGCGCTTTCTCAGATCATGCCGGCCTCCCCCCATCGACAATCCTGCTATCATCCTTCGTCGATCCCGCTGGCGGCTCCAACGCAGCCGGCGAAACAGAAACAGGCTTCCCACTCGTCCACTACCTCTGCATAGACCACGACTCAAAAGCCGTGGTGCTAACGCTGCGCGGCACATGGGGGTTCGAGGACATCCTCACAGACATGACATGCGACTACGACGAGCTAGACTGGCAAGGCAAGACCTGGAAAGTGCACAAGGGCATGCACGCCTCCGCGCGCCGACTGCTTGACGGCGGCGGTGCGCGCGTTATGATCACCCTCCGTGCCGCGCTCGAGGAGTTTCCGACCTACGGCGTCGTGCTATGCGGGCACTCACTCGGCGGCGGTGTTGCTGCGCTCCTGGCTACCATGATCTCCAAGCCTAGCACCGCTATTGGCGGGACGTCGTTCGTCACGGCTTCGTACGAAGCTGCGCGCGGACCGCCGCTCTTAGCACCCGACGACTCTCCCACCTCGTCGTCGAATGCGAACGCCCCAGCCTGCTCCCTCCCCCCAACCGCCCAATCCACGTCTACGCCTACGGCCCACCAGCCGTGATGTCCCCTTTCCTCCGCCTCGCAACACGCGGCTTAATAACAACAGTGGTAAACGGCGCCGACGCCGTCCCCAGTCTCTCTCTAGGAATCGTGCACGACATGCACAGCGCGGCAATGGCCTTCAAAAGCGACAACGCGTCCGGCGCACGCACGCACGTGAGCCAACGGCTGCGCGAAAGTCTGCGCCAAAGCATCGTCCACAAATTCTACGTCAACCAGCCGCCGCTAGTTGTTAATGCCGGCGACGGGGTTGGCGAGGATGCGTGGGCGTGGAAGACGCTGCGGTTACTGCGTGACCAGATGTCTGCGCCGAAACTCGTTCCCCCCGGGGAGGTCTTTGTTGTGCAGACCATGCGTGTTCTTCAGCGAGATGCTTTCGTGGCGAACTCCTCCTCTTCGGAGATCGGGGTATCCGATGCGTATCCGCGTCTGGGGCGCCCGGCGACGAGGGTGCAGTTACGGTTTGTCCGCGATGTCGAGGCTTGGTTTGGTGAGTTACGCTTTGCGGCGGGGATGCTGAGTGACCATAACCCGGCGAGGTATGAGACTAGTCTGGCGGCGGTGTCGAGGGGGGTCATTGATGAGTGATGTCAGTCAGGCTTTGGGGGAAATTTCTCAATAGAGAATGGACTTCTCTATTTGCTTTTGGTATGGATATAAGGCGTACTACGGGGATACAATGCAGGCAAAGAACACAGAGGGTTGGTTGGGCAAGATATATATATTTCCGGATTTCATGTTAGATATTCACTTAATTCACCGCTACACTAGTTACGAACGAGACACGCAAGCTACAGACGATAGAATATGAACGAATGGAACGAATGATAGAGTAAATATTTCATTGATTTATAGTTATAGTTATAGGTCATGGGTGATTCATGTAAATGGTATGGTATGGCACAGTAGGAAGTCTTCCGTCCCATCATCCATCTCTATCCAAACAAAACAAAACCGACACCGGATCCAGGGTATCATATCACACAACCAAGACAAAAACGCCGTCCGTCCATCCAGACAGACAGATACACAGTACACATCAAAATCAATCAAACAACAAGAGTCTGCGCCACAGAAGCAGCAACCGAAACAGGTCTCCCAGAATGGCACCCGCGCTCATGACGCTTCATATTAGAGCGGACACTGAACGACTTCCCGCATCCTGCATGCGTGCACTGGAAGGGCTTCTCGCCGGTGTGCGAGTGGGAGTGGATGCGCAGCGAGGAAGGGCGCGAGAATGCCTTGTGGCATGTGCGGCAGATGTAGCGGTCGTGGGTCTGTTGGTAGGGCGCGCTGCTGGAGGGGGGAAGTAGTGGTGGTGTTGCCAGGCTGGTGTGCCGGGGGAGATGATGGTAGTGGTAGCAGATGAGTTGGAGGATGGGGGCGGTTGAGAAAGAGGCATTGCCATTGACATTTGCCTTGACATTGCCGGCGCCGGGCCAGTGGTGACGACGGGCTGGAAGGTTGCTGTTGCCGGGGGACGCGGGTAATACATTCCCGCGCCTTGGGGCGGGCCATCAACGGGCGACGTATACGACGAGACACTGGGTGCAGGCGAGGCATATGCACCCGCAGCAGTGGCGGCGTGGTGCGTCGACGAGGCCTGGCTGGAGATAGAGGAGCGCTCTGAGGGGGGTTGGCGGTGCTGCGAGTCCTGCTTCATGTTCAGGGCTGGATCGCCAGGCGAGTGGCTGTGGCTCCTGGTGCCGGAGCCAGGCCGCATTGGCGGCGTTGGGGGCAGGCAGACGTCATAGGACTGCGAGCGGCCGAGACGGGCTGCTTGAGTTGGGGGGCTGAGGCGTTGACGCTCTGGATGGGAGTTAGAATGTGGATTGGATTAGGGCTTTTTGGTTTGGGGGAGTACGAACTGGCAGCGTGCTGGCCATCTGCGTTCTCGAGCAGAGTCGAGATGGACGGGAGAGAGCACTTGGGTTGTTGCTGCTGTTGCTCGTCGACAGGCGGAGACATTGGGGGCTGTTGAGGGGGCGACCGCTTCTGTGCGGTGGTAGTGGGAGGAAAGTAGCTCCCCGTTGGAGTGTAGGACGAGGCAGGTGTGTAGGCCGGTGTGACCAGAGCCGCCGGGTTCGGGGCCGAGAGTAGGTTTGCAAGATCCATTATCGTGATAAGGATGGTATTGCTGGGTTGGGGGACAAGAGAGGCAAAAATCGAGAGATGAGACGGAAAAACGGGCGAGACACGAGGTTTATACTACTTGGGTACTAAGGACTATGGGGGGCCGGCGATCGATATGTGTGTGGGTGGGTGGGTGCCACCTTCCGGGGAGAATAATAGAATATTAATGGGCTGGATGATCGCCAGAGCCGAGGATTGCGGGCGATGCCGACTGTAATTACGCCGTACACGGTATGAGACAGTCCGTTCGAAAGCTTAAAATGAAATGATGTCGGAGATTAAGCCGGTGGATCGCTGCCCACGCGAGGTTGGCTTAGTGCAGATCGGTGGGAAGACATGGTAAAGGAGAGACAGGGAAACAAAGTGGGTAGGGGGCCTATGGGCATCGAATAGTGACCTGGGACCAAAGGGGAACCCAAAATTATTAAAACACGAAACAGGAAGGTCAATCATCGCGCTAACCATAAATGGCAGCATGTCCGCCTGGGGGGCGGATGACGGGGTGGCGGAACAGGGCGAGACCACGTTGGGCGATCCATGGATGGGTTCGCTTAGGAGGCACAAATAAAGTATGGGTGCGTGTGCAGGTGTGCCTAGGTAGGGGGAGGCGGTTTTGTAGTAGAGCAGAGAATATGGCAGGGGAGAGATGGTACGCCGAGAGGAGCAGTACCTAGTGGGGAGTCGTCCGAGGATGAATATCTCGCCTATTCAAGAAGGTCCCTTAACTATTCAAGAAGGTCGCGATGCTCCGATCGTAGATCAGACCCTGCTCCTGAAGATCTCCCCTTCAGGCTGAAATCACGGATCCGCCGATCATTCGCAACCGTTGGCACTTGTCTCGATTGATCCTCCGGCTCCGTGCACCAACTTTACATAAGAAACAGACTGCCGGGTCTGGCTCTGGCTCGTACTGGCTCGGCTAATGACCGCGGGACCACGATCTACCTCATGGACCACCGGTTTGAGCGTTCCAGAACGCGCCGATCGGGGTCAGGTCATCCGGGATGCCGTCATTGGTGAACGTACTTGTCAATGTGTAACCCGGCAAATATGTTTCCCGCCCTCCCTGGCTGGAGGATCCGCACTAAGTTCAATTTCGGCCAATGGTCCGCCGTCCCACCAACCCCCGGGCTCGGGTTCGCGTGGCTGTCCTGTCTGCCACGCGAGGTGTCGTTTTTCACCCCCTATTTTACGGTTTTCTTTTTTTGGTTTTGTATCACATGTGGATCATCCCTTGCGTCACAGGTTGACGAACACATGGCACTTGCATATTAATAGACGTCCTTCAAAATCTCTCTCTACCAACACACCGTTATTCCCACGATATAGATAGATCACATCCCCCACGCCCTCCCCTCGTGCAACGCCTCTCGATTTTATCGGCGACTAGACAAGACATAAATCCTTCTGTCCGGTTGGAGGCGTCAGGGGATGCACCGCACTTGGCCATAGCTCCCATGATCGGCCGCTACGCTAAGCGACGACCGTTTTGGCAGTTGCCCCGATGCCGTTCTCCGTGGTGCCTCAGGCAAACGACTGACATCTCAGCCCCATCCCGACCCAACCCAGCCCAGCCTCGTTCTAGACTTCTGATTATATTATGTTGGTCATCTTTGGCTTATTGATTTTTTTCTACAATATGGCGTGCCATCAGCGAAGGTTTCAATGTAACACATCGTCATTTCATCCCCTAAAACCTAAGTTAAATAAATGGGGATCTAACTCAAACCCTCTCTTCTCTGAGCAGTACAGTCTACCCATCCCATGCCGGAGGCAAACCCAATACCAAAACAAGGCAGCTCCGATCCTAGCAGATCTAGGATTCTCGCGTCCAGCGTGCCGGGAACCACCAACAAGTGGGGCGGTTGGCCGCCGTCCTCGGTAGAGTCCGATGGCCTTAACTCCGCGCAGAGAGGGCATGGTGAAACACGACCTGTTCGTCAGTCAACACTCCTGACTCGAGGCCAGTCGATCAGGCGCCGGGATGCAACCGAACGCGCCTTGCCAGCCTGGGTATAAACCCCGTGTAATGATCGGCCTGGTGCGTATGGCGATTGGTCTATCTGCGCGGGCGTCTGCGGAGGGCGTTGGCGCCTTACCGCGTTAGGGAGGTACTTGGGATTTTGGCTTCGAGGCTTTATGGCTTTGGCGAAGAGGCTGTTTCAGTGTCTATTATTTGGGCAGGGTCCTGCCTTTTTCGTCTGGACAGGACAAAGTTTCGATATAGTTACAGAGTAGGCCGTAGACTCGTCTCGACGCCTCGCTCTTGAAGAACTTCTAAAGCAGCCACCGGACTTCTTCTCCGACTTAGACTTTTTTTGGCCTTTTTCATTTTGGCTTTGCTGTGTTTGTTGTGTTTATAGAGCAGAGCAAATCCCGAAAGGCAAAACAGATGGGTATGGTATCCCGGTCACCCCCAAGTCCAAATGTGACCAGGATCGCAGCGCATGCGTTTCAGGCCTCGTTTTTTATTTGTTTTTCCCTGCGTGCATCCGTAGTCACAACACACATCTATAGCCGCCCACTACGTACGACTATTGCCCCAATTGGTCAAGGCCCCATGTTCCTCCTAGGCGTCCAGTCATCTTGGCGCGGCGTATCGTGCTTCGTATCGTGGCTGCGGACCCTCCCAGGATAATGGCCTGCAGGCATCGTGCATGGTGCATTGCAGTAGGAGGATGTATGATGGTGGTGGAGGGGGCCGGGAGAGGAGGATCTGATCCTGGGCAATTGATGTACAGTACATACAGTTTGGCCATGCCCACTTGCCGAAGCGAAGGGGGATGGGATGGAGGGATATGCGGTTTTGGACTGCAGACGCAAACCCATCAGATGGATCACGTAGATCGCTTCGACGATCTTCTCCAGGCGCAGCAGGTAGCAGAGGCACGGTGCTGTTGATAGATGGATGCGCTGGGCAATACGTTATGTCCCCGGACAGTAGTAAGAACGTGATCATCATTGATGTCCATGTTCCTGTTTTCTGTTCCGGAAGCCAACTATTACTCCTGTCCCTGGCAATAGTATCGGACGTGGCACCCTTTAGTGGACACTAATGGCAGATCCTTGAAGATCCGAATGAACATCACTCACATCACGGGGCAAGGTTAGGTTTGCGTGCGGCAATGGTTTTTTTTTCTTTTTCAGCGGACATTAACGAGAGTCTGTATACTACTCCTAGAGCAGCAGCCATCCAGCCTCCATGGCCCTGCGCTGGGGTTGCATCCATCCGTCACTAATAATATTCTAGCGTGGCTGCGGCCCTGCCTCCTCCAGTACAGCACACAGATCAGGTCAGGCTGACTGTGCCAGCGAACAACATAACAAGGTTGTCACCTGGTCGTCCAGATCTGAATATGTGCATGTATGGACCATACATACCATTCGAGGCCCCGAGATCGAGCGAAGCGACGCGCCGTGCGACGCTGAGATCGGAACAGGACACAAAGTAGCTGCTGTGCCACATAGTTACACCACGATGATGAGGTGCTTAAGACTTCGCTTGTGTCACTCACTAGCACTAGTCGTACGGTAGTCGGCCCCATCAGACACGAACCAGCCGTTAGATACAAAAATATGTACAGTATGACTAGAACGAGGGTCTGTGCTGATTGAATACTGCTGGGGGTTGGGGGAGGAGGGCACAAAGCACAAATCCACACCGTCGGAGCCCCTATCCCTGTAAGGTAGAGCTCTAGAGGCTCCCGCACCGCATTGGATGCACATCACCGGACCGCTCATGCTCATTTGTTTTGAATTGAAACTTTTCGCGCCGTGGTCGTCACTCCTTAACTCCGCCCGCTTATGCCAGCAAGGAAGGCCCCCCGTTCCTTAACTCCCCGGGTTGGGTGATCTGCACCGCTTAGGCGCGGAGTCAGCGGAGTCAATCAATCAATTTCGGACCCCCACACCCGCTGGGGACTAGGACTCCAAAGGATGAAAGGAACAGGGGCCAGCGAGAGTTAATTCGGCGTCAATCAGGGAATAATACAGCGCTCGCTGGAGTAGGCAGGGCAGAACGAGGTAGGGCAGGGGTATAGCAGAATTGAGCCAGCCATGATCACCGGTCCGCGCGTCCGTCCACAGCGGCATAGGGCCTGGGTTCACCCCCGGTGGCCGGGATCGAGGCAATCTTCCCAGCCACTACCACTGGTTCAACGTTCTTGCTTTCTTGCTTATGCTCATGCGTCATATTCGTGAGGGCGAATGTCGCAAGAAGGGGAGGAGAAGAGGGGGCGGTGAATTAATTCAGCGTAAGACGGAGCATCGTTGCTGCGAAGTAGACTTTGAGCTACGTACATCCTACACCCACTGTACATCCATAGGATGCATCCACATCAAATCCACATCAACCCCGGCCAGGCCAAAGTGTAACAGTATCCTCCGCCAAACATGCGGCCGTGCCATGGCGTTGTTGCCACTGCCTTTCCCTTTGCCATGGCGTTCGGTTCGCTCAGCTGAATGGCGGGCAGGGACATGATGATGCGCAGCTGGAATCGTAGAATATCAGTCCAATCAGTCGCCCAGCTCGGCACCCCCAACGCCGAAGAGCGATGAGGCGCAGTGTCGATCAGCCAGGGAAGGGGCAGGACAGCGCATCCATTTACTCGAGTGCATCAGGGTTCTGCAAATGCATAGTAACAATCATAAGACTGTGTCCGGTACTGCTACGGAGTATACGGTAATCGTCCACAATGCCAGTAGTTGCTGCCTTCGGCGATACTTCAACTTGCCGAGCCCAACGAATAGAGTTGTCATTAGCGAGCCTCTCTATAATTGGCTCAGCAAAACTTCCGATGTGTGATCTGCGGCGGAAACGCCCGGCCCTGCGATCTGCGTGCCAGCCACAGCCCAATCGCACGAGGATCTGCCCCCTATTTCGTCGTCTCGTCCGATCCGAGCAGGGATGTGCATCCTTCGATCACAGCGAACTTTCTAGTCGGCAGACTTCAGCAAGGGAGTGCCCCAGGCCCCCTGTCCCCTCCAGCACATGGAGTTGACTGCTCTTTTCCATCTTTACCTTTGGTCCGGCGATAATGCGGTCTGGTCACACACTTCTCTCCATATGTAAGAAAGATCTGCTCCCGACTTAGCTTACGACGGCCGTGCGTCTGACCAGGTGGGCAGAGAGAGGGCCGTGGGGGCGCAGAATAATACCCCGTCGGGCAGGAGACAAGTATGCGGCTCAGTAGTAGAGAGTAAGTGTCGCTGAGCAGTACGAGTAGAATCGTAAACATTTCCAATTATCCTCCTAGGAATCATATTAAACAAGAATAAAAAGGAAATTCTATTCAGGCATAGACATCCACTCGGCTACTGCTGGCGATGGCCTGGCCGGTGCCGGTGCTTTGTCCGCTCTTCTCCCTAATCGCCTTCATATTCCGGATCGCCAGCTTGAAGTCGAGCTGGGCGTAGTCCGTCGGCATGTGCTCACCACTGTAGATGCAAAGCACCCTCATGCCGGGCTTGTAGGCCAGTCCAGTAAGTAATTTCGGTGTGATGAGGAAGTACTGGCCCCCTCCGCTGCCATCCTCGGACTCGGAGTCGCAGGCGATATCGACCAAGCGACCATGTACCATACGCTCATTCCGTGGGTCCATTCCTTGGTTGATCTCATCGACAACGCGGAACGGTGATGCGGAAAGTGACTGCAACGCCATGAGATAGAAGATCGTACTCACGGCTCGCTCACCACCGGACTGCCGGTGGGAGTTTAGGAGCGAGAGGTTCTCTTGGTTGCGGAACTTGACATGGATTTGAATTGACCACTGGTCAAAATCGTGGCCTCCGGGCTCGCCATTCGGACCGGGCTCTGCTTGTACCTTGTCCAAACTGACCTGGCCGGCACATCCAATGCGCGCGAAGGAATCCGCGAACGCATCGCTGATCTTTTGGATAAGCGCATCCAGTCTGGGCTCCCAGTTGCGTCGAATCTCGGCGATGGCAGTGTCGATTTCAGACAATTTGGTCTGGAATTGGCTGAGCTTGTCGTGCAATTTCGCGATCTGCTTTTCACGCTCCTCGAATTCCCGGATCGTGTTGCTGTCTCCTCCATGGGTGAGTTCGAGGCGCGCCTTTTCAGAATCGATATCTGCGTTGAGCCGGTTCAAGTCGTGATCGCCAAGGCTGGCGAGCACAGCCTCTGCGTCAGGTTGTTCTCCGGCGGTGCGATAGACAGCCTTCGCCTTTTTATGGAGCTCTCGTCTCCTTACAGCCATGTCGTTGACCTCGTTAATTATGTTCCTCAATTGAGCTTTCTTTTCTCCAAGAATCGCAGTACTATCACTCTGGCGTTGTCGCAGGGTCGCAATATCAGACGTCGCTTCGATATGCAGGATCTCAATTTTGATGAGTTCCTCATGGGCTTCTTGAAGTTCTTGAACGGTATCCTGTTTGCAAGTCAGAGAAAGATCTCAATAGCCTCATATTCAGTATACCTACCGCATATTCGAGAGTTGCCTCGGCTTTCTCGATAGAGATCTCATCTTGTCGGTTGCGAATGTTGAGCACTCTTTGCCGAACTTCTTGGAAGAGTTCCTGCAGACCGTTCAATTTGGTCTCCTGTTGATCTAGAAGCTGTTAGAAAAACAAGCAAGTCAGCAGGGCTATGTCAGGACATACTGATCTTCTCAGGGATAGCTCGATGCTGTGTATGTGCCGTCTGCTTCTCAGCCTTCTCGGCTTCAATCTCTTCCTGTTAATTAATGGTTAGTGATGTGCTCAATTTCAAGGCCAAGGTCGCGCGCGCATACCTTCTCTCGCTCGTTCTGTTCGTAGCTGGCCTTGACCTCCGCCAAAACCGCTCTCTCGCGTTCCAGTGTAGCTTTGGCTTCCTGTAGTTCGCTATTCCACATACTGATATTCTGCTGGTGCCCGCGTCGGACTGAGTCATCGACAGGCTGCGAAGTCCAAGCTTGCGCAGGTTTGATTTGACGAACACGAGTCGATGTTGCGTCCGGACCATACTCCCGTCGTCGAGTGATTTGATAGCTGCGCCTCCCAGCTACCCAAGAACTGAGGCTTCCCTTCTCCAATCGGGCAAATTCCTCGTCCGAGATGTCCCGGAGAGATATGGGGGTCTGGTGCATTCGATTTTCACTGCAGAACAGAGCCAAAACAGGCTCGGGGCCGCTGAGGTAGTCTTTGGCCCACCCATCAAAACCGAGTTGATGCAGTTCATCGTCTGAGAACGGAGATTGGAATGAAGACAATTCTATCGAGCAGGTTTTGATACTGAAGTCATGGAGTCCCAAGTCTCTGGTCAGTGCTTGCTGCAGAGTGCGGAAATCCTGACGGCACTGCACTGTGAAAACTGTGAAATCGGCCCGTTGAAACAAAGATTCCATTGCATCGGCGTATTTGGGATCTTTGACAGAGCAAGTAACAAGTGGCGGGCCAAAGACCTCTTTTTCGAACTTGTCTTGGTTTCTGAGGATCCACTGATAAGCTTTGTGGGAGTCGGATGAGAGTTTCTCGAGCTTTGCTTCCTGTCGTCCTGAAACAGAATTCAAATTGTCCAGTTGTCGCTGAGCATCCCGAATGTTCCCTTCAAGTCCCGATATCTTTTCCATGATAGGGGCTCGTTTGTCCTTGATTTCCCGAGCCCGTGTTTCGAGATCTCGGCCCTGGAGTCGTTTTTCCTTCTGTGACCATTGTCAGAGTATTGTTATACCTTTACACACAGGGCACAACTTACCAGCTTCTCGTTGTAGTAATCCACATCAAACTCCACAGCTTCTTCTTCCAGCTGACGTCGCAATTTATTGATGGTCTGCTGCGTAGTGGTCGCTTCAGCTTTGTGCTTTTGGCTGCTTTTCCTTTCGGCCTCAATCTGTCCGTTCAGGTCCTTGATAGAGTCCCGAAGTTCATCGATTTTGTCTGAGCCAGCCTTGGCAGCCCGAGAAAGACTTGAAACAGTCTCCCGTTGGTGTTTCTTGACTTCGCCCAGCTGTTCAGAATAGGTCTCCTTTGCCGTGATGGCCCTCATGGCAGGCTCAAGCTCTCTGTTAAGTTGGTCGTACTCCGCTGAGAGCTCTTCTTTTCTTGCTGTCACTTCCGCTTGAGCTTTGTGATGATCCTTATACACCAGGACCGGACGCAAGAATTCGAGGATCTCGATCTTCCTCTGGATTTCCGTTCGCTGGCGCATTCTCTCGACGTCTGCTCGCTGCATCTCCTGTCGGTTCTCGAGGTTTGTCAACACATCCTTATCGGCTCGATGGTCCATGTCGAGACGTTTCTGCTCGACTCTCAATTTCTTCAAGGCATCGTGCCACTGGATCATCTCCGGGCCCGCCGCAGCTCTCTGCGTAGAATGCAGAAGCTCGACCGGCGTGAGAGCAGCAAACTCGGCGACTTTGTCTTGTGGGAGAAACTGGCACAGGTTGTCGACCTGGATGGAGAATTTTTGCGCAACCTTCAGCACGTCTGCTTTAGAGACCGGCCGCTTATTTATTGTAAACGTGCTTTTGTTGCCATCGCGCTTGATGTTTCGGGTGATCACAACGTTCTGGCGAAATAGCGGCGGTCCTGCTAGTTCGATTTCGATGGTTGCTTCTCGGCAACCATGTTTGACAAATTCCCCCGTTTCTTTGGCTCGTCCCAGATGCTAAAAGAGTGTGAGTGAGTGGCAGAGTTGAGATTCAAGTGTCACATACCGTCGGGCCCCATCCGAGACCTAAACAGATCGCACAAACAAGTGTACTTTTACCCGTTCCATTCGGTCCGATAACCATGTTCAATTTCGGTCCAGGAAAGAATTCCGCCGAGGTGTACGTGACGAAGTCGGTCACCTTGATCCGCACGATCGCGCCGGGCTTGTAGCCGCCTGGACCAAGCACATTTTGAGTACTCGGTGGTTGCGAGAGCCGTAAATCAGGGGCCTGTTGGGTATCTGTATCGTCATCCGCTTCGTCTGCGGAGCTCGAGTCATCGTCGTGGGTGGTGGAGTCAAGGCGAGGGCGTTTGGTGCTGGAGGTTTGGGAGGGGTCTGAAGACGTGGATGAGTCGCTCTCCTCATCGTCTTCATCCCGTCGGCGGCGGTGAGGAACTATGCTGGCCGATGACATCGTGGCTGGTGCCCTCGCGCAGGCCCAGGACGCTGATCATGGGCTGGCAGGGTGGTTACTTGGAGTGTTGGTGTTGGTGACCAAGATAATTCGAAGGACGCGAAAGAACGCGACGCGGGGCCACGGTAAAGGAAGGCGGTGAGAGCTGGTTTCTTAGTGCCTATCGCTAGCAGAGCACCTTCGGAGAACCACGATTCGCTCAATACAATGCCCTCGCCTCAAAATGTTCGCAAGCTGGTGCTGACGGCGGCCGTTACCTCTATTACCATCGCAGGTTCTCTGTATGGGGCAAGTGTAAAGACAGATCAAGAGGTGTCCGAGGTACGATCACTTCCTCCATGGGCCAGCTATCTGTGTCCACCATGACAGCCTAATGTCGACGTCTATGCTGATGAATTCTGCTCTACAGGCCAAACGGAAACGCCAGGAAGCCACATTCGACGAGCAGATGGCAGCTCTGCAAAACATGCGGTCCAATCTCACAGCCCGGAAAGGAATGATGGAGACACAGATACGAGACTTGGATGCGAGGATGCAGGAGAAGCAACAAAAAGGAATTGGTGGCGAGAACAAAAACAGGCCACACGAGGGCCGATGAGATCAGTCGGAGGTGGTACAAGCACGAATTCTACTCGATTTATGATCCGACAAGGACACTACGGTCCCGCTGGTCCACTGTTGTGCGCTCGCCGCTGTCAGAGCTCGCACAGCACACCAGACGAGAAGCGTTTAAACATTCAAGAAAACTGGATCGCCTTTTGCCCGCTCACGGTATATTGCGTCCGCAGCTGGAGCTATCATCCACGTGCCTGCCCTGCTCCGAAGCATCCGGGTACTTCGCTTTACGGTGGTGGGAATGACTGACTACAACCCCTACAATATCACGCCAAATGAGACTTCAGGGCGACGTAAATAATTCTTCAAATCTGTGCATCACAAGATCACTTGTATGCTTTTGATTTTATCCTCCCACCAAATCGCAAATATGTATCCGTGGATATATATATATTTATGTATATACTGCCGTTATATCATATAACGTCTTCACAAAGTACCAAAAATGCAAGAAACGTGGCAAGACCGCTTATGCTCAGGCGTCAAGGTTGAGATTCTCCAAAAGCGTGTCCAACTTGCCCATCAAAATCTCGTAGTTCATCGCATCTTCATCAAATTCGTCCTCAACGAGTGCACCATCCAAGGTCCGGATCTCTGGAACATGGACGTGTTGTTTTTGAGAGGTTGTCTCTGTCGCAACGGCCGCATCTGTCTTCTTGGACACATCGAGAGACTCAACTCCACCGGTGATCTTCTCCATATCCTGTGCGTCTGCGACATTCTCCGGGACCGCTCCGTCCTCCATCATCTCTTCAATGCCTGCATCATCAAAGCGCAGTCTGAAGCGTTCATTGAGATAAAAGCGGATATCATCCAGTAACTCAATCGAGTCTGTTTCTTGTCGCGCTTGAATCCGAGACGCGGATTCCTGTATCAAGTCTGCAAACTCGGGCGAGTCGATGTGCGCTTCCAATCGATAGGCCAGGTACCGAGCGCCAAATTCCTCCAGTCGCTGGACCCGCGTCAGCCAGGCAGCCCGGATGATCGAATATATATCAATCTCATCATCTTCCTTTCCACGGGTCCTCGCTGCGTTGACTTGTGACATGCCGCCGCTTCCCAGAGTGCTGATGACCACGGCGGCCTTTGCTTTCAGTTTCTCGATGAACAGCATATCAGCCGCGAACAATACTTCCACTGCAACATCCAAGGGGAAGTCGGCCTTTTCGGTATACAGGAAGGTCAGGATGATTTCTAAAACTTCGGGCGAACAATCGACATCAATGATGTTCAGATGGTCCTTCATATGGGCCTCCCGGAATGAAGATGAGAACATGACTTGGAAGAACTCGGATCGAAGTAGCATGGCACGGTGGCAAGGAAACAAAGTTGAAGTCCCTACCTCGGCTGCTCTGGAACCGGGTGTGAAGGATGCAGGGCCGATGGGAAGTGAGCCAGGCTGCATGACCGTTGCGTCGTTTGGATCATCCTCCGTCTCATCTGGTAATTCATCGGCGCGAAGGAGAACATCTGCGAAGATCGCATTGTTCCGATCCCATTTCACCTCATTTGCCTTCGAGGTCTCCACAACCACTCTGTTTCCAAGGACATTCTCCCGGAACCACTCTTCCAGTTGGTCTCGTCCCTTGGCAAGCTCCGTAGTCCTCCGTTGTCTCGCCAGTCTGCGATCTCCGCTATCGAGGATACTGTCCACGAGACTACGGATCTCCAGATACTTGGCTATCTTGTCGACGCCAGCAAAAACCTCCGTTTCGGTATATCCGGTTCCGGGCCCACTTCTCAATTCCCGAGGGGGATCTCCAAAGTACAGGTATTTCATCGCGGCGCCAAATGCTTCTGGCGGGATGCTGGCCGGGAGCTTCCATGTCGCTGTCGCAGGCGCACCTGCTAATTTGCCGCGGAAGTATGGGGAGCGTGCTGCGAGAACGAACTTGTGTAAGTAAAGAGATTCGTCACCGGCCGTGACGACGATGTCAGCCGTCACAGGAGATTCCCGCGTAAGCAGAGACGTTATATGGGCAGCCAGCGGTTGCAGCGGATCTGTGGATTTGGAATAGTCATATGCGAGAAGCAGATTTCGTATCCGGTCGTTGAGGGCGTTATATAAACATCTGGCAGGAAAATAAGACAGTTAGTAGGAGGCACGGTTTGGAGTGAAAAGACATACCGTTCACCTTGAAACGTATCTCGCTCGCATAATGAGCCGGACTCGAGCAGTAGTTGCGCCACTTCATAGTGCCCGCACAAACTAGCCTGTTGACCGCCACGTTAATTGCAACGTTATTTTCGTCCTAACGCATTCCACTGACCAGAATCAACGGTGTATAGTCGTATGGATCCCGGGCGTTGACATTGACCCCCTCGGTGATCTTCTCCTGGCAGACTTTCAGATCGCCCTTCCGGCAAGCACTGCAGAGTTCACGAAAAGGCTCACTGAGGTCCAGTGGGTTATCATCCTTGATCGTCCCCTCTTTAATCAACTTCTTTTCATTGTGTAAGCTGAGTTCCAGCTGGTCCTTGCGCAGAACACTCCGCTCGGCCATGGTGAGGATGTGGATGTATGGGTCTGAAGAACGATAACTAACGGATTACAGAGCAATGCGGGACGAGCGGCCTTATCGATAAGACATCACGTGCTAGAGAAGCAAGGGTGGCGACCATTACTGCGTGGGATGTACAAGGGAAATGATGGATACGATCTGAGTATAGGAGAGATGAAGGTAGGAAAAAGCATCAATGACTACTACTGACGGAGAGGAAAATCCAGAGCGATCCCCAGTGTACATCGTCTACTGCCATTGTGTTGGAGGCGACCGCCTTCCCGGGCCGGGCAAGCGCCATACCTGTTGGTTGCTCAGCAACGGCACGGGTGCCATAAACATTCAACGCCAGAGAACGAGCTCCAACCATACCACAAACCACCTTCTTCTCTTCTCAATTCACTTCTCTACTAACCTCCACAGGGCCTTTGGACCACACCACCTCGTCCATGCCATAACTGCCCTCATCTCTCTTCCCTTCCGTCCTCTTTACACGTCTGTTGACAGCAATCTACAGCCACCATGGCGATTGCTTTGGCTGAAGCGGACAAGTATGACATCTTGGAGAAGATTGGTACGTCTCAATGGTTTTGAGTGGTGGTTTCAAACACTAACTCCCCTCTAGGATGTGGCTCCTTCGGCATCATTCGCAAAGTCAAGCGGAAATCCGATGGATTCGTATGTACTCGCCGACAATGGTGACAATATGTTCAATCATCTAACTCGATGCCTAGATATTATGCCGCAAGGAGATCAACTACATCAAAATGTCCCAGAAGGAACGGGAACAGCTCACGGCCGAGTTCAACATCCTGAGCTCCCTTCGACACCCCAACATCGTCGCATACTACCACCGGGAACACCTCAAGGCCAGTCAGGATCTGTACCTGTACATGGAATACTGTGGTGGGGGAGACCTGGGAATGGTTATCAAGAACCTGAAGAAGACAAACAAGTACGCCGAGGAGGAATTCGTCTGGCGTATTCTCTCCCAGCTCGTCACGGCCCTGTTCCGGTGCCACTATGGTGCCGACCCGGCCGATGTGGGATCAAACATCCTTGGGCCCGCCTCCAAGCCTGCTGGACTCAAGGGCAAGCAGGGCCAGGTGACGATCCTGCACCGCGACCTCAAGCCCGAGAATATCTTCCTGGGCAGCGATAGCACGGTCAAGCTGGGCGACTTTGGGCTGTCTAAACAGATGCAATCACACGACTTCGCGTCAACGTACGTGGGCACGCCATTCTACATGTCGCCGGAGATCTGTGCCGCCGAGAAATACACCCTACGTTCTGACATTTGGGCGGTCGGTTGTATCATGTATGAGCTGTGCCAGAAGGAGCCGCCATTCAATGCCCGGACACACATCCAACTCGTCCAAAAGATCCGCGACGGGAAATTTGATCCCCTTCCTGAAATCTACTCGCCGGAGCTCAAGAACGTTATAGGAAGCTGTCTGCGGGTTAACCCAGACCATCGTCCTGACACTGCTGCTCTGATCAATCTCCCCATAATCCGTCTAATGCGCAAAGAGAAAGAGGTGGTTGATCTTGGAAAGACCCTACGCAAGCGCGAGGAAGTGGCTGTCCAGAAAGTCCGGGAGATGGAACAAAACCTCGCCAAAATGGAGAAGGAGAAGCAGCAGCTCAAGGCCGACATCGAGAACACTGTCCGCCGAGAATGGGAGGTCAAGGCCCGGCTGGAGATCGACCGGCAAGTACAGGACGAACTGGACCGACTCCGAAAGAAGTTTGAGTCTGAGGTTCAAGAGCGAGTCGCAATTGAGGTAGAGAAACACAAGAGCAACGGCAATGCCCCTCCCCCTGTACGAGACGATAGCTTCCGCACGAGCAGACAAGGCTGGCGATCATCTCGAAGCAGTGGTCAAGGCTCCCGGTCCTCTAGCAGCATGACCGAAGAGTCGGATGCCCCGTCGAGCATCGACCTCAGCCAGGTCTCCCTCGAGTCGCCCACTTCACAGACCAGGAAACCCCCAAAGCGGGAGGCACGCACACCATTCTGCCGGTCGAAGACGGTGGTCGAGTCACCGATGGATGTCCAGATGGGCGAGCCCTCTCCCATCTCCATCGCTTCGCTTTCCCTATCACCGCGTCGCACCTCTGCTGCCGGAGGCGGCCGCAACATCTTCGCCGAGGGCGAGCAAAAGAAAGCCAAATGGGAGCCCACACTGGCGTATTCCGACGACGAAGATGACACACCCGATCTACCCTCGCCCACACGGCCCAAGGTGAAGCCTGACCCCTTCAAAGCGCCTCCACGCCCCCTCCTGCGCCAAAACACCGCGACCTTCATGCAGAAACTGAGCACCCAGCCACCTCTCTTCCCATCGAACGGCTCTCGTCTTCCTCAAGTGTCGCCTTCCGGCCCCGCTCCCCCTTCGCAGCCGGAATCCCGAAACGCCGCGAGCGAGAGCAGGGGCAGGTCGCCTCATCGGCGCCTCTCCAAGATCCCATCCTCTTCCAACCTGGCTGCCGACGCCGGATCTGGGTCTCCCACTCGCAGGAGCGCCTCGAAGCCTTCTTCCAAGACAGCAACCGGCGGAGGTGAGGAGATGTTCAAGGCTGTCATGCAGCGGAACATGGGGGGTCGCACTCTCGTGGAACTCGCACAGGCACGAGCCGGGGGTCGTCCAGTGGATGATTTCAAGCGCTGTGCCAGCGACTCTAAAGCTACTGGCTCCTGCTCGAGTTTGAAATCATTAGACCGTGAACCACCTGCTGTCTGGGATCCCGAGCGCGACGAGATGCCCAGCCCCTTCCTGGCTCGCGGGAAGAAGGTCATTCGCAATCTGCGGTGATTTGATTGCTTCCATTTCCCCGCCTCTCTCTCTCTCTCTCTCTCTCTCTTTTGCGTCTTATGATTTTGGTCTCTAATTTTTAATCTTGGTCTCACCCCGGAGTTGATCTCGGTGTCTCGGTGCTAATCCTCCGTCTTTCCTCATCTTCGGTTCTTGCGCATACCTCTTTCCCCATCCTCGTCTTCCATGTTTCACGGTCTCAATTGGAATTCCCCTGGGCTCTTACTTTGCCTTCCTTGTTTGTTGCCCTTCTGGGTGGATACCTTTGCCGCCAGCAAGGAGCACGGAGTTCATCATTATTTTCGCGCTGGTTACAATCTTTGCATTCCCCCACCCTCTCAGCCACTACTCGACCTCTTCAATTGTGTTTTCCTCTGTGAGCCCCCGTGGATATTCAGCTGTACATGTTGTCGCTGTTATTGCATCAGGTCTGATATGCCGGTGATCACTCACCCTTCCAAGAGAGCAGGCAGGCAAGGCACAGATAGATATTGGTGTCTTGGGTGCATTTGGCCGCTGTATCTCTGTCCTTCGTTTGATGGCCCTTTTCTCGGCTTTGATTATCTTTTTCCGTCTAGCTCATTTGGTGTTTGCGGTTGAGCGGTATGGCGTTTTGGAGTCGTCGTCATCGTTGTTGTTGGTGTACATATCAGAATTTCATGGAACTCTTCAGTGTCCAGTTGAGTCTCTTCTATCGTACGGTAGGCAGTATGGGGTACGTGTACGGGTAAGAAAGACTTGACTTTCTAGTCAAGATGATCGATCTTTCTCTCATTCATTTGCCCGCACATCAAGTGAGTGAGTAACCAATATAAATACCATATAATACAAGTCCATTCCCCTCCAGGTCAAGCATCCTCATCCTCCACCTCTTCAATCTGCACCGTCTTCAACTCCCGATTAAACCGCCTCTCCTCCTCCTCCATCCGTCTCTGCTCCTCATCACTGATGATCTCCGCGGGCTGCTGTTGTTGTACTTGCCCTTGTTGACTCGTACCAGGCTGTCCAGGTCCAGCTGTATACCCCGCCATCTCCAATTTATCCATCTCCTCCGGCTCAAGCAGCTTCCCCGTTCCCCGGACCGAATCCTGCTTCCGCCGCACAGCCGCCGGCACGAACCTGTTGGTCGCTTCCTGTCGCAAATCACGGATCTCGGGCTTCGCCTCGTAGACGGTCTTGTGTTCCACAGCTGTTGGGCGTGATGGTAGGGGGTGTGGTCCGTGGCGATTGGCCTCGGTATCTGCACCTGCATCTGCACCTGTTCCTCTTCCTTGCCGGTAGCTGCGCGGAATAGGTGGCGGCGTATCTCGAGGCATGGGGATTCGCCGCACGTCCTCGTCCGTCTCACTGCTTTCCGACTCGGGCTGGAACCGTCCCGTCTCTGAGCCTCGCCGCCGCTTGCCCAGAACTGCCCCATCCCCGCCTCGCCCATAACCATCCTGGTTATGGTGGTGATGCTGAGCAAACTTCGGCGCCTTCTCTCCCAGCGCCTCGCGTGCTTTAAGAACAGCCCGGAGATCGCGCTCTAGCGCCTCAAGGACCTCCTTGTCGCGCGGGCGCAGTTGCTGCCCATTCTCCTCGGCAGATTTGAGATCGTTGATCTGCCGCTGGATGCGGTCTGGGTTGCGGCGCGCAAGCTTCTCGTTCCGTCGGGCTTGTGCTTCGGCTTTGCCTTTCTTGAGGCTTTTTTGTTTCTCCTGCTTGCGCTGCGCTGCGGCGGGGTTGAGCGCGCGGTCTTTGTCTTTGGCCATTCTGGTGGATGTGTGCGGTTGATGTGGAGATTGATTGGGATTATTCGGTCGGGCTTGTTACGGGTAGGATTGGCGCAGATGACTGGCTGGACGGATGTGGTTTTTTTGGGGGAGGGTCGGTGATTGATCGTGGTCTTTTTCGTTGGTCGAGAAAGGCCGGCGGGAATGAGGTCAGATGGATGGTGCTGCCGCTCTAGCTGCAGGTCACACTAGGCGGGCGGAGGGAGGGCTCGGGCGCGTATTCGTCGGTCGAGGGCTGCAAGTCGGCGTTCCTTCAGCCTCACGGGTTAGGCAGGAGAGAGGGGCATCAGTGAGTTCCAAGTGGGTGGCGCCGAAAGAATGAGGGAAGAAGCTAAGGCGGAGAGCGGGAGGGCATTCCATGGTTCTGGCAACAGACTAAGTAGGGCTGAGCACATCGTAGGGACTATAGGACGATCGGGAGTGGGAGGATATCGGGCGTGATGCTTCACTGACGAGCTTAGCGTTCCCTCGGACGACAAGATATATCCTGACCGGAATATCGCACAGACTAGACCACCCGTCATCCAAGTCCCCGGACAAACACCGCGGGTCTCACAGGTGTTGCTTGTTTCTCCCCTCTCGGTGTCCGAGGTATCCCAGCGCGGTGTGCACTGTCCTTCTTCACACTGCCTGTCACTGGAATCTCCGACGAGCCGCCGCCGCATCTCACCTTCTCCTCTTCTTCTTCTCTTCCTTTCCTTCTCTCTTTCTCACACCCCTTCTTTCCTCCCCCCACCAGCTACAGCCACACCCTCCCTTCCTCCTTCCTGACTTATTCCACCATGACCTGCGGTCCGTTCGGCCTCCCATCCAGTTTGATCGGCGCTTCGTAGACTGTCGCGGTCGGAGCATGTCTCTGCCGGGACCAAATGTCCGTCTCAGCCTCGATCCCCGACACATCGCTTGGCCTCACCTCCTCCGAGATCCAGATCCTTCGCCAGCAGCAGCAGATCGCCCTCCAGGGCCATGCCAGCAATGGGATCTCCAGGGGCCGAGGTACCGGGAGAACCAGCAACTCCAGCTCGCGGGCTACCAGCGCCGCCAGCAGCCAGGGCCGGCTGCTCCTGGATCCCATGAGTCTTCGCGCGCTGTCGCACCAGTTGGATGGCTTGCAAGCGCAGATCCGTGGCCGTATCGAATATGTATGTTGCGTGAGATCTTGCGTCAGCGCACCCATTTAACCTTCATACAGCTCGAGGACCAAATGCAGCTCTCCATCCAGAACACCTACGACCGCGCGGGAAATGTCATCCGCAATGCTGACGCCGAGATCGCTCGCACCCGCTCCATCCTCGCCTCGATCGATGAATTGGATAACGAGCTGGCGAAGATCTCCCACATTCGCGACATCGTTAAGGGCTTCCGCGGCCGCATCGAGAGCCTGGATCATCGCCTCGACCACACCTCGCGTCGCCGACATTAACGTTACCCTTCATCCTAATCGTCCTCGAAATACCTACTCGACCTCTCAACCTCCCTCCTCCTGCTCTCTCTCGCATCCTCCCTCGCTGGCTACGGGATAGTCATGCTTAATCCGAACAAGAAACCCGCAAAATCTATATATACCCATATCGTCCTCGCGGACAGTAACCGAGATTTTATTTTCTGCGTATTCGCGCAATGGAAAAGAGTGGAACATGTATGTGCCTCGCGGCATCTGTACTCAAGTGCGGCCTTTTCCGGTTGATGGGCGCTGGAGTTCTCCATGGACATTCGTTTTGCTATCTGCAAATATCTTTTTTTCGTTGGGCCCGGATGAGATATCACAGCGTTTAAACATGATTCTCTTGCTGTGTTGTTTTCTGGTTTCTGCAAATTCCGATTCCCCTCTCTGCGTGACCATTCTCTTCCTCTTCGTGTACATTGATTGAACCAGGCTGTGTGGTTGGCCTTGCGCGGTGTGACTTGCCCACGGCGGGTGTGCTGATCACAGCCCTTCCGGTCTTATATTTCCACACCGTAATTTGGAAGAGTACTTGACTCGTCTAAAACTTTCTCGGCTTGGGACTTTTGTCTGTATTTTCCGATTCGTAGACAGCCTAGATCTGACAGCCCGAGATGCACGGGGGAGGCATGGCTGAGGCCATCATGGCCGCATCACTGCGCATACGTAGCCCAGGCAAAGGATACCCAGGTCTCACTTAATAAGTTTCAGGTCCGGCTGATTGGTTTGTCGACTTCAACTGGTGGCATCGCTTCCTTCCGCCGCTCAATCAGCTTCTTGGCTCGCTTGTCGGTCTGAGGAAACCGTTTCTCAGTCTTGCAGACCAGACACCGCACAACCAGTACATCCGCCCAGGGCTTCTTGCCGCCTCGGCTGGCATTTTGCACTTCACGCGAGCAGTTTAACCCGGGAACCAGAAGCGTATCGCAGCGCTTGCAGAATGACCGCTTCACTTCGATGGGGAGTCGAGTTTGCGTTTTCAAGGACACCCCGCGCATCTGGGAGAGATATACCCTCGACAGATTGGTCATCGGCTGACTGTCGCGCGGTGCAGGCGTCGAGTCGGTGTCTTCTACACCGCGGGTGCCTGCATCTTGTGAGGCAGAGGCTTGGAAATGGGCCGCGGCCTGCTGCAGATATGCCAGGCGGGCCTTGATGTGGCTGTTGACATTTTTGGGCTCTTTCTTGCCTTTGGCCATTGGAGTGTGCTGGGCATGCAACAATAATAACGAAGAATAATGTGTCGGTCGGCGCTAACCGAAAACGGTGCGGCTGAGTGTGACTAATCGTATCACATGACCGGCGCCGCCCATCTCTTCATCCCTCGCCGCCTGCCCCAACCTGCCATCTCTCCCTCTTCTCTTGTCCCTCTCCATCTCCCTTGATTCCCCGCCAACCCACAGGGAGCGCTTTCTTTCTCTCCCAATTCCTCCCGCTCGCCAATTTTAGCCCCCCTCACTCAGATCTTCCAAGACGCGCCACCCGCACGACCTTACCCAGACTCCCACCATTGTCAGCAACCATGTCGCACGAAGAGGACCTCATTGACTACTCCGACGAGGAGCTTCAGACCACTGATGCTGCCGCGACCACCGCCGCCCCCGATGCCGCCAATGGCGAAGGTGCCAAGACGGGCGATCTGACCGTCACCGGTGGCCGCCCCGACAAGAAGGGCAGCTATGTCGGCATTCACTCGACCGGTTTCCGTGATTTCCTGCTCAAGGGCGAACTCCTGCGCGCCATCACCGACTGCGGCTTCGAACATCCATCGGAGGGTTAGTTTAACTCATTTCTCCCACAAGCGTTCCTCCACATTCTCCAACGTTCGTCCGTCCGTCCGTCCGTCCATCTTCATGGGAACTATTCTGGTCGGTATTGGCAGTTTTGCCCATGCTCGAGATAAAAAAAAAAATCTGCAGACGGCATGGGGTTGATCGTTTGTGCGACTGTCACTATCCCATTCCCCTGTTGCGGCGCACTTCATGGCAGATTGCCTTCCTCGAGTGGAAGTGTCTTGGTGGAAAGACCGTCCGATCTCGTGTGGTCTGAACAGTGTCGTTTCAAAACACAAGACGTCTCTCATGTCGTCTGCAGAAAAAACTTTGACCATGTTAATGGCCCCGGTTTGACAATTTCGTGGTGGACGATTGTGCATCTCCGATATCGATTGAGTGGTAACCGGAAGGAAAAATGGACGGACACGACGACACGAATTGTTTTTTGCCTTCTTCATCTGTGGTCTCGAATACAGTCTAACATCCACTCCGCCTCCCAACAGTCCAGCAAGTCTGCATTCCCACTGCGATCCTGAATGTCGACGTTCTGTGCCAGGCCAAGTCCGGTCTCGGTAAGACCGCGGTCTTCGTCCTGACCACCCTTCACCAGCTGGAGCCCGTCCCCGGCGAGTGCTCGATTCTCGTCATGTGCCACACCCGTGAGCTGGCCTACCAGATCAAGAACGAGTATGCCCGCTTCAGCAAGTACCTACCTGACGTCAAGACTGCTGTCTTCTATGGTGGTACTCCGATCCAGAACGATGTCCAGACTCTGTCCAGCAAGGAGACCTATCCCAACATTGTCGTCGCCACTCCCGGCCGTCTGAATGCCTTGGTCCGTGATAAGAAGCTATCGCTGCGCAATGTCAAGGCTTTCGTTCTCGACGAGTGTGACAAGATGCTGGATCAGATTGGTGAGTATTCACTCTTATTGAGACGAGGCTATTTCTAACCCGTGTAGACATGCGCCGCGACGTGCAGGAGATCTTCCGTGCCACCCCCGCCGACAAGCAGGTTATGATGTTCAGCGCTACTCTGTCCCAGGAGATCCGTCCCATCTGCAAGAAGTTCATGCGGAACCCGCTCGAGGTTTACGTTGACGATGACACCAAGCTCACCCTGCACGGTTTGCAGCAGTACTACATCAAGCTCTCCGAGGCCGAGAAGAACCGCAAGCTCAACGAGCTGCTGGACAACCTGGAGTTCAACCAGGTGATCATCTTCGTCAAGAGCACTCTCCGTGCTAACGAGCTGGACAAGCTGCTGCGCGAGTGCAACTTCCCCAGTATCGCGGTGCACTCCGGTGTCAGCCAGGAGGAGCGGTAGGTTTTGCTTTCGTCACATTTAGGATCAATGCTGACTGTCTTCAGTATTAAACGCTACAAGGAGTTCAAGGAGTTCAACAAGCGTATCTGCGTTGCCACCGACGTGTTCGGCCGTGGTATCGATATCGAGCGGATCAACCTGGCCATTAACTACGACCTCCCCGCAGATGCCGACTCCTACCTTCACCGCGTCGGTCGTGCAGGCCGTTTCGGTACCAAGGGTCTTTCCATCTCCTTCGTCAGCAGCGAGGATGACGAGAAGGTTCTCAAGGACATTGAGAAGCGCTTCGAAGTCGCCCTTCCGTATGTCCTTCCTCTATTTCCCCCAAGATCTGCATCAATCACTAACCACTGTGCACAGTGAATACCCCGAGGGCGGCGTTGACTCCACCACCTACATGGCATAAGCATAGACACGACCTCTCCACCCAAACAAGGGGATGAGCCCTGTTTCTCTTGTTCTTTTCTTTTTCTGTTTCATTGTTTACGACAAGTTTTCTTTTTGGCGTGATGGCTCGGCTGTGCTTTGCTTTTCAGAACAGGATTTCATTCCATGATGGTGGCGGGCCTTGATGAAATGCGAGGTAAATGGAATGGAGTGCGAATGGAATCCAGAATGTTTTTTTGCAAGAGATTGAAGATGGTATTTAAGGGCTTATCCTGTTCACACAAAACTGGTTTTGATATCAATTTACATATTCTTGCAGCCCTGAGGCTTCGCCTGGTAATTTATGTCAATTAGTCAAATGTCGTAATTATGCCTCGTCTTGATCAGAGTCTTGTGCCAGCCGCGAATAGCAATTGCCGGGAATCGGAAATGCTATTCCTACTATCTGAACAATTTCTCGAAGGACTAGTCGATGGCATTCTCAAGGTATCGCACATGTTGATGTCAAGCCTGCCAATAGTGCTCGTTGGCTGCGCTCTCTGTTTCATCTTCCTTCCTCTTCGGCCTGTTTCCGTCTTGCTCTGTCTTGATTGCTTTCACAGTTGATTATCCACAATTTTGGGTTGCAATATAAAACAGATGCAGATAGATTCATTTCTGCTTGAGAAAAGAGGACGTTTGTCTACATAACCAATCACGCTATGAATCAGTCCTCGGCTACCACATTTTTCCGAGGAAGGCTCTTAAGTGCTTACAATGTTCTTGTATATTTTGTGCTCCGTCGAAAGTTGTCTTCTTCAGTTGCTTTTTGACGGTTCTCAATGCCGTCTCCGCCTTCGTCTTTAGCTCACCGATTTAAGTACCAGTTGCCTTCTTCTGAATCCATATAGTTCCCAATAACAAAATGCATTTGTGCTGAGATGGCCGAAAACAGCCTCCCCGGCGTAGTTCGGCCTGTCCAGAAGGCCATGGACGAAGATACGAGAGGGCTGAAAACCCCATATGCACTGTATTCTTGTGAAGTAGTGCAAAACCAAGTCTCCCTACAAAGTAAAATAGGTTTCCAGACTCATCTCCCGCCCCAGGACCCGCAGTAATGTTGGGGAGGTATACAGGAAGCATATACGATATAACAGAAGCATGCACCCAATCTTTCAGGCAGCTCGGGCACCCGCGATCAACAGGGAAGCGAAGATCGTATTATCTCATTAAATATTGCTATGCCGATTAACTTATGCAGGGAATAGCACCCTTTTCTCTATGATTTGTATCCTCCCCTCCTCGTCAGAGTGGTGGAGTGTATAGTTCAACCATTTCTGTATCTTGCCCTCCTCATCCATAACTGGCGACACACTGAAATCACATGTGCGATACTGGGCCGGTGGAATATACCCCGGTTTGGCCAGCAGATCATATACTTGAGAAAATTGTCCTGGTAGGTTGTCGGGGTTCTCCTCTAGTGCAATGAGAACGGCCACGATATGAGCGGCCGGAGTGCACACGACCAGTCCTTGTGCCGGGGGAGCCTCCCCCATGTACCGTACTGCCTGGCGGCGTAGCTCGGGGAAGGGACATTTGAGCCCTGTGATGAAAGGTGGGAGGAATACGCCCATCTCAAACATAAAGGGCGGTTGTTTCCCTTCCGAGCTGCGTGTCCATGCGACCGCGATGGGGGCCAAGTTAATGATCTGGGCGAATTTAGACTCATAGACGTCATATACAGCTTGGTCATAATTCAGCACGGCTTCTGCTTCGATGAAGACACTCGTATATGTCATTAGAAGAAGCGCGGTTGCACCGTCGATGTTCGAGCCACGCATAGACTCCAAGTACGTAAAGAGGCGATACCAGTGAGCGAGTCGGGTTTTCAAGCCTTGTTGTCTGGCCACCAGCTCTGATACCTCGTGGGGCTGATCATCTGCTGTTCGGCGTAGATAAGCCTTGGAGTCAATGTTGAGAGCCTTCAGTTCGGCTAAAATGCCCACACAGAACGTTCCTCGCCTCTTGGATCAATGTGAATCGCTCGTCTATAACGGCCACATGAAGATCCCAGTTTGCTTCTGATGATCCATTGGCGATGAAGATCCATATTCCCAAACGGCGGAAGATGGGTTCGAGGGTGGTGATGGTCGAAGTTGCTGTTGACGTAGCACTAACCATCAGTTGCGCATCCTGTTTGTACAGAATCTGAGCAGCTTTGCTATTCCCCTGTAAGATCTCGATCGCAGTGAAGAGAATGCAGCTGATCAAGGACACCATCAGTTCCGCCGTGCCCTGTTTAATACGTTGCTGTAGGACAGCCAGCGAGCGCGAGTACCAGACTAGCGCTTCGCGATGGTGCTGATGTCGCACCGCAGCTGGATCGTTCATAAGCAGCCAGGGCGATGTCTCGTGAATGGGAGGTCGTTCATAGAGCGCGCTGAGCGAGATAATCGCATCCCAAATAACTGGCTCTACCCGGCAGATTTGGAGGACCGAACCTGTCCAGAAGGCCTGGTCCAGAATTCCTGAAAGTGATGAGCCAGCTTGGTAAAAATAGTATTCAAATGCACGACGCTCTCGCGAGCCCTGATATGAAAATTGCATGGTGTCCAGTTGGGACCGCCCAATAGTCTTTGAGGGAGACCCCGTGCTATAACCGCACCGCCGTCCTGTACTGGTACATCTCAGGCAGTGCGGTTTCACCTCATCACACTTGATACGACGAATTCTGCGAATCGAATGTCAAATACAGCGACTGATCGAGTTCCTGGAGGCCAACTGACTTGCATGTGTCGCACCCGGTCTTGGACTTGGTGCCTCCGAGGCGAGCAGGGCGCTTGGCGGACAGGCTTATAGCCAAAAGCCGGAGTAGACGGTTACAGTTTCTTTCGACATGTCCAGTATAGGGAGCGTCAGTAGGCGGTCGGAGAGGCAAACCCAGGTTTGGAATAGTGAGACACTAAACCTAGAGTGGAGGCGCTAGTCTTAAGTGGGAAGCATGAGTTAACTCAACGGCAGTTTTCGAAATAGAGCTGTACTACATCTAGCGCAGATAAGATAATTTTGAGGAGGAAGCATTGGTACCATAACCGTATCTGGGATAGCGAATCCGGCCTGGCGGGCACAAACGCTGAAAGTATTAGACATTAATTCGCTTATTCTAATCGACGAAAACTAGCGGCTCTATCCAGTTTCTGGTATAAGCCGAGTGTAGCAAAAGGAAAGTATTAGCTATATGGTAGAGAGGCTCGGAAGACTTTCATATCTCTTCAATTGTGATACTGGTTTCCAATATACTACTAGGTACTCTTAAAGTGCTCCACAAACTGACTCCATATGTTATATTCAGACAATCTCACTGCCGAAAACATATATCCCTGCATTAATTACACCTATCATCCCATCTGAAAACTACAGTTCAGCACACCTCCCTGAACCGGGACCTAGCGATAGTAGCCAACTCCCATGGATATCGAAAGAGCTTTTGATAATAGTCCCCTCTCGCCTCAACCCCAAAAAAAGGAATTGCAAGACTCCTCCTTGATAAGAAGACTAATATCTGTTTGTTCAATTGCTCGGAGCAAGATAGATCGGATCGGGAATCAGCTGTTACCGTACTAGAGTAGCTCGGATTAAAGTTATCTCAAGCTAAGTAGCACGGAGGACTAGCTACAGCAGCTACTTAGCAACTCAATCAAGCCCCGAAACCTCGGCTGTTAGGTTGAACATGTGGTCTGCATAAAAGCCGGTGTGGCATACATTATACGTACAGTGCAATGAAGATGGAGAAAGGATGGGCGTGCCGAGCATACGCAGAATAAAATCAACGACAATCAGCCTGTTAGAGGTATCTCTTTGCGCTGGGATTGGATGGATGATCCCGCGTATTTAGATACAGAGTTGTAAGCGAGGCAGTGTATAGGTTAGTAGCTGGTCCAGATTATAGTTCTTCCCCTGAAGTAGAAACGTTAACTAGTGCGGCCGTTGGGCATTTATGCCTTGATTTTTTAATTTTTACATCTTGAGCAACCGAGCTCCAGCGCATTTAATTACGACCGACCGTACCGTATTTGGAGCTGCAGCTGCAGGCAGTGACAGCTGTTAAGGAAAACAAGGCCTCGCAGCACCAAAAACAGGGCAGGGGAAATTGCGATAGGTGATAGACGGAGGAATTGGTGTGGAAAAGGAGGCGAATTTGGCGATCATCGGCGATGGGCAGGCATGATGAACGCATGCCCTTTTAAGGTTCGGGCTGGGTTGCGTAGCTTATAGCTTAGGTGTGTGAACCCTGGTACTTAGGCTCCGCTCAGAAGACGGAGCTCAGGAACACACGTGCAGAGTCTGGATGGGTCAGGAACGTGATGCTTGAGTTCCGAGTTATGACGTTGTTATGTCCGTGGAATAGTAATGACGGTTGTGGAAAGAAAGGAATATTATTCGTTGTGGCGACTCTGGCTAGCGCATCTCGAAAACAGGGCAGCGAACAGCCACTAGTGAGTCCACTGTCTTGCTTTAGCGTCCGTGTGTTGGGGGCTCGGCTGGCTTTGTCTCAGTTGACGCACTGTACACAACACAGCACATTATTATTGAAGTACCCTAACGAAAGGAACAAAAGTCCGGAGCTTGCCGTGCAAAATTAACCAAATCCACAGCTGAGTCTGACTGTATCCTGCCCTTTTTTTTTCCTTACCCCCTTTCTATCTACCTGAAGCACACGTGACATCCCCTTCCCCTTCCCCTTCAAGGCCTCAGATTTAATATCCTGTCCGGTGTCTCGGATGCGAGTTCTCGAGCCAGCCAGCCAGTCCTTGATCAATTTACCACCAGGAAAATCATTACAAGGTGTGGCTGTTGTTTTGGTGTGGCAAGACACAGCTGTGGCTCTCGGTGATCGACAAGTAGCAGACAAAAATAAAACATAGTATCCGCCGCCCACGGGTCTTGACATTCTTCGCGTTGTCTGCTTCCGGGCTTCCCGCAAACGTGGTGTCCGCCACTGCGCGGCATGTTTTGTGTTGTCTATTTCCGGCTATGCGGGAGTATACATCGCTGGGTATTTGTGTACATACACACCGTATACCATACCCACTGGGACTGACCATTCCCGCTCAGGAAATAAACGGGCGGCCGGATGTGTTTCACCGTTGAATAATAATATTGGCGATGGAACCCGGCTGGTCCATCCCATCCCCGCCGAGGCTAAACGAGAGGTTGTGTTGTTCGGTCAGCACAGAGAGAGGGGCTCAAATATGCGAAGAAATAATGGTCTAGGCTTTCTGTCAGTTATGTATTATGCAGCTCAGGTTTAGCGAGCCCACCACAGTACACATCCTCCCGGGTTAGGGTACAGGAATGGTCTGATCGATCCGGCTGCGATCGGTCCGTCTGCGAGCAGACATTGGTTTTCCCCCCGGCACGGGGGTGTGTCGATCCCCTGCTGGCATGCCGGAGCCCTCTGCCACCACCCCCTGCTACGGTATTTGCACGGTCGATCATAGACATCCCTTGAAAGGAGCAGGCAGAACCCCTCCCATTTACTATTGCTGGTGCTGTATATGGGTTATTTTTTTTCCCTCTTCGATGGTCATGTGGTGTCGAGACGAGTGGAAAGTGAGCACTCCGATTCAATACCAGGCCACAAGCCTCAATACGCGGAGTGTCACCGAATATCACCCGTCGAGTACCGTCGTCGTACAGGCGTGAATTGTCGTTGCACATGTCTAGTAGACCAGTTGACCAGACACAATAGCAGAGACGATACACAGGAGGCGGAGGGAGAAGTCAATTCACCGCCCACTCGAAGTATACCTGCAACCAACACGTAGTGGGCGACAACGCGTGTATGTATAGCACTTGTAGATCGGCCGTTGCTGTTGGGCCCGGGTGGGTGGAGCGAGCAAAGTCAATGATCCACTCGAAAAATTGATTGATCCGCTAATTATAGTCCGACAGGGACAGCCCATCGTGACCATCGTGTAGATATTTTACGGCGTAGAATAGGATATACGAGTTCATCGACGAACCATCAACATCTGGGTATTGGATGTATAATAGGAGTACATATGGTCGAATAGTCCCAACCGAGTACCATACGTACCGCGTTGCGTGGAAGGCCACGACGCGGAGCGATAACCAACTAGCGCACCTTCATCGCCGCATCCAGCACCGGCCGGCCTCAGCAACTTCTTATCGCCTCCGTTTCCGGATCAGGCGGGGGATCCACGACCGTTGAACAATCCATTCATTCTTCTCTTCGGTCGCGCTCAGGCTTTTTGACCCAAACCAGAACAGAGGAAAAAAAAAGAGAAGCAGGGACAGACAGAAACTCAGCCCCCCCCCCCCCCCCCCAGTCACTCACTAACTTTCCGATCCCGTCCATCCATCCATCCTTCCTTCCTCAACTCTTCGACTTACTCAACTCACCTACTCTCATCCACCTTATCGCTTTCCACTCTCTCCCTTGTCATCTCCCCTTCTTCACTCTTCTCCCTCCTTCCCGCCACCTCCTGTCCTTCTCCCCCCACCACCAACCACACTCCTACCTTCCCTCCTATCATCCACTCTGGATTGCTTGTGGTCTTCTCTGTTCTAGGCGGCGTCAATCGCGCCTTTGGACCTCTCGACGCTTGCTATTCTCCCACCCTCCCAAGTCACCATGGCTCCTCCTCCGCGCCTGCGCATCCTGTCCGGTGAGTTCCTGGCTGCTGCACCGATGCTTCAGAGGTCCTCAACTAATCTGATTCTGCCCAGTCGGCGGTAATGCGATCTCGGCCTTCTTGTCATGGCGACTTCAGGCAACAACCTCCTGCGACGTCACCCTCGTGTGGAAATCCGGGTTCGAAGCAGTCTCCCAATACGGCGTCTCGTTCAAGTATGTTTCTTCGTGTCAGTCTCAGCTGGACAGGAGTGTTCCTAACGTCGTGGGCAGATCGAAAGCATTCGGCAACGAGCGGTTCAAGCCCCGTCATGGTACGATGAACTCCATCCCGGAATCACCGATCGTGTAAACTGACAAGAATTCGTTTCTAGTTGTTCGCACCCCTGAAGAAGCCGCCTCCCGTGAAAACGCCTTCGACTATGTCATCCTTTGTGTGAAGGCTCTCCCTGATGTCTACGACCTTGCCTCCATCATCGAATCCGTTGTTACTCCTCAGCACACATGTATCCTCATCAACACCACCAATACCCTCGGCATCGAAGCTCATCTGGAACAACGATATCCCACCAATGTCGTTCTTTCTCTGGTTTCGCAGGTAGAAATCTCTCAGACCGGACCCAGCGACTTTGAACACCTGAATTCTAGCGAGATTCACGTGGGCGCTACCAACAAGCAGTCTGCGATCCCGACCTCGATCCAGAACGACATGGCTGCTGCATTGGCCATGACTCTGAATTCGGGCCAGGTCGATTGCAAGGTGTCAGATAATATTCGGCAGGAACAGTTTGAACGGATGATTGGGTAAGTCCTCGTTTTACCCTCCCGGGAGTTCTGTCATGCCAGTGCTAATGATCTTGCCGCAGTCCGATCGCGTTCCATCCAGCCAGCGTGCTTTTCGAAACCTCCAACCCTAACCAACTCCTTGAAAAGGCCGGAGTCCGTCAATTGGTGACGGGCGTCATTGACGAGCTCCTGGAACTTGCCAAAGTAACAGGATGCTCTTTCCCGAACGATTTCCAACAGAAGACGATCGAGAAGATGACCGCGTCAGATGCGCCCAGCATGATGTACCAGGACTTCCAGGCCCGCCGGCCAATGGAAATCGAGACGTTCCTGGGCTCTCCGATCAAATTGGCGACCAATTCCAACGTCCGAGTTCCTCGCATTGAAACATTATACGCGATGCTCCACCATGCGAATACCGTGAACCAAACCAAGCCTCGACACGGCGATTCACCACCAGCATCGGTCATGGGCCAGCCACCTCCCCGAATGTCTTCCGCTCCTCCACCCCAGAGACCCCCTATGAACGGTGCCGCCATGCGTGGGAGCCGAACCAGCTCGAGTATGGGAATCCCACAGGTGCGACGAGGGCCGCCCTCGGGTGCGATGCCACGGCCCCCTTATGCCGGTCGAGGCCCTCCGCGTGACCCATCTCTAGAAGGTCTAGAGGAATTCAGCCATCTGGTGGTGTACGATGACGCCGATGGAGCAAATGGTAGCAACGGATTCCCCACCAGTGGGCCTGGGTCTTCAGTGGCGGACTTGGCAATGCGGGAGCGCGAGCTAGCCCTTCGCCAGCGAGAGTTGCAGCTTCGGGAGCAGGAGATGGGCATGCGACGGGGTCCTGGACCTGGACCTGGACGCCGTGGACCACCTCCTAGGCCAGCCCCATTCGAGGAAGAGGGCGAGGACTACTTTGACCCGATGGACAACATGGTCCCCCACATGGACCCCGACAGCGTTGATATGATGAGCATCACCTCGCGTCGAGCGAGAAAGGCCCCCAGCGCCAGCCAAATCCGCAACAACCCCGAAATGTCTGGACCCACTGGTGGCGGCGGCAGCCGCCCACCTTCTTCAGCTTTCGGTCGATACTTTGGCCGGAAACGTGCCAGCGATCGGGTTATGCAAGAAATCCCTGGTCTTCACGATTCTCTTATGGACAACCCCATGATGAGCTACTCATCCAATCGATACGGGGCCGTTGACCGCAATCAGATGCAGGCCGACTCGCGAGCGAATTCTCTCACTGCCAGCCGCATGGGCGATTTTCCACCACACTCTTACCCTCAGAGCCGACGTAACAGCCAATCCCCCGCAACGCCGTATGGACCAGGAGGCCCCCGAATGGGTCGTCCAATGACGGCTCATGATCCGCAGAACCTGGGCCTTCCCAACGGGCCTCCTCATAATGGCCAGCCATCACCGCCGGGTCAGATGCGCACACCGGCTCCTCGATACCCTCCCGGGCATGGCAATGCGATGATGCCACAGCAAGTTGAACAACACTATGGGGTGAGCCACCCGTATCCCGCCAAGGGTCCTCCCCCCAAAAACAAGAGTCTGACTGGAAGTGCGAGCGCCAGCGCGGAGAGTGGTGACAGCGGGGCTAGTGCGAATCTTGATTCCGGAGCATCAGCTCACAGCAGCCAGGCCAGCTTGGGCGTCCAGCCGGCCATTCCGGCAGCTGCTCGTTAAACGATCTCTCTTGTTTTTACGGCGAAAAAACGACGACGACACACTCGTTTCCGATATTGCGCCATTACATCGTTGCATGACATTCTACGGAGATCTTGTCCTCGCAGACAAGATACCCAGTCAAATACTCTGTTGATCGCTTCTTTACATATACATGAGGGACATAGGGGTTCATCGCTTATTTCTTTCAGTGCTTGTTCCGGAGTGATTGGGGTGCGGGCGTGTGTTTGATTTTCCCCCTCTGCCCTCGATACTCATTCTCGTTCTGCGGCATTATGGATTTTTAATGAGGCCACCATGCGAGCCTAGACTGGGACGTCTTCCCCATTTTTTCTTTTTTTTTTTGGTCGGCATGTCGATATAGTGCCCCTCGGCGCTTCCTCTCCTGTTTTTCCCGCTCTCTCTCTGCATAACTGTACACTACCAACCCTCATCGGCGCATTCGTTGTTGTTTTTTGACTCTCTTACCATCTGGGCTCGTATACGTTACACCGCGATTCCGTCCTTTGTGTTATCATCATCTCTCTGTGCTTTCAGACGGAGCATCTCGTTCCTCTTTTTCTTTGTCTTCTTGCTTGCTGTTCTCATCTGGCTGGCTCGCTGGCTACCAACGGCTTCGTTTTGTGTGTGGAACTGGCGCATAACCAAAAGAGCGGGCGCGGTCGTTCCATTTATTCGGTTTGAGTTGTTGATCTGAGTTTCTGGCGAGGTTTGCGCTTTTTCTTTTCATTATGTCAACGTCACCTGGGAATTAATGACGGGCGCAATGTTGTGTGTGTCTTGTGTTGTGTCCCTGCCATATGTCGCACTGCTGTGCCTCATCAAAACTGTCAATGCTGTCTGCGAAGAATGCACGAATCGATAGACCTTTCCTGACTTATCATGAAGTATCAAGTATCAAGTTCCTTTTGTACTGGCGTCGATCCAGAGAATCAGCCACGTGATCGCGTCCCCATCAACAAAGTCCCGCGTCTAGTGATTTGTTCCTGTCAACAAACACCCCCAGCAAAAAGGATCGAATTCCCTCCTCCCCAAACTTCCCCAGACAAAAAAACCAGCAAAAACAACCCATACCACCAAAAATGCCACCGCTCAACACCCAACACCAACATCGCCGCCACGAATCCCAATCCTCCAACTACCTCCGCGCCTCCATCCTCCCACACTCCACCAACTCCGGCACATTCAGCGGAGGAATAAGCAATCATTCCGTGGGACCATCCACATACACAGCACCTGGAGGAGGCATGAGCACAATGTCCCCCGCCAAAACCCGTCAATACGCACATCTCCACTCGCAACTCGCACAACTAAACGCCAACCTCGCAGACACGGAGAACTTGCTGCGCATGACGGCCGTGCAAGCGGGCGATATGCGATTTTTGGGCGGGTATGTCGGGGCCCTGTTTATGGGTTCTGCGAAGGTGCTTGGTGAAGAGGGGGTTAGGGGAAATGCGGATCTGAAGAGAGAGGAAGGTGCAAAGAGTCCGAATGAGGGGGTTGGGGCTGGGGTTGTTAAGAAAGAGGTGTTGAGTGATGAGGATTGATTCAGTTTTGGAGGACATCCATTGCAGATAGAGTGGTCGGTGTGTTCTCTCTTTGATTGTTTGATTTGTGCTAATATCTGGACCAGAATCATGAGATATCCTTCCCTCCATCGATATGCACCGACAACCAACCCGTGCAACGCAACTACTCAACCACAAACCCACCCCCAAGAATGATCGCCGGCTCATCAATATTATGGTGCTCATAGCTAGTTACCACGGTCCGAATCGTCAGCCATGTTCATCCATAAGTCTTTTTGAAACGCGCCAAGATCCTCCTCACTCACCTCAGTGTGCCAACCCCACCCGCCTCCAGAATCAACGACGTATCTGTCAACGGCTTGCCTGTCCAGCGCATCGCGAACGCGCGCAGAATATGTCCGTGCGCAACGACTAGCACATCTCCCTTCGTGCCATCCGGGTGCTCGAAGCAGGGCCGGTGGTATTTTTCCTTGATTTCGGAGATGAGAACGTCGAGGCGGTTTTTTACGTCTTCGGGGGATCTAGCGGAGAATTGAGAATTAGTTACTGTCACTGCCACTGCCAATTGCATTGCGGCATAGCATTGCAGACGGCAAAATGAACTGGAATAAACATACTCCCCACCAGGACACCCATCCCTCCAAATATCCCAAGCCCCCAGCCCCTTCTGCTTGCGATCCTCCCGGATCTGCGCGCTAGTCAACCCCTCATACTCGCCATAATCCCACTCACGAATCGTCTCCGTAATCTGCACACGCGCCTCAGTGCGGATAGGCTCGTCGTTCTCGGACTTCCGCGTCTCGGTCCAGGGGAGTCGCTCTTTGCAGCCTATTTCGAGGAGTTCGAGGGTTCGTTGGGCGCGGGTGCGGGGGGAGACGTAGCTAGATCGGATCAATTTGTGTCAGATAAACAGGCATGACAGACAAGAATCGCTTAAAATTAAAAGCTGGGAGGGAGAGAAGGGGAAAATACACATGGGCGAGCTTCTTAGGCACGATAAGTCGGTCATCGCCTACCAATGCCTTGCCCGTTGCTTTGATCCGCTTCTCACCGTTTGCTGTTAGCGGGAGATCGGTGGATCCGGTGTGTCGTCCGTTGAGAGACCATTCGGTCTCGCCGTGGCGAATGATGAAGCAGCGGGGGGCCATAGAGGTTGGCTTTGGAGCACTAGGGGTCTAAAAGACGGAGGAGGGACGGAACGAAAAGAGGAAGAGGATGTGGGTTGTTCTTTTCTTTGCTGACCTGGGCGGAGTGGAGTGGGATAGCCGGGTTGCGTCATGGTCATGGTTGAGATAAGACCTGGTCAGTGCTTATCGCCAAGTATAGCTACGCTGTGTTTAGGTACTTGGTCAATCAATGTTAAGGAGTGCCCGAGGGAATGTCTTTGTGGTTTTTCGCTTTTGAATATGAAATAATTGACTATACAGGATCTATCTCTGTAAACCGTTGTCACTCACCCACTTGGATGTTTCCTCCTCCAACCCCTGATCATGACTTCCTTAGAGCGCAAACAGCTCTACAGACCGGAAACGCTCCAAACGCTTCAATTTGCCCCTCAAAGCTTAGTCGAGTTCTCACTATTAGGCGTAAAAGCCGACCCCTCGAATTGCCTAACCCCATCCGCAGCATCCAACCACCCAACCCGGTCCTTAATATACTGCTCAACCCTGGGCCTCAACTTGGTCTCATGCAAACTGAAATCGTCCACTGTCCCAATCCTCAGGATACTATGTCCCGGATACTTCTCACCCACACGATACATAAGCGTTCCGCATGTTGAACAGAAATAATTCGTCATTGCCTTGCCGGACGCTATGGTCTTCGACTGACTAAATGTCTTGAGGGTCTCTCGGCCACGCAGGTGGTGGAGATGGGTGTCTGCCACGATTAAATTGGAGGCGAACATTGAGGCTGTTATCTTGCGGCAGTCTGTGCAGTGGCAAATGAATGTGTCGACTAGGCCTGGGGCTTGTGTTGGCTGGGGTTGGGGATGACGTTAGTCTATTAGCTGTCTAGGTGAGACTGTAACTATGTCTGAGGCACTTACAAATGCTAATTGAACTGCTCCACAGTAGCACGTAGCTGTTGCTTGGTCTCCCTTGGACCACCCATCGTCGGCGCCGCCGGATAGAGGTATGTATGGTTTGGATTTATCAGCTGCAGCAGCCATAGTTTGTGCTTTCTCGAGTTTTCGGACGATAGGAGCTTTCAAGTATGGTTGAAACACAGGAGTGTTATAATTTTCTTTTCAATGACTGAAAGCAAGATAATTATGCCAAAGAGCAAGTCTCGGGAAAGAAAAGGACGACAAAACTGAGTGAGTCAGCTTGGCTTTTAAACTCCTCACTCTCCGCTCCATACCAGATCTACCTCGGCTGATATGGTTGATGATCCGGGCTAATTTTGGACCGACTTATGCTTGCTTCAATTTGCCCTTTGAGTGTTCAAAGTAATATTTCTGTGAAATGTTTGAGCTCTTAAATTTGATCCTTGACCGCTCAAAATACAGTAAATCTATAGTTATAACCAGCGCCCCCCTACTTTGTCAGTAGCTTCCACTCTTTCTGTTATCCTGAATCAAACACCCCACCAGAGTAGCGATCTACGCCTGCCTAACCGATATAGAAGGCTGTCCTCAACGGCGATATGTCGCAATTGGAGAGGCTTTTGCGAGGGCATCCTTGAGCGTGATTACCATTACCCACTAACCCCGATGGGCTAAAACCACGTCCATATTCCTGGTGGCTTCGACTCACTGTAACCTCTCAAGAGATGGTTTATCTTTGATTTGAATGTTACGCGGCCGCTTAGCAAGAAACACCTTTTGCTACTTCCTCATCGGTGTACCCTGCATGTAAACAAGATGGCAAATTGGGGGGTAAATGACCTAATTTTTCAAACTGATTGTCTTCCATGCTGATTAGTGAAGTTTATTCGTTCCTCGGGACCAAGGGAGGGAAAACGTAAAGGAATGCGCTGCTTCTTATACTTGGAGCGGTAAACCGGAACAAAGCATAACTAGTTAGTCGATCAGACTGACTAATAGGTCTGGAGTTACTGCTAGTAGATGACTCGAAGGTGTAATAAGTGCACTTGGTATACGTCTCGATTCCCGCCAAGTCCCAGGTGGCACAATCTGCGACACTTGACTGATTCTTAACATAGCCACCACATCACATAGCCACCGATATTTCGATTGCCCCTGTTCAGATCCATGATTCTGGAATAGACTAAGCCGTCTGATGCATCTTGATTGCCTGGGAAGTTTGGTCTATACTATACCATGTTCACCAATAATAATGTGGGACCTATCTTTCGAAGGCATAATTCCATAGAAATCTCAAATAGTTACCACAATGCGTCATTAAAGTGGGGATAAGCACCTTCTTTCCAACATATCTTCGTTGGGGGCGCATCTCTTTCGAAATATCTCCTATGCTAATCCGACAACCTACTCGAAGTGTATATACATAATCCATCGCCCATGATGAACTCCTCAGGGTCCCCTCAGCACACTCGCAAAACCGTCATCAACAACGTTCGCCTGTTTAACGGCAGTAAGCTGACAAATCCCCGCACTGTAATTATTGAGGCTGGTATTATTGGCAGCAACCCAGACCAAGCAGACGAGATTGTTGATGGTCAAGGCGGCGTGCTCATTCCTGGCTTCATTGACGCACACGTACATCTTCACCATGACGGCCACTTTCGAGAACTTGCTAAATATGGAGTCACAACCGCTCTTGATATGGCAACCTGGCCTGCGAACAAAATGAATGGATTTCGAGACAAACCCGGGTTGCCCGATATCAGAAGTGCCGGCATTCCTGCTACAACAGCTGGCAGCATTCATAGTCACATGCTACCATTGCCGGATGAAGCTATGATTTCTGGTCCACAGTTTGCAGAAAGCTTTGTTGAGAACAGGATCAAAGAAGGATCCGACTATATCAAGCTCATCTCGGACGTGCCGGGCCCAAACCAGGAAACCCTTAATGCATTGGCCCTGGCTGCACATAAAAGGCAGAAGATGGTCGTGGCGCACGCTTCGGGGTTTGTCCCTTTCCAAATGGCGCTAGAAGCCAAGGTTGACATCGTCACACATGCCCCGCGGGATAAGCCCGTCGACGCTGCGATGGTGGACAGAATGACGGCAAATAAAGTTGTCTCCGTGCCTACTTTAGTTATGATGAAAGAAGTGTCCAAGCCGCCTCCCTTGAGTGCCGTGTTTCCTCTGTTACTCAAGCCCTCTTTGTTTATGGCCATATTAAGAGCCAAGAAGAGTGGTGAAGGCGAGCAGCGGTACGAGAACGCAAAGGAGTCTGTGACAAAAATGTATCGTGATGGTGTGCCCATTTTGGCAGGTACAGATTGTCACGATGAGCCTAACTCTTTCTTTGATGTTAAACATGGCGACTCTCTGCATCGTGAGCTCCAGCTCCTTGTGGAAGCGGGACTTACAACTGTCGATGCATTACGCGCGGCAACCAGTCTACCAGCGGAACACTTTGGGCTTCACGATCGAGGCATCATTGAATTGGGGAAGCGGGCAGATCTAGTACTTCTCCGAGAAGATCCAATACAAGATATACGCGCAACGCGCAGTATCGAGCGCGTTTGGTGTCGTGGGATCGAGTTTACGGCCTGAGATGAGGTGACTTGGCAGTTTAAATAAGAGTGGGAAGCAGTCTAAGAATAGTGAGCTGGGGCCGAATGCTCGCGGCCACCTCCAGCAATGACACAATCAGAATCTGGGATATTGCAACGGGTGTCCTACTAGTGTCAAGGGTTAAGGGAGAAATGACTGGTCTGACGTCCTCTTAAGACGCTTCAAGATCGACTACTGATTTCTCGTCCCTTTGTGTTCAACGCTGGTTTAGCAATGATGCTTTGCAGCCATCTAGAATAAATGCGAGGATTTCCGTAGTGGGTGATCAGTGGTAACACTTGAAGAAAAAGACGCTTTGTGGTTGCCCCCTGAGTACCGGCCTATACGTTCCACGGTTCAAGACAACACTCTTGATCTTGTACATGCATCGGGGCGCATTTCTTGAGGCATTTGGTTGCGACCCTATTTGAGGGTCTCGTGAGTCCTGGAATCACCCAGGCCTTAAGCCAGAAAAAAGTAATACTTGATATTGCCGACAATATGGCAATAGCCAGAATAAAGGCATGGTCAAGTAAAGAGAATTCTATGTCAGCCCAAGGTTTCGTAATATTCCCACATGGTCTGATTGGATTCTGGCTGCACGTTCCGTTGCCGTAATTCACCAAAAAGAAATCCTCCACTTTCCCCTTCCCGGTAAGAAATGCGTGACGCTGTTCGGTAGTACATTGACCCAAATTAAGTGTATAGCAAACGGCAGGCGGAATGCTTGGTGAGACATTGCGGATTCCACGAGTAGAATTTGGACCCGTCGTAGTGTAGATAACGGATTCTGGGGATTGGAAAGACGTGGTCTGAACAGACCCCGTCGTAATATCCAGTCCTTCGTTTGCGCGGTTGAATAATTCATATGCGATTTCGGGCTGATTAGCCGCAACCCCGTGTGCTGCATCAAGCACCCGTATGAAAGAGAGGTTTCCATGCTGACGGACATGTGCAGTAAGTGGAGAGCCATCCTTCATCATGGTCTGATATCCTGCACTTTGAAAGGCCCTTTGGTATTGATGTTCGATACTGACAGAGACAGCTTCTCCTCCAAGCCCTTTTACTCTCGTTGAGCCATTGTCAGTCACGTCATCTTCTGGTCAAAGACACCTTCTGCGGGCTCTATGATATATGGACTTACAATTGCACGCAAAGTCTCTGTCGCCGTATACCATGGCTACCTTGACGCCAGAGTCGAGGAGCTCGGCAAGAGCTTCCATGCTGCCTCCTTTGGCATTATCGCCAGTACGGGCAAAAGCATGGGTGACTGCATCTGCGTTGATGGAGTAATTCACTGGTGAACCCAGAGCCTGCTGTACCCATGCCTGGCGACTGTATCCCAGATTGGTTGAAATCAAAGGATCAGTGAGTATTTCCGATGGATACGCTATATCAAAAATATTCCTGCCACTCTTGCTGATGATCCCTGCAACACGCTTACCGCAGTAATGGTTGGCGTCCCGACAGACCCTATTTGTGACCGGGTCATGACCAAAGTCTGGCCGTTGAATAGTCTGTCGACATTTCTGCAACTTCGCAAGACAACCCTGCGGACCATCAAGGCTTTGGATAGCCGTGTTATAGGCGCTTCGGTTGATAAGCTTGATATCGTATGTGTTCCAAAAGGCCATTTCAGGATAAAAGGGTAGCTGGACCGCAATGTCAATACATGTATTTGTTAGACCTAACGTATCTATATGAATAGATCTGCGATTGAAAGCTAGCGTCTCTGGCTGATTATTCTGTTCAAGTGTGTACCTGGCCAGGGCAGGGCCATAGTGTCCACCGTACGAGGACGTCCAAATGTTGAGCTATAGAACCTTAATGATTGAAAGCGTGTGGAGAGTATTGACAGGAACTACCTTCTCAATTTCCGAGGAGGCATACTCCGGGAAGTCTGTTAGCCAAATCTGGAGAAACTCCCACAGCAGGCGAGTGACGCTTTCGGTCGAGTTGATCGCATTATCGATATCATTGGATCCCGCTCCCACGGTACCAAAAGACACGCCGGGGATTTGGTCTGACGAAGAAAATTTATGTGTATCGAAGATTATCCGCGGCTCCTGGAGGCTGAACGTTGCATTTCGAGGTATATCATAGCTAAACCCTAGTTTGAGTGCTCCGATCAGCTGCCAATACAAATATTCGTATAGGGAGATGACAAAGATATTCACCCGCATTGCCCGGCTGGTCGACATAAAGCATATTCGATCTGCCATTCCATGACCAGGGGTTAAGTCTCGTACTTGCACTATCGGCATCAACTTTACAGGGGCCGTGTTCTCGAAAGACCGCTCTAGCTTGTACATGTCAGGACTAAGCTGCAAAGTTTGCACATCACAAAACCCACTACTTGCAGCGCCAGGACCACCGTTCACTACGCACAGTTAGTATGTAAAGTGGTTTCTGGGTCAGTCTTATGAGAAGCCTACGGTAGACGGTGAGAGGATCAATCGTGGCATTGGTTCGACTTTCAAAAAACCAGAAAAAGATGTTCTGTTCCAGTGGCTGTGAAATGCCGTATTTGGAAAGAAACATCGGAGGGAGATGCACATAGCCTGCATAGCTACGTGTGCCTTCGGTGGTCTCGCAAAAAGACACGAGTTTATAGTCAATCCAAACTCCTTTCTGGGTCTGCGATTGAACCCTGGTGGTATTGGTCGGTCTATCCAAATACCAATCAGCTTAGTAGTCAAGTTGATACTCGCCTCAGGGTCTTACATACCGAGGAGGGGATTGTGCCCCCACCAAGCTGAGCAGGCAGATAAGGACTATCAGCTGCTCGAACACAGAACAAGACATAATTCAGACAGAACTGTCTTACGCAGCTGGCCGGAAGGTCAGTCGGAGGCGCTGGGTAGAGTCACAGGATATTTTGAGGTTGCCGATCCCCGGAAAGCAAATAATGAGATAAAAGACTTGCCAGCGGATCATCGTTTGTCTCGGGCTATTCCAAACCACTTGGTGCAACCGACTCAACTGATTCCTTCATTTGCCAAATTTGGGTAAATTGACGATCAAAAACGGCTTGGTCACGCCAGCAACGCGGCAAGCCTGATTGGACCGATCCGGACGGGAGAGCCCGAAAGATAGGGTGATCGCCCCGGGGGTCGTGTAACCGAGCCTAGCGTCGCTATTGTCAAATATACCGAGACGCAGTGAAATACCAGGAATTACCAGTACTGGACATGCATAAGATGTATGAGAATAGATTTGGGTGACGATGTTCGACATTGAAAGCACGGTGTTCGAGAGAGGGGCAATCTGGGCGCTCCTTTGTTCTCCAGCTTAGTTCAACTATTTTTCTGGTCCGATCTGTCATAACAGCATCACAATGTTTTCCTCTCTGCGAGGCTATTCAAAGTTGTCTTCTCAACGGGAGCCTGATGAGGCTCTCTCTGAAGAGCAGAGCGAGGCATATGATGGCTCCCAGGGGAGAAAAGCATTTAGGAAACACTCTAAAGCCGTTTTGATGAGCGGCTGGATTTGTTCAGCCGTGCTGATGGTTCTACTCTGCCTTCAGTTTTGGAGGTCTCATGAACTGTCCGACTTGAAGTGTCTCCAGAGGACTTCGGCATATTGTACTGCACCACTGAGACTTCCCAATAGACTTTGCGGTTACTGATACTTTGTAACAGCGCCTATTCTGAACGATATTCCTACCACCTTGACAGAAATCAGAATGAATGGAACGTTCACTTTTCCATCCATCTATCGAGGAGAGCCTAGTCCGGAGATTGACGCTGCATGGGACAGAGTCAGCATGCGTAAGGTTCTCTTTCAATATTTAGACGGTCTCAAGTGATCTTGCTGATAAATTGCGCCAATTCTCTAGTAAGACCACTTGATATTCACTTGACAGACGCAGAATTTCTCAAGATCGGCCGCAGCGTGGAGACCGCTGCACGAAATGCCCCAGAGAACGGAGGAGGTTTCTTTTTGCAACCGGAATTTTCACATCAACTACACTGTGTAGTATGTGCACTTCAGTCGTTGGCAATGGCTCATATGTATGCTCTTGCTAATAAAATGTAGAACCTTCTTCGCAAAGTCTCGCACTTCAAATTCGGCTACTACAAACCACGCGACCCTGACTTCACAGACAACGTCGAACTTTTCAAGACACATATTGGTCAGACAATCACTCCTCTCCTTTCTCATTCTATCATATCGTGTACTTATTTGATCTTGCTAGACCACTGCACGGAAATGCTTCGCCAATTTATCATGTGTCATGCCGACGTTGGCATTGTCACGGCACATTGGATTGATCAACGTCGCGCAGCGTGGCCGGATTTCAACACCAATAAAGTGTGCAGAGACTTTGATGCCATTTTGGAGTGGGCTCAGGATCATCAATTGCCACCAGGGACCCCTCTGCGACCTTCCAAACCCCTTGGTGCTTCCGCGCTTCCTGCGCCGCCATAGTTCTATAGAGTACTGCTTGGAATCATAACTTAATTACTATCTTTCTAAACCCATTGAAATAAGTTTTCAGTATTCAGCGTAACATAAGAGCCCCTACTGAATCCTAGGTTATAAAGTCTGTAGTATTTGAACGGCATATCCAACACTACCACCGCCTACCATTGATCTTAACGGAAGCATATCTGCAAGGTAGCAAGACATTAACACTGCGCTTAGTTCCCCAAAATAAAAACCCAGACTTCTAACTTTAGTCCATAAAAGCGATTCACCCATACATCTGAATCAAACATGATCGGCCGTCGTCCCGTCATGTGTATTTCCCTCCGCTGCGCCTTGTGCTCCGGGAACCACACCATCCGGATCCATGACCCAAAGAGGTCGGTCAAGGAACTTGAGCTTTGGAGTGATATCATTTTGCTTTCTCCATTCCATAAGCCTCTCCCAGTTTTGGCAAGTGTGAAGTGATTTCCAAGCGGACTTGGGTGCAGAATAGCCCTTGATCCAGTTATAGGTTAACACGGAGGTGTCTCCATGGCATTGGATCGTCTGACGTAGGACTTCAAAGCAGTGTCCTATGTAAAGGTTGCAAGTTAACGAGCAGAACTGAAGATATAACCGACAAGGATCGAAATAAAATCCAAAGGGGAAAACTCACTCATATGCCACATAATTGCGTCGTCTGACTTGTTACCAAAGAATTGCTTGTCCCGATAATGCTCAAAGTTAAACCAGGCACCTCTCCGCATAATATCAACACAATGCAGCTGATGGGTAACCTCTAAAATACCGACAAACCGCCCCTGTGTGTCGTTGGGTATGCGCACACCTGTCTCGGGATGTCCATTGAGGGCTTGGAACATGTCTGGGTCAATAGGGAAGGATCGGCCGTCTGGTTGCAAATCAATTAGCTGGTGTATTAATATTTGGTTGGCATGGTGGTCTTCTCACTGTTGATGAGCTCTTCCCATGCTTGATCTGTCTCGTCACTCGGGGGACCAGACCACGGAGTGGCTTCCCGGTCCGGATCTGTGAAACGATGAAGTGAATGCTCAACTACATCCAACGCCGGGGCTGTATGAGCAAATAGCATTAGTGATCTGTACGTTTATGGACCACAAGGCAATGTTCAGCAACACCAGTATATGCTAGACTCACATGGGGCAATAATTTGGGGTTGCATCCATTTCGCGACAGTATCAGTTACTCGTGGGAGCTTGATGATCAAGTATGCCATTCCTGAAATGTTCGCAATGAAAAGGATTATGTTGAGCCACAGAATAACTCGGTGGCTATTTGGGACACATTTCAACTTTCCTAATGGCATTGCACGACGTCGCGGTGGGTGGTCTGCCAGCTCGGTCTCCAGCAGATGGTCCTGTTCGCTGTCATTGCAGCTAGACCTGTCAGTGTCGTGATTAGGGTTGGAGTATTTCTCGTTCAACATCTCCATTTTGCAGTGATGGTTTGGAATAGGAGAATGAAGTTCAGCACAACAGGCACTTGACCCAAATCCCTAGATCTAAACTATTACGTACTTTGATCATTCCTTCTATCAGACTCTTATGTTTAGGCCCAACAGTTTCTCATTCTCAATTGGCGGCATGTATGAAGCCCGTGTTTCCTGCACGAGAAAGCAATACTCCACAAAACAAGGTAATTTATCGGTGTAATACAATCATACCGTCAATTTCGAATGTCGCTAAGTAGGCCTTGCATGAAGAGAAAATAAGCACTATGCCAAACCTACATACCTAGATGCATTGCCAATGTCACCCTATTATCCTCCAATCATCGCTCATATGGCTTAAGCTTTGCGGGGAAGCGTGGCCTGAGCGCCATGCCCCGACGTGTCGTCACGCTTGCCAACCTTATTTATAGTTATCGCTTAAATAAGAATCGTGTATCTTCTAAGTACTTGAATTTAGTTGTATTGAATCCCAATTGATACTATTATCGATCATATTTCCAATATGACCTTTTAAGTTTCAAGGGACAAAATGACAAAAAACAACCCCCGCCCCATCTCATCACGTCGTCGTGTATCATTGATTCCTCACAACCAACCCCGCTCCTCGCCCCAACTACACCAAAGCCCTTGGTGTGTAATCAATCTCCATCCTCCCTTGAGAACTCGGCTTTCTTGTCGCGCCTCAATCATCGTAGCCGTAGCTTGCCCAAATGGCTGCCGTCGACGTAAACTCGCCGCCATCGATGAGTTCGGTAGAGTCGTCACGTTTCTTCTTGTCGTCGTAACCGTAGCTAGCCCAGATGCTGGCCGACGAAGTGAATTCACCACCATCGATTATCTCAGTAGTGTCTTTGATGGGGGCGGCTTGCACGCTGACAAGGAGCCAGGTGAACAGAGTAGCAATTTTCGAAATCTTCATTGCGGCGAGCAAGATGCACAAGAGAAATATCCCGAAGTCAGAACACGTAGTAACTTAATGATATGGGGGCCGGGTCGTGCTGTCTGAGAAAGCGTGTAGCCAGATGTCAAAAAGGCCGGTGTTTAACAGCAGACTCAGTCCACGTACTTAAATATTATCTCGTCATCTCAGAGATCACAACATGCTCCAAAAAACACTGTAAAGAGTATATTTGTAATATGCACTGTCACCCCTAACGCATGGAAAGAAGGAACCGTAATGCATGTTTTACCTGTATGTACCTAGTATCTGGCTTCTTTGCCCTTTACGTCTTAGAGGAGAAAGACCTTATCTTCGGATACTGGACCATCCAGTCTGTATGGTTGGAAATAGAATCCTCCTATCCATATCTATGGCTGAACTGTTAAACATGGTCACGCTGAATGAGACCTCGTGCTAGTCTTCTCTACATGCACAGCCAACTGCCTGATTCGTTTATCACTACTCCCATGACCTGCTATCTCTCTGGATTTTCCCTGTTTCCCCTCTCGCTTCTGCCAGGATTCTTAGAACAACGCTTGTAAAAATGGGCGTCTTACATGCCTAAGCGAGGCTTGTTCTCAAAGATATAGGGTCTAGATATAGTGTTTTAATAAATGGACCTACTAACTACCATTCTCGCATGGGTCTGATCCCGGTAATTGCGTAGTATGTCCCCGATCGACTGAGAAAATGCCTCAACAGGTAAAGCAAATATGTAATACCCTGAGGTCAAGAAGAGGAAAAATAAATAAATCTCTTTCTTTTGGAGGATCTCAAAGATCCAAATTTAAGCGAGGCTTGGCATCTCCGGTGTCTCTGGTATAACCGATCTGTCGTTTACCATTGCCGAAACACAGTAATACGAGGGTTGCTGGGAGTCTTCCTGTCTTGCTGTTGTCCATTCTTGCGATGGTCTTGCTCTGTCTGGTAAATCATAGGCGCTCGAGGCCTTTCAAAGTCTCTCGCGCAAATCTCCTTTCTCATGTTGCTTAGTGGCAAAAAGAGTCTTTCCTGAGCTTTCTCGTCCCTTGTTCATCTGGTGTACCATTATAGTATTGCTCACAAGGACATGCAAAAGAGACGGCGCTCAGGCTCTAACTCAACTTTTTGATGCAGTATGCCTTCCCCGTTAGAGGACGCAATGGATGTACCTCTTCTTTCCGACACCCTGGAAGCCCCAAAGGAGGGAGACGAAGAGGAGTGGACTGCTAGCTATCCTACTAGTCCCCGGACACAAAGGACCAAAAGATTATTGCTCTTTCTGTTATTCTTCCTGGTGCTGTTGGCCAACAATGCTTTTTGGCTCTGGAAAGGAAGATGGAAGACCCTACAATGCGAAAAGGACTTGACACAGTCCTGTAGGTTGCCGAAAAGAACGTTTTAACACTATATTACTTCTGACTAGTATGGGACAGATCCTCCAGTGCGGTTCATCGACAATCCGTTCTACCAGTTGACAGAATACAGTGCTGAAGATGAGGGTAAAGCACACGCAGACCAGCTGTGGAAGGACCTTTTCCCCTGTTCGTTACCCGCAGTCTCTTCTTTACTCTCTCATGTAACATCTACATAAGTTAACAATGATTGTTCTACAGTGGGAAATGGCGTTCTGTCTTTGGAAACTGACGAAGCACATTCTCATGGGCTGGCGGAGACGGCACCAGATCCCATTCGACCTGGTAACGGAGTATACATAATGAGCGGATACCATAGCCTACACTGTCTGGTGAGTCTGAGTCTTTGAAGTGGATTTACATACTTGTCAAAACGGCCATCTGATATGGATCTTCTTCAAGACCGTCCTCCGCGGCGCTCTATTTCATTTCCATCTTGGTGAAAATCAAACGGCACCGTGGAATCACTTGGTTCATTGTCTCGATCAAATGCGTCAAACGATGCAATGTAACATCGACACAACTTTACTAGCTGCTAAGGACCCTGATCACTTTATCGATGGACAATCGCATCGGTGCAAAGATTTCATGGCGTTGAGGGAATGGATGACCGACCACGCAGGGTAGAGGACGTTCGTATGAATATAGGGTGTGGCTGTGGATATAAACTTTTATATCAACACCCCCAAATAGCGCACCAGTTTGAAGTCTTCTTATACACAATCATTTAACACCTAAGGCAAATTCACCTTGCCTGTGCTCACAGCTTTATCCCATAGCTACCTTCCATGAATTGAGTTGCTTCTTTTGCCACGACATCAAATTATCCCAATTGACACATTGTTTGGTTATACCCCAGCCCAACGGGTTTCCCCATCTATCTGCAACTTCTGATTGCGGTGTTCCAGGTGGACCCTGGGGCTCGATTTCCAATACGCCGCCGCACATAATGCTTGAACGCAAGTATTCAACGCAATGTTCAACATGATAAGCAGCGTTTTCATCATCATCCATCGTTGCTTGCGTGATATTATGAACACTGTTGTAGTATCCAATTCGTACGATATTCTAGTAGTGGTAGTTTTATAGGGATCAGCATTACCGGCCATGGCAAACTTGACAGCATAGAGGATTTCGTACAAGGCAATGAAGTTGATGCAAGTTGCTGATATGATAGAACTGCTGATTTTGAAAAGCCACTGAGGAATTTCCAAAGGGGTTGGCAAAACCCCGTCCAAGATCGTGTTGCTGCTCATTGTTCGCAATCCATACGCTTTCAGATCCTTAGAAACCGGCAAAGGTGAGTGTTAGCATATTATCGGTCTGTCCAGAGCTAAAGAAAATATACCCTTGACTAGGTATGCCCAATTTTGATTAGTAAAATGAGACCAGCCCACGTAGCGCTCATCCGGTCGCATGACGGTTGGAATTCGCGGCGAAAACACATTGCGTGGAATTGGCGATAGATCTGAGAGGTGGGACCTAGTTGAACATCGACCAAAATCTATAGCGAAATGGCTGATCAATCCTCCTGCGAACCCTGCGAGAAAGATAAACAGGTAGATGAGTGTTCTCTTCGTGCTTGATTGCATTCGAGCACGGTCGTGGGACTTGGTCACGACTGGAAGTCCTTCGCTCTCCTCCTCATCACTTCGAATAGGACGATAAGCTTCGGAGTTTTCTCTTTTGGTCAACCAGGAGAAGGATTGCATGATGTCTTTCTGCTCTTGTTCTGGCGTGATCGCAATTGGTTTCGACGGGAAGATGGGTGGCAGGATGTCCTCGCGGGCCTCGAGGGGTTCTCCGATCGAAATTCTGATCAAGCAATTTAGGATCCCTAAGACCACTTCCATCGACTCTAGCCTTGTCTTCCCCTCCCATGGAACAAGATACAGGCTTCGGTCTTGCGCCTTTGATACCTGTATACCTCTTTACATCTATACGACCATACGTGTTGATACTATACGGCATTGTAATGACAGGTTATCGGTAAAGTTACTGTGCAAGATATGGGTGCAGGACCCCCGCATCTTCCAGGCTAAGGACAGATTAGCTCTGCTAAGCTCTAATAGGCCTTTCTGCAATGGAACGTTGACATCCCGAGCTCTGTATCCACAACTTTGCAGATACGGAGTGATAGTCTTCGTAGCGAAGCGAGGCCTATGCCGTTCAAACAATCCGGCTAGATACATGTCTATCCCGCGATGAAAATGACTGCAGATGGACAAGCAAAACCCTGTATCACCCAAGTAAATTCCCAAAGGCCAACACGGCCTCAAAAAAGGGAAGGATTATCTCGTGGGCCGAGGTTTTGCTCGTCTCCAGGGTTTGCTTTGTATGCCCGATTCAGGTTCTTGTACCAAAACGCTCCAAGTTTCTTGCCTCTCTGAAAGCCCTGTGCACTACCAGGTGCTTGCTGAATATTCAATATGGCTGGTAAAGGCCCATATGACATTGAAAGCTCCATCAATGACGCAGACGAGTCTGAAAATGGTCATCTCTTGTTCCCCGAGACCCCCAAAAGAGCCGCAAGAATCAAGAACTGGTTATGGCATAGCATCCTCGCATTGATCGCACTGGGCTGGCTGATTCCTCTCTTTCGAACTCCCATGGAGGTCAGGATATGTGACACGCTTGGTCAAACGCCTCTGCCACCAGAAGTCTTTCAACGTGTCCAAAAGACATTTTTCCCGGATGAGCGGTATGTAGGTCCCTCCAACGAGACACACCATCACTGGGATCATCTGGTTGCCGGCCACGATGCACTATACGTGCCAGATGCCGAGGAATATGGGCTGCCGAAAGGGATTCACCCCCCGTTCGATCATCCGGGCAAGGTCAATGGGGGGCCACCGCAGTTCTACGTGGTTTCCCTGTTCCATCAGTTGCACTGCTTGGTGAGTGATTGTATAAGCTTCTAAATTCGCAATATTCTCCCTCGCTAAGACTGAGCCCACGTCTCAGAACATCGTGCGCTTTCATTATCACCAGGTGAAGACCGGCTCCCCTCCTCTTGGAGATTATAGCGAAGAGGCCTGGGATGTTCATATGGATCACTGTTTCGAGTACCTCCGACAGGCGATCTCCTGTGGCTCTGCATTTGCTATTGAAGGCTCTTCGCCCCTCGAAGATCCGAGTAAAAACGGCCATCTGGCCTCCACTGTGACAGGGTGGGGAGTAGAGCATGAATGCATTAACTTTGAAGCTCTGCGGGCCTTTCAGATCAACCAGGAAAGGGCCTATAACGCTACCTGGCAAAATTCGATATAACAGTCGTGAGGGGGTAACAGGGACAAATTCAACCCGGGCGAGCTTATCTCTTTGTTTCATTCGTAAAAGGTGGCGCTAGAACGCACCCCGCAACAGTAGACAAACCCCTCCCATCTCTTAAGAAACCACAGATTCACTTATCTTCCGCCCACGCAACACAGCACAATGACCCGTCCAACCCACCGCGCCTACCACTCAATTGCCACCCCACGGCTGCTCATTCGTAGTGCCGTCCCATCGGATGCCCAAGCAATCGCCTCTCTCCGCGGCGATCCAAAAAACAACCCCTACACGCCTGTCGAGCCCAACCTATCAGCCGCGGTCTTCGAGGACAGAATCCGCACCTGGACGGCCAGTGCCCAGGAAGGCAAAAATGCCTTCATGGTGATTATACTTCTAGATAATCCGACCTCATCTGATGGTGCTGGGAATTTGATCGGGTTCGGGGGCTTTAACTGTTTCGAAGCCGAGAGTGATTCTCCTACTGCGCAAGTCGTTGCAGACACAGGAGTGATGATTGATCATGAATATTGGGGGACGGGGTATGCGCGGGAGGCGGTCTGCGCGACGGTGGAGTATGGATTATATACGCTTGGATGTGGGCAGATCACGATGGACACGAGCGTGGATAATGAGCCGTGGCGAGGGTTGATGCGGTCGATTGGGCTAGGGCCGGTGGAACGGCTGCGAGAGGTTGGTGGAGAAGCAAATCCGCAGCAGGAGTGGGTGTATCGGTTCGGGAGATCTGAGTGGGAGAAAGCAAGGCAGCAAATGATGGCTGGTGGGAAGTGGATGTTGGACAAGACTCTATAGATACAGAAATTGAATGAGTGAGCAAGCACAAGGATACATCCACAGGTACGGCAGTGAAAAGGGGTAAAACGGCCATATATGGTATAATTCATGGCTTTCCTGGCATGAAACCTATACATAAGCAAAAACAAAGGGCCAACGGTAGAACTGTTCTGGCGTTCGCCGAGCGATTCTTCGCTGGGTTGAAGAAACTGTCAACAAAATATACGGCTAGTCTAAAATTGCCAAAGGCTCTTTTTGGTTCTATACAGTAACTTCTCACCGGATATAAAATATTAGATAATATTACATTTTCGAGAGAAATAACTCATCTCGAACAAAGTGCTGCGGCTCCCCGCTTCGTGTCTTCTGCAATATCGCCGACTTGGATTACGATGCCCATGCCAGACCCCAGGTGCCATATAACGTGGCAATGGAGGAGCCATAGCCCGTCATTTGCCAAAGGGAAGCGAAGCACGACATGACCATTGCGCGGAACGTAAACAGTGTCTTTCCGAAGAGGGTTGAAAGTATTTATCGAACCAGGTGGCGGAGCTGTTGCCGGATCAAAAGGATTATATGTTCCAGGGTAGCCCGGCTCAGATTGCTTTGTTGACATGACATAAAATTCATAACCGTGCTGGTGCAGGTACGCGGCCTAGTTAGATGCAAGTGTTTTTGAAAGTGTGCTTAGAGAGCCACAGGTATTTTATGAGAGTGAACTCACAAGGTGGAAAGCGTGTCCTTTGTCGTCGATATTATTTAGCACGAGCTCCATCCACCTCCCCTCTCCGGACTCGTGATACCATGGAACGTTTAGCGACCACATTCGGCTGGGCTGATTTATTACACGTTCCCATTGGCCTCGATCCAGGGCAAGAAGTGGCCGGGCTTTCGGGTCGGCGACTCTCCAGGTGGTGTGATTCACGGAACCTATCGGTCTTAGGCCCGTGTCTGACCGAATTGACATCTTCGTATACAAAACGGAGGTCTCAACAGGTTCCTTCACAATGTCTATGACCGGACTGCCTGATACTTCTGCCAAGTTGAAATAGGCAGCCGGCTCATGGCCGTCGTCTCTGTGATCGTCTTTCCTGACATCCTCACCACTGTCACCACTCCACACCACAGGGAAAACTTGTCTTCGTGTAAGAGCGAAGTTTGTTAATTTGAAGTTCCTGGTTTTGCGTTGAGTCAATATGCTTTTCGCCATCTGATCACATACTACAACTGCAACGTATGAACTTACTCTAGGTCCAGAGCAATTGTCAGCTTCGATCCTACTTCATATCCTTGTTTCATGTCAGAATTGCTTGCTCCGGGTACTGCTACTGAGCTTGGTAATTCTGTAGGTGCGTGTTCAACGAGGACGTCTATCCGTTCTCCAGGATATAGCAAACCAATCGAAGTCGCGCTAGGGGTATTTGGTGCGACTGGGTTTCCACCGTCAACAGCAATGACTGTCATACGCGCCTGTGAAAGTGAAATTGAGAAGCCAGCCGAAGCTCTAAATATATAAGTTAGTTAGGCCAAGCATGTCGGTGAGACACAGCACAAGACTAAGCAATCACAGTGCCGGGGACCAAACGGACAACTAACCCAGTGTTGATAACTCTTAGTTTAATCCGACTACTCTCCGTAAAGGATACCACTGGTTTCGCAACTGGACTGCAATCCAGTGGCCGCCCCCTGAGAGCCATCGAGCAGTTGAAGTAGCCTTTCCCATTGATGAGAAGAGAATCAGGTGCAGGCTATGGACGACATTAGCATGTCGAAGCATGATGAAAGGTTACCCATGGCCTTTTGTACCTCATAGCCAAAGTGGTTTGGATCCTGAAACCAATCAAAAACGGCATTTGCCGGCCGGTGATACCAGTCACCGACAAGGAGGAGGTATTCCGGTTGTTGCTTGTAGACTGAGATGTCTGACACCAGACTGGCATTATTGGCTGGCTGATGGACCACGAGCCCACCAAACAACCCATCGGCCCGCTGTAAACCGGAATGGGCATGATACCTTTGCGTGTATTAGTTGCTAACTGTCTAATGTTGAGGGGACATGGGCCGGGAAAGAGAAAACTAGATACCAGAATGTGCCGAATTGCATGTCATCGATGCGAAATCGATATGTGTAACTCTCGGATGAGCCAATTGCACACTGACTCAATCCGACAACCCCGTCCATCTCGTTGGCCCCTTTACATGGCCATGACATTACCCAGTTAGCTTTGCTGGGAATCATGATCCAATAGAGGCAGCCCACCGGGGTACCGGCTTACCCTTCATAGACAAACCATGCCAATGGATAGAAATCCCTTCTTCCTCGGAATTTTGAACAGAATTGTAGACGTCGATGACGAGTTCATCACCTGACCGCGCCTCAATTGTAGGACCCGGAAATTGTCCTGGCGTGCTAGTAAGCGATATGATGTCGGTAGAACAATGGCATGGAACGAAGCGGATGAAAAGAGAAAGAGGTTGGACGGATAAAAATTCCATGTTGAACTATACTGTGTTGCGACACCTCACCATTGATTAGATACACCGGTCTCATAACCCCGTCCGGAGCTCGCTGGTCCATCGTGACATTCCATGTCATGCCAATGGTGATGGGATCACGAAATATGTGTCGTTCCGGGTGAAGTACGTATAAATCATTCAGATCATTCTCCACACCAGGAGTTGTTGAATGCGACGTGTTTTGGTCGCCTGTATGAATGATGTTCATACGACCGGAGGAGTCAAGCAAAGAATCAAATTCTGGCGACACGCTCCCGACAGCAGCAGCAGAGGCATAATAACCAGAGGCATAATGACTGTAATAAACGTAGAAGCTTGAGGTAGTAAGAAGTAGCACGGCGCAGCTTGCAAGGAAAAACAGTCGCCTGGGCTGGCAACGTCTATCCAGCATCGTCGTCAGTTTCAACATTGTCATAAGCAACCTCACCTATTATTCCTCCCCGCGTGGCCGGTCTCGGAGAGAGCCGACTTCCGAGTACTTAGAGTTTAAAGTCTCGACACACGGTAGGAAAAATTATTGGGCCAGCTCCAGACTAAATAATATGATTAGGCGAAGGATAGCCCCGAGATACTACTGTAGTAGTTGCAGAGGAGCTAGTGGTGGTTAGCTGGCTCTGTCGGCGAATTTGCTGAAGCCCATGTGGTCAAATGACTGGTATCGCGGCTGCGGCCCTAAAGACCCGTTCTCCACTAGGGTTGTCGGATTAATTAATATGAGCAGATAGCCATTACTAGCGACCACCCGCAGACATCAGAATGACTATTGTACAAGATTTATAAACACTTATTTAGTTCGTTGGAAAACTTCGATGAAGGCATTCAACTTGAAAAAAAAAATAAAAAAGGCTAGTAATTAATTGAATGCACGTAATGGAGGGAATTAGTAGAGCTGGTGACGATATTGTTGGTTTACAAATTTGTCGATGCCGATTGCCGGTACGATATGAAAACATAATGCCGATTTCGTCAAAAGCTCTAGGAATAAGATGTTAAGATGGTAAAATTTGTTAATCAACGGGCGGGTTCTCCCGGAGCAACTCCGGGCCCATGGCTGAGAAGATATTGCGACTAGTCGAACTCACTTAAGGAAAGATTGTCGGTGGACCTCCTGCAAGACATGCGTCCAATATCCTGGGCTAGTTTCTAGCAAATCAAGTTACCACATGGCACCCGTGCCCTGGATCTCGGGTAAGGATTACAGGCCGCGGTGCTGTGTATATCAAGACTAGCAGCAGCCCTTCTACCGTTTGCCCCAATTGACAACAAGATTCAGGACAGCCTAAAAGAGCTTGAAAGATGCGTGTCAACCACTACTATGGAGTAGCTGTGGCTGCTGCCACCGCAGTGTCGGCCGCGTCGCTCAAAGATGTCAAGCACGTCGTCCTTTTCATGCAAGAAAACAGAGCATTTGACCATGTGAGCACCTGTTTTGCTTATCTCACCCACAAATGTTTTGTTAATGCAAACACCTCTACATTTAGTACTATGGGACGATGGCTGGTGTCCGCGGTTTTGCTGACCCCAATGTGCCGGTAGACTCAGCGGGCCTCTCTACTTTTCAACAGTAAGTATACTCTGACAGAATACGTACTATGGAACAGCTAATGTTGTCATTCTTATCAGGGCCATCAACCCACCCCAGAACGGGAGCCAATGGCTGAGTCCCTATTATATTAACTACCTTGGGGGAGAATATATCAACGCGACCCAGTGCATGGGTGCTGGTGGCAATGACTGGATTTCCATGCATGCGGCTTACGCCGATGGCAGTTACAACAACTGGACAACTGCTGATACCGGCTTCAGCATGGCTTACTTTACCCGCAAGGAAATACCCACCCATTTTGATATCGTTGAGGGTTTCACCGTGCTGGACATGAATCACCAGAGTATCCTGGGACCGACTGATCCAAACCGTTGTATCTGGTTGAGCGCGTCGGTCAACGTACCTGGATCACCGTCGAATCCCCATGGCGACGGCGGTGCAATGCTAGACAACACTGCCTCACCGGGTAAGTCTGCCCTCTGGAGATGGGGAAGGGAAATCATCAAACGCTGGCGACTAATCTCAGTGAATAGGATGTGATATTGAAACACCGATAAAGGCCAACTGCTTTCCCTTCACCTGGAAAACGTTTCCAGAGTATCTCCAAGAGGCTGGAGTATCGTGGCAGGTGTACCAAGACCTCGACAACTTCGAGGATAACCCACTTGCGTACTTTGCTCAGTATCAGAATGCGCCCAACGGATCCGCCCTAAGGGAAAAGGGTAACTCGTATCTCGGCTTGGAAGCTTTCTACGAGGCAGCTGGCAATGGCACCCTACCGCAAGTCAGCTGGATTATTGGAGCACAGGAGTTATCTGAGCACCCGCCCAATAGGCCTGCGGATGGTGCATGGCTCCAACAAAAGGTTGTGGAGGCCGTGGTCAACAGCCCTAAATACGAAGAGACCGCTCTGATTATCAGCTACGATGGTAAGGCCATCGCACTCTCTACGTAGCCAGGTCACAGACTTTAGTCTACCTAGATAACTAGATCGCACAGGTACTGATGTCCTTATAGAGCAGGGAGGCTGGTACGACCATGTGCCACCCATCGTTGCCCCTGAGGGAACTCCAGGTGAATGGCTGCAAGATCCGTACCAAGAATTTGGTTACGTACCCCTTGGCCCAGGTATGTAAAACCCATGCTGTTCAGCATTAGTTTGCTCGTGCAAACCAGCTGGCTGATGACGGTTTAGGTCCCCGTGTTCCACGGTATATCATCTCGCCGTACACCCGGGGCGGCAATGTATTCACCGAAACCTCCGATCACAACTCCGACATTCTATTCGTGGAGCAATGGGCCGCCGCGCAAGGTTATAAGGGCGTCTACAGCAAGGAGATGACCCAGTGGCGTCGCGACCACATGTCCAACTTGGTGAACGCCTTCGACTTTGACAACGTAAGAACAATGACTTCCTATGATCTCTGTCTCACTGAGCAACTAGGCAATTATTAGGCGATTATTGTCGTCGTGGATACTAAGCACATATGCTAATGAATTAATAGCCCGACTACTCCAAACCCTACATTACCCCAGCCGAACATCCCCCAACTGAGCCGAATAACCCAAGTGACTACACCGGTGAGATAGCACTACTCGGCTCACTTACCGGACCTTGGGCTCAGCCTGCTATGTGTTTGTCTGAATACTCTGATCCTCAAGCGCCTGTCCCATGGGGCCCAGAAAATTCACACCAGGACCTCAGCCTCCTTGTCGAGGAGGGCTTTAAGCAAGTCCGTGGTCAGCTATCTGAAGGCCGCTTCTTGGTCTTCGAATCGCTCAAACTAGCCCTGACAAACGTCGACGGCAAGTTTGTTGGTGTGTCACCTGCAACTGCCGCACATGAAAACATTCGCCAGCGTTGGATTTTGCACTCCGTCAACGACCCTCTGTCCATGGATACCTTCTACATCCAGTCTGCACTAGACATGACCTATATCACCAGCTTGGGTTCTCTCACTTCTGACATGAAGGATGCACAGGCATACACAATTTCCTATACGCCAAACGGGGCCACCTACAGCCTGAGCCGTAGCGAGACGGGCAAGAGCGAGAAGGGCAAGAGCTTCCTCAGTTTCGGACACGGTCATGGTTTGTCCATCGCCTGGGAGGGTGCTGAAGCTGGGAAGTTCAAGATATTCAGTGTTTCTTATCACTAGTGGCAACGTTGGAGACAGTGTTCTGAGTGAATATACTCGCTCGGCAAGTAACATGAATATAAACTGCTGTATGGCTGCTACCAGGTTACCGAATAGAACATTTGGTCTGTCTGCCTGGTTTACCTTGACTCTGGACCTGAGTCAAACGCTGAGTAGGAGTCCACAGGAGTTTAATAATTCCAGATGCTATTGTGGGGGCTCCCAGGGGCGTGATACTCGATTCTAAGAATGGTCTGCTCCATCATGGAAACAGATGCAATTACAGGGACGTTCATGCCGTGCCGAAATGTGCCTCACTCAAACTAGTATAATATATTCCCCTTATTAACGAGCTGCTAATTGTGTCTAATTGGTAAGTAAAGGTACTTGCTAACTTTGTAACTTATTGCAGCTGCAGACATAATCACCGTAGCTCTGTGCACGAGTGATCTGCTTCCTTTAATGTTGACAATATTGAGTTGGTCTAACCGGCCCCTTTCATAAATTACAATTTATTACGGGCCCTCGCATTTATGAAAGGGGCCGGTTACACAATTGAGCCCATTTTATCCTTGGTCCTTTCCGTACGGTGCATGAGTAGCTATTTCTCCCAGTACATAAGGCGTCTTTGGAATTGCGCAGTCAATAAGCTCTGCCAATTACGCCTATTTATTTATTTTTTGGCGCAGCGAGAAATCAACCAGCTCATATCCCCGGATTCGAAGGGGGCCCGGGTACTCTTCGAACCCGGGGAAGCATGAATTCCTCAATTCTCGGCCGGCTGCCCTCAGAAATGATCGATAGCATCATAGGCCGAGTTGAAGGCCGCAATAATCTCAAATCACTCCGCCTGACATGCCGGGCTCTTAATAGCTTTGCAACCCGGTGGCTTTTCAGAGATATCTATATCTCTGTCTGCAGTCTCAGAGCATCTGAGCGATTCCATAAACTTATCAAGAAGTATAGCCATCTGGTGCGCGAGCTGGACGTCGATGGGATATATGGCCCGCGGTCTGATTGCTTATGCCCATTTGAGGTCACTCCATTCCTTGAAAGAATGCCTTTCCTGCAGGAAATTCGCATATGTGGACCCTATATCTCATGGTTTCATGACGAGATCCCGTCCGATGGATTTCTTGAATTGCTCCGGCGGGCAGGTATCCAGACATCTCCTCAAGTTCGTGTCTTACAGAACCTCCGTTGCTGTAAGCTCCCTACGCGCTATTTAGAATCTTGTGTGGCTTGGTAATAATAAGGGTGCGGCGGAAGTAAACATGGATCTCTGGATGGAAACCGACGAAGACTGGTTCTTAGAGGACTTTGGCGTCGTCTTCATAATCCAGTCGCTATAGGAACTTGATCTCAACGGCTTAACACTTGCCTCCAAAGATCCGGAGGTCCCCCCAGGCTTTGAAGGACAAACTGATTTGAAGACGTTGTGTGTCAAAGATTCTTACATTGATATCGGGGCCTTGCATATCATGCTCTCGTTCCCTCGAGCATTGACTTGTCTTCGGCTCGAAAATCGCCCTCCCCATGCAGAGGACCGACCTGACGGGTGGGGTGGCACGAGGAGAATCGGACCCCTGCAGATCTACATCAGGCAATTGCAAAACAACGTCTGTCACTGGAGCTATTGCAGATCCAGGGTTGGCTGCCGGCCTGTTCAACAAGCATCGACTTCAATCTATCCCAGTTTTCCCAATTCTGGGAGTATGATGATTGCTATGAAGACTCGTCTGGCAAGTTCACGCGAGGCGGAATAGATTCATCAGTGTCCCTATAGCGCAGATAAATGGGAGTTATGGAGTCAAATTGGTGCACCGATACGAAGAGTAAATTTCAACAAGGGGAATTTCCACGTAATGACGTCCCCGCAAGCATTTTCCTCTACACCATCCTAATAAGGAACTCGACGTTCCTTACGATAGGTGCGCCTTCACTTCACCCAGTCTGAGATTGGACCCTTCGAGTTGCTGATTGACGAGCCCAAGCCTCGTTGGTACCGATGGGAAACAAGAAGCGAATGCAACAGTGAAGGCCTCCTAACCTTCCCTGGACTAGTATTAGGAACCTCGCTGTGGGGAAAAGCTTGTTAGGCCCTCAATTCCAGCGGCACCAGCAAGAGAGAAGGTACTTGGACCCGAGCAACCCGACACGCTGACCAGTGTCACTAACCTTGGCAATGTGCTCTCCAGCCAAGGGAATATGAAGAGGCAGAAGCGATGCATCGACGGGCGTTGGAAACACAAGAGAAGCTGCTTGGACGCGAGCATCCTAACACGCTCACTAGTGTTAGCAACCTTGGTTTGGTTCTTGAGAGTCAAGGGAAATATAAAGAGGCGGAAGCGATGCATCAACGAGCACTGGAACCATGAGAGAAGGCGCTTAGACGCTAATATTCCCAACTAGCTACTATTCTCGATATCCTCTAGACTTCCTGAATCAACAAGGGAAACGCGAAGAGACTTCATAATCCTAGACCTGTATCTATAGCATTTCGTGCAAAGGCAATATACGTGGAGATATAATATCTATACTTGGCAATTTTTCCTATAGCACTGTAGACCCTTATAGTTTAATATAGTTCCGAAGCACGTCTTATAGATTTATGTTTCCTTCAAGTAGGCCATCTCTTACTTGCGGATAGTAGTAGTTTTCATACATCGAGTTATATAATCGTCCCCTTCCTATGCATTCGCCTTATCAGTACTTCGGTTTTATGTATCTTCCTTCTAGTAAGAGTTCTACCAAAAATAGTATATTCTTGGATAATATAATTATAATGACATAAAAAATTAATATAGGGAACTAGGTCGGCACAATAATGCAACATTGTCTTCCATATCCCCATCTCAAATGTTTTTGTGGATGATCTTGGCGTCATAGTAGTAAAAAGCGGACCTTATAGCTGTGCGTGTCGTCCTGTAATCCGCCACTCTAACACCTTGTAATCTTTGTTTGAAACAGCTATCGAATACGGAATCGAAGAATCATCGTTTCTGCTACTTTCAGGCTGTATACACGATGTGGACTGGGAGTGGCGGTGCTCGAACCCTGCAGGTACCTAGTGGGCGTTTTATCACATAGGGCCTTTCATGTCACCGCTCTCGAGCCTGCATTAGGGCGTGGTTGGAATTCAACCACTAATCTGCAACTCGACTCAGTTAGGCGTAATGCCCCTCTCTCAGGGTTCCGCGTTATCTCTTTGTCTCAAATTCCATATCGCCATTATCCAGGATGTCCCCGAAGTTTCCCACTCTCTTGACAACCCGATGGTCTGCTTCTGACCCATCGCTCCAGTATCCAGTCTACAACCCCGCAACCGGTGACATCATCACCACCGTTCAAGCCGGCAACGAGGCCAGTGCCTACGGAGCAGTGCAAGCTGCACAAGCTGCCTTTGAAAATGACTGGCGCTGGCGCAGCCCTATGGAGCGCAGTGCGCTGCTCTTCGCATGTGCCGACGCTCTGAGCTCTCACAAGGAGGAACTTGCCGAGATTCTGTGCCTGGAGAACGGCAAGCCCTACGTCGACGCGCTCCAATTCGACGTGAATTTCCTTATCGGGGTCTTTAAATACTTCGCCAGTCTGGTCGACAAACTGCCCGGCGAGCACTATGATCAAGGACCCACTTGCTCGTCCGTATACTACGAGCCGTTCGGCGTTTGTGCAGGCATCGTTCCCTTCAACTGGCCGCCGATACACACGGGCGGAAAAACAGCGCCAGCCCTGGCTGCTGGGAATACCCTTGTCTTAAAGCCCGCAGAGCAGGCACCTCTGACATTGATACGTATTGTGGATATCATCTCCAAGGTCCTGCCCAAAGATGTTGTGCAGGTCGTGCCGGGTCTGGGCACTACCGTGCCTCAAGCCCTTATCAACCATCCTCTTGTCAAGATGGTCTCCTTTACAGGGAGTTCGCCTGCGGGTGCCAAGGTGGCAGAGGCAGCAGGCAGGAGCATTAAGCCCGTAGTGCTTGAGCTCGGAGGTAAGAACGCCTTCGTTGTCTTTGACGATGTGGATCTCGACAAAGTCGTGCCCTCGGCGCTCGAAGGTGCATTCTTCAACAAAGGAGAAGCATGCACGGCTTCCTCACGATTTCTTGTTCAGCGCAAAGTCTACGATGAGTTTTGCTCGCGACTTGCTGCCGCAGTGAGGAAAGTGAAGTGTGGCAATGGCATGGATCCCTCAACGCACGTCGGGCCGGTGGTTTCCAGGGCGCAGAAAGAACGTGTCGAAGGATACATTAAACTTGCTCAAGACAACTCACAAGTCTGCATTGCTGCTCAGTCAGAGCTTCCAGCCGATCCCAACTGCAAGAATGGATACTTTGTACCCCCGACGCTAATCACAAATGTCCCCCGAGGTCACATTCTGGCCAAGGATGAGATCTTCGGACCGGTGGCGACTGTGACGCCATTTGATACGGAAGAAGAGGCAGTGTCTATCGTCAACGAGTCGGAATATGGATTGACATGCGCTATCTTCAGTAAAGACCACGAGACATGTCTTCGGGTCTCCCGAAAAGTGGATGTTGGTATGGTTTTTATCAACAACTACTATAGAAACGTGTTGGGACAACCCTTTGGAGGAACTAAAAACACAGGCTTCGGTCGAGAACACTGCATCGAGACGCTGAGATCGTGGGCGCAGCCGAAGGTCGTCAAGCAGCCTTCGGGACTGGGTCCTCTGCCTAGCTGGAGGGCACTCAAGGATGTCTTCTAGATGAGGTAGAACATAAGAATTTAAATATGCTTCATGCGGCCATGAGGAGAGAAAATTCATTAAAGTAGACCGTGGATTATCAAGGGAGAAAAAGCAGAAAGGAGAGAGAGTATACTTGGGAATCATGTGACACACAATGATTCCCGCCCGCGTACCAGAAACAATTCGAACAGAACCGACCAAGGAAGCTATTGTGATGAGAAAACCATATTTCCGGTCGGGTGCACTGCTCTCTCAGAAAATCAACAGTTGCACCCTGCTCCTTTCATTTGGGACAGCTCAAGTCAACAAAATTTCCTGACAATCCACGCCTTGGCCAGTGAGCGGACGAACCAACATGACAAAGCCGAAGGCCGTACGAGATGCCGACAAGCTGTCAGGAAAGCCACTCACAGAAACAATCGAGCCTTCTTCGTCGGTTCTGGATATAGACAGTGAGAATTGGCTCACCTCGAGAGATCTCCGGGAGGATGGATTACCCTTCACGCCAGAGAGGGTGCGTCAAATGTCAATCTATCTCATCGCCAACCCAAACATGAACTCTTCCTTTCTGTTTCGGGCAGATATCCTCTTTGATAGCCAAGGGCTGCTCCAAACACCACAGCAGAAAGAACAAGCACTCACATTTTCAGGATGCAATACCGAATCAACGGAACAAGAAGAGATCGTGCCTGTGCCGGCAGTCAAGATCGGGGGGTTTCGTTTGACGAGGAGTGTCATACGAAAACTCATCCCCCGCAAACCCGACATTGACCGACCATTGGAGCAAACTTGCCACTTCTACGAATCAGCAACCTCTTCTGTGGACCCTTCCGATGAGAACTCACAGCGCAAACGCTTCCTTGTCATGTACCTCCCCCATATTACATCCGAGGAGGACATACCTTTCTATCACCCAAAGCTCCGAGCTGTTGCCTTTCTATATGACTTTCAGTCCGACCTCAATAGTGGCCCAGGAACGGGAACAATGTCTGTTCATTTCTTGCCATTCAGCGACGACATACCAATCCGCTTGGAACGTACATTACACATGCTACTCAGTACGAATATCCGCCTCGCGAAACATGCTGGGTCTGCCGCGGCCGTTGATGGAAGCAACTATAATCCGATTAGGGACAATATCATTCCGCGACATATCGTCCAGAACACATACTCACGTCTGAAAACCATGTACGCGTCGGACTTGTGTGCGCGCTGGGTCGAGCGCACAGAACCAAGCAAGCATGTCTTCGAGGACCTGCTTATCACGTCTTTTCTTATCGAACTTTGGAGGAGCATGTATGGCGTTGCTCCTACAATGGAAAGAGACCAGACCCATAACAATTCTTCTTCTTTTCCCGGATTCGTGGACGTGGCCTGCGGCAACGGTGTGCTTGTGTACGTGCTGCTTATGGAGGGATATACGGGCAGGGGATTTGATGCCCGTCGTCGGAAGTCTTGGAAGATCTTTCCGGACCGGGTGCAGGAGCGATTGAAGGAGGCGATCTATATCCCCAAGCCGTTTTTAGATGCAGTAGCCGATCAAGACGTCGGCGCGACGATCCACAGCGGAGATTTCGCCAAAGACACCTTTATTATCTCCAACCATGCCGACGAACTCACCGTATGGACTCCACTTCTGGCTGCCTACGCCTGTCCTGAATCACCACTACCATTTCTGTCTATTCCGTGCTGCTCGCACGCGCTATCTGGGGCCAGGTTTCGCTACCCTCCACCGCAAGGAAGGAAACCGAAGACTTCAGAGAAAAAGAAAGAGGGTACACTTCCGGGGGAAGGCGATACGGCGGAAGAGTATGTCGAGCAGAATCCACAACCTTCCTCTGGAGATCTGAAGGCGCTTCGAGCTGCCAAGGAAGAAGAACAAACTGATCTTGCAATGCTCAGTTCTCAGTACCACTCGCTTACTGCAAAAACCATGCGCGTGGCTCAGGAGATTGGGTACGAAGTTGAAAAGACCATGCTGCGTATCCCCAGCACAAGGAATATGGGTGTGATTGGGGGGCGACAGCGGGTTACGAAGGAGTGGAGTAATAAGTCGACTGGGAAGTCTTCAAAAACGGCTGCGGCCAGCAACCACGATGAAGAGACAGTCTTACAGAAGATTAAGGAGGTTGTTGAGCGGGAATGCGCTAAGGACAGTGGTATCGATGCCGCGGCTCGAATCTGGGTTGAACGAGCCAAGGGTCTGCATAAGGGACAAGGAAAGGGGAACCAACCGCATTATTGAAAAAAACCCCCCTATTCGCATCCGGCCGACATTATTGTGGTGGGCCACCGTGTTGGGTTAATTCGGCTCGATTTTCGGGGAATTTGCGAGTCAAATCGGATAAAGCGGAGGGGATCGACAACCTGTGAATACCCGACATTCCTCCGCGTCGATAAACAACATTCAAGGCCCGGCAAAATGGCGTCGTGTACCCCGCTTCGTCCCCACGGGGGGTTATAAAGTGACACGAAGCACCTCAATTCCTGTTTAATCGACCGAGTACAATTGGGTTTGTTCCTGACAATGCGGACTTCATCACTGCTCGCGGCCGGGGCTATCCTCGGTCTCGCAAGTGCCCTCGACAATGGACTGGCGCTTGCGCCGCAGATGGGCTGGGTAAGTTATTTGTTGACAAACAGGCCTAATTAAGAGCTTGGACTAATGCCTCCTAGAACACATGGAACTCCTTCGCCTGCAGCATGAACGAGACCGTCATCCTTGAAGCAGCTGAACGCATCGTCTCGCTCGGCTTCAAGGATCTAGGCTACGAATACGTCGTACTAGATGACTGCTGGTCTGCAGGCCGCAACGCAACGGGATACCTTGTGCCCGATCCACAGAAATTCCCAAATGGTATCGCCGATGTCGCGGATAAGATTCACGCCATGGGCCTTAAAATCGGCATCTACTCCAGCGCGGGAACTATGACCTGCGCGCGCTACTCAGGATCGCTGGGATATGAGGAGAAAGATGCTGCGGTGTGGGCGAGCTGGGGGGTATGTCGATTTCACTCACTCTCTTCTTCTTGGGCCTTTCTAATGCATGATGCTGTGGCAGGTTGATTACCTCAAATATGACAACTGCTACAACGAAGGGGAGGAGGGAACACCCAAACTCTCCTTTGACCGCTACAATGTCATGGGCAAGGCACTCAATGCCACTGGCAGACCTATTCTCTACTCGATGTGCAACTGGGGCGTCGACGGGCCGTGGAACTTTGCTACCACGATCGCCAATTCGTGGCGCACGAGCGGCGACCTGATCAACGTCTGGGACCGCGCGGATGTCAATTGTCCTTGCTCCGAGCTTGATGGCATCGACTGCAAGTTGCCTGGGTATCACTGTTCGGTTATGAATGTGCTCAACAAGGCTGTTTATTACCCATCCAAGGCGTACTCCGGCGCATGGAATGATCTCGACATGCTCGGTAGGCATTGGCTCCACTGGGTTTAAACTCGTCCACAATAAATCAGAATTAGCTAACTAATGTATGAATGATAGAGGTCGGAAACGGCGGTCTAACCGACGACGAAGCAATCTCCCACTTCAGTCTATGGGCAGCGCTGAAATCTCCTCTGCTCATGACAAACGTCATGAGTAAGATCGACTCCGCCACGCTCTCGATCCTACAGAACACGGCCGTGCTCGCCGTCTCACAGGATCCAGAGGCATCGAGCGCTGTTCGGATCTGGCGGTACTACGTTAACGGCGGTGAGATCCAGATGTACAGCGGTCCGCTGAGCGGCGGTGATCAGGTGGTTGTCCTGCTGAACAGCAGTCCCACGCCGCGAGACATGAACGCTACGCTCACGGATATCTTCTGGGATGATGGGGCTGAGGGCACGGCGAGCCAGGTGCAGAGTGCGTGGGATGTGTATGATCTGTGGGCTGGACGGATGAGTAACGGCACCGCGGAGGGGATTATTCGGGGTGGAAGTAATGCGTCGAGGCCTATTGATATGGCCAAGCTTGGGGGTGCGAAGAAGGTTTACTCGCAGGTGCCGTTGCCGGCGACCAAGGCGTTGATGGGGGAGAAGGTTGGAACAGTGAAGGCCGGGGGCACGGTGAAGGCTCATGTGCAACCGCATGGCGTGGCCATGTTGCGGTTGAGGGAAGTGAAAACAAACGATGAGCTGTGATGAAGTCTAGTTGGCAACGCTGTGTATATCAACATGACAATCGGACTATGAAGAGAGTAGTGAAGAAAGAGTCGTTTAGTAGTATACATGATAATCCCGGGAGTAAAGGGGAGAGATGCTGTGCTGCGAAACTGTATAGAAACCTTCTCCAACACCGTTTCTATATCCGTTGGAGACCCAAAATTGAACGCCACGCAAAATCTAAAGGTATAGTAGGGGAATGTGGGAGTAAATATCATTGAAGGAGACAGCGCATCTGCCCTTCACTCTCTTTCCATCATGAGGCCACTCCTCCCTCCACCGCAGATGCAGGCCCTGGGCTAGGATCCGCATGTCGCTCGCGACCACCGTCGTCCGTTTTCTTGCGAGATGATCTGCCCTCAGAATGGTCCTGGTCCTGAGTGCCTAGGCCCTGCGTCTTCGCTGCAGCGGCAGCCGCCGTAGCTGCGGCTGTTGCCGAAGCTCTCCGCGAGGCAGCCATGGCCGCAGCATTCTCCCTCAGGCGCCTCATGCGCTCTGAGCGTCCTTCGCCCGGAAGACCGCCCCAAACCGGCTCGACCGAGTCAGCACGCCAGTTTGTGCGGCTGAGGGGAGTCAATGAGGCTCCCCCCGAACCGGACTCCCCCCACATTCGCACACGCTGGAGCTTGCGCAGTTTCGCCAGTCCGTAAACGCATACGATGGCGGTGAGGGCGAAGCAGGCGACAGAGACACCGCCGAAGCCGATGTCGGACTCTTCGATGAAGTTCTTCAGATTCATGCCATAAAGGGCTGAGAATAAAGTTCCGGTAGCGAGTCCCAGAGTCCCAATGCTGAATTTGAGGTCAAGCAGCATTAGGGAGTTGCGGTTGGCGTCGAGAATTGCCTTCACACTGTGGCAATTATTAGAATTTGCCCGGTCTGATGGCATGAATTGACTTACACTTCTTCCGTGTTGCGGATACCCGTCACCAGGTTGCCGCCAGACTGGACGATTTCATCGCACACCTTGTGATACGATTCCAACAGCATCTCGACTTCCTGATGATCGTCCTCATTTCGTTCTTTCCCGTGTGCGCGTTCGCTCAGGTACATCGATGCCAGATCGTCATCCGCCTCGAGCAGGTCATCAATGGCGTCCCGAACAAGCCTCGCTTTCTGTTCGAACGTGCCCAGTTTCTTAGAGTAGATTAACAGTTGCCGCAGCTTGTCGCGGTCAATGTCCTCTTCCAGAGCTCGAAGGACACGCACGACAGGCTCTCTCACGCCATTGAATTCCTCCTCTAAACCGCTGGTGACACTGACCAAAACTGCTTCCAGTGCACGGAGCTCGTACGGCAGAGCTGCACCGGGCTGTGCGCCTTGGGGTTGTTTCTGGCGTAGTTTTCCTTCCAAGTCGTAGATGAACAGGGACTGCATATAAGAGTCTGTTGAGCCGTAGGCGTCGAAAACGAGGACCCGGTCCGCCTTGATCAATACCCGGAGATGTAGAAGGTTGATAAGGATAGCACTTGGTCGGACCAGGATATGTGGCAGAGTCGACGAGTCGATTTTGCGGAGATCGCGGGGAAGGAGGCCGTACTGGTCAAGAAGATTTCGTTAGCATCTAGTCTCTAAACGACGACCGTCCAAGACTAACTTTGGCAATTAGTTCCAACTTCCGAAACTCTCCATTGATGAGCGTCACGTTCCCATTGATATCAAACTCCGTGCATCGAATCCGCATCTCATTCGAAGCCTTCGCCGCGAGAGTGCGGCCGACATTGAACATCCCATCCGTTCCATCCTCGAGAAATGGCGCTCCTGGACTGCGACTGTTCTTGTGCTCAGCAGTCTTACCTCGCCTGAGGTCCCACAGTCTTCGCAGTAGGGGCCGGGTCTTGGTGGATGCGTGTCGGGGGAGCAGAGATTGGCCCGGCGCGCGCAACGGCAATGTACCGGCAGGAATAGGTCGCCAGCCTGGTAGATTCAATGAATTCAACGAAGAGTAACTTTGCGAAGCGGAGAGACCTGCCCAGCTAGAGGATTTCCGAGATGACCACGCCGAAGGCACTGGATCACCGCGAAGCCGCGACTTCGCAGGACGGGCGCATGTTGACGAGGCCGAGAAACCAGACTGCGATCGGAGGAACCGCAGAAGGGACGCGGAAGGCACCGATGGTCTCGGCGAAGACAGCATGGCTGTCTCTAGGATTGAGGCGGACCGCAGATATGATCTGGCGAACCAAACAAGCGATGATGGATCTCAGTCGCCGCTGAGCGCTTTTTCTGCCGGAGGATTGTTGATCCGGGTCAACAACTCTATAGATACAAAAGGACATTTTATCGTTACTATTCTGAACTGGATTTACTACTGTTGAAGGATACAAAAAGAAAAGTCCAGCCAACATCTACCATTGGAAACTATATACGGAAAACGATCCGACGCCCCCTTTCGTCTCCGAACTTTTGGGCAAAACGCTGGATCACGAAGCACCGCCTGCACAACAAGACAATAGGTATCTTGAACATGATTCTCGCACAGCTTTACCAATCATCATCGTCGTCCTTCTCATCATCTATAACAAGCAGTCAGCAACTTGATCATAAAGCAAAGCGCAAAAGAAAACACATACCACTTCCGCTAACCCTCTGCTTCCTCTGCTTCAGTGCATCCTGCAGCGCACCAGCCAGGCCACCTTGTGGACCGCTTGGAGTGCTGGAAGCTGCAGCAGATGACTCCGCAGCACCTCCCGGCACCATAGCAGCACTTCGGTCTTTCTTCTCAGAGGCTTTGACCTTGCGCAATCCACCACCGCCTGAGCCTCCAGATGCTCTGATAGAGGCCAGCAGATCGTCCCGTCCACCACTAGCTTTAGGTAAAGGCGGAGCTGCTCCACCAGCCGGGGGTGGTGGCGGAGGAGCACCACTTGCACCAGGCGGTGGAGGAGGTGGAGGCACAGCCCCAGCGCCTGGCGCGGGAGGGGGAGGGGGAGGCGGTGCTGCAGGCCCGCTGCGTCCAGGAGGCGGCGGCGGAGGAGGAATAGCAGCGCCCCCTTGGGGTGGCGGTGGAGGAGGGCCGCCCGTGGAAGCTGTAGGCGCTGGAGGTGGTGGCGGTGGAGGTGAGACAGGTCCTCTGGGTGGAGGGGGTGGTGCTGCAGGAGGAGCAGCGGCTGGCGCAGATGGAGCAGGTGCTGCCGGGAAGGCGGGCGGAGGAGGGACAGGTCGCGCAGCCGGTGCTTGGTGCGGCGGAGGTGGTAGAGGCGGCGAAGCAGGGCCTCGAGCAGGTGGAGGGGGCGGAGGTCCAGATGGAGTGCCTGTGGGAACCTTGGGCGGCAATTGGGGTGGGTGTGATGCCGGAGCCGGAGCTGGAGCTCGCGGTGGTGGAGGGGGGGACCCGGAGGAGCTGGGCTGCGGCTGGGCGGCGCCGGTGGTGCTGAAACCTTACGATCGCCCGAGAAAGGAGGTGGAACTCCGAATCGGGGTGCACTATCATCCGCAGGAGTCTTCGGCGGCCGTGGTGGCGGTGGAGGTCCATTGGCTCCTGAATTGGCTCGCAGACGTTTTGGAAGCGCGGGGCCCGGAGCTTCAACAAATTTGCCAGCATCTGCAAAAGGAGGAGGTGCGTTAAATCTGCGAACTGGGGGGGATGGTTCCCGAGGAGGTGGAGGCGGGGAGGCCGGCTCCTCTGGCGCCTCAGGACGGGCTTTCCGTGATGGAGGTGGCGGTGGAGGGCCACGCCCCCTTGAAGCGCTGGCTCCTGTGGGTTGAGGACTGATGGCATTTGTTTTGGGAGCAGCCGGGGGAGGCGGTGGTGGTGCCCTGCCAGTGGCAGATGGTTCGGCCGCTGCACTCTGCTTCTGATCGATCCATGCTTTGATAAAGTCTGAATTATCCGCAATTTGGTCTTCTGTGATCCCCATCTGCTTGAGTTCCCCTAGTAGTCCAGCCCACTCGGGATCGCTCGTGTCAAACGGCAGGTCACCCTTGGCTGCTGGGGTGGCCGCTGGGATGGCCGCAGGGGCAGTCGGGGGCAGGGCTGGTGGCGGCGGAGCGACTTGTATTGACGGCGCTGGCGCTGCTGGCGCTGGGGGTGCGGCGCTTGCATTCGAGTGTCCGCGATGCAGCAAGCTGCCGAACAGGGATCGGCTAGCTTTCCCATTGGTAACAGGTGCCGGACCCTGCCCTCGAGAGGAGGCAAACGGGGTGTGTTTGGTTTCTTTGCTCGCTTTATCCTCGCGGTCATGCACCTTCTTGATGAAGGTCTTGGCCTCCTTCTCGTCGGCAAAAGACAGGCCAGCGGGGCATTGTTCGAGTTCGAACGTGTGAAAGAATGTACGGTCTTGGTTGTAAGAGAAGTTATCAAAGATCTCCTGGTCCCAGATCACTCCCCTTGCGGCAGGCTACATCAAGATCATCAATCATGTCAGCAGGCCCGGCGCTTATCTCTCGACAGGCAGAAGAGGCCACTTACCGAGATATCGACCACCTTCAGCCAAAATGTCCGTCCTACGAGATCATTGCAGAGTACCGCCGCCCCTTGGATTCCGGTGTATGTCCATCGCTGGTTATCCGGGTAGGCGACATAGAGTCGCGCGACAGCCACAGCGAGGATCTTATTGGCTGGTTTGGGGACATTCCGCTTGACGGTTTCCTTGTCAGCTTCGGTGAGGATGGAGGGCATGGCGAATCAACACAAGTACCAGGCGTAGAGGAAAGAACCAGTGGAAATGAGGGTCTAGAGGGTGTTAGGTTGATAGAGAGCGCATTGCCGACGGGCGGCAGTGCTCGGACGAAGGTTGGGGAACGCCCTTAGCACACCGGCTGACAGGAAAGCGGCAGTCCGGGTATCGTCCCCGACGGTGAGAGGAGCTTTGTGTGGGGGGGGGGAAAACGTGGCGGGAGAGTGAAAGGTGGCGGGTGAAGAGAGGAATTGGATTGCCTTGCGGAGATGATGAACTGGCCTGGGGCAGAGCGGTGGGGGATGCGGTACGAGACAGTGACTTTGGCGTGGTGTGGGAACTCTATGGGGCACGTGGTACATTAAATGTACCATGCAAGGATCGGTCTAAAACATAAGACAGAATACTTCGTCAGCTTCTCATGAATATATAGTGATAGATATTAGGCATCCTGTGTCGTCAAAATTTTATCTATCATTCTGCCTGGAATGTTGACCACGGAACAGCTGCTGTTTCTGCCGACGTCATCCCGTCCACAATCTATAAGCAACATTTCCGTTCAAATCTCATTCTTGGAATCATCCAGCACATCGGACTTAAATGACCTCCTCACTTTAGACTTGCATACTTCTCACTTCTTGGAATGGCCTTGACCGTGCAAGGGCGAGATGTGAAAGACGAGCATGGGTAGAGGCGTTTATAATGACATTCTTTGCAATAATATCTGTAGGAAAAACTAAATTCTAGGTGTCTCCTGGTTATTCGGATGCATTCCGAGATTTGAAGTGGTCTGGTGAAGTGCTCATGGAGAATACCAATGATCTAACACCCCCTCACTCGGGACGGTTCCGGGGGAGGATATTGGCCCACTGCGTCTCTGCAATAGGACAATATTCCAACACTTCGCCCGGTTCGGAATTGTCCCGGACAACATTATAACTCTAAGTGGGATGTGCCACCAACTCTCCTCCACATCCCAGCATGCTAGCCAGTCTTTCATCGATTCTGGCATTTCTACGACTTCTATACGACTATATACGTGACGCATTCACAACGATGAGCGAATACGCTTTCGACTGGTTGAAAGCCAAAGCAATTGGATGGACTCATGTACCACCAATTAACAAAATTGACACTCATCATCATTATGTGCCTGACTTTTACAGCAAGGGTGCGTATCTTGCCTCTCCTATTCCAGTCTGTATACTAAATCCAGGTCAGCCGTTGAAGTTGCAGGCGGTATTTACTCTCCCTTTATCATTGAATCTACCGTCAACTCACGGATTCAGGTGACCCTAGCGGATGGCCGACTCCTCATTGGAGCTCCACTGGCTCCAAACTGCTCATGAAGCGTCTTGGAGTTCAAACGGCCATTCTCTCCACCACAGCCCCGGGGGCGTGTATTCTCAACGGACAGGCTTCTTTCGACCTTGCTCGAAAACTAAACGAATATGCTGCGGATCTCCGGGACAAAGATCCTCAATCGTTTGGGTTCCTCGCGTCTCTTCCCAGTCTCCTGGACACTGACGCAGCGCTCGCTGAAATAGCATACGCCCTGGATGTGCTTCACGCCGACGGAGTGACTCTATTCACGCGTTATGGCGAGGACAATACCTATCTAGGTCATTCTTCTGTCGAGCCCATCTGGGCCGAGCTCAATCGTCGCAAATGCGTGGTGTTTGTTCATCCCACACATCCCATCGATACCAATCCAGTCAACTCGAAGTTACCCCAGCCTGCAATTGATTATCCGCATGAGACGACTCGCACGGCCATGGACATGATTCTCATGGGGACGCGGCGCAAGTATCCAGACTGCAAGGTGATTTTGTCTCATGCGGGCGGCGCTTTGCCGTATCTGATCAGCCGGGTTGCAACGCCCATGCGCACAGCGCCAGACTTTGCTGCTTCTCATCGGATGGGCACGACGCATGCTCAAGTGATGGAAGACTTTCGCAGCTTCTATTATGATCTGGCACTCTCGTCTGCTCCTCAGGTCATGGATCTGGTATTGAAGATGATCCCACATGATCATATCCTATTTGGTGTAAGCTGTCACCCTCACAATAATGGTTGAATCCTGATTTGAGAACAGAGCGACTTCCCGTATGCACCAATTACTGCCTATCCAGCGTTCCTGGAAGATTTGGAGAACTATGAAATGAGTCCAAAGTTGCGAGACATGGTCAATTTTGAGAACGCTCGAAAGTTGATTCCCAGGCTAGCTGCACGGTCTCATATTTAGTATTAATTATTTATTTGATCTATAAAATGTGATCTCTACTCTTCTCTTCTCTTTTTATACTTCTCTATTGCATCATAGACCATCACGTGACCACGCGCCTTCTTTCCTCGCGAGCAACTCCTCGCCTTTCTCTAACGCGTCAACCAGGGCTCCTCATGCCACCCGAACGCAGCAATGTGCCGGTGAAGCTGTCACTGCCCCTGGTAAGTCCTCTTAGACTCACAACTGCTGGCGCTGACAGTGGGCCAGCAATATCAGCAGGACATCTTCACCGAACTACGCCAGGAGGATGAGCTTGTCGTGCTCGCCCGCGGCCTGGGGCTTCTGCACCTGATCACTAACCTGCTTCATTTTTATGATGCGGTTGGTAACAACCTGGTCCTGGTGGTGGGTGCAGATGATCGGGAGAATGAATGGATCGGAGAGGGTATGTCTGTGGAAACACCCACATTGGGACATCGGAACGGACGCTGATGTGGAGTAAAGCTCTGGCGGAACATTATGCTACCAGCAAAGCTCCCCTTGCTAGGGGACTGAAGGTCATCAATACGGAGAAAGCTACGGTGCCGATGCGGTGGGTATTTGAGATGGATTGATTTGCAATTGCGCTGATAAGTGCCCAGTGAACGGATCTATGCCCAAGGCGGTATTCTGAGTGTGACATCCAGAATATTGGTGGTTGACCTGCTATCAAGTATGTGAAAGATCATAATCCTATAAATTCTGGCTAACACGTCTTCTAGAACTCCTGGATCCTGAGAAGGTGACAGGAATGGTCGTACTGCACGCCGATAAGTAAGATCAATACAGATTACGAATGTGATATGACCTAATTCTATGCTAGGGTGGTGGCAACCTCGCTTGAGGCGTTCATCATTCGGATCTACCGTCAAACGAACAAGCGTGGCTTTTTCAAGGCCTTCTCAGACTCCCCTGAACCGTTCACCACTGGGTTCGCTCCGCTGGCCAATATGTTGCGCAATCTGTTCTTGCAAAAGGCGTCATTATGGCCCCGGTTCCATGTCGCAGTGGCCGAATCCCTAGAAGGACATCGCAAGGCAGAAGTGATCGAGTTGGAGGTCCCGATGAGCGACAAAATGAGAGAAATACAGAATGCCGTCCTTGAATGCGTCGAAATTAGCATCAGCGAACTGCGAAAGTCCAACACGGGTCTGGACATGGAAGAATGGACACTGGACAGTGCCTTGCACAGGAACTTTGACGTTTCCATTCGACGCCAACTGGACCCGATCTGGCATCGGGTGAGTTTCAGAACTAGGCAAATTGTTAGCGACCTGGGTGATCTTCGGGCAATTCTTCAGTACGTGTAGGCAGTGCCATTTGGTATCATTTTTCTAACAATATAATAGTGCTCTACTTACATATGACGCGGTGTCTTTTGTGAAATACCTTGATACCATTGTGGCTGCCCACTCTCCACCCACTGGTTCCAACAAGCACAACTACTCGCCCTGGCTCTTCCTTGATGCCGCGCATGTGCTTTTCCAGACAGCCAAGTCTCGAGTTTATCAAGGAAAAATTGGCAATGACCTTGCTCGCCCTTCATCACTTATCACTTTCTCCTCTGAATTGGATCCCGTGCTTGAGGAGCTGCCCAAATGGAATGTTCTAGCGGAAGTTTTGGGAGAGATTGAGCATGATGTTTATCTTCATCCGACAAATCTGGACGAGTCGAATGGTACAATACTCATTATGTGCAATGACCAACGCACTGGGCGCCAACTTCGAGAGTACATTAGTATTATGCATGCGCGGCTTTCCCATGGATGGAAAACCAAAGAAGACGATGATTTGATTGATGACAACCCCTCTGCAGAAGTGCTCATGCGGCGACGCCTACGAGACTATCTCAATTGGAAAAGGTCGCTTTCAAACGTCAACAGAAACCTGTCGGCCACGAGCGAGGATGGAAAAAGTCAGGAATCATCGACACCCCAGCAGCAACAAGGAAGGCCGCCTCCAAATAAACGCCGCCGAGTTCGTGGCGGGGGAGGAGTCTCCTCTTCTGCTGGACGCGTGCCGAATGCCAGTGTTCAGACCGAGGTTGAGCAACCAGCGCAGGTCGCTAATCTACTCGAGGAACTTCAACCGACCGAAGTGGAGGAGATGCAGAAAGAAGAAGTGGTTCTTGATGAGCTCCAGGGTATGGACGACTTCTACGAATTGTACGATATGAATGATCTGGTCATGATTCACCCGTATGACGGCGACATGGACGAGCATATCCTCGAGGAAGTCCGGCCGCGATACATCATCATGTACGAGCCCGACCCAGCATTCATCCGGCGGGTGGAGGTCTACCGCAGCTCTCATCTGGGCCGAAATGTGAAGGTATATTTCATGTATTATGGTGGCTCGGTAGAGGAACAACGGTACCTGAGCGCCGTGCGGCGGGAGAAAGACGCTTTTACGAAATTGATCAAGGAAAAAGGCGTAAGTTCTCTCTTTCAGCCTTGGAATGCATTTACTGACCATATCGCCAGAATATGGCTGTTACCCTGACGCACGACAAGAGCGCCGAAGATCCACAGGAACAGTTTCTTCGAACAGTCAACACCCGTATTGCCGGAGGAGGGCGACTCGCCGCGACAGCGTCTCCTCCTCGGGTCGTAGTAGATGTGCGAGAGTTTCGAAGCGCTCTCCCGTCCTTATTGCACGGAAACAACATGATTGTGATTCCTTGCCAGCTAACGGTTGGCGATTACATTCTCACGCCAGACATCTGCGTGGAGCGCAAATCGATCCGTGACCTGATCACCTCACTGCGCAACGGCCGTCTCTACAACCAAGCCGAGACAATGCTCCAGCACTACAAGAACCCGCTACTTCTCATCGAGTTCGACCAGAACAAGTCGTTCACATTCGACGCCTTTGCGTCCATCTCAGCCGGCACAAATTTCATGACCGACTACGGCTTTTCCTCAACGGGTGCAGCAACCTCCTCCGCCAGCAGTAGTTCGTTGGCCAACCCCTCGAACCCGAAATCCGCGCAGCATCTGCTCGTGCTCCTTACGCTCGCGTTTCCACGACTGAAAATCATCTGGTCGTCTTCACCCTACCAGACCGCCGAGATCTTTGCCGAGCTCAAAAAAAACGCCCCGGAACCAGACCCACTGCGCGCAGTGCAGATTGGTCTTGACATGGACCTATCTGCCTCCTCTGGAGATAATATGATGGCCGTCGCCGGGATCGAGCATCGCACCTTCAACCTCCTCCCGCAGGACATGCTGCGTGCCGTGCCGGGGGTGACGCCGCAATCCCTTGAGCGCCTGATACTGGAGACAGAGAACATCAGTGATATTGCGAATATGGACGTCGACCAGCTCGATCCATTGGTTGGGAAGGAAGCCGCGCGCAAGATGGTGGGCTTCTTTCGGAAGAGCGTGTTTGACGGATAGTTAAGTGGAGAATTATGGAAAGAACCTGTCACACAGAGCCACGCCCATCGGAATAGATGGAGGTTTTTTTTATTATTTATATATACTACGTCGTATACCACGTAGTCCTTGTACATACTTGCACTCTTCTTGGCACAATCGTGAAACAATGTCGATCCGCCGGATTGACAATAATAGCAGCGCCCCGTCAACGCCGAGCCCCAGCACGCAAGGAGGGTCCATTCGGGTCCCCCCCTGAAGGTGGAGAAGATCGAACATTCGTTAACTAACAACCGAAAAATGGCTTCTTAACGATCGACCGACTTTCCCTCAGCCATGTATCTCCCGGTGTTGTTGGCGGTCGCGTTGGCTGTGCCCCGTGTTGTTTTCGCGGAGGATGAGCCCTGCGCCCGCGTCACCAGCCTGGTGGAGGATGCCAACCAGAGCAAAAGTGCGTTCTATTTTGGATTCATTCGAGGGAATACGTTACTGACGATGATTCACAGGCTCGGTCCGCGTGCCGCTTGACCTGGCGCACGAGTGTCTGCTCTCGATGCCCTTCGACTCCGGTCGAGCTGTCACATTCTTGAACCAGCTGCGCAAGACGCTGGAGTTTCAGTCGACTATTGATATTCTCAAGAGTATGTCAGCTCATGCTCTAATTAAACTAGAGCTAACGTGTCTGCAAGATCCCCCATCCGGGTATATGATGCCTCCAACCGATCTGCTGGGAGGTGTTGATACGATCTTGAATAAAGCCCGGAGTAAGGCCTATTCCAGCCAGTTTGAAATGGATTTGGACTTGTCTCTCCTCATTCAGTCGGCGTATGATGGCCACTTGACCCTCGAGCTGTGCTCGCAGACAGTCTTTCACTATCAGATTGATCTGCCTCTAGTGTCGGTATCAACTGATGGGCTGGTACTGCCGCAGGTGTACACGTTGGGTAGGGTTCCGGCCTGGAAACTGCTTGAGCATGAATATTAACGAGTATAGATGATTCGAAGCTCCAGCAGGCTGGCTCAACGGCTGTTTCGGCGCTTGCGTCTATCAATGATACAGATGTGGCTCAGTATCTCGAATCTTATGCCTTGAGCCAGAGTCTCCAAGACCGAGATGCGCAGTGGGTTTCATCTACATCTCTCCACAGCTTTTTCTAATCGTATTAGGTACAACCGAGTATTTCCGGCATTGGCCCGAAGCGTCACCAACACGCCCGTCACGCCGAACGGGATTTGGTCTTCCACTGACGCCTGGACCGACGAGGCACACCTGTCTCTCAAGTTCGCTAATGGCAGCGTAAAAATCATCGAGCGGACCGCCGTCCCAGCCGAACGGTTCTTCTCGTACCAAAATGGCACAGAACTATTCAACATCTACTGCCTACCGCAGGGCAGCTCATCTTCCTCCCTGAGCGCAACAGCCGCAGACGCCGAACAAGCATCTGACATCCCGGGCCTCCCCAATACAACCTGGACAACCGGCGGCGGTTCCGTATCCGGATACTTCTCCAACGCGCCCGACCTCCAAGACACGGGAATTATCTTTCTCCCCACCTTCGCCTCGAACCCACATGACGTCGCCGGCGTAGTCACGACCTTCCTGCAGAATGCCACCGCAGCAGGCAAGAAGAAGATCCTCATCGACGTCACCGCCAATCCAGGCGGCTACATGACCATCGGAATTGACCTATTTCGCATCTTCTTCCCAGGCGCTTTTCCGTACACCGCGACGCGGTTCCGTGCCCACGAAGCGGCCAAGTACCTCACTATGGCCTACTCGCGCTCCAACACTACGGACTCGAGCAACATCTTCGCGTACAAGCAGATGGTCACGCCAGATCAGAAAAATGGGTTCGGCGAGTGGGAAGATCTGTACGGTCCGCATGAGATACTGGGTACCGCCTCGTCGAGTCTGCTGGCGAACTTCAATTTCACTACCACCTCCACGAAATCATTCCCCATCAATGGCTACGGGCAAGTTCCGTTGAATCCCAGCCAGTCCCCGTTCTCAGCGGAGGATATTGCCATCGTACATCCATCTATCTCCTTCAACAGACGATATAATTACTAACAAATGACAAACAGATCACAGACGGTGACTGCGTCTCAACATGCGCCTTCTTTGTCAAACTAATGAAACGCGTCGGTGTACGCACCGTCGTCTTCGGCGGCCGCCCCAAGAAGGCACCCATGCAAGGTGTCGGCGGCGTGAAGGGCGGCCAGTCGCTACAGATCGGCTATATCAACGGATACATCCAGCAAGCGGAGCAACTAATCGCCCAGTCATCGAACAGCTCGTCACCGCTCCTCACGCCCGACCAGTGGCGCGCCTTTAACGCGTCCAGGCCGAGCCTGACGCCGTCGCTTGCTTGGGGTGGGAGTGTGAACCTAAGGAATGAGTATGATCCCGACGACAGTCAGACGCCGTTGCAGTTTGTTTATGAGGCGGCGGAGTGTCGGCTTTTTTACACAGTGGAGAATTATCTAGGCGTGGAGAGTATCTGGGCGGCGGCGGCGAGGGCGATGTTTGGAGATGGGGGGTGTGTGCCGGGGTCGACGGGAGGGAAGGGGAGTTTGGATACCTCTTGAGGCAGGGCTACTGTGCTGGTGTTTATTGTTATTGCATGTTAGACAGAGAAGAAGGGCATGTAGACTGGGCTGGGCACATTGCATCAAATTGGACTAAGAAGACTACGGCTTACAACAAACACATCATCATAAGATCAACTTTTGAATTCTCGTAACCCTTTCTTCATAACTCTATTCAAAAGGAACGTTTTCGAAACGAAGGCAAAGCACGACGAGCCACGGGCATGCAATGCAATGCAAATAGACAAGCACGCAATTTCATCATGCGCGTTGCAGCCATATCCTCTGTAACATGAGAATCCGGAAGGAAGAGACTGATAACATCAATGCAATCCCCGGGGTTCTCGGTCGATTTGTGCTGCTTCATACCCTGGGAAATTGGCGGAGTTTCGCAACCCTCTCCTCCGGAGAACAGCGTCGCGGCCCGAACAGTAGATTGCCATTCAACTGTGTATAGCATGTCGAACCACGGTGCGCGGCCAGCTGGAGGAGGGAAGGTGGCGAAACAGGGAGAGAGTGCAGGAAAGCCTTCCTGCACTCTTGCAGGGCAGAGAGCACGAGCTGAAATAGGGGGTCGAGCTTAGAGCTCATCGACATCAATGTCCTTCTCATCCTCGCTCTCGCGATCCTCGTCGAACTCGACGTTATCCTCGAAGCCCTCGTGGCCATAGGTATCTGTCTCATTGATCTTGGCGCTCTCGGGCAACTCGCCGTAGGCCTTGAGGGAGCGGGCCTCGTCGGCGGTGTACTTCATGATCACGTCGCCCTTTTCGTCTTGGTAGTCGCGCAGCGAGAGCAGGATGATGTCGCCCTGGTTGATCCAGACCTTCTTGCGCATCTTGCCGCGGATATGGGCCAGACGCTTCTCGCCGTCAAAGCAGAGAGCCTCGAGGCGGCCGTTGCCGAGCATCTTCACGACTTGTGCGTACTCTTGGCCTTCTTCTTTGAAGACCAGCTCGCGCTTCTCGTTGTCGTTTTCGTTCTTTCCACGACGACGGTTTTTACCGCCCTATTGGAGAGGAGTTAGTCTTTGCTTTACTTTGGGGAGGGTTGTCGAGTGTGGGTTTCGACAGTGATGGTGGTTGTGGTGGCGGGGTTGTTGGTCGTGCACATTTCACATTTCCAACAAAGAGGGGCAGCAGCAGAGTTCTCATTCTTACCTTTCCCTTGTTCTTGGGCATAGCGGTGGGAGGGACCTGAGAAGAGGACTTGTCTCGAAGGTCAGTTCGTAGATCAACGAAGATATACGAAGGAAATAAAGATGGTCCCGGACCGGTGTGAGTGAAGTGGAGGAGGGTAGGAGAGGGGAGTCCGTCAGTGCCTTTGTGTCTGTTCAAATCTCTGTGCTGACCTAATCTTTGTGGCGGTGGCTGCCTCAGGAACCATCTTCACCGCTTGAATTCGTATCGTGCTCAGGTCCGACACAGGATTGTTATTATTGTTATTGTCAGTGCTTAAACCCTCAGCATGCCACCCTAGCCACTCCTGCGAACACTCTTACAGCCAATCTCCCTCCCTTCCCTCCTCGCAATGAAGCTGAACTCCAAGACCCTGGTGATGCGGTACAATGCGCAGCACGTAATCCCCGCCATTGCAAAGCGCTACCTCTCCTCTCCCTTCCATCCGATCCGGCCCAAGATCGCGCACATGTACGCCCACCGGGACCGGAACACGTTATGGTGGCAGGTGTCCATAGTACAGCTTCTGGAGTACAAGGGGGTGGTGCGCTCGTGGAGCCGCCGGCGAGCTCGCACTGCGTTCCGGAACGCACTGAGGAAGCAGGGGTTTGATCCGGACGGCAAGCGGACGGCGGAGGGTCTGCTTCGTTATGAGCAGGACCTGACGGGCTCGCTTGATATCCACCCTCGTCCGCAGAGCGTCTTGAGTAGCTTTGAGGATGTTCAGCGAGATGCCGATTCTCTTCTCGAGAGGATCTTGAGGCAGTGGGCGAGTGGCACGAAAAGCGCAAGTGGCAGGCATGCGAGTGTCTCTTCATCTTCAGACAATCCATGACCCGAGGGTTGTCCTGACTTGTACCATATGACGATGGGATAGATACTGGGGGTGCATTAGCATGGCGTTGGACTCGGCTGTACATTACTACAATCTCACGTGAATTAATTTAACAGAAGCAACATCGAATCCATTAATCAGTCCATAAGCACAGAATACGTATAATTATCCCCTTGGAATATCTGTGGTAAGTACATATAGAACAAAGGACTTAAGCTCCCGCGCCTCGAACCCGACCAACTGCCGATCTGGCGGAAGCAAACACCTTCCCACTTTCGCTCTCCCTCTCACCTCCCCCAACACCAATCCACACTATCCAACATCCGCCATAATGTTGGTCTCGTTGACCGTCGGCAAGGTAGACGCCGGCGTCGCCGTGCTCTTGACTCAGGATAATCGCCTTGTAAGTCGCTGCCCCTGGTGATTGATGGTGCCTGTCTGCCAGGCACTTCACTGCGATCATCGCCAGGAACACGCTTAACACTCAGACAGATTGAATTCCCCTCCGTCCTCCTCCCCAACAACATCGCCTCCGGCAGCATCGTCGACATCACCGTCGCGCGCAACCACGCCGCCGAAACAGCCAGCGCATCGGCCTTCCAGTCCCTCCAGAAGCGAATCCTGAACACATACGGCGTCAACCCCCCTTCGCCGCCCGTGCTCCGCCTCCGCAACGCCACGCAGACCTCGCTCGTCCTCGAATGGGACCCGATCGACCTGGCCACCGCGTCCGTCAAGTCGCTCTCCCTCTACCGCAATGGCTCCAAGGCTGGCTCCATCCCCCGCCCGCTCGAGACGCGCAGTACCAAAATCAGCGGCCTGGCCATTCACACCGAGTACACGTTCCGTCTCGTTCTGCGCACCACCGCTGGCACATACCAGTCAGAGAAGCTGACCTGTCGCACACACAAGATGACCGACTTATCAGGCATCACCGTGACACCCGGAGTCATCGATCCGCAGCGGAAGGAGGCTCTGGCCGCGGCACTGGACCGGATTGGTGGCAAGATGATTGATTCCGTCCGCATCGACACCACACACTTCGTCTGCACGGAGGGACGGGGCCCGCTGTGGGAGAAGGCCGTGGAGATGAACATCCCCGTCGTGGTGCCTGAGTGGGTAGACCGTTGCGAAACGGAGGGGACCATCGCCGGGGTCCGAGGGTATTATCTCGATGCAGACCCGAAGGCGCGCCAGTTGGGCCCGATTCACGGCTCCTCGCACCAGCGCACCACGTCGACTCTGTCGACATCCACCGTCGCCAACCAGGGCCGCCCCAGCACGCAGCCTCAGCAGAGCACCGAGCAGGTCCAGACCATAAACGAGCCTCCTCTGACGCCCTTCCCTGGTGGGGAGCCGAGCGAGCGACCACATGCACAGACGCATGAGGTCAGTTCGGAGGACGAGGAAGACGACCTACCCCCTCCGCCGCCACCACCAAAGGATGAGGAGGAGGAAACGCCCACAGAAGAACATGCCCATCAGAACGGCGTGACACGACCCGAGACATCACCAGATGAGAACGGACACGAGAGCGGTATCGAGAACGACGATTCAATCACCCTGCCACAGAACATGCCCGCGGAAGAAGAAGAGCCCGTGCCGACGACGAGTAACGGCAGCAGCGTCAAGAACAAGGGCAAAGAGGGCGAGGGCGACTTCAATGAAGTCCCGCTCTAGGAAATCGCCTGTCTTCACTCTCTTGTCTTTCTCCTTGCATTCATGCGCGTTTGCCCACTTTGGCGTCTGTCCACGACTTTAATTTATATCCCGTTCCTGCTTTGCGTTACGTTTGTCTATGAGAACGTATGGATTGGATTGTTCTGTCCTCTGCTGTGTTGTGTTCTTAACGTTGTATTGTACAGTACGTAGAGAGTGTTCTTTAGGTAGGTAGCTTTATTGTTCTTCTTCCTAATGCACCCTTGGACTCATTATTAACTAATATACAAAATATTATAAACGGCTGTAAGTATAACCGACCTCCATTGCGAGCTACCTCCCCAATAAGACGATTGTAGGCGGACATAATATCATTAGGAGATACAGATATGCCTAGGACTCCGCCAAACTTAAGGCGTTGCCTCCCTCGAGCATTGAGTTGTCGATACTCGGCCCCAGTATAATGCGTCTGTGGAGCAAAATGACCTATCCTCTCCCAAATCAAGCTTCTGCCAAAAGTATCTCTGCTACTGCTCGTGTCCTCCATGAGTGGTCGCGTAAGTTCTTGTATACACCACTGGTCGGAAGCTGTTTGAATATTAGCCAAATGTCGGCATACAACGCATTGCTCGAAGTAATGTCGATTTTATTGCCCAAGATCTTTTGGAAGGAAAATGCAACCGCGGATCTATCAGAAAGCTGGTGTCAAAGATAAGCGCAATGGAACTTGGAAAATATTTTGAGCGTGAGCCTTTCTCGTCTAACTTGTCTATTATTCCGCCCACATTTATTCAACTCTGATTATCACTAGACTCCGACTCCACGTGGACAAGTAAACAAGCTTTGTATCCTTGCGTGTGCGCAACGTTCTCATTTCGATATGCCGAGAGTTATCTCCTGACTAGAGGGGTACGTAGACTGGTTGATGGAAAAATCATGCGTTCAATAAAAAATCCTCCAATCAACGGGCTGTGGCGGTCACTTTCCCCAGACAACCTCCACAGAAACGAAATTACGGGGATGGTGTCATAGTAGAAAATAGGCGGGGGAATTGTGCCTATATGGGAATTTTTATCATTGACGGGAAATTTAGTTTCCTCAAAGATGCATATTGAGTCCGGGTTGCTTATTATACTAGACCTCTCCACAGAGCTAGGAAAAAGTACTTAAAAGGACGCGTCGCTTACGATTCTTGCAAAATTCTTCACGAGCAAGTTCGTACAGTACCACAACCGATTTCCACCATCATGGTCGGCTACGTTCCTCTTGTGCTCTCTAGCTGCATTGCTGGATCTCTCGCCTCGCAACTTGTTCCTGGCAAGCCGGCTGGTTCAGATGTGAAGACTAGTACAAGCTCTGCTGCCAGACCATGTGTCTGCACAGAATATAGTCAGATCTCTGCGGCTGTTGCAAACTGTATCGATATTGTATTGTCTAATGTCGCTGCCCCCAACGGGTCTTCCATCGATTTGTCTAGCCTCAAGAAGGGAGCCACCGTAACTTTCGATGGTCTGACTACATTTGGATGGGTCAACTCGTCGAGCTTCAACCCTATTACAATTGGCGGAGAGAGCATCACAATAACCGCCAACAAGGGTGCTGTGATCGATGGTAACGGCCAGGCCTACTGGGATGGTCAGGGCTCCAACGGAGGATTGCCCAAGCCAGATCACTTCATTGTTGTCAACAAAGTCACCGGCAACTCAGTCATCGAGAAGTTATACATCCAGAACTGGCCAGTTCATCTATTCGATATCACAGATACTGAAAATGTGATCTTCCAGGATTTGATCCTGAACAATGCGGCGGGTGATGCGCCGAACAGTCGCAGCGATGGCCTACCGGCTGCACACAACAGCGACGGCTTCGATGTCAGCTCTTCCTATAATATTACTATCCGTCGCAACTTCGTCCACAACCAGGATGACTGTGTTGCCATAACTAGCGGAAACAACATGACGGTATCGAATATGCAGTGTTTTGGATCGCATGGCTTGTCCATCGGCTCGATCGGAGGAAAGTCTAACAACAATGTGACCAATATCCACGTAAGTTGACCTTCTGAATTATCTCTGTTGTGTAGATGGGATAAGATCATGCTAACGGATGCTCAACAGTTCACTGATTCAGTCCTCATGAATACCCAAGCTGGTCCTCGTATCAAAACCAACTACGACACCACCGGTTTCATCTCCAACATCACATATACCAACATTGTCCTCCAGAATATCACCCAGTACGGTATCGATATCCAGCAGGATTACCTCAATGGCGGACCCACTGGCATTCCTAGTAATGGTGTTATCGTCGAGAACATCCTGATGAAAAACATAAAAGGATACGTGGCTTCGGACGCTCAGCCCTACTACATCCTGTGCGGTGATGGTTCCTGCTCGAATATCGTGTTCGAGGATGTCAAGGTCACGGGTGGTCTCGCCAGCAGTTGCAATTACAACGTGGCTGGATGCAATTCATCATAGATATGGGGAGACAGTGTGTATCCTAGCGGATTATCGATGGACAATATTGTACATACATATATTATGCCTTTGCTTAAGGCAGCAATGCTTCTTTGAATATAATAAATTTAGATTCCCTCCCCTTACATAAAACACGGCACGGACGATCTCTTCCAACACACCATTCCATTCATCCTCACTCTGCACCTCTGCCCGAGGCTTACAAGCAAGTAATGAGAAAAACGAAGACAATAAAAACGTTTTTCCAATCAAGCTTTCTTCTTAAGCACGCCCCAAATCCTAGGCAAGTAACTATACGGATCATCGTCCACCTCAATGTCACCAGGATTCTCCCACTCTCCAGCTGCAAGGATATCCGCCTTGATATCCCGATTCATCCGACACCCGACGAATGCGCTCCAAGCAGGATTTAAACAAGCTATTCTCATATTAGCTCCTCCATACAGCTTCCAAAGCAACACCCTTGATGTGATAACCAATACATACCTTGCGCCATAGCCGTAACACTATCCTTATTCCTCTCATGCTCCCAAAATATAAAACTGCCCCCCGGCTTTAACAACTTCCACACGGCTCTCATCACACTCTTCACATCCCCCACCGAACACATTACCTGAATACTCAGCACAGTATCCATACTCCCCTCTGTAATCCCCTCCCTTAGCAAAATGTCGCTTTCTTCAACACCACACGTTAGAAACTTATACTTATCCTGGAGATCAAGTTTCTTGAGCTTTGCGGCAATTGCGTCTCCATAGTGGGGGTTAGGGTCAACGGCGTATATGGTGTCTACGAGAGATGGAACGTAGCGCTGGATTTGGTTGCCTGGTCCGGGGCCGAGTTCGAGTATTTTGCCTTGAGCGGAGCGGAGAAGGAAGGGGATACAGGTGGTGTTTTCATAGGCGATGAAACCGCCGGCTGTGCACGAGAGTTAGTATGTGGGGGTTTAAGTTGAGGACAGGGAATTTACAGGTTATGATGAACAGTTTTGCAACAGCGGCGTCTCGAATTCGTCGGGGATGTGTAAGTGCAGTGAGACCGTCTTTGCGAAGGGCTTCTTTCAAAGCGTCGTAATGCACTATTTTGAGAATTGGTATGTTGATACAGGTGAGGATAAGGAGGGAAAATTACGTTGGACGGATAACCAGATGAGCTGAATTGGTCTGATGATGCCACTAAGGCGGCCTTTACTAGCCATGGTGCTTGATATAACAAAACTTGTAAGCATATAGATGATAAATATAGTGAGGTGGTAGTGGTATGCGTACTCAAGTAATGCAAGCGAGGATTTGTGTAAGAAAGTAAAATGTGAGTAGGATTATAGCATGCCAGGTTAGTAGCGCAATTTATAAGAAAGAAGTGGGGAGGGGAATGGGGATCATCTCTCAGGTGCACTCCGATCTCTCACTCAATATGTCTTATATGCGGGCCACTAACCTAATCGGTAAGCGAGCGCCGCGCCGCGCCGCGCCCAACCAACTACTAATATTTTAAACCGATTTATTAGACCATCAACGCCACTAATTTCAAATCCTCCCTATGAGACCTACTAGAACAATGAGTTCCTTTGTGCCCAACTCGAGTATAGTCGCTGCATCGCAGGGGAGCGCGGATACCCACAGCTTGGAAATTGTCGTTCCTTCGTAAGAAGGCTACGGACGACCAAGCATGAGCGTATTCAGGATATGATCATTAGCAGGAAATTATATTACGTCACAGATAACAGAGACCGCCGGTTGTAGCAAGCCTCCCATCCCGAGGACTTCCTCTCAATACATAGTTGTCGAGCACTGTCTAAGTGCTGAAACGACTGAGATGTGCCAACAACCTTTTCATGTCGACTAGAGACCGTTTCGATACGATTCTGACCAAAGTATGCAGAAATATCTTCTATAGCATCAAATTGTGCGCACTTACCAACGTACCAAAGTCTGTTCTCTGCAAGAGTGATCTGAAGGTCGTCACCGGGTTATCTACATTAATCAGTGGATTTGCCTCGCCTACGTAAAAGTTTTATTTATTGTTGGAATGTGCTCGTGTACCTGGCCTGGTTTTCGAGTTTAACTCACCTTAGCTGTTTACAGGATGGATCGAAATCAGTTTCACCGTTTTACTCTCATAGAATCTTTCTCTAACTCACCCTGTTCCGAAGCACACTAATCCATTTCCGACTTAGCTTGGTTTCAAATACTGAATCTTATTGAAAGATAGAATCACGTGGCTCCAAGTTTGAGAAATTACTGGTAACAATCTTGCGAAGAATACTAGCATGTCGCAGACCCTTAGCTCGCTTATGGATGACTTTCCTTCTATCTGTCGTCAACCTTTTAACAGCATGTCTATTGAGGGGCAAGCCAAATTTCTTCCAATTAGCGCGCACTAATTCCATTTATAATGAGAAAGATTATTTTGAAGTTAACATATAAAGCAGAAATTGCTAAGATTACTTGTGATACGCAAGAATCTAGCTCATCTAGGAATTGATATTCAGATCTTCCGTTTCCCATTTCAGCAAGGTTTCAACGCTCGCCAACGTATGAGGATGGTTAGGCCCTATAATTTGCGTCTGTTTGGCTAAGCAAGCTTGTAATAAATGGAGAGCATGACCTTTCTGACCTGAGGATTTCTGGGCGAGAGCGAGACTTGCCATACTCTGTAGCGTATCAGGATGGTCCACACCAAGCGTCATTTTGCGGAACTTCATCAACTGCACTAAGAGATTCTCCGCCTCCCTCCAGCGGCCCTGGCTCATATACGTCGATGCCAGACTGGCCATGCTTGTTAGTGTGTCAGGATGATCCTGCCCAAGCCTTGTCCTGCGAGTTTCCATAACTTGCATTTTAAGCTTCTCGGCCTCCTCCAACCTGTCCTGATTCATGTACGTTGACGCCAGGTTTGCCATGGTCGATAGTGTGTCAGGATGATTTTCGCCAAGCTTCGTCTTGTAAGTCTCGATCAGTTGTATGTTGAGCTTCTCAGCCTCCCCCCACCGGCCCTGATTCCCATATGTCGACGCCATATTGGCCGTGGTCGATAATGTGTCAGGATGGTCCTCGCCAAGCTTCGTTTTGAGAGTCGTCATCACCTGCACAAGGAGCTTCTCAGCCTCTCCCCACCGGCCCTGCTTTGTATACGTCGCCGCCAGGTTAGCCATGCTCACCAGCATAGATGGATGATCCTGGCCAAGCTTTGTGTTACGAGCCTTGATCACCTGTAAAAGGAGCTTCTCGGCCTCCGCCCAACGGCCCTGGTTTAAAAACGTCAAGGCTAGGTTCCCCATGCTGGCTAGCGTGGAGGGATGATCCTCGCCAAGGCTTGTCATGCTGGTCTTCATCACTTTCAGAAAGAGCTCCTCGGCCTCCGCCCACCGGCCCTGATTGAGATATGTCGATGCGAGGTTGGCTATACTCGACAATGTGTCAATGTGGTTCTCACCCAGTTTCGCACTGCTCAATTGAACTACCTGTACAAAGAGCCTCTCCGCCTTCTGCCACCGACCCTGGTTCAAGTATGTCAACGCCAGGCTGGACATGCTTGTTAGTGTAGAGGGATGATCCTCGCCAAGTTTCTTCTTACTACTCTCCATCACCTGCAAAAAGAGCCTTCTTGCCTTATCCCACTGGCCTTCAGCTCGGTACGCTCTTGCCAATATCACTGTGCTTGCAATTGCTTCTTCACTCTCGGCACCCAGCAATTTGACTCTCTGCTCCATCGACTTTGATGCCATTTCCCGTACATTTGCGATAGTACCGCTTTCCAACCCATACCATACACCTCTGTAAAGCAACGTGGCCCATATTCGCAAACTTTCAGGTGAATTTGGTTGTTGCGATAGTGCAGATTTGACATGGGAAAACAGCGACCTACACCTCTCCCAGTTTTCGTATTCACCAGTGGGAAATGCCTCGTGTAAGGTGCTGATAAACTTTTCCTTCCAATGGTCTATCTGTCCACGACAGTTTAACCACGCGCGCGTAGCCAGTTGCACTAGCCGATGCATTGTGAAGATTGTGCTGTTCTCACTGACAGATATAAGTGAATAATCTGTGAGAGTTACAACGTCATCATCAAATCCAAGGCCTAAATCAGAGTCGGATATTTCTCCGTCGCTGTAGTCATTTAAAAGGTTTGAAGTTGATAGGTAGTTGACTTTGACTTCGGAATCATTTCGGATAAGGTTCTCTGGTATTCCTTGCCGATCAAAGAAGCTCATAAGAGAAAGTAACTCCGCTGCAGAAGGCTTTGTTTGGCGTATATGATCAAAAGATATCTGCCACGTCACTAAAATTGAATTTTTTGCTTCCCAGTCCCGATTGTGGGGGCTTGCCTCCCTTTGCAGAAGCTTAATTGCTGTGTTGTCACTTCCCTGAAACTTCTCTAGATACTGTGATACTGATGAACGAGGCCCTAGCTTCTGAATATAGCTACCGGCCTGTACAATCGCTAGCGGCATAAACTCTAATACGCTCACCAATTTTCGACACTTTGAGCTTTCACTAGGTTGTCTAAGCGTTCTTTGGAGAAGCTCTAGCGCCTCTGGCTCCTCCATAGGTTGCACCTCAATAAGGTCCTTGGCGTAGACTATTCCTAACGCAACCTCTTTAGACCGGCTCGTGATGATAGTAGATCCATGTCGGCATATAGGAATATATTCCAATAATGGTTTAGTCGAGGCGTTAGTCAGGTCTTCGGTCGTCCTCGATAATGAACAAAGGAGCTTGTCGTCATCGACATTGTCAAGGATACAAACCCATTTCCCTCTCTTTTCATCCCGGAGCCAGTTTTCGACCAGTTTGAATATGTTTTCGTTGGGATCTTGACGACGTGGGATTTTAACGTGGTCTGCGATTTCCCGGAAGCTTTGCTCAAACCGGGCTTCGCTACTCGCATGGACCCAAAAAACCCATGTTGCTGGAGATTCAGATCGGACTTTATAGGAGTGTTCGATGGCAAGTTGCGACTTCCTTCGAGTTGTGAGCAGTCAACTATGCAAGAGCCGCATTATACTTACCCAACACCGCCGAGGCCAACAAGCGCTATCCTCGACCCCGGGACCGAGTTTTTCTCATTGATCTGATCAAGCAGTGTGCCACGACTGACAAAGTCTGGATCGCGCGAGAATGGGACAGTTGATAAAGGGCTAGGAGGGGTTTCCGGTCGCTCTGAGGTGGGAAGTGGTGGTTAGTCCGACGATCCTGACCTTGTTCAGTTCAGCTCCTGATTCCTGATTTACCCGGAGGCAGATGGAACTCTGCCGTGAATGTGCCATAGTTGATCCCCACCTGGGCTCCATAGTTGATACCAGAGTGACTTGTCGATGCCATGATCGTATAAACGTACCTGTTTGCAGTTCATCACTATCCCTTGTCTTTCTCTCAGCTGAAAGAGAGGCACGTCATCAGGTGACTCGGCTCCGCGGCGCTAAGACACGAAATCAGAGTAGCAGGCCACCAACATCGAGCAATGAGTTGGTCCTGTGTGGGGTAGGATTAGCACTTTCACAGGAACTGGATCGACCCGAGCCAGAACAGCACGCCATAATCAGCCAGGTCCCGCGGGGTGAAAAGCAGTCATCGTGCTCGTCTAACGGATTAATCATCAGCAAGATCACCACCAGTCTGTTCAGCAGATGCTAGTTCTCTATCAGAAAGCCAAGCCTGTTACAAGAAGCAAAGAAGCAATACTCGCTAGTACTGTCTCTATACAACGTTGATCTCACTTACGAAGTCTTACCCTTACATTAACTTACTAACTGATTTACCTGCAGAGCAAGTAGCTCAAGCCGAACAGACTCGCTATGATATGATTTCTATACATTCTATCATCAATGTCGTAAATAAGTGACATGCTAGTTCCCGAGACGCAGAAATCCAATCTTGCAAACCTAAACAAAACGGGGAGAACGAGTGGGAGTAAGATAAGAGTGTGCAACCCGAACTGAAACGCAAACCGCCGCTTATAACAGGCATATCTGTATCAATCAATCAGTTCACGTTGCGGACGACGTAATCGATAGCCTGTGCGACGTAGGTGACGTTCTTCTTGCTCACTAAATTGCTTTGGATTAGTATTTGAATCTAGTATCAAGTCAAGGTGGGATAGGATAGGAAGTGTGCTCCTTACAGCCGCTAATAGATGCCCGCCCCGATTTAAGCAGGTAGATATGGTACTGATCCTTGAGAGCATAGACCTGCTTCAGGGTCAGACCGGTGTAGGAGAACATGCCATTCTGGACATCATATATATTAGCAAAACGCTCTCTGAAAAATTGAAAGAAAGACAAACTCACCTGCTGAACAATATGCTCCCACGTCCCCGGCGTCTGCAGCCTCACAAGCTCAGCATATAGCGCCTGACGCATCGACCGGATACGCGAGCTCATAATCTCCAAATCAGCATGCCACTCCCTCACCAGCGCCTCATCCCCGAGCACCTTCTTCACAATCGCCGTGCCAGCACGCGGACCCATGCTGAACTCGCCGCGGATCAAATGGCACAGATTATTAACAACCACATCGCGCAGACTTCTCGATGCCCGATTGGTAACGTAGTGGAACGCGCCAACGCGGTCGCCATACAATCCAAAGTTCTTAGAGAAGCTCTGTGCCACACACATCTCCATATCCGGCTTCGCAGTAAAGAAATACCTCACCGCCCAAGCATCTTCTTCCACAGAGCCGGAAGCAAAACCCTGGTATGCGGAGTCGAAGAAAGGGAAGAGTTTCTTGCGCTCGCAGAGATCGGCGATTGCAATCCACTGCTCCTTGCTCGGATCCAGACCGGTGGGATTATGCGCGCACGCATGAAGGAGCACCACGTCGCCTTCCTCGGCGTCGTTCTCTAGGGTGCTCATCATGCCGTCGAAATCGAATGCCCGCGTCGCCGCGTGGTAGTACGGGTACGTCTTGCGCGGAATCCCAGCCAGCTCCCAGATTGTCATGTGGTTCGCCCACGAGGGATTTGAGAGCCACACCGTGCGCGGTCTCATGTGGTGGGCCAGAAACAACGCGCCGAGGTGGTTTGCGCCGGTCCCGGCCACCGTCTGGACAGTTGCAATGCGCGCTTTCGCCTCTTCTTCACTGGGCTTGCCCTCAAATCCAAACATCAGATCCCGCGCCAAGGGCAGGAACGGTGCATCGCCTTCGATAGCGGTGTACTCGTGCCGGAAGGCGTCAGAAGCCGCCTCGAGCTCCTTCTCGGCCTTTTGCACCACGGGGAGGGGCCATGGCTTGCCGTCGTCGGTGCGGTAGACGCCCACGCCCAAGCTGACTTTCTGAGGGTGTGTGTCGATGCTGAAGGCGTGGTTCAGGGCGAAGATCTCGTCCGGTGGCACGGGGGCCACGTTCAGGCGGGATGTTACTTTCGCCATGGTGATGGTCATATAATTTCGTGGTTGTGTCTGGATGGCTTAGATTTGGAGGTGACGTTGGAAGTGTTGCAGTTCTGTAGTTTACCTCAATTGCAATGTAATCGTGAAGAAGCTGTCAAATAACGAAATGCTGGTCGGATCAAAAAACTGGCGCTGAGTCAACCAATCGCTCCCTTTTTTTTTTCCCGGACCGCGGGAACAGCCGCTTAGCCACGGGTGGTTCCATACTGCCGTCAACAAGAATGAGGTAATGTATTGTTTCTTGCTTTTGGCTGTGATAGGGAGGGGATGGGCCGTCGATAGCCTGGGCGAGATAACTGAGTGAGCGAAGAAGAACGGACGCGGTTGGATTAGGTTGGGTGTCACGGATCAGCGAGGACGTCATTTGGCGCTGGCTAAGGGTTGCTATAGGCTGGTCTGGGGTACACAGTAGCTACTGTTATTCTCACAGAACCTAATAAAAGGGAAGGATAACGATGTATTGACTGTGGTGGGTTGAAATAACTCAGTGCTGGCGAAGTATACAGGACAGTCATGTTTGAGGTATACTGAACAGAATATATATTTCCACCGTAGTAGATATAGTTCTAGCCCTAGTGTAACTCAATATCGCTTGCCCCTCATCGTCTCACCTTGAATCTACAACCATCACGATGAGCACGACCCCAACCCCAGCAGGCGACAAAGCCTTGCACAATTTCCGCATCCCGGAAATCCACCAACCCCTACACAACAGCATTCCGCCTTCGCTACTCCCCCGCTTCGACCCGATCTACGTCCAATACTACAACGCCTTCAACGCCGGACGACTACACACCCACGAAGTGCCCATCGAAGAGTACCGCCACAACCCGGGCAAGTACGCCATCAGTTACGGCCGAGCCCCCGGCCCACGCATCTTCCGCATCACAGAGCAGAAATGTCCTGTCACCGGGGGCGGGGAGATCACGATCCGCATCTTTGAGCCTGCGCCTAAGCCAGACCAGAAGAAAAGAGCGGCCTATGTTAATTTCCATGGCGGTGGATGGGTGTTTGGTGGCCTTGCCTTTGATCACGACTTCTGTAAACGGCTCGTCAACCGTCTGGATGGCGATCTCGTCGCCTTTGATGTGGATTACCGGCTCGCCCCCGAGCACCGGTATCCCACTGCCATAGACGATTGCTGGGCGGCATTCAATTGGGTAATCAAGTAACCCCCAATAATCCCATTACTGCGCTGATTCTGGGTTCAACAGATCCGCAACGAGAAGGCAGCCGAGCTGAACCTTGACCGCGATCGCTTCGCCGTCGGCGGCGTCTCAGCCGGAGGCCATCTCTCCGCCGTCATCAGCCATCTCTGCCGCGATGCGCACATCCCGCTGCGACTGCAAATCCTGACGGTCCCCGTGTGCGACCTGCACAGCGTGTTCACCCCGAACGGCGACTTCGACCGTGCTAACTGCCCCTACGAGTCCTACCGCGAGATGGAGTTTGCGCCTGCCCTTCCCGCAGCGCGCATGGCGTACTTCCATCGCCATTTCCTGGGCGAGACTCGTCCGGCAGCCTCGGACGAGGTGAGTACCCTTCAATGTACATCTGTAGCATGGACAATGCTGACTGTGAGTAGGATTGGAAGATTTCACCCATGCGCGCGACCAACATGGCTAATCTGGCTCCGGCCCTGGTGCACACGGCCGAACTGGATCCCCTGCGCGACGAGGGCGAGGCGTACGCACGCAAGCTGGAGGAGGCAGGCAATCGCGTGGAGTTGATTCGGGTGCCGGGAGTGCCGCACACATTCCCGATCCTGGACGGGATTCTCAAGGGCGGCAGACGGTACAATGCGACGGTGGTGGAAGTGCTGCAACGAGAACTACAGGGAGAGTAAACATTTAGCCATGACCGTACAGATACCATATTACAGACCACTTGCTCACCGGAACCCCCTGTATTAATGTAATCCACCAACCGGGAACTTTCGGCATCCACAACCGAGTCCGTGTCGGGCGCATTTTTGTCCCTTGGTGTCTTTTTGCTCTAATTTTCATTCCCAGCGAGAGCCATTGACTCGAACCGATACCATGAACGCCTCCGTCTCGCGTGCCGCGGTGCGCTCGCTCGCACATGCTCGGCCCCTGTGTGCGCGTGCGCCGGCCTGGACTTCCCGACTGCACAGCAATAGCCGACTACTACCACAGTCGAGCTTCCCCCGCCTGCAGTCTGTCTCTTCTGTCAACTCCGCGAGAGCTTTTGGCACAACCGTTAGAATGGTAGGTCATGATCCATTTCGGGTGAAGGGGTGATACTGATGGTCTAGTCTTCCGCCCGGATTGAGAGCGATGCCTTTGGTGAGATCCAGGTGTGTATTTCCCTCGCAAATGATGTCAGTCAGGCAGGGCTTTGGGGTTGACCATTCATTCTCTAGGTCCCTGGGGACAAGTACTGGGGTGCTCAGACCCAGCGGTAAGACGAGACACACCCTCCCACCGGAATACACGATTGATGGAGATCCCTCAACAGCTCCCTGGGCAATTTCGACATCAACCAGCCCCAGGACCGCATGCCCGCCCCCGTGGTCAAGGCCTTTGGCATCTTAAAGGGTGCGGCAGCCACCGTCAACATGAAATATGGCCTGGACCCCAAGATCGGCAAGGCCATCCAGCAGGCCGCGGCCGAGGTGGCCGACGGCAAGCTGCTCGACCACTTCCCGCTGGTCGTCTGGCAGACCGGCTCAGGCACGCAGTCCAACATGAACTCCAACGAGGTCATCTCGAACCGCGCGATTGAGATCCTGGGCGGCACGATGGGCTCCAAGAAGCCCGTCCACCCTAACGACCATGTCAACATGTCGGCCTCGTCCAACGACTCCTTCCCGACCGTCATGCACATTGCTGCCGTGCTCGAGCTGGAGAACACTCTGCTGCCCTCGCTCAAGAACCTCCGCAACGCCCTCCAGGCCAAAGTCGACGCCTTCGAGCACATCATCAAAATCGGCCGCACCCACCTCCAGGACGCCACGCCGCTCACCCTCGGCCAGGAGTTCTCCGGCTACGTCGCCCAGCTCGACCGCAACATCGAGCGCGTCCAGTCCTCCCTGCCTCACCTGCGCCAGCTGGCCCAGGGCGGCACGGCCGTCGGCACGGGACTGAACACCTTCAAGGGATTCGACGAAGCCGTCGCGGCCGAGATCAGCAAGATGACCGGCACGGAGTTCAAGACCGCGCCGAACAAGTTCGAGGTGCTGGCCGCGCACGACTCCGTTGTGGAAGCCTCGGGTTCGCTCAACACCCTTGCCTGCTCGCTGTTCAAGATCGCACAGGACGTGCGCTACCTCGGCTCCGGGCCGCGCTGCGGTCTCGGCGAGCTGAATCTGCCCGAGAACGAGCCCGGCTCGTCGATCATGCCTGGCAAGGTTAACCCCACCCAGTGCGAGGCCCTGACCATGGTCTGCGCCCAGGTTATGGGTAACCACGTCGCTGCGACTGTCGGTGGCATGAACGGCCAGTTCGAGCTGAACGTCTTCAAGCCAGTCATGATTCGCAACCTGCTGCACAGCGTGCGCATCCTGTCGGATGGCATGGATAGCTTCCGGGTGCATTTGGTGGATGGTCTGGAGGCGAACGAGCCGCGCATTAACGCGCTCCTTCATGAGAGGTAGATATCCCTCTCCTCAACACCCCCCTTTGTATTGCTATTGTAGCATTGCTAACTTGGATTCTATCAGTTTGATGCTGGTAACCTGCCTGAACCCGGTGATCGGCTACGACATGGCCTCGAAGGTGGCTAAGAACGCTCACAAGAAGGGTCTGACGCTGAAGCAGAGCGCGATGGAGCTCAAGGCCCTCAGCGAGGAGGACTTTGACAAGCACGTCCGCCCCGAGCTGATGCTTGCTCCTAAGGAGATGAAATAGGTGTATTGCATCGCCAACTATGTGATAGATAGATAACCCGTTGGGTTTGTACAATTGTAGCATTCTTTTTGGTCAGATATGACACTCGCCGGATCGGAGTTATAAATAGCATCTTCAGATCTTCGGCATGAATAGACTAAATGTACAGTATGTAGGGGAAAAAAAAAAAAAAAAAAAAAAAACAACGACAACAAATCAACCCTGACCACACATTCCATTCCCAATGATCCAATTCATGGTTCAGTGTGGGCACGTATTAATAGCACTGCCCCTGGGCGTGTCTCACCTTCGAAGCGGCGAACCGGTGTTGATCCTTAGCTCCTCCGCTTTTTTTTCTTGCTTCATTCCACATCCTTCTCTCTTCCTCCTTGTTACTTTCTTGTCTCTTGTCCGCATCATCCTCCGCTCTCTATCTACTAAACCTCCCCAGAACCAACTTGGCGCACTCGCTTCGACTACTCGACTCTTCTCTCAATCTACTCGAAACACAAACACACCCCTCCATCACCACCACCAAACCATCCATCCCCTGAGCAGTCGGACTCATTACCACTTCCACCACCACAACCACCTCACAAAAAATGACCGCCCAACCCCTCACACCACCCACCCTCCAAGCAAGCACCACCAAAACCCCCATGTCCTCAACAATCACCCCAGTCAGCACCTCGTTCTCCCCCCAGACAACATCGACGGACCACTCTTCCCCTCCAACCTGATCAGCCCCGAAATAATCGCCATCCTCCCAACAGACTACACAATCCGCCCGCTTCGCCGTTCAGACTACCACAGGGGCTACCTGGACGTGCTCCGTGTCCTGACAACCGTCGGCGACATCAGCGCCGAGCAGTGGGACGCGCGGTTCGACTGGATCCGCTCCCGCAATGACGAGTATTACCTGCTTGTTGTGTGTGATGGCGATGATCGGGTCGTGGGTACGGGGAGTTTGATTGTCGAGCGCAAGTTTATTCATGAGCTCGGTCTTGTGGGGCATATTGAGGATATTGCTGTTGAGAAGGGACAGCAGGGGAAGAAGTTGGGATTGAGGATTATTCAGGCGTTGGATTATGTTGCTGCGAAGGTTGGTTGTTATAAGGTGTGTCCATCCTTTTTTTTTCGTTTCGTTTCGTTATCTCTGTGAGTGATGGGTAACTGACTGGTTCTTGCAGAGTATCCTTGACTGCTCTGAGGTCAACGAGGGCTTCTACGTCAAGTGCGGCTTCAAGCGCGCCGGCCTGGAAATGGCTCATTACTACTGAGACTTGTTCTTTTTTTTACTTTGGGGCATGGCGTTTGGGGGATCGGATCGGATGGGATGATCTGCTGCACAGGATGGATAGAATGTGCTGTTTTCCATGCCGGTGTGGTCCGTCATATAGTTGGGATTGTAATGAGAACCGCACCCGCGGTGCTGTACCTTGCGAGGCTGGAGAAAATCCTTGGCCTTGTTGTTTCTATAGAGGAGGGGTATGCAATATAGGCAAGAATTGAGCTTGTATGCTGGGCATTCATCCTGTAAATATGGTCATCTTCTCCGATCCTGGTTTTATTGCTCTAGTATTCAAGTCGGCTAGGATGGTAATCCCTACGAGTATAGATGTCGCAATGATACCGTATGGTTATTCACCTTGAATGATAAAAGGTCTGGTAGACAAAGGAGCAATCAAGCCTACATGTCGAGGTGCCCGTCTATCCATTGGAAGAAAGGAGTTGAAATCATTTTGATAATCCATTGTTCCCATTTTGCTGCATTGCACAAAGATAATTCAGAAACAAGGTAGTAAGAGTGTCGAGTCAAGTCGAGACCGGCACTGGCGAAAGACAGCACCGTCCCACCAGGCCACAAGTTTCCTTTCCATCATAGAACACATCCCATCCCGAAGAATCCACCACCAAAAACACCAGCTTAGCGGCTCTTGGCGGCAACCTTGGGAGCAGAGCCCTTAGCACCCTGCTTGCTCTGGATGCGCTGGGCACCGCCCTTAGTAGCGTTCTTGGCCTTCTCGGCCTTCTTGCGGCTCTCGGACGCGGCCTTCTTCTCCTTGGCGTCCTTGATGGCTTGCTTGCGGGCGGCCTCGCGGGCCTCGGGGCGCTGGTTGCGGCGCTCCTTGATCACGTCGAGAGAGGCGCCAACGACGGCACGCTGGTGCTTCACCACACGGCGGGTGCGCTTCTTGGCAACTTCCTGTATGGCACGAATTCCCGGTCAGCGTTGATCATTTTTGGGGGTTGTGTGTTGTATTCTTTTCGATCATCCTCATTCATGACTTCATCCGCAAGTCGTCATATTGTCCCACCACACATGACAAAAAAATGAAATTGATCGATTCAAGGGAGAGAGGGGATGGCTGACCTCAGAGATACCCTTGCGGTGCTGGCGACGGAACAGAACAGTCCAAGCTATCCGGCGAGGGTTCTTGCGCTGGAGGAAGAGCGACTCGGACTTTCCATTCTGGAAGCGGAAGATCTTGCTGTCACCGCGGATGAACAGCTTACCCTGTAGTAATAAAAAAAGTCCTGTTAGCATCGAGATTTGGCTTCTGAGTTGTCTGTGTGTGATCGCTGCATAATTCATCCATTCATTCATCCTGCCGACCGGGCTGGGTGAATGGTGGACGGCGAATTCGGGGATTGGATTGGTGGCACAGTCTCTCAGCGGGAAAAAACGCACCTTGCCGGGGTAGATCTTCTGGCCGCTGAAGGAGTCGTCGTAGGTACGCATCTTGACGGGTGGGCGTTGATGCGCAAGACGGTGGGTTGGCGGTTCAAGTGTTGTTGGGAGATCGAAATGCGCGGGATTGCGGGTGTGACTCGCTGCTGACTGATTGTGGACGCTCGCTAAGCGGAGCACGTGATGTGGATTGCCCTTGCCGTTTTGGGTTGTATACTACGTAGACTAGACATCTCCAACAAAACGTTAGCTATTTGATTAGCGATCGTGCATTACTCATTTATTTAGTCGCCGCTACTTAGTATATTTTGTGGTAAACTCATCAAGTATCTGGTATCATTCTGTTCTTTCTCATCGAGTCACTTTACTGGTTCAATCCTGACGACTGCCATTGCAGCAACTGCATCTCCCCCATTTTAGGAACCTTGGAAACAACAACATTGTTCTATGCACGTGTAATTCATAACGGATAAAACGAGAGAGTCCGACAACGCCCTGCCTCAATCGTATCAAAGACACTCGGGATGCCAGCAAACAAGCTTCATGGTCACATCACAATTTCACTTCAGGTCATGGCATGCGTCCGGGTCCACTCCTTGGCCGTCTGGATCGCCGCCGGCTCATCGTCCTTCCACCGCTGCGCGACATCGTTGGCGAGCGGGTCGTCCGGGTTGGGGGCTCCGAGCAGTGCCTGAATGGACAGCAGAATCGTCCGGATCTGGAGAGCGGGGGACCAGTTGTCTAACGCCGAGTGTTATTATAATGGTGCCTTGAGAGGGGAAAAGGAACTTCTCACTTTTCAGCACATCCAGACAGATCCGTCCCAGACGGTCGATGTTCGGGTGGTAGATCTTGGTCAGGAAGCGGATCTTGGGGGAGTCATCGGATAGTCATCGGGCAGGAAGAGTTCGAGCCGGAAGATGCCACCTGATGGGAGTTGGTTAGCGATTGTCGACACCGATCGAATAGTCGAGCAGACATACCCTCGTATGGAGATTGGGCAGGGCCATGGATCGAGACGTCAAAGTATCGGAGGTTATCTTCATGAGGCACTGCATTGATACCAGGGACACTATCCCAGGCAATCAGCATGTGGTGATCGTCAAAAAGTAGACAGACACTCACGGCTCCGCCATCAGGCGCTCTGTCTCCTTGATGATCCGCTTGGGCAAGGCCATGGCGAATCTGATCACCTCTGGTGTAGATCGACGGGTAGTATTGTCTGCTCGCCCGAGGATACGACAAGACAAGATTGCCTGCAGTCAAAAGACCGAATGGGAGAGGGAAAGAACGAAGGACGCGACACGATCAACACTCCAGAAGCACGATAAGAGCGTCAAGTCACGGCGGAGGGGCGCTGCGTAGTGGGTGTCTGCCGGGTCCCGTAGTAAACTTGAGCCACACCAACACCAGCCACCACGCGGGAATCATCAGCCACAGCGCGCCGCCTCCGCGTTACTACGTTATCGCAGCTCTCTGGCGTGGTCAGTTTGGGATTGACATCCAGCAAAATGGGCCCCCCCGGTTCGGTCTAGTCCTCGACAGCAGAACAAAGACGCCAGCATGTCGAGCTCCATGGAGCCACGTCCTCTGGCGTCGGCCTTTGAGAGCCCGACCTTCGAGGAGGACAGCTCCTTTCATGTGGAGCAGCCCGTTGGGTCCATGTCCATCTCACCATGCGGCCGAGATGTGGTGCTGGCTTCCAAGGAGGGCCTTCATGTCATTGACCTGGACTCGCCATACTCGCCGCCGCGCTACCTGCCTCATCATACCCCGTGGGAAGTGGCCGATGTCCAGTGGTCACCGTTCGCCTCGCGCGACTACTGGGTAGTCAGCACGTCCAACCAGAAGGCTTTAGTCTGGAACTTGGCCATGAAGACCTGGCAGAACTCAATCGAGCATGTGCTCCATGCGCACTCCCGAGCCATCACCGACATCAATTTCTCCGCGTTTCACCCGGACATCCTCGCGACGTGTGCGGTCGACAGCTTCATTCACTGCTGGGACCTGCGCACTCCGTCGCGACCAGCGATTTCATTTTCGGATTGGTTCACCGGCGCGACGCAGGTCAAATGGAACCGACAAGACCCTCATGTCATTGCCAGCTCCCACGACCGGTTTCTTCGCATTTGGGATGATCGCATGGGTGCATATCCGATATGGTCCATCGAAGCGCACAGCACCAAGATCTATGGCGTGGATTGGAATCGTGTCCGACGGGGCGCGATAGTGACCTGCTCCCTGGACAAAACCGTCAAGTTCTGGGACTATACCTCCGAACGAGAAACACCCGAAAAGCTCATTCGAACCCCGTTTCCAGTATGGCGAGCCAGGAATACTCCCTTTGGATGGGGCGTGCTGGCGATGCCGCAACGGGGCAACAATGACCTTCATCTGTACAGTCGACGAGCTGGCGAGGGTACCAACCCAGACGATGACCTGCCTCTGGTGCATAGCTTCCCCGGGCACAAGGGCCAAGTGAAGGAATTCCTGTGGAGACCCCGCGGAGGTGTGGCAGACGGAATTGACCATCGAGAATTTCAGCTCGTGACCTGGGGAGCTGACCGAGAGCTTCGACTGCACCACGTGGACCCAGATATACTGCAACGCGTTGGCTACGAGAAGGGTAAATCCTTTATATCTACACGAAACGTGACCCGCTTAGGCGCGGTATACCGAAGTTTCCGTGATGTGAACTCAGACCTGGACATTGAAGACCTCGAATCGGCCTCATCCATCGCTCCGCACGCCTCAAATTCGCACCATGGAGGCGTTGGAACCGGGATGAATGCGATATCCGTCCCCTTCTCGCGCGGTTGGACACGTGGAGGTCATGTCGACAACAGAGTCGGCATGCAGCCACGCTCGAACCTGAGGGCCGACACCAACCCGATTGCCTGGATGCGAGGTGTGAAGATATCAGGTTGGGATATTGAGACACTGGGTGACGAAATCAGCCATGTCGGCGAAAAATTCACCAAGGTGGTTTTTGATTCGGTCGATGTACGCCAACGAAAGACCACTATATCCCTGAATGGACCCTGGGGCGCCGAGGGCGCTTCCCTCTTCCTCAAAGTGGATATCAAATTCCCTGTCAGCTACCCCAAGAGCGCCACGCCGACTTTCAACATCCAGAAAACCGCAGCGGTGACTGATGAACTAGCCGGAAAACTTTCCGCAGAGTTGCGAACCATTGCTGAAACCTACATGTCTCGTATGCGGGGATGCCTCGAAGGTGCAGTTCGCTACCTTTTGGGTGAAAGCAGCCTTGAAGAAAGTATCGCGTGGATTCTTGGCGAGACTGGGGAGAATGTCAAGTCTCTAATGAACGGCGAATTGGAAGGCGAATCCAGTGACGAGGACGAAGTGGGCATGACACAGAGCCAGGAGCTGGGTATGAGTACTGAACTACTGCGGCCAGTCAATGCGAACGTCATGGTGCCGGTAGCCAAGGCGTGCGGTGCGCTGTGGGCGAACGACGGTCGCCTCGTCTGCTTTTTCCCACCCAAGAAAGACAAATCAATGGCCATGTTTGAGAACCTGGGATTCAAAGAGATGACCCGCCTGTCTAGAACAGGCAAGGTCTTTGAAGGCTTTGGTCGCCTCCAAACAGCCTCCCTGGCCCACGCGGATCCATTACCATTGCCAGCACGGACGATGATGGCGCCTCTGATTATTCCGACGAGTCAGAGTCAGAGAGCTCCAGTTCTTCGGGATCATCTGGTGACATTATTTCTGGGCTGCAGACCCGGTTTCCCGCACCGCAAACCTGGCGTAGCGCTGGCAGTTTGGGTATACATCGCCCGCGGTCTACAGATAATTCTCAACGATCAACAGGAGGCGCTGGGACCGTTAAGTCGGCCGAAGCGCCCAAGAACGTCGTCTCCATTCATGACTTGAGCGATGTGTTACCTGTGAAGCGGGAGCTGGCAAGCAAATACCGCATCACTGGCAAAGGAACTGATGTCTGTGCCCACAACGCCGCCGTCGCTCTGGACAGTGGTTCCTACGAGCTGGCCCAAATCTGGGGGCTCATCAAGCTCATATTACATGTGCGAAAGAACCCCGGCACACCCGGCACACCCTTGGAATCAGGGCTGGGAGTGCGGCGTATGCTGCAGCAGAGGAAAGACGAGCTTGCTTCAGGCCTTTACAAAGGCATCGCTAATAGCGTGATCCGATGGGGGGATCATCCGCTCGGTAGCCATTGGCTAGTGCCCGCTCTGTTCGAGCATTTTGAGCGCATCGGTGATGTCCAAATGCTAGCCATGCTCTCATGTGTGCTTCTCGAGGCCAACCCAGAGAGCAGAGCGATAGATGAACCGGATAAATCCCCATTGAGGCGCTCGAGACAACATTCTACTTTCTCCCTTCAGTTTTCGTCTAATGGGTCTACTGCGCAAAACAAGTCACTGGCCCCTACACCGTCGTCATCAGTGACCAGAGATACCTATACCCCAGTACGATCGTCAAGCGAGACGTGGCAGATTGACGGGACACCTCCATCATATTCGACGGGTACTACACCTCCATCCGGTTCTCGCCCACGAGGCATTATCGACCGGAAGTCACAGAGCCACAACGTTTCCATCGCTGCATCGCCGGACCAGCAATTCCAGTCGCGCGGCGGATTTGGATCTGTGTTGGCGTCATCACTCTCCCGGTCATTCACTTTTGGACCGTCGTCAGCATCGCCTCCGGTAGCCAACAAGAAGAAACCCAGTCCGGGAGAGAGCCCAGGCGCTGCCGCGGGTCAAGGGGTAGGGTCCACCACCAACAGACCAGCGATTTCCAGCTATCTAACCAATTCCACTACTATCACCTCACAGACCTACTCCGACACCGAGAGCGAAAGACCCTCTCAACCGACCAAACCATCTGGGAGATTCAAAGTCACCTTCAAAAACCAAAACGCCTTCAATGGGGACAGCGCACCCGCATCGGACTCCCTTCTTGACCGTAACAAAGAGTGGCTGTATCGATCGTACCGGGCCGCGTATGCGGACCTGCTATCAATTTGGGACCTGCCCGTCCAGGCAAGTGAAGTCCTCAAGATCGGTACGGTAGCTGAACACGAGGACGACTTGCACGCGAGCTCGTACTGGAACCGTCACGGCTCGGCCGTTACTGCGATATGGAAGGACATGTCAGACCTGCAGGGTCTGGACTTCCAGCGCCACTGCATGAGCTGTGGCCATGCTCTACAGCTATCCATCTTCACCCCGCCAAGCGAGAAGACCGACTCAACCCGCTCTAGTCATCAACCAGTCACTTCGCCATCGTCTCCGATATGTCGGAACTGCAAGCCACGACAACCACTTCCAACCAGACTTCCCTGCGTTATCTGCGCCGAAGTAGTGAACGGCATGCTGGTCCCCTGTCTCAATTGCGGCCATGTAAGCTGTTTCGAGTGTCATCGACAATGGTTCCTCGCACCGGGCGATCGATTCGGCAGTTCCTTCGAGCAAATAGATTCCACCAAGACCCTACCCAGCTGTCCCACAGGGTGTGGCTGTATCTGCTCCGAGCATGTAACCACCGACGTTCCCATGCCAACACGGAGAGAGCCTGATGTTGTTGCACCCGCGAATCCCAAGCAGGAACCTCCCTCCTCATCTACTACTCGTCGCGACGAACAACCCGATAAACGCTACAACCGCCGCAGATCCGAGCCCGCACCCGTCGATGGAGGTCCGGTGCAGCTATCTAAACTCGGGGCAGGACCCTTGGAAGATGACCTCGATCTGTGGCAGGAGGCGTCCCCCTTTGCGTCGCTGGCTCGGGGACTGGGCGGTGGTCTGAGTCGCGGATTGCGCACAACTGATGAACGACGGAAGTCGAAATCTGGATCTCCCGTTGCGGCTTCGAGGCGTACGTAATATGGATACATGAAGTTGGTTGGTTGTGCTTGGTTTTGATTTTGAGAGGGTTCGTGCGTGTTTCGAGATGTTCTTTTTTTTCATTTTCAGCGAGATACCACTTTCTTCGTTGCTGTATAACAACGCATCCCATCATGGATTACTGGGTCTGTCAGCAGACGATTAAATTAAAGATAAATCATCCACCAAAGCACTCGCCACGTAGTTGTTCGCGCCGATCCCGGTGATGCTTATTGTTGCGCACTGACAGCAACAGGGCTGCGTGCAACCAATCAGAACCATCGCTAACAAGTATAACACAAAATCACATAACTAGTACATTTTCTATCGAGGCTCCACCATTATCAGCAGAAGCAAGCAAGCAATCCGGGCTGGATCTAGTATCTATCGCAGCACAGCCCGGAGACAGAAGAGGAGAGTAAAATAAAAGCGCCTGGCCGATAGACCCACGTCCATCAATAAATGCACAAACCGACGCAATTGTCCTACAGGTGCTTGTAGACATTCTCCGCGCTCGAGACCTCGAGGACATTCTTCGACTTCTCCTTGGCGGCGTAGGTGACCTTGCCGTGGTCGATGATCATGGCGTAGCGGTAGGTACGACCCTCCTCGTCGGCCCAGCCGATGCTCTTGGAGAACTTGGCGTTCGGGTCGGAGAGGAACAGCTAGAGGATCGTCAGTACCAACGTGGATTGAAAGGGGCGGGAGAAAAACGTACAATGTCATCACCGGTAACCTTGTTCGCCTTGCCCCAGGCGCTCATCACGTAGGCATCATTGTAGGCCAGCACGGCGACCACGTCGACACCCTTGGCGCGCAGCTCGGGCAGTTTCTCGATGTACTCGGGGACATGGTTGGCAGAGCAGACAGGGGTGAAGGCGCCTAGACACAGAACATTAGTCCTTAAGTGGTGGCGATAACAACACGAGCCACAAAAAAAAGGGCTTACCAGGCAGGGCGAAGACGATGACCTTCTTGTCAGCCCACTCCTTGGAGGCGTGGTAGTTAATCGGGATACCGCAGGAGGTGATCTCGCCGGACTCCTCGGACCAGGGAATGTACCTGATGAAGGCCGTTAGTCAGAGAGGGGCACGACGGAATGAGAGTAAATATTACGCACGAGAAGACAACGTCCTCGGGGAAGCTGTCGCCGACTTGGGGACCCTTAGCCATGGTGGATGAGTTGTTCGGTTGTTGAATTGAGGGATTGGAAGGGTGTGTTATGTGGGAAGTGTGTGCCGCTTATGTGTGGTGAAGAAAAAGATAAGAGTGGCGGTTAATAGGGCCGATGACGGAACGTGAGGTGATCCGAAGCCCAGAGATACCGAACCCGACTCGCCCGATTAGCAAAAAAGACCGCCCGAGACCCTCCATGCTTAACTAAACACGAGCTGACTCACTCCCGTTGGCGACCAACGAAACAAGTTTCCAGGGGTTTGTTACTAATAATTGGCGGTGGCCATTTTCCGTATTCGCCCACATGGCGCGGGAAAACGTGGCTCTCGTTCTTATAAGCTTTACAAATACCCGACGTACCATGATATGGCCCTGAATGTACTACAAATTAAGGTTCTGGCTGGTCGTCTAAGGGTCTGGTGGCTGTCCTCGACCGGCTCAATAACTTCGGGAGATAAAAGTCCCCTGGGTCGTCAACCGTGGGATCGAAGAGATGATCGCCGACTCCCTAGGAAGTTATTGGTATGTCTTCTAGTGTGGATCCGAATGCTGCGATGAGCATCGCCTTCAATCATGGTACAATACCATGCGATTGTGGCGATTGTGGGTCCTTGATGCCTTTAATGAAGAAGTACCAGTCGAAAAGTCATCGTGGTGTATATCCCTTTGCTGTGAAACAATGATGCTATTCTAAAGGCCACTAGGTAATAACCGCTCTTAGATAACAATTTCGACTTTTTCCTCCGCCAGAATTGCTCGTCTATAAGGCAAGATGGCATAGGCAAGGTTTTATTTCCACAAAAATAGGTGGAATTCCTGACGTAGTGCCGCCTACTATGCGTTCACGCAAAGATTTTCAATAGTGCCAGTTGAAGGATTCTGTGCCTGCTCGCAGGTCAAACCTGAGCAACAACCGCTGGTGTTCCCTTCACATGATTGACCGCCTATGGATAGAGAAATCTGCGTTAGACATCTCAGGATCCAATCTCAGCAAGGATGTACACATACTAGCAATGCAGCGGGCATGAAGGTCGTTAATGTCTCCTGCGTAGGTCAGGGCGGCCATGGCACCGAGCAAGATAACACTGAAAACCTTCATGTTGGATGTACGGTGTAAAGTATGAGAGACAGGAGGGGAAGTAGATAAGAGATTGATCGGGATCCTCCTGGGACGGAAGTGGCTTGATTTATATATCTGCTTGATCTGGCCCCGGAATCCTTTCTTCGCCCCAACTCAGCCCGACGATCCATGCAAAGTGAAGCCCATATGATTGGCACCTACATGAATTATGACGTTGTAGCTATTAGTTGGCTCTACAGGATCCTGGGCGGCGAACAGCAAATGATCACTGTAGACCCCCCAAGGATCCCCGCCCGAGATCGAGGGTATAAACTTGAATCGGATGGCCTAGCGACAAAGGGTATCTGTTCTAACGACACCGATAATGACGAGATATTCAATTATTGTTCATTGCAGCTGTCATATTGTTTGCGGTGCTGCGCGGGCTTCAGATCAGCTAGATACAGGCGGCACGTCCTTCCATAGAGAATCACAATTCCGCCTCATGTACCACATTCAGGGCTGTAATGTTTGATACCTATGATTTCTTATCTTTGCCTGCCAGCCACAATATTCTTTGGCGTGAAATTCTTGTTGTGAAATGCAAGGAGCCGCTCCGCTCGAACGCCCGAGTGACCGATATCATCGGCCAAGGGATGAGTACTCCGGTGGGTCCAGGCAAAGGGCGCTTGCTATTTTCATAGGAGAGCGGCCCCCTCGAATTCCATATGACATTAATAGTTCTTCCTTAGCGGCCTTCTGGACATACCCGCACCCTCCTTTCGCTGTACTTCCGCCTCTTCTTCGCCGCCGGTCGCGTGTCCACACTCCCCATCCCAGAAGGCGTGCACCAAATGCTACGTTTCGGCCACTGTTCGCACGCACTCGTCTTTCCGCGATCGCGCATCCCAGAATTAGTGGAACTACACCGAACAAATTATATTGGATACGTGGATGTCATCACGGAAGAGTTTGCCAACGCCAACGGGGAGACTCGGTAGGCGGTTACTCCGACTATTATGCAGCATGCTGGGCGGAGAAGCTCAAAAATGGCCAGCACAGACTCGGATGTTCTGCTGAGGCATAAGAGCAACGCTGAAATGTCGGAGGTGGAGAGATTTGTGGAATTTTGGGTTTGAGATGAATGACGTGAATGCATTGCGTGCTGAGCATGATGCTGTTACATAGTATGAGTCTGGTTGCCTCTATATAGATATGTATAATGTAGAAAGTAATTTTTTAATGTCTATTTCGACTTTTGACTTTGCAGAGAATAATGCGGGCGACCGACTTTAACACCCCTCACCCCCCTCATCCGCCGGAACCCTACCCGAGCCACGGTTGGAGACACTACACTGCAGTCCTTGAACTACTTCTCTTGAATCCCCCTCGATGACCGAACATCATAAAAATGACTGAACCGGAGAAAACAACTCTCTGTATCCTAGGCTGCGGTAGGGCACTGCCCTCTCTCCATGTTTCCCTCATACTGATTAACTTCAGGGAACCTGGGCACCGCCATCCTCAAAAGCCTGCTCATTCCGCCACCCAACCGAATGAATGAGATCCCATACAACCATGTTATTGCCTGCGTCCGCAGTGAGCCCTCAGAGATAAGACTGCGAACGAGTTTCGCTTCGGATCTATCCACCCTGTCCATTTCCCGTGGGAACACCCTTGAAGCTGTGCAAGCCTCCAGCGCAGTCATCCTCGGGGTCGACCCTGCCGATATCGAAACAGTACTGACACAGCCTGGATTTCGTGAGGCACTATCTGACAAGCTCCTTATCAGTATCGCAGCAGGCTGGACGCGCCAGCAGATAGAGGAGAAATTGTATGGCAGTGCCACTACTCTGGAGAATAGCCACAATCGCGCCTGGGTCGTGCGCACATTGCCCAACATCGCTGCACAAGTCTCACAATCGCTCACGGCGATTGAGATATCTGACCCTGCTGTCCCAGACGCATACATACAGGCTACGACGGCGATCTTCGAGCGTGTGGGCAAGCCGATCCATGTGCCTCCGCGCTTGATCAATGCGATTACTGCGGTGGGAGGGTCCACGCCTGCATTCTTTGCTATTATCTGCGATGCCATGATCGACGCCGCGGTGGCGGTGGGTATGCCTCGAGATATGGCGCACACGACGATTGCACAGGCGATGCAGGGCACAGCGACCATGCTCCAGGAAGGAATGCATCCCGGCGTGCTCAGAGACCAAGGCACATCCCCGGAGGGATGCACGATTGGTGGTCTGATGGTTATGGAAGAGGCGGGCGTGCGCGGACATGTTGGACGCGCACTTCGAGAAGCGGTCACGCTGGCCCGCCTGATGGAGACGACGGAGCATGTCAATGATACCAGACATTAGGTAGATTATAATCTATATGTGGGGTACTTTCCCCCTCATCTGCATAAGGGATTTGTCGCTTCTGTTGCTTTCCAATGCCTAGGCTGATTGTAAATTCGTTAGAGTGCAGATGAAATGCAAATATATATAACTGGTGTATAGAAATCGACGCACGAATAATTATATACCCAGGCAGAGGAAAAGCAGCGTGTATATACATACCTGTCAAATGCTTTCCCGTGGATACCAAAGTACAGCAGTAATGCCTTTGCTCAACGAAGACAGCTCTCACCAACGCCGTGGCTCCCAATCCAAGTGAAATTTGCTGAGCCTCTGGCAACTTTCCATACAATTGCCTACCTGAAGCCCTATTTTTTGAGCTATCAGTTGTATAGAATGACCGGTCGTAAGACGATCTCCGGAATTAGCGTTAGTTAATCAACGTACGCAGATTTCCTGCGACCACTGCCCTCTACAAAGATGGATTTCCCTACGTAACTTGCGTCATTCTACCGTGGAACGCTACCGTTGCACGCCACATCCGGTTAGCTGTCGATCTGCCGCGCTGATCCGAACTCACGAATTCAACACTTACAACCATCGACAATGGCCGACCTGAAACCCCCCTTCACCGCGGAAACCGCACAGAAGAAAGTGAAGATGGCTCAGGACATGTGGAACACGCAGTAAGTTTGATATCCATGTGGTTTAAAAAAAGACCGGTCTCATGTACTCCATCCCTTGCATTCCTCGAGCCCCGGGGCGAGTTCTTTCATTTGCCATCGCCGATCTGACATGCGTAATTAAAGGGACCCGCCACGAGTATCTCAGGGCTACACTCCGACCTGCATCTGGCGGAACCGTACCTCGTTCTTGTCCGGCACCGAGGCCATCATTGCTTTCCTCACAGCCAAGTGGAAGCGCGAGCGTAACTACCGTCTGCGCAAGGAGCTCTTTGCCTTCAGCGACGATCGCATCGCCGTGCAATTCTGGTACGAGTACCAGGATGCCGAGGATGGGATGAAGTGGAAGCGATGCTACGGACTGGAGGACTGGACCTTTGACCGCGCCACGGGCAAGATGCGCAAGCGCATGATGAGTGGCAATGATTTGGTGCTTGGACCGGATGGCAATGGCGAGGGCCGCTGGTTTGTGGATGGCGTCGACGTGAACACGGTCGCGATTGGCGAGGAGCATTGGTGATAATCTCGAAACTGCGTCCTGCACGTCACTCTTTCTATTTCGGTCCGATGAGGACTTCAGGGTGTGGAATGTCTTGAGCTATGAGCCCCTGTCGGAGAGGCCTATTTGGTTTTTTTTTGTTTTTTTTTTTTTGGGATAACCACCATCTCCCCCCCCTGCGCTCGTGGAATGTCCACACACGACAGATTGCCTGCCTCGATAATCACTAAGCTCATTGTGAATTCTGCTTTGGAGGAGAAAATTGGTGCGGGAAAAGACGGATCTATACTGGTCGGTTCGAATAGCTTCACCAATTGGGAGTGAGTAATTACGCAGTACATCAAAACACAAATCTAAGAAAGAAATGCAAATGTGATCTGAGTGTGTACATCGGGTGGTGCATTCCATGGGTGCCCGGGCAGAGCAGGAATCCCATCATTCCTGGCACTGTTGTGCTGCAGCATACCTCCCACACTACACCCACACTCTCTCACCCATCCCAACTTGCTCCATCTCGACGTTCCCATCGCACCTGCTCGACTAAACCCGACAACCTCGCCGTCGACGGAGCTTCTCCTTGGCCGTTCTCGTTCTTTGCTCGCCTTTCTTTTCCGCCCAAAGATGTTACGTTAACCAGTCTTGTGTCCTTCATTACCATCCCAAAGTCTGCTCGAGTCGATCCTTACCATCCTTTCGTTTAACACACTCCCAGCGGGTGTCAGTTTCTTCCTTCCCTCTCTCTTAATTTTGAGTAAGTATGATCCCATACCATGAAGAAACTCTTCCAAGTCTCAAAGCTAATGGACTAGATTTCCACGAAAAACAACAACCCCAATGTCCTCGTGAACACACGCCCTTACTTAATTTCGTGACGCTCACCTGGGAATGAACCAGATAATGCTGGACGTGAATGATCCCCACCGGAGGCGTCAACCCTTAACAGATGCTTCAAGCCGAATCAACCACCCCAAGTCCCCCAAGGCCACTGATACGCCAACTTCGCGGCTGGAAGATACCGAAATGAAGACTGCAGACAGAATGTCGGCGCTCATGAGTCCCACTCCCAGGGACAACAAAGAGAATCAGCGTCTGTCCGTGGCTACGGACTCTCACCATGATTCTGCTCGAAACTCGGTCATGTCGGCTGCGTCTATTCTTTCCAACAAGGGCAAGAGGAAGACCCACGTCGGCCCATGGCAGCTGGGACGAACCCTGGGAAAAGGAGCTACCGGCCGCGTGAGACTCGCCAAGCATGCTGTTACTGGCAACACGGCTGCTATAAAGATCGTGTCCAAGAAGTCGGCCGCCATGGTGCAGAGCGAGAGTATTGCCGCCATGGACCGCAATGTTGGTCACTATCCAAGTGGAGGGAATGCTCGGCAGATGCCTTGTGGTATCGAGCGTGAGGTGGTGATTATGAAATTGATTGAGCATCCCAATGTCATCAGTCTTTATGATGTGTGGGAGAACCGTGGTGAACTGTACGTGGCCAGACCTGATGCCCAACTTGTCATGAACTAATTTATAACAGGTACCTTGTTCTGGAATACGTCGAAGGAGGCGAGCTTTTTGATTATGTCTCCAACAACGGACCGCTACCAGAGGAGGAAGCAGTGCGTCTGTTTCGTCAGATTATTGCGGGACTAGGGTATTGTCATCGATTCAACATCTGCCATCGGGATCTCAAGCCTGAGAACATTCTTCTGGACGCACACCACAATGTCAAGCTCGCTGATTTTGGCATGGCTGCCCTGCAACCTGCCGGCCACTGGCTAAACACTTCTTGTGGAAGCCCGCACTACGCCGCTCCGGAGATTATCTACGGCCGAAAGTACCGTGGAGACAGGGCAGATATGTGGAGCTGCGGAATCATTCTATATGCTCTGTTGACTGGATACCTGCCCTTCGATGGCGGTGACCTTGCCAATACGCTGCGTCTGGTTAAGAAGGGCGACTACATCATTCCGTCAGAGCTGAGTGATGAGGCGGCCGATCTCATTCAGCGCATCTTGCAAAAGAGACCCGAGGACCGTATCAGCATGCAGAATATTTGGATGCATCCATTACTGACCAAGTATGAGAAACTGCACAATGCAATGGCCGACCACTTCATTGGTCCCCCACCTCCTTTGTCCGTTAAGGATTGTGGAGCGCCAGTGACTAGCCGACAAGATATTGATATTGATATTCTGCGAAATCTCCAGACATTGTGGCACGACGTCAAAGCCGAAGCATTGATGGACAGGCTGATGTGTACTGAGTGAGTTTATACTAATCAGACATTAAGAGCGATGCTAATTTTGTTTCTAGACCAACCCACGAGAGATTGTTTTACAATGCTCTGGTCAAGTTCCGGGACGAGCAGCTCGAGAATTATCAGGGCCAGCCACTCGAGTACTCCGCTAGTGACTACCACCACATCTCTCGCCCTGGAGGACGAGTGCGAAGGGGCCGGAGCCAGAACAAGCGGCGTTACCAATTTGCGGCTATCAAGGATCTTCCTCGTCACCTCAGCTCTGCCCAGGATCCCATGTCTTCGGGAACTGTCGAGAGCTACGACCCCTACCGATCGCCCAAGAATCGGATGTCTGCTGAAGCGCAGTACGCAGAGATTACTATCTACCGAGGTCCTGATGTTCCTATCCCCGACAAGGGCGAGGGATCGCCAGTGGTCAAGCCACCCCCCGTTATCACGGAAGAAGTTGAGAAGGAGGAAGAAGAAGAAGATGATGAAGCCGATGACCCAACAGGCTCACCATTCACAGTTCTTCAAAAACGGAAGCACAAGCCATGCTCCATGAAGTCGTTCCAGTCTTCCAAGGTCCCGCACTCCAGCTCTCGGGCTGCAGTCATGGCTCCTCGTTCCACCAGCTACCGGCGCAATGTTTCCTTTCGCCATGCTCGCAACAAATCGCAAGGCTCAACCAAGCCGAAGAGACGAAAGACCACTCCACATAACAACCAGACTGACCTGAAGCGTTCACCGAGCACGAGTAGCCTCCAGATGATGGCTGATGGCATTGAAGTTCCCGACATGCCCAGCAGCCCACCGCTCCCTGCTCAGCCCACCGTGGTCCGAGGTGCAGATGTCCGGGTTAAGAGTAAGTGCCGAGTTGGAAAAGTTCGAGATTCAGACATTACGTGGAAAGAAGAGGCCCGCAAGGTTTCGCATGAACTAAGCCAGATCTGCGAGGAGGCATTCAATGGCAGTTCCATTACGACCATGCGCACTGCCAGTACAGGTACGGGCTACGAGACTCCAGCAACTCCCATATCGATCACCAGTCCAGAGGAACGTACTTCTTCAACAGTCAAGGCACCGTCCGAGAAGAAATCCTCTGACAACCCGACACCCACACTCAAAGACGCTCCACGATCCTACAGCATCAAAGAGCTGGTTGAGACTCGCCGCAAGTTGGTTGAACACAGCAAGGGTCGAAAGGATAATATCCCCCAATTACTGTCAGGCGTGATCGGCCACCTTGATCGATTGATTGAAACAGGTGAAGAGGGAGAGTCCCCAGAGAAATCCGCAGAAATTGAGGTCGTCACTGCCCTTCCAGATAGATGTGATGGAGCCTCACATGACACTCTGCCGGTTATCAATGAGGAGTTTGCCAGCCCTGTTCGTGGAGGCAATGACTACAGCCCGAAACCTCAACAGAAGCCGCGGACATCTGCGCCGGGCCCTCGGCCCAGCGATCCCAAAGCAACCATTCGAATGGTGCCTCACAGCTCCGTGAAGTCACTCGACGAAGTCAAGCCATTGAAGATCCGCAAGAAGCACTCCGCCCAGCACCTACCTCCGGATGTCCAACATATTCTCAACAACAACAACTCCTCGGAACCCACCCGGCTACTCTCAACTGGATCTCGACACGCCCGCCACCCTTGCGGCCTGGATCCAATTGAAGAGACCCCGGTATCCCCCAAACGAACAGACAGCCGTTCAGAGGGCAAGAAGTGGACATGGTTCAAGCACCGTTCACAGACGGCCGACACGGCACCTGTACCGCCGCCTAAGGACAGTCAGCCCATCATCCCCAGCAACGGCACCGTCGTGATTCATCCACCCCAAGATCTTACCCCTCCCACTCATGATGAGCCCGAGGGCGAAAGAGAAAGAGTGGGAACCCGCAAATCATCCATGGAGCGATTCGGAGGCGTTCTACGCAAAACATTTATGGGCAAGAAGTCGAGTAAGAGTACTCAAGCAGCAGCTGCTGGTAAGTCAACCCCTAGACTAGTCCTTGATCAACCATATCTGACCCATCTTCATAGAGAAAGAGAAGGATTACAACAGGGACAGCCGTAACTTATCCATGCTTTGCAAAGGCATCACCGACCCAGACAGTTCGTTCGAAGGCCACGATCCTCAAAGTCCACCACTTCAGCACACCAAACGCCGCTCCGTCGCAAACCAGAATTGGTTCGCCCGTGTGTTCCAGATCAAGCCCGCTACCCGGGTCATTGCCCTGAACACCTCCAAGATCAAAGGCCGCAAAGAACTGTACAAGCTGCTCCGCGATTGGATTGAGTACGGTATGGAGGATGTGTGGATGGATAAGACCAACAGCGTTGTCCATGGCCGAGTCGGCGAGGTTAACTGTGAGCACACCCTCCCAGCCAATGTTTTGTTTCATGCTAACGTGTGGATAGTCCTCCGTCTTCGCGAAGTCGAGTTCACCGCCGAGTTCTACACTGTCCTCGAGCACGGCCGTCAGGCGAATCTGAGTCTCGTGCGCTTCAAACAGGTGCGCGGCGCTGCCTCGTCTTTCCAAAAGGTTGTAGATACAGTGCACATGATGCTTCGCCACCGCGGTATGATTGTTGAGGATCCAGTGCGCGCGAGGAAGATGTCGCGTGTCCTTGATACGGTGCCCAACCATTCTTGATCTTTATTCCTTTCAACCTTCACCCGCTTTTGCTTCCCATTCCATCCTGCGCATCATTCGACATTCACCACATCGCATCGCATGAACCAACTTCTGTCTCTCGCTTATCCCTTACTCTCACCCTCACCATCAACTAAAGTAGCATTGCTGCGTTCCAGCCCTGCCCTGCCTTGCCTTTCCTGCAAAATCAGCAAAAAATTGCCTTTATCTCTGCCATCGCATTTTGTCTGCGTCCCATTCCGCAATCCCCCACACTCGTTTATCTGGCCTCCAGTCTTCCAAACTACTAAACATCTATGTTGATATTTCCTTCGTCTTGCCCCCCGGTCTTTGATTTGATGAGCTCCCCGATGTTGGACCACCTCAGAGAAAGCTTCTTGAGAGCATGTCTGGCTAATTATTGTCGTGTGATGTTGGTATTTGAGATGCTGCTGGTGTTTGTATTGCGGTTTGCGTTTGAGCAATCCCAACACATCTCCATTTACCTCTTTCTTGTCTGTTTCCCCTTTCCTATGTCATTCTTCACCATCGATCCCATTTTCCTTCCCCATCCCAATAACACCATATCATTTCATATCTCCTATGTTTTCCTTCCTCTTTCCTTTCTTTTCCTTTTTTCTTCACTCACTTTTCTCAACCTCCCACATCGTGTCGGATCGAATGAGATCAGAGCGAGTCCAGACAGGCATAATGCTTAATCTCCTGTGCGCGAACACGTTTAGCTAGACTCGCATGTCATGTACGTTAGATTAGTCTTGAGATGAAGGTGGAGATGGAAATCCAGTTGCAATTTAGTAGTTTTGTCATTCGTTTTTCTATTGTGCAGCATAACTATCATCGATAGAATACTTGTGTGAGTAGCTTGGACTTGGGACTAGAGCTTGTCTTTGTTCGTAGCAAGCGGAATAGGTAGGGCTTGCCACGTGGTAGTGGGTTCGTTCATCTGCATCATCTATCTATCTAGCAATAAGATATAATCTTACTCTGTAAGAACCAGCGTAGAGAGAGAAGAGACACACCTGGTACAGAGAGAATACAAAAATTCGAGACAAACAATCCCTCCCAGAGGGTAGGTAGTCAAAACAGACCCATTGAGCGTAGATTAGAGACTACCAATCAAGAGACAAGATGAGACTAACTTCCGCTAGATGGACGACGACCCACTGTCTAATGCGAGAGACACAAGGCTCTGTTCCACTTTTCTGCCCCATAGATGGGTGAATCTTATACATGCGGTTAGTACTAACTACACAGAATAGGACTAGCATCGCAAAGCATGCTACTTGGATAAACCTCTCGGTTCGACTATTCGTCTCTTCATTTACACGGTCAGAATATGAGCGAAAGAGGAAAAGGATAATGAGTAGTGAGGAAGAGTCACAGTAGTGTAATGGTAATGGGTTAAGCAGGTGGCCCTGAGTTGTGTAGTATAGTAGTAGTAGTGTTGTGTTCAGAATGACGCACTCTCGTCAATCAAAAAGAAGTGAAAGTGAAGTTACAAACATTATAAAAAAAGCAGTAGAAAGATAAAAACAACCCAAAAAAAAGTGATCAGACAGCCTCCCGGATATAAGCAGACAAATGGAAAATGAAACAACGATAAAGCACACAGCCGACCCGGTCTTTTCGCGCGAGGCTACAACATAGCAGTAGAAAAGAAAAACAAAAAACCTATCCAAACCAGAAAGAAATATAGAGACAAGAGAGAGCCGAAACGGACTGACAAAACGTTCAGAAAAGGGAAACCCAGAACCGGAACGCAGCGCAGAAATGAAACTGAGACAAAAACAGATGGCCCCCCACCAGAAAAATGGAAAAAGTGCTGAGGATGTGGTGATGATATGGTGCCGCCGCCGGGGAAGGAAATATATGATGTAACGGTGCCTTGAGAAAGAGAGAGAGAAGGGAAGAGAGCAAAGGAAAAAAATAAAGGAAATATGGGTATGGTTTGGGTTAACTGATGCCACCACCCACTGGAGCTTTTGGTCAATGGAGAATGCTCAAGTTGCAAGCAAGCAGACCTCCAACGACACACACTCCAGTGGTTACTCGGAGAAAAGAAAATTCGTATGCCGAAAACCAGGCCCTGGAAGCTAGCTCTGGCCATGTCGGATTCAAGGTCGTTCGGCTGCTCGTAATGCTCATGGGTCCGCGTTTCGTAGCCTCGTATTCAGATCAAACCGCGCCGTAATGTTGTCATGTGCCGTTCCGTTCAACTCGTCTTTTCATATCGTCGCGTCCACCTGCGGGCTGACTTCTCGTGTGTTCGTCATATGCTTTCCACTTCGCATCCAACCGTGTGACCCGCACACGTTCGGTTTCTTGAAAATAATATTTCCCCTCCCCCCTTCCTCGCCCCTCGCACATCGACTACTGATTCAGCCCGCGGCGATTCAAGGCATTCAGCATGTCGCTGTCTGTGCTGGAGCGGCCGTGCGAATCGCCCGGATTGAGCATGTCGCGCACATTCAGCCCCCCGCGCGCTGCGCCGCTGGGCGTCGAGCTCGGGGGTGGGGTGACTCCTCCCTGAGGAGGCTGCATCGGCGGATACGGGGAGTTGGGGGATGCAGAGTGACGACCGTCGTAGTAAGCGGATTGCGGCGAGGTGCGTCGATCATGCGGTGGGGGGTAATAGGGAGATGGGGCGGTGTGCGTCTGATATCCTGGGGTGGAGCCGGCAGGCGTGACGGGAGCGAGATTGGTCGGGTCCGGGTACTCGTAGCCTGAGCCCGAGCCTCGGCGGCCTCCAGGGTGTCTCTGCGCGGAGAATCAGCAAAGGGGTCCAAAGAAAAGACCTGAGCGCGGGGGGAGGAGAGAGTTGTTGCCTTACCGGATCCGGTGGCATGGACGACGCAAGGGGCGGAGGGGCACCACCGTCCATGGACGGTCGACCGTACGGGGGTTGGTACATCCCTTGAGGTGGCGGAAGGGTCGTCTCCGGGCTTGCTTGGGGCTGTTGCTGGGGCGGCAGTGGCTGGCCATGGGCACCGTAGAGGGTCACCCCGGGGCGGGGGGCACCCTGATTGCGCAGATGAGGATAGGCCGCGTGAGCCGGGACGAATGCTTGCGCCTGTGAGGAGACGGGGGTGAACATGCACTCCTGGTTGAAGCGAATGCAGTTGCTGCAGCGTCCATCCTGCGAGGTTTCGAATCCGGAGCAGCGAATCTAGGAATACGTCTTAGCGTCTGCGCGCGCGCAAAGTTCCCGGGGGGGGGGGGGGGGGGGCAGTGGTCAAGGCGCATCAAAACACATACCTTCCGCCTGCGACAGTATCGACACGCGATCGCCGTTCGCTGCCGGGGCGCAGCAGCTTGGTAAACAACCTGGGGAGGAGGTTGGCCATAGACCTCGGGACGGTAGGCACCTGGCGGCGGAGGCAGGCGGTAGGGATCCTGGCCTTGGTGCGGGTGGATGGCAGCCATGTTGGCGGGTGGCGGGGGATATTGCGACGGCGGCGGATAAGCGTAAGCGCGATCGTCTGGCGGTTGAGGATAAGAAGATGGAGGGTACTGGGGAGGAGGCATGTCAGTCCGCCAGAACCGCACATGAGGGAGTAGAAAGACTCACCGGATACTGCGGAGGGTGATCGTCCGGCTGGCCGTGCTGCCACTGCTGGGGTGGATACGGTCCCTGTCGATTAGGGTCGTAGTCGGGGGGATGACTGGACATTTGTAGGTGTCGAGTCAAGAGAGAGAGAGAGAAGAGGGGGGCGGGAGAGGGGGAGGAGGAAGGGGAGAGAAGAAGAAGAAGGAAGGTGTCAAGGATGTTGTTGTTAAACAGGGATATGTGACGTGAGACGAAAGGGGAAGAAAATCAGATCGATAGTTAGTTTCGCTGTCGGGTCACGGCAGGGGAGTCGGGACAATGAGAGGAATGGCCAATCGAGAAGAGAAGAAAAGAAAAAGGAAAAAGAAAGAAAAGAGCCTCGGCGATTATGACGTGAGCGCAGCAGGCCGGATTAGGCGAGGCAAGACGGTATCGATAAGATGGAAAAAAGAGGATGGATGGAATTTTCTGATTGGGGGGCGTCAGCTGAACCGGGAGGAGGTATACAGCCCGCATATACCCTCCCCGTCCGCTGCGTCTTGTGATGCGATCCTCTCCGTCTCTCGCAATACTACGACGGGCCTCCAATCCTCCCGCCTCCGCTGTCCCTCCCTCCCCGTCCAATATTGGATGGACTTCGTCCTGGCCGGGCGGACACTGGGTAGGACTGTGTAGCGGTGAGTGGCGATCAGACTTCAGCTGACGAGTGGAGCCCTTTTCAGCTGTGTGGAGGCCCCTAAGTTCCCAGTGCTACAGCCCCGGGAATGGGACGCCCCAGGGTAACCTGCATTAGTGCCGCTGACAGGGGGGAACACCATTCATCCTGTACATACAATTCCAGTATACGGCGTACGTGCCACGGGCCGCTCCGGGCTTCCCGCCGATCTCCTGCATGTACACTTTGGGTATTGGGTAGTACTGTTCTTCGAGTCACCCGTCATCCTCTTGAGCGATCCTCCTCGACGATGGACTACACCGTCCACGACTAGACCTGCCACGTTCCCGGTCGGGCCCGCCGCCGTCCGGCCGTCCGCGTCTTTCCGCCCGCACCACGACTTTCAGTCCCAAGCAAACATTCCACGCCGGACTCCACCCGACCCAGCGCTGTTAGCCACTCGATCCGAAGGACTGAGCGTCCTGGCCCCCTCCCATTAACCCAGCTCGGCCCAACGCAGCAGCCCGACCGATGGACGTGTCTGATTGGTCCGTCTCACCCCTCCTACCCACACGGGAAGCGCGTCTATCACCACCGGGATGGAGCCCAATGACTGCACTAATAGGCGCAGCCCGCATGCGATGTTGGTCACGGGAACAGGGAACACCAAGTGTCGGTGTGCTTGCTCGTGTGATGTGTGCTTACAGAGAGCTGTTGCGCGGGGATTGGTGGTCTCAACCGTGGGAGTGTCTCAAGTGACACAGCCCTTCAGTCAGTGGATGGCGTGGGAGAATGCATTATGTCTGGTCGGTCGCCAACTCTAATAATAAGGACATGGCATATGCTTCAACGGCTGCATGGCATCCCCGGCCCAAAGGATCGCGGGTATCAGTATAAGTAGGGCCTGGAACGGGTTTAGGCCCGGGTGATGAGATCATGACCTTGCGCAGTGCCAGGCAGTGAAGACAAGAGAATTAATGGTCATATGGATTCGCACAGGACTCGGCGGTTGCTTGCATGGTAGATGACATGCACGCCAGGGCTCTTTAACCTCCGGCAGCCTAACCCGATACACTAACTCGAATGCTGTCAGAAATCTAAATCCCGACGCAACTAACACTAACCCCATTCTCCGCTCTAGCAATCACTAGTGAGTCCATCCACTCCAGATACTATACGACAATCTAATTCCAGCTGTCCACGACCTGGTATGTACAGTGCACATACTACCGAAGCCCCATGATTTCCTCCACCCCAACCCCAGCAGAAAACAAAGAGTCCGAGTCATAGACTCTCGCTCTCTCCAACCATCCCGCCCAGCAAACCCATGTAAAACATGAATCCACAATAAACCACGCAAACAACGGGCCGGAGCGCCACACCAATGCACGAGCGGATCGGGCCACTAATGCCCGACGAGGAAGGTCCTCAAATCCTTTCATCCGTCCGGACTATTTAAACACAAAGTGGGGATGAACCAGACATTGTCACTGCCAGAAGTTTGGTTGTGCTGGGGCGGGCTTGCCCGACCACGGGCCGGGAACGGCGCGACGCGTCCAATGTCCCAGGTGGCGAAGGTGGATGGATGGGTACACGGTATCCGTGGATTGGGTTATTGGGATTTACTTCGGGGAGCGTGGGTGGGTGGGTGTGTTTGTGTCTTGCAGATGCAGGCGGGTAAGGGAAAGGGAAAATAAGACGAGTGTTGGCCAAAAGGTAAATCGCTAGACTAGGCAGATTTTTTGGCTTTCGCTATGTGATTGGCGCTGTTGCACGGGACAGCATGAGACCAAGGCAGCCTCTTGCTGCTAGCGGGGGTGGAATGTGCAGACAGCGAGACACTACTCGCATTTTAGTACATATTACTCCTGTAGACAGCAGGACATAGTAAGTGCCAAGTTGTGGATGCCATTCGGTTGCGTGTGTGTACTCCGTACAATCAATCAATATCAAACAATTCAGTAAATCCCCTGAGTTTCGTTTCTTTCATCAATGGTCCGGCCGGACCACGCTGTTGAGATAGGTCACCTGTTGACAAGCGGTCAGCGAGACAGAAAAAAATATGTGACGGCTGCGTAGGCAGTCAGCCACGCTGATTCGGCGGCGGGGATCAAAGGGACGCGGTGGCTAGCTCAGAAGGGAAACGGGCTAAAGCGAGAGGGGGCAAAAATCGGCGGCAGCTTGTAGCAGCCTAAGCCTTAGACAGTGGTAGTAGAACAATACGTACCCAGGGCTCCATGATGCCCACCAGATCCGCGATGCGCTCCTGTGCATCATCCGCGCTCGTCAGCACTGCATCCGTGACGGGCCGGCCGAGCGTGAAGCTGCGAAGTCGGAGTAATTGGATGTTCTTGTTGTCGGCCTCGTAACCCTTAAAAGGACAGACACAAAAAGATTAGCCAATCATAATAATCGTCAGAAAATCAGCTGAAGGAAGACCTTGGCTCCGGATTGAACCATGGAACCAAAATAGCCGGCGTCAGCGATAGAGCAAAAAATTATTATTGTAGGTGCCCGACACGCCAGCCTGACCCAGCGCCAGGGAACACTGGTCTTGTGCTAGACCCCGAACACGGGGTCTGCCGCACCCGTGCGTCGTGTCGTGTCTCTCTTGCCACTCGGGGCTCTGTTCTGGGTCGACCACGAGCTCCATCGGGTAAGATGTATTTCCATGACACTCATGTGAAGAGACAGCCCAGAACTCTATCAATCCGGTCGCATGATGGTCATGACTGCCGAGATGCGCCTGCCCAGCCCGCGAAGTCCCGGAGGGTATGGTCGGCGGCACCAGCACCAGACGGCGCCGAGTCCATCAAATGAACGCAGCCAGTGCAAGAAGAGGGGGGGAAGATAACAGAAAGAAACAGACAGATAATGGAATTCCATACCTTTGGCTTGGTTTTGAGCGCAGAATCCCTGTTATGATATGCAAAGGCCTTCACGACCGCGTCGTCATCATCCGCGACCCCGTTGAGAAACTCGCGGCGCATCCCCGGCGCCCGGAGCAATTCTTTCCAACGATCTGCGTTCTCGTCGATATCCTCGCGCAGCGCTGCCAGCGAGTCTGCCTCCGGGTGCCAGAGGCCGCCGCCTGTTCAGACGATGGTCAGCCGCGATGCAATGCTCATATACCAGACAGAAAGGGGGCGAGGGCATGCAGATGAAGAAGCCCAATATGTTTTGGGCCATCCTGTCTAGTTCTTGCGGCATCAAGGGCTAGGTAGGGTTAAGGATCACCTACCGACAAAGCATGACCCGGGCTGGAAATGGACATAGTACGCAGCATAAGGACCCTTCTTGCCCGTCCGAGACCTGCTCTATATATAAGGGGCTGCTGTTGGGTTGGTTCAAAGGGATACTCACCAGGCAGCGGAAAAATGAATCTATTCGTTCGTCAGCCCTGGCATATGCGACACTAACGGCTCATCACAGTAACACAAGCATGCATCTGGGGGTGATCACAGGCAAGGCAGGGTTGATTGGTTGGGATACAGCACTGCACATACCTTGTACGGAAGAGGGTTCTTACTGAATCGAATATCTCTGTATATGCGGAAGACCTGGATGCAAGCGATATTAATGTTGTGTTATGTTGGGCTTGATAATAAGCAAATCATACCAAGTCCTTGACAGGCAGTTCGGGGATCGTAGCATCCTTCTCGCTGATCTTCGGGGTCAGGGACTCGACGAACGTCTCCCAATCCTTTTTTGCTGCGCGGAAATCCGCGTCATGCGCTACACGATCGATCGTCAGCTGTGTTGTTGATCTGCAGGTGAATGAATGCCTGTCACTAACCTTTTAGCCATGGCCGCTCGTTGTTCGCCGCCAGGTCGAGCAGGAACAACCGCGTGTTGGGATGCAGGGTCTCGTCGCGATATGGCACGCCCCCGGCGTCTCGCGCCTTGGGTTTCGCGATGAAGACCTCCTTGCCCGGGCCCAGCCCCGTGGTGACGCCTTCGCGCCACAGCTCTTTACCCTTTAAGGCATCACGGTCGTGGTCATCCTTCTTATTCTTCGAGCGGGGCGTCTTCTTGGACTCGTTCTCCTTCTCGCTGTCACTGACCTCCGGCTCCAGCTCTGGTTCAGGGTCGGATTCCTCCTGGTCGTCTAGAGGCTCCTCCTCATACACCGACCCTTCCGACTCTTCTTCGCCTTCCGACTCGTCAGAACTGTCCCCCTCGAAGTACTTGCTCTTCCGGGCCGTGGATTTCACGTGCGTGCCGCCTGCCAGGTCGGCGTCGGACTTGGCTCGCTTGACTGTGTGCGACGCGGACAACCTGGCAGAAGCGCGCCGTTTAGACGCCGCAGGCGCTACTGGCCGCGACTGTACGGGCGGAGACGACCGACGAGGCATTGTCACTGGGGCTATGTTTTATATCGGGCAGTATTTTGGCTGGCCGCCTTGTTTATGTATTGGCCAGTAGAAAAAAAGGAATTTCGCAAATGTGTTGTTGTTCACCGCAATAATATCCTAGTTATTCGCCTAGTAGTCGCACTGCTGTAGCGATGACCCTGGTCCCTAGAATCCGACGCGATCAGAAAATAAATCAAAAAACAGATAAGCTCCGACACGAAGGGGCCAGCTAGCATACCTTATAAACCGGATTCTTCGTATGTAATCAGTAGTGCGACCCGCACCGAACTTCTTTTTTCCGGACATCAACGCCAACGTCAAGTCATGTACATGTACATGTATGTGATTTGATTTTGTTTCTGGTTATCTCTAGAAATCACTCAATCACTCAAGCCACTTCTGAAAAGATAGAATGGAGAGAGAAAGAGCACAGATCCCACCTGCCTTCCAGGCCCGCAAGACCAAAATCCTATCCGAGCTCTCCCTTCCAGACACGGAATACACGGATCTCTCGCCCAAGGGCTCCGTGGACGAGGGCATCAAAGATTTGATCCACGATATCAATGCACTACCAGGTCTGGTGACGACGAGCAGTTGTGCCGGGCGCATCAGCGTGTTTCTGGAAGGGCGCAAAAAGCAGCAGCAGCCTCAGCCTCAAACGCTGCAGCCGCAGGAGGACGAAAGCCAGAGACAGTTCACACCCTCCGGGGGTAAAGGCGCTGGGCGATGGTTGTATGTTTCGCATGATCCACTAGTCCAACCCGAAGGTCAAGGGCAAGATCAATCATTGCCATTGCATGCACTGTTCGGGATGCGGCCGGGGAATGGAAAGCCGCCGTTGAGGAAATCGGATCAAGCGCTGCGCTTGGTGCGGTTTTCTTTTGAACCATTGGTATGTCTTGTCTTGCGCCTTATCCATTATTATTCAAAAGATGGATGGAAAACTCACATCCCATCCAGATCCTCCACATCATGACAGCGACGCTCTCCCACGCACAACCCGTCCTGTCCGCAGCAACGAGCTCCGGGTTCCGCGAAAGCGGCCTGCAAAGCCTGCGCTGTCTCGAAGGCGACGAAGGACCTAGTCCAGTCGTCGGTGTGCGCTCGGCTGGTCTGTCACTGGAATCTGTAATTGGGTATTGTGATGATGATAACGACAACGACAACGACAACGATGAGCATGAGCATGAGCCCATCGTGCGCAGCCTCGTCTCGGAGGAATATCTCGCTATGCTGGTTGCCATGTCTAATGAGCGATTTGGGGTCAATTCCGAGCGGAGAGAGGTTTCGGAGTGGTTTGATATCCGCGTTTTCCGGGGGGGGATGCGAATAGGGGGAAGAAGGTGGCGCAATGGGAGGATCCTGATGTGAGGAAGGAAAGGAAGAGGGCGGAGGGGTTGGCAAGAAAGAGATTGCTGGAGGAGCAGAAGCAGAAGAAGGCTGCTGGGATGCGGACGGAGGACGAGTCTTTAGATGATGTAGCGGGTTTGGAGGGTGAATATAATCATACTTAATGTCTATCCGTGTAGAAGCTGGAGGTTCCCCAGATCTAGACATCTACGAAGCTGTACGTGCAGAAAAACATTGTTAGACGTCGATTGATAGATCTACTTCATCCTCTGTTATCCCCAGCAGCCGCTTGGGTGCTCCATGCAAGTTAGTTCCACGTTCAACCAGTCTCTCCTCGACGCCGTGGTGTCAGCATCAAAGTCAGTCAGGGATTCACAGTACAGGTCAGCAAAGTGCTCCCTGCAGCCAAGCCAGGGAACTGACAGGGGTGACAAGTATCTCAAGATGATAGAAACAAAAAGTGAATTAGGGAGAAATTTGTGTAAATACGAAATTTCGAACCAATTTGGGTGTGGGAAATGCGCAATCCATACTCGAGAATCGTTGTCGCTCGTCGTTCCTTCGTTGCTCGTCATTCGCTCATCGCTCATCGATCATCATTCATCACTCGTCGATCTCGTCGTGCTTTGGTAAAACAATACTGTCAGCCATCACCACTTCCCGGAGGAACTTCCCGAAGACGGGTAACGGTGGTGCATGCTCTGGCCGACCTGGCCGATCTGGCCGCTTGACTGGTGTGCGTAAGTAGGAGACGAAATGGAACCGCGCGAGCGGTGCATACCAAATGGGTCGGGAGGGGGATTAAGGCTTTGACAAACGTACGGCGACGCCTGGCTAGTCTGAGGGCCAGGCACATTAGGCACATAAAGGTTGTCAGTAGAACTGCTCGTAACGGAAGTGGGAACCGGAGGGAACATCCACACATGGCCGATTCCACCCTGCGAGTTGTTATTTCCCTGGACGTTATTGTGGAGGCCAGAGCTGAAACCAGATGAGCCGCGGCCAGACGAATCCTGAGAGATGCTGTACAGGGTAGCAGAGACCGAGGTCGGGTCAGAAGAAGTACGGGTGCTGGTAGGCTGAACGAGGGGGAGAGAGACACCGCCGCTACCACAAACAGTCTTTTGGCTGTCAACCGACTTGACCGGGGAGGTTGTCGACTTGGGAGCGGTACCAATCGAAGAGGAGACGGCGGTCAGATTACCGCTCAGGTAGAGATAGCCGGTGACAACCATCTCGCGCATGACACGGCGCTCGTAGGCAATGGCGTCGATGAACCTCTTCTCCTTTGCAACAACTTCATGCCACTGGAACCAGACTTTGCCATAGATCTTCATGAGGTGCGGGTTGTGGTGGCGCTGCTCAAGGCCATGCGTGTTGGTGACCGGAACTCGGCCGTTAGCCATCAGGTTGGCGTAGTACTAGTGTAAAGAGTCAGCTTGATCTTCGGAAAGGAACTAGGGAAAGCATACCGTGAGGGTAGGCATGTTGCCATTCGGCAACAAAATCAGTGAGTCAAAGGGGAAGTAAACCGAGTACTCCCAGTTCATGTTTGCCACAATGTCGCGGCACTTGCCGAAGATACCAAGACTGTACTTCATGCGAGGATTGAAGACGGGACAGCTGAGACCTGCCAGGACAAGTTCACGGACCAAGCGGTCATCAAGTCCGACCGTTTTCTCCTTCTCCATGCGCTGAACCAAAGCGAGAATCATCGAGCGCAGGGTGTCGTACAGCTTCTGGCGGGCGTGGACGGTGTACATGTTGGTCGCGTGCCACGGGAACTACAAAATTTAGCGGGAAGCAAGATTAACAAGAAAAACCAGACATGCCTTCCACAGGGTGCTGATAATAGACTCGTAAGTGCGCTGGGGCACCTTGGAGGCAAACGAGCTCTGGATGTAAGGATTAGACTGTGCAGACAACATAAAGAAAAAAAGACGTACACGTTGAGGCGCCTCAGCATGGCGGAGCACACAGAACATCTCCTCGTCGGTGAAAAAACCCTGGAATCCAGTCGACCACCAGTCCTTATTTTCCTGCAGGACTGGCTGTCCGTCCACCCACTTCATGCACTTGGCACGGGGAAACAGAGCCTTGAGGAGTTCATCCTGGCTGCTCATGGCGACCTCGACGTGACGATTGCCCATGCGGGGAGAGCGGCCCATCTCATGGACGCGATTGATACGAGTCACAGTCTCATTGGCGGCAGCAACATTGTCAAACTCGACGAAACAGTCCATGGTCTTACCCGTGGAACGCTCCATGATGATATGCACCGAGCATCCCTTCTGGACGCTGATGACTCGAGCCGAGCGACCGACAAACTGCAGGACTTCCTGACGGGTGACGGTGTAAGGAATCTAGAGGGCTATTAGCATACTTATCAGAGATGGAAAGATCTCGGAGAGTTTACGTTGGTGATGATGATGACTCCCCAGCGATGGGGGCCAAAGAGGTGAGCGTTGCTTCCAATAGGCATATTTTCAGCGTGGACGACCTCGTCGAGAGATAGGTCAGCAAAACAGGCCATGGCAAGATTCTTATCTGAAAGTCGGATATCCGAGAGACTGGCAAGTTGTAGTTTCTCGAGAGTTTTCTCAGTCAAACGAAAGTCTTCTTCCACAGCAACTCTGGCAGCCTCACTTGCAGCAGTGCCTTCAGTAGATGAGGATGAGGAAGAGTAGAAGGTAGGAATATGAGGAACAGGAGAGTGGACTGCTGTGACAGGCTGCTCCTCGTCTTCGAAAAAGATGGGAGGGTAGCTTGCCAAGGCAGGTTGATAAGTTGGAAGAGGATAAGAGAAAGAACGGAGGTGAGTATCTTCCATCTTGCCTGGTCAGTGTTGATATCCGATTTAGGAAGGGGGCAGAATGGGCGGTAGAGGAGGCGGTAGGGGATGATTGAGCAAAGAAAGAAGGCAGGCAGAGAGAGAGAGAGAGAGAGAGAGAGGAGAGAGGGAGAGGGAGTGTGTGTTTGTGTGTGTGTGGGAGAGAGAGAGAGAAGAAAGGAAATGGGAAATGGAGAGAAGCAAACAATAGAACATTGGAAGTGAATGACATGCACAGGAAGTGCAGGCAACACACAGCTCACCCCTAGTCAGTGGATTGCTAACAATACGAGGGGAAATGGTTCACACGTTTCTCTGTTTGATTGCGCTATACAAGAGAGAATGTATTCATTCGAAGACCAGCAACGAGTACACAATTAATCAAACTGACCGGATGTTAGTAAGAGGCTAGTATCGTGGTAAACACAAACACTCACCGGAGTCAAGAAGGATTCAGCAACAAAGCGAGCCCGAGCATTCAACTGCAATAGATGATTAGTTCGACGAACGGGACTCAGGTTCAAGGGAGGTTACGAACAAACAGCTTCAGTTCCGACACCTCCTTGTCCACATCCTCCATGAACTGGAATCGGTGGTTAGCATCCACATCTATCCAACAGGTGAAAGCATGCTTACCTGGATAACAAAGTCCACCAACTTGTGCTTGAGCAGCATCTCTGTGTGGGTGTTGGTGATCAAAAAGGAGATGTCATAGCCCTATCTCGAGTCAATGGGGTGATGTCCTCTCCAAAGCTATCCAACCACATACCTTGACGGGCTTTCGACGCAGAATAAAGAATGACTCGGCGCGTTGGGTGAGGAAACGGTCGAACTTGTGTACCAGGATCTGCTCGATCTCATCCGCTGTGGAATCAAGGTTAGTCGGGATGCCTCAGATCATTGCGGGATGACACATACCCTGCTTGATGCTGATGCTGATTCGCACACTATTGACCGATGGTTCAATTAAACTGAAAGGTGTTGTCTTGTCAGCGTGTCTTCTTGTGTCATCGCCAGATTGTTTGGTCATACACTTTCTCATTTTCGTTCCTGGAGATGTGTAAAGGGTTGAGAATGAGCTCCGGAGAGCTTGCAGCTTCAACTTCCGGCACATTGTCTATAACCCGGTCAGCCAGACTTGTCCGTGGGATACTATGTCCACTAACTCACGTCGTTCAGATGTCTGGGACGCGAAGTTGGAGATGGCAAGGGCGGCGGTAAGGGACGCGCGGACGCATTGAAGATAGGGGCGCAGTGATTGAGACTGGAGGGTATCAGCAAGATTCACAGGCTGGACATGCGGCCAGACCTACCATTGTGCAGACACAGCGATCAACCAGGCAGGCGTGGTAGTGTCGAGGGGGAGGAGGTGATGTTCCGCGGGGCGGTGACGAAGTTTGGTGTGTTTGCACTGCCCCACGTAACATCCACTCAGCAGCTGTTTACTCTTCTCTTCCCTTCACCATCCTTATTCTTATCCCAATCATGGCTGCGATACCAAGTAGGTGCTCGATAATGTCTCTACTGATGCTCTAATTGACACCTTCCCAGTCATCGTCAAGCACGCGGGCAAGCGCCACGAGGTCGAGCTCGATCCCACCTCCAACGGCGAAACCTTGAAATACCAGCTGTTCTCCCTGACCGGCGTCGAGCCCGACCGCCAGAAAGTACTGGTCAAAGGCGGCCAGCTCAAAGATGACACCCCCTGTCCTCCCTCAACGCCAAGCCCGGCCAGACGTTCATGATGATGGGCACGCCCTCCGGTGGCGCGGGGTCTGTCGAACTGGGGAAACCAAGGGAGGCCGTCCGGTTCTTGGAAGATATGACGGAGGCAGAGATGGCTAAGCAGGAAGGTGCCACACCGGCCGGTTTGCAGAACCTGGGGAATACCTGCTACCTCAACTCCACCCTGCAGACCCTACGCAGTGTCCCCGAACTTCAGCAGGAGCTTCTCAAATACCAGTCAAGCTCTCAGCCCAGTCAGGCAGGGCTCTCCGACCTCAGCAGTTTTGGTCTGAGTGGATTGAGCAGCTCGAATGACCTGGCAGCCTCCCTGCGGGACCTGTTCAAGCAGATGTCGGAAACGCAGGAGGGCATTCCGCCACTGATGTTCCTCAATGCGCTACGTACGGTTTTCCCGCAATTCGCCCAGCGGGATCGCAATGGTCATGGATATGCCCAGCAGGACGCCGAAGAGGCGTGGTCGCAGATCGTTAATCAGCTGCGCACCAAATTGACCATCAGCGACGGCGAGGGGGAGTCCGCACGGAAGACTTCGTTTATTGACAAATATCTCGCGGGCCGGTTTGACTCCTCCACTGAGTGTGACGAGGCGTCCGGCGAGGAACCGAGCAAGACCTCGGATGTCTTCTACAAGCTTGATTGCCACATTGGCAAAGAGACCAACCATCTCCAGGATGGCATTATGGCCGGCCTGGAAGAACAGATTGAGAAACAGTCGCCTTCCCTGGGGCGCAATGCGGTTTACACGAAGCGCTCTCGCATCTCCCGGCTGCCCAAGTACCTGACCGTGCATTTTGTCCGATTCTTCTGGAAGCGCGAGACCCAAAAGAAAGCCAAGATCATGCGCAAAGTGACCTTCCCGCACGAGTTGGATATCGTCGAGTTCTGTACCGAGGAGCTCCGGAAACAGCTCGTTCCCATCCGCGACAAGGTGCGTGAGATCCGCAAGGACGAGGTGGACGTGGAGCGTTCTCGCAAGCGGCAAAAGCTGGCGCAGCAGCAGGAAGAAACCCAGAAAAGGAACGAGGCCGAGTCCGGCGGCAGCATGGAGAAGGAGCAGGAGCCGATGCAGAAGAAGAAAGCCTCCGAGGAAACCAAAGCCAAGGCCGGCGACAAAGACGGTGACACCGCCATGGCAGAGAGCTACAAAACCGACGCAGAATATGAGACCGAGAAGATCGAGGCGATCCGTATTGCTAAGAAGGAGTTGTACGACCTCCTCGAGCAGCAGGGTAGCGCGGATGGCACCAACCAGTCCGGTCTATATGAGCTCCGCGGCGTGATCACCCACCAGGGCGCCAGTGCCGACAGCGGCCACTACACTGCATACGTGAAGCAGAGCCGACCGTCGGCCGATGCGCAGACGGGCAGCAAGCGCCGCGAGGAAGGGGAGGAGAAGTGGTGGTGGTTCAACGATGATAAGGTGACGGAGGTTGAGGCTGAGAAGATCGAGACTCTGGCCGGCGGTGGTGAGTTATTTTTTTGCCCTTTTGCTAAGTATCTTGCTGACAATATTGCTTCCAGGCGAGTCCCACTCCGCGCTAATCTTGCTGTATCGTGCCATTGAGCTGCCCACGGTGGAATAGCCCTGGCCACAGATATGTAGATGATAGACACGATGTGCACGAGATGGCAATGTTGATGCGATGGTACCATGGAATATAGATGATTGGACGTTATCATCCATGAATTCATGAACAACTTCCGTAATACACTTACTTCTAGTTCTCTTTAAGACTTTTCTTTCTTCTCATTAACACATAGTATAAGATGACTAAGGTCACGTGTCTCCATCCTCGGCCCAGCTAAGCTCCTGCTCTCTCAGACCGGAAATATACCTCTGGCAGTGTGATCACCATGCTCCAACCTCGCCCATTCTTCCACTCCTCTCTACGCACTCTCACTATCCTCCCACCTGTCCGCCGACAACGCCTCCTTCGCCACATCAGTACCACCACCGCACAACCCCACCCCCAACCCTCCACCGCATCGCGGTGGACCCGCCGCCTGCTCTATGCCGGGCTATTTGGCAGCCTAGGCGTGTACGCGGGGACGCGCCTGACGGGCGATGGGTGGCTGCCCCTGACTCCGGGATCTGTCGCCGACCAGCAGGAGCTGCAGCGCCTGCAGGAAATGTTCGACGTCGGCATTCCCATTGTCCAGGAGCTTCGAAGGGACCCGGATTATGTTGAGACGCATGCCTACATGAACTATGACGATGAGACTCGGCCACATCGGCTGACATCGGGTCCAATGGCTGGAAGTCGGGGTTTGGGGATACAGGTGAGCATGAGCGCTTCTTGAAGACATTCCTCTTCTCGTTGGTGGTGGTGGGGACCTGGGACATCATTGCGTATTGTCTTTGGCGACCAGCTATGATCATTGGCTACTTCGCCAATGCAATGCGCGTGCGATCCACCGCCGAGCCCCCTCCATCCACCAATTCCAGGATTAAATCCATAGTTACTGACCAGATTTGACCATAATAGAAAATCTTCTGGAACGACAAGACCAAAAACCTCATCAGCGTGATCTACCTCGGTTGCGGGATAGAAGGCTGGCCACGAGTCATCCACGGTGGCGCGCTGGGCACCGTGATCGATGAGGGTCTAGGGCGTGCGGCCATCCGCCATTTCCCGGCGCGGACGGGCGTCACGGCCAACCTCGACATCCACTACCGGGCGCCTGTCTTCTCGGGGAACTTCTATACCTTGCACAGCAGGGTCGACCCGACCAGAAGCACGGACCGCAAGGCGTTTGCCACCTGTGAGGTGCGCGATCTAGGTGGGAGGGTGTGTGTTGAGGCGAGTGGGATCTTTGTTGTGCCGAAGCGGTTGCAGTTGGAGCGGATTGGCGAGGAGTATTGACTCGGTAGACGCCACGGTCTATGCGTAGGTCGCTACCTCAGAATGCCAGAAGTATAAACCGAGCTGCCCCAATTTGTATCATAATACCCGAAGATAAGGATCGTTCCACTAAGCTGCTGCGGTTACAGTTTCGGGCCTTCCTCATCCGGGTTTCTTCCCCGTCTCACTTGGTTCCCCGCATTCTGGCCCCCCAGACTGTCCCCCCGGATTGTCCGATCCTTACCCGTTTGGTCCTGCAGCCTCGGTGTTTTCGAGGTTTTGAACTCGCCCCCCCGGCTAAGCTTAGCAGTCTAGCCGTGTCTCATCTCATTATTCGCCCCTCCAGCCAACCCCCCTATCCGTGCAGATGGACCCGTCACGATTGACAGGGTCCACTGATGACCACTGCTCGGCTCGCCTATTGTTTCTTTCTCCCCGCGGGAAGACAGATATATATCTCCGAGCCTGCTTCCCTATCTCCTTCATGCTGGTGGTCTGCCTTTCAGACATTTCTTTGCGTGCTAAATATTCCCCTGTGTGGAACTACTCCCCCGGCGCTGCGTCGCCAACCCCCACCTACCATGACGGCTTCTATCGATGATATCGACCGCCGGTCGCAGGTCGACGAGAAGGCTACCATGCAGCCCCATGAGGCGAGCAGCGACTTCGAGCCGCAACATAGTCACCAGGAGGCTGCGGAGGAGCTGCACCTGCACGAGTCGGAGCGGGATATTCCAGTACGCTACACCGACCACAGGCTTCGGTCGCACAGCAAGCAAGCAATGTGTCTAACAGCAGATAATAGATGACCTTTCGTCGTTTCATGGGCTTCACGGCCATGGCGTTCCTTTGGACGGGTAGTCAGATCCCCGTGTATCTCTTTGGTATCTCCACCACGAAACCCCTTTTCTGGTCGGGAGGAATGGCAGTCTAACATCGGGCGCAGGTGGTATTCCGCCGTATATCTATGGATCCATTGGAGGCTCAGACCGTTGGATCTGGTTTGTACGTACATTCCAATTCGTGTGGCGGACGAGAGCTAACCTGTTCGAAACATAGGTCCTCGCAAACCTGCTCAGTCTGGCTGGCGTCTGTCCCTTCGTCGGATCGCTTTCTGACCTGATCGGCCGTCGCTACGTCGCTATCATCGGCGCCACGCTCATCGTCGTGGGAATGATCGTCTGCAGCACCGCGAACACGATGAACATCTTCATCGGTGAGTCTACCTCCACGTACCCCGCTACACAACTTTCTGACCGGTATAAATAGCCGGCATGGCCATTGCAGGCGCCGGCGCCGGCGTCAACGAACTAACCGCGCTGGCCGCAACGTCGGAAATGGCACCGACCCGCAAGCGTGGTGTCTACGTCGCCGTGTTGATCTTCACCATCGTCCCCTTCTGCCCGTCGGTGCTGTGGGCCCAGCTCATCGCGTACCATAGCAGCTGGCGCTATGTCGGTGCGTTCTGTGGTGCCTGGGCCGCTTTCGGTCTGCTGATCACTATCATCTTCTACTTCCCGCCACCGCGGGTCAACTCGATGGGTCTGAGCAGACGCGAGATCCTCAGTCGTGTGGATTATGTGGGTGGATTCTTGAGTATTACGGGGTTGATTATTTTCCTCGCTGGTACGCAGTGGGGTGGATATATGGTATGTCTCTCTCGATTTCAGCTGGGTGATTCCCTTGTGATTCCGGTAACCAATTGGTTTTCTCTTCTTCTAGTATCCCTGGAGCTCCGCCCATGTCCTAGCCCCCCTAATCATCGGCTTTGCGTTGCTAGTCGCCTTCGGCTTCTGGGAGGTCTATGGCGCCAAATACCCAATCTTCCCGTCCAAGCTAAAGCAAGAGCCTCGCACACTGGGCCTGACCCTCGTGATCACCTTTATCTCTGGCGCAAACTTCTTCTCCGTGCTGATGTTCTGGCCGACGGAGTCGTTCAACGTCTACGGCCATGACCCCGTCGCTGTCGGCATTCGCAGTATTCCCATTGGATTCAGCATCTTGGGCGGAGCGTGCATTGTTTTGGTCCTGCTGAGTGTCTTCCGAGGTCACAACAAGGAGTTGTTGATTGTTAGTAGTATTTGCATGACTGCAGGTGAGTATATTGTCTGTTTGGGTGTGGACCATTGCTAACCCTCAAAATAGGCTGCGGTGCCTTGGCCATTGGACGCCTCGATAATCTCTACCAGCTGTGGGGAATCCTCGTGCTAGCCGGTCTTGGAATCGGCGGCATTGTGGTGCCGGCTTCCATCATCACGACTATCATCTGCCCCGACGTAAGCTTTTTGTCTCTTACTTCCATTCTCACAGCCGCTAATTCGAATTAACAGGACCTCATCGCCACCATCTCCGCTCTAACCCTCTCCATCCGTGTCGTCGGCGGCGGCGTCGGATACACGATCTACTACAACGTCTTCATCTCCAAATTTATCCCGCTCGCAACAGAGTACATCGGCGGGGTGATGGAGATGGACCTTGGCATCACGGACCCCGAGCTCATCGGCGAGGCAATCCAACTCACGGGCGCGTCTCTGCTGACGGAGCTGAAAGCGATCCCCGGCATTGGCACCAATGAGACGGCATATGATATGGTCGTTTTGGCGGGCCAGATGGCCTATGCGCAGTCATACAAGTATGTTTACTATGTCAGTATTGCCTTTGGCGCGATTTCGATCATCGCGGCGTGTTTCCTCGGCAGCATTGAGAAGTATATGACCGATCATGTGGCGGTGGTCATGTAGATGGATTCTTGGTTGTATACAGGTCTATCTTAGCTACTTTTGATATAAAGGTTTAACGATACTTATTCCATATTGTGCAGTCACTCTTGGTATTGAACATTGGCAGATGATGGATATGTACGTGTATAGAATGCCATGTCTCTTTGTATAGTTGTTGAGTGGGGCGCGGATCATGACGCGCCAAGTCCAATTTCTTCCCACCAAACTCCCTCTTCTCATTGTCACTCACTCTTTCCGGCCACAATGGCCACACCCCAACCCCCAAAACGCAAACCCACCCTCCCAAATGCGTCCAATGCATCCCGAAAGCGCGCCAAAACCTTCGACGCGCGCACCCTGGCCGTCCAATCCGCCGACGCCGCCCTCTCCGCAACAGGCGAGCTCGACGTTGCCGCCTATGCCGCCGCGCGCGCATTCGAGATCAATGCTCTGGAGCAGGGCATGCAGCGGTCGAGAAGTGCATTGACTACTCGTGCATTTCAGAAGGTGCCTCGTGCCCTGCGCCGCAGGACGGCGAGTCATAATGTTAAGCGCGTGCCGCGGAGATTGAGGGCGCGGGCGAAGAGAGAGGTGTGTATCTTCTCTTTCCTGGAGTCATGATCTTGTGAGGGTGTTGGTGAACAATCACTAAAATGGAACTAGATGATCGAGGATAATACCCCCACCGTAACAGCGCGACGCCGCAAACCAACCCAGCTCATGCGCCTCCGGCTCGAATCCGCCCGCCGGCTACAGAACCTCAACGCGCGCACCAAGGCCCGGCGCGCCGCTGTGAAAGCCAAACGGACACAAGGCGAACAAACGGCCCTCAAGGAAGCAGGGAGCCATCCCTTCGAGATTGCGCCGCGCGTGCCCAAGATCAAAAAGAATAAGCTCTCCCGGCCGCCGCCAGCTGAGGCGAAGTACCGCAAGCGTCAGCGGTGCAAGACTTGGTTGCCGACGCACATGTTCCATGCGAAGCGCGCACATATGGCCACTTCCAAGGATCCTGTCTGGCGCTTTGCCTTGCCGCTCTCGCCCACTGAGAAGAGTTATCGTCCTACTCATCGTGCGAGAGGGGCAAGGGGTGCTGTTGCTTGGGATATGAGTTATTTGTCTACTATCCAGTTGGAGGGGACGGGGAATGCGATTGAGGCTGTTTTGAGAGCTGTGGGTCTTGATGGGGATGAGGCGTGGGGGGTGAAGGGGAGGAAATGGCGCGCTGGAACGAGGGCATTGCAGGCATGGGTGTTTGAGAAGGAGTGCCGTGCCAGACCGATTGCGCCAGTGACTTCGATCTGGTGTGCCCAGCCACAGTCCGAGGATGTCGAGATGGGCGATGTGAGCAAACCCAAGAAAGATCGGTCGAAGCTTTGGATCCGCGTCCATCCCTCGGCATTTCTGCAGCTGTGGAACGAACTTCTCGAGATATCGAAGAGACAGAATCCTGTGGTAATGGTGGAAGATCTCCGCTTTGAAATTGGCAGCATTGAAATCACTGGCCCGGGTTCTACAGAGGCTCTGCTGGCCGCGTTGCAGCCAATTCGGGGGTCGGATGGAAATGCTGCAACAGTGCAAAGCCCAGAAGATACCTGGCCAGCACTACTAGGCGTGTCGAATCCATCGTCCCTCCCGCAGAACGCTCTTCTGTCCTTTATGGTTTCTGACCCTCGGCTTCATTTCCCTCCGCGCACCCTTCGACCCCGGGAGAATGATGATACGCACATGAATGACCTTGCCACATTACTAGCCTCATGGCCACCAGATCAAACGCAAGGCCCGTCTCCGATCTTCGATCGCCCTGCTCGACTAACCGCTGCGCGCCAACTCCCAAGCCAGAAGGCTATCAATCGCCGCCGCGCCCTCGCCGGTCCGGGCAAATATCCACTCCCCCAACCATCCGACCCCCAAATACCAATCATGGCCATCGCCACACGCCCACAATCCCGCAACAACCAACGCAGCAATGCCCCCGGCTCGTGGACGATTCTTCTCCCCTGGAAATGCGTGACCCCCGTATGGTACTCGCTCATGTACTACCCGCTCTCCAGCGGCGGCAACCCGCGCTTTGGCGGTCTGAAGGAACAACAACAGCTTGCCTTTGAAGCAGGCGAGCCTTGGTTTCCGGGTGATTTCCCCGGCACGCGGGCTGGCTGGGAATGGGGCCTGCGTGAGACGGAAAAGGCGCGCACGGAGTGGGAGCGCAGACCTAAAGGTCGTCGACTTGAGTTTGACTCGCTGGTTTTGGGGGCTGGGCACCCGAAGGGCGAGATCGGGCGTGGTTGGGCGTGTGATTGGGAAAGATTGGTTCGTGGAGGCCCACCACAGGTCGGCGATGGTTCAGCAGACAAAGACATGGACAAGGATAAAGACGGCGATGGTGCAAATACTCCGATCCCGCCCCTCGACATGCACAATCTCCGCTGCTCTCCATCCGAAACCAACCAGCTCGTAACCAAAAGGTCCGCTCCCTCCGCCCTGGTGACCATCCACATCACCCTCTCCACCCGTGGCACGCCCACGCCTCGCGCGCGCATCTACCGGCTCCCCAGCGACCCAGCTCTCCGGCAGAAATGGCTCGACCTCGCGTCTCCCTCTGCTCGGGGGTCTGCCCATCGTCGTCCTCGTCACCAGAAGCCTCCAAATAAGAATGCCTCTCCGGAAGAAACGCGGCGTCAACTCATCGAGTCCCTTATTTACCCTTCCGCTGAGTCCGACGCAGAGCATCTAGATGTTCCGCCTGAAGCGGATCTCATTGGCTTTGTCACGACGGGGAATTATAACCTGTCTGAAGGGAAAGGGACGGGTGTTGGGTGTGTTTTGTTGGAGCGTGTTGTTGGGACTAATGCTAAGATGTCTGAGAAGAAGATGTGCATTGTTCGTGCTGCTGGGGAGAAAGTGGGTAGATTAGGTGTTTGGGAGGTTGTTTGATTTTGATTTTGGCATGTCTGATAGATACCCAATGATAGACTTTCCCATGAGATATCCAGTATCCAAGAGACTGTCCATCTCGAGTCCTACAAAGATTTACCCTCAATACACAAAGCAACACAACACAAAAGAAAAAGTAATCAAAATTCTATACATACACTACAGCCATACACTACACTCATTGCCAACAAACAATATGTTTAGAAGAATAGATCCAATAGATCTACCCAACGATCCGATCCACAAACGCCTCCTCCATGCGCGCAACCTCCCTCTTAAACGCATCAACCTCCTTCCAACAATCCAACGGCCTCCGGTCATTCAACCGCAAACACCCAACAACCTCCGACTGGGCCCGCGCAACGCCCTCATCCAGTTCCGCCAGTTTCCGGCGTCCATCCAGCTTGCTTCGTAGCTGCTCGATCTCGCTCATTACGCTCGTGGAGGAGACCTGTCGGTTCGCAGCGCCACCGCTAGGAGATGCACTGACTGGTTCGAAAGCGGGGAGAGGATCATGTTCCCGTCCTGCGAAGGGAATTCGCGGTGCGTCGAGGTCTAGGGATCCAGCCGAGGAGACATATCCGGCAGCGGGGACAACGGACTTCTTCGTCGTAGGCACGGGCGTCGACTCTCCTGAGTCTCTCACTTCAGCGAGCCGCTTCTCGATCTCCGCGAGGGTTTGCTGCTCGCGTTCGCGGAGGCGGGCCAGTTCTGAGGCAACGCGGGATTGGATTTCGAGTTCGATGGTTTTGGCGCGTGAGGAGTCAGTCTTTTTGGCCCGTTAGTTGCTTTTTTCTTCTGGGACTGGGATGTTATAGTTAAGACGCAAAAACGTACCTCGGAGCTGGATTGGAGGGCTTCGACTAGGTTCGAGGAGAATTGGACGGGTGAGTTGCTGTTGTGTTTGGATATTAATCTTTCTTTCTCTTCATGTGGGTCTATTGTGTATGGTGTTTCAGGTGCCGTGTTGAGGTGTAGTGTAGGATTGAGGTAATTGAATCGGACTTCAATTGACCAGAGCAGGTTTGTATTCCCTGCGCTCATGTTTATGCGCACCATCAACACCACCATCCACAACGAGGAACATACCTGGAGAAGACATGCTTGGAGTCGGCCGCAGCCTCGGGTTTGGAGCTGCCGGCACCCATTGTATCTGGAGGGTCAAGGGTTGAGAAGTTCAGGGCAATCAATCAATCCAGGGCCAGTCGGGATCCGCATCGCCGGCAGCGGTGATAGATTCGGATGGTCACGTGTAAAGTCATGTGACTATGTCTCCTTATTACGTAACTGCACCATGTAGGACTAGAAAGTGGTGTCAATTTTGTGGCTATTGTTCTTCTTCAGAATATTGTAACAAAGATGCGCTTGTTATACTATTTCACATTGACTGAAAAATCCCAGCAGCTCCTTGGAAAGGGCCACGCGTACTAGAAGTAATCCTGCCAACACGTCTGTCCACGCCGAATTTTGTCCTTTAGACATTGCCTATAATCATTAGACTGGTCCAGTATGTAGCTTCAAAAGCCGCGTTGCGTACCAATGCTGAAGCTTGAGGAATGAATGCGTGGTTTCCGATTGACCACAGGGTTTCTTGAATCCAATCTTGCTGGCATTGTGATACCTTCGGTGCCTTTAGAGTGCAGCATAGGTGCCAAAGTACTAATAGGCCTCTCATTGGCTTTTCCATCGACTCTCTGGATTGACCTGTCATCTGTATGGGTTTAGTCTCGAGGATCGCAGGGACTGCAGAACATATGCTTTCCACCGCCTCATGGATAGTTCCAGAAAGTATAGAAGATTCCCTCGTTACTTCGAAGTCCTGGCATAAGTAGAGAAAGCTACCGGTCGTTAGAAGCAAGTCGGCTGTGATGAGTTGTAGGCAATGGTAGTCGTTCCATCTAACCAAAAGAAGCGCCTGGTATGGTGGTGTCAATACGCTTCAGACTTCACTTTCGAAAATGGACTTACATTCACTAATCTATCCCTGGAAGAAACTTTGGCAATATCGAACTCCGCCCTTGGGCATACTTTCGGAAACAATTTGAGATTCTTTTGGATTTGTCTGACAGAGGCTCGAAGTTTTCGCACATCTATTTTCCGAGGGGTTGTCCCTTTAAGCAAATTCTCAACTTCCGATGTTAGAGGTCGCAGACGAAACATTGCGACATCTAATATCAAGAAGGATTTCCCAAGACTATCTATCTCACATGTCGAAAGTGTTCGGAATATGTCGCCTTCAGATTTGCAAATTTGGACTGCAAGACCTAAAGTGCCAAAGTTGTCCATGGATGAAGCTCGGTGGTAGGGCGATTGCTGCGATAGAATATTTAAGAATCCTTCAAGATGGATCTGCCATGTCCGGTCCTCTGAGTTGATATTGACGATCATCTAAATGTGTGATGAATATTGATTATGCTAGGGCACAAGTTGAACATACCTCATACATTGAGAAGAGAAAAACCGAACTGCCCAAGGCTGGTGAATGTGGTGAGACCATCAATGTCGCCCTCAGCTCACTAGTTGCAGCGTTATACTCGGCGAGCAGGCCTCTTCGTTTTTCCAAACATTGTAGAGGTTGGCGTAATGAGTGAAGACACTTCCCTATTATATCCATAACAGATACAGCTACCCTATTTGAACCCTGTGCGGTCGCCGTGGTGTAGAGTGAGTGTTGCAATTCGGGATTATCTGGATCTCTCTCGTTGGTCCCCATAAGCAACATTTCGAGAAATGAAGCGGCAGTTATCGATCTCTTGATCTGTCGTGATCCGTCATAATATTCAGAGGTTGATAAAAGATAGGACACTGGTGTTTGTCGGTTTGCCGCGGTCATCGTAGAGTCGTGTAATATCATTCGCGCATTTATCTGTCTTTCTCCATATCCCAGGCAGACCCTTCCTGATTTCGTACACTGTCGGCAAAAGGGATGTGCGAGGTCACATTGAATCTTTCTTAGCTTGCAGGTGGTGCAGCATTTGCTCGCATGGCCAGGATTAACCATTTTTAGGAATCGACTATAAGAAATTCTTGTATATCTCGCTATCGGAGAATGATGGTGCTGTTGCCAGCGGGCCCCGCGTGCGATCATGCGTCGCGCTAAAAATCTCGCAAGGGCGGGGGCTATTCCTGATCCGAGAGGAAGGCTGGAACATGCGACTTTTTATTTTGCGCTAAATTTTTCGCAAAACGAACGTATTTGGGTAAAAACAGCAGATAGATGCAGGATTTCTTAGTGAGATGTCAGTGTGACCAATGAAGCTCCAGGAGGAAATAGATTGTAAACAGGTACCTGGCTGGACGAAGATGTAACCCGATTCCCAATGATATATAAGGCGCCAACCAGTCTATCGTTGGCCGCTCATTCCAATTTCTCGATCATTTCGCAAAAGTCTTTGGGCTTAACGTAGTTCTCGTGCACTACTATATATACTCATCCTCCTGCTCAGTCCATAATGCCTACGCAACCGATCAAGCTCTGGGGTCACTGGGGAGGCCCTAACCCATGGTATGTGCTCTCGAAGCCTCTCTTTGATATTGTGGAAGAAAAAGCATTAACACCTGGTGAAGGAAAGTCTGCATGTTGCTTGAAGAACTCGAACTTCCTTATGACCTCCATCTGGTCGAGTTCTCCGAAGTCAAGCAACCCGATTACCTAACGCTTAATCCCAACGGACGCTTGCCTACTATCGAGGATCCAAACACTGGCATTACCCTCTGGGAGGTAATTAAATTATCGTCATGGTTGTATCACTCAGGTATATCAGTTAACAAGAGTTTCGTTCCTAGAGTGCCGCGATCATTGTCTATCTGGTTGAGCAGTACGATAAGAAGGGTATCCTTTCGTACGCACAAAGTCCAGAAAAATATTTGTGCCAGCAATGGTTAGCCTTCCAAGCCTCCGGTAAGTAGCGGCTCATCTTGAGGAATGTGCAACCGAGGCTTAAATTATCAATAGGCCAAGGCCCCTATTTTGGTCAGGCAACTTGGTTTGCTCGCTTTCACCCTGAGAAGCTCCCCTCTGCTACAGAGCGGTATGTCGTTGAGATCCTACGAGTATTCGGGGTCCTGGAAGAAGGTTTGGCACGGAATGGTACGGGCTGGCTCGTAGGCGACAAGTGCACATACGCTGATCTGTCTTTCGTCACCTGGGCCACCATCGGTGAAGGTCTGCTTCATGAGTTAAACCGAGCGGATAGATTGGAAGAAATGTATCCTAGATATACATCTTGGCTCAAGTCATTGAAAGGGAGAGGGAAGGTGGCCAAGTGCCTAGATCTTATTGCACAAGGCAGGGTTGCGCACGGCTTAAGATGATGGATAATGGTGGTAAAGAAATTTGTAGCGCATGCGATCTCTGATCCTTGACTGTACTAAAGAAACCGCTTTTCCTCCCTAAAAATCAAAGGTCGAAAAAAGGCGCAAAATCTACTATTTACATACGGTATCTCCGATCTTCAAGAATTTAAATGTATTAAGCAGCCCTAGTATATCGGGCGATACCTTCACCAAAAATAAGATCGCACACTTCAATGGCCGTCACTAGCCACGATTTGTACTGGGTAGAAGCTCGAATATCTGCAGTATAAGAATAAAATACAAAAAAAGCGCCCTTACAGTAGAAGGCCAGCAGCAACTACCACAGTGCCAAGAACGGTAGTGATTCCACCGCGGACAGCTCCGCTGGCAGCGTTGTAGGTAGGGGAAGCACTAGCAGACATGGTTGGGCTAGTTTTAGAACCACTCATACTCATGGAGGGGGTAGCAGTTGGCTTAGCCCCGGACATGGTAGACATAGGCATACTCTTATTACCACAGTCGTTCATGCTGCCAACCATAGGGCCAACCTATCGAAGCAGAACGCGGTCAGAACGCAACAGAAGACCAGTTTTTCAATCGAAAGTTCAATTTACCTCGATAATGGCGGGACCGGCAACGATATTGTCGTCAGTGGCCTGAGTGTTGCCCTTGGTGAGAACAACGTAGCTCTGGCCAGCGACGCCCTCGGGAATGGTCACGGTGAACTTGCCGCTGCCCATGAAGGACAGAGGAGCCCAAATGGGACCGGTGACGGTGATGAAGGCGGCATAGAGATCCTTGGTGTTCATAGACATGTCAAAGCCAGAGCCTACCGTCAGCTGGACCTTCGAGCCAGTCATGGCAGGGGTCATAGAGGCCATGGTCAGAGACGGGAATGCTTTGACTGGCAACATCTGGTTGCTCGATGGGCACGACACGATGAAAGGTGAAGCCACAGTATAGACTTCGTTGAAGTCCAATGGGGTGTCGAAGGGCTGGGGAGAAGCGGCCTCGCCAAGGGCAGCGCGCAGATACGCGCTGTGGCGGGCCTCGACGGTCAAGATACTGCCGGCAGCAGTCAGGTAGGTTTTGTCCACAATGGATGCAGCGGCACCGAGGTAAGCACTGACACCAACACCTTCTAGGACATTGCCGAGGGCGAGGAAGCTCTTGACATCGGTGGAAGGGAAAGCATAGGTGCATTGTTCCACGGGTTTGGCTCCGGCAGCTAAAAGCATAAGCTGTTAGCATTTTCCACTCGAGTAGGCCGGCATTCTGAATGGCACATACCAGTGAGAGCCTTAGTGAGAAACTGCACGTGAGACGTCTCATCGCTGGCAATCATCTTCAGGTTGCTGTAGGCAGCCTCGTTCAGGCCAGCATTGGCGAAGTCCTGCTTAGTGTAGTTCTTCAAACCCTCCGCGTAGAAGGTGGCCTCGAGGTGCTCCAGGGTTAGAGCATACTGGAGGATATCAGCTAGACATTGAACATTGTCAGCAAGCCATATGGTGCAAAGTCACAAGTCTCAGAGGGAGATTACCATCCGTAATGGCGCGCTTTACGATGGGGTTGGCATGGGCAAGACCCAAAACCGCACCAGTAAGAGCCACAGAGGTGAACTTCATCTTGTCAAGTAGAAATAAATTGATTGAACAGAGAGCTCGGTAGGCAGTATACTTGATCCTGTGCAAAGTGAACGAGAATCAAAAGGGCAGGTTGGGGTGTTTATATACCACAATTATTTGATATACCTGACATCATGCGAGCTCTCAGCTCCGGGGCCGAGCCGAACCATGCGTGAGACAGAACAATACGATAACTATAGCTTCGAAATTATTCGCCTTCCTAGTTCAGTTGTTTTCAAGCTGGAGCTATTGGGATCTACATCACCTGTTGCTCGATCGGGAGACAGTTCCTGAGTATTTCAAGGGCTCAAATAATGACAAATTCTCCCGAGGAGGTCGAACCATGGTCAAAACAGGGACATTGCATCGCTAGAATAAACACTTTGACCGGCCAAGCAGTGATACGCAGACCCTGCAAGGCCTCATTGGCACGGATGGGCATAGTTCCAAGTCCCGAGCGGGTGTGGGGTGAACAAGTCTCAGACGGGAGCCAATCGGATATTATGGTGAACGAGCGAGAGCGAAAGCGAACGAGAGCCGCTATGTCTTTTATGTTTCGAACTCGTACCTTACATAGCCACCCTAAACTCTCTCGGGGAAAATTACGCTGGCTGGATGACATAGATGGCTCTTGGATAACTAACTAGTTAATCTCTTCGAGTGCACGAACCCAGTGGGAAGGACTAGTAGAAAAGTTCAGGAGATCTTGTACAGTAATCTCTAGCAAGAATAGTTTGCAAGCAGGCCACCAACTCGTCAGAGTATGGCCGGAAGTGACCAGATCAAATTCACCCAAGACAGAACTTTCCCCGGAGTTGTCGACCTGCTACTGAAGCATATACGGAACACCGCCACAAAATCGGCCGTGCCACCTCCAGAGCAGCAACCACAAATTCAGCAGTACGGATAGCGTGGCAATCCACATGGACGCTGTACTCCCTATCCATATTACCTGCAATGCGGGGGAAGGCCACGAAAGTGGTCCCTGGATAATGCGTTGAAGGAAGTCAAGCCTAGGCTCGGATCTCGGAGAGGGTCAATCGTCAACATTCGGAAAATAGCAGAGAAAGTGAAACAGGTGGAAACCCCCCTAGTCTAATAAACACATTTAAAACCTAGAGGAATATAAGCTCTGGCCTTGGTATGCTAGGACAATTGTCCATCTCCATTATTTGATACAAAACCTGGCTAAAGTGCGAATGCTAAACACAAATATCACAAGTCGCAATATGTTTGACAGCGACTGGGAGGGCTGAGGCTAAAGAGAAAAAGAGAGGGAAGGCATGAGATTTGAAGGGTAGCAAAGTAGCTAGAGATGTTGATGAGGGGCGAGAGATGGTTTAAATATCAGGAAAAAACAATTCCGAGGTGGCGCTTCATCCAGCAAACGACCTTTCTATTCTTGCAGGAGCGGCTAGAAATAGATGAAGAACAGGGTAGACCCTTCTGTTATCCTGATTGTCGGCCATGGGCAGACTGAATGAAGGGGGAGCGGTCATTGAACAACTCTGATCACCCGCTGAGCCATCAGTGAGCATATGGACAAAGTGCCTGGATTCTAGAAGTCACGTGGGGGGGGGGTTACATCTAAGAGTCCGGGAAAAGGGACGCAGAAAATGGTCTCGACGGTATCCAGTCTCGGCCCTCAAGTTACCTTCGCCTAGCGTTGTGGTGGACTGTATAGCTCACATAGATTCTGTTTATAGCGATATCACAGTTAAGCAAATTCGAACTTGGCATGTTTTTCCTAGTGGTGGTGAGACCATCTCGCACAAATTCTCCTCCACTAGGGCCGACAATCACACACTCGGGATCCAACTTGCCAGCCACTCCTACAACTGGTCCGACGGGTCCGACAACTGGCCGAAGTATACATCCGTGTAGCACACCCCTTATCTTATGTGGCCAAACACGCGGCCATCTCAGCTCGTAGTAATTCCGTCCCCGGTCAGCCTCCCGCGGTGCTCCGTCCGCCTAACCCTCAGTCGCTCACCGGTGAAGTCGGGGAACTCAGTACGTAAGGGCTCCCGTTTAGTGTACCGACTCCCCACAGCTCAGTTTCATCCATGGCGTCATGAAATTAACGGTTGTGTGTGCGCGACGGAATATTGACTGGAATGTAGGGAGGACCTGCATGCGGACAGAATATTTGCGAGGCTAGCAGTAACTGATAGATGGATCGCAGTCAATAATAGATCACAATAATTAGTACCCAGGCCAAAACAATCTTGTCCGGTGAACCCGGCCTTGGAAGGTACGCGCCCGGTACTTCGTGGCGTACTTTACCCATCACCACCGGATCAAGTACCAGCCAAGTATCCACCGACTGACCTCATGGGAGCCCCTCCATCATCCATCCCACTTGACTTTTTCTCTTCCTCTCTTTTCCTTTCTCATTTTCCCTGCTTCGCCTTCACTTCCCTCCCGGTCGCGCCCATTTAACTCATATCCTTCTTCCTCTCTCTCTCCCCATCACCACCATGTCTGCCCTGCTAGACGAGGCGGAGCGCATTGCGCGCGAATTCGAATACCCCGCGGACCAGGTGCAGCGCGGCGTCGACGAGTACATCAACCAAAGCAACGAGGGCCTATCCAAGGAGAACACCACCCTGTCGCAGATCCCGACCTTCGTGACGGCCGTTCCCAATGGCACGGAAAAGGTGCGCCTCGCCTCGCCTCGCCTCTTTGTGTCGATCTAACCCAACTGACACGGTGTGTGTAGGGCCTCTATCTCGCCGTTGACCTCGGCGGCACCAACTTCCGCGTTTGCTCCGTCCAGCTGCACGGCGACACCACTTTCAATCTGACCCAGTCCAAAATCATGATCCCGCGCGAACTCATGGCCTCCGGCACCTCCAAGGACCTCTTCCTCTTCCTGGCCCGCCAAATCGAGGCCTTCTTGCGCATTCACCACAACGAGCACTTCGAGGCCCACCTACGCCGCCCCCGCGATGCCAACACTGTAGAGGACATGTTCGATCTCGGCTTTACCTTTAGTTTCCCCGTGCGCCAGCTGGGTATTAACAAGGGCACCTTGATCCGGTGGACCAAGGGCTTTAATATCCCCGACGCGGTAGGACATGATGTATGCGCACTGCTGCAGTCCGCGATTGATGAGCTGCATTTGCCGGTGCGAGTGGCGGCGCTGGTGAACGATACGGTTGGCACTCTGATGGCGCGCTCGTACACGTCTCCCGGCGAGACGGGGACTTTTCTGGGCGCCATTTTCGGGACGGGCACCAACGGCGCGTACGTCGAGAAACTGGACAAGATCTCTAAGCTCGAGACCATGGAGGGCGCGCATTACGATACCTCGACGGGCGAGATGATCATCAACGCTGAATGGGGAAGCTTCGATAACCACCTCAGCGTCCTGCCTAGCACCGTGTTCGACCGTGAGCTTGACGCAGACAGCAACAACCCGGGCGTGCAGATGTTCGAGAAGCGCGTCTCGGGCATGTTCCTCGGCGAGATCCTGCGCCGTGCATTGCTCGCTATGCACCAGGACCCCGCGCTGGGTCTATTCAAGCCCAGCAAAAACTCCAAGGTTATCTGTCCCGAAAACTCGGGCCTGTACCGGCAGTGGGGTCTGGATACTAGTCTGCTGAGTCTGGTTGAGGGTGATACTAGTCCCCACATGGCAGAGATGAAGACTGCCATGTACGACCACCTGAAGATCGAGAACCTGAGCGATGTCGAGTGCAAAGCTGTCAAGATCCTGGTGCATGCCATCGGCAAGCGTGCCGCGCGACTCAGCGCCGTCCCACTGGCTGCTATTCTCATCCACTCCGGCAAGCTCCAGACCGAGAGCATGATCGACGTGGGTGTCGACGGCAGTCTGGTGGAGTTCTACCCCAACTTCGACGGATATATGCGTGAGGCCCTGCGGAGTGTCTCCCAGGTCGGCGAGACAGGCGAGAAGAAGGTCCGCATCGGTATCTCCAAGGATGGCAGCGGAGTCGGAGCTGCGCTGATCGCCTTGGTGGCAAGCAAAGATGAGACGCTAAAGACTGCCTCGGAGAAATGATTTTGTTCTCCCCTCCCCTCTCTTCTCGCATTTTCTCTCGATCTTGAATTCGCCGGCTGGAATGCCATCTGGCCTAGCCCGTTTGGAAACCCACCCTGCGTTGGGCTATATACCACCCACCCCCTCCCCTCTATTCCGTTGCAAATAGCCTTTGATCTATTGCATGGCCCTCTTGTCACCCGTCCGTCGTCTTGCCGCGCACGCAGAACGATGTATCATTACGCTTGGTGTTGGTCGACCCACGGAGTTGCACAGAATTTTTTTTCTTTTCTTTGGCGCATATACGTTGGTACATTGATTGCATTGAATTGGCTGAATGAAAAAAAGACTCAAATTCAAATTCAGATTCAAATCTCCGGACTACTGTATTGTGTAACTATTTCCCCGGCTCATACCCGATCGCCTGCGACGACGTCACGAAATCAATTTTCCCTGCCGTGGAAACAAGGAATCCGGCCGGACCCCCCGTGGCCTTGGGATCGGGTCCGATAAAGTTATTCGGAAACCCTTCATCGAAGGGAACCACCGACTCCAGATGCTGAATCTGCTTCTCCGTCAAGCGGATCGATAACGCCTGGATATTATCATGCAGATGCTCGACCTTGCGCCCGCCCACAATGGGAAACACATTCGGCGCCTTGCAAAGCACATAAGCCAGTGCAATCGCAGTCACGGACTCAATGCCATGCTCCGCTGCAACCTGCGCCAACGCCTCCGACATTCGCTGCTCCTCTTCCGTCTGCTCACCATTCCCGAGCATGCTCCGCAATCCCTCGCCTTCCTTCTTACGCGCCGCTAGCGCCTTCGCGGTCTGGAACTTCCCACTCCCCAACACGTCCCACGGCGCAAGCGCCATTCCGAAATGCCGCGCCATAGGCAGGATGTCCCGCTCGAAGTCCCGGCGCATCACATTCCAGCGTCCCTGGTAGACGCTGAATGGTGTTTTGCCATGGGCGCGCGCGTACGTGTTCGCTGCAGACACGATCCACGCTGGCGAATCCGAGATACCGAGGTAGAGCACCTTGCCCTGCTCGACGAGGATGTGCAGCGCGTCCATGACTTCTTCGATGGAGGTCGTGTGGTCCCACCAGTGCAGGTAGAGGACATCAATGAAATCTGTCTGGAGTTTGCGGAGCGAGTCCCGCACGCTGACCATCAAGCTGCGCTTGTGGTTGCCGCAGAAGTTGACGGCCTTGCCCTTGCCCAGCGCGTGGGTGCGGTAGTCTGTCGTGAATTTGGTCGCGATGACCATGTCGTCGCGGTTCTTGCGCGAGACCATCCACTCTCCCAGCCAGGTCTCGCTCTGCTCGGATTGGTAGTTGTTCGCTGTGTCGATGAAGTTGCCACCCGCGGCGACGAAAGCGTCTAGTAGTTTGAAGGACTGTTCCTTGCTCATGCTGCCCATGAATCCGCTCCAAGCATCGCCGATGGACATCGCGCCTAGCTGCAGGGGGGACACACGGATGCCGGCAGTGGGGGACAGGATGCGATACCGGCCCAGCGGCGTGGCTGGCTCGGGGGCAGGGGCGAAGATTTCATTCATGGTGATATGATTTTGCGAGAGGATGGTTCAATGTGAGAGATTGTAAGAGTTGGGAGGGTCGAAGTTATTGCAGTTGACTCCTTTTATAACCTTTGTCGAATGTCATCCCCTCCGGACTTAGGGTTTGCACCGGAAATGGATAATGAACATGTTGACGGGAGATGATGTCAACGACCCAAAAATGCTCGGAGATTAGTGATGAGGTTCTGCTTATCCGCGGTAATTCAGTGCTAGTGATGGGCTCAGGAGAGAATGTCATCAGTGTGAAATGCCTCGGACATAGCGATTTCTGTTTATGTACATCATTTGGGGAGCAGGGTTAGTAGAAGGAAGCAGAATAAGCTGTTGTTCCTTCTCTAATCTCCGGCCACTAAGATCGCGACTAAACCCGGGATGGTTAGTGCCTGTCAGCAGGATTGTTCAGCGGATGTTTATTATGTGGGTGAGGCAATTAATCGATTGGATTGATTTATAGAAAGTGATGGTAGTGAGAAGAAAGTGCCATTGATAATTCTTGGTCTATGTTTCTAGTGTTTGCTTGTAAAGGGTGTCGAACTGCGGACTATATATTTGTTTTTCTCCCATTCCACCCTTATGCACTATCCTCCGGAGACGTGTCCATCAGCGGTCGCCAGCGAGACACCTGACATCATCTTTCGGCCAGGATGCAGGTGAGTCAACAGGAGAGAGTACATCAGCAATGGCTGCAGACTGCTGCCAGACAAGCAGTCTTCGTGCGAGGGAGGGGCCAAGGGTAGACCTGGCGATGACCCTGTACCCTAATTGTGAAAAAAGAATTTTTTTTTTTTTTTGGAACACAGTGTATTATTCCGATCATCCCTCTAGGAGACCAGGCGAATTAATTTCCTGACCCTTTCACTGACCGTTTGAATCGCCCTTTTCCTCCACATATTGCCAATGTCCTGGCAAGCGGTAGTGGCCGATCGGAGCAAGGGGTGAAGCCCTTCCACCCTGCCCCCAGGCCATCCTTGCATGGTCTCCTGGCCGACTCAGTCTGGGCCGGTGCGGCTGAGCGGGTTCACACACTAACAAGATCGACCAGCCGGTCGATCATGGTAGTCTGATGAACCACTGACACTCGCTACGGAGCATTCCACGCACCACATGGCAAGATGTACTGACACTACAAGATGTACCCTTGGATGTATGTCCTCCTGTCCACGTTGGATCGGCAAGGTTTCCCTGCCTGCAGGACAAATGGCCCAGCTGCGTTGCCAATCTGCGCTTGCCTTTTAACCAGCCCTCGCCCTCCCCCCCTGACTCTCTTTCTTTCTGATTCTGATTTGCCTTCTGCTGCATTTCCCTTTTTTGTTTTCCCCGTCCGACTCGGCAGTTTACGACAATGTCCACTTTCTTCAAGGCAGAGTCGCCTAAGGACTTGGGCTCTGACCCTTCATCGGCATCGGCGTCGGACTCGGATGCCCTCTCGCAGAAGAGTAGAGGGAAATCCTCCCAGGCGGCTAGTGAGAAGGGGAGTCAACATGAGAGACAGGAGAATTCCTCCAAGGAAGCTGTTCAGGACTTGAATAAGGAGGCTCAGAGTGCTTCGACCGATAATGTTTCCGCCTCGAGCAATCAGAGTGACAATGGAGATGCACAGGCTCCCCAAGATGATCAGGAATATCCCTCGTCCTGGAGACTGACCCTGATCACCATTGCATTGTGCCTGTGTGTGTTCTGTGTGGCTCTGGTAAGAATGCATCTATCTCTACCTCTATCTATGTACTAATGAACATTAGGACAATACCATCATCGCCACCGCCATCCCCAAGATCACCGACCAGTTCAACTCCCTCAATGATGTAGGCTGGTACGGAAGCGCCTACCTGCTAACCACCTGCTCCGTGACCCTGATGTTTGGCAAGCTCTACACCTTCTACTCCACCAAGTGGATCTACCTGTTGGCCCTGTCCATTTTCGAGGTCGGCTCGCTGGTCTGCGGCGTGACCCCCAGCTCGATCGGCTTGATCTGTGGCCGGGCCATTGCTGGTCTGGGTGCGGCGGGTTTGTTCTCCGGTTCCATACTCATCATTAGCCAGAGTGTGCCGCTCGCTAAGCGGCCTATGTATACGGGACTCGTGGGGTCGATGTTTGGTATTGCGAGTGTTGCCGGTCCACTGTAAGTTCTTCCTTTTATTGTCAAATGATATCGCTAATATCTATCTTGCAGAATGGGCGGCGCCTTTACCGACCATCTGACCTGGCGGTGGTGCTTCTATATCAACCTACCCATCGGCGCAATCACCTTTTTTTCGTGCTGGTCTTCTTCAAGGCTCCCCGTGCCATCAAGAAGAAGAACGATCTCCCCTGGCAACAACAGCTGGCGCAATTTGACCTGCTTGGCTCCATCTTCTTCCTCCCCTCCGTCATCAGCCTGCTACTCGCCCTCCAATGGGGCGGCACCAAGTACGACTGGAACGACCCGCGCATCATCGCGCTGTTCTGTGTGTTTGGCGTCGGCATCCTCATCTTCGTCGGCATCCAGTACTGGGGCGGCGATCGGGCTACTGTGCCCGTGCGGCTGATCAAGAACCGGAATATCTGGGGCGCCGCATGGTATGCCTTGGCCATTGGCGCGGCCTTCTTCGTTATTACCTACTATGTATGTGCTTGTTTTTCCGGCAACCTGCGGGTGAAACTAACCATATTTTAGCTCCCCATCTGGTTTCAAGCCATTAAAGGCGCCACGGCCATGAAATCCGGCATCATGAACCTGCCACTGATCATCTCCGTCGTGGTCGTCTCCATTCTCGCCGGTGGCCTGGTGACAGCATGCGGCTACTACACGCCGTTCATGCTCGCCTCGTCCGTCATCATGACCATCGGCGCTGGCCTCCTCACAACCCTAGAAACAAACTCCAACCACTCCAAGTGGATCGGATACCAGGCGCTATTCGGTATCGGGCTCGGTCTGGGCATGCAGCAGCCCATGCTGGTTGCCCAGACAGCACTCAAACGCGAAGACGTCCCCAGCGGCACGGCGATTGTCATGTTTGCGCAGACGCTCGGTGGCGCCGTGTTTGTTTCGGTGGCGCAGAATGTCTTCCAGAATCAGCTCGTGCATAACCTGCGCGAGTATGCGCCTGAGGTCGATGCTAGCCGTCTCCTCAAAGTTGGCGCGACCATGATCCGCACTATCGTGCCTGGTCCATTCTTGCACCAGGTTCTGAGCGCGTATAACGATGCTGTCACCCAGACCTTTTATGTTGCTGTCAGCATGGGTGCTCTGTCCCTCGTCGGGCCGATCTTCATCGAGTGGATCTCCGTCAAGGGCAAGAAGCCCGAGGTGGTCGCTGTCTAAGTTAGGATTGTGAGGGTTAACGTTCCTTCATGCATATTCTTTGCTCTCTCTGAGGCTGTGCTGTCCAGCCCACATACGTTTAGTGATAATATCTGTTGTGTTGTGATGTTGATGTTGATGCTGATGTTGATGTTTTGGATCCGTTTGCATTCTCTTCCATAACCACCCGTCCCGTTCTGTCTCGCTTCTTTCCTTTACTCTTTCTAGGATGATAAGATAATACAAAAAGACCAAAAAAGATCTATCTAGACCACCGCGTACAGACTCAGATAAATGCCCCAGATCACACCGCAGGCACTCCCAAAGACCACACGGCGGTCCACAGGGACGACGGTGTACATCAGCGAGGACACGATGGGGCGGTATTTGAGTCGAGCAACCATTATAGGCGGGAAGTCCTGGAATGTTGTCAGTAAATAGTCCTATAAATAAACAGCACCCGTCTGTCCGTCTGTCTGTGGGTAGCACAGTACTGTGGGACAGTGGAAAGGACCTGAGTAGACAGTAGAACGGGAAGAGTGATAAATCTCACCTCAATAACCAGCTCCCAAGTCCTCACAACCCCAATCCCCTTCAGTACATTAATCAAAATAATAAAAAGCACAATATTCATCACCGACCCCACCGTCTGATCGAAGATAAACTTCATCACAAAACTATACAGCCCCGACGAACTCTGCGAGCGAGGCGCCCATTGCGCAGATTTCTCCCGCCGATGGTGGCTGGGTAGTCGCGCGCCGGCGCCCCCGCCAGCAGCGGCGCGATACCAATCTCGTGGCCGATCGCGCGTGGAGAGGGAGAATGGTGCTGTGGATAGGCTTGAGGAGAAATAGTCGCGCAGTGACGAAACGGACTTGGAGCGTTTGCGCGAGCGATTCCTACCCCGACTTCCCCGCAGCAGCAGCAGCAGCACCAACACCAGTCCCAAAGGCGGGACAGCTCAGCGCGCGACGGGAAGCCTGGGTATCGTGCCTCCAGGGCGCGTTGCCAGGCGAAGTTGATGGGAACGATTAGGATGCCATAGGTGATGAATTGGAGGAGGGCGAGGGTGTTGAGGGTGAAAGGGTTCTGTTTTTGGGTTGGCACAAAGGTTAGTTGTTGATTCGATTGATATCAGGGGGACGATGGGGGATATCGGACAGGACTCTTGCGTTGGTCAATTAGTTGAGCGCAGATGTTGGCCAATGCGTTGAGGATGGTCGATTGAACGAACGTCACGGTCAGCGCGGAGGGCATTGCGGCGCCGCATTGTACATTTGAGTCGGTGGTTAGTTAAGTGTGGTGGCCGCGGTGGTGGTGGTGAAGGTCCATCATTGCCAAGACACCGTGTCCTTGTGGTGTTGGCACTAATTAACTCACGAACTACAAAGATACCTACAACTACACCTATTCCGGAGAAAACACCATGGAGCATATTTATGGATCACAGTTACTTCACTTGGTTATCTGTGGCGAAACACCACATTCGGCCCGTTCTTCGCACTGGTAAAGTGATCCACCAGCGCCAAATGGCCCTGCTCGTCCTCGCCCACCCGGTCCGCCAGCGCCATCTCAAACAGAAACACCAGTCTTGCCAGCGTCACCCGCATCTCCATGAACGCCATGCTCTTGCCAATGCACCCGCGCGGCCCAATGCTAAATGGACAGAATGCCCGGCGCGCCGTGTCAACCTGTTCCTTGCTCGTGGTCCATTTTGCGTCGGCCACTTCGCACCTCGCACCCTCGATCCACCGTTCCGGTAGGAATGTCCCCGCCGCCCGGTAGTATGCCTCTTGTCGGTGGATGGAGTATGTCGGCGTGCCGCAGTTTGTGCCGGCTGGCAGGAACACACCGTCCACCACCGCTCCGCCGGCCATTACCTCGCGCGGAATTGCGCCGGGCACGGCGGGTGCGAGACGCAGTGCTTCGTCGAGGACTGCTTTCAGGTAGACGAGTTCGTTCAGCCGCGCGCCGCTAACAATCTCTTCGACTTCGTTGAACGCTCCGCGCACCTCGGCGCTTAGTTTCGACAGCGCCCCTGGCTGGCGCACGAGGTAGAACAGCGCCGCGGCCAGCGTGGTTGACGTCGTGTCGCTGCCCGCGATCATCAGCACGTTCGCCTCGCCCCACAGCTCGGGTGTGCTCAGTCCCTTGCCCGTTTCCGGGTCCGTCGCGTTGAGCAGGTAGTAGAAAAAGTCCTTTTTCGCTTCGCGGCCGGCCTGAGCACGCTCTTTGGCCCGCTCGCTGGCTTCGACCCGCGAGTTCATGATGAAGTTCCATCGGTCGCGCGTTAGCTGTCGAATGAAAATCTGGTCCAGGTGCCATCTGTCCAACGGCATCCAGAGCCCGCACTGCGAGGGACGGGTTAGCTAGTGGTCGGGCTGGGTCTGCTGAAGCAAATACTCACCACATAGTGTCTGTTCGCGGCGCGATCAACAAGCTTCACCATGTGTCTCTTGCCTCGTGAGACGAGCATGTCAAAGCTCTTCCCGAAACACAATTCGCCCATCACATCGTAGGTCAGGTAGCTAAACCAATCGCCCATATTGCGCACGACGGCTCCCTTCTTCTCTTCTCCAATATCATCCCCATCAGAGTCCCCCCCATCATGCCCCGCCAGCACAGCACAAAGCTGCCGAACATGCAAGAGCATAACATCCTCCATCCCCTTGAGTGCATGGTCCGAAAACGCCTGGCTCAGTACCCTCCGCTTGCGCCCATGCATCGTCTTATCGATCACATTGTGCGTGTTATACACAGTCTTGATGGCGGGGAAGGCATTGTAGAAATCAGCCTTCTGGAGCCGCTTCCCGTGTCCGTAGATGTCGTGCAGGCCACGGTCGGTGTTGACAGATATGAAATTTGGGGCTGCGCGCACATGGCTCCCGTACTGGGTGTGTAGCCTGTGCAGCCACAGGTGGCGGTCGCCTTTTAGGCCATGGTATAGCTGTACCCAGGGTGTGAGGCCTGCGAGGAGTGGCCCCGGGATGCGGCGGAGGGGGTGGAAGAAGGCATTGTAGATGGCGTAGGCCAGGGTCTATCGCCAATCAGTTCCGGATTCCTCATTTTGAAGGGAAGTCACATACCGCCGCGACTAGCAGAACCCCCGATCCACACGCGACCCTCGTCAGCGACAAACACTCCAGTACCGGTTCGACGAGCATCGTACGAGCATATACCTAGTTTTGGCGGTGTGTCGTTTCAGTCAATCAATGAATGCTTGGGTCTTTAAGGAGACTCGGTGGCTGCCTCCCGTCTTTGGTTTTATACTCCCGCCCGAAGATACCCGCGCCCAACCGGGGGTCAATGACGACGCACCCGGATTTAGTCACCTCAGCTTATTCTTTGTAACGATGGAGAGGTGCTCGGTTAGGGGCGGTCGATTACCTCGTGGGGGGTTTTAGAGGATTGTTTTGCGTATTTTTTTGTCGTGGGGTTCGTTAATAGCGGGGGGCTTGCATTATCTTGCATGAGTTTAGGTGTTGGCTGTGGTGGGCTGGAGGTCGGCAGATCAGGAAGTGTTCCGGATTTGAAAGGGGATGCTACTCTAGGAAGGAGAACAGGGATTATCCCCGTTCTCAATAGTCGATTGGAATTTCGCTGCAATTATGAATGGGTTGCATTGACATAACCATAGTCCCGGAAGGAATCATACTTGGTTGAATGAAATGATCTCACCGGATGAAGCTATCCACCCCTCGAACGGCTCTTTCAGGTATTTAGGGCTGGCTTTGATACCGCCACTACCCGTCCTGGATTAATAAAGGCGGATCATAGCTTTTCAAAGTGCGTTTTATCAGACAACTATCTCGATTTGCGCGTCCTACTTTCACAGCATAGAGAAAGACCATTCTGAACTCTTGGTAGTATCTTCATTCCTCGAGCCCAACAGACGATAATGGTTTCATAGGAATGAACATCACTACCATTCAAATGGCACTTCTTTGCGTTCTTACAACATGGCGGAATGGAGGTGCACAGGTGGGCGCTGACACCTCAGGCACCAATCGAATCTAATAGAGATCGATTTCAGGCACCTTGTAAACAGCTAATCCAGTGACGACTTCACAGTACTTCGTACATAAGTGAAAGTTCATTTTTTCGGTTATCCTGATCAGCCACATTTGACGAGCTTAGTCCCTCGGGATCTGGGTACCCAATCTGTCAGAGTACAATAAGTCCGACAAAAAGCAGGTTTAGCTCTAACGACGTCTAAAGTGGCTAGCAACAAGCTCGGTTCCAGCTGCGTAGATGTATCAGGACTTTTTCCGAGGGTAGCGCAGTAGAATCCAAGAGATTCATTTTCGGGGGTACATGGTCAATTGGGTCAAGTATGCTTATTTGCCTAACTACGTACCTTGCTATCCAAGCCATTGTTTGGTTCTAAATATAACTTCACCTATAGGTCAATTACTACACGGCCAAAGCGGGTATTGTTGGGATGACGAAGGGAATTGCTAGGGAATGGGGACGGCATGAGAGACAAAGTCTTTATAATATGCATTTTTACTGAGATGAACAGGTAAAATGTCCGATGCAATGCAGTTGTCTACGGTTGGATGGACACTCGCATGACTCGGCCTCCTGAACCAGGCCAGAAGATGATAGTGAACGGAAACGAGATTAGTGTCGGCGTCGCAAAGAGTGCAAAGAAGTTTAGAGATACTTCGGATATTGCCCTAGGGTGTCTGGGAACCGCAGAGGAGGCGGCTGGGTGTCTGCTATTTCTCGCAAGCGACCTTTTTAGTTATGTAACAGGGCATGTATTGGAGTGCAATGGAGGGCGCTTTATGTGACGGAAATCCGAAAAGCCTAGATAGGCGCCATGGTTTTGAATTTAGAATTTTGCTATGCTTACAAGAAATTCCAAGGTACCTAGACGAATATAGACTGAATCAATAGCCCGTAAGAGCTTCGGGATCCGTAGCCTCATTCGAGGAGAAAGTTAGGCTAATCACATAGGCCTTGGCCCCGGACCAACAGCCCTTTCACCGTGGAAACCCACCATGCATGAAAAGAAATAAGAAAAAGGTAAACTCGTCCGATCGCATTACTTTAGTAAATGAAAAGCGCAAGGAGATAAGTTTTTAATAGTGCAAGGAGATAAGTTCTTAACAGTGCCAGGAGATAAGTTCTTAACTCCGCACACTTCCCTCATATAACACTAACCAATACTTCGCATTTCTCTACGCTCAAAAGGCTAGGAGAAACGAAAATGGCAGCAGCACGCCCCACCTGGCTGATCACTGGAGCCTCATCTGGTCTGGGTAAATCGCTTTCTTTGGAAGCTCTCAAGGCAGGCTACAAGGTCATTGGAACCACCCGTGACGTCGGCAAGGCTGAAATCGCCCATCCCGAATTCTCGGCCAAAGGTGGCATCTGGATAGGTATAGATCCTGCTCAAAAGGATGCATACGATCAATTCGCCAAGTGCTCTCAGGAACACAATGTGGATGTCCTGGTCAATAACGCGGGTTACGCGTTCATTGGCGGTGTTGAAGATACCAGGTGCGTGGCTTCGGGATACTCTTTAGCATGCTGGGAACAACCTTGCTGATTGAGGTCATTACAGTGAAAATGAAGTGCGAGATCAGATGGAGGTCAATTTTTATGGGCCACTTCGCGCTGTTCGGGCGTGTCTCCCTGCCATGCGTGCAAGAGGTTCCGGTCACATTGTCCTGATTAGCAGTGGTGCTGGGTAAGTTGATTGGTTCATTTCTCGTTCTTTCTCAGCCCACTGTTTAACGGAGAGATTGCACGGAACCAACAGATTCATCGCCCGCCCTGCAAGAGCCACCTACTCTGCCAGTAAATTCGCCATCGAGGCTGTTCACGAGTCACTTTCCCACGAGGTGAAGACACTTGGTATCAAGGTCTTGATAGTGGAGCCGGGCGCTTTCCGTACGCCATTCTCCAGCCGCATCATTATCCCAGCTCAGTTCGAGAACGGCTTCAGCGAGGGCTACAAGGGTACTGTGGTAGAGCAGATGGTCGCTGGGACTCGACAGATGATGTCCATTCCCGGCTTTGTGAAAGGAGACCCTGATAAGGCGGCACGGGCAATCATCCAGGCCACCGTTACAGGCTACGACTATCTTCGCATGCCCCTGGGAAAGGACTGTGTGGATGCGTTGGAGTCCAAGATTGGCGAGCTACAGAGGGACCTCGAGGCTACCCGACCCATCGCCACCTCTACAGACATCGATTGATTGGAACACGGGCTGGGCAATAGCAATGTAATGTGTGAATCGCTCACAATCCAATACGGAGAAGCATACTTTCTTTTACCTGATTTCCAGTCAGCTCGCGTGCTGGTGTAAAGCGGGACAATGATATAGATCCCAATTAACCTATGAAAAAAATGCATTGTCCTCTGGCCCCCACCCGCCCCTGCGCATGGACTCTCCCCGCATTCTTCACCGTCTCAATTTCCCCGGGGTGGACTGGACTCTTTTGTTCGGCAAGGGTGTCACAACGCTCGGGAGTGCGACTCTCTGATAAACTCTTTTTCAGGATGACAACATGACCCACGTGCTCTTACCAGACCAATGGCCCCTCTTGGGGGTCACCACCTCATGGGCCGCGGCCCTCATGGTGGTGATTATCTCGAGTTTCTATCTATCTTCAGCCAAGCTGCACCCCCAAGAGCCGCCCGTCATTACCAGTGTGGTACCCTTTGTGGGCCACCTGCTCGGCATGATCGTCAATGGTGGGCGCTACATCAAGTCCATAGGGTAAGCAGGACCAGCCCTGGCATACGGGAAGCAATCCCCCTGATTCTGACCAACTCTATCAGGATCACCAATCGCGACAAGCCCATATTCACTCTTCCCGTGCCCCGATCGCGCATCTACGTCGTCACGGACCCGGTTCTGGCGGCCGCTGTCCAACGGGCCTCGCGCGCCTTATCCTTCACCCCTCTCGTGCCAGATATCACCAAGCGCGTGCTGGGGCTCGACGATGCCACCGTCGCCGCCGTCCGCCAGAACTTGGATCCCGAACCTGGCGACGAGCGGCGTGGCTTCCTGGCTGACATGCACGACATGATGTATCGCAACCTCGGACCCGGCGAGGCGCTGGAAAGCCTGAGCTCTGGCGCCGCTAATGAACTGAGCCGCCAGATCAACACTTACGTCGCAGACCTGCAGTACCGACAGCCCGGCGGAGCGCCGACTATCAAGGTCGACCTGCTCGAGTGGGTGCGCCACTTTGTAACGGTCGGTACGGCGCAGTTCCTGTACGGGCCAAATAACCCCATCGCCGCACACCCAGAGCTAGAGCAGGCCTTCTGGGACTTTGATCACGGTCTCGGCCTCCTGCTGATGGGCCTCGCGCCTTCCATCACCGCACGCAAGCCGTACCGCGGGCGGGAGGCCCTGGCGGCCGCCTTCACCGAGTACATCACCGCTGGCCATGACAGTGAGGCGGCAGCGATCGTACGCAAGCGTGTCGCCATTGCGGAGGAGTACGGCTGGCCCGCCTCCAGCACTGCGCGCTCAGAGCTGTCCTTTCTGTTTGCGGGTATCGTCAATACGGCCACCACGACCTTCTGGGTAGTGCTGCAGATCTTCGCGCGGCCGGAACTGCTAGCCGCCGTGCGCGGCGAGCTGGCCAAGATCACGGGTGAGAGGGAGAGCGAGCGAACGCTGAGCTTGGACGGTGTGAAAAACGAGTGCCCTATTCTACTGGCCGTTTTCCGCGAGTGTCTGCGGCTGGGCTCGAACAACTTCTCAACGCGCCTCGTGAAGACCGATACAATGTTGGCGGAGCGGTACCTCCTCAAGGCGAACTCAGTGGTCCAGGTCGCAGGCGGCGTGATCCATGCCGACAGGCAGATCTGGGGCGACGACGTGGACGTCTTCAACCCGGGCCGTTTTCTCAAGCCGCAGCAGGGCGGGTCGGCAAGGCCGAGCGTCCACCCGGCGGCATTCCGGTCGTTTGGAGGTGGTAAGACTCTCTGCCCTGGGCGGCACTTTGCCACGACCGAGATCCTGTCTCTCGTGGCAATGATTGTGTTGACCTTTGACTTGGAGGCTGTCGGGGGTGGGGAGATTGTTGTGCCTGCTCCGGACGATGGTGTTTTGCCTGTGCACATTCTAGAGCCCAAAGCGTCTGATGCCGTCGAGGTCGTGGTGAAGCTAAGGAGCGATGGCGCAACGCCGTTAAAGATCGTTCCATGATTATCACCGAGGGATCAAATCGATATTGTCCTACATGGTGTATACCTTATGGTCATTCTTAATTATAATTATCACAGAAAGGGTGCCTGTGTAATATAGGTATGAAGGTAGCACTTATTGCTCTATCTAGTTTAGCCCGCACCCCCACTGACCCCCACGCGCCCACGTCTCCACGCCCTGCGATGAGCTAATACTAACCGGCGCAAGTCCGCTCGCCAGTCACTCGGGCCATGATCCCGCCGAGGTTCCGAGCGGGGACAAGGCCGAGTGATTCTGGCGCACCCCGCGATTGTCCACCAGAAATTGTTCCGTCCCTCTTCCCTACCTCCCAGACACTCACTCAGCATGCCATTCAACACCGCCATCCGTACAGCGCTCAAGGGCCCATCCGTGGCCTGGGGCTTCTGGCTCACGTATGTTCTTATACCCAATTCTAGGATTCGTTTCGACTAACTCAGATTCTTCCCGCACAGGCTCCCCAGCGCCGCCGTTGCCAAAACTATTCTGCACAGATCGTCCGCGTCCCCCGCTGACCGATTCAGCTGGGTCCTCGTCGATGCCGAGCACGGGCTGATCTCAGACTCGCATTACTATGAGGTACGTTTCTGTTTCTAGCCTCCTATGCATCCAGCAAACTAAACTCAACCAGCTCAACAACGCCGTCGGCGCCGAACGCGCAAGCCCCATCATCCGCGTCCCTTGGGGTGAGGAGTGGATGATCAAGCGCGCCCTCGACGCAGGCGCTCATGGCATCATGACACCCATGTGCCATTCCGAGGCCGATGCGGCCAGGATTGTCAGTTACGCCAAGTACCCGCCTCTGGGGACGCGTGGGTACGGGCCCATGTTTGCCACGCACTCTTTCCCGGAGGTCATGCCCGGGAGTGACCATGATGACAACGCCAATGATGGGGTCATGGTGGTTGTGCAGATTGAGTCGCGGTCGGGTGTTGAGAATGTGGAGAAGATCGCTAAGGTGGATGGGATTGATGTCCTTTTCATTGGTGAGTGCGATGAGATGACTCTCAGTTTGTTTGAGATGGAAGATTTACTAACCCTTTATCAAGGTCCCTTCGACCTCGCCAAGCAAATGGGCGTCCAGCGTGGTGGTCCAGAACATGAAGCTGCCATCCTGCGCACTTTGGCCGCTGCTAATGCAGCTGGCAAGAAGGCTGCCATCTTCTGTACCAACGGTGAAGATGCCCGGGTCCGCGCCGAGCAGGGCTTCCACATGATCTCTGTCAACACGGACGTTGGCGTTATTGGTGATGGAATGCAGAAGGAGCTGGCGACGGCTAAGGGCACAGCTGCGGCAGGTAAGAGAGAGGGATATTAGATTCTTTGTCTCATGGGGACGAGGTCACGATTTCTACTGTGTAGGGAATCAAATGAGCGCGTTTAGATGACTAGTACATCATTTTGAGTCTTGAAATAAGCCACCTAGGTCTATTTGAGCTAGTTCAGGCGCCCCGTCCTCAACCGTTCCTTCTTGGTGGTACCTTCAGAGAGATAACAACCTAAAATTGAACCTGAATGTAGCGGACAATAACTATGGCACAAATGATCAATGCTGCTCGAGCGTGTCCGTGTGTAACCCTTGAGACTAAAACACCGTGATGCGGTTCTCAGACTCCAAGGCGAATTTGAGATAAGCACTCGAAATATCAACTATAACCGTTTTCAATCGAGTCCATAAATGGCGTGATATTTAGACTGCCAGCATTCGATTCTTACCAGGCATGGTTGAGTATCTGCTCGCCGTAAATCATCATCGAGTCCAGCTGATAGACCGACATGTGTCGGAGGCGGCGGCTGAGATGGCCCTCTGGGTTGCTGAGTATGTGATTCCAGCGTCGCCCGGACATAATGATCCATTCCACAGGCGACTCACGATGCAGCCGCAGAGCGAGACACAATACTGCGCACGGTCAATGGTCGGATCCAGTTGTTTCCGGCAAGAGCCTGGAATAGAAATAGGGTATCGAAAATGAAATATTTGACCTGCCGCTCAGGTGTTGTATCCGTGCAGCCCACCATCAAGAATCCACTGCTCGTTGTCATCATTGTCGTCTTGCACGCGCCTCCACGTCTGTGTTCGCTCTGTCCGTTCCGTTTGGTCTGGGGGTTTACCTTCCGGCGCACGCCAGACAGGACGCATTAGTCCTCCAGCAGCGAGAAGTGGGTTCCGGCTGAACGCATGTCCACCACTTGAAGGTTCTGCCGGACCCTCTTCCGCCGCATCATAAGGATCAGGCTCACTGGGCTCCGGTGTTGGCTCTGCCGCGGCAGACTGATACACGCGTCGCACCTTGCCGCCCTTGATATCCAAGCTCATCACCGTCTTCTTCTTCTCCCACTCCGGACGAGCCTTGTCTTCCATCTCGCGCTGGATGCGCTGCTGCTTTTTCAGCGCTAGGGCCCGCTGCGCTGGACTCATCCATAACGTTGAGGCGACATTCGGTGTCTCAAAGTCGGCTGCTTCATCAACAACTTTTGTCCGACGAGCATTCTGCGCTTGGAATTGAAGTAGCCTGTCACGGTGTGCCTTGGCGGCATCGAGTTTGCTCGGTGACGAAGACCCAGAAGTAGGTCGTGGGCCGCCCTCGTGATGAACGCCCTCATTATGTGCCCGCATCTTCTCCTGGCCGCGCTCGGCGCGTAGTTCACGGATCATGCTTTGCACTTCCTCTGCGGAGAGAAGAGGGGTGCCACAGAAGGAACACGGTTGTAAACCCTCCAGCGAGCAAATAATTTTCCCACAATTGAGACAGTTCGGTGCGGGATCAAATAACGGGTGGATTGTGGCGTAGCAACTGCATTTCCGCCTCTTCGCGTCCAGCGTCGGATTGGTGGACAACTCTAATGCCGCGATGGCGGCCGTCAGGTCCGAAATGTTGTTCGTAGTGAGCGAATCGCTGCCCTTGGAGGAACTGGCCGAGCCTCCCTGTCGGGCGGGCTTTCCTGCCTTCGAGCGTACATTCGGCAGCATGTCGGAGAGCACCGGTCCAGAGGCCGACGGCGGTGCCTTCATTGCCGGCATGGGCGACTGAACACGAGAGGAGGAAGCGGATGAGCCATGTGATGAGGATCCCATAGCAAACACTGGCTTGAGTTGTGAGGATGACATGTAGTCCTCCTCCTGCTCGGCCTTCTTGTACCCTCCACCCACATCGCCGTAGTTGTCCGGTCGTCGCGGCGGACCGGTGCTGTGAAGTGGTGCCTTCTTCTTTTTGGTCCGCGTTTCGGTACGTGTGGGTTCGCTTCGTGAAGAGGAGTCCCGGCGGGCGTTGAACGAGGCGATGAACTCGAGGGCGGCGGGGGAGTCGCCCAGGAGGTTTTTCAGGTGGTCGGCGCTAGCATCCTTGGGCAGACTGGCAGCGTAGTCGATGATCTGCACGAGTGACTCTTCGTCCAGGGGAAGGAGTTGGGAAAGTCTGGGAGTGGCCCAGGCAGTGAGGGCCATATTGTTGGGAAAGGTGAAAGTGGAAGAGAAACGAAGCGTGTGCGGGAAGTAGTTCCCACCTCACCGCCAGCAGGAACTACGTAGTTATGGAGTTGATCACTTATACACTATACTAACGCAATCAAGATGAGGGAGCTAATGGAGTAAAATAATAATGCAGAATACGATGAGACGGTGGCCGCCAGAAATGATGTGTGAAATGGGCGGGCGGATTGCAAGTCCAACGAGAAGATGTGTTGATGTCTAGTTCGGGGACCCACGAACAGTGGCTATTTCAATGGCCTCTCGCGAGAATCAAAGATCGCAGGGAAAGAACGGCTAAATGCGAATAACACTTCCTCGTATCACTTTTAAACCTTGCTCGGCTTTGTTAGAAGGCCTAGGCTAGCAACAAAGGACTCCATCTCCCAGAAGAACATTATCGGTATCTAAGACTATGAGATGCAAGTGTTCTACTCGCTAAGGCATTTGTCGATGGTCAGATTTTTATTCAAAAATGCGAAATTGGCACTAAGGAAGTTCCTATACATAGGCTCGATTCTCTTCAAGGACTTCTTCCACTGTGAATACGAACAGCCTGAAGGAAGTCTTGAGGTCCGTCAGCTCCAAAAAAATGCTCTGTAAACCATTGGCCCTTCTCAATTGCAGCAACCGCGCGAGGTAGCATCGCCTTCTCATATTCCACAACAGCAGATTCCAGATTATCAATTCCATGCTTGATGATCTGTCTGGCCAACTGAACACTATCGCACAAGGCATTATTGACACCATCTCCGGTGGGTATGCTAGAAGTAGTAACTCGTCAGCAGAGTACAGTCGTTGATAATAGTCATCTTACGTTAAGTGCGCAGCATCTCCGACCAGTGTCACTCCGGGGGTATGTATCCAGGGCATGTCCTTCTTTGGCGTGGAGTACAACGGCCAAGAGCGAAAACTCCGGTTGCTGAACTTGATCAACTCTGCAAACTCTGGAACCCATTCGGCAAACTCATCTTGTAGCAACGATTGCCATAAAGCTGAAGCGATTTCAAGATATCAAGGTCAATTTCAAATTTCATTTCAAGAGGCTTCGTTTTGACATCCCTATACAGTGTAGGAATTGCCGCTGGAGGAATGAATGGACACATGAATGCTGCGAAAAAACAAAACAGGTTTAATTTTGACAACGAAATTCAAAAGGGGTTTAGTTTTTCTATTTGCCCCCAAAAACACCAAAAATAACCGAACTTCGACAGCTCTTAACTCGACAGCTATACAAATTAATAAGATTATGATTGAAGAGTTAGAATTAGCTAGTCAGAATACCATACTCTAGTATTTTGTTTATTTTAATGTGGCTGTTAGTTGAAGTCGGATTCTTTTTCTAATGGTGAAATAATCGAAAGAGTGTAGGTGATCGCACCAGTTTCGGGGAGGGATGGAGTCAAATACAACAGGACTTGGATGCATCGGGCCACGACTTTCTTAAAAACATTTTGGGAAAGGCCCTGAGGCCTTGAGTCTACCGGACATTGTTGGAGATAAGTCGGTTGGTGCGCCTTGGTTCACAAAACTATAATTTTTGCCACTTACTCGGACCAAAACCCTAGAGTGGTCCATTCCATCTTACTTCGGATACCATAGGGTGTCACATTACGCCATATTTCATTGATGGAATCTGTGGAACACTGGTTTAAAGCAGCCAAGGCGTGGATTCGTCTGCGCGTTAAATAGTCACAGGACCTTTACCGTTTGGATTTGGAAGCTATGTATCTAGAACGTCTCAGAATACATAGTTATAAATGACCGTACTGGTTACCCAGAGTCAAGTGATACTCATTTTCTTCTAGGGGTACCCTACCAACTGTATTCACCACACTCCATGCGGTTTCAACCTCAACCTCTAGTGGGAACAAAAACCGTGATATGGAAGAGTCATTTACTCCTGATCAGTTATTCTCTATTCGTATTGCTATACGCGCAATGTCGACCATATCTCTTCTAGCATCAATTTTCATCATCACCAGTTTCACATTTAGTTCAGCATTCCGCAAGCCAGTTCACCGATTATTATTTTATGCGACCTGGGCCAATACTATATCAGCTATAACCATGTTAATTAATACAGCACCCACAGACTGGCTCACTGTATCCACAACGCTGTGTCAAGCTCAAGGATTCCTTATCCGGTGGTATGAATAACAGGGGTTAGAGATTCATGTCCTCCACTAACGAGTGAGTCATGTCAAGGTTCATACTTGCGGACCTACTTTGGAGTCTATGCTTGGCCTGCAATGTATACGTCACAATTTCCGGGGTTATAACGAATCCCAGTTGCGGACACTGGAGTGGAGATATCTAATAGTCTGCTACGGACTTCCACTTGTTCCTGCAATCGTACTCTTGTTTATTGAGAATGGAGTTAAAGGGAGAGTATATGGCCCGGCTATTGTAAGTACACCGCGGACACTCAAACTGCATCACCTTTTCTGTTAAATTCGCAACTAGTTATGGTGCTGGATTCGCCCATCCTGGGCATATCTCCGTTTCGTGCTTGTTTACGGGCCTGCGTGGTTTATGATTCTGCTATCTCTGACCATATATACTCTAACAGGAAAGAAGATTTTTCTGATACGACAGGATCTGAGGAAGGTCCAGCAAAGTCAGGTATTAGAATCAACTAGATCAGCTAGGTCCAGACAATTGGCGCATACGCCCTCAAATAATACGAACAAAGCTGCCTGGGCATACTCCAAATATGCTGTCTTATATTTTGTCAGTGCACTTATCACATGGGTTTGTCTATTCCGTTGCTTTCTCCTTATTTGTCACCTAAGAGAAGCTAATGCCAGAATTCATTTTAGGTCACTGCAACGGTCAACAGGCTGTACGCCATTATCAAACCCTCCGCACCAAATTTTGGGCTGAACTTTGTTGAAGCACTCCTACTTCCGTTGCAGGGGTTCTGGACCTGTATGATCTTTATTGCAGTTTCCTTCAGTGCTGTCAAAATAATTCTAAAGAAGAGAGTGCGAATTTTCTCGAAACATGTGGATGTATGTGAAACTTGAACAGAGCCTTTCTCGCTGCACATGAAATTTATTTGTGAATAATACGAAGTACATAATAAAATGAGCGATGCTAATGTGGAATTCGGTATGAATCAATTCTGAGCCATCCAATGAGTACTCACGGAGCACTCGCTGAGAATCCGTTGTTGGAGCACTGCCCGTATATAGGTCACGTGACCGCGGGACCGACCTCACTTAGTCAGCTCATAGTCTAGATAGTTGGACTCACTCCGGGGCCCCTTCTAATTGGACACACACTCACCAACATCCGTCATCTCTCACGTGACTGTTGGAGCTGTTGGAGCAACTATCCTCACTGAAGATCGCACCGCCGGACCTCAGGAATGGACAATATTGGTGTTCAGGCAGCCGCGGGTCCACAAGAGACACCCAGAATAGGAAACTGTTCAATACGGATGAATGGGTAGTCCACAGCGGGAAGCCCGTATCAGGAATCAGCCGTCTGTGGGTTATCATGAGTACGATTGATGAGATCAGTTGGGAATCAAGACAGTAGAAGTTGATAGTTCAAATTGGTAAATAGGAAGATGCTAAGACTAAGAGATTTTGCCGAACCAAGACCATGATAAATCGGGGACGCGGTGGCAAGCGTTTATCAGTCACACAATAGAGCGTTCAAGATAACCGTAGTCAGTTCAGTTCAGCTTGGAGAATTTCTATGAACTACGGCTTAGTCCCATTAGTTGAACTGAACTATAGTCTCTGAAGTCTTACTTCTTCGCAGTTCTGGAATCCATATCTTAATCTCTAGCAAGGTCGTCCGACTATATCAGATTGAGTTCCACAGACGGGGGCGTGGGCTCCATTGAAATACGGTGGATCACATTCATGTGAATAAAAGTCATCTTGGACCCTTGAATCCCTTTATTTCCTGAGCTTACCCTGCCAACTCGAAGTATCACTCAATTCGTGTTTTTTTTGCCACAGTTCTAGTGCCTTATTCACCTGCTCTTCATATCACGCAAGTTAAGCCTAGCTCCCTTATGTAAGAGTTTTAACTCCCACTGAATGTTAAGGACGCTCATTCCGGCGAACGTTAATAAACTCGAACTATCAAAGATTTTGAGTTTAAGTCAAGCCATGCGTCCCTACATAACCTTGGAACCGAGCCGCCACACCACGTGCTTCCCCATAGCTATACCGCATGGATCAGTCTGGATTGAAAGCCTGAATAATTATAAATTTATAGTTCATGCGACCTTGGAACTGTTCTGCTGGTTACAACTTAAAAGTGGTTTCAAGTAATGGTTTTGGGAATGGAGGAAATGCTACAGTATCCGCGCGCCCTCACCGCTCGCTGACGAGGGCCCGACTTCTCGGGGGCGGGTACTCATGATCACATGGCAAGTCAACCGCATTTCCCTCCCCTTCTTTAGATCTTTTCTATAGCGAGTTGAGCATCTAGTGATCATGCGTATCTATTTAGAGATAGAAGCAATTGATGGACGTGGTCGCGGATTTCGTAGGCTTGAAATGCTCGTTTAGGGATTGTTGGTGCGAGATCGTCTGGTGTCAGCCTACAGTGGCACCGCAAAAGTCTGAGGCCCCTGAAGTATCGCGCGATTATTCTGCCAGCAATTAGCGTCCACATCACTCAAAATCTACTATTGCTGGACGGTATTTACCGTATAAGGAGGCGGTAAAGAAGGGTACTTTGGGGGTCACAGACTTTTGCGGCGCCACTGAAGAGGCCCACGGGACCTTTACTTCGGAAATTCGTATCTTCGAAACAGGGATCCGGTTCGACCTCAGAATCGGAGGAAATATGAAATTCGACTTTGTGAGCAAGAGTAAATTCTTAAGGAATGCGTACAGTATTTCATTTAATTACTAAACTCAATGTTGTCTTGGGCTTTTTGTTGTTGTGGGGGGGGGGGGGGGGTTGTAAACCCAGCGAGAGGAGATTTGATCTTCTAATCCCCCTTTTTTATGTAAGTAACTTCAAGGTTTGTGGGCCAGACTAGGAAGTTGGCAGTCATCAATTGAACTTTTCGAGACTAGAAACAGCCAGCAGCGTTTATCGGCAATTTCCTGCGGTTGTAATTGTATTCAAGTGACAGGAGATTTCGAATGGCGAATAAGAACGGTAGCCCAATGCCAGGCTTGCGCTTGCATTTGCCGTTCTGATATTCCCGTCCCTTCTGCATCCCAAGATCGTTTGGCGCTATCTTATCGAGGGTGGATTGCTGTGATAGGCCAGCACGTTTCAACCATGGTTCGAGTAGAGCTTAATTGGCTTGGGCAATTACTATACCTATAATCCGCCAGAGTAGGAGGCGAATCGTACGATTCTATAAGAGTAGACATCGTATCCTTTCAACTTTTGCTGTTGTTCACTTATTGCCTTATCTTTGATCCTCAGGGTTGTCTCTAATTCACCATCTCCATCGTGCACAATCAGTTTTATCCAAAATGCAGGGCGGCGACCCACAGTCCGGATACAAAAAGGAAGACCATTCTAGCGATGCCTCGTCTCTTGATCCGAGTCCGCAAGTTTCAAGTGAATTCAACGAAGCCTTTTCTCACAGTAATGCTGTGGGGTTCGGAGGTCATCGCCCTCGTATGCATAGTTTCAGTATCTGGAAGTCTTTCGAACGCCACAATCCGGAAGACCGCCTATCAGGACCACCGGGAAGCTCCGCTGTTGCAAAGGTCTATGAACCCGGAAAGAAGAGAAAATTCAAGGAGCGGATGCAGAACGTCGAGAATGAACGAAGTAGGACAAAGCGGCTGGAGGGCGAGGGGAAGGAGTCTAGCAACAAGCTACTGATTTTGAGATCGGAGCCAAATATGGTGTGTTGCCTTTCCTTTTACTCATCAATAATTATCCTTAGCGAAATGGGCTTGGCTAACACACTGCACAGAAGCGTAGGGCCCAGAATCGTGCCTCGCAAAGGGCCTTTCGAGAGCGTAAGGTCAAGCATCTGCAAGATCTTCAGAGAAAGATAGATGAGCTACAAGAGTCTTCTGACTTTCTAGGTCAAGAGAATAGCTTGTTGCGTGCCCGAGTGTGGCAGTTGGAAGTGGAAGCCCGTGAGTATTGCAAACGGTTATCTTGGAATACCGGACACAATGAAGTATCCGCAATGGGTGTAGTTCTAAGTCCATATTCCAAAGGAGCACAGGGTGTGCAAACCAGCGAATATGTGCGTGGTTTCCAGCAGTTCGATGACCTCTCCGGGGAAATCCTCTTCAGTAGAGGACAAGCAGGCAGCAATGGCCTGCCTCAATCCAATGACAGTGTCCATTGGCATTGGTGTTGAAGGCTTTCTGTTTTATTGAGATTAAATTTAGCGGATTCCTAGACCTCTACAATCTTCATCCCTGTACGTCGAAAGATGTCTCTGGCGCGCTCTTCTTTGGTATCCATAGTATTGATGCACTACTCGAGAAGGGGGAGTAGGGTTGCAGAGACGGAACCCCACGCCCGCGTCGCATGGCCGACCAATGCTTCAGAGGGATGAAAAGATGGGTTGTCTATTACAAGTACAGATTTAGGCTCAGGCCATCTTCCGCAGTGCTGGAGAAGTTGTACGACGAGATTTTCGAACATAGGCGCATCAATTGAACCGCGGAAGACGCATGAGAGAACGATCTTATCTTGCGCATACGCAGGCAATACCTGATTAATCTTGCTTTTACCTTGAAATCTTTAGCTCGCCATGCCGAAGCCATCAGTTTGCTGGAAATTTGCTTAGCCAAGCATAAACAAATATTAGGGCTGAACCATTCAGATTATGTCTGTCAAACATTGTTGGAATGGGAAACGGACGAGCTAGGGTGAATGCGCAGATAAAATAGAAAATTGAATATACCATATTTTCATTCATTTGCTAAGCTCCCCAGAACGATCTTGCCATCATAAATTGGCTAAATACGTACTAAGAGAAAGAGCTTGCCCTCATCACTTTGGCGAACGTTGTTGCCAAGAGTGAGGAGGGTAATGACTGGAAGATGTCACGGAGCAAGCTATGAGGGCGACCAGGTAGAGAAGTCTTGATGGTACTAGTATTTCACCTTATTTATGATACCCAAACTCACGTGATACAATGCCCTGAAACGAACGAAGTGAGAGGAAGGAACTAATCAACGTGGATGTACGTGCGCGTGAGACGTTGCAAAAGAAGTGGCTTAACTATATATGGACTGTACTGCCACGCGCGCCGCACATTCGCCCCTGCTCACCCTGGTACCTGCATTATTGTTGCCTACTTCGGACTGGCCTGTCTTGACTTTAGGGTTGTAGGGCTATTTCCGCTTCTTTGAACTCGTTATCCTGTTATGATTGCTCCGAGCACTGCACCTTGCGCGTCGTTTTACTGCGACGCGCTGTTATGTATTACCACCAGAATGTCTCTAGTCACTATGTCATTGTTACGTTTTATCCCTCCACACTCTTTTGTGTCACGCCAGCAATTTGTCTCACCGACTACAAAATTCAAGTTGCGACACTTAAATCCGCTATGGTAGATTTTAAGGATGATCGCAGTAGTCGACGTTCGGACTCTCACCGGAAATATTGCTCTAAAAATGTAAGCTGTCTCACCGTTCTTCACTAAATCGTCTTCATTTTTTGTAACTACTAGATATAGGTGACCTCTGGAATGGACCAGATCCTCAATTGCTTAGTGAAAATTAAAGATTCCAAGTACCTGAACTAGAGTCTTACTGCATAGCAAACCAACAATCCCAATTATCTCGCAATAAACCTAATAAGCTACCCTCACGTCTTGCTTACAGGCATGAACTTTTATAATTTCTATCACGCAGCTCAATTGCGAATACCAGGATCGACAGAATGATGTGTATTGCAGTCGCTGTGATGGACTAGATCAGATGGAAGGGTGCTTGCGCTAGTTGTTTGCGTACAGTAACACTGCTTGCAGTCAGGAAAGTATTTGATTAGCTGAGCGAGGACTCGCTACAACATGTTGTTGGCTTGGGTTTTCTTCCCTTTCCTTTCTCTTCTTCCTTCCTTAGATTTAGTGTTTTTGTTGAATAGAATCTTTTCCTCTGATCAGATTTGCCTTATCACAGTAGCTATGTGAGAGTTCAAAGATAGGAAGAAGAAGGAAGAGAAGCGCGGGAGCGCGGACCGTTCTTTTATGCAGAACTGCGGAAGTTCCACAGAAGCACATGTCATAAGTGACAAAATTCGTGCTCGTATCTACACCTATGGTCATGCAGATAGGACGACCGAGTTGTCTGGCTCACACGCTAATCGCCCAAACGTAGGGCAGACAGATCTCGTGGAGGCAATTCGGGCGCTGATACAATCTGCTGAAGACACGGCCATAAATGCGCACCAAGTCGAGTCCTTGGCTGAAAGCACACATACTCAGAGAGGCTGGGACATTGCGCAACTAAGCTCTCTGAGAAGAAGAGCTAACGCTCTTGCAAGCCTCACAGAGACGTTCAGCGATGCAGTTGAACATTACGTTGTAGCTTATGTAACATCGCTTGCTGGTCCGAGGACACTGGTGCCAAAAATGTTGTCGCATTTTGATGATAAATTGAGGAGCATCGCTCAGGATGTTCTCAATAGCACTAGCGATGACAGCAACGTTCTGCGGGAGACTTTAGAAATGTGCTATGACCAAGCTTTTCATACCTCTGGTACCCTGCACTCCGACAACTACTTCATCCCCCTGGGCGAAGCCAGTCTCGAATGGCCCTACGATCCCGACTTCGAGAGCGAGGAATACTACGACCATGAAAATCGCCTAGCCGTCGACGATGGCTACGCCGAAACCTTTCGTATGCGATGCGAGCGCAAATTCGAGAAGGAAAGGCAACAAAGGGAGGAATGGATCGGATTTTGGGTTCAGGCGCTGAGTAAATGTCCTGATGGGCCCAGGCGTTAAACGTCTCTTTAAGTGTCCTCGTGACAACTGTCATTATCGACAAAGGAAACTAAAGCACGACACAATCCGGCGGCTAATGCTCCATATGTGCGCGTTAAAATTTGAGGTCGAGCAAAGGAAGGTAGACTTCACAAAAGAGCTTTTTTTCGGCTTGAGAGACTGCTATCGTAGACCAGGAAAGAGGCTCTATACCGGATCTGAGTCAGAACATGGCCTCTCTGGGGGCGACCGTGGTGGGCGGGCGGGTACAGCGGCGGGGGGCAGTTGAGCGAGACGCTGCCACAGGCGGTGGACGAGGTGAGGCGCAAGCGCACAGTGGTGGTTGTCGATGTGCAGGTGCGGCCGGAAGGGTATTCGGCGGCGTTGGGGAAGGCGGACTAGCCAGATTCGGCATAGATTATTATTATGATTGTTGGAGTAAAGAGTAAAGCCCTAGGTGCAATCCGGGCTCTTTGACTCACATGATGGGACGCCTAGATGACGGCTGTATCGGCCTCGCTGATTGGATTCGTTCCTCTACGCGGCGTGATTCATGGGGGACCGGTCAGCACTAGTTTCAGTACCGAGTTAGACATGGTCTTACCTATGTGTCACTATTTTTGAGGATTAGAATGATGGAGTATAAGAGCACGTTCATCTCCATATTGAATGCAACCATAATCAACAATACAGCTTCGTCCGCAAGTTCTACTCTTTTTTGACTATTATTTGAGAAATCCAAGTCCCGAGAAAAATGAAGACCACTACAATCTACTCCATTTTGCTAGTTACTGGTACTGCTCTAGCCGTACCTACTACGCGAGGTGACAAAGTCGTCACTATTAGCGGGCTTAGTGCCTCTCAGAACGACCAGATGGGATTTATCACCTTCAATCTCAACGACCCTAACTACCACGATCAGACTATTGCCAACGTTATCTGGTATGCTTCTCTCTCGTCTGCTCATGTTAGATGGTTAAAATAACAAAGATGGCTAGGGATCGTCCTGGAAACCCCCAGGAGAAGGCCACAACCAACGATCTTGCCTACCACGTCCACTTTCCAGACGGCGTGAAGGATATCTCCGCTTTTGACTTTCAGCTACAACGGGTCAATAGCACTGAGAAGATCTCCGTGTCCGTCAATGATAACAGAAACAGTTGTACCCAAGCCACCAAGTGGATATGTGGCACGGCAACGGGTCCTGTAGAGTCGAAGAAGTGCCACTACGATGGCGACATCACCTTAATCCCTTCCTTCTCTTAAGTATTGATGCCTTTCCGTTGTGTTCTGGGTGACATACGTACTATAATTGAGGAAGGAGGAGTGCCTTTTAATTGAGTCTTGTATTTTATCTACTTGACATTTACAGACGAGATGCTTTACCAAAATTCAAATGATGCTCCTCATTTCTTAGGCTATTCAAGTGCATGAGGATTCCTACAACCATGTCGTGTTCGTCAGGACGCTCGAAACGAGAGTTTCAAGTACTGCTATATTCGAAAACAGATTCCCCCGTATACACTCACAGCTTATTTCCCGAAACCTATCTTGAACCACGCTAGCCTAAATCTAGTTACTTCCCCTAAAACCCCTGCCAAGTTGTACAGTATCAGGCTTTTTATTTCTGGCGACGCTGACTGGCTCCATAGTGGGTAGCTCGTGCAAACCCTGCTGGTGATCGTGTGCCAACAACGCGTCCTTCTTCAACGACGAAGTTCACTAGGAGCGTATGGCCCGGGCTCGTAGCCGGCCTGTCGAAAAAGATTGGGACTCGGATCGACGACCCTTCACCGGATCTGAGTCAGAACGTGGCCTCTCTGGGGGCGACCGTGGTGGGCGGGCAGGTACAGCGGCGGGGGCAGTTGGGCGAGACGCTGCCACAGGCGGTGGACGAGGTGAGGCGCAAGCGCACAGTGGCGGTTGTCGATGTGCAGGTGCGGCCGGAAGGGTATTCGGCGGCGTTGGGGAAGGCGGACTAGTCAGATTCGGCATAGATTATTATTATGATTAGATGATGAGGAAGATTGGTTAGTAAATGGGCCACTATCTGAACAGTTCGCCACCCAGAGTGAGCAGGCAATGCAGAAAAGGCCACAGAGCAGAAGCTCACATTCAGGGGATGATGATGATGACCTATATTTTCAAGGAATTCCAGTTGGGGAGAGTAGTATGCAGTGAACTGTGAGAATACGAAAGAAGCCAAAGATGCCAGAAGGATTGGAGATTGATGCATCATAGATATCAAATGAATTCTTTACATACTAAATCCATAAGAACAAAATCATATAAGAAAGCTTTTACCGACTTTCAGTACCATAAAAAACCAAAAAAAAAAAAGCATTGAAATTGCATGGACCAGAAGTTCACGATGTTTAGCGTGTTTGTAATGGTTATAAAACCGCTGCTTGACCAAAACTGCACTGCGGTCTTTCTCACGGTGTGAGACTGTAAGGGCCCTAGATCATATAGACCTATCACATAGAGATGCCTGTCAGGTGACCCTCACCTCCTGTATCAACTCCGCCAGAGCCGATCATGTTGCAGCACCTTGAGCTGCATCTTGTTTACATACCTGAGATAGCCTGATCTGTATACCCGTCTGGGTTAGCTCTTAATATACCTGTTCTGTACACCACTGGGCCCGTACCCTGACACCTTGTCTACCCCCTCATTAATCCATGTTCACTTGTGCGTTCAAGCATCAGTCAATCCAAATAGTTCTACTATTTCTTTTCACCTCTCATTCTTGCATTTCCGTTTCATCGTCTCAGGGCCGATGCGCGCGACGCGCGCGTCTTCCAGTTTGATACACGAAATAAAGCTAAGCCAGATACGAGATAGCGTGTTTCGAGATAGGGTTCGAGAGAGAATTGAGAGAAGACATTGGTGAAATTGATTTCGATCCATCCTGTATTCAATGATAGCGCGTAAATTGCTTAATATCCGACCTATTTCGGTCGGAAAACAAATTGCGGGGCCTGCCGTAGCACGCCTGATTTTTAAATAAACAGCTAGCTATTAAGACAACTCACTCAGTAACAATCAATAATTAGTTACTCGCCATGCAGTCCTTCAAGATCGACCTTCCTCACAGCCAATTCTCTGGCCGTTTTTCTGTCCCTAAAAATCGATCCTCCAGCAAGTTCGTACCTCTGCTTGTTTGCATCCACGGCGGCGGCTATGATTCGGAATACTTCGATGCCAGCCCCGAGTACTCAATAACTGCCGTCACAAAGGCCCTAGGCATCCCCGTCGTGGCTATAGACCGCCCAGGCTACGGCGACAGTGACCCTTTCCAGCCTCCCATTCCTAGCGATGGGCCTCGCAAAGACGATACATTCGCGCACCAGCAAGGCTTATACCTCAACTCTTATGTTCTCCCTGCCGTATGGCAGGAATTTGGAGAAAAGTCGGGCGCGACAGCGGTTGTCCTTCTGGCGCACTCCATCGGCGCCATGATGGCTATCAGCGCTGCTGGTCAAGACAGTGGCCGGTACCCCTTGGCCGGACTGATCACTTCGGGAATTGGTGCAGAGCTAAATCTGGAAATCAGTGCCAGGTTTTTGAGTCTGCTTGGTTCGACCGAGCAAACACATGCAAAGTTCAATACGGTCATCAGGGACGCTGCAATGCTCCAGCTGCCGGCCATGAAGGTCACCGATCCCCAAGTGGCTCAATTTTCTGAGCGCCTCAATAAGCCGACTCCTATCCAGGAAATGATTGAAATAAATACGACTTGGCTTGATTCATGGCATCGGTACTCGCATGCGATCAAGGTGCCGGTGATGTACGGCATTAGTGAATTTGACGAACTCTGGCTCTCCACGCAGGAGGCCGTGCACAAATACCGTGACGCGTTTCCGGCGAGCCCGCGAGTAGAATGTGGGATTGTGCCGATGGCACCACATTGTATTGAGTTGAGTCTGCAGAGCAGAGGGTGGCTGGCTAGGTGTTGCGGGTTTGCGATGGAATGCGCTGGCTGGGATTATCTGAATAACCGCGGACGAGTCCCTACATCAGAATAATATTGTAGGAATGCAGTTTTATCGTATTGATTTACTATCTACAACCGACCAGTAAGATATGCGTAGGGGTATACAATTCACGTGGCGGATCAATTTACTCCGGCCAGGCTCTCTCCACTTCATCTCCTCAATCCACCATGGAGGAATTACCCGGCTCACGAGATGTCTTCGGGCAACTGCCCCGACTGAAGGGATACACCCATCTTGCTTTATGTTTCCACTATCCCGACACAAAGCCCCGAGAATCAGCCGTCGAGTCCCTGCAAAAGGCCTGTCGGCGATTAACAACAGCCTTGCCCTGGCTAGCGGGCAGAGTCGTCAACCGTGACGCCAGTCCTGGATGTTCTGGTGTTTTCACCATCTATACATGCACCGAAACTGAAGCCATCCTTAAAGTCCAGGATCGGTCTGATGTGTGTCCTTCCTACGACGATATCATCCGTACCAACGGATCAAGCGATATGCTGGATTGTTCGCTGCTATCAGCCGAGACAACCCTGCCAGACAGCTACGAGGATGAATCTGCGTCTGTCCTGACTCTGACAGCCACATGGATTAAAAGTGGCATCATTCTCGACTGTGCCGCCCAGCATAATATCTTCGACATGGGCGGCATGGATCAATTCCTTCGGCTTCTGGCCACATCCCTTCAAAACGGCGATCTTCCACAACCTGCCATCGAGATCAATAACCGGGACCGCAGGTCCATATTCCCTCTTCTGGGCCAGGACGAGATCCAGTATGAACATACCGCAATGCGCTGTCCGTCTGCTCTGAATAAACCGTTGCGGCCTCCACCGCCGCCAGGCCCTCGTCCGACATTCCAACACTTTCGCTTCAGCGCAGCAAGTCTCGGGTCTATTACAGAGATGTGTAATACGCCGTCAATGGACGATGCACTAAGTGCCTTTGTGTGGAAACGTCTCAGCACAGTCCGCCTCCATCTCTATAACAAGCCAGGCGCCGTAACCGGGTTCTCCCGCGCAGTGGACTGTAGACGCACCTTGAATGTCCCGACACAGTACATGGGACAACTCGCTGTGAAAACATTCTCGGCAATGACTCTCCGCAAAGTAGAGGAATCATCTCTTGAGACAGTGGCAGCATATCTCCGGAAAGACCTTCAAAAGATCCGAGACCAGAACTTCCTGCGCAGTCTGGCAACGCTCATCGACTCGGAGCCCGATAAGAGTACGTTCAATTATGTGCAAGGCTTTAATCCGGATACCTGGATCAATGCGTCTTCTTGGGCAGGCGTCAGTGCCTACACTCTGGAATTTGGTCTCCTGGGTAAGCCGGCCGTTATTCGCCGGCCAACCTCCAAACCTGTCCAAAGCCTTCTTTACTTCTTGCCACGAATGGAGCAGGGCGATATTGACGTTTTGCTTTGTCTGCGTGATGAAGAGATATTGATGTTGAAGAAGGATGAGGAGTGGTCGAAGTATGCACTGTATATTGGTTGAAAATAATATATATCTAGAAGACATCTGGTTGAGTATGTCCTCGTCGCTCGCTTAAGCCAAAATAAAGGATGAACAACCTCAAAAACAAGTCATGATTACAGGCCCTTCCAGTTGACAATCACAATCGATTTCGTCCCCCCACCTCTGCTCTCAGAAACAGGCACCCAATCCTTCAGAGTGCAGACCACCTCGAAGTTATTCTTCTCGAAGACTCTGAGACTGCCTTTATTCTCAAGAAAAGCACAACTCTTGACTATCTGGATGTTCATGCGTGGCACACCCCAGTCCTGGAGAACCGTTCTCATGGCAAGAGTCATGATCCCCCTACCGTGATGAGAAGGAGAAAGAAAGTCTGCAATGGATCATCAGTAACTAGCAAATCGTAATACCTCCCAATAAAGTCGAGACCACATACCTCCTATCGCCCAAACAATCCTCCCATCTCCAGCAGACAACTCATTATTCAAACGCTGCGCCTCAGCCATCTTCTCAGTGTCATATCCGTCTTCATAGAAGGGATACCGAGCCACGCCAATATCCCCTAAAATGACATCCTTCAGGGGATCACCTGTCTCGGGATCCTGCTCTGTGACTTCGCGGATCACATTGAAGGGACAGAAATCAAAGACCTGTTTGTCGGTATCCGGATTCTCGAATTCCGCACGCAGGGTGCCGAGAACTGGCTCTGCCTCTGCGCATTTCATCTTCACCCATTCCTCTCCGTGTTCGGGGAGATAGGGGTAGGGTGGACCCGATAGATTGAGGTAGATTTTGGGGTCATTGAGGAGCCGGACTTGTGCGGCGACGGTTTCTTCTAGTTGGCTTAGTCGGTGGGGGGTGATGATGATATTGGATAAGGGTGTCGGTAAGCGGAGGTAGGGCTCTTTTGTGTGGGTGTTGTAGTGGACGGGCATTTTGGCTGGCTGATTTGTCTAGTGGGGACCATTGGCCGTGAGACATGGAGTGGTTTTCTGTGGGGAATTGGAGGCTTATATGCCTTTTCTCAGGCCGAATAGAGTCATCTCGGCTCGCCTAACCCGTGAGTCACTCCGCCCCGAGCAGGCCAACCCGAAAGGACAAAAGGAGGCTTTCGAGTGTTAATTCCCTAAGGAGATACGACCTACTACGTTGCATGCGGGTCGCTTGACTTATCCAGATCGTACTTTCCGCAAAACATGCAGCCGGACATGTCTCAGTCTACCTCTAGTTGGCTAAAATGTGAAAGTCGGCAGAGCCCCGCAGATGAAAAGAAACAGCATTCTACACGGCTTGAAGTGTATGATGATGTACCTAGAAGTATTGTACAACCCGCCCCGATCATCTATGCAAAATCCCATCCGCCCAAACGCCATCGGATAGATCCATGAGACACAAAAGACAAAAAGTCCAAAAGGGAATTAAAAAAACGCCAATTACACCCGAACGATCAACATCAGATGTCGACGGTGTCTGCATTCTCGCTGTTGAGATCATCGTCATTGTCTTCGACCGTGAACGAGTTCTTGAGCTTGCTGGGACCCGGTTTGGTGGTCGCGTTCTTCTTGGGCGCGTTCAGCTTTTTCTTCTTGGTCGGGCTGGGACTCCCATCCTCGTCATCCGCATGCGCGCGTTTTGATGCCGAGGAGGTTGGGCTGCTGGCGCCGCTGCCCGCGCCCGCACTGCTGTCGGTTGGGGTCTGGTTGCGCGCGCTGCCCCGTCCGGAGATATTCATGCACCGGTCCATGTGCTGCGCCAGACGGCTGATCACAAAATAGCGCGGGCAAATAGGACACTTATTGGTTGGAACGGTGGGGATCGTATCATCTTCTTTCTTCTTTTTCGGGTTCGGCATCACTGAGAACAGTTTCCCGTGCACGTCGTGACCTGGCACCGTGACCAATGGCTGATTCTGACAGTATTCGGCGTGCGGATCTGGTGGCGGGACTGCATTGGACCCGGTGGGCGGGTATAGCAGGCGTGGTAGGCGACACTCCGGACAGATGATCTGTTTCGTGGTGTGCAGCGGATTGCCCTTCAGAAAAACCTTGCCCCTATCGAATATGGCTCCCTCCGTCTCCAACTGTAGGTCCGCCACGTTCTTCTGCTCAACAACTTCTTCCTTCTTCGGGTCTACTCCATTCTCGTCCGACACATCAACCGTCGCCTCCGCCTTCTGACGCGCAACGGTCACAGCGGAGCGCATTCGTGCAATCTTCTCCTCGCGGTGGACTTTAGAAACCAGGTCATGGATGATATTGTGGAAGGTTTCGTTCAGGATATCGGTCGACTGGACGACGACAGAAATTAGAGCTAGCCCGCCACCAGCGCAGTAAGAAAAAAGAACATACCACTTTGGCGATCGTTCCAGCAGGATAGATCGGCCTGGCGCCACCAGCGCCCTTGGATTCGGCCATTTCACAGAGTCCTTCTGCAAGGCCGAAACGTCAGAACTCGCTTTTGCCCCCCTTTCCGTCCAGTACCAACCTCGGTTGTCCGTTCCTACGGCAAATGGCTGTGTCTGCCCGCGACACAGTCAAGCCCCCTCGTGCCCGGGCGGTCCAGTCGATTCAAGTCGGCGGTGTCTATGTCTCCATATACTGACGGCAAAGCGAGGTCGGCGCAGGGTGCGGGTGCCCTTTGGCGCAAGAGAAAACGGGGCTCCGAGTGGGTCGGGTAAGGCGCAAGGTAACAAACATAGGAAAAAGAAGGGAAAGACAATTGGCAGGGAGTGTCGAGGCAGGCCTGTTCGGAGAGTGTCAGTAAATGTCGGGGGTAGATGAATCGGAGCCCTGAATGGGAGCCGCGCAAAGCAAGAGCCTGAAGCCCCGAAATATTATCGATGCACCAATCCCGGATAGACACCGACTCAATCGGGCATGGCAGAGGAAATAACTCACGGGGAATGCCTGCTCGGTGACGATGCCGGGGGGGACGAATAACTGCTGGGGCGAAGGCTAGGCGTGAAGTTGTCCAAGTCGAGTCGGGTCAGTCTCGCTGTCGTTCTTATCTTATCGCCAACTCCGCATTCAATAATCCTCTTCTTGTTCTCTCTCTTCGCTAGTTACATACCTCCTGCCCATGGCCTACCAGTTCTTCGCTAAGCAGTCTCGGTCGTCCCCCTCGCCTGCATCGCCCCCTCCAGGCGCTGGCAGAGCGACGACCAGGCCTCCCATCCACCCGCCGCCGCTCCACCCGCCTCAATCGGCTGTCGCGGCGGCATCCAAGCCGAAGACACCTGCACAGGAGCAGGCCTTCCAGCCATATCCACATTCGATTCCCTCTGGCTACGTGACTCCTCATCCACATATTACGGTCGAGTCTATCCGGACTGCACATATCCCTTCCCTGACCCGGATTACGGGTCTGCTCCTTCCAATCCGTTACCCCAGCTCCTTCTATACTGCCACGATCACAGACCCCGTTATTACGTCTCTGTCGCGCGTCGCCATTTACCATGACCATCCTGTCGTGTCAGCTCCAGCGTCCACGCCTGCATCGGTAGCTCTTGGGTCCAGTGCGTCAGCGGGGACAGACAAGGTGATCGGCGGGATCCGCTGCCGCCTGGAGAGAGTGTCTCCGTCGACCGAAGAGCAGACTCACCAGCCGACAAACCTCTACATCCAAACTCTGCACCTTCTCTCTCCATACCGGGGGCACGGCGTGGCTGCTTCATTGTTGAATTCATTGCTTTTCGCTTCGCCGCCAGACTCAGAAGGCAAATATAGAGTCTCGGAGCTAGTGAAACATTACAACATCCGCAGCGTGACTGCACATGTCCACGAGGCGAACGAGGAAGGATTGAACTGGTACATTGCGCGAGGTTTTCAAGTTGAATCTGCTGTAGTCGAGGGATACTATCGTCGGTTGCAGCCATCTGGAGCGAGAATCGTCCGGTTAGCTGTACAGTGGTCCGAAGAAGATGAACATACGTCTGCAATGGGTGATGATACATGCAACACTACATTGCCCAATGACCCAGATGATGAAGATTGGGAGAAGGTCGAGGCTGAGGATGGCGACGAAGGTGACCATGGCGTGCAGCCATTAAACGAGTCCCGGGTTTGGGACAGGGATGATCCAGGCTCGAGGAAGAGGAAGGCAGAGGAGGATGAGCACCAGTCGGCCTCGCGGCGGTGACTGATTTGCATTGCGCTCTGTGTTACCTTGGATACCCTTTCGAGAATCGTTGCTTTGCTTTGGAGTCGTACTGATTTTTGATGCATAGCTACATAGATCAATTGAGCTGCCCCATAATTGAATAGATCGTTTATGACATTCAAGATCTCAAATCCTGAAACTCAGAGGGTATAATATATATCGAACAGCAAGACAAGGAAATGCATCCCAACAACAGGAACGAAGAGATTATATAAACAAGATGCAATCGCACCGAAATCAGATATTATAGTTCTCCGCATGCAAGAAGATTTCATCCTTGGATGAATCAGCCAACACCTTCAGCTGCAGCTTGGCCACCGTATTGGCCACCTGGACTCGCATGCTGGGCGGTCCACAGACAAACACGCAGGCGCGGCGACCAAAGCTGGTCGAGAACTCGTTCAGCATCTCTGGGATGTTGGGCCGGAAGTAGTCCGTCCGCCAATTCTCTCGTCTCTGGGATGGTTGGAGATAGGCGAAGCGCGGTGGTGTCCTCTGGGGTGAGGGCTGTGCTGGCGAGGCAGCGTAAGGTGACGGCTGGGCTGCGAAGCCAAAGTCAAAGGGAACTTGGGCTCCGTTGGTGGGACTGGGGGGAATGTATCCTGGTGATGGTACTTGGTGCTCGGATTGGGCGTAGTATGCCTTTGGAATTGCAGGCTGCTGGAACTGCTGGAACTGAGCTTGTTGGAACTGCGCTTGCTGGAACTGCGCTAGTTGAATCTGAGCTTCTTGGAACTGTGGCTGCTGGAAGTGCTGCCTAGTAGGGGCAATGTGGGAAGCCATGTATGCATTAGGCAGCGCAGCGAGACCATCCTCATTCTCGCGACGCAGTTCCTTCTCCCTCTCAGCGTCCCCGCCAGCTTCTTCACGGATATACGCCGAGTTGCGCTTATCAATACCCTGCAGCATGTCGTAGATTTTCTCTTGGACGAGATCACGGCTGGCTCGGTTGTCCTTGATATTTGTCAGGAAGAAATGGCAGTTGACGATGTTCGGCGGTGCATAGTCCCGACAGATGCGCAGCTCCTCCTGGAACCACTCCATCGTCTCGGGGGTCTTCAATGCCCAAACGACCCGTACAGACTTGGTCACCGCTTTGCCGTCCCGAATCTTCTTTATGAGATCCAAAAGCTGGCTGGCAATCGCTGTGATACCGCTGCCACCGGCGAAAAAGATCACATCGTCAAACGCGGCCATTTCGCGCTGCATGCCGCCGTATGGCCCCTCCAGAAGCGCAGTGTAGGTCTTATATGGGCTGCCGGTCAGTGCCTTCCGGAACACCTTGCGCGTGAAGCCGTGGAACGGACGGAAAACCAATGTCATGTCGCGGTATTTCTCGCCCCACGCGGACGGAAAGTCATCGCTGCAGAGCGACGCGATAGTGAACGGGTGACTTTCGGTAAAGGCAATTCCTGGCATGCGCAAGTAAACGTACTGACCAGGTCGCCAGCGTAGTCTCGTTGGAATGGTGACCTTGATTGCATTCTGTGGCAGAAGTGTCAAGGCCGACTCCTCGCCGATCATGAAAGATTTTGTATGGAAGGGGTTTGACCAGTTCAGGTAGAACAGCCTGATTATGTATGACACAACCCAGATGACGATGGTGGTCCACAAATAGGCCCATGAACTGAGGAAGTTCATGGTATGCCAGAAGAGCATAGCCACGAAGATGAACGACACCGGGATATGGATTACGATGAAAAGCTCGTACAACTTGTGGCGTAGGAAAGGAAGCGAGTGAACACACAGAATTAGCAAGGGCACCAGCGCCGCAACGCCGGTCCCATAGATGTAAATGTTCGTGCCAAAAAGCAGGCGGTAGTTGGTATAAGCGGTCGGGTTGTTCCAGACTGGAGTCACGTAGAACGGAACCGTGTGGACCAGACTGAGAAAGAGGCAGAGATACGCAGACCAGCGGTGCAATCCATTCAGCCGCTCAGCACTGAGGCCCGTGAGCATGCTGATAAAGTTCGCCTTGGTGGCGAGCGCAACAATCCACGGCACCATAGCCACTGCGAGCATGCCCGCCCGAATGGCCAGTGGTGGTGACCCGAGCTTGATTGACCAGAAGTACAATGGTTGTGGAAGAAAGCAGTAGAGCGTGACAAATATCAACGCCGCCAGAATAATCACCGTTACAGCCAGCGATGGAAAGACAAATTCCATCTTCCCGATCCTGATCGTTGGGATCGGCCGGTAGAAGATCCATCGCGAAAGCGCAATAGCCTTATTCACCGGGACGATCTTCGAAATGAACGACTCCTCTCTTCTGGACGCGGGCGTTGGAGCAGCCTGCTGGGGGAAGAACTGTGCTGTGGAATTGTCCGTCGTAGCACTGGAGGGTGAATATCCATCCGAGTTAGGTTGTTGATGCTGGGCAACGGGCTGCGGGTTGCTTTCCCGGTACAAGGCAACGCGAATTTTGTCGCCCCAAATATGAAAGAATCGAATGGCAGTGGTGAAGGCCAGCAGCACGACTGCGAAGTAAACAAATCCAACACCATACTTCCATGATTTGGCCCACGGATCCCGATTCATTTCCCGCTGGTCCGCTGCGGTGATCGAGGCCGTGATGGGCACATTGAGGCGCTTTGCGAGAGTAACGATTGAATTCATTTTGCAGGCGATTTGGTGAGGGCCCAGCCTTCACAACAGCTAGAAGTTCGTCTTCTGGAGGAATCCCGTCAGCAGAGACTTAGAATTGTTGCGCAGTATGACTGACCGACCTTTCGAGTAACTGGCGCTCCCTCCTTTGCTATAGCTGCACCAAGCTCATGGCCTCGGTGTCCGGTCAACCTGAAGTATACCGACTGGAGATTGGAGAGACAGAAAAGAAAAGAAAAGAAGCGGAAGATTTGTGCTTGATGTACGGCAGGAAGCGGGGGTCACACAGTGTGACGGGCATACACAAAAATAGAAGCCACGGCCTTGAGGCCGCATGGGCGAGTCGCTGAGCATCGAGTCGAGTGCCAGTGATGCGTGATGGACTAGCGCCCGCGAAGCCAATCAGCATGGCGCCCTCGGTGATTGGGGTGACGGGACCGCATTAGCGCCGAGCACTGAATAATCACTGAAGGAGTCAATCACCCAACACAGTGCTATGTGCAATGGCAAGTTGGACATTTTAATCGAGAACGCTTCAGTGGATAACGGTCTAGTGGATAATGCTGTTTGGACGGACGATGCATTCAGTACAGCTTATTGCCTAGGTGAGTTATTAGCTCCGAGCTGACGTTCATAGCTCTAAAAATGGAAATCTCGCAGATAACCGCCTTTATGTAACTCTACTGGCAGATTAAGAGAATTTACGTTATTTGTATAACCTTTCCATTACAGTAGTCTTCGAAACCAGTTATACCTCCACAGTGCCCATCTTACCCAAACGAGAATACGTAGAACGCGGACCCCACAATCGCCTGGCATCCCCGCTTACGCCACAGCTCGAACGAACTCGAGTTCTTCCTGTTCCTCTTGTCAGTTGCCATGCCTTCTTTTAGCGCCATACATCATTAGAAAATACATATTTAAGAATTATTTGCATAACCGCCCCTTAAGCAGAACATGCCAAACAACTACTTCAGATCCGTGTTGGAAAACGCCCTCTTCCTGTGTCAGGGACGGTCCGGATTTTATTCGACTTCTTCAACTCGCGATGCCTTGATGGTGATCCTGGATCAAGGTACTAAGCTTCGAACTCGATGCGATTGAAGCTAATGTAATATAGATACCCATGATTTTGAGAGTCGTTTACAGTCAGAAGCGCCACTAGAGATCAAGAAAACCGGGTTAATTAGTGTAATGTATGTTGGGTCCCCTTTGCAGTGCATGAAGCTTATAAAATCAAGATTATTGAGCGAACAGGGCACATTTCCGGAAGACCAGTGCGAGATCCAGAAACTATTCAAGATATTTTGGGATGTGGACTTGGACGATGTCGCTCTTTTGTCTTCCCCGTTGCTCTCCAGCTACCATAGTCGATGCTTAGAAATTAATGGACACCTATGCCTCGGTGAGTTCTACATCGAAATGTGCAAAATGTCTTAGCCACTGACAAGCTCACTGAAATTTGCTACAACATTAGCGAGAATCTGTCATACACGGCGAACGACACTAGCCCTTTAGACAGTAGCCCTAGTGTTAGCTCGAGTGGACCAACCGATATGAAGCTTCGTCATCAATACGAGCCTATCTATTTCCGCTATGATCCTCTAACCGGACACACCTTCTACATTCTGCCGAAGTCCAAAGGTGATTTACGCGATCTCATTTACGCAATTAGTGAGAGATTCAAGGGATCCTCCCAAAAAAGCCCATGCGTTGAGGAGCAGCTAGGTATCTCCAAGCACGGAGAGCCCTTACACCCTCTAATCCTTCACTCCGTGGTCATTTTCTATGTCCTTTCGTCCCGAAACACCGAGCTGAACAATCTGATCAAATGGTTGCTATGGATCGAGACCCAACTCCACCGAGGATCAATTTTTGAAGTGACGGGTTCGGATCGGTTCTTAAGGTATATTCAGCTGCTACAGAAGATGTCGCGGAACTTGATAACCTTAGAGCACAACAATCAACGCGACGCATCTAACATTGGCCGCCTTCTCCGAGATCACGAGCGCCTTGGACAATTGGCCGAGCTTCATGGAACAGATCTTGACCGCACAACGCATCAGAGGGTCCGTGACGACCTGCTTATGCTCCACAACTTGTGCGATGACCGCCACTCCCAGATCATGAATTTGCAAAGAAGAACCAGCAATTTCGTTACGCTTTTGTACAATCTCATCACGGGCCATGATAGCACAATCAATCTAAAGATTGCCACGGAAAGTGCGAACATTGCCCGAGATGCACGCAAAGACAGCGTATCTATGAAGATCATCGCAGGGATGACACTGCTCTATCTCCCGGCCACGTTTGTATGTAGTCTTTTTGGAACCAATCTGATCGCTTTGGATACTTCGACCGATAATAGTGAGCCTTTGTTTGTTGTCTCTCGTCTCTGGTGGCTTTACCTGGCATTCGCAGTACCTCTCACAGTTTTTACGATGGTCGGATTTCTGCTGTGGCGACGGTTTCGCAAACAGGACTCTGGAAAAAGGGCGAATGGACTGGGCGTCTCATAAAAGCCTGTCACTTTTGGGCTTGCAAGTCTTTTACATTCCCCTTGTTGGTACTGTGATCTTTCAATTGCCTCGCATCTGGTCTTATACATAACAGATGGTCTTGAGCATTTTGAATTGTGTTGTACCAATGGCTATTCGAAAAAAAACTCACTAGTCTTCTTCAATCCAATGATCTCGGGCTTCTCAGATGGTTGTCGCAAAGGGTACTATATTTTGTCTTGTTAAATCTTATTCGATACTATGTTCAGATATTAAAATGCCCCGTGTGGAGGGACCCCCCATCAGTCAATCAGAAACTCTGAACCGAATACTAGGCCGGAACTCGCGAAGCGCACAGCGCTGGCCGGGGTAAAATAGCTACAAATCGGCCTCAAATCAATTCCAAAATCGTGCACTAAATGCAGAAGCCGGGATTGTAGCCCCAAGATGCATCTTGGTGGGGCAAGGGGCCATTTCTATAATTAAATCGACAGGTTCAAAGCTATTATGTCCCTTTAATTGTGCACGTGTAGCTCTTAGTGGCATACACATGTCTTTGGCCATCCTTCAAGTCTAATGCCATGGAACACGAAACACACGCTAGATCAAAATTATCGCAAGGCTAAATTCGTCACCCAAATGGTTTAAATAAATGGCCGATGCATGAGGCTGTAAACAGGATGAATCCTCCAATCACATCTTAATTCTGGGCACATGCAACATGTCATGACAATTCATTTAGAAAAATTTTAAGGCCTTCCAACAATTGTTCCTGACTATGTATATCAAGTCTCCAAACAGCAGCCGCCCGAGAAAAGATCGTCTTCTCGTAGCCTTGTGTACTCTCGTAGCGTTGCATTTGGGTAAGCAAATGGGAAGTAAATATAAAATGATGTCCTGCGAACATAGAATGGATGCAAGCAACTCGTACTCTTCGTTTCTGACCGTGACAAGACTACCGCAATCGAGATGGCATTCATAGCACGGGCTGCTCTTGCGGCGAGGATGGCAAGCAGTATCGTTGCTAGTACATCAGCTAGCAGCGCCGCCACAACTGTTACCCCAACCACTGTTTCTTCAACAGCTCCTGCGTCGATAACGGCGCCAACTGCACCGCCAATCACATCATGCACTCTTGTTTCTCAAAGCGCTACTACATTCTTAGATCCACTGAGCTCTCCCGTTACTCTAGCATCAACTATCGCTTGTTCGTAAGTACAAAGCCTACAAGGTCGCTTCAAGACTTCATTTGCGTTATAATATATCTTCTGACTTCGCATGCTTCGACAGTTGCAACGACGGCTGGGGAGCCGGAGTAGGGTCCACTGTTGGATCGGACGGCAGCGCCACATACACATGCGAGGTGGGGACATCTACCAGCATCGCTGTCAGTACTGGCACAGCCAGCCCATCGCCAGTTCCTACGCAATGCGCAGCAGGCGGCAATCCTGACGCCTCTTGTTTCAATGCGCTCGACCTTCCTGACTTCATAATAAACTGGTAAGTGCATAGAGGGATAGGGTGGTTCCGAAGTATCAGACAACTCTGATGCTGTAAGACATTCTGGAGGAGCCCAAGATGTCCGTTCCGAGTAAGGGACATTTGCTGACTACAAATCAGGTGGAATACCAACGAAGGCGATTGTGGAAGCTACGATGGATTCGCCGATTGCTGGTACGCTAAGATGACGCCGTACTCGCCGTCTAAATGCGATCAGCTCAACACCGACCCGGCCTGCAGTCAACCATACTGGAAAGACTTCACGGGCTTCAATAATGTGCAGAATTTCTACGTCACGTGGTGCATCTGGAATACACAAGGCCTTTTCCTGGACTTGTTCAATGCCATCGGCGATGCGTCGGGCCCCGTTTCTGACGCCATCGGAAGCATCGTCAGTCATACCATTGAGTAAATCGCCGTCCTGAGACATGGGCTGATTGTAAGCAGGTTACTACACTTGATCCCCCCAGTGATTCGACAAGCCCATGGGAGTATGTCTTCGATGCACTGACGTTCGGTCTGAGCCTGTACGTATACTCGGGAAATTGAAATATCTTCCAAGATTTCAAACCGCCTTTCACTGCTGACCATCTTGCATTCTTGCAGGTACTCTGAAGGCAGTGTTCTTGTCAAGGCATTCCTCCGATCTGTACCTCAAACGTCTACGCTCCTGCATGGTCTCCTTTTCCCTCCTGGCGATATTGATGGAGATGTCACTGATTGGGCAGACGTCGCGGGAGAACTCGGCAAATTCACATCTACATGGCAGCAATCAATCGGGCAAGGTCTTCCCCTTGTTCAGAATAACATTTCTGCCTTCATTCCCCTGTAAGTCAAAACGGGCAGGAGAGGTCTTTCCAGCGCTGAGAGAAGTGCACCATTCGCATGTACTCTGAGCACAATATGCGGCGCTGTGCTTGTCTGGCGGCATTCGCTGACTTTCCGTCCATTCATTTAGGAACCAGAATACTCCCTTATCCGGTGATCGTCCATCGCTGGACAGTCTGACTACTACTATCGCACAGTCAGTTGGCGCTTATGTTGCATCCGCCTGCCTTAATGAGCTCAACTGGGCTGTGACACGCGCCGAAGCCTTGGATGTCCACAGCCTCCAGGAAGGCGGCAATTTACAATGTTAGTTCCCATCATATAGCCCCTCTCTAGAGACCTTGTTGTCGTTGTGAACGCATTCTGAGGCAGGCATCGGTTATATGCTAACATTTTGGCAGGGGATACCGGCTGCGAGGACGGCTATGATAGCAATGGTATCTGTGGCAGCTACTTCTTCGATGGGACGGATACCTACAGTCTTGTGGATCCCAACAACATGCAAACCAACCAGAGCAGTGTTTTACAACAGCTCATTGGTGGTAGCAACCCTCTCACGACTGGTCAGATTTTGTTTTCTTCCGGCTTGCAATGCACGCAGACCTGCGGTTCGAACGGGGGTTGCGCCCCGAGTCTAGACCCCACCGATCCTTCCGCGGCCAGCTGCATAAGTGCTGCTCGCGTCTGTACCTGGACATGGGATACTTACGGACCCTTCCAGGATGGTTGCGAGAACTTGCCTAGTAGCGACGCCGTCTTGCCTTATTTCGGCGTGGATCCATGCACGGGCAGCGACTACGGGAGCATTTCAGTGCCAAATTCCTATCTTGGAGGCGGCATCATTGATAACAACGCCCCTGGGTGGTGGGACAATGAATATGTTTGTAACTCTGGTTACTGAGCGGTTTCCCGAGACTTTGGGCGCTCTCCGACAGGTTCTAGCGTCTATTCACCCTAGCAAGCTGTACGATAATAGCCAAAGGAAAAGGCCGAGAATACTGTTCAGGCAGGACTTATTGAAAGCAAGGCATTCATATGTTACATAGATTCTGCCCAGTATGGAAGTGAGATGGATTGAAACTATACTCTTTCTTACCTGGTCTACACCAAAAGCCCACAATAATACAACTTTCGCGAGGATATTTTGTTAACAAATACTCAGCAAGGATATCTGGAGGTAGACTAGTGCTTGCATATTGAAATACGTTACTAGACGGTGAGCAAATTGGTGAAGAAGTCATTAGTTAAAGCACAGACACAATCGATCAGATTTCATGTTCCCTGAAACTATGCATAACAGTCCATTGGCGCGACAGTCTGTTAAGGCTCAAATTTGCTGCCTCAGGCATATATTATTCTTCACCGCCCCGCTCTTGCAAATGATTCTGCCCGCGACTTTTCTCCCACGGCGATTCCTGCGATCCATGCTGTACATTGTCAAAAATGGCCTCAGCAACAGGGGCAGCAGCCCATCCGGTACCGCCTTCTCTCTCATTACCACCATCCCACTTCGCCCGCCTCCAACCTCACGCCTACCTTCTCGCCCATCTTTCCCCTCCTGCAGCTAGCAACCAACCTTCAATCCGTGCCAATGGCCGCGCCCCGTCACAATTCCGAGTCACATCCGCCAATGCAGGCTCCCTGACCCATACGAATGGCAGTGCCGTTGTGCGCATAGGCGACACGACAGCTGTGTGCGGCGTGCGCGCAGAGATCCTTCGCACAGAAGATATTGCATCGTGGAGTGTGTCACGAACCTCCACTGAGGCTAGCAATAAACGCCGTCGATTGGCTGAGCTCAACGAGAAACCAAACGAGAAGTACGAAGACACCGCTGCCGACGACGAGGACGACCGCGCACACATCGAAGACCTGAACCTGCTTGTTCCGAACCTTTCCTTGAGTACAGGCTGTGCGCCTGGTTTTACTCCAGGTGCGCCACCTTCTGCCTTGGCTCAGTCACTCTCACACCAGCTTCTGTCCTTGCTTCATAGTACACGCCTTGTGCGTGCGGAGGACCTTCGCATTTGGTATCAGCCACCGAGTTTAGGCCCCGAGGAGCTGGAACGTCACAACGACGATGAGCAAATGGATGTGGATTCCAACCCGAGTGGTGGCGTTGAGGATCACAAAAATCGAGAAATCAAGGGCTTTTGGGTTCTCTACATTGATGTCATGATCATTTCGCTAGCCGGTAATCCCTTTGACGCTGCCTGGGCCTCCGTGCTGGCTGCTCTACGCGATACAAAGCTTCCCAGGTCGTGGTGGGATGTCGACAGCGAGATGATCCTCTGCTCGGATAACGTGTCAGAAGCGAGTAAACTATCCTTGCGTGGCTTGCCTGTGGCTAGCTCCTTCTGTGTATTTGAGGCAGATGCCGCTGCGGGGTGGAGGGCTGTTGTTATTCCCGATGCTGAAGAGCAGAAAGCTCGGAGCCAGAAGAAGGGATCCCAGCAGAGGTGGATCCTGGCAGACCCGGATGGCTACGAGGAGAATCTGGGTCAGGAGAGAGTTTGCGTCGTTGTTGACAAGGAGAAGGGCGGGAAGGGCAAAACTGTTGTTCTAAAGATGGAGAAACATGGTGGTTGGACGGTCGATAGCGACGAACTCCGGCAGCTGGTGAATATCTCTGCGCGGAGATGGGACGAGATGAAGCGGATACTCGACCAATGCTGATTGACTCTCTCAGCGTTTCGTCTGTTACAGATGTACGAAGGAATGATACTATGATTAGCCCTTGATAATTAGAGGTGACTTTCCATGCCATAGATATAATCAGTTAAACCAGGAAATATTCGCGGAAAGATCAAAATAATTACGTCGTCACCTCCTGGAAAGACAAAAGACAAGTCTGACCCTTCGGCCTCGACGCAATAATCTGATCGTCAATACTCATGTCACCCTTCATATCCACAGAAACCTTGGTCGTAAAACGTGAGTAGATCTCGCGCAGGAGAGTCTTCATCTCTACGAGAGCAAGACTATTGGACTATGGTTAGTTCAGTCCTGATAACATGGTTGCAGCAGATAACGTACTTCTTCCCAATGCACCCTCGGCCTCCAGAAGCAAATGCAAAGAACAGCCTGTTCCTCTCTAACTCTCCCTCCTTTTGCAGCCATCGGTCCGGCAAAAACTTCTCTGCATCAGGGAAGACATCTTTGTCTAGCAAGTGCAGAGAATATGCTTGGCAGCTCACAATCGAGCCTGCAGGTAGAGTGTATCCACAGACGGTGCGACCATGCTCAGGGACGTAACGAGGGAGACTCATCGGGATCGGAGGGAACAAGCGCAGACCTTCCTTGATCACGGCATCCAAATATGGTAGTTCGTCGAGTTTAGCATGGGGGTTCTGAATCAGCTCTTCGCGCAGTTTCTGCTGGATTTGTTGGGAGCGCGGCAGAGAGAGCTCGTGCATCAGAAAACAGAGACCGTCGCCCGTCGTGTCAATGCCGGCTGCCATATGGTCCATGCTCTCGGCGGCCATCTGGATGGGCTCCAGATAGTCGGATTTGCTCCGGAGCTTGTGGACAAGTGACGACTCGTGTGGCTCGGAGTGCAGTGTTCGATTGAGAACGAAATCCTTGGCTAGTGGTGTAGATTTTGGTTTATACAGTGTGATAAGCTTGTTCAGGGTAGGCCAGTAATGTTGGATCAGGCGCTCTATTTATTCCTGGTGAGTCGTTAGTTCTTTTGAGACCGGGGGCTGTCTCTTACGCTTCAGACTGTCATGGTAAGACAACTCCTTCATCAGCACAAAGTCCTTCGAATCAATCAGTGAGTTTATTCCGCCGGGGTTGAAGAGGAAATGGGATGCACAGTCGAGCGCATAGCAATGCAGCGTCACCTTGAACATGATCAGTAATTCATCTCGAGCGTTGACAGGTTCATCTCATACATAAACATCCAAGTAGCCGCCCATAGACGCTTCGCACTGTTTAATCACACTACCAGCGCGCTGTCTGATTCCCTCCATAATCGAGGAACCAAGTATATTGGTCATGGCATAGCGCTCAGCGAACAATCTTCTTCTTTCCGAGTGCTGCTACTGTATCAGCTACAACACGGTCTTCTCAAATGGATATGACAAACCTCGCGCTTCGGTAGAGTTGTAAACATTGTACTACGGCCAGGTTAGTTTGTGGGATTTCTTTCGCGCAGTTTAACACTCACCGATAGTTGTACTGCTTGAACAGATCATAGAACTCGGTCTTGTCGTAGCCACTCCCTCCACTTTGGTAGATTTCCTTCATGCCTTCTAAGTTGGCGAAGGATACTTCATTTGGAGCTAACCGAACCACAGGTCCATACTTCTGGTGAAGGTCATGGATCCACAGCCGGCGATGCCGAGTAAATTCATGGTATTTCAGCGCCAGGCTGGTGAGTTTCGTATACCAAGGCCCCGGCACTTTAGTTCGATGTATGCGAACGACATGGGCGACTGTATAGACAATCCATGCGAGTCCGATAACGTAAAACGCGAGCATTGTGGAAGATGGATCGATGACCTTTGGGTTCTCCGTGGATGGTCAATGAGCAGGTTTATATATTCCTCTGCGACACTTGATTAGGGAACTCCAGGAGACCAACCCCATCTCCAACATCGCCCGCGATGCCCAGAAGATTCTATCTGCTTCACCTTTTATGGAAGTTCGAGGAGGGGAGATCCTTATCAGGCGGCGGCTATGGATCGGCACTACGCCATTTGCAGTAAGTCGAGGAGACAAGCAGATCGTTTATCGGCGGCTCGGTGTACCCCGCCCTCAGCAAGTCGAGGAGATGCGGAAGTGTGCGAATATGATCATCTTATTCTCTCCCTGTCAATGATTATTCCCCGGCACTAGTTCTTAAGTCATGCCCCTCCGTTCTCACCATGGCTGTGTTCGGTGCAAACGGCGCCGCCAGAAATGCGACGAGCAGAAACCCGCTTGTGGGCGCTGTCGCCAAGCGGAGGAGATGTGTGACTATTCAGTCATTCTCAAATGGAATGGCCGAGTCCCCAGGGATCCCAAGCCATCGAAAAGGAAACAGCCTGTCGAAAAACCGGTGGCTGAAGCGAGCCGCCCCCAGCTTCCTGACCATAATAATGACCCGGAGCCTCAACACACGGATCTCGTCCATTGTTCACCCGGACTAGATGCATGGTCTGCCCTCTCGTCAAAAACTAAACTACTTCTCCACCACTTCATCAACAGCGCCTCCATGATCTCAAGCCACACCCACATACGCGACCAAATATGCCGACAGATCCTCCCCCTAGCGCACCACTCTTCCTCACTAATGTACGCGACCATGGCTCTATCAGCACTCCATCGCTTCACACTCCTCAATAACCTTCCAAACCAATTCGTCCCTGAAGAAACAGTCTCATACTACATGTCTGCGAGTATCCGCCATCTTCGCGAAGAGCTACAAACTCAGAATCACCCGAAACAGGCCCTTCTCCATACCATCAGGACATTATGCCATTGCGAGATATATTCGGGAAAAGCAGACTCCTCATGGCGTGTCCATGTTAACGGCGCAAGGGTGATTTTTGAATCTTCGGATCCGAAAGATATCTGGGCGGATCCAGAGCCTAGTCGCTGGTTATGGGCTAGATGGTGTCTATCTATTCAAGCGCTGACAGCTGTGACGGATCTCGGACTGCCTCCGAAACCAGGAGCCCAGGACTTGGTCCGCCAGGCTGTGCATGAGAAGCCGCTGTTGGATATCTATACTGGATACTCGGCAGACCTCAATGTGGCGTTTATGGAAATCGGGGCTGCGGCGTGGAAACGGCAGGCTCTCGACAGTGAACTGACGAGCGACGATACAGCTGAGGCAGAATTACAAAGAGAAGCCTGTCGTCTGGAGAGCATGGTGCAGGACATGATCCGGAGAGACAGTGAGGAGGGACTACGTGTCCCTTCCCATTTGTCTCTCAGTGAAAATAATCTCCGGCAATTCAGCGCTTGTAATGCGGCATATCAGTATTCGGCCCTCGTGCATCTCTACAGGCGTGTTCGGAGGATGAGATCGTTCTCCGTTGAGGTGCAAGAGTGCGTGAGGAAAATCCTGGACGTTGTGTGTGGCATCCTCCCGGTCGAGGCACTCTCGCCTTGGGTCCTTCTTGCTACTCCCATTTACACAGCTGGGTTAGTTATTCCGAGTCCAGTGGGATTGATATGAGACTGACGATTGCTATTTAGATGCGACGCTGTTGGCCATGACAGAGTAATAGTCCGGGATCTACTCTTGAAGCTATACGAGACGTTGCAGATACGAAATATTCTTAGGGCGATAGAAATTCTAGAGAGGCATTGGGCCGTAGTGTCTGATGAAACTGGTGTATACCACAGACGGTCAGAAAGTGGTCTGGCTTTGCTTGACTTTATACCCTACTGAATATAGGCATATACAATGAATGAATAATATGAATCATATTGTGCTATTCTTGTGCTTATCTAATGTTGGTCATAACATGGAGATCCTTTGCTCTAACTTGCGATGCAAATTCAATCTTCCAGAGCTTTAGCTTGATGCAGTCTCGTTCTTTGGGCTGCGTCTTCTCCTCTTCGCGGGTGGCTCGTTTCCACCCTTGCTGAGGTCAGAGGCAGCCATCATATCATCCGTTTCGCCCGCTGGAGTGGGTGAAGTATCGCTAGCTTCCTTCTTCGATTTGGAAGGGAAAGAGATAGAGAAGGAGACCAAGTCCAGATCGTCATCAACCCCTTTCTTTGCGTTCTGATCATCATCGGAGGTCTTGGTTTCGTCAAACTTTGAATCTGACTTGTTCTCATTTGCCTGCTTGGTCGTCTTTTTATCTGAGCTCTTATCGGCTGGTTCGAAAGCCTTCACATCGCCAGAGAAGAGACGCATAATCAGGCTCTTCTGGCTTGGTGCGGAGGTTTTGCTTTTATCCTCTTCCTCCTTCTTTTTCTCGTCATCATCTTCTTCCACCTCCTCTGCATCAGAAAATTCCCACATGGTACGAATCGCACCCTTGAACCACGCAGTTCCCCACAGCGAGGTCAAAACACCGGGAACCAAATACAAGAGAGCCGGTTGGGGATGGTTTGAGAATTGCATGGCCAAAAGAGTGGCGATCATTCCGATGATATATCCGACCACGCTGGCTTTGAAGTATGTCTTCGGGAAGGAGCGTGCATCGTGGTATGGGGGTTGGAGTTCAGGCTCGCGTGGCGCAACCGGCGACGCCCAGAATCGTTCCCCCCAAGCGCCGGTGGCCGACTGGTACTCGGGCTTGACATTCTCTTCCTCGGACGACTTTTCTGCTTGTGCCTTTTGCAATCCCTTGCGCTGGTAATAGAGAAACAGATCAAAGCGCAGCGCCAGACCAACCATCATGCCAGGAACAACGATATCACCAAGACCCAGCATGGCCAACGACGCGACGTCCGGATCTTCGGTGGGCCGTGGGAAAAGTAGCTTGATTGGTACATCGAGTTTGGTGGCGACCGTGACCATGAGCGGCGTGAAAAAGACAAAGTAAATGTCATACAAAAACAGAGATCCCAAAATGAGCGAGCCCGTCCAAAAGGTCGAAGGCGACATGAATTGCAGAGCTCCGTAGCAGAAACTGAAGCCGAGGAAGTTGGTCAACCACCATGGTTTAGTCACAAACGCGAAATAGCCCACGGCGATCAGAGCAATGATTCCGCTCAGGAGATCCAGCAATCCGACCAGTCCTTTGGCATTCAGCAGGCCGCGTACATGAGCACGAAGTCTGAGCCGTTGGTATGCCACACGGCGACAAGTCCAGAGCATGGCCATGATCTTGTTGGGCAGAGGAATTGCACCAAGGATGCCCGGAAGAGGGGAGTATCGTACGTCTGTAGCAGAAGCCTTGAAAACGCGCTCGGATTGGTTCGCCTTCCAAAGCTTTCCTCCGCGCCGATAGTATCTTGGAAAGACAAACGACCTCAGAACCAAGAGAGTGTCTTTCAGAAACGCAATGGCGAAGAACAGCCCCATCTGAGAGAAGTAGAAGCTGAGGATCTTGTTCAGAATGGCCGGATCTTCCAGCCATTTGATCACCATGTACAGACCACCCAGTGTTAGTCCCGCGGTTAAGGGAAACATCAAGGCATCCGACGCTTCAAGATTCTCCATCTTCTGCACAGGACTTGATTCCTCCTCCTCATCGTCGGTGTCTTCTTCGGGATTGATGTCTTCCTTCGAGGGTTTGGCGGCAGAGGAAGGTCGCGACAGGGAGGCATGAGCACCGATCCAGATGGGAAACAGCGCCGAAACGAGCAGGTGGCCATATGTCGGAAGGAGAGGCTTGACGCGGTCGAAGTGATAGAGGGCCTGCCCAAGCAGCTCCGCGAGGGGGCTGACTTCGGCCATAGTGATGGGCAGGGAGAGCGTGAGGGACTGATAAATGAATGAGGGTGAGAGCGTCAATTAATCCATGGTGGTTGTCAAGTGGGAAATCATTGTTGGGGGATCGGGATCTGCCAAGCTCCACCGACCTGTTCTTCTTTCTCTGTTCAACTCTTCTTTCCTTTCCCGCACCGACTCAACTCGTTCCGCACACCATACACTCACCATGGCGACTGACGTGACATTTGACACTTCGATGGTACACCCCAATGCTCGATCTATCTTCTGCGAACTGCCACTGACTAACTCCCCGCAGGGCTCCTTCACCGTCGAGCTCTACAACACCCATGCGCCCAAGGTCTGAACCCGGCGAAACACCCTGCCAAGTATGCCATGCACTGACTGTGGCCCTCCTAGACATGCAAGAACTTCGCGACCCTCGCGCAGCGCGGATACTACAACAATGTCATCTTCCACCGCATCATCCCCAACTTCATGGTTCAAACCGGTGATCCTACCGGCACCGGCCGGGGAGGCAGCTCCATCTACGGCGAGAAATTCGAAGACGAAATCCGTTCCGATCTCAAACACACGGGCGCAGGGGTCTTGAGCATGGCCAACAGCGGGCCCAATACCAACGGCAGTCAATTCTTTGTCACGCTCGCTCCGACGCCGTGGCTGGATGGAAAACACACCATCTTTGGTCGCGTCAAGAGTGGTATGAGGGTCATCCAACGTATGGGGCTGGTGAAGACCAATGGCGAAGATAAGCCTATGGACGAGGTGAAGATCATTCGGGCGCGGGTGGTGGAAGAGGGAGGCGAGGAGTGAGAAGGCCTGCGCCATAATTACTCGCAGCCTTTTTGACATCCTCCCCTACGGGATCATCTCTACTCTCCAGTGACGCATTGTTCTGGGAGATAATTGCAACCAAAGCCCTGCCGGACATCCCGCGTGTCACCAATTCTGGGGTCGGATCGTGACGGGGGTGGTGGGAGACGAACGTCCAGGGCGCCCTGTCGGTACCGCGCCCACTGAGAGCAGCGATGCGCCCATTGTCCGAGCTGGATCTACTACATCTACCTAGTTTCCTGTCCGATGACAATCGACAGACAGAGATAGTCCCTAAAGACATAAATGTATCACTGCAAAACGAACCGCTTCCATCAGATGTGTCCATCCAGAGCAGCAGATACAGAGTGACAAGATTCTCATCTCCCACTCCCCAAACATGGCTGCACCAGTGAAGGCCGTGCCACGGTAGACCAGCATGCCATATGAGGGCAACTTGTCTGTGCTGAGCACAGGGAGTGGATGAAGGAAAAAGAGAGAAAAAGAAGCGGGAAGAATATTGCCCACATTTATCCTGTTGCGCTAACCCGGTTGGGCATAGACGGTCAGTCACCTGATCGTCTAGCTTCTTTTTCGTGTGGTTTTCGTTTTCTTCTGTTCTTCTCATTCTTCCCTTCTTCCTCATGTAGAGATGGAAACACTGGCAGATACCTCCTGGGATCTGGTCATCGCAGGCACAGGGCTGGCCGAGTCTCTTCTGGCGCTGTGAGTGTTTTATGGAAGCATGAGCCTGGAGCTCTCGCTGACCCGATCACGAAAGTGCTCTCTCGCGCTCGGGGAAAAAAGTCCTTCATGTGGACAAGAACCCATATTATGGCGGAAGCGAGGCAGCGTTCAGTCTGGACGAGGCACAGCAATGGGTGGAAGGTGTCAACCAACGTGAGCTTTGTGAATCTCTCCATCCGTGCATTGCTAACCATTCCTAGGGCCTGGTCAATCTCCATTTGAAGATGTCAGCATCTACGATGCCCAAGACTCTTCTCAAACAGATCGCCCGAAGCTCTCCCCGAGCCGTTCTTACACTCTCTCCCTCTCCCCCTACTTCCTTTACACCCGTTCCGAACTAATCTCCACCTTGATCTCTTCCAAGGTTTACCGCCAGCTAGATTTCATGGCGGTGGGCAGCTGGTGGATCCATGCATCTGAAGAGAACGGCACTCTCACTGGTGCAGCCCGGATCCTCCAGCGCGTCCCAGGCAACCGCGAAGATATATTCGCGGATATCCGGATCTCCATAAAGTCCAAGAGGTCATTGATGCGGTTCTTACGCCATATCAGTAAACCCGCAAACGATGAGGACCTGGCCCCTGAGGCCGAAGACTTGTCCATGCCCTTTGAAGAGTACTTGGCTTCCAAGTTCAGCGTTCCGGCGGACCTCCATAACCCATTACATTCCCTATCACTCTCCCAACTACCCCAGCCAGAGACATTTGCCAGCTACGCTGTTCCCCGGGTAAAAAGGCATCTGGCATCCATTGGTGCGCTCGGACCTGGTTTCGGAGCCGTGATCTCCAAATATGGTGGTGGATCAGAGATCCTGCAGGTGGCCTGCCGTGCCTCTGCCGTTGGCGGAGCCGTTTATGCACTGGATACGGGTATCCAATCGGTTGAGGACTCGGATGCCGAGGAACATCCTGTCAAGGTACAACTATCCACCGGAGAGTCCGTGCAGACCCGGTTCGTGGTCGGCGCGATCTGGGATCTGCCGTCACAGAAGGAGATTGAATCTTCCGGTATCAAGGTTGCGCGGTCAATCACGATTGTATCTGGCATCTTCGAGTCCCTTTTCCCGGTCACAGTCGAGGGGGCCCCTGTCCCTGCCAGTGCCGTTCTAATGGTTCCCGGGTGCACCTTGGACAGCCCGCAGTCTCCGCCGGTGTATCTACAGGTTCATTCGAGCGACACTGGCGACTGTCCCCGGCAGCAGAGTAAGTTTCCTTCTATCTCTTATGACTTCTGCACCCGCTCGCATGATGATTTTTTTCAAAACTTATCTACATTGGCTGTAATTCCATTGATGAGAATTCTTTATCATACCTGATCACGAGCATGGATTTGGATATTATCGAATTGTTGCTTTCTTTTTCTCATTCATGCCGCTAACGCAGTATGCATAGGCATCATCTACGGCAGTGTGGCTCAACCCGGGCCGAGCGGACAATCTCTTCTCGAGTCCGCAGTAGCCCGGCTACTTCAAGCAGAAGGACCCCAGGCCACTGTTCTTTGGTCCCTGCGATACACCCAGCTGGGACGGCTGAGCAACGGCGATATCCCACCGACCCTCTCAGAGCATTCGCCCCATGTTCACAGCTTCCCGCCCCCAAACCTTGACCTCGCGTTCGAAGATGAGACCGTCGGTCTGGTCAAGGAGGCATGGCAGAAGATCATGGGCGACGAGGCTCGTAGTGACGAGTTTATGATTTTTGATGATCGCGACGGCGCTTCCGATGACTGATTTGTAGCATAGCATCTTGTACATACTGAGCAATTTATTCACATGAGGCCATGTCAGCGAGTTTTTCCTACTTTTAGCCCCATCCGCCACTCACTGGGTTATGGACAACAGATCTGCTTGATCAACCATGGGGCGATATAGTAACTGGGAGCATGTACGTCTGAAGTTCAACAGACTGCTTCCGGCTGTTTTTTTTTCTCTAATTCTATTGTCAGGTCTCCTGAATCTACTTCAACCTCTAGTATACCCACTAGGGGGTATGGGTATAGGGAATTCGGATCACGTTCGACTGACGTGAAACATGACACAGAGCCTACACTAGATCAGTCCCGGAATTCTACAATCAGTTATTGTACCTTACAGCTATTATTATGAAGATCATTTCGTAGACTGTCATGCTCCACGTTGTACGAAAGTGGCTCAGCTACTGAACCAACGAAGGAAAAAGAATCTGTCACACCAGTTGATCCGCTTCATCCCATGTCGATCTCAGCGCAATCCTTGCAGATAGAATCTGTGTACCAGTAAAAGCGGGGGAAGATGATCTTCTTCGACGATCTCCCCTTGATTCCTCTGCGTCGTAGAACGTAGTCCACAAGGCTGCTACTTAGTGTTGTTGCCACTACATATTATTAGACAGGATGCGACGCTCTAATCTTTTGCCCCCGCCGGCCCCTTCCGAATCAGCAACTTAGTTCTCCGGCTCTACGACCATGAAATAGGCCAAGGTTGTGCGACGACGACACCGTTTCGTCGATGAGGTCATATGTGAAGCAGAGCTTCGATTATTCTTCCATATGTTTAAGACTGTTTATGCCCTGTGCATAGTACTAGTGACCTGTACCGCGTATGTACTACCTGCGGGCCCTCCCTCGACCCTGCAGATCGGGAGTGACATGTCTGTCTGAAGCGAGGAGGTGCGTGTGTGTTCCGCAAGGAACATCCCTCTCTCTGCCGGAATTACGCGCTTGTTGTACATTGCGCATCGGAAAGTGTACCGGAGGATGAATCTGAAACAGAGGAGAGTTTTGGGGTACATAAAAACGTACCATGACGTACATATTCCTTCCGCTTACCGCGAAAAGGGAATCTGATAAAACATCTTACCAGTCACAATAATATTAGATTTACATTGACCGACTGACAAGAGACAAGGGGTCGGTGGGGTATGTTTCATCTACATACTAAATGCATTATTATGCTATGTTCATGGTGGCTAGCGCGGATATATAATCACATTGAATATCATGCGGAGTACCTAGGGTCTGATCATTAAATTACTGGAATCGCGATTGGCATTTAATGCCCAGCGATTGACTCTATGAAGGACCATCCACTGGCTTTCTACACTTTTCCATGCAACGGTCACGGCCCTAGGACACGGGTTGATCTGCAGGTTGTATACGACCTCGTTCATCAATCCCCGGCGGATCGTCGGTAGCGCCGAGCGAATCACGGCACAACGATTCTGCGCTTAATTGGTACTGTAGTACGGGACTCATCTGTGTAAAGTATGCAAAACACATTGACACTGTGGTTCGGGTCACACGGAACGGATAGCAGCCAAGCCCATCTCCCCTATCCGTATCCGTGTTGACACGGGCAACTCCGGAAAGCAGATACTAAGTCGGGCTAGGCCGCCAAGGGGCGGACAGGGGCGCGATCCTAGCATGATTTGTGCTCATAGGGGCCGTAGCCGCCAGAGATCAATAGTGGATGGCGACAGATTGCATCATTTTATACACGCGATCTCCCCCTATTCCTATTCTGCATTACCGTATGGTTCGTCGGGTAGTTAAGTCTTTAAATGTTAATTCGAAGAACATAAGATTGTACGTGCTAGTATGTATTATTGATAGTATTATTGAGAGCAGTGAAGACTATGTAATTAACCGGCACAGCTGAAGAAGCCAGGCTGGCCGCTCACCAACCTCGAAAGCAGGGTTGGCTCCACTATATTTGACGGGATTTCAGGGTCCTGGTAAACTGGATCCGTCCTAGTTTTGATTGCCCCTTTTTCTCCCGGACTGCATGCCAAGGCTGCGATTCAAGCTTAATGGCACTCCCGAAGTGTAGGTAGGCTCTACAAGCACTAGATGTAAAATCGCCGTCCCCGGTGAGGTTTCTCAGATGTAGCTGGGTTGGCTTTCCCCCAATTGAGGGGTCTCCGTCCTCACGACCCTGCATGGTCCCTGTGGGGTGCGGCTGTCCTCATCTTATGGCTCTCCGAAACCAGGGCTATCGACCAGCAGCGTGGAAAAGAGGAGTCGCACTCCATCGAGGTTGCCCTCTGGTACAGAGCTACTTGCCTATCTTGCTCGGGCCGAAGGTTTGATCTTCTTCTCGCTTAGGGATCATCATTAATTTAAAAAACTATAGATTGTCCCTGGAGTCAAGACTGAGTCGAGACTTGCGATGTGGACTAGACATCCCCACCGTCCCTCGTCTGGACCAGAATCGGTCATAACTCTCAAACACTATCCCTTCGCCGCGTCATCTCGGCCTTCATCTATTTATAACGTGGTCTCTCGACCTTCACGAATTTTATGTGTGGCCCACGCCTCCCTCGCATCCAGGGACACCGGGCCCAGGGTTGGCCAGTTCGTGTGTGTCGATCCTGGCCCACCGCAGGATGCCCTTAGACAGCATCGCCACCAGGGCCAAAACCCGACCGGGAACTCGATAAGCTTTCAGGGCCTTCCATAAAAACTTTAGCTGAGTAAGGCAGTTGAGCACCGCCAGAGGACACGCGTCGGTGGGGCCGCCCAGGCTCCTTGGCCCCCTCTCGGGCGACCCCTGACTGGCCGGGGCTGGCGATCTCTGGTGTGTCCTGTAATTGCATGACGTGATCCCTCATCCATCATCATGATGGGAAGGGCGGTAATGGGAATACCATCACCGTCGCCGGAAGCGTGTCCCTTCGAGATGACTCCTGGCGAGATCGGGCTGATACGACCGCATCCGGGCATCGGTCGGACGAGCTGGTTGCATCCCACGGGACTCCGCACTTCAGGACCATAATCTGATCCATGACCCGACGACTGGTATACAGAAGGGGATCAAGATGGTGCGTCGAGAGGCAAAATTACCGTGGCTGCCGATCACTTTCATCAACACATTCTGTCGGGATAGTTCGCAAGAGTCGAGCTGGAAACACCGACCGACAGACAAGGGTAGCAAGTGAAGGGACAATCGTCGAATCGATCCCAACCAGAATAGCGATAGTGGTAGTAGCAGTAGTAGCAGCAGTGGCAGTAGCAGTAGCAGTCGTAGTGAAGAAACCCCTATGGACCTGCCCACTTGCGTCCACACCATAATACGGTAATACACGCAACCCACGGTCGGCATGCCCACCACGGATAGCAGCCACTCATAATCCGCTTCCCGCTGTCGCTCTCCCTTTTTTCCCATCCTTCACTTCACACTTTCTTCTTCTTCTCTTCTCTGAAACTTCACCTCTCCCCCCAACAAAAGACATCGGTCTATCGCTCTGGACGCATCGTCCAGCCGCGTTGGTTCTATTGCCTTGACACCCTCTCCTCCCCCTGCTCTGTTCCGCTCCCGCCTTCCTCCCTCCCTTGGACCGTGTCGCGGGTCCCGACGCTGCCAGCCTCTCGTTGAACTGAAAAAAGAAAACAAAAGATTATCGATTCCGGCAACTTGATCTGCCTGTCACTCTTTCGACACAAGACTTCCACACTCGTTTACTAGATCCGTTCGTCCGGGTCTGCCCTCCACTTGATACACTTCAGCTGGCTCGCCTCGCCCCCAGAACACTTACCAACCCCGGGCTCCCTGAGAGTCCCACTGTCATCCACCCTCCTCTTACATGTTGGAAAAATCATCCGCTCCCCCCGTCAGAATGCCTACCTTTCGGCTGAAGACGGCGTTTCCGCTAATAGCGCTGGTTTCCATCGCCATCTTCTTCTGGTGCATGGAACGCTACGACCGGACAGCCTTTCTGCGGTTCAAACACCCCATCGACCGGGTTAGCTCGGCCGCCAGCCAAAAATTATCAAAATCGCCAACCCAGCCCTGCGAGGTCAACCCGGGTCTGGAGGCCCCGCTTCCCTTCTACGAATGGCTTACCCGCAAGAACTATACCCGCGCCTACTTGCGCGCCCGCCATGTGGATGCCCACACCGAGTTCCACACTTTGGAGGAGATTGATCGGCCCGTGTTGCCACCTATGGTCGCCTTGGAGCGTGGAATGACTATGTCTCCGGAGAATGAGAAAGAGATGGTCTGTCCGGAGATCATCGATATCCCGGTAGCCAAGGACGACGAACTCGACGAGACGTCCAAGATTCTCTTCGGTTTGGCTACTACCGTGGACCGTCTCGACCGCTTGCTGCCTTCGCTGCTTTACTCGTACGGCAACACCAAAGCCGGTCTTCTCGTTCTGGTTCCCGAGTCGGATGACGACCTGGAGAAGCAAGAGACCTACTTCCGCAACCGTGGCCTGGATGTCACCCTCAAGGCTTCCCCGTTGGACTTTACTGCGCGCTACTTTGGTCTCGTCGAGGCTTTTACCGATCATATCAAGAAGCACCGCCCCCACACCACCTGGGTCAGCTTCATCGATGACGATACGTTCTTCCTGTCCCTGCCGACTGTCGCCGAAGAATTGAAACTGTTCGACGTCAAGAAGAAGCACTACATCGGTGCTCTGTCGGAGGCCAGCTGGCAGGTGGATACCTTCGGTCACATTGCTTTCGGTGGTGCTGGTGTCTTTGTGTCGAAGCCGCTGCTGGATATCCTGATGAAGTACTACGATGAGTGCCAGTCGTGGGGCGAGCAGCCCGGTGACCAGAAACTTGGCCAGTGCATTCAGAAATTCGGTGACACTTCCCTGACCCTGTGGCCCTCGCTGTTCCAGATGGATATGGGTGACCCCGTGGACGGTGTGTATGAGTCTGGCCGTAAGATTGACACCATGCATCACTGGAACAGTTGGTATACCAAGGATGTGGTGAAGATGACCACTGTGGCGGCCGCGGCGGGCCGCAAGTCGGTGCTGCGCCGCTGGGTCTTCGACCAGGAAGAGTATGTCGATGAAGCAACTGGCGAGACAATGCGCCACTTTTGGATCCTGACCAACGGTTATTCCCTCATCAAATACACTTACGGCCCGGGTGTGCCGGACGATGCGATCAACTTCGACGCTACCGAGAAGACGTGGCCCGAAGACCCGCGCGGCTACGAGGACCGCCTGGGTCCTCTACGGCCCGCGGAAGAGGAGGGCATCAGCAAGGACCGGTGGTTGCTCCACGATGCATTTGTGGTGGGGGACAACGTCCACCAATTCTATGTGCGCGAGGAAGATGAGGACCACAGCGTGATTGAGATTGTCTGGCTCGGCCCCAAGGGCGGCGGTGGTGCTGATCAGACGAGCTCCTACATCCGCGGCACCTACCAGCAGTGATCTCGCGGGGGGAAAAGGCTGGTCCTTTGGAGGGACTGATGGTCGTACATCTTCACTTCGTTGCATATGATTTCCCTTTTTTGTTTTATTTTATTCCCTCACGACCCACGCCACTTCTCTCATCGGCAGCCCACTACCCTATTCCCTTTTCTGAAATGAGAGTCGCAATGGAGTGAGCCCCTCGAACTCGGCGCCCTCCACTTTCTGATCTGTTCATTTGTCCGGCGTTGCATTTGCGGAGTCCCGTATGGTGCAGAACCTAGTGGTTTGTTGTGTGTGTGTGTGTGCGCGCGCGCTCTCACGCTATATCCTGACCGGACACACGACTTTGTCCCATGGCTTTTTCTTCTTTTTCTTCTGCGTTTCTTGCGAGGCCGCACCGGATCGATCGAGTGCCCGCCCCTCCCATTCTGGCTTGTTCGCCTTTTTTCCCTTCTTTTCTTTTCTCCCTGTGCTCTTCTTTACGCCGGGGCTCTTCTCTTCCCCTCCCCGCGCCATGCATTTTCTGTAAAAATAGACTTGACCGCACGACCGCGTTTGGGTCTGCGTTGGCGATTGGCGTTTCAGCTTTCGATCATGCGAAGAATATGATGAGTTCGATTTATTTTGTGTCTGGTAGACTCCTGCTTTGGGTTTAAAGTCGGATCGGGCCGAGGAAGTGTCGGGAAGGACATGGGGGTGGTCTGAATTGTCTCTCGATTTGCTGCTAGCAAGTCTAGTCTTCCATTTTCGTTATGCTTAGCCACATTACATATAACTGAACTATCCCCTCCACGGTCATCGCATTTCAATGTGATCTCGCATTTACGATCTCCGTCCATTGGGGCCAAACCCAAATCTTCCGCGTGCGGCTGAAGGGGCAGATGCCTCCGCCCTGCCTCATCCGGGTATGTTGGAATGTTGTTTTCGGGAACTATGTGTACCATGTATGGAAATATCTCACATATTTCGAGAGTTCCCTTGCTCTGCGTGGAACCCATTCAGTGCACTATTCCGTGATTAACTCTTCATCTCCGTGTCAGGGCCCCCAGAGTCCAGAACGCCCGGTATCGGCGCTTGCCCTAAACCGGACAAAGTACGGGGCGAGTGCGTTGGCCCCCGGCCAATCACGGGAAGGATGGGAGGGGTTGGGACGGTATTTTACAGGGCCATCATCAAGAGTGCGGCGGTTGAGAGGCGTAGGGGAAGCCGGAAGTGATCAGAAAAGAAGTAGAAAAGGAAGCGCCGTGAAAGGTCTCTTCCCTCGCACCGTAAACCCGCCCATTCCCTCGCGAGCTCTCGCAATCACGCGAAGATTACCGTCACATCCTCGTCACATACACGAGTCACCTGACCCCTGTAACCACACCGCCTGCCTGTCCCAACCCGCACTTTGCCTTCTTCGCTCTTTCTCCCCCCTTCCCTCTTTCCCACCTGCGATCCCAAAACGCGTTACTCGATTGGGCCATCTTCTACTCCTCCTCGAGATCATACCCTTTTCGGTACTCGAAACCAACGCAACCACTCGTGTCTTTCATCCTCTTTTCCTCTCTCCCCTTTACTTTACTTTCCATCAACCATGGCCGATATGTCTGCGGTCGGAGACGACAAGCTCTCTCCCGGCCACGATGACCTGCAGCAGACGGGCAACGGCGCTGACACCCGCGGCACCAAGCGCGGTCGCATGAGCGCCGAGGACGACGATGATGATGACGACAAGCCCGGCCGTGAGCGCCGCAAGATCGAGATCAAGTTCATCCAGGACAAGTCGCGTCGCCACATCACCTTCTCCAAGCGGAAGGCCGGTATCATGAAGAAGGTGCGTCGCAAAGTGACCCCCAACACGCACCCCTCCCATCTAATCTTTCCTCCCCTAGGCCTACGAGCTGTCGGTCCTGACCGGCACTCAAGTCTTGCTGCTGGTCGTCTCCGAGACGGGTCTCGTCTACACCTTCACTACCCCCAAGCTGCAGCCGCTGGTCACCAAGGCCGAGGGCAAGAACCTCATCCAGGTAAGTCGTCGCGTGTCTTTCCCATCGGTCTCTGCATCTTGTCTAACCTTGTTTGTTAGGCCTGCTTGAATGCGCCCGACCCTACCGCGAACGAGAACGGCGTCGAGGGCCCAGAGGTCCCCGCCGAGGCGCCCGAGGACGTCGGTCACAACGCGCCTCAGGGCGTTCCCCGGCCTGGCGGTATGCACCCGGGCTACATGACCAATGAACAGCAGCAGCAGATGGCCTACTATCAGAACCTCCAGCAGCAACAGCAGGGTGGCCAGTATCCCGGCATGCCTGTGGGCAATCGCATGCCGCCCCAGCACCAGCCCACTGCTTAAGGGATTGGTCTCGTGCGCTGCTTCTTCTCTTTTTTCTTTTGTGCCCCCCTCCCCCCACCTCTCTCTCTCTTCCCCCTCGACATCCTGCGTTCATTTGATACCCGTCCTTCTATCCTCAATCCTCTTCACCGTGGAAAATGGGGTTGCGCGGTTCTTTCCGTGCTTGTCTATCTTCCTTTAGTCTTGCTATTGTGTGTGTCACCTGTTGTATATTGTGAAGTCAGCATGTTGAGATTCGTTTGATTCTCTTCCTGGCTGATGGTGTCTTCGTCACAAACCAAGAAAACCTCCCAAAGAAAAAGGCAAAAAAAATATCATCATCCCCTCAAAAGAAAAAAGAGAGAAGAGCGCAAGCATGCAACCTCCCTGCAGATTACTCTAGCTGTTTCTGTCCTGCCCTTGACCACTCTTCCTAGACCAATGGCGGAGGCAGCGGTGTTCACGGTGCATTGATTTGTTGGCGAAGCGGTTCTCACTAACTACTCACCCAAATGTTTTCTTTCCCTCTTTCTGTTTGCCCTACCAATGACCCCCCATTATTTCCCTCTTGTTTCCTAATCTCTGTTATGTGTGTTATCTTTTTTTTCCCTCTTCTTTTTCACTATGATTTCCTGTCACCCGGTCGCTTTCTTCCCTCTCGGTTGTTGCAGCTTTTGCTAAAGTGTGTCTGTTCCACTGGCTGTGGTGACTGTTGACTGCTGCACCTTCCTCCGGGCTTTTCTGCTGGACTTGAGTTTTGCTTTGTTGGCAGGAAGGATGTCCTCATGTATGGTATGGAGAATATCGGAGCCTGTTCTTGGATTTGAGTGCACTTCCCTCGTAGTGTAGGTGTTTATTAACGACCGGTCCTTGTAGATGTGGCTTTATATGTATAACCCTGGATTAAGAATGTGTGGAAACAATGATGATCGCCCAAGATTAGGTATACAAACCAGACGATCAGGTCCTTCCATCTCAATGGACGCATAAGCAACCCAATCAAAAAATAACTATTAATTAATCCAAGGATCTGCAGACCATCTATGGAATCTCAAGAATAAAACCAACCCACCCACCGGAAGATAATAAAAACCCCCGGGCTCTCTCCTCTTTAGCAAACTAATCACAATCTCACGGCGAGGTAGCCCATGAATCGGATTTGGATTTCCGGCCTTATCAACAGAGGTAGAGGTGCCACCATTCGTATTTATATCCGGTAATCCGATCCGTCGTTCGTCTTCCTTCTATCTTATCCACCCCCACATCTCCATTTCCCTCTCCGACAACCAACGACAGGCAGACAGTGCCTCACCTCCTCCCGACTGACTGACTGTTTGCCCTGCCCAGCATGATCACCGGCATCGCGCATATCAACCTTACCGTCCCCGCGGACACCCTCGCCCAGGCAGAGGAGTTCTATGGCGGGACGCTTCAGCTGCAATCGACGCCTGTGCCTGAGTTGCAGCGGGGGACGTTAGCTTGGTATGTCAATTTTTTTTTGTCTTGCGGCACCGTAGCCAATCAAAAGTCCAGTCATGGATGGATGGATGGATGGATGATGCTATCCAGTGCAGTGTAGGTTAGGTGTAAACTACACTGCAACTACGTTCCAGATCGGCTACCTAAAATTCCTATATCCTCCTCCCATCCGAATTCTCCATACACATCCAACCCTTTAATAGCATTACATGACCCGTCAATAACCAAAAACAAAAAAAGGTTCAACATCGGCACCTCGGGCCAGCAAGTGCACATCTCCTTCGGCACGACAAACCCCAAGAGCGGGCGGCACCCGTGCTTCAAGCTCGGTTCGCAGGAGGACCTGGAGCGTCTCAAGACAAGGATTTACGAGCATTATCTGCAGAAGGGCCCTGCTTCGCCCATGGCGGCGGATATGCCCGGGGCGATGGATTCGGGTATGTACTTGTCATCTTCTGAAACACCGAGGCAAATAGAGGAGGAGGGAGCGAGAATGTGCTTTGCTGATTTATACTTGAACAAATAAATAGGCGCGCAGGGGAAGGAGTATCCGAAGCGATTCTTTGCCAGGGACTATGCGGGTAATCGGTTGGAGTTTACGCTTTGATCTTTGGATCTGTCTCTGTTTGTCATTAGCTTTGGTGTGCCAAGCGATTTAGATCTCTGCTTGATTCTCACAAGTAGTATCTATCCAACATAGACCAGGGCTTGAACAGGGTTCCACAATAGTTTTGGTTCAATACAATTACAAATATGAGGCACTGGAACTGCGGTTCCAAGGTTCATCGTGTAAATGGCGTATATTCATCCAGACGTATATACTCGACACCGACAGGTGATCAGGCTGGGCTGTCTTCAATAGCCACAGCAGAAAAACGACAACAGAAGCCTCGCACAGTGTGGCTTTGTCGAGAGAAACAAATGCGCTCTTACTGTACATGACATGATATAAAAAGTCCGTAGATCGGGGTGGTGAGGAGATGAAGCCAAAGTTCTCGACTGCGGCTTTCTCGAGTCGCTGAGAGGCTGCAGGGTGATGTGGGTTGGGAGCGGGGGTTGAGGTATGGGGGAAGAGAAAGATGTTGGTAGAAGGAATCAATCATACCGTCGAAGGAAATGTCATTGTTATGCCAGTCGCTATGGTGGCGACGACGACGGTTTGGCCAGATCATTCACACCCTGCGAAACAGGAACAGACTGCTCGTTCACAGGGCGGGTCGATGGGAGACGAATCTCAGAGCGCGGCGACACGGACCGCTCATCATCCGCATGCGAGGGTCTCGTCCATTGGGTCCAAAACTGACGCCCATGTCTCCAGGCGCCAGCGAGGGCTCTCCTCGAGTTTGCGAGGAGACCGGCTCCTGCATCTTGTGAATCATCGGGTCTGCGCCGGGCATCGTCGCTGTCATCATCTTCCTGGATCGTGCCGTAACCGGCGACCTCTTCCGTGCCTGTCGAGGGGCTTAAACTCCCGAGTACTCGCTGTTTTCGTGGAGCCAATGCGGCTCCCGATGGAGGCGCTGATGGACGCCGCCACCGGCTGTCATATGCATAGGGCGGCACTCGGCGAGTAGCCCAAAGATGGCCGTGAGTGGCTGGGCCAACGGTTGAGTGTCGAGCGAGCCCGCGGGCGGGGCCCGTCAGCGCCGCACTGCTGCTCGTGCTGCGTGGCCGGTCCGTAGACCAGCGCATTCGTGCGTCGTAGTCATAATCTGAGTCGTCGAGTTCGGCCCAAATGGAGGCCGGGTCCAGATCAGCCGAATCGCGCTGGTCGACGACATGCGGGACGACCGGCAGACTCGGGGCCCGCGCTCGATGATAAGACGAAAGACGTCGCGAACGAACGGTGGAATGGAGAAGTGGCTCGCGTTCCCCAATCTGGGCCTCTTCGTCGTCCCGGCCATCCAGCAGCCCGGTTCTGGTAGGGGAATGCTCCTCGACAACGGCCATGCCGGGGCCGAGTCCAGTCTGCGTGGGCCCGACCACAGTGACGGCGGCATGGTTGTCGATATCTTCCAGCCGCCACGATAGACACAAAACACCTCCTAGGAGAATCACTGTCCCCAGGGCAATGAGGCCGGCATGGTATCCTGCCAGCTGGGAGGCCTGCCGGAAGTAGATGAGACCATCCAAAATGGCGATGATGTTGTAGATGCAAAACACAAAGGGATACAAAACACTCGTACTGCATAGCTTCAAGCCACGGTGCAGATAAAACAGCTGCGTCAGCGCCAGAAAAATCATGGCCAGCAGAATCACCCACGACTGCCAGCGGTTGAACTGGTTTACGCGGTCGACCACCGTGCGCACCAACAGCTCCACGGCCGACTTGGCCAGCAGCAGCGTGTGAGCCGACAGAATGCCACTAACCGATCCATAGCACATGCCTCGGATGAGCTTGATGCGGGCCTGTAACCGTTGCAGGTGCGGCGCCAGATAGCCGGAGGCGGCTGGTCTTGTCCGCGACGATGGCAGACAGTACGTCAGCAGCTTGGAGCTTGCCAATATCACCGCCACGATCACCGCCGTGCCGCCCATCCACAGCAAGAATGGACGGCGCTGGAGGAGCTCCAAGAGCTGATCCAGACTATGTGCTGGCTCCCCAATGGCGCCGAATGTCCCAATCAGCACGGCGCCGATGCACACCAGCACGGTGCCCGCGAGCGAGTATCGAGTGAAGGGTTCCCCGAGGATGACCGTGGCGAAGATGGTATTAAACACTAGTCCCGACTGTCCCGAACTCTGTTAGTTCATGTGATTTTGCAGCGAAACGAGGATACTGACTGCCTGGAGCGTCGAGAGGACGGGGAGCGGAAGCGTAGTGATCTGGATGGTACTGCCCACGATGTTGGAGATGACAAACATGGCCATGCCCAGCTGCCATCGCCGCCGCTTGTAGGGTGGTCTGCGCACATCGTACGGGTGCTTCTCGTCCTCCAGTATATGCGACTTTCGCTGAAGCGTGAGTCCGATGGCCTGGAGACTGGTCGAGACCAGCCCGACAAGCACTCCGATCTAGTTTGTTCATACAAGTCAGGGAGCGTAGCTTTGCATGCAGCGCCGAGGCTCACTCACCGCGACGCTGCCCTGCGGCGACAGGTCACCTAGATTGCCCATCGTGTATGCATGAGCGGGGAGAGAGAGGAGGGTAGGGAGGGCGGCATCAGGAGAAGGGACTAGCGGAAGAAAGCCATGGTAGATGAGAGTGGAGGGTTGAGAGTAGAACAAGGAACCGAAGGGAGTTGTTAGTTGTTGGGCTGGATGCGGTCACGCCAAGAGTCACCCGAGCTTAGACTCTCTCTTGTCTCTCCCTTCCGCCACGTTCACCCTCGATTGACACAACACCAGGAGAGTATACCACCGCCCACCATGTCTCAAAGCCATGCTCTCTCCGACGACCAGGTACGACCGTTCACTCCGAAAATAATGAATCAGACTAACAGATGATTCGTTGTTAGGTCGCGGGCGAGCTCCGCAAGATGACGGCGTTCATCCGGCAAGAAGCCCTGGAGAAAGCCCGGGAGATCCAACTAAAGGCGGACGAAGAATTCGCGATCGAAAAGTCCAAGCTGGTGCGCCAGGAGACCGCCGCGATCGATACTCTCTACGAGAAGAAGTTTAAGCAGGCCGCCATGTCGCAGCAGATCACCCGCTCGACGCTGGCGAACCGCACCCGGCTGCGCGTGCTGGGCGGCCGCCAGGAGCTGCTGGATGAGTTGTTCCAGAAGGCCCGCGATAAGGTGTCCACCGTTGCAGAGAGCGACAAGAAGAAGTACCAGGTTATGCTGAAGGGGCTGGTCCTCGAGGGCTTGTACGACCTTAACGAGGAGAAGGTGTCCGTTCGGGCACGGAAGAAGGATGTCGATGTTGCGAAGAAGGCGGTTGAGGAGGCGGCTAAGGAGTTTAAGGATAATGTTGGCTCGGATGTCACCGTGACGGTGGATGAGTCTGATCCGCTGCCGGAGGGATCGTAAGTTTCTCCCTGTCGGTCTGTCCGGATGATCAACTAATCATGGGTGATGCAGTGCCGGTGGTGTGGTCATCGTCGGTGGCCAGGGCAAGATCGATATCAACAATACCTTCGAGGAGCGGCTGCGGCTGCTGGAGATTGATGCTCTCCCCGCGGTGCGGGAGACGCTGTTTGGGAAGAACAAGAACCGGAAATTCTACGATTAGTTTTGGTTCGCTACGTCCGCCTTTGCGGCATTTCGTGTTTCTATAGTTCGGTTCTTCTTCCTCGCTTTGGTCATCGAGATAGAGAAGGATATTCATACACAGCTCATACATGCTCTGAATCGAGCTTGGTTCATCGTTCTATTATAGCGAAGCTTCAATCAGGTAGTCGCAAGTGCACTCAATCATCATTGATTGGTCATCAGGTCGTCAGTCGTGAACAAGTGCCGAATGCAAGATAGGCTGAAAAACAAAATGTAAGAAATTGGGTCGGGAGAAATATGGCGGGTGTTGCTCCGTCAAGAATATCAACCGCTTGGGGGTATTTCATGATGCTCATGTTCTCGAATGGGCATCTCAGCATTGTTTGGTAGTGGGACACCCGGCTCGGGCGTTGCTGTTGCTTCTGCGGACGGAGACTCGGTTCCATCAAGCTCCGAGGCAAGTTTTGGTTTGAAGAACTGTTGAATATTGCCGTTGGCATGGCCATAGTTGCGGAACAATGTCTTTTTCGGCGGCGGGCGTGACCGGACAGCATAGACCATGCGGTAATGCAAGGCCTCCAGGGCCTCCTTGGCCAACATCCGTTTGAGATGCGACGCGCCCGAGTCCTCGATGGCGCTGAAAATCTTCTTGACTTGGGTCGCCAGCTTGTCGATGGCGGCGTCGAAATCTCTTTCCGCGCCGACGGTGTCTGTGCATTTCACGTCGAACAGGGACGAATCGATCGCCACATTCAGTAGAACGGCAATGGCACTCAGCTCGCCATAGTCGTAATCACTGTTCATTTTATGGCGTTTCATGTTGAAACGCTGGTCCCGCAGCAGAAGTACCGTGATTCGTTTCAGATCGAGTGCTACTTCTGGCGGCTCTGTCAACGGCGAGGAGGTCTGCAGCAAGAAGGCAACTGCAAGTCGGCATCGCAGCAGAGCGATCCAGTCGGATGTTGGTAGTATATGTTGCAGAATGCGGCTCTGGAAGTAAACATCCGTGACGGTCTCGTAGACTGTGGTACAAATTCGGTGTACCTGATTTCTGTCAGCTGCATATTTTAAGACGAGGGCATACTGGCCATACCAAGTCTTTGCGGGTGACCTCCGGCGTATACCGCAACATGGAGTCGATAGCACTTTCTAGCTCAGCGCAGACCAGAGCGTCGGCTGTCAAGGACGTGTCAAGTGTGAGGCGCAAGAGTAGATGGATAGCCTGCTCCCGGGTTTCGTCACCGAAACTGAATTGACTCTTAGTCGCCGCCATTGATAAATCTAAGAAATGGGCACTTACAGGGAGGCAGCATTGTTGAGTGATTTCAACACCGAGAGGAAAACGGCACGATCTTTGAGCGTGGATTTTGACGTCGTCACTGTGACAGAGTGTCAGGTGCATCAAAATAACCGTGGGATACGGGCCTTACGTGGTGGAGGATCAGCTTTCACCGGCTGGGAGAAATCAAAGACATGTGGCTTGGCCCCCATGCGTCTGAATAGATCGTCCATATCATCAGGACCAATGAGCTCTGCTACACGTTCTGCAGTTGTATGCTGTCACCATCATTAGCATTGATCGATTAGATCTTGGCCGCTCTTGTGACAAACCTCCAACATTCGACCGTAAGCCTGTCTTAGTTCAATGCGAGGTTCTGAGGAGACTGGACAAGAGTCAACATTGATCTAAAGAAAAAGGCAGGTGGCGCACTAGATTGAAAGATCCATTTAACAAACTCATTTGGCAGAGCGCGTCTGGTGAAAGCGAATTCGATGATGCCCGACTGGAATGCGCGCTCACGGGATTCCGGTTCTATTCAGTCAGTCAGCGTGAGAACCACCAAGAAAAAGAGAAAACCATACCTCGGAACATAGCGAGGTGAGTTCCTGGGGGAAACAGGTCCCGTGGGAAGTCTGGGGCCGGCGGCAGCTTTTGGTCATGATCAAAGAAATGCCAAACTCGGTCCTGTTCGAGGGCCTCGGTTCTTCGTACCGCGTCCATAAGACGTTGTAACCCAGACCCTTCATCGTTATCGCCGAGCGCCGATGTCAACATTCCTTTGTGTAAACCAAGCTCCGCTGTAGATGTGTTGCTGTCCGGTTGAGGCTTCGCAAAAGTAGCCTTGACCTTGGCAACGCTTGCCTCGATTTCGTTATCATCGACCGCATCGTACACGAGGGAATCGAGCGTGTTTTTGTACTTCGAGGCAGGTTTGTATAAAATGCTCGTATCTGGCCGCACGGGATCTTGCTTTTGTTCTGGCTTTGATCTCGGTTTGAAAAACTCCGCTGGATCATCAAGCGAGTTTATGGAGTCTGTATCTTCGCCATCCGAATTGGTAACCACCTCCTTGCCATCTTTCAGAATGCGCTGAGAAGAGTTAAAGCTGCCACTGCCAGCCGACAACCCCGCAGTCGACTCGATGCTCCGGAAGCTCTGAGATGGGGCGGGAGCGTTTCGGATGTCATCTTGAGAGGCTGTCTTTGAACCTTCGAGCTCGTTCCGGAGCTGTTGAGAGGCTTGGTTGAGGGCCGAGGACGATGGCGGATCGCTGAGGGGCGATGAGGATAGGGGAGGGACCTCGTTGTGCTGCTCGGGAGGTGACGGGCTCGACCTGATCTGGGAGAATGCCGGGCGGTGGAAGAAGTCGGTGATGGTGCGCATTGGGGACATCACAATCGCAGCGAGGAGGACCTGGGTCCAAAGGTTGCTGGGCTCATCGCGTCGGCGCGTTAAACCGCCCCGCGGAGTCACGTGCAGCTGACTCAGCGTTGGTTTGGTTCTACAAGCGATCGTTAGGATCAAATTGAGTGGGTTAGGATATCTCTCTGGTCTCCTATTCTGTGTTATTACAGCGATATTTGAAATCACATATACCACTAATTACACTCTCTCGCATTGATTCCCAAACCATAACCTGAAACAGGCTATTCCTAATATGGTATGATGGTAGATCCCATGAATTCCCGAGAACGACATTGTATTTTACATAGCGTTAATGAGTCGAAGGATAATGTGTTTTAAACGAAACTGTCGTACGCGCTCATGCTCATTCAGGCCCTTTCCAATCATATTTGTCCATGATACTGTATCAATTCTGCATAATTCAAACCTTCCATCACATTCAATTCAATCAAGTCCTGTGGTACACCGCTTTACTCTAGGTACACATTTGATATCGATTAAACAAAATCCCTACACTTCGGTCCCCTCCCTATTGAGATCTAGCGTTTCGTCTATGCAAGGATAACGGCGGCTTCCGTTTCATGATACATAGATGCTCACCGCTATCAGCCGGAAGGTATCGCTTGCCCGATTTTAAAAAGAGAAGTTTCGCTCGCTCGTCGCTGGTCGAAATGGGGCAATGAGATATGCCCGAAAACCGGACAATAATACATTTAGTTTCTTGAATCAAAAATTCTATATAGAATTATTCTATAATAAATATATTGTGCCTTGCGTAGAGACCGAAAATCAGACACCGGCGGTCACTGTAGAGCCAAGATGTAAATGTACAGACAAATCCAGTGCTTGGTCGATTGAGACTCGGTTCGAGGCTTTCGAAAACAACTCTAGATCAATTCTAGGAACGGACGAAGGGACAGGTGAAGTAAGGATGCACAACGGCAAGAGTGATCACGGCTAGTGCGATCATCCTAAGAAAGAAAGGTATTAGTGGTCCGGTCACGCAAAAGCAGCCATCCGGTTGACTTACATTCCATCCAAGATCAAGAACTCGGTCTCATTCTGCATCAAACGATTGCCCCAGCCTCCTGCCATCTCCGGAATGCTACAAGAGTAAAAATCAGGGTCACAATATGAGATTCCAACGACGAAGATGACAGACGTACCGGTAGATGCAACGAATCAGGACAGTAGTATAGGCAAAAAGCTCGCCAGCACAGAAAAGATGAAACTTGCGAGCCTCTTTGCTTGAGATCTTTTCCTCTTCGGGAGCCTCTCCAGAGCGTCCATGGCGGATTAGACGAACAACAAAGTCCACCCCCAAAACTCCACAAGCTGTCATAGTCAGGACTTGGAAAGCGATACCAGTAATCATGATATCGTTGCCCACATCGAGAAGATTCACATTGCTACTAGATGCAGACGCTGCTACACCGCCGCCGGCTGCTTGTAGGAGAATTGAGCCAATGTCACAGCCCACAAAAATCCACGGATAAAGGCGAGGTTTTAGGCGCGACTTTTCGGGTCCAAGGAAGAGCACAATGTGTTTCAAAGACCAGTAGATACCAGCAGCCACAAACGAGGGAGCCAAAATCAGACAGATAATCTGGAGTTCAAATCCACTGTTATCCCAGGGGTTTTTGTGCATGAGAATTCGGCCGATGTATCCTGCCATCTCCATCAGACAGCCCCCTGTCAGAGCAATTGTAAACATGATTTGTCGAGATTTGATCCCGACTACCAAATGGAAGATTCCACATATCCCAAAGATGACCGCAAAGAAGACGCTACCGCCTATGTTGGGACGGTATCCGTATGTTGTAGCTTCAACCGGGCATGCTGGAGTGACTTGTTTGCAGTCGGATGTGTCAGACATTTTGATCGCGGACTTTCTCGAAAAAAAGTTTACGAAGAAAGAAAAAGGAATATGGCCATGTAAAAAGGACACTGAGAAAAGATAAGCTGCATCGATAATTTCGCAGCATCCTTCCTAAAGACAACGCCGTATTTCGTGTTGCGTATGTCGTGTTCGTTTTCGTTTACGGTTCAACTTCCAGTGGGTACCTCATCACTCTTAGCTGCACTGCAAAGCTTGCATCACGTATGGATATTCACAACAGATCAAGATATTTCAGTTAAATCTCTAAAATGAAAAAGCTAGTGAAAATTCTTCCCCGAATCCCGGTGGTAACCTAGCCAAATCTTCACGACAATCACCTGTCCAAAGCTTGGGCAATCCAAGTGACAAGATCAACCCAATAGGAAGGTATCTCACTCTTTCTAGGTAAAATGGATAGGACCAAGCGTCTTCCTGAATCTTGAATAACCCATCGCTTTGAGCTTAGATGCAGTCCCAACCCATAGAACATTAAAAGAACCCGAGCCAACCAATTTCCTTGTTTGAGTAAATCGACATACTCATCACTTATTTCCAGAGACCACTGCATCACTCCTGAGTGCACTGGCCAGAAACTAATTGCCTGCACGAGAAGCTCGTGTGTGGACCGGAGCAGTTCTTTATGTGAAGGATGAGCATGCTCCAACTCGCAGCCCACCTCGCGAAGTTTCTCTAAGACTTCTCTTTCAGGTGGGTTAGTTCTATGCCTTGTTTTTTTCTCACGTGTGTGATCTTACCCATGCAAACTCTTAAGCTTAGAATTGGCCCTGGAGGCTGTTAGTTGCTCGAAATAGAAAAAAAAACATGGGGTCTGTACTCCTCAGCCAGTTCCATGTGATCATCATTCCCAACATCGCCATACTGCCATTCCTCAAGCAATGGATGCATCGAAGCCCTATCCAATCCACGCACAAGGAACCTGGTACCCTTAAGGATCATGCGTTTCTCTAGCATGTAATCCAAAGGATCTTTCTGATTCTTCTCATGCGAAATGTTCGAGTACGCAGAAGTAGCAATAAGAATGCAAATGGAACAGACAGCGCAAGCATCTCCATCCTGCGTATTCCCCAAGGCTAAGGGCATGCGCGAGCCAGTAAGGGCTCTGGTGTGGTAATCCAGAGCTGAATGTATATAGCCTTGTGAGTCCGTGGGATTAGTTGATGCGATATGGAGAGCTGCGATGGCTAGTACGCTATCCATAACGTAGTTGTGCGAGGTGGCCAAGTGCGGCACGACCGTTTGCCAGAGATATTTGTCGCGCGCACAGCTAGTTAGAGTATGACTGGTGTGTACGATAAAATGATGGAAGAGCCTCATCTCATATAGTCTTGCACGATGCGGTGATTCGCATACGGTCGGATTATCCCCCTCATTTTCACTAGAGCGGAGCGTCGATGGAGATTCTCGGCTAGATGGCGCTTGTGGAAGGGAATTAGCGCAGCTCAGCTCCCGTTTTATACATAGACTGCATGCTGGTCGTTTCTCGTCACACTAGGAGATATGTTAGATAGGATACAAAGGAAAATAGAGTTTGCCGGTCGCGATCTAGGCAGAAAATACTTTTACATGTCTGTCTTTGCACTGGTGACAGCCCTTTCGCGATTTATTGTGAGTCCGTCGCGGTGCTGCAATTTTCTCTGTCTTTGTATAAGCCTCTCTAGGAGAAATACGTATGGCTTATAAGGTTCACTTACTTGCTCGAATGTTAGATTTGTCCATCTATTAAAGAAATGTAGTGTGTCCCCGAACCCTCGACCAAATGGTCCGTTGTTGTTGGGATGAGATCTCGGGTTCCCGTTGAGCGTGGTTCGAAAAAGACCTGGGCGTGGTTCGAAACAAAAGCCCCACCGTGGTTTTAAGTCACGTGATATGTTTTCGAGCCACGCTCACCCTTTTTGAGGGGTCAGGCCATCTTCCATAGTGTTGAAGAAGCTAAGTTGAGATGTACCAGGGGGAAATCATCCCTCCGAAACCCTGAGAATAAAGCTGAGGATTCTGTCGCCTTCAATTCTCCCTGCATAATCGGCAGTCTCTATTCTGCGAAGCGGAGGGTACACGACCATGGGATCGGGGATTAATCTGTGAGAGTATGTGGGTATATCTGATTTCGAATACCGCTGTAGAAGCTGTACAGTTGGGGGGAATTATTGTCATCCTCTTGAAGTGGTTGAGAGCATGCCGATCCATGAATCTTGACGGAATATATATTGGATGTATTCAAGTGTATGGATTGATATGAACAATCATAATCTCAGTGCTAGTTCGGATATACTCCCCATTCTTCTTCCATCTGACGCAGACTTGAATCTGCACTATCGATCATCTTGATCCCGACTGACTTTCTCGACCGTTGCCCATCTCTGCTTGTGGCTTAGATCCCTCGAATTTAGGTTTCCTGGCCCGATCCACCATCGTTCACGGGCGATCCGCCGCTGACGAGTTCGGGAGTACAGCAATTATATTCCGGTCCACTACTTACGATTACTGACGAACAATGACGGGTAGGTACGAGCCTTGGAATCGGTACTCCAACTCTGTTTTGAAGAACCAAATGGAGACGTCTTCCCGGCAGCCAAGGAGGGTACACAATTTAGTGCAGCATGGCCAAGACATTATTCCTGACTAAGAGTGCCGACGGTGGGCCGACCGTGCCGTGTCCTCCGGTTGTTTCAGGTTCCATGCTCCGAGAGACGGATTTATGTCTTGGGAGGGTCTCGCCCGTAGTATTATTATTATTATGATGATGACTACTATCATTATTTATGGTTCCGCGGATGACGGCTACTGCCCCCAACCCAGCCCCCAACCCTGCCCCCAACCTGAAAATGATGTTGTATGGACTAGGTGGCAGCGGACCGATGATCATGAATCCCTCTGCAGGGCCGTGCATGGATGGAAGTCTGGGGGGCCGGTTGGCAGAAACCATCATCGCACGAGGGGAAGATCTGACACAAATAGGTAATCTGGTGTGGTGAGTTGCCACCGTCAGAAATTTAGACACGAACCAGCGTTGCGGCTGGGAGGCCGGAACGGGGGCTGGGTGCCAAGCCTGGCATTCGGATGACGGCGGTCACGACGACAATAGTAGTTCGTCCTCCCCATCAGTGGGAACACGAGCGCGACCGATAGGAATTAGGATAGAGACAAGAATCATTCACTGCTAAATGTATAGAATCCAAAGGAGACCGAATAATGGTATTGGTAATACCCAGTTGAGGACCGGAAATGTCTGCTCGGGTTGGGCGGGATGGCGAAGCGCTGACCAAGCAGAGGTAATCATCGTCTCCCCTTCGCGAAAAAAAAACGTGTTTCTTTCACTCCTCACTGCATGGCCCCGTGTGGGTAAGACGTTCTCTCTCTTTTGCACTCGGACTTGTCTTTGCCTCTGGAGCCTCACGATCTGAACATACCTACTCCCCCCTTCCCTCCTCCCCCTTCCATCCACCCCGGTCTACACTGCCACCCCCCAGAATAGTCACTGGTGTCGAGTCAACTCCCCTGCATGGATTGATACTCCCCCACACGCCCATATCCCTGCGACGGAAACAAACATCGCCCTCCGACGGTGCTTTGCACACTCTCGGAATCCGGCTCGCTGGACCGGATGGTCGCGCGCCCCCCGACATCCTTACGTCTTCACGTCTTATGCCCTACCTGGGCGCATCACCAGCCTAGATGGCTTCCGTGCACTTCCCGGAGGAGACCAACCCCCCCACCAATGAAGGTGACAACGAGGTTCGCGAGGTGACCAGTAATGTCTCCAAGCCGACCAAACGACAACGATGGGCCACCACACGTCACGCCGGGTCCGGCGGCGTGCGGAAGCGCGTCTCCATCATGGACCGCTTTAACAAACGAGCAGAGATGAAAGAAGAGAAACGGAGGTCCACAACCGCGTCCTCAGCGGGAGGGCCATCAGAGAATGGAGAGGTATATCAGGACCCCGAGGCAGAGAACAGAAGGGTCTATTTCAACATCCCAATACCGGAATCTGAACGCGACGAGGATGGTCATTTACGCCTGGCCTATCCCAGGAACAAGATCCGTACCTCCAAGTACACGCCGTTGAGCTTCGTTCCGAAGAACATCTGGTTGCAGTTTCACAACATTGCAAACATTTACTTCTTGTTCGTTATTATTCTTAACGTATGCCACCGCAAGCCCTTTGTTTTTTGCCCCCTGCTGACAGACTCATGTTCTAGTTCTTCCCAATTTTCGGCGCCAACAATCCTGGTTTAAACGCCGTGCCTCTGATCGCCATTATCGTCGTGACGGCCATTAAAGACGGCATTGAGGATTGGGGGCGGACAGTCATGGACAACCAAGTCAACAACTCGCCCGTATATCGCTTGGTTGAATGGAACAACGTCAACTCGACCGAAGACAGTATCTCCATATGGCGTCGCGTCAAGAAGGCCTGCACGAGGAACACGATTGCCACATATCGCTGGATGAAGTCAAGTCTTGGAAAGAAGAAGGAGATCGAAGAGGAGACCGCGGGTCCAGAGCGTCGCGATTCGTTTGTGACCCTGGCGACGCCACGCACGTCGATGTATTCGCACCGCGACTCGATGGCTCCGAACGAAGTGGCCATTCAGATGACCGATGTCCCGGCGTCCCCACAGCCTGAACCTCTTGAAGACTGGCCGATTGCAAATAACCAGGCGAGCACTTTTTTGTCACCGGACAGCGCAGTGGGTGAAGGTGCGGGCACCGCTTCACCACCGAAGAAAACGGGGAATGTGGTCGACCCCTCCAAACAGACACCCGGCACGGCGCGCTTCAAGCGCGACTATTGGAAAAACCTCCAGGTCGGGGATTTTGTTCGATTGTTCAACGATGACCCCGTTCCAGCTGATATTGTCGTTCTGTCAACCTCGGATCCCGACGGGGCTTGCTACATCGAAACGAAAGGGTTGGACGGTGAGACCAATTTGAAGGTCCGCCAGGCTCTCCACTGTGGTCGCCAAGTACGACAT